CTCTCTCTCTCTCTCTCTCTCTCTCTCTCTCTCTCTCTCTCTCTCTCTCTCTCTCTCTCTCTCTCTCTCTCTCTCTCTCTCTTTTGTTTTGGGGTTTGAGCCTCCTGTCTGTGACAGGGGGAAAAACGAGAAGAACGAAATCCAACAGTTTCATTGAATTTGTTTTGACAAATCCAAAGCACGAAGTTCAACTCGAGTACGCCCTGCAATGCATCCGCAAAATGCAAGAGGAGCGCATCCTTGCCATGGAACCCCGCCAGGCCCCGACCACACAGATCAACGCGCACATCGATGCCTGGCACAAGAAGTACAGCGTCTGGGCGGAAGAATGCCGGTCCTGGTACAAAGACAACAAACCCCAGGGCCGGGTTTACGTGTGGCCCGGGTCGATGTTGCATCATCTCAAGACCCTGCGCGTGCCGCGATACGAGCACTACGACATCCGGTACGCGGACCAAGGGAACGTGTGGGCGTTCCTGGGTAACGGGAGGACGGATCTTGAGGTCGCATTTGAGCAGGGCAGACAGGTCGATCTGGCCCCTTATATTCGCAACGGGGATACTGAGTGGTCGTTAGACTTGCCCCGGGACCTGCCCTTTAGGGTGGAAACGCAGGACGATAAATAGGGGCAGCCGGGAGGCTCGTTGGGGTCGTAATAGAGGCGCCCGGGCGGCTGCCGTGTGCATGGTTTGTGAACAAAACATAGTTGGTTGATCCTGGGATGAGCAGATCATCTGTACCAGAGTTTCTCCGCCTCTTTCCCCTTTCGTTCTTCGGAATGAAAGACAAGTCCCCTCTCAAAGGCTAAAAGTCATATAGCAACCTAGCTAGATGCTTTGACAATGGCTGATTGTATCCATAACGCCGACGTAGGCATTGCCAAGTACATATCTCTCTTTGGTCTGAAAAATTGAGACTGGAAAACGGACAATCCATCCCACTTCTGATCACACTCGGACCCTTCCCGCGATGCAACGCCGGTACGTCTCAATGGCCACGTTGTCCAGTGGCCGTGGTGTTGGCCAGGCCATATCCTTGTTGTGCAGCGATCTCAGGGGGACGCCCTGTGCAATCGAGGCGTCCGGCTCGTATAGGTGCGGGTACTTGACGAACAGGGCCGAATCGATGCAGTAGCAATCGCCTCCTTTGGCAAGGCGGAGATGCCGGTAGAGCGCCCAGGCGTATTCCCTTGTGTGGAGGAGGATCCGCAGGTTGGGAGCGGGTAGCCTGGCCGTCGAAGGGGGCTGCTCGAACCGCGAGGAAGTCGTGTCCGCGTTGTGGACAGGGTTGCTCTCGAGGGAATCTTCGCTTCCCCGCGCCTCCGGACCGTGCATCATGCCGTGGACGATGTCGAGGACGCTGAGGTTGACAAGCAGCGGCTGTGCCCCGACGACGAGCTCCGATAGATCTGCCTGCACGACGTACGCGAGCCCGATATCGCCGCAGATGTCGTCCAGCGCCGGGTCGCCCGAGTGGTACTGAATTAGCCGGTCACGGAGAAAGGGAAAGACGCACCAGTCGATCACGCCGGGATGGGGCACGGCGGCCTGCAGGGCTGTTGGCCGCAAGCATGCCGGGATTGCTGCTAGGCTCGCCGGGCTCGGGGCGACGCGCCAGACGGTCATCTTGGCCAGCGTGTCGACGCCGTTGGTGTAGCGCATCCAAGACTCCATGCCGGACCAGGCAATCTTGACAAAGGAGGTGACTATGGCCGAGATGGCTCGCGTAAGACTACGAGAATCAGGCGGGTTAGCACTTGGATGCAAGATGGTGTGGCCCCCAGCGACGTGGGCTGCGAGATGGACCCCAAAGGCAGAAAGTAACGTGGTACGTACGTCTTCAGATCCACTAGAATGCGCGTGCCGTCCAGCAGGCGACTTGTCGTCACGCACATCTCGTACGCGTCAATGTGTTGACAGTAGATCGAGGGCGTCAAAGTCACCTGCGGGAGGTTATTGAACGTGAATGCTGCCGACGAGAGGAGTGATGTCCCGGGGTTCCAGGGCATGTCCTCAAGGACCGAGGGTGTTCGCGGAACGAGCTCCACGTCATCGTCAGCGTGGACGTGGGCGTCGTCGATGGAGAAGGCTGGGCCAGGAAGATCTGGCTGAGGCTGTCCGACGTGCACGTCCGTTGTAGGAGCCAGATTGGACCCCAACACAATATCGGCTGGGAAAGGAAACGCTTGGTCGAATGTCGCCAGGCAGGAAAGGCTTCCTCCCACAGCAGCAGGGATACCGACATCCTCTGGAGGGAGACTTGGGTTCTGGCCATACCCAACATCAGAATCCACGTCCAGAATCCCAGCGGGTCCATTGTCAGTCTGAATAACGTCGCCCCCGAATTGGAACAGTCTAGCCGACGACGAAGATGCAGAGTCCTCGTCCAGGTGATGTAAACTTGAGCTTTGGCTACTCCTGGATTGCTGATGCTGCTGCTGCTGCAGCTCCTCGGCATAGTCGCGTCCTCGAACTTCAATCATGGAGTCGACGACGGTCTTCAGCCCTGCCTGAAGACTCCGCAACTTCTTCTCGCACTGCCATAGCTGCTTGCGTAGGGACTGGCTCTCTCTGGTCAATCGTAGATTTCGCTCGCTCTCGGAGCCTTCGAACTGGGCTAGCCGCTGCTTCAGTTCGCTGGCTTCCAGTTGCTGTCGAGCCCGAAATGCCTGCTGAGACAAACGGTTCCTCAACTTACTGCAGGATAGCAGGGTCATTAGTGACTGTCCTCCACGGGGGGAAACAGTGAGGGTTCTCTGGGGCAGAATTACCGTTTCTCTGCAGCAGTGCTGGATGGCTTAGCTTTAGACCCGTCAGATTGGACAGAGTGGTCTGTCATCCTGGATTTCGCGCCGCGTGCTCTAGATATCGTCCAAGCCGGCCGTTCGCAGATCCTGGTTGTCTACCTTTTCAAGGGCCGAATTCTTGGAACAACGAGTGAACGTCTGGGGCGGAGATGCATAACATTGAGGCTCGTTGAGATCTCGTACGTGAGGTTGTGTGCACAACGTTGGAATGTCGTTAACCTCGGGTAAGTCGAGGTCCAGACTCATCTCGCGCAGACATGGGGCCTAATGACTTTGGGTCACTCCGTCCGCCAGGCGCCTGCTCCAGCTTCTCCCCGCGTTTGGAAAATGTATAGTGCTCTCTCAACTGTTGTGGAAGTCAGTACTGTCAGTCACTCGCCTCTTATTTTGACACCACTACCCATCTAATCTCCAGCAGAGAAGCTTAGCATCCGTCTTCCGATCGTGATTAGCCATTCGCTGCTTTACTCACCTGCGGCGTTCAGAAGCTTAGGACGCCCCGGCCCCTGGATCTTGTGAGTACAGCCTGAATCACATCCGGTCGAGAGAAACTGTCGGTACTATGAAATAAGCCGTTTAGTGCATCCTCTATTGGTTGATTGCAACGTGTCCATGTCCGGATGCTTTCACCAAATACAGATGAGGATATATTTGGTATGGAGTACTTATTGAAATCATTGTTTCCGTGAGGTCGGATAGGTGATGAGCGTTCTCGTCGTCCGTCAGTTCGTGTTCTTCCCACATAGAATATGGGCTTGATGAGGCTCGGGGCCTTTCGTAGGCAGGAGTTCGACTGCAACCCAGAGCTACTGTACAGAACTCCCTGGGGAGACTCCGGAGGATGGGCTCTAACTTCGCCCCTCTCTAATCATGGAGTTCAGAACGTGGGCAACACGACAATATTCAATCGTGGTTCGGGGAATGGTACGAGTAGTATGTCATTCTAAAGAAAATAACACTCAGGCCAATCAATGCTAGCGCTCAATGCTGTGATGTTGCGGGGTCAAACCAACCCCCCTTTTTCAATAGCTGCTGTCAACTAGCGGTACTTTTGCTTCACCCTTTCGTTGGGACCACAAAGACCCTTGAGGTCCTTGCGACAGGTTTTGCCCTCTCTCTTAAGAACTTTTGTCTCAATCGCTTAACCCACTCCCTCTGCTTCTTTCGTCTCAAGCCACCTCAATAAATTCGGGTTGTGAGTTGCATATCGACGAAAACTACGAATACTTGAGTCTTAGCTTCTAACCTAACATGGGAGTCTGGAGGATTTAATGGCAGACACAATGGATGAGAGCCAATTTGTGTGTTTCGAGGGAGAGATTCAACAGAAGCGGGCCTTGACCTCATGCGACCAGGGGAGCAAAGCCTCAAGAGGCTGATGGCTCGCAGTATCGAATTCTCCCAAGACGGCACAGCACACCGCCTCGGTCGAAGCCTGCTAACATAAGAACACTGGCAAGGTCCCCTCATATCTCCCCGTGCCACTTCCCAAGTGTGCGTTGGCCTCTTTCCCCCCCAATTTTCATTCATTAATGCTTTAAGATCTCGGCTGATTCATTTTGCAAAAGGATATTTATGTGACCCATGGTCAACATGGAACATATTTCGATTCCCAAAGATCCAATTTTGCCTTTGATGGTGATACCATACCTACCATCAAACCCGAGTGATGAAAAAGTCTTCCTCAAGCAACCCGCATTCGACAGAGAACATTCCCACGACGACATCCTGCTACATGACATTTTTAAAGGCCGTTCAGCACAAAATGTGTTCGCATTGATACAATCGATATGGTTCTTTGGACTCATCCAAAAATATTTTGCACTTGTCTGGAAACTTCCTTTCAGGAAACGGCTTTTCTTGAGGTTCGAAGGAGACAAAGGCTTCGTTGACACATTTTTGCTCAGTTTGTATGGTAGAGAATTCATCCGTCATTGTCAAGAATCTGATCCAGTACACTACCCCACCATGTTGAAATGCGCCCATCGAATTATGACCCATCACAGGGCCGATATGAGGAAAATCGAGGGCAACCGCAGTTTCACTAGCATATTGAGGGCATTCCGTGATGGTCAGAATATCATCTGCTCAATTCACACTCTGGTTGAGACGCTTGCAGACATGACTGCCATTGCGACAAACCATAACACGTATGTCTGGGCAGAGGGAAACCATCACTTTGTCTTCGCTGATGACGAGCTTCATGTCAAACCCCCAAAACAGGAGGCACTGAGAATGAGGCTTTTGGAGAGGGGCTGGTGCCCAAACGACGTGGAATACATCACCAATACGTTTGCCTTGTGTAGGCAATACTACATCAGCAACCTCCGAAGGCGGGCTAGCGACAAGCCTCACACTGCATGCTCTTCATCTTTGTGTTTTTTGAAGGATAATAAATCTAAATTTCAACAGCCTAAGCACCGACACAGCAAGTGCAATTGCATTTCCATTAGCACGCAAGATGACAGAGTTACGGCCTCTTTGAAGGACGGAAAGATTCCCAGAATACATATTTGCCCGATGCTTCCTATGAAAGACAATACAGGCCAATGCGAAATTAAAAATTCGGGGAAATATGTCGCAATATCACATGTATGGTCTCATGGGCTTGGAAATTCCTCCGCTAACGAACTCCCACAATGCCAAATTCTCTACCTCCAACAGCTTGTTCAAAACCTGTATCCTCCTCATCATTGCCCGGTACACCTTTGGATCGATACACTGTGCATTCCAGCGGAGTCGGAAGGAAAGAAGCTCGGTCTAAGGCTTCTCAAGAAGGCTTTTCATGAGGCGGATAAAGTTCTTGTGATCGACTTGGAGCTCCTTGATATCCACAGTGTATCGGATGAAGAAATTCTTATTCGAATTAATCGCTCGGAATGGATGAGAAGATTATGGACACTCAACGAAGCAGTGATTTCAGGTCCAAAACTTCATGTGCAATTATCGCAGCGAGCAGTGGACTTCAAAACTCTCTTGGGTTGGCACTGTCCCGCAGACGGCCCTCCCGAGTCGTCTTTACCAGGGCCTGAGTCTGTACCTGACCTTGACCATGATACTGCTGGCCATTTTGCTAAGATTTGGGCAATTAGCATGGAAAAAAATCTTTTCCGTCGACTGGCCAAGCTCATCCCGGTTCTGCATCGCCGAAGGGTAACCGACAAGGCAGATGAAACCATTTGTATTGCAACTGCACTTGGCCTTCCAGTCGAACCACTTTTGGACTGTCACCCTGAATTGCGGATGAAAACACTGATCTCCATGCTCCTCAAGATCCCATGCAATGTTATCTTTTCGAACGCTCCAAGGCTAGGAGATATTGGTCTTCGCTGGGCGCCCAAAACTCTCCTGACCGGAGATCTGGACTTTATGAACACGAATCGGGCGGAGCAGTTTTACGGCAGCTGGACAGGATCCGGGATCTCTGTTCGGTTGGGAGGGTTCGAACTCCACGTCTACCAGAAACGCTTTATCCGATACCTCGCGCACATTCCGCTAAAGAAGTTTTACTTCTCCTATGAAAATAAGTGGCTATTTGCCACTTTAGTTATCCCTGATGGCCAGGAGACACTCGCAGCTGTTGTCACCAGGCCAATTCTTCGATTTGCTTTGGCCGTGGATCCGTCCTTCGCACAGCGACGAGCAATCTTACTTGGTGTGCACAATGAAGAACGTCATTGTATAGAGGTGACGTACCTAGCCAGGTACAATATTGGATTCCTTGGGGACTCATTCAAGCAGTGTGCAGAAAATATAAAACGATGTGCTATTGAATCTGGGTATGACCTGAACCCCGATATAAGTGACATGAATCAAGAAGAAAGGGACTCATTTGAGCAGATCAACGCGGCGCACGAAGGACTCTTCGCCCTGGGTGCCTCTGCTGCCGTAAATGAATCGTATTCTTTAGGACAAGAGTGGCATATCCAGTGACACTTCTTGTGCTTAGCAACTTTTAAATTGCTAATGTGTCTATCTACACCTCGTCTGTCTCCTGGGGATATTTTATAAACGGTGGTACCACCCAAGTTGAGAGGACTCAACTTGATGATGTTCCAGTCTAACAAGTTAACCCATATTGTATGTAATCCAGCGTTACGGAGTTCTCGACTCGCTTCGCGTGTACAATAGAGCCTGTTGGATGTTTTAACATGAATCATCCAAAATTGGTAACCCCGGGACCCTTGCCCTTCACCGAACTAACCAGGTCGCGCGGCCCCATCCTCGTAGGTGGACAGTGCCACCTGATCGGACGAATGCCACCATCGTCCCAAGGATCTCCAAATGCACGCCCTGTAGCGTTTTTGTACTTTGGCATTCCCGCGTTCGAGCGTCTGAGCTCTATGAGACGGGAAGGGGCCGACATCGAGGCACGTGTTTCGAAGACTGCAACCAAGTAACGAAGTGTTCCTCCCCCTCCAGGCGTATGATTTACCTCAACGGAGTTAATGCACCGTAAAGCTAAAGCATCTGGTTCAAGTCTCAATATTTGTGGTAGCACCGGCAGCCAACGAGGGTCGCAATTTGGGGATCTGGCCCAATACCTTTTAACTTGGATATTTGCAATACAACAAACGGAACTGAGGTCGCAGCGTAGGGCAGGGAGTTTACTTACCATGTTCACCGAGGCATAAACTAGCTGCTTGATGCCCAGCCAAGGCCCATCAATGTAGACCAGATGCGAGGAAGGAGTACAGAGCATGAATAAATACTCAAGGCAAACAGATGTATGGAGTAGAAGATACCTAAGAACTAGGATAGAGATGTACAGAGTAAAAGATCTAAGAACTAGAACTATATGTAGATTTAGCCGATAAGAAAAAAGAATAGACCAAGGAGATAGTTACAGGCAGGTAGGTTGTAGACAGATTGGTATATGCAAGGCGTATTGTGTGCATGCCTACCTAATATACATATCTCAGATACTGTACCTGGGTACATCAGGCATACACAAAATGAAGTAAAGCGTACTACTTCGTAGATAATTGGGCGGCGATGGACCCTTTCACCCCCTGCTCTCATCATAGGCCCAAGTAGCCAACGCAGATCCTCAGACTTCGTTTTTCAAAATGACCAATACTGGCCATCTCTTTTACCACAACTTGTTCTCCTCCTTCGCTTTGGCAGTGCCACTCCGTGCGCGTGCCTTCTTCAATTCCTTCAACTGCTCCTCGCTGATCGGAGGCTTAAAGTACAAACTTGGTCCTTCACCCTCCTTGACCGTGTGGCTCAGATAGCCTCTATTCTTTGCATCTCGGTAATACTCAATATCCTTTCGCGACGTCGGGTCAGGGAGCCTGTACTCATATCCCATGCCGGCCACCCGCTCCTCAAGCGTCTGACCGCCCGCGGCAAGCAGAGCAGGCTTGTTGAGAGCCTCAGGGTCCCAGCGCAGCGACACAAAAGGGTGCATTTCACCCTTTTTGATCCGTCGAATGGCTTGTTCCGTATAGAAGCGGGTCGTCACGCTGCCACCTAGTGCTTCGACGGCTGCGATGGCCGACTGTGACGCCCTGGAAACGACGATGTGGATCGGCGTCTTGAGCTCGCCGGCCCCGTCGGCGAGAAGCTTCACTCCATCTTTCGGCCGGCTGATGAGGCCTGATCGGCAGAGTTCCAAAAATGTAATGGGCCGGCTTGGGTCGAGACGTTTCTGGTCGATCCAGCTTTGGATTTTGTTCAGATTGACCGGTGTCATCTCCGTGGCGTGGCTGATATAGCATGTTAGATAGTACTGGGCGACTTGATTTTGCAAAAGAGACTTACAGATTGACGAAGCCATATTTGCCGTGAACAATATGTTCGGGCGTTTGACCTCCGTTGAAGCCTTCAGGCACTTTGCCATGCTGTTTCTGGCCGTCGGAACCGCGACCTGACTTGCCACCGTGACCTGAAGCTGGACCACGCCCTCGTCGGATGCGTCGGTTGTATGCGCCTGGGCGATCGGAGAGCTCGCTCAAAATCGATGCTTGTCGGGATTGAACGTGGAGGAAGGGGAGGAGGAAGGATGGGATGGAGGTGGACGAATTTGACAAGAATGTGTCAATGCCGGCGCCCGGTACGGCCAGCCGGAATGGGAGTCGTGGTGGCATCGTCAGCGACCAGGTTAGGTATTTTGTACACGTGAACGAAGGTGGTTTGTGAAGCTCGACCAGGACGGGGACGATCCAGAGTCCATGTACAAAAAGTCGCAGGGCTCTTTTTCTGGGAAAAGGGACGCCGCCTTAATATCGCGCGCCCCGACGGACTGCCAGTGGAGCTCGCCGCTTTACGGCCAGTGGAGCGACTCCGACATGAGGTTGGGGGCCCGCCAAGCACGTGTGGCCAATCACCACCTGGAATTTGCGGCCAGAAAGATGAGAGCCTCCTGACAGGCGAGGGCGGCTTCAACTTCCTCCCATCACTCTTCATTCGTACCTTGCATAACTACAGGGTGCAATTATGCGCATGGGATTCGTATAGTTGGGTGGCAGACTTTTATACTCACCCGCATCTCTATTGCCTCTGCTATGTGCCGATAGCGGCTCCCAAACCATCCTCAACATGGGGCCTATCGAGTTGAACAAACGGCGCATCTTCATCTTGTTCGCCGCCATCATTGCTTTTTACATTGTCTTTCACGGGATCAGCCTCTCTGGGGACAGCCTACGCGATGTCTCTGCTTACATTCCTCTCCCTGGGAACCTGCAGCCCACCGAACCCAAACAGCCAACCACTACCGACCCAGATGAGATATGGGATCTAGACCCTCCTCCACCGGCCGCTTCAAAGCCTCCTACCGAGCCCTCTGCGCCAGCTGTTCCATCTTCGGCACCTGTACAGCATTTCGACCTCCACCCGATCGCACAGCTGATGCAAAAGGCCGACGAGCAATGGAGGACTTACGAGACTGGCATCTCGACGTCTTTTAGACAGACTGTGGACAAATACCGAAGTCGTTATGGCAGACACCCTCCGCCGGGATTCAAGGAGTGGTACAAGTTCGCGCGCAATCGGAATGTTTTCAACATCGACGACTTTGATCAGATTATGGATGATCTGAGGCCGTTTTGGGCTGTCAATGCCTCCGAGATCCGAATCAGAGCTGCGCACATGTGGGAAAACGACAAAATGGGTGTTTCGGTCATTCACATACGTGATCACAAGGTCTCTCGCATCGACTTCCCTAGTTGGAGGTCAGAGACCATGGCACAGGTGATCGAGAAATTTATTGAATTCCTTCCCGATATGGACATTGCCATGAATCGCCTGGACCAACCCCGGGTAGTGGTGCCTTGGGAGGACATGCAGAAGATGCTACAGCTGGAGTATGGCACGCGCTCGATGCCTCCCGAAGTTCTGGACAACTTTACCCTGCATCAACCCGATTTACTGGACATGACTATTGAGAACAAGGAAGATGACAAGTCAACAAGGCTTGACGATGGATGGTTTTACGCTCCCGGACAGCAGTACATGAAGATTGCGTCGAAAGCCTGCCCGCCAGAATCTCCGGCACGGTCTAACATATCCATCGCTGCGGCCGATAAACTGTACAAGGAGCCCCTTGCTGGCCTCATCAGCAATTTCAACTTATCCTCTGATCTCTGTACTGTTGGCCCAGCCGTCCAGGACTTGCACGGCATCCTCTATTCGGCTAGCAGTATGATAGCCTCTCATCAACTTGTTCCTATCTTTGGGGAATGCAAGGTCAATGTCAACAGTGACATTCTCTTCCCCGCAAACATGTACTACCGCCACGATGAGCGATATGACTATAATGACAAAGAGGATGTCGATTGGCGAGATAAAGAAGACACCGTCATCTGGCGTGGTGTCACCTCGGGAGGTGTCCAGCTTCAGCAAAACTGGCAGACTATGCATCGACAACGACTGGTACAACTGATGAACGGCACCCACACTTTACAAACGGGAAGGAATGTAAAGGTTCTCACTGAAAAACGAGAAGATCTGGACAAGCAAAACACCACGTATGAAGCCTACGACCACTTCCAGCCTGCACACTTTGCCAATCAACACAGCGATGTTGGTTTTGTTGAGGCCTGGGGATGCGTGCCAAACTGCAGTTTCTACGACACCGTCTTTTCGTGGAAACCACAAGTCTCATTGACATCTCAATTCAAGTCAAAATACTTGATCGACGTAGACGGGCACTCTTTCTCTGGCCGCTGGCACGCTTTTCTACAAAGCAAGAGTCTCGGCTTGAAAGCGACAATCTTCCGTGAATGGCATGACAGTCGGTTACTGGCATGGAGACATTTTGTCCCCGTCGACAACCGCTACGATGATATCTACTCTTTGCTAACGTACTTTGTCGGTTACGGCGAACCCAACATAGAGCATGCTATTGAGAAGAACGATCTGAATCCGGATGTGTACATTTCGCCGCATCCCCAGGAAGCCCAGAAGCTCGCCAGACAGGGCCGCGAGTGGGCAAATAAGGTGCTCCGACGTGAGGATATAGAAGTCTATATGTTCAGACTGCTCCTGGAGTATGGACGGCTCATTGATGACAACAGAGACCACATCGGATACTCGGGAGATGGTAGTGAACTGGACAAATTTGATGCCGGCAACGACAAGGCACCTGGGAGATGGGGATTTGGTGGCTGGAAGGAGTGAGCAGTATTGACGTTGGCTTGCCGATCAAGGCTTTGTCATTATGCTTTACAGCACTGTTCCCATGCCGAGAGCTCATCTACCCCTGCCGCGAGTGCTTGGCTTCCTGAATCTGCTGACTCGGGACGTGTTTTTGCATCTTCGTCGCTGGGCACCTAGCGCGATCGATCCCGAGAAATGGAAGGCAAAGTACTCTGCTGGGTATCTCGGATTCAATCGACCTTGGAGAGCACGTTAAACGACTCAAATAGCCAGCGACGAGCGTGTGCTTCCCCCGTCTCCCCCCCATTGTGGACGGGGTATATATCTCAAGACAGGCAAGCACGCGCACGGGTCCACAACCCTCTGCTTCTGCCTTTGAGGGGTTACCAGTCATCACAGAGCAAGCTTGGCGGCATTTGCATATACGTCCAAACGAGACATTTTGGCATGTCGCATCTCAATAGCGAAGGGGTTTCTGGCGTTTGGTTGTGCAGGAAAATTGTATAGAGTAGACACAGAAGGAAGGGAAGACAGCAGAGTTGTGTAACAAGTCATACATGCCTCAATTTTCCCACCCGGTATTGTCTGTCTAGTTCTTTGGCGGCCTTCGAAAACGTCTCGAACTCTCAAGTGGTTGTTCATTCGCCGGCCGACAGTTACAGTATTGACTTATAGAGTATACAATATTAATTGGTCTTGAGATCATGAACTCATTGATTTGAGCTAATTTTTCATGTCTTTTCCGCTCCACAAGGACAATAAATACCTCGAGAATGAGCGCGTCGGGCAGGGCCAGATCGCGACACATGTACGTATGCTCTTTACTTCTTCATTCGCTTCTTGAGTCTCTTCTCCGCCCGGACATCCTTCTTCAACCGCGCATCGACAATCTTGTACTTGCCCTTGACGCCCCGCGGGCGTCCGGCGATACCTCTGTTCCCGCCCCTCGCGACGACGAGCTTGACCTTCTCCTTCGGGCGGCCCTTCTTGGCGGCGCGGGCCATCATGCGCGCGATGCCCGCGGCCTTGTCCTTCTCGGACATGCCCTCGTCGTCGAGCAGGAGGGCCGACTTCTTGCGCAGCTTCTCCAGGCGTTGCGCGGCCCTCATCTTCTTGCGGCCCTTGGCCTCGAGAACCTTCTTGATGGGCCGGGCGTTGAGGGCCCGGAGCTTCTCCTTGATGGCCGCGGCGGCACTGGCCGTGATGGGCCGTTGCGGCTTGCTGTGCTGGCCCTCGTCGTCGAGGAACCATTCTGGAAGGCCGTCGACGTCGCGGAACGAGTACTTGTTGAAGCTATCGTCGACAAGGTCGGAGGGCTTGGTGCGGCGCGTGGCGAGCGACTGCGCCAATGTCATGGCTTCGGCGGTGATTATGTCGACGTCGAGTTGGCCGTTGGGCAAGAGAGGGTCTTCCGGGCGTTCTGTTTGCGATGTTTTCGACTTTTGTACCGGTACCGAATCAGAGTCGGAGTCGGACCCGTCGTCGTACTGCGGTGGCGTGGGTTTCTGCGTCTTCTTCAGCGCGGATTTGAGTGGTTTATCATCCTGTTCGGAAGCCGACTCCTTCTGTTTCTTCTGTGTTTGAATCCGCTTCGCCTGGTCGGACGACTCGTCTTCAAGTTCAATGGCACTGTCCTTGTCTTCCGCATCCTCTTCGATCCCGAGATCCTGGAAGATGTCTTGATCGAAGAACATGGCCGCCTTTGTTGAGAGACCCTCTGATTTCGGGATTGGTCGCATCGAAGACTCTTCACCGTCTGATTCTCCATCCGTCGTAGCTCCTCCAGCTGCCTCATCGTCAGACAATCCGGCCCACTCGTCAGTCTCCTTTTCTTTCCTGGCTCTCTTGGCTCGTTCTTTGGCATTGCTCTCTTCACGCCTTTCGCGATATGAACTGTACAAGGTATCTAACTCTTCCTCCAGTCTGTCACCATCCTCGTCTGAGTCGTCGTCCTCAGATTCGGCCTCAGACGTCTCGGATTCAAGTGCTTCTGCGTCCTCCATTTCTCTGGTTTCAACACCCGTAGCCTCTTGAGCTCTGTCGGCGGACTTGAGGTTGAACATTGCCCCTTCTCCGAGCGGACCGTTCTGCTCAAGCCCGATATCATGCGGAGTTGTCATGTGCATTTGCATTCGCACAATCTCCTTCTGTCTCCGCTCATTCTCTTTCCGCCGGGCTTTTCGCTTCTCTTTAGAGTCTTGGTCCTTAAGTCGCTGCAATTCTTCTTGGATCTTGAGCTCCTCGTCCATTGACTCGACTTCGGCAACCTCTTCGCCCTCCTGTTGTTCAGCTTGTTGTTGCTTCTTAGCTTTAGTAGACATCCCAAAGATGTCCCGTACTTTTAACCGCCATCGTAAAAGCGTCCTGAACTCTTTCTTGCCTAGAACCTTAAGATCTTCGCAGCACCTCCTGACCTCAGCTGTAGTTTCTGGGAGCCTGTCCAGGGTCACCATGGCAAGATCTCCGTTGGGACTCTGATCGAAACTCAGCCTGTTGACCGATCCGAGTATGGCGATAGGATCTGTGGTGTGAATGAAATCTGTGACTGGGACTTCTTTATGTTGCGTCCAATCACCCTCTTCGTAACCTTCTCTCTTCCTCTTTTTCTTCTCCGGGTTGAACACTTTAGCTTCGTTGTTTGGCGTGGCCTCCTGGACTTCGGCAAAGACGTGCTTGGGGTCCAAGAACTTTGGATCTATCCGCTTTGGAGCCTTGAAGCCTCTGCAGACAACGAAAATCTCGGCAGAAACATTTCGTGATGATGGCGGCTTTGTAGCCTCGACCGACGTAAACAGTTGCTTAAACACCCACAACAGTGCATTGTAGTCTTTGGATCGGAAAACTTTGGTGACGAATGTTCCGCCTTCTTTCAAGAACTCGGTTGCCAACTTCATTGATTGTAAAGCCAGTTCGGCCTGTGAGAATGCATCTTGCACCCAAGCCACACCCACATTGGGGGCGCCGTCGTGTAAAACTGTGTCTGCTTTCAAGTGTTTAAAGTGTCCTCGAATGGTTGCTCGACATTTGTCGGTCGTGATGTCGCTCTGAAAACTGATGACTCTCGGAATGGGTTTTATAGGTGCCAAATCCACACCAACAATCAAACTCTGCGCGGGCATCGTCTCGGCTGCGACCTGACACCATGATCCTGGGGCGGCGCAAAGATCCAACAGCACTCTGCTCTTCTCAAGAAACCCATATTTCTTGTTCAACTGGATCAGTTTGAAGGCGGCACGGGCTCGATACCCTTTCTCTTTGGCTAGTTTATACCATTTATCTGCCGATAGTCAGTTGGCTGGCAAGAATGATGTGTAGCGCAACACTTACCGAGACGGCCCTTGCCGTGCTTCTTTTGGATCGCCATGGTGAATGGACAGATCAAAACACAGAACCAAGTGTTCGATCAAGTCCTGCACCAAACAGCTCGAGGGCTTCCTCAATTCAATTGCCGTAACTGCGGATGGGCTGGTTGACACCGCAGTCAGAAAATTGTGCCGCCGGACAAAAATGTTCGAGACCGCCGAAGTTCTCCCGGGGGTCAAACCAACGGAGCATCAAAGCACGTGATCCGCGCACGTGACAGCCTTGCTTAGGTAATGTCAGGCACGAGTCCTCCGTATAGACACCGCTTTCACCGGCATCAGAGCAAGCACCTTGCAGAACCAAATACAACGGAACGGCGCGTGGCGCGTAACGCGCGCCATGAGTGAATTCTCGCATCGTCGCAAAATCTTTTGAACTGTCCAACATGATTCTTACGCCCTGTGTCTAACCGTGCCCAGCTTGCAATCGTTGATGGTTGTGCTGGCACTCGCATATCTGATCAAGACCCCACTTCTCATTGTCATATGCCTTGTGTAACGTCTCACAAAATCAGGCAAGGAAGAGAAAGTCCAGGAATGTCAAAGCCAGAAAATCTGACTTTGAACTACACCGCGCGTCCATTTAGGTCTCAACATTTGTTGGTCTGCTTGTGCGACCGCCGCCCAATATGGACTTGTACATCTCAAATCTTGATGCGAGGCTCACCAAGGAAAAGTTGAGAGAGTCGCTCGCCCATCTCCTAGCCCGGTTCGACATGGATGTGTTCGAAGTTCGAAAGGCTGTCGGCAGACCGTTCGCTACGCTGACAATATTAGATGCCTCCAAAGGTAACAGTCTACTTGCTCAGGCTCAGGTGACTCCAAACCTTCTCCTGTCTCCCTCCGGCCGTGCTGCAGCATTTTCAGTCAGCAGAAAACCGATCGATCAACACTGGTTGCGGGTCCTTCGCAAAGAAGAAAAAGATCGTCAGAGCTCTGAGGCATGGCAAAAATTTGCGAATATCGGTGAGAAAAGTAAGGCACTTGAGCCAAGGTCAAGCCTGGAGATTACGACTCTACAGTGTGGACGATTTGAAACAAGAAGTCAAAGACCTGTATTCACACCTTATTTCACTTGCAACATACAGGGAAGATTGACAAGAACTGGACGAGCATTGGTGATATCCTTAGACTCCTTATCCGGAAAGTCGTATGATCTGGTCATAGACCTGTCGTCCATCCTAGCATTGGCTGGCACAGGCTCTGGCACGTCAAGTACTCTGATGGTCACTCTTGGCCTCTCACCGAGGCTTTACGAGGATATGACACGTGCCGCTGAGGGTCCCCTTTTGGAGGCTTTTGGTGCGATGGCTCTAGGAGTCCCTGCGATCAGAAGATTTCGTGACAGCACATTACCAGGGTTGAGTGCTGCAGTCATCGGTAGTTGTTTGACTTACAGCATCCGGTTGTCGACCAGTCTGAAGGATTTGGAGCATCGAATCAAGTCGATGGTGTTTCAAACAATCCCCATAACGATACGACCTGCCAAGTATCCCGCCCTACCTGCCGTCCAATTCTCAGAGCAGATAGACAGCTTAAAGACTCGGGTTTCTAAAATGGGGTTCTCCTTTGCCTGCATGTTCCAAATCCATGCACTATGGACGAATGGTTTGTTGGCTCCGGCTGAGGTCACCTATCTTCTTCCAGCCATGAATGTCTTTCGAAATCGATCGGGCGAAGCTGCGCTGATAACAGCTCTACGAAAATATCAGGTGCAACTCCCTCAGCCTGATGCTTCCACCGATTGCAAGACTGCCGGCGTCAGACGCATACGGGACAACCTAACTTCAGCCGACCTCAACTCATTCGAGAAGGACAGTCTGTACACCTCTAACCGCGACGAGGTCTCGATCCATCGTGTTACAGTTACTCCTACAGGCGCCTATCTCTATGGACCAGAGCTAGTTGCGACTAACCGAGTATTACGGCAATACCGTGCGCATGCTGACTGCTTCCTGAGGGTCATTTTCTCCGATGAAAATGGAGAACGGCTTGAGTTTGAGCGGGACACCTCTAATGAGCGTATTCTGCAGGGTCGATTTCTGTCGCTCTTACGGAGAGGTCTGGACATTGCTGGGACCCACTTCGACTTCCTCGGATTTTCACATTCGTCGCTGAGGTCTCAAAGTTGCTGGTTCATGCGACCCTTCATTCATGAAGGTTCATTATTGTTCGCCAAAGAACTCATCAGCAAGTTGGGAGACTTCAGTGAAATCAGGTCTCCAGCCAAGTGCGCAGCGCGTATCGGACAAGCTTTTTCGGAGACCTCATCTGCAGTACGTGTGAACGAACGGATCGTCCAGGTTGATCCCGACATTAAAAATGGGGACTACATCTTTACAGATGGTTGCGGCACCATGTCCAAATCGACGTGGAAGCTTTTGAGGGGGAATAGTCGACTGAAAGACCAGCCTACGTCTTACCAAATTCGATACAAAGGTAAGCGGATTGTTGCTGAGAGAGTCCTACTAACAATTGGTAGGAGCTAAAGGGATGCTCACAGTCGACAGCCGTCTTGATGGTGAACAAATCCGACTTCGAGAGTCCATGGTCAAATTCCGCGGTAGCCCTTCTGACGAGCTTGAGATCTGTGGCACCAATGCAAGAGCATTACCTTTCAAGCTGAACCGTCAGATTGTTAAAATTCTAGAGGATCTTGGGGTACGTGATGAGGTCTTCGAGAAACTTCAGGAACAAGCTATAGAGCGGCTGCGATTGAGTGCATCTTCCAGATCTGTCGCTTTGGATTTCGTCAGTCAACAACTCTCGGACAGTGCGAGTGGTTTGCCCACACTTCTCCGATACCTAGCGCGCATCGGGGTTGATGCGACAGAGGATGACTTTCTACGAGAGATCCTAGGAGCACTGCTGCAAATTCAATTGCGGGAGATCAAGTACCGAACCCGAATCCTCGTCCCCATGGCAAACACACTTTACGGTATTAGCGACGAGACTGGTTGGCTCAAGGAAGGGGAGGTCTTTGTAACATTCATCGACGAAAAGACCAAGGATCATTGCTGTCTCAATGGATCTGTGGCCGTCACACGGTCACCTGCTCTGCATCCTGGTGATGTGCAAGTCGTCCAAGCAAAGGCACCTCCAAAGGACTCTTCACTATGGGATTTGCGCAATTGCATTGCCTTCAGCCAGCATGGTCGTCGCGATTTGCCCAGCATGCTGAGCGGAGGCGATCTCGATGGCGACCTGTTCAATATTATCTACGATGAGGAGCTTATCCCACCAAACACTTACAGCCCGGCGGCGTATCTCCCTGTGAAGCCGGTCGACATCGGTCGAGCTGTCACGGCAGAAGATATGCAAGGCTTCTTTGTGGATTTCATGCAGAATGACCAACTGGGGCGAATTGCAAATCTCCATCAAGTCTTTGCTGATATCGACGGCACATTTTCATCCGAATGCATTCGACTCGCAGAATTACATTCGAGCGCGGTTGACTTTTCGAAAAGTGGTGTTCCTGTGGACATCAAGCAGATCCCAAGAGCCCCACCTTACCGCCCAGATTTCATGGCTCCCAGTGCCAGCACAAAAGTTGAGAAAGGCATCAAAAGACCCAAAGACCTTGCTCCACCCAAAAAGGGTCAGACATATCGGTACTACGAGTCCGAGAAGATTTTGGGACGGCTGTACAGAGCTGTTGATGAGGATGCATTCTTCGACGACCTCGAAGATGATACTTCGTCCCTCTTTAGCAAGACAGCGACCGACAACGTCCTGGCCGAGATCCTTGACTGGGTTCTCTTGCAGATCGGCTCCTCGCGGATTCGGGGGTATCATAACACGGCTGAGAATATCAAAGAGCAGTAAGTCTTTTTGCAACTTTGTATACACGTTTCAACTAACAAGCATAGCTACGAGTCCACTGTCCTTGAGATAATGTCGGTCTACGCTGTCGGTCGTACAGAACAGCTTACTGAGAAGGAGGTCCTTATCGGTTCAATCTTGGGTCGCTCAGGTGCAAGTAGCAAAAGCCAACGAGAACAATCCGACTACATGAAACGGCGTTTCAACAGCGAGCTTCGAAACCTGCGGTCTTTCATGGAACGGCAGACTGACGACGATCCCGACGAGTTTGTCACTCTCGCTGCTGCATGTCTCGATGTTGCTGTCAATGGATCGAAGGACCCAAATGTCAATCTCCGCAGCTTTGGATGGTTTGCTGCGGGACTGTGTGTTCCCGAGATCGTCAAAGAACAAGATGGAAGTGTTTACGATCTTGAGACTCACTTTTGAATGAAGATGTATGATATCCCGGCACCTGAGGAATACCTAGAGTTGAGATGACTGGTGGAATTCTTGCAGACAGTCTAATGCCGCGGTTTTGACATGGTCAGAATGGTACGGGGAACGAAGTGCGATTGCAACAATGCAAAGCTTGACAACCGCATATGACATTAGGTGATGTTGTGAGTGTCAAGTCAAGCTGAGATTCAAGCCGTATTCGGCCATTTGTGCTTATCAACCCCTTTTCGAATTTTCGATTATTGGGAAAAGAGAATGAAAAAGACTGTCGGATTTGGAGGTGACTTGAGCCAAATGCCGCCCTGAATTTCTCCCGATCGTCCATGTTGAGACAGCGTTCGAGGATGGGAAACAGAACTAGCAAAGAGAGACGTAATTCGTAATTCATGATTCTAGCCTGTCGACATCTGGTCTTCAAGTCTGATTCTGAGCAACACGGTCCTCTATACGTTCGTCTTGTAGCATGTGCAGAATGATCCAACCAATCCGCCAAAGACGAACCAGAGAGGCACTTCCTGTAATTCCTTCGGCCACGCGTTGGTGGTATCATTCTCGACGTCGAGGCCGGTCCAGTCTAGATCCTCGGCAGATGAGAAACCGACGATTTGTGGTGAAGAGAATGAGACAGGACAGCCCAAGGCAACGGGGGCCTCGAGTATGGCGCGGGACAAGGCTTCGCAAAAAAAAGGGGCGGGGGCTTCAAGGCGGAGCTTCTGTGAATTGACCAGTCAAACTTGTTCACGGAGGTGTCTGGACGAGGATTCGTCGACCGCAACGGTAGTGTTGTACTCCGTACCACGGACGACGTTTGCGGTATTCTAGTTACTGTTCGCCCAGTGACACGTTCCAAGCGAGTTGACCAAGGATGTACAAAAAGCGCCGGCTTAGTCCGTGCAATTTTCCAGAATTGCCTTCTATAGGTACATACTTTACAGGGCGTCTGTATAAACAGGTCTCAGCTCCGAGGGATGAGAACCTCCCAGTTTCAACAGCAGCGAGACGAGCGCTTCCTTCTCAATCACAACCCGGCCGGTCTCCAGCAGATCCTTCACGTCGACATCTTCGGTGTCTTTGAGAACGCCCTGTTCGCCAATCTGCTCCATCTCGTCGAAGATCCTCGGCTCCTGCTCCTGGCGCGTCGCAGTGACCAGGAGACTTCTTCCGTGAGCTTTGCCCCAATGATTCGCTTCAAACAGATTGTTCAACCAGCGCGCTCCAACGTCCTCCGAAGGCAGTTTGATCTCGTCGTTCAGAATCACGAGTTCACCCTTTCGATGACGGTAGCTCAGAGCAATCCGGAAGGCCTGCGCGTACACCTTGCGTTGCAGCTCTGTAGAAAAGTCTCTCGGGTGCGGACCGAATGCGACACCTCCGCCTCTTCTGATGGGTGACTTCTTGTCACGTACACGAGCCCTGCCGGTGCCTTTCTGCTGGTACAGCTTGCGGTTGCTGCCGTGCACGTCGAATCGCCATTTGGTGCTGGCGGTCCCTTGGCGCGATGCGTCGGCTTCGTATACGACGGCTCGGTGGAGGATATCTCGGCGCATCGGCGCATCGAGAAGCTGGGGTCGATACCATCCAAAGCGCTTGGGCTCAAGGGTCGGCCAAGAATATATGGTTTTGATGATGGGGCTCTCGAGGGTGTAGACAGGTGATGATGAGGAAGCAGAGGTATTTGAGAAGCCGGTTCCGGTGGGTAGTTCTTTAGCAAGGTCGGCCACAGGCATATCCGCTTGAGAAGCAAAGATGCGGGTTAATCGAGGCGCAAGACATTGCTGGAGCTGGTCAGTTGAAGCAAAGACAAAAATCTTTCCAAGGAGTGCACACCGTCAACGGGTCGGAAATATTGAGCCTTTTGAAGCCCCTCGAAAGACTGAGGAGATTATGAGACGCAGTAGTATGCGCCATCTCTTCTTTCCGGTGACAGTGCCACCGTTGAATGCTGAACACTGCACCTTGAAAGGAAGATATGTATATGTACGTATCCAAAGAACCGCAGCAGCGGGAAGCCGCAACTACAATTGTCCGAGATGCCAAGCACCGTTAGTCGATGAGACTACGGCGGAGCATTAGACCCACGAAGGACGTCCGTCTTGAACCCAAGCTACTGTACATTACTAGTCCAGATTCGGCGATACGAGCCTCTTTGAGGAAAGCGACATATCCGCATCGCAGACGGAGTACTCGTTCTCCAGAAGACAAACCTCAAAAGATTATCCAAGCACCACACTAACCACGGCTCGTACTTGGATCTGTTTCATTGAGCCTTTCGAGCCTGCTGGAAGAAAATCGTCTCCATGTCATTCGAACCTAAAGCCCCATCGTCTGCATTGCCCCAACTGACGGTAAGGCATTTGAGAGCGTGTCGACTGCCATCGCGATGTTAAATCCGACGGATATTGCGGTTGCCAGATGGGCTACACCTGGTAAGAGATGCGGCACACATTCGAATATGGGACAAGAAGAGGTATAAAAGAGTCACTGATTCGGCACCCGTCTCTAGCACAAGGGATCGTTCAAGAGCTTCTGATACAACAGACAGGCTCGTGGCCTCGCAACTCACTCTCTTAGTACTCGTTGAACACTTGGCTTTGTTCTTTGACCAGTTCGTACTGCCCCTGCTTAAGCAATCATGGCCCCTACCAACCGCGCCGCATTCATCCCCTCCAAACAGTCACATCCAATGCAAGTCGGCTCGGCTCCGTACTCGTCACCAGGCGAGAACGAGATCACCATCCGCACCCGTGCCGTGGCCATCAATCCAGCGGACCATCTTCTCCAGAAACTTGGCATCCTCATAACCAAGTACCCTGCAATCCTCGGCTGCGATGCTGCGGGCGACGTTGTCGAAGTCCATCCCAGTCTCAGTTCAAGATTCTCGACCGGCGACCGTGTGTACGGCGCCACCGCTCCCCTGCAAAACAAAGACGGCCTCTACGCTTACTCTGGTTTCCAGGAGTATGTCGTCATGAAAATGCCGTCCATCGCACATATCCCCGCACGTCTTGATTACAAAGACGCAGTGGTCCTTCCTCTCGGCGTGTGGACAGCCGCAAGCTGCATCTTTGACGAGAATATTTTGGGCCTGGCAATGCCCTCCGCGGGGCGCGAGGCGGGCAAGGGCAAGACCCTGATTGTGTGGGGTGCGAGTAGCAGCGTCGGAAGTTGTGGTGTCCAGATGGCCGCGCTGGCAGGTTATGATGTGGTTGCCGTTGCGAGCGCGAAGAATCACGACATGGTCAAGAGCCTGGGAGCAAAAATGGCTTTCGATCACAACGATGCCACGGTTGTTGATGACATTGTCACATTCTTGAAAGGAAAGGATGTGGTAGGCGCTTACGATGCGATTTCCAAAAAGGCAACGCTGGACAGAGTGTGCGAGATCTTGGACCGGTGCGACGCAACGAAGAAGGTAGTTGCCTCTGTGAGACCTGGTGCTGAACAGGATGCAACTCGCGGCGTCAAAGTGACGACCAATTTTGCGTCTGGTAAGGCGGAAATAGGCTCGGCCATCTGGCCGTGGTTGGAAAGGGCACTCGAGGCGGGCGACATGAAGTGCATGCCGCAGCCAGAAGTGGTCGGTCATGGATTGGAAGCCGTGCAAACAGCAGTTGACTTGATGGGCCAAGGTGTCAGCGCAAAGAAACTGGTACTGACAATGTAGGCATACAAGGACGCTCATAGCCTCAGCATGATAGCATTGTAGTCCCGATGAAATTGCCACTTGGATGTCCTTCGCGTATTGCGCCGGCGGCCGAGTAACATGGATACTGGACTATGCTCCCCAACAATTGATACATAAACAAGAAATGGTGTTGATACATTGTTTGAGTGGTATACGGGACTTCTCGTGCTGGTCGGCAACCTACAGCCTCGGGTATTATGATAGTACAATTTTCATAGGCACACGTACCTTGGGCCTAGAGCCGTCCCAGCTTCCACCTGGCTATCCGAGATTGTACATCTTCCCACGGTATTTGCTTGATCTTCCTGCCACTGGGATCTTCCCCCTCTTGAATGACCACGGTTGGAGCACCAGTGCCATGGCCCTTGTTGTCTACCTTTCCCGTAAAGATCTGCCTTGCAACCCGCCTCAGATCAGCGACGGTAAGAGCGTCGATCTTGTCACACATCTCCTTGACCCCGACTTTGCGGCCGTGGGTCTGAACCTGCCTACCTAGATCCTCCAACTCCACCAGACGGGATTCAAGGTTCATGAGGAGGCTGAACCGTAGTTGATTCTTCGCTCGATTGACTTCGGCCGCCTGCAGACTAGGGAACCCGGAATCGAGAGTGAGCGCCTGCAATTCGCGGCACATGACATCGACCATATGCCCAACACGTCCAGGTTCACATGCTGCAGCAATGCCAAAAAGACCACTGTCGGTGTAGCTGTGATTGAAGGCCATACAACTCTCCACCCATCCATGTTGATTGAGCACGTTGGTATATAATCGTGAGTACATTCCTTTGCCCGGTCCGCCAGCCGAGAAAGACCCGCCTCCTCCAAGCAGGGTCTGCAACGTGGCTTGCGCGTAGATATCACCCGACGAGATCGGCAAGGCTTCGAAAGCGATATGGACATGTGATAGCGGTATGGACAGATTGTTTTGAGGAACTGGAAGCGTAGGCAAGGCTAGATAGCCTCCTGTATAGTGAGAGGGCTGGGAAAGGAGTGAAGTTGGGTCGGGCTGAATTAGTGAAGGATCTAAAGGCGAGACGGTCGCTTGATGTGGAGCTGAAGTTGAAAAATTGCTAAACCCAGGGAGTTTTGAGAGGAATTTGTTCGTTGGTGATTGCTGGGAGTTCTGGTACGGCGGACTGGACGCTGGTGCATCAATCGAGGCTGATTCGAGTGACGATTGGGTCGTCGGAGTCTCTGTCCGGGCCATATCTCCAAAGTATTGTTCTGTCAACTTGACGGCCAAGTCGTGTTCAATGCCCGCAAATGCAACGACTATCCGCTCCGGCCTGTAAAATTTGTTTCGGTATTTCATGATCAGATCTCGATTAATGTAGCCTAATCTTTCTTGCGGACATAGCAGAGGATTGCCGAGCGTGTTGTCTTTGTAGGCAGCCATATGCATCAGCTCCGGAATAATCAAGTCTGGTTTAGACCATATTTCTTGTATCTCATACTGGGCAGTGTCAAGTTGCTGTGCCACTTCTTCGTCGGTGATGAGAGGGTCTCGAATGGTATCGGCGAGAAGCGCAATCGTGTCAGGGACGGCGGAGTTGAATGTTGCAGATTGATACATCAAAGCTTCTCTCGAAGACGCACACTGAATGTTCCCTCCTAGTGACTCGAGGCTCTCAAGCATTTGATCCGATGATCGTGTCTTTGTGGACTTGAAGGCTAACCGATCCACGATGTGGCTGACTCCGCGCAGTGACTCGTCTTCATATCTCGACCCTGCATCAACATACACTCCCACTCCCGCGAAAGGTCCCGGTAACGATTCGGTCGCGACTCGGACTCCATTTGGTAATTCTGTGATCTGGTCCAGCTCGACAGGATCCTGATGATAGGAAATAGTCAGAAGAATGATCACACGATATCGTCACTCGCAAGAACTTACCTTGTGCAGAGGATCCCGGACCGTGGCATAGTTTCGAAGGAGTGGCCTCGTCTGCCTGGAATTTAATCTCGCATTGCGCAGCGCTCTGACAGCAGCGGACCGCATGCTGACGGATGGCGGATGACTGAATATAGAATATAACAAGGAAGTGTGTTGAAGACTGCTTGTTGCAAGAAAAAGCTGCGAGGCTCGGCAATATCGCGTGTGGAGCCCCGGCGATAGGCGGTTGCGGCCAATACCCAACCATTGCCACCAGTACGAGTACAAGGTCAAGTGCTCGGTGGCTCGGTGGCTCTGGACAAGTACTCGTAGAAGGCATCTGGAGGAGACTATGCCGCCGACTCCCTCGAAATGAGTACCTGTAGTGCTCAGGTAGTCATGGCCGCGCTCAAAGATTCACCTCTATGGTACGAGTAATGGCTAGTTCTTCAGTGATACATCTAACAGGCTTGAGCAAGGCCGGCAGCGCCTAATGGAACCTCGAACACCCATCTTTGGCTCCTCCGGGTAGCCATTAGGCGGCTGCGGCCAGAGGGCTTTAACTATCAGACCCCTATAAAGAACACACTTTCTACACCCTAAGGTACACACCTAGGTACCTAGCTATAGGCTATTGGAACCCTGAAATGCCCTTCTATTCACCCGAATAGCTTTATCAGCCAGTAAAGATATAGGTATCTACGCAATGGCCTCCTGGGATGAACCCACCAGCGACCAAAAGTATGGGGAAAGCCGTGGGACTCGTTCCTTTCGACGCCTATGATGTCGATGGCTGGAGAGCTACAAGTAGTCGATGCTGTGATGAATGCGAAGTACCGATCAGGGCATAGGATTGACGAAATGGCTACTAGGCTGGCTGGTGGTAAATAGGCAAATAGCTGGTACCTGTCCATCCTCCTCGTCGACGGTTCTCCCCCTTCTCTTTCGTCCTGAACTTTTGATTTTCTTTGTCTCTTGTTGCCCGTGCCAGAGAACACCAACCATCGTTAACACCTCCCTACCTAAGCTACCCAGTAATTATTAGCGCCCTCCTCCAGGTACGAGGACTTCGTCTTGGGTACCCTTGCGCCCTGGTCCAGGGTACATCGCTGTTACCGGGTTGCACCTAAGAGTCTACAAGCCTCTACGAGCCTGCTGAGCCTCAAGTCCAAACCTGAATCTTCCCTCTTCGCCTGCGGCGTTGAGAACTCTGCACGCCTACATACCTCTGGATGTGCAGCTGACCCTTAAGGCGACACCTCGTACAATATTAGAGTCGAACCCCGGCTTGGGGCTACCAGGAAGGGGGCCAGAACCCTGCACTCGAAGACCAAATCCCTGGGCAAAAACACTCCCCTCGCAAACCGGGCACTTCGACATCCCCGTCGCTGCGACACTTTGGCCATCGACTGCTGCGCTGCCTGACCCTCCATAATCGTTGCGAAGAACCAAACACCTCTCCATATCTTCCTTCCTCTCCACATTCAACGTCATTCCCATGATCTCGTCGCCTACGCCTGTCACCTCTGGTGCCACAGCAGGTGCAGCTGTTGATCTCACAAGAACCTCTTCCAGACGTCGTGGCCTGAGTTATCTTCGCGCTTTGTCACATAGCCGCTCGGGTCAGACTAGCCCCAACGAACCCTCTCGTTCTCCGAGACACTACTTCCAACGCTCCTTGAGTTACAACGAAAATCGGCCAGACGCTTCTGTCACTGGCAGAAGGAGAAGTGCCTCGCGTCCAAACGAGCCGACGAGCCCTCTTGCGACCGATCCTCCCCAGGTTCCTCCCCAGCAAGATACTTTGAGACCCTCTTCACCCTCCAGAACGCAAGCCATACCAGTTCGACCCGCCCCTTCTCCAGCTGTGCCGGTTTCCATCCAAGGGAGTAGTACCGAAGACATGGCCAGACACAGAACCTCGACCGGTCGCCGACATACGAGCAGTCACCCAGCGGACGCTCCCCTGGCTGATGGAGCAGCCTCGAGGCCTCCGAATGCAAGGACGGTTTCGAAACCGAAAGAAGGACAAGAAGGAGACTCAAAACCACATCTCCCTGCTATACGGTTTTTCCCGCACCAGGAAGTGAGAAATGGCCGGCCGTCTCTCACCTTCGCTCCTATTTCCCGTACCCTACCCAGCGAATCTTCCATCATTCGCGTCGGAAGATATTCTGAACGTGAAGGCATTCCCTCTGCAAACCCTACGGGCCCTTCGGATGCTCCTGTAGGCTTCAAGTCGAAAGTGGTTAGTAGAAAGCATTGCGAATTCAGTTTTGTGGATGGGCAATGGCAGATCAGAGATGTGGCCAGCTCATCAGGAACCTTCTTAAATCATATCAGACTGAGTCAACCAAACACCGAGTCACGTTTGTTCCCGATCAAAGATGGAGATATTGTTCAGCTGGGTATCGACTTCCGTGGCGGGGAAGAAATGATCTTTCGGTGTGTCAAGATTAGGATTGAATGCAACAGAGCGTGGCAGAAGAAACCCAACAACTTCAAGTGCGTGCTGTCCTCAATGGGCGTCTCCATCTATGCTGACCAAAATTCTAGTAAAACCAGACACCAACAGCTCCAAAGCCTTGCCAGAGACCAGCCATCCGCAGATTCAAATAGTGGCGAATGCTCAATTTGTCTGGGCTCTGTACTGGTATGTTCTATGTGACTCCCGCGACAGGATTACACTGACATATCCCTAGCCATGTCAAGCATTGTTCGTCGCTCCATGTGCACATGTTTGGCACTATAAGTGCATCAGGCCATTGCTAGAGGGGAAAAACAGCACCTACCCTCAATTCCAGTGTCCTAACTGTCGCGCCTATTTCGACCTCACAGCCGACGTTGACATCGCCCAATCAGACATTGACGAATGGATGGGAAACACCGATGAGCAAGAAGATGCGGCTAGCAACGCTAATGTTGCCGCTGCCAATGATGCGAATGGTTCTGCTGCTCAAATTACACATGATGGAGAAGCTACCGACTCAAGTGCTACTCGCGAGACTCCAGATACTTCGGAAGACTCTGGTGAGCACCCAACTGTGACTGTATCCGATCCCATCGATATCCCGAATACTTCGGGCGCGGCTGCAACGCCTCGTATGTCAGGCTTGTTGGCGAGAAGACAGGCTTCGAATCCAGAATCTCCAGAACTAACCACTATGAATGGCAATATCGACATGCCAGACCGACCAGATGAAGACGAGATGGACACAGGCCTTGATCATCAGCGAACAAGAACACAAACCCCAGACCCTGAACATGTGATCTCCGGCGAGGGTCCACTCACCCCTAGAAATGACGCCGGACCGTTTGTGTTTGACGGGAGCGCAGGAAGATCAGATGCGAGAGAACTGGTTGTCCCTGGAATTCCCGAAATAACTGGAGGATCTCCGGCTCGATGAAAGGATCGTTTCGTGGTATATTCCTGTGTACAGGAAAACGGTTCGGATTGGCATGGCATGGATGGGTTTGGTGCCGAAGAAATTGCAAATAGGCGACTATCTCTATTTCTGGGGGGCGCCATTCTGACAAAAGCACAAAGTTTCAGCGTCTACGGCAGCATTATTCGGCATTGTGAATTTGGCATTTCATTGTGAGCGGCTCGATTTCAGCAGCTTTTAGGTACAGAGCGTCTTTCAGCGTTTAGTATGATGAGAATCATGAACATGAACCATTTGCCTGTGTCTTTGTATCACCTTAGTTGGTCACTGAAAATCAGGCATGGCTCGTGGGCTGCGTCGGCTTGGGTACGATGATCGCCTGGTTAGGTTACCGGCATCTTCCTGGATCCCCGTTGAGACTCTTACAAGCTCCATGGCCGTCTGCTTGAATAGAGCACTCCTTGAGTGAGGTGGATTCTCGTACGAGACTGCGCATGTTGTGACACCTCTTTCAGAATGGCCCACTTGAGTACCATGTTCGGCATCATCGGAATCGGCCCGTACCAGGACTCAGGAGTGATTGTCGCCTCTACATCAAGCCAAGCTGTGGCAGATGGTGTAGGCGTGTGAACCTCCACGACGTAACAGAGAATTTGTGCACTGGGTGTTTCTCGCTGGGGACAGAGATCGAGGTGACCTGGACTGGCCTGGACAAGGGAAGATGGGTAGATCCAGCTCAGCCAACTCCTATCCTGGCTCTGATATACTACACGTACACAGAGACACAAACTCCCTCCCTCCCTCCCTCCCCCTCTCTCTCTCTCTTTTACTCCCTCTATGACTCGTTGTCTAGCCACATCTTTTACCATCTCTCTAACCCACCCGGCGGTTGGTGGCCGTCTGCTATCCTATCCAACCATCTCTCGTACCTTCTCAACGCCCCTTCCTCGTCTGGCGTCATATCCAACCATCCCTCGTACCATGTCCGCGCCTCTTCACGCGGCGCCCTCTTATCTTGCAACTGCTTTCAATGACAGCCATGAGCCGGGATTTTCCAGATGGCTCTTGATTTCGTGACGCAACATGCGCAGGTAAAAGGCGAAGCGGGTGACGGTTATGCTCCTTTTTCGAATGTGTCATCGCATACCGGCACTACTTCGTGGTTGGCTTTTGCACCACCGTTGGATTTGCAGTTGGGTGTCGGAGGCTAAGTCGGAGTGAGCAAGTTTGTCGGGATAGAGTATTGAGCGGCCCAGTATGCTGTACATGGAAGGAAAATAAATTAGTAGATGCTCCTTTCTTGACGAAGTTCTCAAATTTTCAGAGAGTATAGAAGAGGAGAAGGAGAAGGAGAAAGAGAGAAGGGAAGGGAAACAAAAGAGAGGATCCAAGTCAAGACACGTACCGAGTTGAAGAGAGATAATCGCTTTACGGCTCTCTGCAGTACCGTTCCATTCCTGTGGAGTTGGGCGTGTGACGCTCTCGGCCGGGCATTCTGGCGTTTCGAACGATTCAGGAAATATTATCTGCGCCATCGTCCGAGATGACTGTTGATGAATATTCGACTAGAACCAGTTCATATCCAAGGAGCAGAGGGGACTCGATGATGATGAGGGCATTGGAGAATTGCATCGAGAATGCTGCACCCTATGTTGATTCAAATACCATTCACGCATTTGCGAAAAAGGTAAATCAAGTAGGACATTCAACGGTGTCCAGAACGTTCTGGATGACCTTGTCAGGATCAAGGTCTTCAACCAAATACTGTGCGGTCGCCAGGTCAGTACCATATAGAGTACTGCGTTCGCGGCTGGGGGTGGCTATGATGAGTCGATGTGGGTATACTTTCCTCGCCGCCAAAGCAATCAGCGAAGGGGTGACATAGTCTATCCCATGCAAAGGTGCGAGGTACCTCAACATCTAATCAGTGATCAACTTTGCACTTTATACTTAGGGGCTTACTTTGACAGAGCGAGAAACAGCGTCGTCGCATATGGGGTAACACCTCCATCGACGCCCCTCTCTATCCGCAGGAAAGCGACCAAGTCCTGCAGATATCTTCGTATTTCAGGAGTGATGATTGCCGCCTCGCCCTCGGCACGAAGCTGTTCAATTAACTAAAGACGATCAGCGTTTAGCATGTGGAACAACAACAACATAATATGTACCCTTGGGCCTATTTGACGAGACGCAAGATGCTGCCCACGTCTCAGACGTAAAGACCTGGAGTCTGAATAGGTGGAGGGGTTATCTTGGTCATCATCGGCTCCGTCGATTTCTTGCAGATTCGGAAATCCATCTTCTGGGTCATGGTGGTGTGAAATGAAGATCCGATCGTTCTGGACAGGGATCAGAAGACATACAACTTCAAAAAAGGGGCGCTATCATACGAGGTGACCATTCAGTTCGACGTGCCTGGTATCCGTGGTCACAATTGGGAGCAGCAAGAACACCTTGGGAGCAGTATGGACTGTTGTTCTGCTGAATATCCTCTTCCTGAGGATCAGCTGGCATTTTGTTAGGGTGATGTAAATCCTGGACGACTTCAACTGACCTCCAGAGCTTGGATTTGGACATCTTCGTGGGCGAGGTTGAAGTCTTTTGCAATCACCACATTGACAACCTGCCTGGTGTCCAGTGTCGTCTGGTCATGTTGAGCTGAAGTAAGTCCCCGAAAACTAACTTCAGCGACCTTAGACCGAAGATCAGATTCCTACAGAGCGATTGTCAACGAGCGGCAGAGCAGACAGAAGAGAACAAGCCTTACTCCCCCAAAGTCATCGTCAGACTGATCCAGGGTTTCACGATCCACCTTGCTATTATCCAATATGGCTGCTACAAACTCGTCGATGGATTGGAGGTCATGCTTATTGATGATTATGTACGATAGATTGAAGATATTGCAAACAATCTGAAGATTATTAGGTTGGAGCTCGTAGTGCAAGATTGCTAACATACCAGGGCCAGTTCTGAGGCAACATCGTCTTGGAACTCCCCAGGTGTTTGAATAAGACAATGTTGTTGCGCGATAAGGCTGAGCAGGACAGCTAACTCCAGATCGGTCAGGTTGTTGACATGGTCAAGAAAGACTTGACGATCCATCATCGCCCGGGTGTCGGTTTTCCAGGCTTGATGGTTTTCGTTTGTTGTTCTGCAAAACCAAGATACTTCATGATACAAGAGTCAGTCTTACATCAGAGTCCCTTCCACTGCATTTCTGTGCTGTCCAGGTTGTCAATGGGTGAGTGCAAGTGAGTCGCGAAGTAGCTGGACGGCGATTGTCTTGCTTCGGCGTCGTATAGTGCCAAGGCGTCTCCTCATTGGTGGACAACAAACGACGTTCGTGGCCTTCAATCTTCCATCCTCCCGAGTCGTTTAATCATCTTTAGCAACAATCATAACACACGGTCTGATGGATGACTCGCTCCGATGACAGCACCAAATCCCAGAAGTGGCTGGGAGAAGATAGGCGATCAATTCTATCAAAAGATACAGCTATACGAGTCTGTTTTTGACCGAGACCTTGAGCTTGAGAACTACCTGGTGGCGGGAGCGCCGTACGGTGGAGCGCTAGGTAAGCATCGCATCGTCACGACTGACTCTAGCTAACACACACCAAGCACTATGGAGAGATTCTAGCAAGATCGCACGTTATAGAACTGGCCAATCGACAAAGTCCACAATCGACATTTACTCAACTTCGGGCAAGCTCATCAGCAACATCAACTGGGAGAAGGGCCCGATAAAAGGCTTAGGTTGGTCAGACGACGAGAAGCTATTGGTCGTCACCGAGGACGGCACAGTACACTGCTACTTTGGGCTTTACGGGGACTTTCAACCGTTCTTGCTGGGACATGGCGCGGAAGAGTATGGTGTTGTGTCGTGTCGATTTTGGTCGCACGGTTTCGTCGCTCTTCTGTCCAACAACGCATTGATCGCTGTTTCTTCGTTCGACGAGCCGAGGCCACGGCTACTTGCACAGCCTCCGGAAGGTGAAATACATTCTTGGTCTCTTATTCCTCCTGCCTATACGCTTTCAAGATCAGTCGAGGTCTTGTTGGCAATTGACAAGACCATTATCGTCGTTGATGCCTCGGAAGCAGATGATCGAGGTCTATCCGATGGTCCTTTCAAACATGTGAGCGTCTCACCGAACGGAAGGTTCGCAGCACTCTACACCGAAGATGGCAAGGTGTGGGTGGTGGGAAGCGACTTTCAGCAGAAATACAGTGAATATGACTCTAAAGCAAAAACTACACCGACACAGATATACTGGTGCGGAAATGACTCTGTGATCTTGGCCTGGGAAGACGAGATTCATATGGTTGGCCCGGATGGCGGGGCGGTCAAATATTATTACGACGACCAGGTCCACGTGGTGCCTGATATTGACGGCGTTCGACTGATCACGAATGATTCTTGCGACTTCCTGCATAAGGTACCGGACCAACTAGAGGAGGTCTTCCGGCTCGGGTCAACCTCAGCAGCGTCGGTGCTAGTTGACTCCATCGAACTGCTGGAGATGAAATCCCCAAAGGCAGACGAGAACATACAGCGAATCAAACAGAACCTGCCGGAGGCGGTCGAAACATGTATTCAAGCCGCAGGCCACGAATTCAACCAGAATCTGCAAAAGCAGTTGTTGCGCGCGGCTTCATTCGGCAAGTCTGTTCTTGACTTGTACAGCAGCGATGAATTTGTCGACATGTGTGAGGACCTGAGGGTATTGAACGCTGTCCGCGACTACCGCATTGGGCTTTTCATGTCATACGAGCAGTACGTCCGCCTCACGCCGGAGAGGCTGATCGCACGGTTGGTCAACCGAAGAGAATACCTCCTGGCCATCAAGCTCTCCGAATTCCTCCACCTCCCTCTCAACAAAATCTACGTCCATTGGGCAAGCCAAAAGGTCAGAAGCTCATCCGCAGATGACGACTCGGTGAGGGAAGTTGTAGTTGATCGTTTACGTGGAAAACATGGCATCTCTTTTGAAACAATAGCCCGAGCAGCTTATGATGAAGGTCGAGGTCATCTCGCGACGACACTCCTCAATCACGAGCCAAGAGCGGGAAAACAAGTCCCTCTACTCCTCAGCATGGAAGAAGATGAGATTGCCCTCAACAAGGCCATTGAATCAGGTGACACCGATCTAGTGTTCTATGTTCTGCTTCAACTGAAAAAGAAACTGCCATTGGCGACCTTCCTTCGCACAATCAGCGAAAAGCCCGTGGCAGCCGCGCTCGTCGAGAGCTCAGCAAGAGCACAAGACCAAGAGCTGTTGAAAGACCTGTACTACCAAGACGATCGACCAGTTGAGGGCTCAAATCTCCTGCTAGAGGAAGCCATGCAACAGCCTCATATTCAGGCAGTCATCGATAAGCTTAAGCTTGCTGGCAGACTGCTCACCGATGCTAAAGATCCCACTGCTACCATACACAGCAGAGCCCTGGGAGAGGCAGCTCAATTGCTAAAGATGCAAGAGGCATTTGACAAAGACATCACCGACAGTAGTGGTAGTTATGTGGGCCTCAGCGTGAACGAGACGTTGTTCCGACTCGTCAAATCCGGTTATGGCAAGAGGGCTGTCAGTGTTCAGAATGCCTTCAAAGTACCTGAAAAGACATGGTGGTGGATCCGCCTTAGGGCCTTGACTGCAGCTCGATTATGGGGCGAAGTGGAAGAGCTCAGTAAGAACAAGAGATCGCCCATCGGTTGGGAGGTGAGTGCCCTTTCTTGTGAAGCAAAACATCTTCTGACAACGTGCAGCCCTTTTATAATGAAGTGCTCGGTGCCGGCAACACTCGGCTTGCCGCATCATTCATACCCAAATGCACCAATCTGCAACCGGCAGAACGCATCGAGATGTGGATCAAGTGCGGCATGATCGTCAAAGCGGGCGAGGAGGCTCTGAAGGCCAAGGATCTTGCATCGCTAGAGTCTCTGCGAGACAAGGCCAATGGGCAGCAGCAAGTCGAACTCGAGAGAATGTTGACTCAGTTGAGGCCAAAGAAATAGACCTCTCAAGTCATGTTATCTTATCCACCTCGTCCTCGACGTCGGTAGTTGGAGCGGACGCTGTTCCGTCAACGACGACTAGCTTCGTCGCTGGAGCGGAGACAGGCACTCGCACACCCTCCACGATCTTCACATCATTCATACTATCCTCCATTTCTTCATCGACCCAACCGTCGTCCTCCGCGTCGTCTGCGTTCTCTCCTAGAATTGCCTTCATCTTGTCGAAATTTGAGGCGCTACTGTTGACATCGTCCCACAGCTTCTTTCTGTCTCGACGTTTCTTTAACCTAGAACCCGCATCATCCACCTTCTTAGAGAGTTGGTCCTGCACCACTTCTGCTCTTGCCAGGCCTTTCTCTTGTCGCCGTCGCTGACCTTTTGTCAGAGGCTTCTGTTTCTTCTTCGCCTTAGTGACACCGCTGTTTGGTCGAGGGGCTAGGAGTGGGGTTGACCCTGAGGCCCGAGGAGCCTCGATTAGGGATTTGTCAACATCAATGGACGGGGAGGTGGCTCTCTTAGACGCTCGTGACCGTGGATTTGCTTCGAGACTGTTAGATGGGTTCCAAGATAGAAATCGGCGTCTTTCTGATTCATGCTTACCCGTAGCATTCTTCTTGACCTTGGCCGTCTTCGCCATCTTGGAAGACTCGGTCGCTATTTCATCCAACGTAAACCTAGCAATCTAAGAACGAAGCGGCCAGCAGTTGAGGGATATTTCACGCAGTCTCGAACACCGTCCTGTGCCAAACCACTTTTTTTGTGGGGAGCGCGCGATCTACACGGGCAGCATTCGATGTTGGGATTGGCTCAAGTGAAATGACGTCGGCTGCCTGTTGACATGCCAGCGGCGCCTCACGGACACTGCAATCAACACCACTGTCGCCTCTATCGAATCGCTTTCCAGCTCAGTGTTCATGTCCTCCCGGACCAGACTTTCACATAGTCTCAGCGACAGTGGGCTCGTCTACAACGGTCTGGCTCCTCATCCACTAGGCTCATGGCGCCTTCAAGGCCATTGAAACGCCAAAAGACGAACCCTTCAAAGCCGCCAGCGTCACTATCAGATCAAAAAGAGCCCGCCAACATTCCTCTTCCACCAGAGACTTCCCCGAGCCCGACTACAACGGTACCCGCAGCATATCCAGAGGAGGGGAAGACATCAGTAAGCCATCGACCGTCAGTCTTGGTACACTGCTAATCGGCGACTCGCAGTCATGGATCAGTCGCACTTGGCCTCGCAAAGCACGACCAGTCGCCCAAGTTGCGCGTGAAAGTGTGCCTTCAACCTCTAACACTGCCCAAGAAGTCGTTTCAATTGTCAAGGACAAGGCCAGGTCGCTGAGATCACCATCTTTGGCCATGACCCTCGGAAAGACTTCCTCCAATCGATCCCTACCAGTCGACGCCACCACTACAGCTGTGAATGCTACTGCAGAGGCAACTACCAACCCTATTGCAGAAGCTACGGTTAAAAACGACAAGAGGAATGCTTCATTAGAACCCAGTGATAAGACTGTCCCAAACAGCAGGATAGACAAGATCACGCAGGAAGACGATGGTAAACCCGAGAAAGCAGCCTCGAACAACGTCCCTGTCCAGCAAAACATTCCAGGACAACAGCAGAACTCCCAAGGAACATGGTTGAGCTGGTTAGCGAGGAGAGACGACTCTACGATGAGATCAACAGATGTACAGCAGCCGCCCACCTCGGACATGGAAAGTGGAAATACGCAGATTCCACCCACTGAGGCTGATACAACAACGACCTCCCCGACGACGACAACAGAACCGCAAGAGCTTCCTGAAAATTCCAGGAACAAGAGAAGCTGGTACCAGATGTGGGGTGGGGATGCGTCAGCTAGACCTCAGAAGGCAGCGTCTTCTTCCGTGGAAACAAACACGGCGGGGGCAGACACACCTCTTCAAACCAACAACCTTGATATACCCGCTCCCCAAACTCCCAAGACTACATCTGCGTCCCAAACTTCGTCCCTCGAAACTTCACCGCCGCCTCAACTATCTGGAGATGGCTCTAAATCGGCCGGTTGGGTATTTTGGTCTCGAGACAGGAAATTGCAACCGTCGGCGACGCTCGAGAATGACCCTCATGTTGGTGAGATTGCTATTTCCGGCACCCCTTCACAAGCAAGGCCAAAACGCGCTTCGATTAGTCTGCAAGAAGATGCTTCGAGGCCGGTGGTGAAACCACCGCAACCTCAGGACATATCAAAGCAAGTCGAAGCTGAGAAAAATGCAACGGGTAAGTCAAGTACCGCAGAACAAGTTTCGGCCCCGAAATCCGAGAAGAAGACCTCGACGAAGAAAGAAGGCAAGTCCACGAAGGCGGAATCGTCTAATGCCACGGCAATCGCCAGAGAGCCGGTTGAAGCCGGAACACCAAGGCAACAGTCACCGGCACCATCAAAGAAAGAAGCGCCTAATCTCTTGCTCCCTGCTATCAGTGACACGTTGAGCTCCGAAGAGCATCCTTCTATATTGCAGCAGCTTGCAAGATTGCTTTACTATACCAAAGGCCCCGACATGAAGCACCTTTCGCTCATCAAAGACCCGCCAAAGATAAAGAACGCACTTGCTATTGGCGTGCATGGTTACTTTCCAGCCCCTCTGATCCGTACCGTGCTAGGTCAGCCCACGGGAACTTCGATCAAGTTTGCAGACATGGCCGCTAAGTGCATCAGGAAATGGACGCGAAGTCACGGATACGAGTGCGAGGTCAAAAGTGCGGCGCTTGAAGGTGAAGGCAGGATCACTGAGCGAGTCGAGCTTCTGTGGAAATTGCTTCTCAACTGGATCGACGAAATCCGCAAGTCAGACTTCGTCATGATCGCTTGCCACAGCCAAGGGGTTCCGGTGGCCATTATGCTTGTCGCGAAACTGATCCAATTTGGTTGTATCAGCGGAGCTCGAGTTGGTATTTGTGCGATGGCGGGAGTCAACATGGGTCCATTCCAAGAATACAAGTCTCGTTGGATTAGTGGTTCTGCTGGCGAGTTGTTTGAATTTTCTGACCCCAACAGCAGTGTATCCAGGAGTTATCTTGAGGCAATGGAGGTGATACTGAGATTTGGAGTCCGTCTCACCTTCATCGGGAGTATCGATGATCAACTGGTGTCTATGGAGTCATCGATTTTCGCACCTCTGACCCATCCTCATATATACAGGGCTGTTTTCATCGACTCACGTGTTCATGCACCAAACTTTCTGTCACATCTCGTTGGCTTCGCCCTGAAATTACGCAATGTTGGTGTTCCAGATCATGGCCTTATCCGGGAACTCTCTTCACCATTAGCTGGAAGCTTGTACGGCGGTGAAGGTCACTCTCGAATTTATGAGGACGATGCTGTCTATGACATTGCAATTTCATTCGCCCTGGAGACAAATGCTCTGAAAGACGTGCCGATATCAAAACGCCAAACGAGTGCAACTGGTGCGAATCCTTACATTCTCCCATTCGCCATGCGTGGCATCCTGGAGGAAGATTACGTCAAGACGGAGTTACAAAACGAAGCGAGAGAACTTCTGGCTCAATTTGACGACTGGAAGCCGACCACGAAAGCACTGAAGGATGTCAAGTTCAGGCTCGAAGGGATTAGGTCGAGACTCTGAACTATTGCTCAAGGCCTATCCCTTCCGAGGGTGTATGGCAATTCAAGCAGTGGGACCAATGGGTGTGCTGCCAGCACGTCATTGCGTTAACAGCAACCATAGTCTCCTTCACACGGACAGATGAAAGAGAGACAGTGGACTGCTTTCTTCGGAGCTTGATGCTGGGAACCTATGGTTGGACACTGGGTCCCGACTGCCACTCCAGGCAATCACGTCAGGAGCGCCATCTCAACCAACCCTCCCATTCCGGGGACTCATCACATCAGAACAGCTTATCCAAAACCTCCGGAGCACAACGAGCTCATACTTGTCAACAAGTTCTGCACGGCTCTGCAATGATTAATGGATAATGCACAGGCTTTCAATATTGACCCGACACGGATTGCATTGTTTGGAGGAAGTTCAGGAGTTTGAGTTGCCGCTGGTATGGCCATCATGGCCAGGGATAGAAACATCCAGGCAGCAATGCTGAAACAGACACTTGTGGAATCTATGGTAGATGATCGCGACCTCGCACCCGACGCAGCTCACGCCGTTGCTTACAGGAAGGGGGACAACAACGTGACAGGGTGGGCAGCTCTTCCTAGGTAAGAAAAGTGAAAAGGGCGATGCGGATGTCTCGTACAATGCTTCTCTCGCCCGGGCGAAGAGCCTGTCTTGGTTACGAGCTACCATCGACGTAGTGGACTCGGATCTGTTTCGAGGCGAAGCTGCAAAATTTGCCATACGAATTGCGGCCGACGACATTACCATTGAATTTCACTTGTAGAGTGGAGTGCGTCATGCATTTGGGTGGTTGGTAACGAGAGCTGCCCTTGCAAAAAAGGCTACGGGAAATAGCATTGCTGCGATGGGCAATCCGTAGCATGAGAATGCTGGTTGAATGGCAGGTCAAATAAGAGGGGAAGTACTGAGATCATCTTAAACAAGCCATTGCACGCGGCGCAGATACATTGGTAGAAGATTTTTCCATTCATGTATAGAGAGATGTTAGATACAGGGGTACTACGTGGCCGTCAGTCTTGAAGAGTGTTTTCAAACACTCGAGGTCCGGGAGACTCAGCCTCGTCGTATTCGTATTGCCGTATGCGCACAGCCTTGTGTCGCACCTCGTTACCCCAAAGTCTGTGTTGATGTCAACTATTCCGTACCTGAATCCCCGCTTCGTCGCTGCGCATTTCCGCAAACTGTTGGGAGTGTCGTATGGGTGATTATCATGTATCTGCGCCTCTGGACGCATGTACTCAACCTTGTTGCCTGTGTGGTTGTTATCGTCGCCGCGGACACCGAGTTTGATTTCAACTCCGACGCCGACGTCTACGACAGCCACCTTACATCTGACGATCAACAGGTGTTTATCGGGCTCTGTCCTGATTACACGAGCTATGCTCGCCACAAACAGTCTGCTGCCTCGCTACTTTGTCTCGACTCTTCGCTGACGGATGCTGTAGTAAGCCTTTGAGCGAAGGCCCTCTAGAACTTCCTTATCAACGACCGCACCCTCTCTGTCGCAAGTTCTCGTCTCCAGCGGTGGAACAGGTTATAGAAGATTTATACCCGCGACTGAAGGATCCAGACCTGGCACAGATCTTCCGCAACGCATTTCCCAATACATTGGATACCACTGTACTGTGGCACGTCGATGGAGTCCAGAAACATGCAGAGAAGTCGCGCTTGTTCCGGGACCGGGGCAAATGGGAGGGCGCCCAGTCCTTCATCGTGACGGGCGATATCAACGCTGAATGGCTTCGTGACTCGACGAACCAACTTGCGCAGTACCAACAGCTCGCGAATTCTGCAGAAGATATCTCGAGTCTACTCCTCGGTGCCATCAACACGCAGGCCGAGTTCGTCATCGCATCGCCCTACTGCAACGCCTTCCAACCTCCTTATCCGTCCCGTCTCCAGCCCGTTCACTCAGGCCAAGAAGACTCCGTTCATCCCGCGTACGAACCCAGTGTAGTCTTTGAGTGCAAATACGAACTCGACAGCCTGGCGGCTTTCCTGTCGCTCACGAACCAATATCACACCTCCACCAATTCCACCGCGTTCCTTACGCCCCGATGGTACAAAGCCCTCGGTCAGGTCCTCGAAGTATTAGACGATCAGTCGCGCCCCACGTTTGACCCTGGCACGGGCGCATATGAGAAGAATGAATACACGTTCTCGCGCCCGACGCGCCTGGGAACTGAGACACTCAACCTCGAAGGAACAGGGAACCCTCTAGCACAAGGCACGGGCCTCATCAGATCAGCATTCCGCCCTTCTGACGATGCTACGACTTTTGGCTTCCTCATCCCGGCAAACGCAATGATGTCGGTCGAATTATCTCGCACCGCGGCACTACTCCGGGCTGCGTCCTCCACAGCCTCCGCCAAGGAATCGGCCTGGATGGTCCAAGTCTCCGAGAATCTCGAGCGCCGATCCAATATCATCAAAGATGGGATCTACAAGCACGCCGTGGTGTCTCACCCGGAGTTTGGGCAGGTGTTTGCCTACGAAGTCGACGGATACGGAGGCCGCCTGCTCATGGATGACGCCAACATTCCGTCCCTGCTTGCTCTTCCGCTCCTCGGATTCGTCGACAAGGATGACGAGATCTACCAGAACACAAGACGCATGATCCTCACCCAACGAGGAAATCCATACTTTCTAGTCGGCGACAAGTTCTCAGGCATCGGCGGTCCGCACATTGGCCTTCGAAACGCGTGGCCGATGAGCGTGCTCGTGCAGGCGATGACGAGCACCGACGACGCCGAGATAAGCGAGTGCGTCGACCGCGTCAAGAACGTGAGCATCTTTGGCCTAATCAACGAGTCCGTTGACGTGCAACGGGGGGTATGGCCTGGCGGAGACGGGATGACCAGGAGTTGGTTCGCGTGGGCCAATAGCGTTTTCGCACAGACGGTGCTATGGCTTGCGGAGCATAAGCCCCATTTGGTCATGAAGGCAGAAGAAGACGGGTCGTTCAAGAGTTATCGAGTTGGTCTGGGGTTCGCAGCATCGAACCAGTGAGGAACGGGCCCCCCGGGAAGGGACGGTAGATATGACCTGTAGTTGGTAAGACGTCTTAATGAAAACATGAATCGGCATGGACGACGACGAAGTGCAGCAAGCGAGATAGAGACTCCCCACAGTGCTTTTGAGCCACCGATTCGCCGCGGTTCGTTCGATTGAAGAACATGAAGAATGTGTATGTGTCTCGTGCCCAGGTGCCACCCGTATGGGATGGATGCATTCAACCTCCATGCGTGCAGCATGCTTTTCTCGCTTGTTAGGTTTTGGTGACTTTCAGGCTTCATTCATCCATAACCTCTGTACTCAATATGTACCTATCCTACGAAAATCACGGCTTTCCATCCACAACGCCCCAACTCGACACCTGTGCCCACATCGGTACCCGGGTATCCATCCCTTGTGTGCGTGGAATGAAGGCGAGGGACGGAAGCGAGTGACTGAGTGGATATAAGTGAGATCGAGCACCCCTTCTATTCTCGTCTTCAAGCGTTCTTCTTCCCAAAGAAACTCATGATGTTCCCGCCCTTCTTCGGTGCTGCTTTGTTGGCACCGCCGCCGCCGCCGCCACCACCACCTTTCTGACTCGCGCTCTGGCTTTGCGGCTTGGCTGTCCCGAAAAAACCACCACCACTGCTGCTGCTGCCCTTTGGCGCCGCCTTCTTGACGGGAGCAGGCTCCGGCTCGTCCTCGCTGTAGCTTTCCCACGCCATCTCCTCTTTCGTGACCAGGTACCCGTCCTCGTCCTTCATGGTCCGCTTCTTCATGACCTTGCGCTTGCCTCTGCGCCTCTTCGGTTCCGCGGCGGCGGCACCGGCACCGTCAGGGGGAGTGGAGGTGGATATCTGGTCGCCCTCCTTCCGTGTGGACGCGTCCTTCTTGGGTGCAGATTGTCTCTGTTTCTCCGTATCCGAATCTGACCACGCGACTACTTCTTCGTCTTGGTCGTCTTCGTTCGCGGCGTTTGTGCCTGGCGCTTGCGAAGTCGCGGCTTTTTCTACGTTGGGGACTGCAGGCTCGCGAGCCTCGTCGTCCGAGTCCATCATCTTCCGCAGCTTGGCGGCCTTGTCTTCTCGTTCCTTCTTCACATCACTTGCTCTCTTCTTCGTCGTGCGCTTCCCAGTGTCCAAGAACAAGGCGTCGTCTTCTGACTCTCCCTCCTCATCCTCCTCGTCGTCGTCGTCCTTCATGACGGTGTCAGAGTCTTCTTTGACAAGTGACGATTTCGGCTTCTGTGTGCTTTGCTTCGCAAATGCCTTGAACAGATCTGACCCTCCACGTCGGAGTGATGGCTGTTTGTTCGAGGTGCTGTTGGCGGACGTACTATCCCGAGAACTAGGTCGGGATGATTCCTCCGGCGTGCCATCTGCAGCTTTGGCAGGCTGTTTCTGCTGCGTGCTCGACTGCGTGGATGTGCGCGAGGATTTTGCATCGTCCTTGACCGGCTGAAATCTGGCAGCCGGACCTTGAGAAATGACCGGTCTCTTGCCTTTCCGCCTTCTCACGTTGGGGTTCTGTATGATGCCGTATTGTTTACCGTGCTCCAGTGGGTCCTCCTTCGCAAACACGTCCGTGAACAGACCTCGGCCTACGTCCGTCAGGCTTACAAGGTCTTGTATTCGGGCCGGGGACAGGCTGTAAATGTGTATCGAGCTGATGGTTTGGTATTGTTCCTTGATTTCTGCATGCAAAGCCCGTCAGCCATCCGCGCTACGTGACGTACAAGGTGAGAATACAACCTACCTTCAAGACTCTCCTCCCTTACGAGCGTGACCGTCCGTACTTTTGCTTGTGGGGGTTGTTCTTCTGCGGCTTGATCGCTCTGCTGGCTTGGTTCGAGCATCGAACTGGTAAAAGGAGGAGGGCTGGAAGGGATCGGTTCATCTTCGAATTCCTCTTGTTTGTGGCCGTTCAGGGCTTCCTGTCCCACGAGGGGCTGTCGCTTCTTCACCCCAGACAGGAGATATGTAGCATAAACTGATCCTGGCTTCTTCCCATTCTGGAGTTCGTGGAACTCGTACAGCATGCATTTGGCGGCATTGACATGGACTTTCAAGGCGCGGGAAACATTGCGGTAAGAAACGGTCCGCTGCTCCGACAGTATCTCTGTCGCCAGATACTTTTTGAAGTCGCTAGACATTACAGAGAAGCCCAACGCAAGTCCGGAAATGGTCGAATTGAAGGATCGCACAATCAGAATCGCAGGGAGGCTGGCTGTGATGGTGAAATCTGGAAAATCGCTCCTCAGAAGGTTAAAGTGGTTTTCTGAAAGCGCGTCACGGAACGCGTCCATACTGTATGCACGACGCTCACATTATCCACCGTAGATATTGATACGGTGGAGCAATGCCAGGCATTGTTTTATTCCCTTACGTAGGGGACAAACAATGTCCAGACTGCAGCTCACGGCAGGCTTTCTCTTTTTCTCTCAGCCCGCCGAAGCAACGTGGAAAGGTGTTTGTGAGTACGACAGGATCATCACAGGTGCTTTGGTTATACCATGGAACGCAATTGCTCGAGCACCGTTCAATACACTCGAGCTGTACCGTACCTGTAACGCAAGGCGCTCTACCAATGATTTATTCAACCTTGTACTGGACCCGCGGGTGCCGCAGAAAGTAATGACCTAGCGAGGCCTCGTCACAGTCAGTGGGAGGAAGCTTTGGATGACGGTGACGCCTTGGAGAACATGGTGCATGATAAAATGCTGTCAAAGCCACATGCTGAGGGTAGTGCGAGCCACGGTCTCATCAGACAGCCATATACATTTCTAGAAACGACAGTCACTCTGGTAGAAGAATCATTAGTTCAGCACATTGATTGGGCCATGGACCCCTACTTCTTGGGATGAAATTGGACATTCATACTCATTCGCCAGTCAGTGGCGGTTAGAATCAGAACCAACCTGATCCTTTGCTTGCCTAATGCTGAAATGTCATTCATAATTCTCTCTCAATGTTCGCTAAAAGCACAAAAAGCAATGTTGCCGGAGCCGCCATTGTTGATGAAGTTAACTCCGACAATGACCATGTTGCAGCACGCGTTGGTGTTGGTGTTGGTGTTGGTATCATGGTGCGAGTGACGACCATGGAATGAGACATGATGTAAGCATAACGTGATATGCCTGTTTGCCCCTTCGCCGATGCCTCAGGTGGTATCCATAGCATCACCGCCGGCCGGCTTTCTCTTGTCCTTGACGCTCGAGATGAAGTCGTCGATTGCCATAGGCCACGCACCGTCCTCATTCCACCACGCCAGAGTTTCTCCCTCTGGCTCCTTGATCTTCAAGGCCATCTCACCAACCATGTTCCACAAGTCCTTGTTGACGGGCCTCTTGATCTTTGACTGGTAGAACTCGCACCACAAGTCCAACCACTTAGTCGACGAGGTATTCCAGTCCAAGCCACCATTGTCAGAGCGAAAGAACAGGTTCCAGAAGTCGACGGCCGATTCCATAGGGACACTCTTCTGACCTTCAGGTTTAGCGAGTTTGAAGGTGTTGCGGTAGACTTGTTTAAAGTATGCTCGATCGGTGGACATTCTCTTGCGGATGACGTCGACGTACTGTTCCTGGGCAGCAATGGTGTCGTAGGGCTTGCTTGCGGTTGATACGCTGCGCCAGCCTGCGACGAAGGGGGCTCTGTCGAATTCGCCGATCGAGGGACATTGCAGCAACTCGCAGATGGCCAGGTGAGCGAGTTCGTCGAGTTGCACTTTGATTGCGGTCAGATAGTTCTGAGCACCGTCGATGCCGATCTTGTCAGGCAACTCCTCAGGATTGTCTAGTCACACCAGTCAGTCAGCCAGCGTTCGTTTGGGTTCTAGAATGAAGTTGTTCAAAGTTACCTCGGTACTGATCGAACAGCTTCTTCAAGTTCTTTTCGATAAGAGATACGCTATCGTTCGTTCCGCTCTGGTAGAATCTGTTGAGACGGAGCATGTCAGTATTGCAGGCCCGAGGTGTGGTAGAAACGAACCCTGTGGCCTCAGAGCTTTCTGTGGTGGTAGCGGCAGGTGCCTTCTTGGATGTCTTCTTGGGCGTCTTCGGCTCCGCCTTTGCACGTGGTTTCTTTGGCTTGGTGTCACGGTCAGCAGCAGCAGGTGTCTTTGCTTTGGCCGGCGATTTCTTCTGCTTTTTCTCGGCGGGAGGGCCATCATTGGTCACCGTGTTGTCAGCCGTGGCTTTGCGCTTCCTAGCTGGCTTGCTCGCCGGCTTACTCGGCGCCATATCGTGATAATGGCCAGGTAATTTGGGTTGGTTGGACGAGGAAGAGATGGATTTGATAATAGAGGCAGTTTAACTTTAGATAATCATCGCCTCAAGAAAGAGCGATCGCTGCCTGCAAGTCGGAATGAGTTGAGACAATCCATCCGCCTCTGCAGTGACAAAGAAGGCGGTCTTGGCGCAAGACATGGGCGAGGTTGCGACTACGGCTGAGGTCGCGAGGGCATGATGTGTCGCCAGAATTCCCGTTGTTGCTTTGTTGTTCACCGACAGACACTCCAGCCGGCCACCACGTTTGTACTCAGCCACCCTATCGCTCTATCGTCGTGGAGCAGTAACGGCCAGGTCGACATCCGGTAGATTATCTGACCCCTCCAGAACTGAACAACTGACCCGCCAACACAAGTTGGACCACAGAGGGAGGAATTTTACAAGCAACACAATCACAGGGCACACTCACGAGTCAAGTGCGCGCTCCAGATCCCAGTCATTGTTTTTGAGGTACTATCAGAGTTTCAGTCAGCAAAGAACCTTTCAATGTCTCCCTATCCTCATACCTTTGCAGCGATGCTCTCCTTGGCCTGCGTGAAGCCGAAGAACTGATGAATCGCCACCCGCTGTGAGGGGGTGTAGGCCGGCATGGTGTCCTTTGATGCCGCTGTGGCTGCTGTTGACGATATCACCGTTCGAAAATGACTTCAGTTGAAAGCGCTGGAAGTTTTTACTCCTACTTGTCCCGCGCTTGAATCTACCACCGCAAGGCCTGCCAAGCTGCGCCGAGCCCGAATGCCACCCACGATCACAGTCTTTCAAAAATCTGCTGGACAGAGGCGAAAGTGTATACAACCAGACCTGCCTGTTGATCGCATTCTGGCAATCTTGATTACACACTCTGGTGGTGGCGGGCATGAATCGAAGTCATCCAGGTCCCTTACCCGGGGAAGGCAGGTTCACCGAGAAATTATAGGCATCTTCTTATCTAATCATGGAGGGCAACACACTTCTTCCCCCAGCCTTGTGAGGAACTTGGGCTAGGATACTGATACGGAGTACAGTACAGAGTGCCTGGTGGTGGGACAGGGAGCGGGGAGACGATCAGGGGTCATGCAGGAGAAGTATCACCATCCCTTCTCTGCCATGGCTATGTACGCTTTGGATTGTTCGTAAGCCTAAATCACGCCCAGCATATTTGGCGAGGGGATGACGCCCGAGGAAGCGTGAAGAGGGGTGAACAAGGCTGTGCCAACTAGGGCGAAACACGTAGTCGTAGAGCACAGAGTGTCAACAGTCCCCTACAAGGGAGATTATGAGATACATGGGCGCCACTCGGTGGCTGGTGGCTGGTGGCTGGTGTCTTCGTCACGAGTGTGGCACTGCACTGCTACAAGGGATGCGCTCTGCTTTCGTACAGACACCTTCATGGCAACGAGCCAGTGATGGAGCTGTTTGTATGACATGATATGTGAGCACAATTCGAGTGACTTCTACCCCACCAGTTGGTGAACAGCACAGCCCTGTGGTCCTCTTGTCGCGGTGCCTCATTAGTTAGAGCCTTGGCCGTGAACAATGCGGCAGGGCCCCTAAAACAAACTCCGGGCTCTCCCTGTTTGTTTTGACTGGTACAATAAGAAGACCGGCCTCAGCTTGCTTAAAGCCAGGCTCGTCACCAGTTCAGTTTGCTTCTCTTACCTCTACCATCTCTCCAGTGTGCCGACATTACTGCTATAGCTGCAGTTCCGTGGGAATCCCTCATCTCGACCAGCACACCTTAAGCATGGGTGTAAGTCTGTCCTGAAGCTGCCCCTCTCCAAGAGTCTCTGCCCCCGCAATACGGCCACAGACACCAGCAAAGACCAACACCAACTTCCTCCCGCTGATGACGTGTATAGCTTGCCTCTAAACTCGCCGCTGCGCAGGCAGCTTATCCTGGAGGTCCGCCGACATCTCTCCAGCCTGGAGGTGGCGCTCCTCCCGGTGGCTATGTGAGTACCTACGGTATGCTGGATGGCACCTTCAGCCACACTGACAACTCTCACAGGGCGGAGGACCAGCTGCAGGTCAATATCAGGCGTATCCAGGTGGCCCTCCCTCGGTAAGCGGCTCCCGAGCATTCTGACTTTGACTTTTGAGTCCTTTTCTCGGCGCATATTTCTTGCGTCACCTCGCGCCGAGTGCTTGAACTGTCCCGGATCCATCCACCTGCAAAGCTGTACGAGTACATCCACCGTCGACCATCGTGACAGGCCTATTTTTTTCCACTTTGTATATCTCAGCAGCAACCTTTCCTTCTGAACTGTACAACAAGCACATCCGAAAAGGACCATGAGCAAGTTTTCTCGCCTGGCAGCGGCAACACCAGGCGGCCAAACACCGGGTGCACCCCAACCACCTACGAGTCCCTACCCCCAACAACAGCCCTCGCCTTATAATCAGCCTCCTGTACCTCCTAGGCCGAGCGCATCACCACAGCCATACCAACAGCCTGCGTGGCAGTCTCCTCAGTCACAGCAGCAGCAGTATGGCCAGCAGCTAGGAGTTCCGCCACAAGGAGGATATCAAGGTGGGGGTTATCAATCGCCGCAGCCGCAGTCAGCATACACTTCATACCAATCGCAGTATCAACCACCAAATCAATATGGCGGGCCACAGTACCAACAGCAGCCGTATCAGCAACCGCAGAACAGTGGATATGGATATGTTCGTCGCATCGTCACTTGGATTACAGATAATTGCGCTCTTAGAATGAACGGGGAATACTAACAATTTATTTCCATAGGGTGGGCCCCCAGGACAAGGACAAGGCCAACCTCCTTACCCCGGCGGACCTCAGGGCGGCGGCCCTCCTCCTCAGCAATATGGCGGCCAAGCTCCCTACGGAGGTGCCCCCGGAGGCCCCGGCGGCCCTCCCCCAGCTCCGGTCGGAAACGCAGGCGGCTACAAGCAACTTCTACAAGCAACAATTCAAGAGAAAGGCCTTCAGAGTTTCTACCCACCAAACTCCCCAGTTCTTGACCAGGTTGCCAATCGAGCAGCTCAACAAATCGCACAGCTGGCGGCAACATGGCGCATCAATCCCGAGATCGCCTCGGACGTCGTCAAGCTGGCACTCTACGACGTCGTGCTGTACATTGATGACAGCGGTTCCATGCAGTTTGAAGAGAACGGAGAGCGTATTGACGATTTGAAGTTGATATTGTCGCGTGTCGCTTATGCCACCAGTCTCTTCGACGAGGATGGCATCCAAGTCCGGTTCATGAACTCTCCCGACGGTGGTAATAACATCCGCAGCGAGCAACAAGTAAACGAAATGGTCGCGCGCACTCGCTTCTCCGGCCTGACTCCCATGGGAAGAGAACTCGACAATAAGATCCTGCAACCATTGGTTCTCCAACCGGCTCGCAGTGGCCAACTCCGCAAGCCGGTCTTGGTCATCACCATCACGGACGGTCAACCCACTGGTGAGAGCTCCGGGGACGTGGCCAGGATCATCAAGAACGCCTCGAACGAGCTGGCTAGAAACCCTCGTTACGGTAAAGGTGCATTGGCCTTCCAGTTCGCTCAGGTCGGCAATGATCTCAAGGCTCGTGAATTTTTGAGCAAGTTGGACGAGGAACCGACGATTGGCGACATCATTGATTGTACATCCAGTATGTTGTTGTTGTCCATACGGTTTGATTTTGCAAGTCCCATTGTACTAATCCTCGTGTGACGCAGATTACGAAGTTGAAGCCGACGAGATGTCACGCGCAAATCCACCAGTCAACCTCACTCCAGAGTTGTGGCTCATCAAGCTTCTCCTCGGTAGTATCGATTCTTCCTATGATTCGAAAGACGAAAAGAGCAACGCCCCTCGACCCCCTCCTCAACAGGGTGGCTATGGAGGCCCACCTCCCCAGGGCGGCTACGGCGGAGGATATCCCCCTCAAGGTGGCTACGGCGGCCCTCCTCCGCAGCAAGGTGGCTACGGCGCTCCCCCTCCTCAGCAAGGTGGTTATGGTGGCCCTCAAGGCGGCTATGGTCGACCTCCTCCACAGGGTGGCTACGGTGGACCCCCGCCGCAGCAGGGAGGCTATGGTGCACCTCCTCCGCCTCCGCGATATTAAGCTGTGAGGTATGTCTCCTCTTATGTTCTTTCTTGATCGCCAAAGTTCTGTATCAGGGCCCTTGGATGTGAGTTGTTGACGGGGATAGCCAGCATGGCTATGTGTGTTATATGCGTGTGTGTGTCAAGTGAAACTGAAATGCATCCTGATCGGAACCGGTTTGGAAAGACAGACAGAAGCAGTGTTGGTACAGACGGAGATAGTGTTGGTTGGGTTCTGGTACACTTTGGAAAGACATGATGTGCAAAGGCATGGTTGGTGGAGGAATGGCTTGCATGGTACGAGTACCTCGGGTTTTGGAGAGAACTATACAGAGGACATTATTCTTAACCTGTTTTACCCGTTTCTTGGAAAAGTCCTATCGAATCAAACTATGTTTTCTCAGGGAGTGCGTGGTGAGCGTGTATACGTCCTACCTGAATTCGATAACTGAATGAACCTTTTCAGTCTTGAGGTTATTTGGATTCATTATTTTCTGTTTCCTGTCAGGGGTACATTTGCGGTGAGAATCATGCAACAGCAAGGTAGCTAGCTGCGAGGCACATGCATGGACGGATAGAAGGGGGGTTCGTTCCTCCTGTGCCTTTGCTCTCCATGTTCCGCCGTCCAGAGGATGCAGCGAATGAAACAAGCGCGATGTGCAGGTACCGTAGATATTTCAAGAACCGTATGGTACTGACTGTCCCCTCCCCCTTTCCCGTTCCCGGCCCAGTCCAGCCCGGTCTAGGCGTCTCAAAAAGGTGAAGAACACCATCGACAGGACAGAACCAAAAAGAACGGCACACGAGATATGCCGTGCCTCATGAGAGGCATTCGACAAGAGAAAAGGAAGAAAGAGACATGCCGCGGCGCCTCGTGAGAGGCATTCGTCAAGCGAAAAAGAAGTGAGGAGACATCAAAGGCATCGATTGAGGAGAATATAAGAATAAGAATAAGAAGAGACAATCGTGGACACAATGAACGGTCGTCGCATCCACACACAAAGACACCACCAAAACACGCCCACAGAAACCGTACATGTGTCGATTCACCACCGCGCCGTCGCGAGTTCAATATCGCGCAAGGTGAAGTCACCGCCCTCGTTCCCTTTCACTTCCGTTCGCATTCGCATTCGCAGTCGCCCTCGCGCCCTCGCTGCCTTTTGATCCTAGACGCCAGTCGCGTCACGCTCTTTGTTGTTAATGATGTAGCTTTTCTTTTCCCCTTCTCGCTTGTCGAAAGTCCTCAAAACAAATTCCTAAACCCATTCTCTCCATAGGTCCTCGCAAGGTCCTCACGACATGAATCTTGGTAGAAGAAGGCTTTTCGGTCTCATTCTTTGGCTCCTATCCATTGCCCATCGTCCATCGTCCACACCTACCTTCCTGAGTTCAGTCAGTCCAGGCCAGTCCACACTTCTCGCAACGATCAGAACAGTCCAAAATACGAGCGCCGCGAGCAGTGTTGTGTGTGTTGCACTGTCACTGTCTCTTAGCGGTGATATCTCAAACGATCAAACAACATTTGGTGATAAGAGGCGGGAAAAGGGGGATATTGGTTGACGTTTAACATTCAACGATCATTACCTGTGGAACTTGCAAAGATGAAGTACGAGAACAGGTATGTATCGTCTCCTCCGCTTCTCTCGCTCGCTCACGCGCCACGTCGCATCGTTTATCGTTCCCCATGTATGGCGCATTCATCCCACGTTCTCAGACTGTGGAGTCAAACGCGTGATACTGACACTCGTGCTTTCTTCAGACATCAACGCCAGTTGAGAAAGGCTTTCGCAGAAAAGGTAAGTCGTCCCCTCTTCCTTCTGGGCCGCACAATTTGCCGTGTGGGTTTGCTGACTTGTTCCGTTTGTTGCAGGTCATGATTAGACATGTGTACAAACACACTTTCACAGATGAGGCAGTCCATACTTGCGTAAGTGCCTGAATGCTCCTCTCCTTGGCAACAACCTCTCCGATGCGCACCACGTCTATTCTTATATCATATATCGACGCTGACTTGGCCATTAGAAGGAGATCCTATCCAACCCCGGCATTCAAGCCGACTTGGTCGCTGAGATCAAGATCACCCTCGCGGAGAATGCCAGCGAGAAGCACGCCGGCGACAAGATCACCTGGACAAGAGAGGCTCGGGAGGTGTTGAAAGAGCTCTTGAAAGAGTCACACCCCCGAGCAGTTGCGGGCCATGGCCACACTTTCTTGGTCCAGCTTAGCCAGCGAGCAGACGCCCTCGAGAGGGCATTGGGCCTTGCCCCTCAAGAGGTGTCATCAAGTAATGTGCCCGCCGGGTTGGGAGTGGCGTCCTCTGTGGTTGCAACGGCGCAATCACAAGAAGAGTCCACGCCGGTGAAACCGGGTGGCCCACCGGGGCTGGCCATGGAAAATGCGCTCGTTGAGAAGGGCAGACCAGATGAGAGGGGCAGGATGGCCCGGAGGCTGCTTGAGCTGGAGTCTGAGTGTACGCGGTTGCGAACAGACAACCACCACCTCAGACTCGCCCAGGGATTGGCACGTCATGCTCAAGGTCAGCTTGTGGCAGAGCACCAGGCTGAAGTACAAGACCTCAACGCTCTCGTCGAGGCCCGCGACAATGAGATCCGGGCGTTGAACGCACGACTCACCGACCAAGCCGAGACGATCTTCCGGTTGGTCATGGCCCAGTACCCAGAGCATGAGAGGGATGCTCTGTTGGCAAGACGATGATTTGGGTGCCACCTGCTGGAAGGTTTGGTGCAGGCGAAGGGGCTGGGGTCTTGGGGAGGGATGGCAACGGGCGTTAGCAATGGCGTTGAAACGAGATCAAGGAGGAGTACGGTGGGAAGGGAGACGGTGTATGGGTTTGATCATGGGGGAGAACTGGGCTCACACTGCCGGGGCGATGATGTAGAGAGCGTGGAGGTGAGGACCGCTTGGCAGTCTCAGGTGAGAAGGCCAGAAAGAGAGGCCATCGAAAAGGAATGAACTAAAGATTCGTTCCCTGCACACCCCGAAGTTCATTTCGTAACGTGACAGTCGAGACTGCCGGTGGATGGAACATCTGCTGGCAGAGCTGTCGTCCAACAAACGTGAAGCTGAGCTGTCTAGCCCTGTACCGCGGAGATCTGGGAGAAAATCTGAAAGATGACTCCTCGCGGTGGGGAGGTCTTCCATGCGGCTGAACGGTAAGCATGATTGATGTCTATGACAGAAGCGAGACAGACCGCCCAGTAGAAGCCACAAAGAGATTTGGTGGTAACAGCATGTTGCAACAATGACTCGAGAGTTAAGGAAACACGGAAATGAGACAGGGGGCCAAGTGTCGACATCTGATATACGAGACACGGGATGAAGAAGACCAAAGATATGGCATGACGCAGAGACAAGTGAGCCCAAATTAGCCTCCAAAGCATTGACTGGATGAAAAAGCAATGCCAGAGTTGAAAACACAACCGACAGAGTGCCATGAAGCTGATGCAACAGTAACCACGGGAGGCTCGTATAGGATGAACTTTGTCTTGTGGGAGAGTTTGGAAAGGGGAGGTGAGTTGAGAACTTGAGACGCAGACTGAGATACGGAGGAGTATTGCACCACCTACATACGGTAGTGCGGAGTACAGGGCCCAGAGAGGACAGCCATTCTCACCGCCAAAGGAGCCTCTGCAGGCCGTAATACTCAGTACTTGGCACTGCTAGGTACGAGTAGGTATGTGTGCACCGACCCAGCCCTGTGGAATGAGAACCAGGGAGGACGATTAGCGGTGATGGATGCCTAAACGCTAGTGTGTCCCACCGGTGGAGTCCATCATGTCCGTATCTCGTATTATTGTTTGTACGGTATTACAGTGCCAATGCTCTCCTCGTTCCTGCACGTCATAACGAGGCACTACGAACTGCTACTTAACTAGCCACCGTACTACTTGCTACTGCTGCCTTTTCCACCAACCATGCAACCATCTTCCCTCGCACCACCTCCCTATTCTTCCCTAGGGCGAGTGCCCAGAGAGTCCAAGACCACTAGATTGAACCGACAGGGCTTTTGGTTCTGTCCTTTTGCTCGCGCCCCTACTGATCCAGTGATCCTGGATCCCGACGCTTCCATCCATCACCGCCCCGTGCCATGCATTCGGTGTGCAACAATGACAAAGCCACGGGAGACCAGAGGACCAAAGTCCCCCGGCGCCTCCAATACGAGTCTCCCACGATCATTCTCCGCGGGAGGCGCACAATGCCATGTCCCCGATTCTGCAACCCTGGCCAATCCACCATCCTCTTTTCGGGGGTCAATATGCGCATCTCCAGCCCTAAGGCCAGCAGGGGTCCAGAGCTGTCAATCGGTGAGGCAGCAGTGTTGTTTCTCCTGCTGACACCTACAGTAGCACTCTGGGAACATCATACGGACAATGAGATGGACACGTCTGTGGGAATGTTGTATAATAGTCCGCTGGACTCCTGTCCGAATCACTCTCCCCTCACCAATATATTTCGCAATCATCCATCAAAGCTCCCACCACCGACAACCACCATCGACCAGCGAGTCCGTGCTCTCCCCTTCAAATTTATCGACAGATTAGCGAATACCAACCCCTCTTCCTGGAAATCAACAAGACTCTATAAACCGCCTTCATACATGATCGGCTCAATCTCCATCCATCCTGCCTTTTCTCCGTCACTCTTGACTTTGCAACAATCGCCGCCAATACGACCATCATCACCACCTCCGTCCAGCAAGATGTGCAAGGCAAAAGTCTCCCTTCTCAAGGGTATGCGACCTCATTTCTCCAATCAACAACATGTCACCTCGACCCAAAAGATCCTTTCCTCGACATGTTCGACCTCGTGCATCTACTGTGACGTTTGGAAACTCGCTGCTCTGATCGCTTCGCATGTTCCTCTACGGGCCCGATACAACCTTCCACCTAGTTCTCCGACGACTTCACCAACATGCTCTCGACCATCTAGCCCGATTGCATTCTCATCAACATTCTCCACGTCAATGTCAACATCGCCCGGAGATATTGCCTCCGTATCGAGGAAAATCGAAGCTCAAATCCAAGCTCAGCGATCACAGCTTAATTCCATCCTCAGTTTCTGCACACTATCCGGAGCTGATGAATGCGAGGGTCTAAGAATGGCTCACGACCGATGTTCAGCGGCGGTAGAAGACCTCCTCGACCAAGAAGAAGATCTCGAAGAAGCTCTCCTCGAAGACCTCCAAAAGCAACAGTCCGTCTATGACTACGATTGTGACCAAAGCCCTGCTTCACAATACACATATCCCGACATTAACGGCTACTCTTATTCTCACCCGTATTCATACCCTCAGGAACGACGACTGAGTGCTGTTGATGTAGCTATTTGATTAGCGAGTGGCCGGTGCTGTGTACGATTACAATTACGATATACGATATACGATTTTTGTCTTTGTTTGAGATGTTCAACGGGATACCAGCGACCTGCAACAAAAGCAAGCGATTGATTACATTCTGGTCTGTTTCAGGGGGATTTTCAGATACCAGACTGGAAGACATTGTCCTACGAGACATGGAAAAGAAACGGGGCGGCAGCCTGCCCCTGGTCGGGAACTGTGGGACGGGATTATACGACAAATAGCCCATGTATTGTGTCAATCTCCATATGGAACAAGATATTTCTCTGTCCTTCCTGTTTTCCTTTACACTACCTACATTGCTCTGGCTTCTACTTTCGTACGCATCTGCATGTGATCGCATGATATTTTCCGACTATGCGCCTTTGGGAGAAAAAGAGATGCAAAAACTGAGCCCGGGCCAACACGGCCTATTGACCACAGCTCTAGAACATGTTTCTTCGGACTTTTCATCCGTCAGCCGACCCAAGGTTACGAGTAGAGGATACCTTTATTGCTAACGGTGTACGAATAGGATACAAAGATTGGGGGAATGCCTAGCGACATACGCTACCGTTTACCATATCAGGATACTCACGGGCCTCCGCTTGGGATCAGACCACCGTGGTCCATTGCAGGTGGCTTCGTTCTACAAGGTTGGTGACACACGCACGGACAGTGAGCATCGAGGGGAAAAAGGGTGTATCGTCGACTAGCTAGCATCGCACCCGCTCGGGTCGCCGCCCACAATATCCACGCCCTCGTGGAAATGGATTTTTTTTTGGGCTACTGTATCTGGAATATTGTCGCTGGCGTTTGTTTGACTAGTGATAGATGAACCGATGAAAATCTAACCCGACTTTCCTATTGTCCGAACCATTACCTACAACCTAGTAGCTAGTAGATCCTGTCAATGAGGTGTCGAACAGCGACGACTACTCCGAGCTCTCAGGTATGATGGATCTTCATCACGACAGCGGCCCTCCCACGAGGGTTTGTGCGATTTCCAATAAATCATATCAACAATCAGCAGAATTTGTACGGAGAATACGAGTGCTCCGTACTGGAATGGTTCGTTCATGAGAAAATGATGATTATTTGATGGCGGGCGGTGACCCCAGGCCGGGATGGTGATCTGCCTACATATCCCTGACCGATCATGATCTGAGGCATGAGAGGCGTCAACATGGTTGCTTGCTTGCTTGCCCCAGGATACCAGGGTCTGATTTTTATCCGCGCCGGGGGCTTTCCTTGCACCTTTCTTTCACTCTGGGGGCTGAAAACGCCGACGGTCAGTCAGGTCACTGACATTCCGATAGCCTGTAGACACCCAAGTCCCCAGGGGAGCTTTCTGAGCACTGCAGTTGCCCTTCGCAGCAGAATCGAGCACCGAAGCAGAGAAGACTCGAGAAAGAAAGCATAACTGTAGTCTGGAGTGGCTAAACAGTCCTTGTGGCTTACACATTAGTTGCTAAACAGTCCTGTGGCTTGCACATAAGTCGCGCAGACCGCCTCTGCCATAAGCCTGACGAAGCCCGGCGGAACTTTGGTCCCTTGCGACGTGCAGCTTGCAAGCCACAGACTGAATACGAGGTTGCACTTGGTACAATACCAATGAGGACGAAGACGACGGTTGTGGCTTTCCCGAGCCCTCGTTCTCACAGCCGCCTGTACTTTAGACCGTCGTGCCACCGCGCATTGTATCATTCGCATCGCATCGCATCGCATCGCATCGACACTGCCTCGAGCGACGCAGCCATACGCCTACAGAACGTCGCGAGTCCTCGCATGGGGATTGTCTTATCGTCATGCGTGTCTACGAGTTCCTCTGTTTGAACCGAGACTTCCTTGACCCTCAAGAGACTTGATGGCAGCTCGCCTGGTTTCTCTCACCTACTGACCAATTCGACTACGCTGTCCACTACCACGCCATTCCCCGGGTTGATGAGAGAAAAAGCCACAATCACAAGCCCTCACCATTCTCTACCTATCCAAAGAAAACGTATGTAACCAATTAGCGGCGCGCTACGAGCTGAGTTCTCCATGCACCTCCAGGTCTTTGTGTGACCATCGACCATCCAACAGCAGCGTCAGGAAATTCACTCCGAAGTGGCAGACACAACAATCCCCCCCGTCCTCCAATTTCACTAACACTAAGGATTAGGATGATGTCTCCAGGGTGAGGACTTGTGTCAGTACGAGTACGGCACAGTTCGCACTTCCTGACCTTCGCGTTTGGATGGCCTGACTCACTGTACTTTTACAACGGTAAGGATTATCCAAGCGGTCTCGCGTCGCCTCATTGAACACAGCAGGGCTCGGAAATTACCCAGTGTATGCTGTCCCTCCATTCAGCCTCTTCCCTTCTATCCTGTGATTCTTGGCAGATGTTTCTAGAAAAAAGACAAGCTCTTGAACATGTCCCGGCCCTGCCTGCAGATCTCCCACATCTATCTGCCGACGAGGACCGACAGATCCCTTTTATTTTCAAGATCAAGACGAACCATTTCCTCACTCTAATGTTTCACCTTGGGAAGCTGGGATCGGAAGGTAGGTTGCGATCCGTCGTCGACGGAGGTCAGGCTTCAAGACACTCAACCTGCCTTGGTCTAGATGCAGCGTGGGCTCTGCCAGCCACCAGCGTGGTTTGGGCTGGCCCGGAATTGTTTTCCCTCATCGCCCTCCTAACACATATCGTGTCACGTAGCAGACGCTGTACCGGTAGGCAAGAAGACCAGGGTGCTGATCGCCTCATCTGCGATCAGAAGGGGATTGACCTTGATGCCGGGACTGGTTGGATTCACCTGTTCCCCTTCCACACCTTTAACAACAGACTTGACTCCTGTACTTGTTGGTACTTCCCTGCTTACCATGCATCCGCGAGCAACAAAGTTCGTGCCGTCGACGAAGCCATAAACTCTTTTGTTATCCTAACAAGAAGATCGTGATCGTTTGCTGTGTTCGGCACCAATCACCAATCATTCAATCTACAATAGAGTAGAGAGGAAGCATCGCCCCACGCCTGTTCTGCTTAGCAGAACCATACGAGACTTCCAGAGCCTCTGTTCTTGTGGATCGTCCGACGGGCGATGGCTTCATCCGGTCCATCCAACCGCAACACAAGCCGAGTTTCCGCATCCGAAGACGATGCAAGCGCTGTGCACACACAACCCGATCCCACCGAACTCGATCTGGCGGAATCCCCACCCGCCGATGACGGCCCACCCGAACCACCGCAATCAGCCAGGTCAAGAGCACGATCGTCCCAAGCATGCGTCATGTGTCAGCAGAAAAAGATCCGATGCACGGGTACCCAGCCGTGTGAAAACTGCCAACGCCGTCGCTGGTCGTGCAGATTCAATGCCGACGGCGACGGGAGGAGGAAGACCACCAACCACCGCATTGTCCAAGAACTCAACGACGCCAAAGAGCAGGTGAGCCGGCACCGACAAATGATCTCGGGCATCTTCGCCATCGTCAGAGTGGGCGAGCCCGAAATCATCAGAGAGTTCTTTGACGAAGTACGACAGACGGAAAAAGTCAACGACGTAGCCAACTTTGTTCGCGCCAAGGTAGACGACGATGAAAGACTTCGAGAGGCTTTCCAGAGGGTTGATTGGGGACCTGACGCACAGTTGTGACTTTGTGTCTTTTCTTGTTTCCATCTCATTGCATGAATTCCCTTGGCTGGGAAAATTTCTGCTGATGAGGGGCACTTACGAGAAGGTACGATTCTAGTTCCTGGCCGAGGCAGCAAACAAGGCAGAAATCATTCCACATACCGTGAATTGGACTGGCTGAAGTAAGATGAGACATTCCATGTCGGTAACAAGGGAGCAACAAGTTACAACAAGAGGCTTGTGGAAGTCGACGAGTTGCGGGGGTCCGTTCCCTTGCCCACCGATCGAATGAATAACGCCATGTTGATGGTGTGACCATACGTTTTGCTCAGGAAGGTGAGTTAAGTTGGGCATAAGACGGCAACTTGCCTCTCCTTCCGTCCACCCTTTTCATAGAGCATTGGAAAAGAAATCAAGTCGGGCGAAATGGCAGATGCATACAAGGTACTGACTGCTTCAGTCTGACCTAGTCAGATGAACAGACCAAGGCAGAAGGACATGTGATATATCCGGCTTGGGACGAGATTTTCATATATGCTGGTGCTGGTGGTTAAAGCCTGATGAGTCTTCAAATGGCCTTTTTAGCTCGGCTGTTCTTTTCCCTTCTTCTTTTTTTTTTGAGAAGGCTGCTCTGACCTTGTCGGTGGGGTCCACAATGTGACCCAAGTCTTGAAGAGGCTATTTCATGGGGCACCGGGCAGGTATGTGTATCCCGAAGATTTTAAATTCTACCTTAACCACAGTGTCGGATGACGGACATTGACGAGGTTCTAGGGACTCAAGGATCTTAGCTTCTGAGGGAGGAGTTTCATTGTTGTGGTACTCGTCAGACGTGACTTGAGCTTTGCTAGAAACAAGAGGGGAAAAACGAAAAGAAAACGAATGAGATCAACCTTCTGCTTCCCCGGTTCATGTCTTGCGGTTCTCCTCCCTACTGCTTCTGCTGTTGTTGCTGCTGCCGTTGATGAACCCAAATCACGAACGAGGAGAACAATTTCAAGAAGATCATGCTGCTCTCAAGCCATCGACAACCGGTCATAGACGTTTTGTTTTCCACCATCGAGAACGATCTACAGAATCATGTCCTGTCCCGTATGCCCCCAACTGCCGCCTGATCAAGTCAATGCGAATGACGCCTTGCTTTTCCTTTCCGAGTTTTGCCTGTTGTCACACAGCGATATGTTACGTACCGGACACCATAAGCTTAGGCCAGTAGGCAGACAGACCGAAAACGCTGCTTCACAAGGGTGTCGGGTATGTAACGTATCACACAAGGCTGCTTTATGCTCCAGACGGGCGTCTGGGGGGGGGGGGGGGGTTTCACGTATCACGTTTGATGTCTAGTGGTAGGCTCTGTTGAGGACGCTTAATGGTCAATACTACAGATGTGGACGATGGTCAAAGGGCTTCTAGGGAGAGAGAATTCATTACTCATTGGACTAGCCAATCTAAATTCTAGCTAGCAAGCGGAAACAATCTCAAAACATCCCATGTAAGTCAAGTCAGTATGTGATCCATTGCATCTTTCCGCTTCCAACACGCATTCAGCCGATGAAGTGTACCCGTGAAACTTCCGATATCCCCATTTCCTGTGACTGTCGAGATGGCGTATTGGATCTTTCCTAGCACATACATCGTGGCAAGTCAAAAGGTGTCCGATACGAAAGATGGACGCTTCAGAACAGGGAGTCCTTGTCTCGGCGATATCCCTCGTGCGTATTACGCTATGGTCGTCGAACCGGTGTGTGCTTAACCATTGAGGAGTGCTGGGGTTGAGCTGCTGTGGACGAGGCGATGATTACCTGCGTCGACTGGTGCATCCGGGAAATGGTAGATGAATTGCCAGGAACGGGGGGTTTTGAGGCCCGATCTCCAAAACCGGTCGAAAGCAATGTAAACTCCTGGGAAAGCAGTCTTAAGGAGGTCGAATTTGGGGGGAAATAGTTGTGTTCGTGTGGTGAGTTTGTAAGCATGGCACATACCACGACCGGAAACATCGACCTTCTTCGTTTTCCAATTGCCGATTGCTACCGCCCATCCATCCTCTTCTTTCGCCCAGGAAGCTTTGGGAAATTTCTCCCGGTCACCTGGGCTGCGAGGGGACGGACGACGGGGATAAGCTCTTAACATATCGCTTTGGCCAATGGCAAACCTGAAGGAATTGAATTGATCTCTATCGCAGCGTCCAATCAAACAGCACGGGTTGAAGTAGTCGTCGAACGCAAGCTGCATGAACGTGGTCTGACCAAACGAATCGAACAAGCCGTCAAAGAAAATAACTGCAACGGTCCCTGCCGTGCCTTCGTCGATGGAGACTTCTCCAGATTCTGCATCCCAGTGATGTGCCAACAGGTTCGCCTTCGCAGAAGCCACCTGCCAAAAGCCGTTGGGAATTCCTTGCTTGATCCTGAAGCCATAGAGACAGTTGAAGTTCCTGACAATTGTTGGATGAATCAACACTGTTCTTCCATGTATCACCTGGCCCCCCGAGAGAAACGCGCGCATCTCAGAGTCCTCGAAACTTATACTACGCAGACCTTCAAAGGTTGTTCTATAATACCTTCCAGAATCACTGTAGAACAGAAATATTCCGATTGACATCCTTCTGCCCTTTTTTGCCCGTTTTGGCATCCGAGAACATCCAAGCAGTCCAACATAGACGTCTAGCGACCAGGCTAACAGAGCAAGGTGAATTTCTAGGCCTGTGTTGGTGAGCGCGTAAGGATTGAGATGCCCGCTCGAGGCGAAGTGACTCCCGTAGGAAACATCATCGCAATCCTTGAAGTATGCAGGTGAAGGGGCCAGCAAAGTGGGCTTATTCCGAGCATTTGTCCAAGCAAAAATCGATTGATCGCTGGAACGTTTGATGATCTCTTCTTGTAGCCTCATGAAAGCTTTCTTTCCTTCTCCGTATATCATTGGCATGTTGACATCGAAGATTCCAATCAAACTGTAGGCCACGTCCTCCACTCGTGTGGTTTCGCGGTCCGATGCCCATGACATTCTCTGTGCGACAGAATACTGCTCCAGGTTGCCATCTCCAAGGACCGACTCCGGAATGCGAGTGATACAGGCAACGACTTTTTGAAGGTCCTGTTTTGTGCCGCAGGAGCTCCAGTCTGAGCGATAGAACTCGACTCTTTCGGGCGCTATCAACTCCTGTAACGTCCATCCGCGTGTAAACCATACACTTCCCCCGAATCTTGAATTACTCGTGATAGGCTCGTCTCCCGGTACGTCGGAGAGATAAACCAGACAAACTGTTGAGTTCTTGTACCATGCATACATGGAATTGATGGCTTCCGAAAGCTCTGCGCTGCTATCCTTGTTGATGCAGCATGTGTCGATCCAGATGTATTCTACTTCATGTTTCTTGAATGCCCTCTTCGCCGAATTTCGAACTTTCGCAAAGCCTTCTTTTCGCCGAGCTTTAGAAAGATGTCGCATGTCCTTGAACTCAACCTCTCCTTTGTCCCATCTGTGCGACAGGATCGCGTACTCGGGAATGCTATCGTCCGCGAACCATTCGAGCTGCAGGGTCCGACAGTTGAGCAGCCTCATTATTACTTCGACGAGGTGCGGGAATGGTCGATGAAATGGCGGTTGACGCGGACGATTTCCACTGAATACCGAGTCAGACTCCTGGCCGGGACAGGACTTCTTTATCTTTCAAAGAAGGAAAACCTTTGGCAAGAACTTTTGGTCAAGGAAGTAGTTAGGCTGTGCTGAGGCTGTGAGACGCTTTCGAAGCCCGAACGGTCGGCGCTTAGCTATTCATGATGGATACTATTGGTAGAGGTTCTTGGGGTGAAACATTCAACCATAGTGGCCCCTCAACTCACACAGATACCGGACCGTCAACCCGAATTTCACGTATGTAAATTGAAGACTGATTGTAATGGTCCAACACTCATTCGCTAGCGCCGTACAATACCATGAAGAAGCCACCGACGCTGTTCAATAACTCTCTTCTTGGGCGACCGTTCCAGCCAGCAGGAAGCAAATACCATCAATCCCTGAGATGCCACGTCGGTCTGACGATGCACTGAATGGGCTTACAATCTCGTGATCTGAAGATTCCGCTGGGATTACACTCAGTGCTGGCAGCCCCGCAAACTCAATCCCTTCTGATGGTAGTGTCGATCAGATATGGGTCGACTTCATTGCTGATGATAAGATATGAAGCCAGATCGACATGTGGCTCGCATGGTTCGTCAGTCGTAAACCCGAACATGATAGAGATGTCTTCAGACAGCGGCCCCGTCAACGTCCATACCGTTAATCTCACGTACTGCACCCTCGGTCTTATCAAAGACGGCTTTCAGGTCAATCTTGAATTCTGACATTCGTACACCGAGGATTTTGAGAATGTTTGTTTGTCTTGAGTCCAAGGTGTCTCCCTCTCTGCATACAAGATAGCCCTCATCGTCGTCCACCATGGCTCCATCCGGTCGCTCCTCCAGCACTACCTTTCCTTTCAATATGCGAGTGGGAATTCCAAGCTTGCGAAGGGTCGGTTCAATTTGGATGGGTAGGGGGTCTTCCTCGCCGCCTGGTACTCCATACATGGTGTGAAGCTCCCCCGGTGGTATTCTGACCTCTTGCGTTGCGATCGTTCCACTTCTGGCATAATCCAGGTTGAGAGTGCCTTGGAAGTATTGTTCTATCTCTGACGGCTCTTGGTTTGTGAATAGCAGTCCCATCTCGCCCTTGACATAAGGACCCAAAGCACTGACACCAGGTACACACTCGGTCTCGGCGGTCTGACCTAGTCCTACCATCATGACTTTTGTTTTGCCCATCATTATTCTTGAGTCACTGAGATCTGATCTGACTTGTTTGAGGAAGTTGTTCCTCATGTTCTCTACTCCAAAAACCCAGATATAGTTGTACTGTTCAGCGGCCTCTTGCACATTTGCAGCGAGTCTGCGGACCAATTCTTTCCGGTTCTTGTGAGTTTTGGAGGTGTGCACGATGCGATTGCGCTTAGAGGGAGGCATTTTGGTCGAGTGAAAGTCAAGGAAATAAAATCAACTTCGTAGAGAGAGGAACTCGGAATCGCAACAAAATGAACCTCGCGAGGACCTCGTGAATACCGTCGTAGTCGGTTGTTGAATGCCAGACTGGAAAACTGCGTCCTTCCAAAAAAATATTTTAGCGTCATGGAGGTCAAGTCCAGGGTGTACCGTGTAGGGAAAGTCGACCGGGCTCCCCAGACTTGCCACTAAACCGCATTCAAGTGCTGGTATTCTCCCATACTGTAGATTAGAGCCTAATTTATAGTGATTGCACTCCGTAGAGCCTCACGCGATGGCCCAAATCTTCACTTGGCCCTCGTTTGGAGCCACTAGGCTGCCGGGGGTGATGGATGCGAATACGAGTACGCCAACCGGCGCATTCAGACGAGATGGTGGTCACTCTGATGAGTTGGCGATTCGCCGGTGATAATGCGACTTCATCAATTGGCGCGGTTAAGGATTTTAACCCCGATCGGAAGCAAATTTCTCCGGCCGCCGTCCCACTTTTCCCACTTTCTCCAAAAAGCTTAGAATTGCCTTGGTTCTCTTGTTATTAGGGAGAACAACCTGGTAGATTCATCAATGTAGCGAGCTGCCATCGACGAGTCCATACGGGCCCGAAGTGACTGTTACAGTCCGCAATGAGGTAAGACGCGAGCGCATGATGCAAATGCCGTTACAATAGATCGCCTAGTCACTCCCAGATAAACGACATTGAAACATTCAATTTATTCCCAAGCATTCTTGTTGTTGCCTGTTGTTGTCTTCTGTTCGCGCTCCCACAAACCTCTGTTCTCTCTTTTCTTCGTCTTTCTTTTCCCTTGCCTTGCCTGGCCTAGCCTTCTTGACAGCTGGCCGTTGATCATCCTATCTCCATTCCTCGTTTCTCTCTTTGTAGACACTCTCACCATATCATGGCAACAGAGAATAGTCAAACTCAGCCGATAGTCGACGAGAAAACTGCCCATGACCCTGCGCGCTCTCAATCGTTGATATCAGATCGACCTCAGGCAGACGGGGCAGCTGCTCTGGAAAGAGTCACCAGCCATGCTGAAGACTATCCGCACGGCCTCAAACTGGCGTCCGTCCTCCTGAGCATTTACCTGTCCGTGTTTCTCATTGCGCTGGATCGAACCATTATTGCCACAGCACTCCCAAGAATCACCGACGAATTCAACAGTTTCGGTGATATTGGTTGGGTACGATTGGTCTCCCTGGTTCTACTCCGCGACATCTTGCTAACGTTATTGATAGTACAATGCTGGCTTCTTGCTGCCCACGACGGCTCTTCAACTATTCTTTGGTCGGCTATACACATTCTACTCGCCAAAGTGGATCTTCATGAGCCTAGTCGTCGTCTTCGAGGTCGGATCAGCTGTCTGCGGCGCCGCGCCAAACTCGGTCGGCTTCATCTGGGGACGAGCTGTGGCAGGACTCGGTGCGGGCGGCCTATTCAATGGAGCCATGATCTTGATGATGTACGCCGCCCCTCTCGAGAAACGTCCCACCTATATGGGCTTGCTTGGTGCAGTGTTTGGACTTGCTTCTGTGGCCGGACCACTGCTGGGTGGAGTTTTTACCACCAGCGTCACCTGGAGATGGTGCTTCTATATCAATCTGCCAATCGGTGCCGTGGTCTTGGTCTTTCTCTTCTTCGCTATTGACAATACCAAGCCAGCCCTTGGCGACCTCCCGTTCAGGGAGAAGCTTCAGCGTGTCGATATCCCAGGCACTCTTATCTTCATGCCATGCATGGTATGCCTTCTCCTGGCACTGCAGTGGGGCGGACAACAGTACCCATGGGGTGATGGACGCATCATTGCCCTGTTTGTCCTATTCGGCGTCTTGCTCGTTGTGTTCATTGCCATCCAAATCTGGCGGCAAGAGTCAGCAACGGTGCCACCACGCATCATGACGAATAGAACGATTGCTGCCGGCATGTTCTATGCGTTCTGCCTCGGCGCCTCCTTCATGCTCGTTGTCTATTATTTGAGTATTTGGTTCCAGGCCATCAAGGGCGACTCTGCCATCAGAGCTGGTATTTCCACCCTACCGTTCATCCTGTCTCTGGTAGTAGCGTCCATCATGTCTGGGGTCTTTGTCAGTCGAATTGGCTACTATATGCCATCCATCATTGCCGGTGGTATCTTGACACCCATCGGTGCTGGACTGTTTACACTTTTTGACGTAGACACACTGCATCCGATGTGGATCGGTGTCCAGGTTCTCTTCGGCTTTGGTGTGGGCCTTGGTCTCCAGCAGACCAATATTGCTGCTCAGGCTGTTCTGGACAAGAAGGACGCTCCTACTGGAGTCTCTGTTGTCTTCTTTGGACAAGGTCTTGGAGGCACCATCTCGGTTGCAATGGGTCAGAACATCCTCGACAATAAACTGATATCAGGGCTGAAAGGCGTCAACGGCATTCGACCACAAGATGTCGCAAGGACCGGCGCAACGAGCTTGAGAAAAGTCTTCACACCTGAACAATTACCCGTGGTTCTCAAAGTATACAACCACTCGCTCGTGATTGTCTTCTACGTTGGGCTGGCCTTTGCTTTGGCTGCGATAATGGGTGGTATTTGGATGGAATGGAAGAGTGTTAAGAAACCCAAAGCCGCAAACGAAGAGGCTCCCAAGGACGAAGAGGCACCGCCGTCGACATGAGAGCTTGCTGATCTTGACGGCGTCCCAAGCCAGGGTCTCGTCGCACATTACACTCATACATACCATCGAAGCATCACCACAAGGACCGAATGTCGCTTCATCCCAGGAAGATCTCACTGGACACAAAGTTTTTGTCTTGACCGACTTGGAATTGAATCGATCCGATCAGATGGCATTACATGCCAAATACATCACTTCGACTGGATGGTGAAACTGAATTGATATTGTGAAGTCTGGTAACCATTTCTACGCTACCCTAGATCAAATCATTGTTTTATGATATGGTTTGGTAACCAATCGACAATGAGCACCAAAGGTGTGCTCGATTGTGTACAGATCAGAGGGTGTGCACATATGGCCATCTGGCCAACATCTAGTACTTCAGACAAGTGTATGGTACCTACGAAGGGATCTGGCTTTTTTAAGCATCAGACAGATACTCTCTACTCATGTCAAGGGGGCTTTATGGTCACACAGACCAAGCAACCCAACCAAATTCGCTGATAATTCAATGTATTACTAGCAGAGGAGTAATGAAAAGGTTACCCAGATTTACCTCTCATATTCAAGCAAATAATTCCATGATGCGTATGTATGTCTATGTTAGGAACCTATCTCTCTGCCCAAGTGTATTTCATACCATGTATAGGATCCATCCATACGCTGCTTTAAGTCGACGAGGTATCGACTCCGCACTCATTTCCTCGATCACATAATGTACGTAAGTAGCCGTATATTTGTTGTGGCCTCTTCCTCCAGACCGCCTTGCGTATACTCTTCAACCCAGCTTCTTTCTGGCCGTCTATTCTTCACTTGGCCATGGACGACAAAGCCCAGCGTCGCCCGCCTTCTGGCGCCTCCAAATCCACCTTGACCTCGCAATATCTAATAGCATACAATGCCGTCTGCCTCGCCCTCTGGTCCACCGTGACCCTTCGAGCCGCCCTCCTCATTCCAACGCTCCTCACGTTCGGTAAACTCGAGAACCTCTTCGAAGCACTATTCCCGCTGTTAAAATGGACTCAAACGATCGCTTTGTTAGAGATCGTCCATGCTCTAGTTGGTCTTGTCCGCGCGAGCCCTCTCACAACAGCGATGCAAGTGGCTTCTCGCATACTGGTAGTCTGGGTGGTGCTGGAGCTGTTCCCTCAGATTGTTCTCACAACGAACATCTACGGCCGCTCTGCACCAGGCTCGACTACCGGTCCGATCGCATTTGCAGGGATCATCACAGCATGGGGAATCACAGAAATCATACGCTACGGATTTTTCGTGTGGAAGGCGGCAATTAGCGAGAGAGTACCTGCTTCCTTGACCTGGCTGCGGTACAACACCTTCTTTGTGCTGTATCCGATCGGCATTACGAGCGAGTGTTTGCTCATGTACCTCGCCCTCACGCCAGCGCAGGAACAAGGGAAGAACATAGATTGGTTCCTCAAGGCTACACTGGGGATATATGTACCGGGAAGTTATATCCTGTACACGCACATGATGAGACAGAGGAGGAAAATCTTGAAAGGGAAAGGAAAATCTGCATAAATGACCAGGCGCATATACAGTATCGGGCTGATGCTGTCACATTTCCCGGTGTCTTTTTCTGGGGTCAGCCTAGGCCGCCTATTCTCGCCTACTCTGTGATTATGCTATGATTGCCCCCAGATAAATTTAGGTCATGGTCGCATGTCCAGCCAGAAGCTCAGAATATTTCAGCGCCATCTGCCCCAGGGACAAGCCATTGGGAACACGGCAACTAGAAAACGCGCTGATGAACTGGGCTCTCATGAACTAGGCTCTCGCCAAATCGCATGAGCCACATCAAGGGAACTTTTCCTTCCGATCCTTGGTGCTTAAATACTGGTAGACGCAAGAGAATTCATAGAAAATGCCTGGAAATATTCCAGATGCTGCATGGGGCATCGTTCTTCTGCCTAAAATACACAAACAAAGTGTGGAGAAAAAGTTTTGGAGTCTGGAAAAAGTGCGTCATAAGAACTGAGGTATATTTTATGAGGAATCACAGTATCGCAAGTCGTCGTACTACCGCATGCCCAATTGATCCGGGTGAGCAACATCCACCCAAACGGCGACATACGAGTTGGGCGATAGTGATCACTCTTATTACTGTCAAGGTTCTTCTTTCGCATAGTTCTTTCGCCAGAGTCATCGCCATGCCAGCAATACCCCCCTCCCAACTAATTTCCCTACAATCTAACCCGCAGAACATAAGGAACATATGTATCCTCGCACACGTTGACCACGGCAAGACTTCATTGACCGACTCCCTCATCGCTACCAATGGCATCATATCGCCCAAGATGGCGGGAAAAGTCCGCTACCTCGACTCGAGGCCGGACGAGCAAATTCGCGGCATCACAATGGAGAGTAGCGCAATCAGTTTATACTTCAGTATGATGCGCCGGGCACAGGAAGATGCTTCGCCAAAGAAGGAGGAATACCTGATAAACCTGATTGACAGCCCTGGCCATATCGACTTCTCCTCCGAAGTGTCCACGGCCTCGAGACTGTGCGACGCGGCGGTTGTGCTCGTGGATGCCGTGGAGGGTGTATGTTCGCAGACGGTGACGGTACTACGGCAGGTATGGATCGAGAAACTCAGGCCACTGCTCGTCATAAACAAGATTGATAGACTGGTTACGGAGTTAAAGATGAGTCCAGCGGAAGCCTATTCGCACCTCGAGAGGGTTCTTGAAGGCGTAAATGCTGTTATCGGCGGCTTTTTCGCAGGCGAGAGAATGGAAGAGGACCTGTTGTGGAGGGAGAAACTGGACCAGAAACGTGCTGCGAAAGAGCAACAGAAACAAGATGCGTTGAGCGAGACCGCGACCGAATCCGACCTAGATCAACAATTCGAAGAACGGGACGATGAAGATTTATATTTTGCCCCGGAGAAGAACAATGTCATTTTTGCGAGCGCTATCGATGGCTGGGCATTTACAGTACGGCAGTTCGCTAGCATCTACGAGAAGAAGTTGGGCATCAAGAGATCAATCCTTGAGAAGGTATTATGGGGCGACTTTTACCTCGACCCCAAGACGAAGAAGGTACTTGGTCAGAAACACTTGAAGGGAAGAAATCTTAAACCCATTTTTGTTCAACTCGTGCTTGATCCAATTTGGCAAGTCTATAATGCGACAGTGGGCGTCAACGGTGAGCGCGGAGACCCTGCACTACTCGAGAAAATCACCAAGTCATTATCGATTAAACTACCACCACATATCGCAAAGTCCAGGGATCCCAAGACCATATTGCAGGCTGTATTTGCGTCATGGCTGCCACTGTCGACGGCCCTGCTTGTCTCTGTCATAGAATACTTGCCCAGCCCACCCAGCGCCCAGGCCACAAGAATGCCCGAATTGATCGAAGACTTGGTTAGTACGAGGTATATTGACGACAAGGTGAAAGAGTCGATGATTGGATTCAGCACTGAGGCGACGGCACCGGTGGTGGCGTATGTTAGCAAAATGGTAGCCATCCCAGAAAGCGAATTACCATCGAAGAGGAGAAAACTTGGCGCAGCGCTGACGGCAGACGAAGCAAGAGAGCTTGCTAGACGCAAGCGTGCTGAAATCGCAAAAGCACAGGCCGAAGCCGAAGGTAACAGCAGTGTGGACGGGGTTACCAATGGTTTGAGCAATGCCGGAATAGGTGAAGAGGATGAAGACGAATTGACACCGGAGCAACCAGAGGACCCCGAGCATCTGATTGGGTTCGCTCGATTGTTCTCAGGCTCATTGTCAGTTGGTGATGAGGTTTATGTCTTACCGCCAAAATTCAACCCTGCATTCCCTCATGCTTCGCCGGAGCCGAAGAAGGTCCCTATCACGGCTTTGTACCTGCTCATGGGTCGGTCGTTGGAGCCGTTGGAGACAGTCCCCGCCGGCGTCGTCTTTGGCATTGAAGGACTGGAAGGGCACATCCTCAAAACTGGGACGCTATGTTCGCAGCTCGAAGGTGGTGTTAACCTCGCGGGCGTTTCGACTTTGAGCCAGCCCATTGTTCGCGTCGCCCTCGAGCCGACGAATCCAATGGATCTTAACAAGATGATACGTGGTTTAAGACTGTTGGAGAAGAGCGACCCTTGCGCTGTTTACGAACAGATGGAGAGTGGCGAGCATGTCATTCTCACCGCTGGTGAACTGCATTTGGAGCGGTGTTTGAAAGATCTGCGGGAGCGATTCGCGAGATGCGATATCCAGCCCGGCGAGCCTATTGTGCCGTATCGCGAGACAATCGTGAAAGCGGAAGAGATGGAACCGCCTAAGACCAAAAACCCGAGAGGGACAGCACTGGCTGTGACAGCTTCGAAGACAGTGACCGTGAGGTTGAGAGTGCGACCGCTACCCCGGAGTGTTACTGAATTTTTGATCAAGCACGGACCATCACTTCGACGACTGTATGCCGAGAAGCAGGCCCAAGAAGATGGCGTCGAAGCGGAGAAAGACGAAGTTGCAGATCTAGGGAATGAGACAGGCAACGAGCGGAGTATTCTGTCGCTTCAAGAGTTCCGGACACAGTTACAGGCTGTATTTGACGAAGTAAAGGAGGAAAAGGAAGTTTGGGCGAAAGTCATTCCGCGGATATGTGCGTTTGGACCTCGGAGAGTAGGGCCAAACTTACTCATCGATGCTACTGGAACAAATACGTGCAAACGATTCTTGCTAGAGCTAGGTGAATTGAAGGAAAGCGGTGGTAACGGAACGAGGAACGGACATGGTGAAGGGAGCGTCGATACAACGAGTTCAACGCACGACTTCTCGGACACGATTGCATATGCATTCCAACTTGCGACGGCCCAAGGTCCACTATGTCGAGAACCCACTCAAGGCGTTGCTGTTTTCTTGGAAGAAGTAGTCTATCAACCCGTTGACGACACCGATGCGAGCACTGAGTCTGGGAGATTGACCGGAGAGCTCATCACCAGTGTGCGGGAGAGTATCCGATCTGGATTTCTTGACTGGTCGCCCCGAATATTGCTTGCCATGTACTCTTGCACCATCCAAGCGACTCCCGACGTATTGGGCAAAGTGTACAGTGTCCTCACGCGGCGGAGAGGATCCATTCTTAGCGAGTCGTTATTGGAAGGGACGCCATACTTTACGATCGAGGCGACACTACCTGTCGCGGAAAGTTTTGGCTTCAGTGAAGAGATAAGAAAACGGACTTCAGGTCTGGCACAGCCCATGCTTCAGTTCATTGGATTTGAGATGATCGATGATGTTGACCCATTCTGGGTGCCGAGAAGCGAGGAGGAATTGGAGGACTTGGGTGTCCATGGTGAGAGAGAAAACGTGGCGAAGAAGTACGTGGATGGTGTGCGACGACGAAAAGGTCTGCTCGTAAGAGCGGCACGAGGTGGCCGAGACGCAGAGAAGCAAAAGACTTTGAAGTCAAATTAGAAGATGCTGCTGTGACGAGGTAGCTCTATGATGACGATGTGATGGCTCAAATGAGAATTGGATGAAATGAAGCCACGCAACAAATGTCCCATATCCATTGTCCTTCCTCCAAGCCTCCCAGGTTTCATGCCCTCGTTCCCTCTTTGTTTTCAGAAGTGACACATCTGGCGCGCGTTGCATAGCAGAACGTAGCGCCTGCTCCATGTCTGTGGAGTACACGTAGTACTTCTTGCATTTCCAGTAGCTGTGAGTCCAGTGGCACGGAATGTTTGGAGATTGCCCTCTGAAAGCATCCTATCCACCACACACACCCGTTTGGATCATGGCAATAGCTCAGTGGTACACACTTGATCGCAGACCCTTTTCCCACCAAACGCTTCGTTTGACCCGGTTGCGTGACTCGGTTTAGTGATTGCTGATAACTGTAACGATGTGACATGTCGTGCTCAACAGCTTGGATGATTCCCACGTCGTACTCCGTACGTCTTGAGCACGATATGGCGCCTGATCCAGAAAGATCGGTAAAGTTGTGCTCGCCGTAATAGTAAAAAATGGATGATCCTCAACCTTCATCCTTCCGCATCGTCAAACGACAATTTGATCTTCTTGCCCTTCTTCTTGGGCTGATCCTTCTTTGGCGTCTTCACTTCCCGGCCATCCTTGTCTTCCGACTTTGGCTTCTGTGCGTTTTTCGTCTTCGACTGACCATCTTCTGCATTCCCGTCTCCTTGGTCATCAACCTCGTCGCTCGTCACTACTTTCCCGACTTTCCTCTTTTTAGCATTCGCGGATGACCCGATCTCCGTGACTTTCTGTCTCTCGCTTTGCTGCTGCTGCTGCTCTCCTCCTTTACTGTCACGTTCGGCCTTCTCGGTGCTCGACCCATCCTCGAGGACGGTTTGACTGCCTTGCCTTTGTCGCCTCTCAAATTCGGCCTTCTCTACCGTCTCGCCTGATTCGTCCACGATGAGTGGTTCGTCTTCATCCCCATCGCCGGTTTTCAGACGGTCCTTTTTGGGTCTGGCGATCTGGACATTTGACCTCCCGTCTAGACCGCCGTATTCCCCTTTCAACTTACGGAGGAAGGATGGTTCTTGTTTGTTGTATTGTAAGTTTTTGGCGTTGAATGCCATTTTTACTTGATGTGCTCCGTACCGGTGTTTATATATCGGAACACAATATCTTATTGCGAGTGCTGAGGGGCCAGTTGTATCTTGCGGGAATCGTAACTGAAGTACGGTTAAGTTAATGTCAATGACAACCGAGCCTGGATAGACTCCGTGCAATGCTTGAGGTATAGTAGTGACCATTCCACAATGTGCTTTTGCGCAAGACTTTCGGCGTGGATTCGACATGGCTAAACCTCGGAATCTGATAAGATAAGATGGCCATCCGCGACTATTGGATTTTGCCTCCCCTGAGACTTGACAGGCCCCCGAACGTCAAGAGAGGCCTGTGTCTCTTAAGGCATCTGTCACCACCGTGGCTTTCACAATGACCATCGCAGTCCAAACGACGGTCGCATAGATGTTGTGGCCTCCTGCGCCCGCGCAGTGTGCGCGAGGCTATATCAGAACCTCTCAGAAGTTCAGACTACGACAACCGTATGCAACTCGAGCGGCCGCCATCCTTCGACGATACTATGCGAGTGATGCTGTCCATCGCAGCCCCTCTTCTCCTCTCGACCAGAACAACACCCTCGCACGTCCGTCGCGTTCCAGATACAATGACATCGGGGTACAGCAATTAAGCGACTATGTACATCCGCAAATCTTCCCCGCAGGCGCCACGCGACCACGGGCAGATCTCGTCGAGTTGTCCAAGGACCATTTGCGACGGCATGAGTTGCTTGGGAAAAACCAGGACAATGCACCGTCTATCGGCTTGGATACTCCGCCTATCTTCGGAACCACGCTGGACGAGCATTTCACCAAGTTGGGTATGGATGCTTCGGAACCATATCTGTCCTATGGCAAAGCATTCGTCAGGGCAAACACTCCTGAAAGACCGCGAAAATGGGTTATCAGAAGTGGTTGGACAAAGTACAACTCGGACATGACGACTGAAGAGGTGGATGCCCCGGACGAGATGATGTTGTCATTCGATGTCGAAACGATGTGGAAAGAAACACCATTCGCAGTCATGGCAACCGCTGCGAGTCCCACTGCCTGGTATGCGTGGATATCGCCCTATCTTCTTGGAGAATCAGACAACCCAAGGCAACTTATACCTTTGGGCGATCCATCGAAGCCACGAATTGTGGTGGGGCACAATATTGGCTATGATCGCGCAAGAGTCAAGGAAGAGTACGATCTGAAGCAGTCGAAGAATTTCTTCATTGATACCATGTCATTGCATGTCGCAGTGAACGGCATGTGTTCGAGACAAAGACCGACATGGATGAAACACAAGAAGAATAGGGATCTCAGGGACAAGATGGCCGGTGACCACAACTCTCTCGAACTGCAAAGAATGCTGGAGAACAAGACGTTGAGCGAGGAAGAGGAGGAATTGTGGGTTGGGAGAAGTTCCATCAATTCTCTGAGAGACGTCGCAAAATTCCACTGCGGCGTGACTATCGACAAGAGCCAACGAGACTTCTTTGGTGAGCTCGATCGAGAAGGTATTCGCGAAAGGATCGACGAGTTACTTGACTATTGCGCTGCAGACGTGGCCATAACCCACAAAGTCTTTCAGAAAGTCTTTCCAAATTTCCTAGAGACGTGCCCTCATCCAGTCAGCTTTGGTGCCCTGAGACATCTCTCGTCTGTCATCCTGCCGGTTGACGAGTCATGGGATCGCTATCTGGAAAGAGCCGAGGGCACATATCAGCAAAGGCTGAAAGATGTCGAGGACAGGCTCATTCAGTTGTCGGAGGCAGCACTAGCAGTCAAAGACCAGCCAGAAGTGTACACGACTGACCCTTGGCTTAACCAGCTGGACTGGTCAGGACAGGAGATCAAGTACAAAAAGACAAAGAAGAAGGGCGAGGCGCCAGTCCCTGTTGCCCGTCAGAAGAAGCCAGGTGCGCCTAATTGGTACAGAGACCTGTTCACCTCTAATACCTCTCCTCTCAATTTGACGGTCCGAACAAGAATCGCTCCGATACTGCTCAAGCTCTCCTGGGATGGATATCCTCTCATCTGGTCTGATAAACACGGCTGGACGTTTCGTGTGCCAGAAAAGGATGTTCTCAAATATGAGCTTAGCAATGTCGTGTCCTGCGACATGTCTGAGGAGACGAACCAAACACTAAAGTCTGACATGAAGAATGTCTACTTCAAACTACCACACAAAGATGGACCTACAGCTCGGTGTGTCACGCCTTTGGCGAAAGGATACCAGCAGTATTTTGAAGCAGGGACACTGTCTTCCCAATTCGCACTGGCGAAAGAAGCTCTGGAAATGAACGCATCGTGCTCATACTGGATCTCGGCCAGGGACAGGATCACCTCCCAGATGGTCGTTAGAGAGGCAGATCGAGATCCTTCTCTTGGCGGCAAAACAAATCAAGGCTTCATCCTTCCCCAAATCATACCGATGGGGACGATCACGCGTCGTGCTGTGGAAAACACCTGGCTCACGGCTTCAAATGCCAAAGCCAACCGTGTGGGCTCTGAGCTGAAGGCGATGATCAAAGCACCACCAGGATATTGCTTCGTTGGTGCAGATGTTGATAGTCAGGAGCTTTGGATTGCCTCACTTGTCGGCGATGCTCAATTTCAATTACACGGTGGCAATGCGATAGGCTTCATGACTCTTGAGGGAACCAAGGCTGCAGGCACCGATCTGCACTCGAAGACAGCAAAAATTCTAGGGATTTCCCGAAACGATGCCAAGGTCTTTAACTATGGCCGCATCTACGGTGCCGGCCTCAAATTCGCAGCACAGTTACTGCGTCAATTCAACCCTCTCCTCTCCGAAAAAGAAACCAACGAGATTGCCTCACGACTGTACAAGGAGACGAAAGGAACACGAACTCGACGGAAGGCGTTTGGGAACGGCTCCTTTTGGCGAGGCGGTACCGAGTCCTTCGTCTTCAACCGCCTCGAAGAGTTTGCCGAACAAGAACGTCCTCGCACTCCAATCCTTGGTGCTGGTATCACCGAAGCGCTCATGCGCCGCTTCATCAACCAGGGCTCCTTCATGACTTCCCGGATCAATTGGGCGATCCAATCCTCTGGCGTCGATTATTTACACCTCCTGATTATAAGTATGGACTATCTCATACGGCGCTTCAACCTTGACGCTCGTCTCGCAATCACAGTACACGACGAGATTCGGTATCTCGTCAAGCATGAAGACAGATATAGAGCCGCCCTGGCCCTCCAGATCAGCAATCTCTGGACAAGAGCCATGTTCAGCCAACAGATGGGCATAGAGGACCTGCCTCAGTCGTGTGCTTTCTTTTCAGCAGTAGACATCGACCACGTGCTCCGCAAGGAAGTCGACATGGACTGTGTCACACCCAGCCATCCCGAGAAGATCCCCCACGGGGAGAGTCTCGATATCAACCAGCTCCTGGCGAAGGGAAGTGAAGCGTTCCTTGATCCCGCCGTAAAACCCAAGACTGGACCCATCGACCTAGACAAGTATAGGTATACGCCTCGAGCGAGCGTCATGTCGACGCTCAACGGCACCGACGGTGTCGATATAGCCTATATCCGCGCGCAAATCACGAGTGATGACAAAGAATTGAAGACTATTGTCAAAGACGCTGAGAAGGCCGAGGCAGATTCGACGAGCTCGGCTAATCAAAGTGGACACGACGAGGTAAAACGCACCGGTAGTGGTACGGCCAGTGCGGTGCCAAAGACTCCAGCAAAAGCACCTCGTGGCCGTCGTCCAAAACCAAAAGTCCCTATCCCGCCTCACGCGCAGCCTCAGAGGGCGATGCTGATGGAGGTCGAGGACCGGTGGAATCTGGGGTATACTAAGGCTTTTGGCAATTCTGGAACTGGGACAACCAAGGCACCTTGGCTTGCTGACAAGAAGTCGAGTCCGTGGACGTACAAGTCTTCGCAGGACGGTTGGGAGGTCTGAGTTTACTTTTCGACTTGCCGGATGAATCTCTCTATCTCGCCGCAACTTGATTAGATTTTCAACGACATGTCTCGACTCTTGTCACCGATGATCATTCAGTGACTCACGTCGCTGCTGACTCAAGTTGTACAGTGGCATGCTTGGATCATGTCACATCATCTTGTTGGCGTTTGATGTACCAACTCGACACCCCGTGGGCTCGAAAACTGGAATGGGATTGAAGTGGAAACGGAAACGGAAACGGAAACGGACATCCTGCCAGCTCTCCCCGGACTGCCGTAAGGTATGTACGGGTTTATGTATCCGCATTGAGGTGTACTTGGTGTACTCATACTTGTGTACAAGTTTATGACCAAGTTGTATCATGTGTTGTCATGATGGATGTTGTATTTGTAGTATCTACGTAGTTTTTATTTTGTACACTGCCAATAAGACTCGAGAGGTGGCGACGCCTATAAATGAATTGTGTTCTTTGCCTCGGACGTTGCACGAGTAAATTGATCGACTTGAATCGATTAGTCTTTCGCGCCGTCTTCATGTCAAGTAATGTGTTGGTATTCATACAGGCGCATCAATGTGTGTGTAGATATCCAAAGGGTGAGCCTGGATGGGTCTGGGAGGGTTTATTAACTAACTAGTGTCGGGGCAATGTAACTCGGAAAATTATATTCGTTCGGTCCTGTGATGAAGCATACACACACACACACACACACACACACACACCTCTTCTTCTTCCACTTGCCCACCAGGGAACGGAAAACAACAAAGCCTCAATTGAGCACAGGCACGACATGGTCATATGTACATGTACCTTGTGTACGGTACACTTCTCGATATTCTCACCCTCCTTTCTGACACCTCTTCTTCTTGGACCGCACGTGGATCACGATCACATTCACCATTGACCATCATCATAACCAACACTGCTACCACTACGCGTACGCCGCCCATCCACAGAACAACGCGGCAAGATTTCTTTCATCCGTCGCTTGTCGAATCAGCTCGTTCACCGTGGCTTCCACGCTCAGCGCTTTGCCCAATTTCTTCGCGACGATCGTCAGGGCACGGTCGGCCTCGCTGGGTTCATTTGCCTCTCGACGGCTCGCCAAGTCATGCTGCGGCAACATTGCACCACCGACCTCCGCGGGGGGAACAGAGGCACCGGCCGCAGCAGCCTCGGCTTGCTCGTTGTTTTCCTGCATCCTTTGTAGTCGCAAGGGCGAGATGGACCACGTATGCAGCGGGTCGTACCGGAGCACGTCCAAGATGGTCATGATGGATTCCTGGTCTACCCGCAACGCCCCGAGCGTGAAATTGCAGCATCGCCGGAACACGCCCTCGACGCCGGTCATGCCCATCCCGTCGACCAGGTCCCGCGTCAAACGGAAGGGGACGACTTCTGGAATCGGCAAAACCCGACCGGCCTCGAACGCGACGCCCAAGTCGATGTGGACCACTTCCCCCGAGTTCTCGTCGAGGAGGATGTTGTGTCCGTGCCGATCACCGAGTCCCAGAACGTAGCCGAGGATGCTGACCGCAGCCATGGAGCGGCTGTAGTTCAATCTCTTGTAGAACCAATCGTCGGGGTCTGGGAATTTCTCCAGGAAGAAAAACCGCATGACCGGGTGAAAGTTGGCTGTGACATTTCGGTAAGCACGAACACGCTGCTCCAAACTCTTCGTCTGGGCTTCTGCAATTTCTTTCCTACACTTGCTGGGTTTGTAGTCCTTTGGGAAGTATTTCCCGTGAGCTGGTAGGAGGTAGTCATGCAGTGGGATAGTGTCTTTGACAAACTCAATGATTCCCGAATTCGTGGTCAGCGGAATGACTTTGTATGTTCGAATGTCCAGGTTCCGCTGTCGCGTCGCACGATGGTCTTTCAAGAGATCCGAAACCTGCTGGAAGACTTGTTCCATGATGGCGTCTTGACGCAAATCGTCGTTGCCGCTTTTGAGAAGCATCTTGTACCGCTGGCCATCGGACGCGATCATGGTGACGATCTTGGGACTCGACAATCCACCAGCGATAGAAATCATTGGTTCGAACTTCACAAATGTAGGCACTTGCGAATAGTCGTGGTCGGGCCGGAGAGGTATGTTCAACGTGGGTGGAGCGATCCTCGTGTGAGCCTCGGATAAGACGTTCTCAAGCTTCTGGCCCGATGGCAGCTTCCGTAGTGCGATTTTCGAGCCTGGTCGCTTTTCCTTCTCTGAAAGGCTTTCCGAAGCAACTCGGTGGTATTGTATGCAAGAGTTATGCAGTGCCACCCAGACTGCAGCAGAGGTGCTCTTCTTGTTGACCATTTCAGACAATTTGATGGCGGCTTGGTTGCGAGAGACCGCAACCTCGTCTTGTTTCGGTGCTTTGCTCTTGCTCGCAGCAAACAGCTGATACAGGCTGTGGTAAGGGTGGTCAGAGCAGATTCGAAACATCAGCTCCATGAGGTTCTTCTGGAAATCGTCCTTGACATCAAGCAAGCGCGACGAAAGCTGGTTGACCAGGGGAGCGAATCTAATAGTTGGGACGCCGGACAAATGCTTCCCGACCGCCTTATTCGCTTCTCGACTTTCCGCTTGATTGAGCCAAAGGGCCAGTAGCCGAAGAGTATCATTAGGGTAGTCGTCAGACGCTTTCATCGAAAGGAGGTAGTTTTCCAAGCAATTCAGAATGAGTTCTTCTCGATTACTCCGAACACGTTTCCATTCCTCGTCGTCAATCTTGAACCATGTTCGCGCTCGGTCCAGGTGTATCTTCAGTTGTTTCTTCTGTCGCTCGTCACGGCTGCTCATGTACATTTGTTCGAGTTCTCGGACCTCTTGGTCTTTGCGAACTCTGATTTTGCTGATTCTGGTAAAGTCGTCCAAGTTGTCAGGGTCTTGGAGCTGCATGTCACAGAAGCTAGCGAAGTTATGGTAAACCCTGCCGGCCTCTGACCCGTTCTCATGGCCGCGTATCTCCTCAAACGAAGGGATGAGGTATCGGGAGATGATTTCATCTGGCTTCTCGAGGCGAGCTTCGGCGATCTTATGACCAAGTTCTGTGAGGATGGCCGCTTTAGTGACTGGAATGGCCTGCTTGGCAGTGTCATCCCGCTCTTTCAACTTCTGCAAGATGCCAATTGAAATGGCAGTCTCGTCTTGAGACCACAACGTCCTTGCTAGGTCGTATTGGACAGCGACATCTACCTCCAAGCCAGTTTGAATGGCCAATTGGTTCAATTCTGATAGGTACAAAGTTCGATTCAGGCAGAACTGTGGCACGTCAAACTTGGATGCTAGCTCAAGTGAGCGTCTGGCTGCCCGGACCTCGTTCCGGAGGGCTTGGTTTGGACTCATGGAGAATGTCGATTGCAGGTTGACGTTCCGCCGCATGGCAGCAAACGCTGCTTCTCTTCCATCAAGTATTGGAGCCAGGCGTTCGAATCTGCCAATTGAATTAGTTACCACGGTGTTAGATCGACAAGAGGATTACTCACTCGACGAGTTTGACCCGCTCATCCCTTGACTCAATTCTCGCCCACACAAGATCCAATTCTTCCGGTCTTCTTGCCATCATAATCTGCTTAATCTCCCCACGCATGGCCAATTGTGTCAAGATCTCACTCGTCTGAGCCTTGTCGGAGACGCCGGCTTTCACATGGTCAATAAGTGAAACTAGGGATTGATCTAACTTGGTCATCAAATCCCGTTTCTTGGATGTGTGATAAAGGTCTCGAAGCCAGGCAGTCATGTCTTTTGAGTATGTCATAGACCGATCAACGGGCTGAATATCCCAGTCGTCACTGGGCAGCCGTCCTGGTCTAGACACGGTGCTGGGATCGCCATCGTCGTAGTATTGTCTCACAGCTTCAGATATGCCTTGCATATTTGCAGCGCTCAGTGAGGATGCCGTCACTTGCGCAATAGCCGCAAATGACTGCCCTTGGTCGTCCATTCTCAGTCTTGAGTCAAGCATTGCACTGTGGAAAGAGAGTGAAGTTTGGCTTGCGCCTTCATGACTCATTTTGCTAACGACTTCGGTAAGATCGAATTCTTGCTTTTTGCCATAAAAGAAGTCGGGGTCATCAACGTTCTTATAGATGTTCGCAATCACCTCCGCAGGAACTGGCTTAATACTGACAAAAGACCTCCGGGACGAACGTTCTGATTGCAGCCTAGCATACGAGTGTTGTAGTTCTAACAGCAGGAGTGCTTCGTGCCACATCTGGCAGTCGGCTGCGGCAATGACAGCATCACTCAAGTCAACATCGAGCCAGGAATTGCGCGCGCCAATATTGGCCTCATTCGGATATCGGCATCTCTGCAGGTATAGGAGGATTTGCAAAGCCAATCGACGTTCTTTCTCCAGTGATTGCGACCCCGGTAGAAAAATATTTGTGAATTCTTGTGATAATTTGTCCTTGAACGGCTGCTGCCCATTGATTTCTCGAAGAAGGATCAGGTGAACTGCGAACGGGAGTAGAATGTCCGCAGAAGCTGATAATGCAAGAGCAAAGGGCTTTAGAAAGCTCAAAACTGGATCGTGTACAGCAGCATCACTGATCTCAGCCAAGATGTCACTAGCCCAGCTCCCATTGGGACGATTGGAGGAGGACAGTGCTTCCGCAGTCAGGATACTCGTCTGTGAGAGAACAATTGCAGGGCACGGGAAATGCTCAAATTTGAGCTGACGAATCAGGCTCCTATCGACTGTTGGTTGCAGCACGGCTTCCTGATCTCTATCAGACAGTCCACTGAATATCAGTTGCAGAGTTTTCTCGGCATAAGATGAGGCAGTAAAGTCAGATCGCCATATGAGATCTAGGAGGAACTGCGTAATACTGGTATAAGAATTTATGGCGTCCCGGTCTGGCTCAATTTGAGTTAAGTCAGAAGGATAATTAATCGACCTTTCACTTCTAGCGTTGAAGCGTAGGCCGCGCATGATATGCCCTCGGCCAATGATTTCAGCAGCCCATATACGGAACGGCTGATTCAAGCTGATCCTTTTGACGATTGTGTTTAGGATGGGCGCAAACTGTGCTGCGTGGAGGTCATCTTCAAGGATATCATCCGAACGACTGACTGCAGGCGCAAAATGTTGACACAGAATTCCGATAGCGATGTCGAAGTGAAGGTCTGTAAGTAAAGGTTTTTCCGAGCTTCTATCAGCAAGAAGGACCAGTAACAGATTTCCCTCGCTGGAACTTTTTGAGCTGTTCCCTGATGATGCTATGGCCTTTGCATGTAGTACAAGGGATTGAAAAGTCGACCTTGCCTTATCGGTCACCTCTTCGAGATCCATGGAGTCCAAATAATCACCCAGAAAGCTTCGGAAAGCCTGTGCCTTATTCATTGTTGATACGAAATGGATTTCCTGTGTTGTGCTGCCTTGAGAAGATCCGATGAATCCGATAAGTGAGGTGAAGATTGCTACCCCTAAGCCTGCGATGAAGGATAGATTCTTGTTGAGGTAGGCCTTGCCAGCTTTTAACAGATAGTTATAGATCGCCATGGTGTCCTCAGCACACTCAAATATCGTGAGGTAAGGTCGCAAGTTGTGCAAAATCATCTCCAACGGGTATCCTTCCAGTGCAGCGGGGCCTGCAAGGCTGACTGCAATTCGGATCTTCCGAATTATGCTACAAATATGCAACGAGCCTAATGCTGAGTTCGTCCTTTCGAGAAGCTGCCTATAGACGTGAATCAAAAGGGCAGAGGTCCAGACGTCATCAGGTTGAATATCTAGGCGTTGATAGAGATAATTGAGTTCGTCCAGAAGACATCTTGCTCTGAAAGAAGGCTGCTGAGAGAGTGGAAGCTGCGTGTTTGAGTCTGAGATCGAGGACATTTCTTGCCATGCATGAAGAGCAGATACCTGGTTATTCTTTTCGAAAGATCTGTCAATTGCGCGGTCGTCCTGCAGCGATATGATCAGACGAGCGACGATGTCGGGAAGACTGGAACGTAATAGCTTCAGATAGAATTCAGATCCGAGTTGTTTCCGTATCAGTTTCTCTGAACCATCGTAGAGGCGCTCTTGCTTGGGGATGCTGGTTTCAGATGCAAGGGTGTAGGCTTCTGCATAAGAAAAGTTGGTCGACAGAAGGGACTTCCAGTCTTGTCCGACTAGAACCGCTAGCTCTTCCGCATGGATTGAGCCTCTCAGTGCGATCTGACCGACGAGCTCTGCGATATTGTCCAAGGCCAGTTCCTTGGAAGAGTTGTAGCTGAATGCTTGATAAGGAATTTGTGCTAGAGAACCTCTGCTCAGCCAAGTGTAAAATATCTGTGGCGCAAAAAGCTTGAACAATACCTGGGGCGTTTTCAGGCCCAGGGTTGTACACATTGCTGCGATGCAAGCTGTGGCCATAGGCATTGTTGACGGTACATTGGCGACTGTTTCAAAAGTATGATAAGTGGCCTGTCGCAGGACAGTATGCCAGCGAGCACCAAGTTGTGCTACAACATGGAGACGAACCGCAATGCCTTCCTTGTTGTCTGGGTCTGAGGGCAGGTTTTCGACAATGTCATCGAAAATGGCCTCATGTTGGCTCAAAACATACTTTTCAAATATAGAGATCAATTTCTTGGCCAAACCATATTTTGTCGTCGAATTACTGACTCTTAAAATCTGGAGCAAACTGGTTTTGGGAGAAGGGAGCTCTTCTTCGTTGAAGGACGTGTTTTGTCTCATAAGCAAGTCGAGTAAGTTTGTGATGTGTAGAAGCACTTTGCGACTAGCAATCTGCTTGCCAAGAGCCGTGCTCAGAAACCAATCGTAGATATCCAGTGCAGTTTCTTGGAGATCATCAGCTTCTTCCTGAGCAGCCCATAATCTTGAGAGAGCTTGCATCGTGGTCAGACAGAAACTTAAAGCGACTTCACACCTTTCGAATCGGTAGTCTTGCAGATACTTCTTCCCGAGATCACTGAGGAGGCGGTGAGCATCGGTACGAGTGACACCAGGGTCGAGTCTGAAAAAGTCTTGGACCGCTCCGCGGGCGGCGAGCAACGAATCTGAGTCCAAAGACAGAATCTGATCAACAACCTCAGAAGCTGCCTCAGGGTTGAGCGATCGACGTGACTCTATAACCTGCAAAGCAGTGGCAAGTTCCACCTTGTTTCTTGTCAGTAAAGATGGTGTGTCGCTGCAGAGTGGCAGATCAATCCTCATGGCATTTGAGGAGAGGGTGTGCTGGCTTCGCTGACTAGCTTGTGAATCCCACGAGTCTATATCCATGACTTGGAAATCGGACAGGTGCTGCGGGTCTGAGGTTGTCGTATTGTGGTCGGTAACCAAACTTGTGAGTCTTAATGCTAATTCTATCACCGGTTGATATGCCTCCAAAGCAGATTCATCATGGGTTTGGAAAATTTGATGGTATATCTGCAGAGCGGATTCGCAGAACCGTAGGGTGACTACTCTGCGCATGTCTTCACTCTGATCGCTGATAAACGCCTCAATTAGATCCCGGCTTTTGGCGTGAGCAGGGTTTTGTTGAGGATTATGAGCAAGGGGGACGGATCGGGCCCAAACACCACAGGCTGTGGTGGAAGCCACGCTCAAGATTGTTGCGATATCACTTGTGATGTTGGAACTTCGCTCAGATCGTATACTTTCCCATGAGTGCAAGATGTCGGACAGCCGACCATTCAGAAAGTCGACGACAGCCTTCGTGGTATGGGAGGCTGTAACAGAGTCAATCTGCAGGCTTCCAGATTTTGGAGGTTGAACACCGTTGGGCTCAGGTTGAGGAAGACAGAGAAGGTAATGAAGAAAACCAAGATCATCAGAGGGAATCAATGATGCTCGCCACAATGGATGTGAAGGTGACCAATCTTCTCGAGGCATGGGCCGATCATCGAAGCCACACATGGACGTGAGTAGCATATACAGAAGTGATGGTCGGCCATGAAACGCGATTTGCGAGTTGGAAAGGCGATCAAGAGTAGGAGGGAGCGTCCATCTTGTAGCCAGCCACTCCAGGGCTTTCAGGCAGAAGGCTTCAAAGGCTTTCCCATTCCCAAACAAACCAGATCCAAGAGCAGTTTTCAAAAATATCAAGGCGGTATCAGTGAACAGGCAAGGTCCATTGACAGATCCTCCGAAAACCGCATTCTGCAGAGAAGCTCCCGTCAGAGCTGATCCAAGGATCCGTGTCGACAAAATGACATTTAAAAGATGGCAGGCTGCTCGAGCCGCCGTCGGGACAGACAATGCTCCCTGAGCAGCCTCGTAGACCTGTAACCAGTTGATTGATAAAGCTGGCATGGAATGTTGAGAAAGCAATAATCGCGAGAAAACAAGGAATGCCCAGGTCTGTACGTTGCCATCTTCGTGAGTCAATGCCTGCATCAACTTGGAAAATCCGGCAGAGAGCTCGCTGTCGAGCGTGCGCGGTTGATCAAGTAGGAAGAGTAGAATCTGCAAGGCAATCAGCCTCTCCTGGCCCGTAGCGAGTGTCGCACTTTGCAAGGCTTCGTCAAAAGGATTTTGAGTTCTCTGCCTTTTCCGAGATGCGTCTTCGGAGTGAGGATCAGCTCGTGTCGATTTGCTTCGGAAGACTAGTCCCAAAATGAGACATGACACGACAGACAAAGTCATAAAGCATGACAGAGCTCGGGGCGAGTCCCTAATTGGCACAAAGTGTGCCAGTCGTAGTGGATGATCACAATCGACAACGTAAGGACTCATATCGTCGAAGTGTAGGATTTCTCTCTCATTGCGATGTTGGTATTCGGAGAGAATGGTTCGTAGGAGAGCTCGAAGCTGTTCAGCATCAATCTGAGGCCATGACTCCACTGCGGAGAGAAAGAAGTACCGACAGGTGAATAGAGTGATGAGCATTTGTTCCCGAAGTATGCTTGACTTGGTAGCCCAAAGTCTCCGTAGGATCGGAATGAGCTCAGCTAGAATTGTGTGCATCAAAGTGACATTCTCTGTTAATGTAACAAAAATGATGTTGTTCAACGTCTCAAATGCTGTCTCTTGTCCTCGAGTAGTTGAGTTCAAGAGACCAATAAGTACTTCGGCGATAGCTGCAGAACGTGTCAGAACTGGTGCATTCGTCACACATGTAAGACCTCTCAAAGCAGCAGTAAGGTCTTCAGCATGTGAAGCAATCTCCTTTCCGAGGCTCCTTGGGCCTTGTTGACTACGGCGTATGGATAACTGTTGGCCCGACCCGGAAGTCATGCTGGGCTCCCGGCTAAACACAAGATGACCATCTACTGGGCCATCCTCAAGACCTGAAGACAATGCCTCCAGTATGAAGTCAACATAGCCTTGCCATTTTTTAGGGCGCATGTGCTCTGGATGAGGAGGATATTCCAAAATGGAGCGGAAGGACTTGAGATAGTCAGTCTTCAGGGGCTTGCAGAGAGACCCATCTGATAAGGGCAAAGTATCGACGACGTGGTCTAGGACGGATAAAGCCGTCTTGAAAGAGATGTTTGGAGTCCCTGCTTCCACGACGAGTCTAAATGCGGCTGCAGCAACCTCCAGGCGAGATGCAGCATTGTTCTTGGTTGTTGGCTTGACAGCACGACTGAAAGCAGATTTTTCTCTGGAGATGATCGTGTAAAGCAATTCAAGGATCTTGTGGAACACATCATCTTCGAGAACATTGCTTGTGAGATAAGTTAGCTTCCTAACATTTCGCTGAAGTAAAAACTTACACTCGAGAATTGATATTGTCTTGTCCTAGTGCGCTCTTCAGGGCTACAGCTCAAGTCAGTAAAGAGACAGGGAGCTGCAAGGGATGACAGACCTTCAAGACCTTCGGCTCTGACACGTTGTGTGTCGGCCTCGAGCTTCCCTGGTAGTCGTGGTTAGTTGACAAGGCTGAGTGGTGGAAGTGCTGTTCAAAAGCGGGTGCATACCAATCGCCGCCGCGACAATCTTGACCACCGCCATCTCTCCAGCCCCGAACGATCAATAAACGGTCCACATCAAAGAACATTTTCGTTCAGAGGTAGATTGATGCCGGTGCGATAGTCAGACTGTCTGATCAATTAAGACAGGCAAACTTCGAGAACAAGAAGCGATGCTCGTTTTCTTACGCTTGGCAGCTGGACGCTGCTCAAGTCATCAACGTGGTGAATTCGCCGCGCGCAAATGGCTGCCACGTCGAGGGCGATTCCAAGGCACAAGGCTAACTGAAATTATCCATGTCGCCGCCGATGCGAGAGTTGTCGTCGTTTTGATTATTTCAGGAGGGAGATTGGAAGAGTCTTCGTCGATGCACATGTAACAAGAGAAACCGCGAACGTTCTCAAAAGCGGCGTCGGTCTGCGAACACTTCTAAGTTAGGCTGGCTTCGGCTGGCCAGCCTGACTGTGAGCTGCGGAATCATAGAAAACATCAGTACCATTCTACATTACAACTACCGTGGCCTCCATCACGGTAGAAGAGGCCATCGGATCTAGACCTGGCGCTGTCACTCAGTGAACTCGAAACCGATCTTGGTCATCTACTAAGCCCATAGCTCGCCCAGAATTGGAAGTTCTTCAAAAGCGTCCTCGCCGTGTAACGGTGACTTGGAAGACCAGAGAGGTAGGTCAGCGGCTTATCCTTTATTGTATTCATCACGCCCAAAACAGGCTTCCTTCGTCTACGCTAGTCACATTATTGCTGTAAGTCGACAGTAGGGAAGCGGGCATTGAGGATGTCTATCTAGCGGGGATGGCTCCATTCAGAGCGTTTTCATTTGGAAGTCATCCTTGGTCGCCATGGAGAACTTCGTTGGTGAAGTTATGACCGCGGTGCAAGCAGCGATTTGGTGAGAGGTACAACAATGCCTGCAGGGAGGTGAGCTTCGCACTGACATGCCAGGCCGATGCGGATCAGAGGGTCATATTTCGCTTTTGCAGTCAACGTTGTCGCCTTTGTCGCATTCCTCGCCATCTTCAACCTAGAAATGACGTGTGGTCCTGTACTGCCTTGAAATGTTAACAGGTATTATTTCCAGCCACAGGGACAGAGCCTGGATTGTCCGATGGGACGTCGTCGTCGTCTGAGCTGTGTCGCGGTAGGATTCTAGTCATCGAGGCGGCCACACGAGGGATTCCGGAGGATTCCGGAATGCTGCTCAAGTGAAACTGAGGTATCAATCCCATGAGATCAGGACGATCTTTAGCCCAACGTAAGTGTGTGAGGCTTCCCGCATTTTCCACCAACTTGAAGTAAAGAGTCTCAGGCACGTAGCACTGCTGAAGAGAAAACTGGTGAGGATCGATCGAAGGTGAATCGTGAGCCCGTAGCATGGCAATACAAGCGTCTGAAATGAGAGCGTAGAGCGATTCTTCAGCATCTTGTCGTCTGGTGCTTCTCCTATCAGTCGCAGAAACTCTGCTTTGCCAGGCCAGTTCACTAAGTCCTCCGCTCGAACATAGACGTGGAAGAGTTTCCCATTGGAAAGAATGGAAAAAGACGCCTCGTCAAGATCACAGTCGAAATGCGTTACGTTCCAGTTTGGAAGAGTGTGCATGAAGTGTTGAATGAGGGTGATTGAGAGCCCGGCTATTTTAGACGCCTTTCCTATCAAGGTTGAAGATGAGTTCAACGCTCCAACTGCTTCCGTGGAGACAGTATGTTAACTCCATCCTCAGAAGAATTGTGCGCATGGAGTCAAGCAACTTGGTCTTCTTCCTCAGGGTACAGAATACACAAGGAGCCGCAAGGTAGCACCTCGTGGCCCAACGCCACGTCACACGTGGCTCTGCATGGCAAACGGTTCGCAACTATCCTAGAGCATTGCTTGCATTACGTGGCTCAGGTTGTCCGAGACGAGGGCGACACGCCGGATAGCATCGCCGTCAAGGCTTGTGGTTTATCGACCTTTGAAACTGCCCACATTGCTTGTTTCTACCATGAAGAGGCGCGAGACCAAGTTAAACTACACCTTGGCACGCCAAACAACGCTAAACCATTTCAGGAAATTCACTTGACTGCGGCCTCAATTTTGGAGACAAAAGTCCATGGCGATGCCTGGAGACGCGACACTGCCGGCTTCTACGCGTTGTCACTTTCTTTGAGGCCTTCATCCTGGGCTAGTAGCAATGGAGAGTCTCTTGCGCCTACAAGGCCTGCATGCCGATCTGGTGGCCTTTGCAGAGACGCGCCTGGCCAATATTGATCGCTTGTGGCAGGAATTGGAAGACAGCATCCAGGACTTCAAGAGCCTTCTTGACAAGACAGTGCCTTCAGCAAGCGATAGAGAAGCCTACAATGGCGGTATGAGCAACGTGTTTCGTGGTGCCGCAGCATACTAACCTTGCATGACAGGCAAGCTCAAGGTCGGCGAGCAAGAATACAGCGTGAACGACGAGTTCAAGCACATCAGCCGAGCCATAGCAACCAGCCTTGACCTTGATGAAATCGAAGCCGGCCGCCTATTGATAGAAGTACGAGCAGATCCTGCGTCCGGGGACGAATCTCTCGTGACAGATGTTGTCAGCTGCTACCACAACCGTCGCGATCTACTCCTTCAATGTTTGCGAATCACACTTCAACTGTCTCTGGAGTTGGAATCCGAGGCTTCTACCAGACAAATCTTTGAGTCTGTTGTTGCAAGAGTGCTGGACATCGACACGGGCGTCGCCAACAACGGGTCGCTCTTTGCGAGAAAGTGCCTGAACACACTTGAGGACCTCGAAAAGTTCCAAGCCAAAGTCGCAGACGCGCTCCAGAGTAAAGCTGTGCTCGGTGGACCTCGCGGTCCAGAATTCTATGCGACCTTGGAATTTCAGAAGGACAGCCTTTTCAAACAGCATGAAGCTTTGGCTTGTATTCTAGCCTATTTATTCCAAGGAGATTACACAAACCAGGAAGATCTACGGAAGCTGCATGCTGCTGTGAAGCGCTGGAGTCGCATTGACTTTAATCTGATTCACTATCTACCGGCCTTCTCTGCCGCTTTCCGGCAGTGCGCATCACCGGGCAGCCACCTCTCTCAGGAAAGCACCAATTCTCTTGATGCTGTATTCGGCCCCTTACCTAGCGATGCGGCCTCAGTATCGCTGAGACCCTTCCAAGCTATTCTCAGCTTGTGGTGGACAGTTGAATACAGTGGGCAATTTCGCGACCTCACAGATTCAGATGCTGGAAGCGAAAAGCGAGCTTCATCGGTCGCCGCCGCTTTAAACGAAGACGCGCTTGAATTAATGCTCTCGATCTGCACTGCCGCCAATTCAGATGTCTGGCGGCATCCCGCACGACAGGAGCTGGTGGCTTTACTTCTTAGCGAAGGGTCAAGCGTCATTCTTGAGAATGGTGATCAGACGTCTTCTTACTTCCGGCTCCAGTACATGGAATCGTTGGAAAGTTTTGTCGAGTCATTCATCTCCAATATGCCCGACTCTATCAGGAGGCTAAGGACCGAGGAAGATGATCAACGTATGAACCATCTAATTGCAATGCAAGAGGGACTGCCACCCGACCATCGAGGAGGGTCTCCTAGCAGGCTACACCTGGAATGTTTCTTGGTCCTGATTTCGTTCGCGTTCGAAGGCAGACCGGAGGCTGCTGAACAGTGGTGGGAGGATCCCGACAGTAACCTGTACGGCTTCCTCCAGTGGGCATCTCGGCGGCAGACTGTCCCCCGAGTCAGTGCATTTTGCGAGCTCCTGTGCTCCATATCGGAGGATCAGGAGTGTGCTGAAGCAGCTCACAAGTTCTTGTTGGACGAGTCTCTCCCTACCACAACTAGAGGCCGGCGTAACCCATCAATGAATTACCAACAGATTTTTGCAGAGCTAGAGCTGTACGCACATAAAGTTCATGAACGTACTACGACATCCCAGCTGCCTAATATGCGCAAGGTGTTGCCCACAGACTTGAATGAACTTGAAAGCCCGGTCATGCTCTCCTGTTATCTCCGATTGTTGGCTCATCTCAGTCGCCAGCCCAGTGGCACTCGGCATTACATTTTGGAAACTGCCTTTCCATCTTTTCCACAGGCACTGTTGCTGCTGAGCTCTGGACCAGTGCCCACCTACCTTCGGGCTAGCATCTTCGCTGCACTGGACTCGTTGCTCACGGATAAGACTGCCCAGACGGCAATGGCCATGTGGCAGATACTGGATAATTGGGCCTCCAATGGCCAAGAGCTGGTTCGTTTGGCGACGAACAAGACAAGTCAACCATCCAAACCGACATCTGCCGACTTGCAAGCCAATTTGAGTGCTATCGCTGTTTCATTTGACCAGTACGACTCTTTCGTGGTATTGTTACGCGATCTAGTCGTCACTCTCCCTTCGACAAGTATGGGTCCGGATATGCTACCTTTTCCTGCAGATCTGGGAGCTTCCTACAGGGCTCCTGGAATAGATCCATATATCGATCTCATCTGCGGTCAACTGTTCGCTAGGAGGCTTCCAGAAATCACCGACGATGTGCAGCGCTCCATAGCTTCGTTTCATTGCCTGGAATTTGTGGCGGCAGGTCTCGAGGGTTTCAACGAGGACTTCGTTGTCATGATGGACCGGGCAGATCCACAACACGATGCTTTCCAGGATACCCCAGTGGCAGCAGTCTATGCGCAACGCAGCCCCTTTGCAAGATTAATGCAATGGATCTTGAGTGCAGATATGAACAAAGTATTGATGGAGTCATTACGAGTGCCTGTGGACGCAGTTGAGGCTGCTCTCCCGGACTCGCCTCTTCTCTTGAGCTTACAGCGCTTGATTGATATTCTCAACCGTGTGTTGGACCTTCAGCCAACTTATTTCGATATTATCCGACCCATAGTTCAATCCCGACTTGGTCAGGACGGACTGCTTGCACGATTAAGTGTCGGCACGATTGAAGACAGCCTCGCTTCTCATCCAGAAGTCGTCCTCAACCTTTGTCAATTCGCGGCGACAGACCAAGCCGAACTTGCTCTACGTGCTCTTGCACTCCTGCAAAAGCTTTCCAGTTCGCCCAAACTCAACAATCACTTTCTGACGACGGATTCTGTCCGCGGACGCACAAGGCGGATTATCGACATGCTCGGCCCAAACGCCAGCTTCGAATTAGAACCTGTTACCAAAGGTTTAACTTCCAGGTTGCTCTTCGACATTAGAGAGCTTGAAGAGGGCTTTGAATCTGTCAATTACCTGACCAAAGACGGGGTGCTGGCTTTTTTCAACGCCTGTCTCGAGACACAGCCTGACCTGCCGAACCTTGCTCATCTTCTCCTTGGCTTCGACAGGCTCAAGGAGCGGTTGACAATCTCTGCAGCCATTGATGAAGGCACATCTGTCTTCAACACCGTTATTGACTTGGTTGAGAATTATCCCGACGACGAAAATGGAGTTATGGTCTCCTGGCTAATACACATCAAGGCAGCAGCAATGAAGGTGCTGAGACATCTGTGGTCTTCAGGAATTTCTCAAAACATTGTAATCGGTCAACTCCGTCGACTTCAGTTTCTGCCTACGCAGTATTCACGCGTACCACTTGTTCATCAGCAGACACTATGGGATGGCAACCCTATTTTCCACGAGTCTTTCTGGTATACCACCTCCTCGGAAGCTCTTGCGGAGTTTCTGGCATTTCGAGCTTCCTTGTTCAACTATACTGCTACAGAACTGAGAGCTGCTGCGAAAGGTGGCCTGACCACCACGCTCCACCATGCTCTTTCCACTCTCCAGGGCAGATCAAGCGACGTTGAGGGCACTATATCTTCCAATCCCGATGTCTTTGCCCTTTTCGACTTTCTTGAATTAGATTTGTCCTCATCTTTCGAGCTAGATCTTCACAATTATGCGGGAATCGACTTTGATCTGTACCTGACGGAAGTCACCGAGCATACACCCGGCTTGTACGATGTCAAACTGATCCGGGAATATCTGTCGGCGTACCGCCAAATGCTCCTGCAAAAGCAGTCAGAGACACCTGGTTCTAACAAGCTTGACGAGCAAGATCTCATCGCCGAAGCCGACTACGTGATTGCCACTATGGAGGCTCGGAATAGATCTATTGTTGCACACAAAGCCAGGAGTGATGCTCTACACGAATATGTCGAGATGATCATTGCTACCATTGAGACCTGTCCCATGGATTCTACCTCGAAACTACAATTCATGCTGCACATACTTCAAATCATGCTTCCCAAGCTAGATGTCCTCATCTCGGACGAGTCTGATGATGTCATGGAGATAGCAAGAGCAGCTGATGCGTTGTTGTTTGCACTCTCTGAAACCGCACCGGCGAATTCTCAGTTGGACAACATCATCACGGAGAAACTGTTCCAACTCTTCAGAGCCTCCATCGAAGGCATACCCGTAACCAACTCAAGCTTCGGCCTGAGGACGATATTCTACAGCATCTGCTCCCAATACTTGGCAAGGATTGCCACGTCAGACAAGAGCGATTCCGACATAAATTCAAAGGCTCGTAAAAACGTGATGGACTGCATACGCTCAGCGAGTCAGCGGCTCATTCCGATCATCTGTGATGATGCAGAGGACGGTGTTGATGCTTGCCGACTGAATGCTTTAAATCTTTTGGCGTTGCTTGCCTCGCTTGCACGAACAGAAAGGTCAAACCTCATTACCAACGCTTTTGTCAAGGCCAATGTGCTCGAGATCCTATTTGAATCGTTGAAACATGTTTCGACAGAATTTGAGACCACAGAACCAGCTCGTAAGTTGCTCTTCCATCCTCCACCTATGTCATTTGTGTCTTACTGATCGTCTCTTCTCTGCCAGATCGTCCATATATTCTCTCAGTATTTGAGGCGCGCATGTTGCTTCTCCTGCAAGTCTCTCGTACTCGCGAAGGCGCCGGTGCACTCCTGGATGCCGGCCTTATGTCTGCTGTACGCGACTCGCTGCTGTTCCGTGCCGATCCGGACCTGGGTATCACGATTCCCACCCCCAGCGAAGAGGACTCCACCACATACACGGCTGTTGACCCAGCCACCTCAGCTCTTCGGACGTATTACGTGCTCCTGTCGTCGACTCTTCGAGTTCTCCTTTCGACATTCCTATCTCGCGGCCCTCAGAACGAGCAGATCCAATACGCCGCTCGAACCTTCCTGACAGACCATCGGCCCAACATGGTCGGTGTATTCAAGAAGTATGCCGGCGTAAATGGCAAGGTTGACGCAACGATTCGTCCCCTCGTGGCAGAGTCTGTACAATGCTACACTGGGCTAGTCACGCTGTGTGACTTTGTAGATGTAAGTGGCTAATCTCTATCTTGCTTTCTCTTGGCCTGCGTTCCTCGCTGACTTTGTATCCTAGTTCGAAGATGACTCTGGTTTAGACGGTGCACAGTACGGCAGGTTTTCATGAGCGAGGAACGTCGGTTGACGTTGATTGAATATGCATAGCGACTGAGGAAGCCTTCATGGGGGGGAAATTTACATACCCAGGATAGGATTGGAGGATGAAGCCCTATGCTCAAGTAGGGCAGGTACTTTGAGAATCCAGCCTGTGAAAGTCAAAAGAATGGTCCAAATGTCAATCAAATGTTGAATTCATTGTCTCCCCTTGGTGTCTCTAGTGCCGTTTCTACGTTCATGCCGTGCATGTATGTATGACCTTGCTGCCTTCCAGAAACTATTAGGCGGGTTATGTTTCGCTATTCGTTTTGTCTTCCAGGTCGACGTCGTGTTTTGTGATACTCCAGCATGGAATGGATCGCAGGTCCACGTTGTATATGCCCGGCCTGAGAATAGGGGGGGAGACATTGTTACCATTCCACATGCTCAGATAACGCAGATGGTCGTGTGACTCTATTGTACACCTTTGGCATAGAAGGGACAAAAGGCGCCGCTGTATGAAAAGGTCGTGTCAATCATAATGGCCAGGCATCATGCTACGTAGACGAGGTGGACAACAGCCATCCAACATAGGTAGCTGATGCCGTCTCTCCCCTTTGGTATGGTGGTTCCCCTGCGCACAAACAGGAAAAGCGAAAGAGGCTCAATCATGTGAAAAGTGAACTTTTGTCTAAAATGATAGTCTATTGATGTACACACAAACAGACCCCCGACACAACTCCCCCAACTCCCCCGTCTAATGTTGTACAATTTTTTTTTTGGACGCTCTATTCGCGTCAATGGTTGAATGAAAGCCTCTTGAGCGAGGCAGGAAGAGGAGACGGCATGCCGTTCGAGAGAGATGGACGGCTTTCGCCATTGTCGGACCAGATGAAGGACTTTGAAGTCCCTTTGCTGGACTGGTGAGGACTGGTCTCGTCGGCGTCGGCGGATGACTTGGCGCTCTTTCCTTGGCTGCCAGGACGCAAAGTGGTGCGGACAGAGTCAAGCCAGCTGTAGCGCGGCGACGCTTGATCTTGCAGAGACGGCGACCAGCCTGGGCTGGACATCCGCGGCCCTTCTTCTTCGACGGCAATGTCGACTCTGACTCTGATCTCATTTGGTGACAGGGGCTGCTGTGAGACATTATCGCAAAGACCTGGGAGAATGATGTTTCCGTCAATCAGTCTCGCTTCACGGTTCTTTGCACGCTGCAGCTTGGTCGGTTCCTGGCTCTCTCGTCTCAATCTCAAACGTGCATGAGGTCTGCCTTGATTTCCTTGGGACGGTGCTCCTGCTGACTCTGACCTGTCGAAAGTCTCCAGAACAAGGGGCTCTGGAACCTTCGTCTTTCGTTTCTCCCTCCAAACGGAGTCTCCCTCATACGTTGTGGCGGGCAAAATCTCCAGAGCTTTTGATTCATCATTAGCAACACCCGGGATATCTTGCTGGTTTTCATCGACAAAGGCTGCGCCAGAATCCAAATCGTTCTCCTCACACCCGACACTTGTTTCGTTTCTGAGAGCAGTACTCTCTGGACTTGTCAACGATACGCCATCATCGAAACCATTGAACGGATGAAAGAGCAAGGTGTGAGCCTCAGACATCACTTGCGAGTCAGAAAGATCAGTAGATCTTGGCCATGGATAGCCAGTGGTGCTGTCAGATGTTCCTGCAAAGCTGAGCTGACTTCTGCCGATTATTCCAGCTGCAGCTGCGGTGCCCATAGAAGAGAAGAGAACTCTGTATCTCTGATGTGCGAAGGTTGCTCGAGGGAGGATCTGGTCATCATCATCCAAAATGTCTGTGATGTTGAAGCTGCTTCTCACGGACTGTGTGACGATGCCTCGGTTGCCCGATGTCGGCGCCAGGGGTGGTCTGATTCCTTGCATGAGGCTGGGGTTTTCCAAGAGACGGATAAAATTCTGTGCCCTCAATCGGCGAATGTGTCGTGGGGTGGGAGTAGGAAGGACGAAGGAGCCGATTCTGGGAATGAATGGGTCCTTCGAATCGGCCTTACAACCAGGTCAGTACGGATCAGCTTTGTCATGGTATGTGTGGACTCACATTGCGATGTCTCCAGTTGTGGCGCCAGGAACGAAAGATATCGCCGTCATCGCCCATGCTATCGGCAACTCCGTCTTGTTCCAGCATGTCCTCAATTACACTCAAGGCATCTGGTAATCCAGGAAATCCACATTGCTCAAGCATGAGGCAGTATATCTCCTCTATGCCGCAACTGAAAGGGTAGCGAGGGACAACTCTCATGCCCGCTTCTCGTATGTGCCAACGGCATGATTCCTCGTTGAAGGCACCAAACTCATGGATCTGGTTTCGATAATGGGCGTCCGAGAGTGACATGGAAGCCGACGAGCCACGGTGACGGCGGATTTCTGACATACTGAGGACAAACCCAGATCGATGGGCGATGCGAACGGAATGGCTCGGGGAAAGGCTCAGGGAACGCGATCACCACCAGAACCTGGAGCGAACAAAAAGAGGTCTTGAAGGATTCTGACAGCACACCAGCACGAGAGACAGGACAACAAAGCAAGCAATGAAGCACTTCTAACACCATTCCAGGACGGCAAAAGATGTTGTTTTCAGCCAACAGACAAGTCGAATGTGAGGATACTCCATGACAATGTGCTGCACCTTGTGCTGAACTTCACTTTCGCCAAGCGGTAACGGCTGATATATTTATCCGATTTCCGAAGGTGCTGGTGAGGAAGTGAAGGTGCTCAGCAGCAATGCAGGTAAGAACACAGTGACGGTGGTTGGGCATTCTCTTCTTATGAGGGCAACGACAAAACAGCTTGTTTGTGTCCGACATGGCACTTTCTGAGGGCCAGAAAAGCGCAAACATGTTTATCTCCAGATCACAAACACTCCAGATTGCAATGTTCCTGAAAATCTGAAGGATACACCTACCATGGAGGAAGGGGAGGCCTCCTGACGGCTCATCTTTCCATTGCGTTCTGTCCCCAGCAATCTCTCCCCTGCACGGATGACATAACAGTGATAGCGCTACTCACACTTCATGATACCCAGTCCACCCGCAATGCTGTGCTTTATCCCAGTCAAGCAGAGCGTGCACTTGACAGAGGTCAGCCCTGGATATCGAACAGTTGGTCCGTTGGCCAGAAGTTGAGAAAGACAAGAAGCTCCCCGGGGAGCTAGTCTGTTTTGGGAAAGCAGCTTAACACCGAGCAGCTCCGGACTCACGTGATCATCTCGACTGCCGTCCTCGAGTACCGACTTGCGGGGCGTCTACCGAACAACATCACCATCTTCCTCCATATTCCCCGGAACGCGCGAGTCAAACTCGATTGACTCTCGGTGCGCTACTGGACGCCATGAGAATCTCCTTTGCTCTCTCCAGCCCCCGGTGGAGTATCGCTCGTCCGTATTTGCCGGAATTTCTCCCAGGCTACCCCCAGCTGCCTCTGGCGCGGCAGAGCATCTCGGTTTCTCATCATACCTCTGGTGCAGTGATGCGGACCCTCGAACCCTCGCCGCCGGGGCCTGTGCGATCTGCCATGGTCAAGATCCGAATGCTTCATATCCACGTTTGGCCCTCCATATATAATCGCTTTTTACTTCCGCCTGCCTCTGTTGACTTTCCTCGCCCTTCAATCCAAATCTCCTCCTCACCCACTTTCATTCCGCGTGCCTCCCGCTGGTAATCATCCATAGGCACTTCTCTTTCTCATCTCATCTCTTTTCTCACGTACATCAAGCTCATCAAGATGCCAGAAGTACCTTTGTACGATGTCGTCATAATAGGCGCAGGGCCTGTTGGTCTTCTGCTCTCAGTTGCTTTGTCCCGATGGGGCTACAAGGTCAGACATATCGACAACCGACCAGTGCCTACTGCCACCGGACGAGCAGATGGTATCCAGCCGCGTTCAATAGAGATTTTGAAGAACATGGGCCTGAAACGCAAAATCATGGCCCACAACCCTGCTAGAGTGTTCGAAGTCGCTTTCTGGGACCCGGCAGCTGGCGGCAAAATTGTCCGAACAGGTACATGGGCAAGTTGCCCTGATTTTCTCGATGCCAGGTATCCTTTCACAGCACTCCTGCACCAGGGACTGATCGAGAGAGTTTTGATCGAAGACATTGAGAAGAATGGTACCCACGTTCAACGACCATGGACAATTACCCGCTTCGAAACCAACAATGTCAACCCCGAATATCCTGTTGAGGTCGACCTGAAGAACCTAGACAGCAATGTGACTGAAACAGTCCGCGCAAAATACTTATTCAGTGGCGAGGGTGCCCGCAGTTTTGTTCGGGACACATTGGGTGTGCAAATCCGACATAAAGATCCCATCTCGCATGTGTGGGGAGTCATGGACGGAGTGGTGCGCACAAACTTCCCGGACATCAAGATGAAGTGTACCATCCACTCCGACCATGGTAGCATCATGGTCATCCCGCGTGAGAACAACATGGTACGTCTTTACATTCAAATCGCCAGCAGTACAGATCCAGACTTTTCGCCGCGCAAGACTGCCACAGTCGAAGAAGTCCAAGCAGCTGCCAAACGCATTTTCCAGCCATACTACTGCACCTGGGACCGTGTAGAGTGGTACTCTGTATACCCTATCGGCCAGGGCATTGCGGACAAGTATACCTTGGACCACCGAGTCTTCATGGGCGGTGACGTATGCCACACCCACTCTCCCAAGGCCGGCCAAGGTATGAACACAGCCTTCCACGACGCCATCAACTTTGCATGGAAAATGCACCTGGTCGAGGCTGGCTTTGCAAAGCGGGACATCTTAACCACATACGAAGTCGAACGGAAGTTTATCGCCGAGACACTGCTCAACTTTGACAACAAATACGCCGCGCTCTTCTCGCAACGGCAACCAACAGCCAATGAAGTCGACAGCGCGCACAACAGTCATGGCGGTCATGACACCAAGAACGAATTTGTTGAAATGTTCAAGGCCAACTGCGAATTCACATCGGGTTTCGGTGTCGCTTACAATCCCAACATCTTTAACCACTCCTCGGAACACTCTTTTCAACACCCGCTGATCATCAAGGACTCTCCCAAACTACGGCCCGGCCGAATCATGCCCCCATCCAACGTTACACGGGTTGTTGATGCGAACGTTGTACATCTCGAAAACGAAATTCCATTCAACGGTGCGTTCAGACTGTTCGTGTATGGCGGAGCCTCCCAATCACCAAAGCGAGGACAACACAAGGCACTCTCAGACCTTGCCAGTGGTCTCACCAGCCCCGGCAGCTTCTATACACGGTACGAGTCCAAGGAGCGGCAAAGAGATAACCACCACGACAGCGACAACCCGCACAGTCGGTTTTTCTCTATCGCATTGACGCTCGTGGCGAAGCGCTCCGAGATCGAGATTTCCGACCTCCCAGCTGTGTTCCAGGACTACAGCGGCAGGATCTACGCGGATGATCGCAAGGATATACGCGTACTGGACGCAAAGGCCTCTGCGCACGCCAAAGTTGGCTTGACTGGATCTGAGGGCGCCGTCGTCGTCGTCCGCCCAGATGGGCATGTCGGCGTTTCGGTGCGGTTAGTCGAGGGCCAAGGCACAGTGGAAGCACTGGAAGGGTACTTTGCCGGCTTCTTGAACGGAACGTACGATAAAGATGGGAGGAGTCGTAGCAGAACAGGGCTAGGTGGAGGTTCTGAGCACGTGAGAGCACAGCTTTGACGATGAAACCTGACATCTTTTACCCATGTTAAGTACTTTTCAGCGGATATAATGCTGTTCAGTCCTCCTAAGTCGATAGGGACCCAGGCAGTCGACCATTATTGTGTGAGGTATTTTGGGAGGGAATGCTGTATTATCTTTTAGCCACTGCATATAGTATCACATTGATTCTTGACAATTTTACATGTTTCAAACTTGCAAAGAAGAAAGGAAAACCTCGATATACGCGTGAAAGTCAAGAACTCGTTTATGGGTACTAGGTACCTATACCCGCGGAGGTGGTAAGCCCCCGTGAGCCCTTGTAGATGAATGTATGCGAGAAGTTCTGTACCCTGCATGGTACCCTGTAGGGTGGATGGGAAGGTACTCTGTACAGGCCACTTTTCGATGTGACCGTGATTCATCCACCCACCGAAATCGAGGCTCAAGCAACTAACTAGTTGGCGTTCCATTTCCACCACCCAACCCGACCCAACCCAATCAACTCAACTCTTTTCTTTGGTAAAACGTAAGCAGTGCCCTTCCTATCCTTCCTATCCTTCCTAGCCATTCCCCTTCCTCCGTCGCGTCTCGCCTCTGTGTCGAACGGTTTTCTCAGTCTTCACCTTTCAATTTCTCCTCAATCTCCTGTAAATCCTCTGCGTCCGTAATCTCGATGACGCGATTCACTTCGGCGGTTCCGCGCATGAGCTCGACGGCGCCGGCGTAGCTCATGCGCATGTTCGGATTGCAGTTGACGGGGAGGTAGTAGATCAGCACGTACGGTACCGAGAGCCGTCCCGAGGGCTATCAATCCCGACAGGGCGCACAGTGAGAATCCGATATGAAAAGTGATGCGATTCGGGAGGTAACTTGAAAAAACAACGACAACAAGAACAAAATGAGGGGCTGAGAGCGAAAAAATGTAATAGATAGATGGGGAGGTACAGGTATGGGTATGGGTTAGGGTACAGGGGATCGGGAGAATGAAAGAGTTAACGGAATGATAATGATAGTTATAACGAAAATCATAGAGCATACCAATGTCAAGGGATAACTTAGTAGAATGTACCTCGGTGACGAATCGGGTAGGTCGTCTGCTAGTTCGAGCATGTCGGTATATGTGTCGTCCGAGGAGGGTTTGATTTCTTGAGTTTTGATGTCGATTTGATCTGTGATGCGTGGTACCGGCGGCTGTCAGTAAAGGATGCAGGGACCTTGATGATGGCAAATGGCTTGACGGGGAAAGAGGTTTGGATTATAGGAACAGGTCCCATGGAGGGAGAAACAAGCAATTTGGGAAGACAAGCATATATGTCGAATATCCGTATAGTGGTATTTTTGACTGCTGACTGGTGTACTCCGTAGATTGACTGGCAATCAAGGTGCAACTCTGGTAAGATCACACACGGTCGCGATCGACTTACATATTCTGGCCATGGGTGTCTTTGCCCTCGATGTGCCCAAGCGGAATTTGCGGAGCTGATCTTTCGTCTCCTGAGAGAATGTGTAGAGTCTCGATTCGGACTGTGCGGGCCATCAGTCTCAAAGCGCCTTTACTGTACCAGATCGGAGTGTGGGCAGTGAGTGGTTTACCATGATTCTTGCTTGGATTGGGTCAAGTCTGGGATCTGGAGACGACTCAAACGCGCTCTGAGGAAGACGATGCTATCCACCGAGGTGGCGATCGGTTCTAGAGATAGCCGGTGGCCCCTTGAAGAACCAAGTATGCGGTGTGATGGTCGTTCTGGACAAGTCGTAAGAAAGGGTCTTGAAGCAGCTCAGCCTTGTCAGCCGGTCTGTACCTTCTTAAGTTCAACTGCGAGGGTCGGAATTGAAGAGCACCGTGTCAGCGGTGAAAGAACCAAATCGTCGAGTGCGAGGACAACTAAGAGCTAGACGGACACCCGGAGATGTCAAGAGTGGAAGTGTTGTTGGTTGTAGGAGGTAGTAGTTGAGCTGTCAGCTTGATGGATGGACTGATACGGGATTGTGTCGATTTGGTCTGGGCACTCAACGGCCAAATGATGGAGGATGATGAGCCGATGGGCGACGACCACTCCAGACTGGGTCTAACTAGAGGCAATTAGTTTACAGTGCCTTCTCCGATTTACACCTCCATCTTCATGCGAAACGGCCGATCACTAATTCATCCTGTATATATTCGGAGTATCCATGTATACGTAGGTGCCGACCTAGATTGACTCGCTCTCATTCATGTTCTCCCGCCTCTCCCAGCTCGCACGCCACCTCTCTCGCCCTCTACCCAACTACGCGCATCGTTCGGCGGCCGCAATCCCTGCGACCTTGTCCTCGAAAATGACATCATTATCGCCGTCGTCCGCATCGGTGCAGCCGGAGAGAGTGATACACACGGCAGGCTGCATAATCATCGGCGACGAGGTGCTGGGCGGAAAGGCAAGTACAGGGATGCCCGGGATGGGCCCGACGTGTCGTTCCATGACTGTTGCTTTCTGGTTGGATGGCTGACGCAGCATTGCCGGTTACACAGACGGTCGACACGAACAGCGCGTACCTTGCAAAGTTCTGCTTTTCGCTGGGCATACAATTGAAGAGAGTGGAAGTGATTGCGGACGACGAAGATGAAATAATAGAAGCCGCGAGGCGCATGTCCAAAAACTATGATTTTGTGGTTACAAGTGGTGGCATCGGTCCTACGTATGTCTGTCCTGTGTCGCCCGACACACTGCACACTCCTCGTCCACGCCGGGGCTTCGCTCACTTAAAGCCTGCATCGCTCTTTACAGGCACGATGACATAACGTACCAGTCGATAGCGAAGGCGTTCAATCTCGAGTTAAAACTACACGAAACGACCGTGGCCAAGATGAAGAAGTTTTCCAGGCCGCATAAATCACAGCCGAACTTTGACTGGGATAAGCCGTCGCCGGCGTTGACAGCGAAGTTAAGAATGGCCCGCTTACCGTTTGACCCCAAGCTTCCCGAAGAGGACCAGGTGCTCTTTGTCAAGGAAGATCTCTGGGTGCCAATTTCAGTGGTCAATGGAAATATTCACATTTTGCCCGGGGTGCCCAGATTGTTTGAGGCGTTGCTGGAAGGTATGAAGCCGAGGATCATGCCTCTGCTGAAGGACCCAGAGGGTAAAGGCACGTATCGCGTGCTCTTTAGCACGCCCTTGGCCGAGAGCGCTGTGGCAGAATACCTCACGAGTCTTGCCGCAAAGGTCGAGCCGAAGGGCGTTAAGGTCGGAAGCTATCCTCGCTGGGGCAAAGGCAAGAATGTCGTGACATTGGTCGGCACCGACCGGGAGTACATGGACTCTCTAGAGAACGAGGTTGCCGAGGGAGTTCAAGGTCGAAGGATCCAGGTAGAAGGCGAAGACGACACTGATGATGAAACGGACGTCAAGAAGGACAAGGATTCGTGATAGATATGGTAGTCGTCGACGAGGCGTTTTGCCCGTTGCTGACGGACCCCCCTTCAATGCTTTGTGTTCGCCGTTGCTTGGCCAGGAGGTCCATGCCTCTACCAATGCAGTGGATGAACTCGTTATGAAAAGGGTCAACTATGTCGTTCGTCACTAAAATTGGTAGGGATACTCCGTATATATTTTGCCTTTACCTTCATCTGGTAACAGCGTCTATGAAGATACACGTGATTATAATCCGTGGTAAGAAGAGGCTGCTCTTAAGAATGTTTGGTTATGCAAAGAACTGGCACCTGCATTCGCCGTGAGGAACCATTTTAATGGCACACTGCGGCCACAGGGGCATAGCGCTGTTCCACTTTGCATGGGTGAAAGATTGAGTGGCCGTCGAACGGGGTCGAATTCGAGACCGGGGTGCAAATCGTTCACATTTCGAGATCACAGCACGTTGTGGCGATTTCGTGTAACGCAAAGGCCGACGAACGACGTTGTGTTACCTTGGAAGAGTTCTTCCCCAGGAAGGGTAAGTACATGGTATGGAGCCATCGATGTGATACTGTAGCAACACAAAGTCGCAACCACATGTCAGGAATAGTAGACTGAGGACTCGGGAGAAGCCTCTGCAGCCGTTCATGTCTTCTGTTCTCTTCGTGGGCGATCTTCATGCTGCGTCTCGAAAAGTCAACGATCATCGTCAAGAGCGTGAGGGTTCGTAATTTCGTACTCCATGCTCGAAACGCGCTGCTTGTTGCAGATCTATTCAACGTGATGGACGCCTCTTTCTCGGGACAACGCAATCTGCAAGCCAAGCGGTTACGCTACGTACTTTCCTTCAACAGAGGGTGCAGAAGACGTCGGAGCGCGTGTCATTCGTGTGGTCAACATGCTTATCGGAGTCTGTAGAGAGAGAAGCACCTGTTTCGTATTTCGGCCTCCTTTTGTTGTTTCCAGCACATGACAGCACCTGAGGAATGGAGAAGAGCGGTGGTAGCGTGGGAGGTGGAAGCCCATTTCCCGAGCTTGCTTCTGGCCTAGAGCTTTAAGCGCCAGACTAGGTTCGCGCAGGGAGAACCGGCGTGTGATCAAGTCGTGTACGGTCGAATCAGAGGTGGCACTCGGCTTCTCTCACTGGCATGGCGTTAACAGACAGTTCTGCTCACCTCACGGGTAAGGGAGGCTTCCGTGATGGCTCGAAGATGGCATGCGGGAAAGAGTTCTCCTTGTCGAGTTGTCACAACTTCAGGCGAACCACACTGGAGAGATAACTGCCTGTATGCATGGATAGCCTCCGTAATCATACTGGACGATTCGAGTGGTCGCTCGGATCCGTCGACGATTGGATGGCTTGCTTGCGAGTATCCCAATTGAGACGACGGTTTGATAATGAGGGCCAGAGCAGATCAGGCCAGGTGTATCTCCTGCGCTTCCGACGACATAGGAGTGCAACGATATGGCTCAGTGGCTCTGTCGAGGGGTTAGTACTCGTTTCGGTACAGGTAAAGAAGCGCTCAGTCAGTGAGTGCCTTTGGTGGTTCTGTGGAAAGCGAAAAAGCCTGGCAGAAAATGTTCAAGCCACCACAGGGAATTCGTCTGGATGAGGGATAGGGGCACACCTAAGCCTTGACTAGAGTCGAAACAACTCTCCGTAGAATGGGGGGAACGGGAAGATGGATGGATGGCAGCTTCGCTAAGCCATTTAGAGCCTCCAGGCCTTGCGATAGGCTCCGAAGGGGTCGCCGGGCAGGCCACTAGGCCAGGTAGGACAGTAGTGGTGAGGGGTGCTAAGGAGTGGCCCAGGGCGTCACGGAGCAGGCCTAGTGAGCCTAGCACCCCTAGCACCCCTAGCAGCCTTAGCAGCCTTTGCTTGGAGAGGTGGTACCTCTAGGCTCTAGTAGTAGGTTAGCACCTACTGGCGTGACTGACTGGCACTTCCGAGCCTCTGCTGGTCGTTAGCTACAGGGCTCGTATCAATCCACGAAAGAGGATACTGACCCTGAGCCCTTTTACTCCGTCGTGTACGCTCCGGATGGCTTCCTCCCTGCGCTCGAGAATATCTGAACTTCTACTCCATACCCTCAATCTGGACCTTTGGTAGACCTCTCCATTGGATCCCATTCCTCGTCGTTTCACCAGCCGCAGGCTCGTACGGTCATACCCAGGTATTGCAGACACTTCCAACGTCTATCTTGGCCAATCATCCTGCCCTTGCTGCAGCCAGATCCTGGAGAAGCCCATTCCGCAGTTATTCGTGACTGGCTCGGCCACTGACAAGTCGACTGCTTCCCCTTGACGTCTCTTGACGCTCTTTGTTGCTGTCAATTCACACCTCGCCAGCAGACCTACATCTCATATTCTGCTCCTTCCATACGTCAGTCAGGCAAGGTCAGTGCTTGCAGGAGCTGTCGCAACAGCCACCCGTCAACCCTTCGCGCTTCGAAACTCATCCGAACCACGGTTTCACCTCGCTCCCACCCTCACTCTCGAACTCACCAAAACCGCCGACCTTGCACCTGAGACCTCTGCGTCTGTCGACAAACATCCTAGCAATCGCATCTCCAGCTTGCGGCTATCTTGACCCCTAGAGTTCTTAGTACTCGTCAGAAGTCCTTTTGCTCGGAATTTCGTCCTTGCGATCTGGGTTCTTGGCTAAGTTCGCTTCCAACCCGAACACTTTTGGACTATTTGTCTCAGGCGTGATTCATACCGAGACACGCCTTTGTCGACGTCAGACCACTGCCTGCGATGGCTTCAAAGGTTGGTGAAGTGAACCCGACTATGCTTCCTTCCTCCCCAATCCCATGGCTGCGCTGACCTCTTCCTGGCAGTTTCTGCGCGAATACAAACTGGTGGTGGTAGGAGGCGGAGGTGTAGGAAAATCGTGCTTAACCATCCAACTCATACAAAGTCACTTCGTGGATGAATATGATCCAACGATTGAAGGTGTGTCCGCTCCGTTTACCGAGACCCGACCACCGCTGACATGACCGCAGACTCATACCGCAAGCAGTGCATGATCGATGACGAAGTTGCCCTCCTTGATGTCCTGGACACGGCCGGCCAAGAAGAATACTCCGCCATGAGAGAACAGTACATGAGAACAGGCGAAGGGTTCCTGCTCGTCTACTCCATAACATCGCGGCAGTCGTTTGAAGAGATCATGACCTTTCAACAACAAATTCTCCGCGTCAAAGATAAAGATTACTTCCCCATTATCCTTGTGGGCAACAAGTGTGATTTGGAGGGGGAAAGAGCAGTATCCCGAGAGGAAGGCGCACAGTTGGCAAATCAATTCGGGTGCAAGTTCATCGAGACATCTGCCAAATCACGAATAAACGTCGATAATGCATTCTACGACCTCGTACGAGAGATCAGAAGATACAACCGCGAAATGTCAGGGTACTCCGGCGGCGCCCCTCCTCTCGGTGGCCACGGTCCTGGCCAAAAGTTTGAGGTTGATAACCAGTCGGACGGCGCAGGGTGCTGCAGCAGGTGTGTGGTGATGTAAAGAGCATGGCGAGGCAGATTAAACAAAAGTTGAAAATATTGCTGAGACTTTTCCCACAGCTCGGAGTTGAGAGCATGACTCTACGGCGCCATGTTGAACGGATTGACTGGGTTTGGCTTGCACTTTGGGGAGCGCCTAAAATAAGAGGTCTTTTGCGAATCAAGAATTGAACAGGCTTGCGCTTCGAAGGAAAATGGACCTGGCATTTTGTTATTGGAATGGGCAGTCATAGAGATTTGATTCCCTTGGTGTGCGAGAGAGTCTTGCTATGTTGTCTAGCAGAAAATTGGCTCGGGAGCGATTCTTCGCAGCCATCAGGCGTGCTATTCCAGGACAGAACTTATATACTCTTACGTGTTAATCTTATCAGCATTGCCTTTCTGATGTTCGTTTTTTTGTGGACGGAACGAGCCAAGATTTGGTTCTGATATTGTTGTTGTTCCGTTCGACCTTTGTATGTCCCGTAGTTAACAAGCCATTGACTCACTAAAAGCCAACAGATCTTCAACAGGTATTCTCGCTCCGGTGACTTGAGGTGTGGCTTTGGCATAGACGTGAAACCGTAGGCCAAGTCATGCCAGGGAGTCCAAAATTCATGGAGTGGTCATATCAAGTTCAATAACTGCTTCGACCGGACTCTCTTGGTACAAATGCTTTTCTCCTGAGGGTGTTCTGTACGCAAACTCTCGAACATCCCTTGGATACTCCTACGCTTCATCTCCGACATCATGGAAGAAGAGAAACCCTCTGAGGCCAAGGCTTCATTCGGTAAGCGCAACGCCTTTTCCGAGTTGATGTCGCCAAAGGCCAAACAGCCAAAACCAGAGGTTTCGAAGGCTGGAAAGCATCGCAATCCCTACGACATTCGCAATGGCTTGCTGGCATACATTCTAGATCCAGCCAAATTCGCACCAAATGTGGTCATCAGCTTCAACGAGCGAGTCGTCCTGCTCCGCGACGCGTTTCCCAAGGCTACTGTACATCTGCTGTTGCTCCCAAGAGATCCGGTCAAGCGAGATATGCATCCCCGTGATGCTTTGAATGATGCCGAATTTTTGAAGATGATGAAGACAGAAGCTAGTGAGGCCTTGGAGTTGGCGGCGTCCGAATTATCACGGCAACTCAGCTCTTATTCGGACTCTTGCAAGGAGCGCATCGCCGCAATGGAGGGCGACGAGATACCTGATGAGCTTCCACCTGGCAGAGATTTTGCAAAGGAATTCAAAGTCGGCATCCACGCTCATCCATCTATGAACCATCTTCATATCCACATCATCAGTCGAGACATGCATTCTGATCGCCTAAAGCATCAAAAACACTACAACAGCTTCAACACCGACTTCTTTATCCCTCTGGAGGACTTTCCCCTGGCGGAAGACGACATAAGACGGAGCACGAGTTACCAGAACAGCAACCTGAAGAAAGAGTACAAATGCTGGCGGTGCGGGAGATTGTTTGGGAACAAGTTTCAACAGCTAAAGGCTCATCTTGAGGAAGAATTTCTTGCCTGGAGGAAAATGTGAGCGAGCCCTGGTCCCCAACACCGATGTTATGTGTCAACCGCCACTCAACCCCTTCTTCGTTCTCGGCTCGAGTCCCGTAGCCTAGAAGAATCGCGGCCCCTTTCTAGATAGCTGTCTCTTCGGGCACGCCTGGAATTGGTGGGGTCGACATATTCGACAACTTCTCGTATTCCACCGTCCTCGACGTCGACATATATCCTTCCAGGTTGGACAACTTCATAATCGAACCGTGGCTGAGAACTTCTTCGTCGGGCCGTGTTGCTTGCGTCGGCAGCTCGGGATACGGTCTCTGGTTCAGGCTTTCTTCTAACCACTTCCTTCTGTTCAAGTTCTCTAACCCGAGCGCCGCCTCCATCAGCTCGGCGTTTGAAAGCTCTTACACTGCCCGGTCTTGAGGCCATACTACCCCTACGACTCGCGAGACCACCGCCGCCCCCTCCACGTCTATCGTCGCTACCAGAGCTGCTGCCTCCACGTTTACGACATGTTCCACCACCACCTCGTCGATCAAGTATTGCTAAACATCGTTTCACCAACTCGTCTGCTTCGAATGTGTCTCTTTCGATCCTTCGAATCTGAAGCCGCTGGACCTGGTTGAGCATACTGACCACGGACGACTGGCTTTGCCACCTAACATTTTCGGATCAGTTCAGAGTATGCTAGGCAGTCGGAGACTTCCGTACCAGATGAAACGATGGACCAAGTCAGTCCTATAATACCTCTCGGTGCCGGGAGCCAGGCCAGCTTCTACCATGCCGATACGGTTGGTGGTCTGCTTTTCATTCGAGCTGGGTTTCGCGTAGGGCTTCTCTTCCACGTCACTTTCTCCCCACCAGTCGCCTCTCTGAACCTCTTCAGCGCGCACTGGATTCCTGATGAGGAACGGGCGTTCTATATTGCGAAACTGCTGCCACATGCCGTTGAGGGTGGTTTCCAATAGCTCGGTCACCTCCCGCGCCTTGCGCCGAGATCGTCTCCGTCGCCCGTTGGAGAACACGGAGTACGGGTCGCCTTCTCGGGCACGTTGCCGAAGTAAGGCTTGTTCTGCTTGGATCTCTTGACGCAGGTTGCCCAGCATGATCGGAATGAGCGTGTCTGCATTGCGCATGGTCGATATGAGGTCTCGATAGACACCTGAAACGATAGATTGTGAGGAATGGACGGACTTTCACGTTAACGAGAAGGGCCAGTACAAACCGAGTAATGTAGCAAGGGTGATTCCAAAGGATATGAACCCAATAATTTGGGAAGCTAGGGCGAGGGCCGTAGTCATGATGTCCAACAGTAGAGGTTGAAGTCACCAAGATGTCCCCCAGAGTATCAGAAGTTGACACTGTTCCGGAATTCATCCAACGACGAACCCTGTACTTCAGCGACAATAGCATGCGGTTCCCCCAACAATAAAGGAGTATGTAAGGTACGGATGTAGGTACCAAGATATGTATGTATGCTGAATCATACTCGCCATCCAGCAATCTGTAGCTTTCTTCGAGCTATTCCCAGTTAATGATCTGGATGTGAAGTTGGAGGCGGGAAGCTTTTCCGCGCAGATCCGAGTAGCACAGCAACTATATTTGAAGATCCTTGCAACAATGAGCCGCGTTTACCATCATCCTAATTCTATCAGGAAGACCACGCCTTTACTGCTACCCTTGATATCGCCATTCCCGACATAAACAATGGCAGTCCCACCATATGATGCCCACTCAGATTCGAAGAGTAAGTCCATTGACCCCCAGGGAGCTCAAGTACTCGAGGATCCAAAAGGTCAAGTTCTTATTTGCCGGGAACACAATTCCATCACTGGAGGTTTCTCATCCAGTCATGACTTGAAACTTGGGTACCATGTATGACGCATTCGGACAATCTCCATCGTCGCCCGTTCTTGATGTCATACCAGACAATCATGACCGTGGACGCGCTTGAAGTTTGCAGGTGATTGAAAAGAAATGAGCATTGAGAAGAGATGACCCAATATTTGGCCTTGTGAATTGTTCTTGCAGACCACAAAGTACACAATTGGAATTGGCGAAGTCAACCCGAGACAATGTCCGACAAACCTCAACAAGGCCCTCCGACGGCCTATCCATCCACCTCGCTCAAGAAGCAAGACCAAGAAGGCAGTAAAGGTCTAGATGCGAAGCTCGAGCCAGGCGCAAACTGGACTCAACTCGAGTTCTGGGACGACGAGGGCACTTCACCTTACTTAAAGGACTACGAGGGCCGCGGCCTGCTCAAGGACAAGGCTGTCTTGATCACTGGCGGCGATTCAGGTCAGATCACCACTACCCATTGACACACCACGTCTGTCGACCATCTTGTGAGGATGAAGTGTGACCGCTGACATATTTGACACTTGCGTCGTTCAGGCATCGGTCGAAGCGTAGCGATTCTCATGGCCCGCGAAGGCGCCGACATCACCATCGTGTACCTCGAAGAAGAAGAACCTGATGCGAAATGGACAAAGTCCCAAATCGAAAAAGCTGGTCGACAATGCCAACTCCTCGCTCTCGACATCACGTCTGAAGACAACTGTCGCAAAGCGATTGACGCGCACTTGAGCAAATTCGGCAAATTGAGTGTGCTGGTGAACAACGCTGCCATGCAGGAAATCTGTGAGGACCATTCACAGATCGACCTGGGCGTGGTGGAGAGGACGTTCCGCACCAACGTGCTCAGCATGTTCGCCATGACCAAGTTCGCCTTGCCGCACATGAAGCGAGGGTGCAGTATTGTCAACTCGTGCAGTGTCGCCGCGTACATGGGCAATCCGAAACTGGTGGACTACTCTTCGACCAAGGGCGCCATCTCGACCTTCACGAGGAGTCTGGCTCAGCAGCTCGCACCGAAGGGAATAAGGGTCAACGCTGTGGCTCCGGGCATCATGTAAGAGGAAACATCCTATACCGTCGCGCGGATTGCCTGGGTATCTGGATCCGGAGAAGTGCTAATTCGTAACTGTACCAACTAGATGGACGCCTCTTCAACCCGCGACAAAGGGAAACCCACCTGAGGCCATGGACAGCTTGGGCGTTTCTGAGGCACCGCTTCAAAGACCAGGAATGCCGATCGAGGTTGCGACTGCGTACGTGTTTCTTGCGAGTCCGCTGGCGAGTTATTTCACGGGAGAGGTCATTCATGGAACCGGGGGAATAGAGATGCAGGGCTGATCCCGGACCGGCCTTCTTTCGATCAGCACAGCGAATGAATCTGTGGCGCCGGTCATGCGTGATATGAACCTCCACGGAATACATAGATGAAGGGTCGAAGTAGCCTCCCTAATCGATATCAAAGCATGCCGTACATTCGTTATGTTTCATTCTGCATAGTAGTTGCAATCTTTGTTGGCCGCAATAAATATAACGTGTAATGTAGAATGGAAAGAAGCTCTTGTGGTGCGCGTTGACGAGAGCCGGCGAGGTGATCTTGAGTTTGGGCCAGTGAACAACCCGCGTATCAAACGAAGAGAAAAGAAATCTTATCAACAATCTCCGCCAAATCGCGTTTCCGGACTCGCTCTTTTCGCAGTGCTGTACTCGATGTAGCCTGGGATGTCCGCATCCACCTTCCTTTTCCCTCCATGTCCACGTATCATTTTACGCCCTGCGGGTGGATTGCGCCATTTAGAGAACTCATCCGAAGCTGCCAACCTGCCTGCCCTGGGTTATCAGTTATTTGTCGTACACACAGCCAGAAGGTAACATTGTGACTAGTCGACATGTAGCCGCTGAGGGTGACTCACTCTCGGTGGATTTGGCCCGAGGCTTCCCTTGTGGCGTTTTCTATAAAGACAGCCTGCTATTCGCACAGGCGTTGTATACTCGGACTACGGGTACCTACGGTCCGAGATAGTGAGGGCTGCTCGTCTGGCAAAGAGACGAACACAATGTCGACCACCACGACGAATCTGAGCCCCGGCATCCACCTCATCGGCGCAACCACGCCAGAAATCTCGACGATAGTGTCCAGCGTAGTCCACCTTCACGCAACATGCATCCTGAACGACTACACCCTCGCCACGTTTCTCCCACCGCTCTCCTACGACCTTATGACTAGTTGGTGGCGGCAGCGATTTGACGAAGTCACGACGGGAGCAAGACACATCGTCATCCAAGTCAGCGAGGTCTCGGAGCGCAGCAGCATGGACCTCGCGGCGCCTTGGGCCAGTGAAGGTCGCGGGTGGCCCCTCCTGGAGAACGGACTTGAGGTTTCAGGCGTCGTGACCCTGTCTACGCCATTCAGCCAGACGGGCCCGTTCAGAGCCGTTGTCCAGAAACTGTTCGTCTCGCCACTGCATCGCCAACGCGGCATAGCGAAACGGATGCTGGTCAAGCTGGAAGATGTTGCCCTGGCCCATGACCGATGGAATCTCATGCTCGACACTTCGGTGGGAAGCGAAGCGGACAAAGTCTATCCCAGGCTGGGCTATGAAAGGTTGGGCATCGTCAGGGAGTACGGAATTAGTCCGAAAGATGGACGGCCGGTGGATGAAGTTTGGTACTGGAAGGATTTGAGAAAACATCGCATACAGGAGCGGTAGACTTTAGACGTTGAAGAGTCTGTGGCCGAATTCCGGATAGAAGGAACCTGCCTAGGCTTAGATGGCACATCTGGCTCTATGACAAAACTATGAGTTGTCAGGCGATGAACGGCAAAAGATAAGAGTTATAGAACACAGTCGCCAATGTAGACAGATACTCAAACATACTGTTTTGCGAATGCGATGAGTGCTCGAGGGTCAGGAAAAGGGAGGCCACAAGGCTACAAGGCTGAACGATTCTCTGTATCATTGGTCAACGGAAATACAAGTCACGTGCCATCGATTATCCTACAATTTTCGAGCTCTAACAACAAGCACTATCAATCGTTGTCGTGCAGTATCCCGACGAACTCCTCCCTCCATCCTCCCTCCACCTCCCTCTCAACACAAAATCTCCTCCTACCTCCGACGTTCAAGATGCCGCCGATCCCCTCGCTCGGTGCGCTGCACACCTTCCGCGCCCTCACGCGGCTCTCACTCGCCAAAACCACAACCTACTCCCCGTCTCCCATCCTCCGAAGCGCAACGCCCATCTCACAACTCTCTCGCACGCACCCGTTCTCCAGCACCGCCACGCGATCCATGACCCTCAACCAAGTGCGCACGCAGGGCCGCCGGCCAAAGAAAGCCCGCCACGCCGTCTCGCCAGCCCTGGCCGCCGAGAACCGTCCGGAGATGAAAGGCGTGTGCCTGAAGGTGGGCATCACGAAGCCCAAGAAGCCCAACTCCGGCCAGCGCAAGACGGCCAAGGTGCGCCTGTCCAACGGGAAGATTGTGTCCGCGTACATCCCCGGCGAAGGACACAACGTGCAACAGCACAGCGTGGTTCTGGTGCGCGGTGGCCGCTCCCAGGATTGTCCTGGTGTGAGATACCATCTTGTCAGAGGTGCTTTTGACCTGGTGAGTTTTCCCGTTTTTGGCCTTTGCACGCACCGTTTGTCCAGGTGTGTTGGGGGGTTATGTGCGTTTTTTCGCGTGGACCGGGAAATCAAGAAACGAAAAAAGGCGGGAAAAGCATAAGAATCTTAGGCTGACGTGAACTCTGTGAATTACTTAGGGCGGTGTACCGAGTCGAGCGTGCAGTCGAAGTAAATATGGCACGAAAAAGCCCAAGGCCGCCGTGTAAAATGTCAAAAAGGACCGATCATCTCGGAAATGTAACAACAGCAGCATTACGACCGCTAACCGTCGAAAATAAACACTCTCAGCGTGGTTTTGCGCTTTCTCTACAAAATGTCACTCCGCGGAGAGAATGTACAGATTCCCAAGAGACAACAATTGAGCGAGCTTGGGACCAGGGAGGAATTGGATAAAGGGGGGCACGAACAATGTTAAATCTTGAGATTGAGAGATGTTCATATTGGTCCCCCGGTTTATCAATAAACAAAATATTTCTCATGGTGTCCCAGAGTCGAAATTGAAGATGCAGCAGGACCAGGCTGTTGGAACCACCCTGGGTTTAGGTTTCCTTTTCCCGCCTGGAGACTCGGGCCCGGCTGGATGTTTTGAAGCAGGGCTTGATGAGACTCTTGAGGGCATGTGGTATAAGTGTTCGACGATGCTATAGAATCAGCTAGGTTAGAAGGCACCCAGGTCCATGTCTACCGCATACCAGGGTCTACTTCGTCGATGATAAGCGGCTGCTCCATATACCAAAAGTACAAGACCAGCGTATCTGCCTGATATTGTACCATCTCATTTTTTATTCGCATTGACTATTCAAGTTTCAGTTCACACCATGTGACAGTTGCTTTTTGTGAGGTGGTTCCACGTTGTACAAGTAGCAGTTGTTCCGCACTCGCAGGAGAAAGGTGGTCCCCGGTCAACGGGGGCTAACTTAGAGATTCAGATGAGATATAATAAGGTCACCTGTTTATTCGTCGATGGCTCTTTTTCTCTTCTCGCAAAACCGTGGCCTTGATGCTTTACGCTATTACAGGTCTATCCATCTCGCTACCTATATACAGAACAGTTCCCCTTGAATATTACACGTTACGCTGCTCATGAACGGAGCAAAAAGGGGCCCCCAAAATAGGAGAACAGAGCATGTATCTCGGAGTTCTTGAGGCAAAGAAAGAAAGAAAGATGGGCAAAAGCCAAAGCCAGGCCTCCAAAACGTCCTTTTGAATTCTCCGTACACTATTTACACAGCTATTGATCCAAACGCGCTTCATATCAATTCATAACCACGCAATGCAATGCAGTGCAGTGCTGTTCCGTTTTCGGTGAGAATCCACCGCTTTTGCATGTGCGACGGAGCCATGGCCCCGTTTCAGCGTGCGACCAATCGTCTCAAAAAAAGCAACAAGAACGAACAAGGATGTGATCTCAGTCTCCATCCGTCGTAAAAGGTGGTACAAGCCAGGTAGGTACCAGTCAATGTCGAAATTGTTCTGTCGTCCGACTATGGTCATCCCCGGTTAAAATTATCGTCCAAGAAGCACAACCGGCAGAGTCACACCCTGATAATGAGATCTCTAGATGACTTCCACTAACTTTCAACTTTCGTTAGAGAGAGAGACTCGGTTTGGCCGAAACTAATCGTCGTTTTGCCGGGTCCCCCTTTCATGCCATTCGGCCAAGCGTTCGGCAGCAGCCAGCAGCCTGCGTCTCGTCCTTGGAATCTTTAGCAAGGCCAAGAGAATACCCAAGCTGACAAAGAAGGAGATGCACGAGTACTGCCAGATTTCCTTGGTGAGACTGATGCTTAACCCCGACTCGCCGTCTTCCCCGGCTAGTCAGACTTGATCCATCCAGCCCACTGGTTTTTCCAATTTGTTCAATTCGAAAAACCGGGAGGTACACGAATACCCCTTCCAGTCAAAGTTGTCGCCAGGGTTGCAGTGGCAACGGAGCTTGAGGCGGAGATCTTCCCCAGTTGGACAATGTGTAAAAGGAATGTGGTAATATGCGATGTCGTTGAAGAAATGGATCTCGTCCTTGTTGAGAAGGAGACTAGCCGCGATCGAATGCACCGGAGCATCACCCCATCTCTCGTAGAAGAATCCACCATCCTTGTCGAGAGACTCGAAGAAATCGATGTAAGGTTTTGATCGGAGCCAGTCAAGGTTGCCGATTTCAAAGTTGGACCACTACAGCATTGTCAAAAACAAGCAGCTGAAGCAAAGAAATCATCACTTACGAAATGACATTTGTTGTATGTCTCACCACCATCGTCACTGAGAAACCCCATAGAGTTGTCCTTTGCAATGTGCTCGGGATGAGCCTTGATAAACTTCTTGGTGCTGTCCCATAGGGTCGGAATAGTCTCGACATATTCGTACAAACTCAGAACAAAGCTGTACTTCTTCTTGTTGTCCTTCATGTAGCGGAATGGATCATAGTGTACGTCGCAGAAAAGCTCGACGCTTGGCTCAACTCTCCAATAATACTCGAATTGATGGAGCAGTGGGTGACGGAAGAAAAAACCAGATTCGAATCTGCACATGTGTCGGTAGCTGACGGAGTCCCCGTAGATGATCTTTCTCCGGCGCATGTCCTCTCTGACAGCTTCGGCTTTCTTCTGGTCGATCCAGGATGGGAACGACCAGTGCTCGACGGGAATCTCTCCGTAGTGTGTTTTCCCCGACACCAAGGAAGTGGTGACTTTCTTGAAAGTGTCATCGAACGGCTTGTCGTTCAGGAACACCCAGTCGTAGTTGTAGTTCCTGTTGAACCTGTCTTCGACTTGTCTGATTGAGCGAGCAATTTCCCAAATGTCTGAATTCCTTGCGAGCGTGACGAAGGTTGCGTTGACACGCTCGCCGGGGGCCGGCGGAGATAGCTCCGAGGGAGTGAGAGGGGTGATATTAGGAGTCAAGGATGCTAGAGGTTTGGTGTCTTGTACACTGCTGGTACCATCGGATGCGTCAGAGTGGAAGGCATCGGCGATCGCATCGTACTCGGCTTTCGAACTGTCTGAATTCGGTTTTTCCCAGGAGAATTTCTCAGCAGCTTGCTCAGCGAGAGGCTGCGCATAGGAAGATAACGAGGAGGTAGAAACAAAATAGAAGATGGCGAGGCACTAGGGAAGTCAGGACAACGTCTTGTATTCTCGTCCGGTTTTACGTACGACCAACGCAACCACCAGATACCTGGCGATCCTCCCTGAGCCACCCGCCATGTTAGAAGTTCTGAGAAAAGGAGTCGATCAGAAACGAAGATCGTATTATGGTGTGATAGGGTGCTCTAGGCCGTTGTAGGAATAAAGTGCAATATGGATGAGGTGGTGGCCTCCGAACGGGCGGTGGGCAGTATCAACAGGTTGGCATCAGGCCCAGGCTCACGGAGTCCGGACAAGGAAGACACAATAGATATAATGGGCAAACAATGAAAGTCGCCTCCCCCGGCTAAGTGAATGAAAGAGAAGAGGAGATCAAGCAGGTAGCACAATGTGATGTCGTGTCCGGGCTGGCTGGGTCCAAAATTCCCAAGGTTGCAAGATGATGAACGGTAAAAGGAGAGCGACGCGCAAGCCGGGGAGACGTGTAACAAGTTTCTTAAAAAAGGCGATGGCCGTGTCTGCCGCCGATAGGCCAGCTGGGTTCCTTGCGCAGGTATAGGTTTCGTAGGGGTCCAGGCCCTCCCCGGGCTCCCTGGGCGTCCTCCTAGGCTCTTAGCACCTGCGCCGTAGGCGCACTAGGCTTCATTATCTAAGCACCCCCTGCTAGTCCCTAAGCGTACTCGTCCTCTCGCACAATCACGTGCTGTGCAGCCTCGACCACTCACTCCTCCCTCAGTTTTCGGAGGTCGAATTAGATCACCACTGTAATCCTCATCCGACCTTTGAGCCACACATCCTACTACACCTTGCCTCCGTTGGATTTACGACCTTCGGCGACAATCTCTCGAGAAGCCTTGGATGCTTGTCTGACCTCAAACAATTTTGTTCTTACTGAATGTATGCCCTACTGCTCACTCACTCGAGGACAGAGACGGAGTGGGGTAGCGACGGTGTAAACAGCTAGACGCTCGCACAGAGTCAACAATACTCGACCTTTGTCGTGGTCTTACGACGCCATGTCCTTCTTCGGCTTTGACACGTCTCTGCCGAGAGACAAGCCCGGCGGAGCCAGCAAGGGAATCTTCGAGCACAGTAATCCTTTCAACGAAGTTGCAAAAGCTCGTAAACTGCAGGCATTTCACGACGACGAACAGGAAATGTAAGGCGCCACTCGGACGGATTGACCCTCGCGCTGACTCTCTTTTTTAGTATTGACTTCGAAGATACCTACGACGGCCTCGGCGACCAACTCGAAGAGACCGGCGACGATTTCAATGACGATACCTTTGGTGGCGGCGCAGAGGGTGGAAGTGGCCGGGGCACAGGGAAAGATTTTGATTTCTTCGGGAAAACCGCCCAAGTTTCGGACGCTTTCGAGCAAGAGCATGTGCGCTATAGCTTGCAGCATCCTGGTGCCCCCGTGGCAGCTCCCACGCAAGCCCCAAAACCAAAGAGAACTGGCTATGAGAAATATCAAGATCCAGGTTATATTCCAGATATCCAGGCCAAATCGGGGGCATGGAGTTCGAAAGCACAAGTAGCGCCTCAGGCGACAGAGGACCGCATCAGCACAGCTCGACCTGTTGCCCCTGCCCCTGCGCCTGTGGCTGAACCTCCCAAGATGATGAGTCTCGAAGAAGTTGAAGCTGCACTCCTTGCGCAACAACAACAACAGCAGCAGCAGCAGCTACCACCGTTTCCCATGCATCAGCCATACCAATTCCCTCCTCAGCATATGCAGCCTCCTCCCCCGCAGCCATTCCCGCAGATGCCACCTCCAGGACCAGTTCATCAACCCCCACCCCCACCACCTCCTTCGTCAAGTCCACAGAAACGCCACAATCGCATGCCGTCACAGCCTCAACAACGAGCGCAACAGCCTCTCCAGATCCTCCAGAACCCCAATCGAGCTCGACACTTACCACAGCCGAGTTTAGATCGTGTGCCACCAATGGGGCCTGGAGGCCACCCTGTCATAACACATCCTCAGCAGTTGATGGATTTGTCCGAAGAACAGCGAAGGGCTTACTTGGAGGAAGATGCGAAGAGAGCCAAGCGTAACCACAAGATCTTCATACTTTCCAAGGGAAATGGCTTGATGACGCCGCAAGATAAGAACTTCATTACCCGAATTCAACTTCAGCAATTGGTCGCAGCAACTGGAAACTCCGCAGATGCTGATCCTGAAGCCGCCCTTAACGAGGACTTTTACTATCAGGTCTATAGCCAGATACGCGGCGCTCCCAGACAGCATCCCACCCAACCCCTGGGCCACTTTGCACAAACTTATCTGTTCCAGACCGGAAATCGCGTCCGTGGTAGAAAGCAACAGATAGTCGCAGACAACCACATGCAGAGAATGCAACAACAGGTGCAACGCGCTGTTGAAGCCGCCAAGTTGAAGCCAAAGAACAAACAATTGATCATCGAAGGAAGTCTAGGAAAGATTTCGTTCAGCAATGCCAAGACACCAAAGCCGCTACTCAATATCAGGAGACAGGAGAACACAGATGGACGACCGACCACTTCAAAGGAGGGTGCACCAAGTGACCGGAAGACAATACTCAAGAATATTGAAGCGGTCTATTCCACTTTGATGCGTCTTGAGGACAATGTCCGGCAGATGCCTCCACCACCGACCGAGGGAGACGCGGACTCAATCCAAACCCAGCTTGAATGGCGGCAAACGATGCAGCAGCTTAACGCAAAGCTGTGGCAGGATTTGAAGATTTTAGAACCAATTGTGCCTGGTTCCTTAGTGACACATCCCTTCATTGCTTTCCTGTCGTTCGCCAAAGGCAAGAAGGCTATTCCTCGGGTGTTCCATCAAATCGATCAAGAGCAACGAGTAACCATCTTAACCATGATCGTCGTCCATCTCGATCAGCTGGATGTCATTAGAGACGCTCGTCTTGCCCCTGGAGAATCCCAGCCATCGCCAGCAGTGCGCGAAGAGATTGACCTTTTCTCACAAACTGTCATGCCTTGTCTGATGCAATATGTCAGCGAGGCACCGATCAATATCATTGTTGGCCTGCTCGGCTTGCTGATCGATCACACTAATGTTGTTCAAGTTGCACACACCAAAATCGGTGTCGCCATGTTGACGATGCTTTTGACTCGCGCAGAGATTGTCAAGGAATCCGGTGGTGTTTCTGACGAGGAATGGCAGCAATGGACGACGCTATACAACCGTCTCTTTGATATGCTGGAGCCTGTTTTGGGCTCAATCTTCCCTGCGGCCGTCAATGCCGGTGATGACATGTATGTCTGGCAATTCTTGGCCGCGGTGGGCATCGGAGCCAGCCCAGAACAACAGCAGCGACTAGTGATTGGAGTCAAGGACAGAGTGATGGAGACGGTTCAACAAAGCAAAACTTTACCGGCAGAGATGTCTAGTGTTAGACTTGGGAACGTCAACTTGTTCATGAGGGCCATCGGGCTTGACGTGGAGATGCTTGGATAAAATCTCTTATAGAACGAGAGACAGAGGCAGGAAATAGTTCATTGCAGTTATTGTTCATATATTCTTGAAAAGCAACGTCGGGCTCTGACTGTTCGCAAAAGCTTGCTCGCCCCTGTTGAGGTAACCTACACTGGTGTACCGATAGAGAACCCGTGTTTGAATTGCATGGTCTTCAGCTGGAGCGTAGCAGCCACACCCTGTCGGATCTTCATATCGTAATAGACGCCCAAGGTTCCCAGTGGCCGGTGAGGTAAGTCATGCGTCCTAACTAAGTTAACCGATGCTGGGGCGGATTGACCATCTACGACGCTTTGACCATTACCACTATACCGATTCAGCTGTTGGTGTTCATAATGAACATCCGCCATAAGTGGGACATGGTGAGAATCTCCAGATTGAATTGGGGCCACTTTAATTCGCCCTATCTCGATGTCTCCCGACTTTCACGCCAACTCTATTTTAACTCATCTTTCTTCCCGTACAAATGTGCGATTATCATCAAACCTCAAGCTTCTTTGAAAATGCCCAATCTGAACACTGATTTATTGCCTTCCACATGGGTGATGGTTTGCTGAGCGACTTTGTCGACAACGGTAACCGGCATCCCAAGCTCGAATCGAGAATCGTCACCCTTGATGTAAGTGATCGTCTGGTTTAGCTTGATCGCTCGAATTTGCTCCAGTGTTTGAGAACTTGTTTCCACAAACTGCTTGAGCACGATTTCTTCATCTTCAAGCTCATCGATTACTCCGCTGTCATCGGAGTCTCCTAGAGCCCTCAGACTCGCTGAGACATTCTCTTGGTCTTTCTCAGCCTGACGTTTCCAGCCATGAATCGCTTGCTGCAAGAGGGATTTTTCCGTAGCACGCTCACTCTGGGACTTGGCGACTAGTTTCCTGGTGGGCTATTTAGCACATCGCTCGATCATCAGCGCTGTCGCCGTACAGTGTCAAGATTCCTATTGTCATCTCTAACATCCTCGCCGTGGCCCAGAGCCTAGTCCTAGCCTTCGCGATCTGCGCACCGTGCAGCTTGAACTTCAGCTTCCCGCGAATTCTGTCCACGCCGCTACTAGTCCATCTAGTCAACTGCCTGGTAAACTTGTCACAAACGACCCCACATTCATTCATGCTCTGGATGATGCCTGTCGCCTTAGCTTCATTTATTGTGTCTTCGTCGGCTTCGGACAAGAACCTTAGGCTAGACAAATTATGTTGAAGGTAGGAAATCTCGCTCCGTATCTGTGGCAATTGCTCGCCTGCGTCTTGCACCTCCTGGAAAAAACTCGTACAGGCCTTGGGTGCTTCGTAGAGCAACATCAGTGATTCCGATGATTCCTGCGGCCATTTCAAGCCCTGGCATGATTTCAGGGTGAAATTACGCTGTCCAGGTGCTGCTTGATGTAGGGATACTCATGGTTTGGAGATCAAAAGTCGACATCTGCGATGCTGATTGTGTTGAAATCACGCCTGACAGAGTACGAGTCTGGTCGTTGCAAAAAATAAACCTGATAGTCGAGGGAGATGCTGGAAAGTTTTGCGTACTGCACGGCTGACAACGCAATCACGGGGCTAACTCAACTTCAGCAATTGATTTCAAGATGCGTGTCTTGACGCTGCTGCCCAACGCGATGGCCAACCGGAGTGTGGATGTGATGCATCCCGCGGAACCAGTTGTAGAAACAGCGCAAGGCTTGCACCACCACTTAGCGTCGTCGGCCTCGGCATCATTCTTCCTCTGCCTGGCAATTCCTTTGATCTGCGTCAGTTATTGTGTCCCGCAGGGTACCGATCTCCCGAGCCGGTTTACCTTTACTTTTGGCCGTCTCACAACGCGACGGGTGGTTATACTAATGACGACCTACACCCAGCATGTTGCCGACTTGCGGGCCGATCACTCGCGCGTTAGTATTGTGCAGGCTGAGCGTGGGTACTTCACACCCCACAGCCGGCTCGACGCACTCCCTTACGCACCAAGTGCTCTCTTCAACGCACTCGATAAATAAGACGGCTGCCTACCGGGCACTCGAGCTAATGTCCTTGCCAAAATCAGATCATGGATCGGTGGAGAAGAAAAGAGGAAAGTATTCTGGCTCAGCGGTTTGGTAGGCACAGGAAAGTCAACTATAGCGCGCACGGTCGCGCGTGAATATTATGAGGAAAGGCACCGACTAGTGGCCAGCTATTTTTTCTCGACAGGTGGTGGCGACACTCGAAATGCGGTCAAGTTTGTCACTACAATCGCCAATCAAATAGCAACAACATCGCCGATTTTCCGAGAGCGACTGGAGGATGCTGTGTGCAAGAACAGAGACATCGTCAATTGTTTCCTCAAAGTCCAATGGTGGGAACTCATTGCCAAACCGCTCTCAACACTGGGCAAGCACTCACCACCAGTCATCGTAGTTGATGCGCTTGATGAGTGCAACACTGAGACTGGCATTGATCAAGTGTTTTTGCTTTTGAGAGAGGTTGAACAACTCGATTGTCCACCGCTGCTGATTTTGATCACAAGTCGGACCTAAAAAACGATCCAAAATGGGTTCTCGCGATTTCTACCTGATGAAAACCAGCTCATACTACACGACATTGAGGCTGACATCGTTGACAAAGACATCTCGATTTTTTTCAAAGACCGTCTTACCTCAATCCGACCAGAAGAGGATGTCTCATCAAGCAACTTGTAAGGAAAGCCGGTAGGCTTTTCATCTGGGCCGCGATTGCCTGTCGATTTATTAGAAACGGCCCATCTGCCAGGAGAAGACTGCACACCATCCTTGGAGACCCGGTATCTACTACTCCAGCAGGTGACCGTGTCCACGGGCCATACGCCACTCGTCTGGAGAGCATAGTCAGAGCTTTAATCCGGAACGCGAGTATACTCTGTTTCTGGGCTAGTCTCTCGTATGTCTCTGTCCGTCAAGCGCTAATCTTCAAGCAATGGCTATACACATTACTCACCAGTGATGCTTCGACACCCGAGGGCCATCTGGACCAGATATATTTGACCATCCTAGGACGTTCCCTTGACTCGGACCGTGACCTCGACTCTGTACCACCAACTGCGCAAGAAGTTATCGATATTTCGGGTTTACTAAGAAAGATTCTCGGGAGCATAGTTGTTCTCTCGTCACCTCTTCCAGCTAAATCACTTTGGAAACTACTCTCTCTTCCAAAAGAGGAAGAAGACCAAGGAGAACAGGTACTGGGAAGTGTCCATGCTGTTCTAGATATTCCAAGGGATAAAACCCACAGCTTGCGTCTACATCATCCTTCATTTCGCGACTTCCTTCTTGATAGAGAAAGGTGCTACGATGCATACTTTTGGGTTGATCAACAACAAGCGCATCAGATGTTAGCTGACTGTTGTATCAAGCTACTATCTACGTCATTAAAACGGGACATATGCAGCCTCCAAGAGTCTGGCATTTTATGTTCTGAAATCGACAGTCAGATCATAGAAAATAGCCTACCACCTGAGGTCCAGTATACATGCCGCTACTGGGTTTACCCTCTGGAAAAAAGCCAAACACACCAAACAATTACGACTAATGTCGACAACTTTCTCAAAACACATATCCTTCACTGGCTGGAGGCTATGAGTCTTGTTGGCGAGGTATCGAAAGCTATTCGCACGTTAATCACACTTCAAAATTGGGCAAAGGTAAGCATTTAGAGAGATTAAATAGGCCTATACTGACATATCAAATAGGGAGATAGTAGCTTGACAAACTTCGTTCATGAGGCATGGAAATTCGCACTGAGATATCGACGCATGATGGATCAAGCACCGCTCCAAATATATATATCAGGGCTACTGTTTGCGCCAAAAGAAAGCATTTTTCGTGCAGAGGTCGGAAAGAAGAGGCCTGACTGGATCAAGAGAGCACCGGAAGTGATAGAAATATGGGATGGAGTTTTAACCACGCTTGAGGGTCATTCGGGATGGGTCGACACCGTGACCTTCTCGCCGAATGGTATGCTAGTGGCTTCAGGATCGTGTGACGAGACTGTGCGGCTATGGGACGCTGCTACATGGCAGATGAAGACCACACTTCAGTGCCTATCCTTGGTTAAAGCTGTCGCCTTCTCGCCAGATAGCAGACTGATGGCGACGGGCTTAATGAACCACATCATCCAGCTCTGGGACGTGGCCATAGGGCAGCTGATAACTACTCTGGACACCTCTAGTTCGACAACATAACGAACAGGAAACGGATAAAACGCCTGGAGCTATAGGCAGGTACCGAGAGCAAAACCTCCTGACCCAGACTGTGCGCACAGTTAATCTATTTCAGCTCGGGAATCTCGACGTCCACCTCCATTCCATCCCACGTGACCTCGCGCCCCTTTTGCTTAAGCTTGCTTCGTGGCCGACTCAACGTCAGCTTAGGCTCGGCTGAGCCAGCTCACCCTGCTGACCACGTCGTGGCGGTGACCTAAAGGTCATCTCATTCTCCAGACCGTCGAGTTTCAACGAGGGTTTCAGAAGAGGCTCTAGGGGGGTTCCCTAGAGGTGCACCACGGCAAGTTGCCTCCTGGACCCGGGCCAAATGAAGAAAGAGAACCAAATAGGCGCCGCAGTCTGATTGAAGGCCTGTAAAATGCGTTCTGCAACCGCCAGCCGCATGCATTTAGTTACAACATATGGCGAGGTTGGCGTCTGCCAATCACACCGCAGTCAATGCACAGTTCTGATTCCGCCGCCGTTTTGCTGGGGTTGCCGCAAAAGCAACTAAGCTACCATGCAAGCAGAGGTTGAAGATATAAAGGTGCAACTTCACGTCCATCATTCGAGGGCGGCATTCTCTATTCCCTCATTCTCTCTCTCAAGTCAATCAAAGCATTGGATCCCACGATTGAACGTTCAGAATTTCGACAATGCCCAAAGTCCAAACCCTCGACGCTCGCTATATCGATAGTGCAGCTCTGATTGCTCTACTGAATCGGCTGTTCGGACGAGGTAGATTTCAGATCAGTGTACGTTTGCGCTCTGCCTTGAGCATTGTTGGCCTTGTCGGCTCCATAATTTGTGAACGGAATTAACTGACGATGGTGCTATCTCTCAGCATATTGATGACGAATACAGGCTCGTGCTTCCAGAGAAGCTGACAAGGGTGAGTAATACCGAGGCTACAGTGTGTCGGTCAACTACCTATTCTACGGGGATGTTGCTCGCAGCTGCGTGTGACAAAGGCTGAGGATTGCAGGATCAGCAACTGTCGGTGCAGAAAAAGATGAGGAGGTGAAAGGGACTTGAGCCAGGGCCACGTGGGAGTTGGCTAGGAGATATTCTGTGTGGATAGCAGATGATACCAATGAGTGTAGACCTTGCGGTCAGGGAGGAGCTGTCTCGCCCAGAGCTTAGGCGGACTCAAGATTTGATTCCGAGAGCCTCACAATACTCAAAGCACTTGTTCAATGGGTCAGCAACATGCTTTTGAAAGTCCAGCTGGTCGCGTTGGACTTGCTCAACTTCTACATCTCCCTCGCCGTCATCCGACTCGGAAGAATCAAAAAGTAGGCAGCTCAAAACGGCTTGTTGGTAGGGTTTTCCCATCGCGTCTTCAAGTCTGCGATGGCACAGCCTAATGTATTCTTCTCGTAGCTCGTCCGGCGAATGTTGCCGAAACTCTGTATTGTCATAGATGTTACTGAGTGAATACCACAATCCAATCTCCAATAGTAGAAGACCCACAGAGTAGTAGTCGTGCGCTCGCTTTGCAATAGAGCGCTTGAGTCGATAATCCGGGTGTAAGTACTCGGCAATTGAGTCGTTCAGGACAGGGCCTTGGGTATACTCGTCCCCTTTGCTCTTGCGGCTAGAGCCAAACCCGACGAGATAAGGAGCGCTAAAATCGATAGTTTCGAAACGACGTTCAGCGGCTGGAAACAATAAAACATTCAGGGATGAGATGCTCTTGTGCACCCAGCCTATGGTGTGGATGCTTTGGACGCAAGTCACCAGCGTTTTCGCTAGCATTAGCTTCATTCTGTGCCCAGCGGCCAAAAGACGCGAGCTGCCGTGCTGGAAGAGTTTATTTAGTCTGATTGGCAGAGTCTCGGTGACAGGTAATGCAAAGACCAGTTGGAAACACTTTCTGTCAGCATCGTGACAGGACCCTAGACAATCAAGCACCCGAAGTCCGGATGGCCTGGGGTGTGTTCTCAGAACTTCCACGAGATCGGAAACGCGACGGAACATGGATTCGATGGCTTTGGGGAACTCTGGGCCGCAGCTGTCCGGAATCTTCTTCACCCAGTAGGGAACCTTCTCGACGAGAGTTTTCCACTCTTCACCCTCTTGGTGTCCGTAGGTGTAGTAGTAGATTTCGGGACGCAAGCTTAAGTCTGTGGGCTTGGGATCCTTCCGCAATAAGGACGACTGCAATCGGGGACTGTCGGATGAAGCACTCTTCTGTCTTTGCAAGAGTAGAGACATGTATTTCATGGCAGCGACAGCATCAACATCGCTGACCTCGGGTGTAGCGAAATCAAAAGCTGATATTTCTTGCAGAGATCTGGCTGGTCGGCTGTGTGCCGCGAGCACGCAGAATGTCTGATCGATTGAGAGTCTCGTGTGGTCTGATAGAGGCTTCAGGAGGTCGTCGACGGCTTGTTGTATCGTGTTCAGCCTGAAATCTTGGTCGTCTTCGGGCTTTTCGAACTGTGGGCCACCTATAAATGCGCTGAAGGGTGGCGTAAAAGTTCGATGTATGCGTGTGAACTTGGCTGTCGAAGTCTTTTTGCTCAAGAGAAATAGGGATAAGACCCAAGCTCCCTCCCCATGCCACAAGACGGTTATACTCCAGGGAAAGTCGAGCTAAAAAAACGCCACGACCAACTAACCCTACAGTTTTTAAATCATCTTCAATAGCTCTTTTCAGAGCTTCCAAGACCGAGCGTATCGTGATGCGGGAGAATCCAACCTCCATGCCTTCTGCCTTGGGACGACTCTCGGGCTTGGATTGGAAGGCTTTCCCCAGCAACTGAAGCAGTTCCCCCATGCAGGAAAAGGTGTCCGCATCCGCAATCGATCGGAGATAGCTATCAGTGCCAGGGCTTAACGAAACTCCGTCATGAAAGCACCGCTGGGGTCCATACTCGCCGTCGTGTACTCGAGCCTCTCGAAACTGCAAGACCCCATCCTTTCCTCTGACCATGTAAACTGCAACTTCCGCTGACACGCAGCTGAAAGACCATACATCATTGGCTCGGCTCACACGACCGTGAAGCCACGTCTTCGGATCCCTACATTCGGGACCACCATATTCATAAGTAGTGTTCTTCCAAGAAGTGCTGGTCTCTTCCAGGGCGTCCTTTAGCTTCGCTGTGCCGAAATCAGCCAGTATAAAGTCGGGCCCACGAACCAGGATGTTCCTTGGCTTTATATCGTTATGATATCCGTGCATGGTAGCCTGATTCGGAGCGCTGGATTGCTCTGGTCTGGGACGAAAGCTGTGGAGGTACGATAAACCGCTCACTAGGCCTCTCATAGCGTTGAAGAATGCGAAGTCAGATTGAAAGTGTTCAGGTCGGCTTGGACTCTGGAGCAGACAGTGGAGATCCGAATCGGCGGGGAGGAACAGAAGGTTTGTAACGCCATGTTGAGTGTAATAAGTCAACAATTCCACAATATTCGGGTGCCTCAGGCTTCTGAGAACGAAAAGCAACTCGGCCTCCGTCGACTTGTCTTGTGCATCAGGGTCCAGCTCTTTCCTGACAGCTCTTACCACCTGCGAAAGGTTAGCTGATAAGCGATGTGCTAGGAAGAGTTACAAACCCCTGAAATTTTCGATGGCGGGACAAGATTCTGGTGAGCAGGATGGATTTCAACTTCGTAGACTGTAGAATAGCCACCACCACCAATCCTCTTCTGTTTAACGTACGGAAGAACATGCATTTCTTGGAGGTTCCTGTGAAAAGTGCTGCGTTGGAGGGTATATGCTTTGTACTGGAATTGAAGTCGGTAGAAGTGCGGAGCCACCTCTGGGGAGAGTATGTCGGCCAGGATGGTTTCCGCTATTGTCAGGCTGGAATCCAAGCAATTGTTTTCGATGCAAGCGGAGAGATACTTCTCGCAATTCAGCTCCAACAATATCGAGAAAACTTTCATTCCTTGTTCAACGACAATAATTGCCGCATCGTCGAGCTTGTGGGGTGGAATGCTGAATGTGGGATCAGCCAGTGCTTCGGTCACAGTTTGAATGTCGAGGATTGCAGACAGAGATCCTTCGGGCATGAAAGCGCTCCACGGCACACCGATGGGGTGAATTTTCGCTTGGAGGATTTGCGTCTTGAGGTGTGCCGCTGCCATCTTCGAAGCCGGTTTGAGGATAGTCTATCGCCAAGCAGTACGGACGATGCTGAGGGTCTTTTGATAAGACATGTTGGCGTTCCGAGGGCTTCATGCAGTCCTAACTTAGATATAGGGACGGACGGGAATATGAAGCGATGTTGTGGCGGAGACAAGGCGGCGCAGGAACAGCCTGCACCCAGAGAGGCCGCTTTGTTGAGCTCTCAAGCCACTTTCCTATTTTGTGTGCATGAAGCAGCTTCCTCATCCTGAGGTAGCATAGATCAGGTAGACCTTTTCGAGACCCGTCTGACTTACAGAAGAAACAGCTTCTCCACCGGCCTTCTTGATTGCAGCTACATGGACCTTCCCATTCAAATTAGCCGCCCGCCCCTCTGCTTCCTGAGCGATATCTGGGCGCTTCCAGAGTTTTGCCCAGATGTTACGAATCAGACCAATTGCAGGGCATGACAACGTCAGGGAACGCGGTTGCACTCAGTCTTGGTTGAAATTAGGGGATAAGCGAAGCGCGACGACGGCCCCTGACTGGTGTGCGCCATATGAAGGCCATGGTCGACTTCGACCATTGGGATTCCAGGCTTTCTCTCCTTGTTCATCTCCTTACGCCAGCGAACAATTTACCGATTGGTAGCCCAACCGCTGTAGATCCAGATACACCACGTCCCTTAAATTATTCTCATCTGCGAGGCCGGCTTTGGCGACTTCTACGCGAAGACCCAGCTGAGTTATCAGATGCGGAAAAGAGCGTGTCACGTCTATTCTCAACCACCTTATTTCTGCATGAGACAATATTGGTGAACTCGTTGAAGGTACGTCAATGCGGCTGTGTCCGAGTAACTTATGATCGTATCCACCGAGTAACCCCCTCCTTTATTGGTCTGGATATGAGGAATCTACTAACCCAGACTAATCGTTGCTCAACATCTGAACCCTCTGGAGGCACCAGAGAGTTACAGAAAGATCTCATTGGCTGGTCGGTGTCATCAATGTCTGTATACCTGTCCTCACCAGCAACTGGCATGCACGACTGGTTCTCGTCACGGAAATGCCAGATCACGGCCTCGGGGCCCCCCAGTGCGAGGTCTCTTTCCACATCCAGCGGCGACAACCCTCTGGGCGCATCTCCCGTCAAAAGTCCATGAAGTATTCTTCCTCAACCATGATTGGCCATCGTCCCATCGGTCCCGTAGATGAGGCCCGTGTACAGTGGTAACGATGATCTGGGATATCGACTTTGATCGATTTTCCTTCAGCTCCTCAAAGAGCATTCTCTTTGTATTCCAGAAGTCTGGACACCTTAAAGATTGGTGCGGCTGCCTTAGGTTTTGAATCTCATTTCAGTGATTTAAAGGGTTTCAGTGTACTTCCAAGCAAAACCAAAGTCAATCCCATCGCTTATAGTCAGTGACACGAGTAGCACACTTGTGATCAGGGATATCGCAAGGGACAAGGTTCCTCAAGAATGATCAACCTTGTCCTTCTTGCTGTTTTCGAGGTCTAAAACATGTTGTGCCTGACTCTCGTCGAACAAGGTTTCCTTGCACCATTGTTGAGCTGTAGTCATGCCATCAACGAGTTGCTCAAGGCGAATCCTGGGCAATGGATCCTACCCACTGCAAACGGGGGCGCACAAATACTGAAAGAGGAGTGACAGGGCTAGAATATTTGCAATCTGCTCGACCGTGAAGGTCTCGAATAATTTCGTGATGGTAACATGCTTCTCTGCCATGGTCCTTCGGAGAAAGGATTTTTATCTTTCTTGATACCTTTGCCTAGGTCACTGAGCAACACAAGCTGGTGCCATCAACGTCATCGAACCGAGGAAAGCCTTTTTGTATTCTGTGGAGACATTGGGGGTCCCTGGTGAAACTATGTTCAAAACAGAAGACATATTTGGCACTAACTCCGGACACCTCTTCAGGGCATGACAAGTATCGCTAGGATTGAAAACACTGCGCTACACCTTCAGGGGATCTGGGCTGCGACTTTCTAGCTAACGGATATCAGCAGAGTCGTGGAATTTGGCACGTGTCGCTGTTGTCCGGAGTTTTCCTTTGAAGATACAGACTGAGTTGAAGAGCGACATCATGCCCAACGCACTTTGCAGCCCTGAGATGATCTTCTGCTCAGTTACAACCTTGTGCAACCCATATTAGGCTTCTGATTCAGCTTAGCAAGTCAGATCAAGCGGTGGAGCGCGATGTCAAGAATGGGATTTCCACGGCCGGATGATCCTAGGGAAGAAAACTAGCGTACCTGAGCTATGCGCGTGATACGATCACGTTGACTGGGCACCAAAGACAATAGCAATAAAAAAAAAAGAAGAATGGTTCGGTCGAGTAGCCTACGTATGCTAACAGTCTCGGGCACATCAGCGGCAGTATATGGCACCTTATCGATGAGACAGGGGTATTTCGGATTAGCAGTATGGAGGATGAGGAACTGACCTTGAATAGGAATCGGTGCCGCCCTCCCTGACAAATCAATAGCTGCGGGTGGAAGCATACTGGTCTGCAGGGTTTAGTAACCAGCAAAAGTGGGCTCTTGAATAGCGATTTCGCTACGATAGCGAGGAGTCAATGATTGTCAACTTCCATTATGGTGCTGACGTTGGATAGTCAGAGACCGCGTTCCTAGTGTAGTTTTGGCCCTGAAAACATCCCGGAAAGTCTCCTGCTCCATGATTACAGATCTCGTGTGATCCTGCTATAGTCACCTGGCGCTTCGGTAAGAAATATGCGCAATATTGAGAGAAGCGTATCTGCTCAACGACCTTCAGAGACCTACAATCAGAGGAATAGAACAGTGGTCTCTTCATCACCTGTATTATTTGCACCTCTACAGAGAAAGTCATTGAGAACTGTGTTCCAGATGGATATACCCCTTATTCTCCTTAACATTTTCTTCCCTGGAGTTTCCACGAGTCTCAAATCCATCATCGCTAAATCCGGACTCGAAAGCTTGCCTCATCTGCAAATCCTGATATACTGCACGGTCCTCTTCTTGGTGACGTCTTGGGCAGTCGGCTATCTTTTGCAACAAGTGTTTAAGTGGTTCTCAGCATCGATTGTAGTGCATTCACAGGATGATATATACAATGCTCTCACGGCCTGGTTGAGTGAACAAAGAAGCTTGAAGCGGTCTCTGTCTTTACAAGCGGTTACCGCTGGCAATCTTTCCGAAAACTCCAATCCTCCAAACGTTCTGGACGAATCCGCAGTCTCCAAGACATTCAGGATCGCAACCTCGGCCACGAGAAACGCATCTATCGAGTTTGAGCCCTCTGCAGGAATACATTGGTTCTTACACGGTGGTAGAATTTTCCAATTACTACGTGAAGAGCGTCAGTCTGCTTCAGTAATAGGTGGAAGCGTTTCGACGCGCGTTGCTGAGACAATGAAGATAACCACACTTGGGTTCTCCACGTCACCCATCAAAGAACTATTTTTTCTAGCCTTGAAGCGACAGCACGAGCGTGAACTGACACAGACAGTTGTCTTTCGCTCTATGCAGCTGTATCCTGGGCGAAGCATTTGGTCTCGATTGGGCCTAAGACAGGCGCGACCGATGGATACAGTCTACCTGGATAAGGGCCTGAAGGACAACGTCATTGCAGATATAGCTGAATTTCTCAATCCGAACGCCGCAAGCTGGTATGCAAACCATGGGATTCCTTACCGACGGGGATATCTTTTCTATGGGCCGAGCGGTTCGGGGAAAACAAGCTTCGCCACTGCCCTCGCTGGACACTTCGGGCTCGATATTTACACCACGTCTCTGATGGATGCCAGTCATACTGAAGACAGCCTTATCTCATTATTTATGCAGCTCCCACGTTTCTGCATCGTGTTACTGGAGGACGTCGACTGCGCTGGGATTACTCGCCCGATATCAGAACCTGCTCAGGAGATCGACGAGTGTGGAACATTGACTACGAGAGAGCATTCTGCTTTGAGGACAGGCACTGCTAGAAGCCCGATTTCTCTGTCCTGTTTGCTGAATGCCATTGACGGGGTGTCGGCTTCTGAGGGCCGTGTTCTTGTCCTGACAACCAATTACCGCGAGAGATTGGATGACGCACTCATTCGGCCAGGTAGGGTGGACTATCAGGTCCAGTTCAGATTGGCGTCAAGACCCCAAGCTCGTGAACTATTCTGGCGTATATATTCTCCTCACCCCTCAGGCAGCGCCCAAAATATCAGCAAGTTTCCCCTCACAGTGACGTCGAATGATTCGAAAAGAATTTCCAACTTGTCCGATGAATTCGCTGCCTTGGTCCCGGAGAGTCGCTATGGCCTAGCAGACCTCCAAGGATTCCTTCTGGCTCGAAAGTCTTCTCCCGAGAAGGCGATAGCCGATATCAAGCTGCGTGGAATATTTTGATATTCCGATCAGTCGGGTTTTATAGCCCTTTCGTTGCATTCACCAGATGTGTTCGACTTCAACATTCGTCCATAGCGCTCTGTATCGGTATCTGAAAACATGGCAAAATAACGAGGCATTTACCCGCTGATCCATATACATTAATATGAGCATCTTTCAATCGATGAAAGAGCTGGGTAAGTATGGTAGCAATGGCATACTTTTGCCAATGATTCGAAAATCTACCAGTTAAATAGTGATTCTTACAAGTTCATAATGTAAAACTTGCGCATAAGACAGAAAACATTGAGATAATTTTCATGAGCATTGATTTCTATACTTGGCAGAGTATCACAATTCTGGGCACCCCGACCTTCACGAAATTCCCCATGCTGTCCTCTTGGGACTTTGCCTTGTCGGGTCGGGAGGTAAACCTTTTGACTGTGGGCTATTGTGTTTCTTAACACCACTTGACTACTCCTTGGCCGAGCGCAGGGCCTCCTAATGCTCCATGCACAAGAGCATGGATGAAATGCTAGTTCTTCTCCTGTTGAGAGCTGATAGCATTAGACAGATCGTGGCCAAAGATTAATTTACGTACCGATCAACCGGATACTAGATAATCCTGATATTGAACGCCTCCAGACCCTTTAAAGTCTCCTTGATTGTAAATGACACAGCGACACCATCGGCGATGTTGGAACTGTCTGCCGGATTGACCAGATCGGTAATGTGAAAGAATAGATCAATCGCTGATCCACTGAGTACAAGGAATCCAAATCCCTTCTGGCAGTTGTACCATTTGATCACTCCTTGGCTCGTTGACATTTTCAGTATGGAGGATGAGAAAAGAGAGACTGGTCAAATCAAAGTAAGTTAACAGGTAGTGATGTTTTCAACTCAGTGTATAAGCTGTGTATAGTCGATGTTTATATAGTGTCGTAGTAGAAGCTGGTTCACTAATCATTGCTACAGGCTTGAATTTCCTTTACCTATTAACCTCTATGTAGTATATAGTGTCTGCATATAATCCAACTCAGCTGATTGTTTCCCTAATCATTACTGTAGACACGAACCTCCTTTACCTGTTAACTCCGATACACATATAATGCCTCCCTTTGATATGACTCAGCTGATTGATTCCCTAATCATGCTAGGTATAGACATAATATTCCTTTATCTGTTAACCCCCTATATGTGTGTGAGATACTTCTATCGAATCTGGCCGGCATGATTCGTCTCATAACTCGGTCAGCAGACGGAAACTATAGATCCACATTGGGTCGACAATAATGCTCGACCTCGCACCATTCTAATCAGAAAATAAGAACGGGTGCGTGAGCTTACCATAGTTGGTCATGGAGGTTGTAGCCACGAATTGGTTTTTAGAACAATCCATGTCACTAACGAAGCTTAGGATATAAATGCTATCAATTTCCTCCATCTTAGAAAACTTGTCTGACAATACACTTCTCAAGAGAAACTGAACGACTTCTAAGAAAGGTGCGTACACTGAATGCCTGCTCCAATCTTCAACGACGTCCATGTCATGTCGGATATAGCCCGCATCCCTTCATTTCCCTCCTACTAACTCTTACAAAGACCTATCAAAGACCACTCTACACCGAAAAAAGGTTTCGACAACATGAAGCTATACGTCTCAGAAGTGGTCCTGCTAATCGTCTCTCTCGGCCTTGGAACGGCTTTGGCTGAGTGCGCTGGAACCTCGAGTGGGGACGTTATTTGTTTTGCTAGTAATGGGCAGACCTGTGATGGAAAAGTGGCAGATTGCTTCGGGAATGTGATCAGTTGCGAGATGGCTGCACTGGGAGAAGCGAATGCACCGTGTTTCTGCTAGAACTTCACGGGACGCATGTATCTCGAAGGTAGTTACAGATGGGAAGTTTAACGGCATGAGATAATTATGTAGGGGTTTCCAAACCAGTGGATCTGCCAGGGGTTGCAACCATTGCAATAGTCTCTTCGTTTTACTAAATGCTCTCGTAGGATGATCGGTTTAATTTTTCTGCTTCAAGATCTCCAGCATAGCGGATATGGTAATGGCGGAGAGATTTGATAGTTCTACAGTCTTCAACTGGAGTTTCACTTTAAACCATAGCTTCACCGAAGTACAACTCAACTCTAGTACGGCGCTGTTAGACATGACCAATCGAGAAAACAGATGTCTGTCAAACTGTGCACTGAGGGCCGCTGTGTATAAATAAGGAGTAGGAGCTGAAACCAACTGGTATCGAACAAGGGCATTCCAAGCGTTGAAACATCGTGGTTGACTGGGGAGTCTTACAGGTCAGTTCGCAAATCCCGGCTGCTGTCATCTACCCGAGATTGAGAACGACACACGATGGAGTGGATGTCATGAGTGACCAGCAGATGCAATGATTGAGACATGCGGTAAAGCACAGTCAAGCAGTCACACAGGCATGTGGTGGATGGCTGTCCCGTGATTCCATGCTCGGGTCTTTCAATATGGAACACAAATTTGTGAAGGGTGAATATTCATCTTCGTCAGTTACCTCTCGAGGCGTCTACGGAGCTCAAAGATAGCCACAGAGTCGTGCTGGTGCTGCGTTCACTGCCGACCTCAGTATTGTTGACGTTGCTCTTCACAAGAAGTCGTGTCATACCAAGTCATCGTCGCTTGTGGAGTTCACGGTTTCTTGCGGCACCGCAGAAGCGCCAACGTGGAAAGCATTGGTGAGATTTGATGTCGCACACAGAGTCCAGACCTGACAACCTCTAACTGCGCGATTCGTTTTTCTTGGGATCGTGCTGCGGAATGCGATGTTGATACCTCAAAAGCGCGACGCATTCAAGCCTTCTCGTCAGCATGGAGGGTCCACCGAAAACCGGTGGGAGGCTTTCGGCCCGCGGAACACCAAACACGGCCATCTATTGATGTCGAGTGGGGCTCCGCGGAACAACGACCATAACACGTTCCATACTATAGGCAGTCTCCACCACATGGCCACCGCGAGGGAGTGGACCGGCCACGTCTTTACTTGGGAATCAAGGCCCCTATCTGACCAGAGATGAGAGTATAAGTACCTGGAAGAAATTCGGTGGAAGTTGGCAGTGCGAGACGACCAGCAACACCTCAAAAAAAAAAAGTCGAAAATGGCATCTTCTCTTCTCCATCCCGCTAAGAAGCCTGAGGCATTGAATGCTCCTCCAGGGGCTTCGGCCAGGGTCCAAATTGTTGATGGCACTGCCCGACTCAAGGTGCCCACGCAGGCCTTCATGACGCCGCCCATCCACGGCCATACGCAGCTGACAGCGCCGACCCTCAGCTTCCTAGTCGAGCAGATCTCTTCAGGCAGAAAGGTCCTATTTGACTTGGGTCTGCGGAAAGACTGGCAAAACCACCCTCCTGCTGTCCAGTCCTTAATCAGCGGGCCGGGGTGGGCGTTCGATGTTCCAAAGAACGTTGATGAAGTCCTCCAAGAAAATGGCGTGGACGTCAAGGGAGGCGCGATTGAAGCCGTCGTCTGGAGTCATTGGCATTTTGATCATATTGGGGACGTGAGTCAGTTCCCTGCGAGTACGACTCTAATCACGGGCCCGGGCGTCAGGGATGCATTTTTTCCACCCTACCCAGAGAACGCAGCTTCGCCTCTTTTGAGCTCGGACTTCGCGAATCGTGAGCATCGAGAGTTAGACTTTGACGGCACTTCTCAACTCAAGATAGGTGGCTTTAGAGCGATCGACTATTTCGGAGATGGTTCATTCTACCTCCTCGACGCCCCCGGGCACGCCATCGGCCATATATGCGGGCTGGCGCGAGTCGCTTCCGTTAGAGAAGGCGACGCTGAGGACATCTTTATCTATATGGGCGGTGACACGGCTCATCACGGGGGCGAGTTTCGACCCACAGAATATCTACCTCTTCCTATAGAGATCTCGCCGTCTCCCTACGTGTCTAAATATGCCTCGATTTGTCCAGGGCATGTATTTGAGACTATCCACCCAAAGAAAAAGGGAATCGACCCCTACTATGAGCCCTCCACACATTTTGCTCATAACCACGAAGAGGCTGTACACTCTATTGAGCGCATGCAGGTCTTTGATGCGGCTGATAACGTTCTTGTTATAATCGCCCATGACAATACTATCCTTGACAGTACGAGTGGTTTGGATTCGTTCCCACATGGTACGCTGAAGAATTGGAAGGTGATAAATTCGGCAGAGAAGGTTCGCTGGCTGTTTTTGAAGGATTTTGTTTCCGCTGTGGAACAAGCAGCGTCATAATCTCCAAAGAAGTTGTATTGAAAGAAGACTTGAATCCTGTTTTTGGACCCCCAACGACCAGAGGTACACCATGTAATGTGAATCACATCGAAGGAAAGCCAGTCTTTCGTTTCAGCTTAATCATATTGTAGTGAGTTAGGCTGTGCGCGCCTCTCCTTTTTGAGAGGTAGTCTCTGTCGCAGCGGGCCTAGAGCTAAGTGGGTGTGGAAGGCTAAGTCAAGAGGCCCAGGCATGTGTTTTCTTTTCTTCATCATGGATATGCTTGTACGCAGTCATGATTGCACAGTCAGTATCGCGATTCTCGAGTCGCGTACAAGGTGACGCAGTAGAAAAGCCAATCCCAATCAAGTTTTCAGCGTTGTCTACAGGTTCCCAGTTCAGCGCACATTTCATTGCACAGCTCAGCGTGTACTGAAGACGTGGATCGAGGTGTTGTGAGGAAGCCCTGCCTCCTGCGCCGGCCCCCAATCAACAGGATGCTCTGAGAGACGTTCCTTGAGGTTGGCAAGGTGGAAAAAGCGCTGCGACGAAGAAGAGGATGCTCTGCGAGTGAATCTCTACCTCTGACTCAGGCCACCTGATTGACTACAGCCCTGTGCACCTGGTGCTTCCTCTCTACGTGAAGTGTGGAGTGCTATTTGCGGATGCTTGTGGTAGAGGAAAGACGAAAGATGTTTGTTGGGGATGCCCATCTCCCCAAGATAGAGCTCATCACCAGCGTCCACAGCAATAATGACCAACCGGTTGCAGTGTTAAGAGATATACAAGTCAGCCTATCCCTCTAGGACTGTGGCGGTTGCGTGACAGCAAAGCTTCGAAACTCCTGCAGAGCTGCGAGACGATGTGGTTGAATTTCCTTGACGTATTTCTCATCTTCGAGGATCGACCTGAAAGCCGCCCAGGATGAAAATTTGGCGAGAGCGACAACATCCCAGCTTTCTCCTTCTTGTGGCCCAGCCACGATCTGTGTATGGGCTTTGCCCATGAAGACAACGGATACATCTAGACCCATCTCTCTTACTCGCTCGTTGAACATGTCCCTGAATATGAGATACGCCTCCCTTCCCGTCGCAGGTTTAGGCCCCTGATAGCCAGGGCTGTATGTAGCATGTGGCTTGAAGGTAATCAGGTTCATCATTACGTATGGCTCGTTCGGTGGGATGACCTTAGTTGCAGCCTCGAGGTCGCCCAGGTAGTGCCCGACATTGGTGTCTGCCATTGTTTTCCTTCTATGAGATGAGATGCTTGTGGGTTCCTCGCACCTGGGTGTTGCGAAGAAGCGTTGAGAATTCTTTCGGATGTCTTCAAAGTTGGTTGCTCGTGAGGTACACCTTGTGACTACAACGTGTATTTATTTAGGTCGCCAGTCGAGCAAAATCCAACGTTGGGATTTGTAACAGGGGCCGAATAAGTTGGGGTGTAAATTGTGGACAGCCTCATTCCAGAGCCGTGGAACCAGCTTCTCACATCCCGGCCACCTGGGGGTTTGGCTGATTGTTGTGCTTGTTGGACAGCAATCTGAGTCAATGCAGAGTGCATCTTGGATGCACAATCTTCCATATTCGTGGCTGTGAGCTCCGTCAGGATGAACGAAGCCTTACGGCCGAAGTTCTCGGACACCAAAGTTTGTCATCATCCCAGCAATTCACCGCGGCCCGCGGCCATTTGCTCGCGGTTCAGAGATCGAAACTCTGGTTATCAGAACGACTCCATGCCACTGCCTTCCTGTTGAAACCTCCAAGGGGGTATTCGTATCGCCTCGATCTGTATCTTACTCCTGGTTGTGTGCAGGTGCAACTCATCGGAAGATGCAGTGCTCCTGGCAGCAATCTTGCTGCAAATCCAGAAGTACAATCTTGCCCTGTCGAAGCCCTGGCCTCAAGGCTTGATGTGCTAGAGATGGTAGCGGAGTAAGAGAACGTTGAGACACCTGGATGTTCCCTTTTGGAAACGCCCATTTCGCCAGGTCTGGTCGATGATTTACAGACAAACAAAGGAAACACGACGGCGTGCATCCCCGTCGCTAAGATTTGCACTTGGCGACCACCAACGTCTAGGACAATTCTCGTGTTTAAGGACCGGCCAAAGTTTTGTGACAACAACATTTCGGAATCACAACATGAGAACGTAGATTCAGCGTAAAATCCATCAACGACTCCCAAGCCTTCGCCGCTCTACATTCAAAATTGTCGTTACAACCACAGATCAGAGCTGCCCGCAATGTCAACCACATCGGAGAATCCCGACACGACGCTCTACAAAGTCACCTTCTACGTCCCTCAATCTCATACACAGCAGTGTCTCGATGCACTATGGTCCACCGGTGCAGGACAGTGGCCCAACGGTCCCGGGGTAGACGCTAGCGAGCCCCCAAAGTACACGGACACGGCCTTCGTCAGCCCTGGAACGGGCCAGTTCAAAGTCGCACCCCATGCAACTCCGCATATCGGAACCCCTGGGAACGGACAGCCCGAGTACGTGAGTGAAGACCGCGTGGAAATGTTGATTGTCGGAACGACGACAGCGAAGCGCGCCGTCGCCACACTGAGAGAGGCGCATCCATATGAAGTCGTTGCACTTTTCGTGACGCGATGCGAGGACTTCTGAGATTGCGGCGTGACTGGAGGGACGATAGCTCGACTTTGGAGTATAGAATCAAAAATCTACGACATTATCTCTTGCCTCATCACGATTCCCACGCCCTCTTCGTATCAGACGTCAACCTCATATGAACCCCGTCTCTTGCTCTCTAAATATTTCTGTACCCGAGTGCCCCGTTGGCTCCCCGCTCGGTCGCCACAGGCGAACCAGCTCGGCCAACGTAACAGTATCGAAGCAGCCCAACCCCCTTTCAAGGTGTGTGAAGGACGAAGCAACACCATAAGACCATGGCAGTACCGAACGAGTCTCTCACGCACAACCTCGACGCGCCCCAAGCACCTGCTCGTCTTTTCCTAACTGAGGCAACACCATGACTAAGCACCCGGGGCACGAACCAAGGTTCTTGTACCCTCCGCACGACAGATTTACACTTTCTCGCCAATCGTCTCATTCTCCAGTACTAGTAGAAAAGGAACTGGGCTGCTAGATAAGTGGATTGCCCAGCGCTCGCTTACGTACAGTATACCACTGCTAAGGAACGCTAGAGTATTGGCGCATCTAAGCTCGGTCGACAAACAAAACTCATAAAGAACACCAGGCCAATTTCTTCCTTTCGTTCTACTGCTTCGACAGGTACAGCAAAAGAGCTCTCTCGGTCCCTTCGGCATGAAGTCTCCCATTCCCGACTACTTGAATGCTTCGCTGGAGAAGGTCCGGCCAATCGAGGATGGCAAACCCGCTCAATATATCAAGACGCTGGCCAATGCAGACACGTCCAAGCTGGCCGTGGCACTCGTCATGGTAGACGGCAATGTCTACTCGGCTGGAGACGACCAGGTGGAGTTTTCGATTCAGTCCATTTCAAAAGCCTTTGTGTACGCAATCGCAATCGAAGACGCCGGGCTGGAGCGTGTCCTGGAAAAGATTGGGGTAGAGCCATCCGGCGATGCCTTCAACAAATTGTCGCTGCACAAAGGTAACAACCGGCCGATGAACCCCATGATCAATGCCGGTGCTATCGCGGCGCATTCGCTTGTGGTCCACCCCGACGCGACGGCGGAGGAGAGAACCGACCGCATCCTCAAAACTTTATCTAGGCTCGCTGGGCGACAGCTTCACGTGGACGAGGAGGTGTACGAGGCCGAGCTTGAGGATGCCGACCGCAACATGGGCATCGGGTACATGCTGAAGGCGGCGGGCATCATATCGTGCAAGCCAGCTGAGGTTGTCAAGGGCTATATCCGCCAGTGCTCGATCAACGTCAACGTCCGCGATTTAGCCATGATGGCAGCCACCCTCTGCAATGCCGGTGTGAACCCCGTCACAGGTGAAAAGATCATGCCAGCAGACAGTGTCCGCCAGGTGCTGTCGGTCATGACCACGTGCGGGATGTACGATGCTGCGGGGCAATGGGTGTCTCGAGTCGGCATTCCGGCCAAGAGTGGTGTCGCCGGCGGAGTCATTGGTGCCCTGCCGGGACAGGTTGGCATCGCCGCCTTCTCGCCCAAACTGGACGACCGCGGCAACAGTGTACGCGCCGTCGCACTATTTGAACTGTTGTCGCGCGACATGGGATTCCACATGATGGACGTCAGCCAGATCGCCAGAGCCAGCGTGAGCACCTCGGTTGCGAAAATCGTCGCCGGCAAAGACGACCCTCACCACCCCAACTGTGACCGACAGGTGGTCATCTTTGCCCTGCGAGGTGCCGTCCGCTTCGCCGGCTCGGAGCGCCTTACGCGCGCAATTGTGCGGGAACTCGGCGAGCCAAACCCCAAAGATCCGGGGTCCGGGCAGCACCGGGACGCTTGCGCCATCGTGATTTCGCTCCGGGACGCATTCTCCCTGAATCTCGTTGCCAGGCGGGTCATCCACGAGAGCATAAAACGGTTGCTTGCCGAGAACAAAACGGTCGTGGTACTTGATCCCAACGGGGTCTTACAGATGGATCTGGACAGCCTTCCAACCCACCAGCAGCCACGAATTGTCGAAAGCGAACAGCAGGCGAGAGAATACATTGGAGGAGCAGGATGTTCGGCCGTTCTCCAATCTGATAACTGGTAGGACTGTCTCTGGTTTTCAGTTCCACGTGGACAATTTCTCGCCATGACTTGGGCAGACCTGCCTTAATCGAAGCGGTGGTATCGTGAGACTCGATTGACATTGGTCTCCCCCTTTATGACATCTCGCACGAGGCACCCGCGCTGGGGAATGGGGACCTCTACTGCAACTCGGCCGACGAAAAGGCTTCTCAGATCGACCGCCCACGGCGTTTTACCGCTCCTCTTCACTCGTCGTCTCGAGATGAGGTGGTGAAAGTATGGATCCAACCAACCAACCAAAAAAAAAAGCAATCGGCACAGACAGTCTCGATGAGAATCGAACCCCAGCATGTGGGCCATGAATTCATGCTGCTTGTTTTCTCAGCGTCGACAAAAAATACGTGCTGTCAGATGACAGCAGACCTACTCAACTAGAGAATAGTTCGTATATTTAACCCTATGCCTTCATCGCCCAATCCTGTCTGTGCCACACATTTTAAATCGGTCCGGGAGGCTTAGGCAGTCGTGGGGTGTGTGGTTCCCGATTGTGAACAAATTTTGCAGCTTTAAACATGTCAACAGTCATTTTTTGAGGCGGCAGTGAAGGGTATATATATAGGCGTCAGGTTCGTACCTTGGTTAAGGTAAGGTTAAGGTATGTACCTCAGGTAGGTAGGTACCTTACATACCTGTAGGTAGAGTTGGTGAAGTTTCGCCAAGGTGCAAGGACTCTTTTCGGTGTCAAAGTAAATGGGGACCTCTACAGCTACATATTCAACCGACGGACAGGCTTCTCAGAACGACTGTCCACGGCTTTATTGTCCCACCTCCTGCCTCCCATGAGATCAACATCCAAAGGGACACCGTTTCGGTCCTCACATGTGTTCAGTCGACGGAAGATACTGTGTTTTCTGAGTGTACTTGGCTCAAAAGGGAGTATCCGCACATGTACGAAACAGCCGTGCAACAGGGGCCCACGGAGAGGCAGAGGTCGTCAAGACCCGGAGATGTACAGGTCGTGGAAAGGAATGAGAAACTAATGGCATGGACGCCAGAAAAGGAAAATAGGAAGCAATAAGAAAATAGAGAAACAAACTCTCAATTCTCCCTCCAGCTGTAAAAACACGCGCAAATGTCCTTGAGCTGCATCATGTATTGGCCCTGTCACACCAGCAGAAGAAGCAAACTTTTTGAGTCACGACCCATGCATAGGATAATCAATCTCTCTCCGCCTTTCACCAAAAGGAGTATCATGGCATCGCCTTGAAAATTGACAGGCTTTCAGATCGATGACTCCTGTCAACGATCAGAGCCACCAAGATCATCAACAATGAACGTCCCGAATCAACCCCAGGAATAGCCAAATAGAACGTCAGGTGGAGCCAGAGAATCGTCAACGGCCGCAACAACGTACCGTAAGCACCCAGTCCACAAAACCCCCCCGACGGAATTGAATCTGCCCAAGTTCGCGCCACGTACGTACTGGTCGCTCAATTTGCAGCCATTAATGAGCGAATCCAAGTCCTGCAGGCAGCCCCGGTAATTTCGATAATTGACATAGTAAACCCCGTCTACTAGCCAAGGCCTAAGCCCGTCACCGGAACAAGCCTCAAAGTCGTAAGCGACGCTGATGGTCATGTTTCGTTCGTTCAGCGAATATTGAGTACCTGCACCAGATTCTTCAATGGACTTTCGGTACACGTCCTCTGAGTATCTCTTGCATTCGCCGAGTTGATCAGTCGGTTGATCCCAACCATTATCAGGACCCAAGGGGCCTCTAACAATGGTGATATTCTGGCTGTCAAGCTCCTGGCAAAACATTCCGGCCAGTGTGCGTGCTTCAGTAGCATCAAAAGGCGAAAACTTTCCGAAGGTGGGCCCGTCTGTCGGCCATGGCTTAGGCGGGTCTGTTGACACCCCAATCATGCAGTGGAGCATGTTGGTAGATACTTTAGATGGTACATCTGGTACAGGTGGTTTCCAAGTCGCGCAGGCCTTATACACATCTGCCGCAGGTGTCGTCCAGGACCAGGATGTTTCAGTCTTAAGGGGCCCGGTGCAGGTGCTGCGACGGGGTTCGGCATCTTCGACACACGTCTCAACAACATACAGACTCTTCGAAGGGTTCACTGACAAGCCGGTGATTGTTGTCATCTTACGGCTTGTGGAGGAGGAACTGCTTGAAACAGTGGAAGAGTGGAAGCTCGTAACCATAGAGCTTGATCGCGATGACGTCGTGGAACTAGATGTAGATGAAATTGTGGAACTGGTCCTCGAGGAAGTCGTAGAACCGACCCTTGATGAAGTTGTGGAACTGGGGCTCGAGGAACTAGTGGAACTGGTCCTTGATGAACTCGTGAAACCAATATTTGAGGAAGTAGTGGAGCTGACAATCGAAGATATTGTAGAGCTTGGCCTGGACGAAGTGGTAGAATCCGTTATCGTCGCGAATGTGGCATTCGGCACCGTTATCGAAAAGGTCGTGTTGTCGAAATAAGATGGAAGTGGCAATGGCGGAAATTCCGCGATCCAACTCATTACGGATCTACTCATATCTGGGTTGCTCCACCAAGTATTGATTATTGAACAAGCTGGTGCAGAGTTACTTCCGATCAGCGTTGTTGAGATTGTTCCAGTAGCTGAACAAGCTGTGACAGTGTAGCATACTGTTGAACAAGCGCTTGTGATGGTAGTTGTTGACGAGCTGATGACAGAAGTTGGACATGTGACGTCGCAGGAAGACACTGTTGAAGCTGAGCACGATGAGCTCGATGAACTGCTTGAGGACCCAGTTGAAGATCCGGTTTCGCTGGAATCGCCTCCAGGTCCCGTAACAGTGGCACTATCGGTGAGATAGGTCATTGACGCGGGGGGGACTGGAGGAGGATAGGGAATCTATGGTCGTTAGTAAAACCTTCTATCGAGAACTGACTGTTTGACCTTACCGGTGGAAATTCCCAGCCATGATTGCTAGGATTAGGACACAAAAATTTGAAGAGGCAGTCAAGAATGTTTACAATTCCTCCACCAGATTCGCCATCGGCACAGAGGTTCCCGACGCACTTCCAAACGTAGAATGGAAAGATGACATTCACGCCATCGTCTCCAAATCGTGTGCTTGTTTGCAAGTCCGCCGTCCAAGACACAGACCCGGTACCAATTTGGCCATCAGTTCTTGTAATGGTCGCCACCGTGATATTCCAATCTGGTAGGGTACCCGTGATTTGGGTCAATCCGGAGGGGATAGACAAAGTGGCGGTCGATGATCCCGAGGGTACTGTCATTGCGCATGCCCAAAAGGGGGGACATGTAAGCCCGTCCGTTGGCCTACTGATCTGTCCACAATATTGTCCGAGCCAGCACGATGGGCAAGCACAGTAGAGATCACTCGGGGCAGCGGTGAAACTTGGGACATTTGTGAGCGAATTGCCTGATAGGATGCAGACGGGTCTGACGTCGAAGGGGCAGTGCGTTGTGGGTGTGAAAGTGACAGGCATTATGATGGGGAAGCCACTTCCACTTGTCGTCGATGCTGGTGAAGATGTAGACCACGTGCCAGGCAAAGACGAAACACCGCTCGTGGAAGAGGGTATGCCAAACGCCCAAGTTGTCGATGAGCTAGGTGAGCTTGTTGGAGAGCCTTGAGATGCTGATGAGTTCGGCGACGGGCTCGAAGACACTGAAGAAGCTGCGTTGTTATTTCCCGAGTTTTGAGATGCTGAGTCACTGGTAAATGACTGACCCGATGTTGACTGAATGATGATAGTAGTTCTGATAACAGTGATGAAAGTGGTAGAGCTCTGTTCAACGGTACTGGTGAACGAAGAAACTGTCTCAGGTCCTTGCGACTGGGAACTGGCAGAAGGCGAAGCAGATTGGACCTCACTCTGGCTAGATGACGAAGCTTCAGTTGACGTACTTGAGGACTGAGACTCGGAACTAGACGAAGTTCCACTTGTGCTTGATGATGAGCCCGACAGGTCCGCGCTCGAGGTCGAGCTTTGTGTATTTGAGTTGTCCTGGGAAGTCGAAGTAGAGGTCGAAGTTGATGTCTGACTCTGACCCGACTGTTCTGTACTCGGACTTGAGCTTTGTGTATTTGAGTTGTCCTGAGAGGTCGAAGACGTCGCCTGATTCTGACCGGACTGTTCTGTACTTGAAGTCAAGCTTTGCGTACTTGAGTTGTCCTGAGAAGTCGAAGCAGAGGTCAGAGCTGATGAGGTCTGGCTCTGGTTCGACTGTTCTGTACTCGAACTTGTAGTTTGTGCGTTGGAGTTATCCTGAACAGTCGAACTAGAAGTCGAAGTAGATGCCTGATTCTGGCTTGATTCGCCCGAACTTGTCGAAGACGTACTGAAAGTGTCGCCCTGACTCATAGGGCTGCTAGACGACGTTGAGGGACTCAAATTAGAGCTACCTTCGCTTGATCCAGATGTCTCTTGTGTAGATGTTGTGGTCGTCGAAACCGAAGCGGACGATGATGAGGCTGAGGCACTGCCTCCCGTGTCCGAGAATGAGGATGAGGACGAAGTCAATGAACCAGAAGTCGGTGAGGAAGTGGAAGAAAGATTAGAAGACCATGTGCCTGCTGAGGTTTGCCTGGAATCAGAAGACGCAGTTGAACTGTCGGAAGACTGGATACCAGACGAGGTTGAGCCATCAGTGGATGAGGTCGATGAGGTCGACGTAGACACCTGAGCTGTGGTCCAGTCTTGCCAGGATCGATGAGCTAGAAGCTGTGTCAATAGGCCTCCCCTTGGACAAGAGAAGCTCAACTACTTACGGTGGTCTTGGGTGCTTTCATCCTTGCGATAGACTGCGCGATCAACCCAACCAGCTTTCGCAACACAAGATAGAGCAAAAAACGGCAGAAAGAGCACGATCAACCCCAGCAACCGCGCCATCGTGAACGACGACAAAGATTGACCAAGATCTATGAGTGGTGGATGGCGACAGGTAGAGAGTGAGTGTGTGTGTGTGTGTGTCTGGCACCCTATAGTGAGCGAAATCTGTTTTGTAGACACGATACGATAACCTGGGAGTGAGCTGGTGAAGATCTGGTCGCGACGGCTGGTGAATCACATGTAGCGACAGCGTATAGACGCTCATCAACACTGCCCTTGGGCTGAAGCCTCGAGGCAGCAATCACAGAATTGAATATGGTCTCACTGTGATCTTCAAGCAATGCATTCACGTCCTAGCTTGGTTAACGTAGTCCTGCGGAGGTACAATTCCACTGATTGATCCTTTCACACTCCGTCCATTCCGATCTTCATCCTGCACAAGAGCGCTGTTCACACCACGGTTCCAACCATGAAGACATTGTCCCCATCATCAACGCCTTGATATTGAACGAAGAATAGCGCCCTGCGAGGTTATCAGCTTTCGACTCTCCCACGTCGTCGTCGCAAACCCTGGCTGCGAAGGGATTGGGATACTGTCAAGAGAAAGGAAACAGCGATCGGTACCAAACGCTTCCCAACCTCGCTCTCCCCATCACAAAGATGCCGCCCCTCCACATGGTATTTGCTTTCACGCTGCTGATTCTTGGGGTCTCCAACGTTGTGTACGCAGCCGTCGCCTCCCTCCATGGCACCGGTCTCGTCAATAGCACCGATCTGGAGTGTCGCCAATGCGTCAAGAACCAGCAGACAGGACAGTATAGATGCGATTACAACCTTCCCAGTGTCGGACAGACGGTTGCTCGCTGTCGAGATACCAATGATAGAGGCAGAGTGGCACCAGAAAATGTGCCCTGGTTCTACACCCATCTGTGGAGTGCTCACGATCTCCCTACGGATCAGGAGTCAGTAGCAGAGACTGCCGAGCTAGCCAAACGAGATGAAGTCAGAGAGCGTGCTCCATCAACAGCACAAATCCAGACCATTGAATCAACCCAACTATTCGAGACACCTCAGGCATCAAGAATATTTTCACCCAATCATGCAGATTCCAATGATACATCGGCGGGAGTGACTCCTTTCAGGTTCCACAGCGACCCAGGACACGCAAAAGAGTTGCATCCTCGTCAGTGCCTGGAAAGGGCACAACCGGGAGTGTGGGACTGTGACTTTGCTTTTCCGACTCTTCAACAGTTTATAGACCGTTATCGAGACTATGCCAACTGGGGAATGGCAACGCCGGGAAGGTCTGTTTGGTTTTACACCAACTTGGATCAGACAAACGACGCAACCGTTTTCCCAAATTGTTACGGATGGTTGCTGATGAATAATATCGACAGCTATTATGGGAACAGCGGCCTCAGCAGCTTGTGGCTCGCTGCGCAAGTGGAATGGATCGAAGATCACCGGGCCGAATTTCTGGCAGTAACAGGAGGTCAGGATCCCATGAAAGTCTTCTCGGTTTGTCTCTTCGAAGCCCTCGCACTGTCGACCTTGAATCCGGATGCATACGTGTTCACCAAGGCACCACCGGAAACATGGAGGGACACAAGTTGGTGGGCATTGATCGAATACCCTGCGCTTACGAACAATCCGATCGTGCAGAGAATTTGGCGCGTTGATCCTCGTCCAGGTCAATGCAATGATAGAATATTGATTTGGCAGAGGGGTCGGGATCTTCCATTACAGATGTTTCAGTCTTGCCAAGTGCTTGAGCAGTTGCGGGCGCCAAATCCAGCAGCGACAGCAAAAGTCTAGCCAGGCCAAAGGGCGGACGAAAGGGATTGAATTCTTTGAGCCACGCAAGGGTGAAGCTGAAGCTGAAGCTGAAGCTGCCGAGCCTTGTGGATCTCGCTTCTTGGCAAGGCTGAGAAGCAAAAAATCTGTCTGTTCATCTTGTGCGGTTCTTTCTTCATGTGGTTCCATATCATCCTAGTCTGCAGAGAGACACTGGGGGGCCATCGAGATATCTTGTGCTTTATCAAAAGTGATTTGAAGCAGCTAATAATTCACTTGATTCAAAAATCCTGCTCCTTTTTCTGTCACTTTAACCATGTGTGGTTTGTCTTACACATACACGGAACACAGCCCAGATCATAACACGCGTACATTTGCCAAGTCTCCCTTTGACACTTGTGCTTTTGCGTAGGTAGGAATGTCCATGCCATGTGCGCCAGTGGCCTTTGTGTGTTCAATTCCCCAACCCTTTGTTCGCAGCCTCGCGTGTGGGGCATTGGGGACCTTGGGGAAGAGGGCATGTGGGGTGTTGTTCCTACTCGGTCCAGCAACGGAACGGGGTACTGTTACTTTTGACTGGGGTTTCTACATTCGCTACCACCTCTGCCCAGTTTATGGAGGAGCTACGGACAATTTGAGCCATGGAGACCTTCCTTCTGCGGCGGGACGAGGCAACACCGATGGAGAGGAAACTCGCTCTTGAAGGACACAAGCGTTGAAGCAAGAGTGGGCCAGGGCCTGAAATTTGCGTTTCTCGTGTTTGTCTTCCCTACAAATTCCCTTCGTGACATATTGATATCCCGATATCTGGACTGTGACTGCCACCAGACGCTGCTAAGGAAAAACCCAAGCGAGCCATGACACTTTCCAAGGTATGATACATGTACCCCGTCTTACCCCTATCGAAGTACTTGAGCTGTAGGAGACACAGAAACTTACTCAGGGGTTCACCAGGTCATCATCGTCGGCGCTGGACCTGCAGGCTGCGTGCTGGCGTTACTTTTGGCCAACGCCGGCATCAACGTAGAATTACTCGAGGCGTCCGACACGCTCGACGACTCTCCGCGAGCCAGTTTCTACCCCTGGCCGGCTGTGCGCGAACTCGAACGCGCCGGGCTGCTTCCTGAGGTCCGAGAACGAGGTTACGTGGTCTCAGACGGTGTGTCATGGCGTCGAGTCGATGGCTCGCTGATCGGCCGGATGGACGCGTCGAAAGTGCCCTACGACCGCCGCTTGCACGGTCTCCCACTGGGCAAACTGCTCGCCTTGACGCGAGAGCATCTCGACCGTAGACCGAATGCGACGATCCACTATCTTCACAAAGTCACGCGCCTTGATCAGGGTCAGAACAGTGCCAGGGTCTACGTCGACACGCCCGAGGGCGAGAAGCTCTTCGAAGCAGACTACATCGTCGGCTGTGACGGAGCGAACAGCACAGTTCGTCGCGCATTATTCGGTGAAGAGTTTCCTGGGTATACGTGGCCCGAGCAGATTGTTGCTACCAACGTAAGTTCTCAACAGTCGGCCTAGTATTCTTTCCGCTTGCTTCGTGTTCTGAGCTCGCCGGACGGACCGTATTTTTGCTTTGATGTCGCATTCCATCGACGCTCGACACTGACATGCAGTTGTCCAGGTATACTACGATATCAGCAAGTACGGTTGGGGCCAAGGCGCCTTCATTGTCGACAAGGAGAACTTTGCTCTCATCGCTCTACTACAGAACGATGGCCTATATCGCGTTAGCTACGGCGAGAAGGTCGGTCTGACGAAAGAGGAATACGAGGCCCGTCAGCCTGAGAAGTTCCGCAGGATTCTACCTGGCAACCCAGAGCCCAAGGACTATAAACTCGTGTCACTCAACCCGTACAAGATACACCAACGATGTGCACAGAGCTTTCGGGTGGGTCGATTCCTGCTCGCAGCCGATGCTGCCCATCTGTGTAATCCATTGTAAGCTGGAGTATTCCCCTGTTCTCTCTCCAATACCAGTCAGATCTTCCCGCCGGAGTATGAACATCAGCTGACATAACTCCAAAGTGGTGGATTGGGCCTCACGGGCGGCCTCGTCGACGTGGGAAACCTATTCGACTGTCTCAATGGTATCCACCTAGGTGTAGCGGACGACAGCATCCTCAACCGATACAGCGAAGTCCGGCGGAAGATGTACAAAGAGATAATCGACCCGGTATCTACGCAGAACTTGAAACATTTGCTGCAAGACCCGGACGTCGCGCTGAAGGAAGATCCGCTGTTCCAGAACATGGAAACGATGCAGGATCCAGATGCAGTTGCAAAGATGGTTTCCGTGAGCTCCCCGCCCATTCCTCCCTTCTGTGTCCGCGTTCAGTTTGTTGCTTTCCAAAAGGTGAGAAGCAGGACAGAAACTGACGTGGTGCACCCACCTGTTCCTAGGGTATTAACAATATCATGCACGACTTCACGCAAGAGTACAGGCAGCCTCCCACCAGGGAAATATCAGCGTCTGATATCAAGACGCCGAGTACCACAGAGGTGAAACTGGTGGGAGTGAGCAGTGGATAAAGACCAAGCTGATGGATGCTCCCAAGTTGTGACGTTAAGACAGGCATTTGTATCAAGGATTGCATATAGTGTTCAGGTATTGCAGTAGATGTAGGTGAGGGTAACCCAAATCCTCGAACAGGTCAATGAGACCACCTTGGCTCTGTTCAGAGCAAGTACTGTACTACGAATTCCACCCATCCGTGTCTCCGTGGTACACGTTCATCTTCCAGACATCCGCTGTCCGCATACTCCATCACGGCTCATTCTCATAGCCCGGCAAGAACTTGACCTGCAGAGTGTACAGACCGTCCTTCTCAAGCGTGGCGTGTCCGAAACTACACACCCTCTCAATATCTTGTCGACAGTCGAAATAACGTCCGCGCAGGGCCTTTGCTCGTCCTGAAGCGAGGTATGCCACAGTGTAGGCGCAGAGTTCCGGGACGTCCTTGAAGATGGGCTTGATTTGCTCTTGCACTTCTGGTGTTGTGTTTTCTAGCAGCAATGTGTAAAGAGTCAGCACTACCATATCACTTCATCAAACTGTGTAAGTGCGATTGCCATGAGGTTGGCTAGGCAGTAGGTGCAGGTAAGATGAGGTAGGAACGTTGTAAGCAATCTTCAGTCACGCACTCTCTTTTTCTCTGTCTGGCGTGCGGCTTATTTATTGTACTTACCAGTCACCAAAGCACCCCACACGGCACCAGGATGCAGACAATAAGTCTGGATTTTGTCGCCGAGGCCTTCGACGTCGAATTCCTCCTGCAACGTCGACGTGGCTCGCGCAATGGCCGCTTTGCTCGAATTGTAGCTCAACCCCCCTGCCATGTCGACCGTCGCTGCTCGCGATGCCATGCTGATGATGCACCCGGACCGCCGCTCCCGCATGGTCTGCAGCACCTCGTATATGCAGGCCATGGCGCCCTTGAAGTTGACTTCGATGGCTTTCCAGAACTGCTCGAACGTCTCCTGGGACGCCAGCTTGCCGTAGGCGACGCCGGCGTTGTTGACGAGAATGTCCACAGGACCCAGTGTCTTCGTGATTGCCGCAAACGTGTCGCGGACCGCCTGGACGTTTGTGATGTCGCATTGGAACGCTTCGACTTTGACACCCTCAAATTTCTCGCATGCAGCCTTTGTCTCTTGTTGCCGATCCACGCTGAGGTCGAGCAGGGCGAGATGCGCTCCTGAATTGGCCAGTGCAATGGCAATAGCTCGACCGATACCTGGCGCAAGTTAGCGAGGGTGCTACACTGATACTACTTTTTCTAAGCATACGGACCTCTCCCGGCCCCAGTCACCACCGCGACTTTGCTCTTGTTAGCTCCCACGAGCCGCTCTGGCTTGATGGGTCCATATGGTTCATGTTCAAGGGGCACTGTCGAGAGGCCGAATTTTGCAGGATTGTATCGATCAGCATCGTCCATACTTGCCAGGTCGTGCAACACGGAACTTGAAACCCTCTGGGTATTGTTCGAACACGCATTTCCTAGTATTCATGTGGCCTCGATACTTTCTCGTAATTCGGAGTAACAGCCTGCCAGCTCCGAGGAAGTTTCACGGAGTCACTGACCCCACCAATTGAGCACGAAACGACAAACAGCATCTCAACGTGGGGTAGTGAAAATCAGAAGGGACATTCCCTCCCTGGAGAGAAGACGAAGCACTTCGGCATGAATTCTCGTCCGAGACGTCTATAACGTGGATTCTCCATCAGCGTTTATGCGAGCCCCTGACAAATTCGAAGAGAAGTGATTGGACTCGGTTTGCAAATCATCCGCTCAAACTGCTCGTTTTCCGCGCTTTGGGCGGCGTAAGGTAATATTCTTCTTACCCCAGATACCGGGGTTGGAAGCGTGGAGGCCTTGGCTATAACAACCGATTCTCGTCTTGTAGTTGAGCTGTAGTCGAGCTGTAATCGAGACTGCTTGTGTTTAGGATCCATACAAACACAAGCCATGTCAGCGTGCTAGGTGCAGTCTTCACGAAATTATATGTGCTGATTCCAATACCAACCTAGCCTTTCCCGCCATGGCTATCTCTTACCTTCACTTTGGCTATGCTGTAGCGCTCTTACTGGCTTTCGCAGCGGTGCCTCTGATCTCAACATATCTACGCAAATCCAAGTATAAGTATCCTCCAGGACCAAAGGGAATTCCCCTTTTCGGCAATCTGTTTCAATTGCCCCCAAAGTATCCTTCGGCTCAATTGATGGAATGGGGAAAGCAGTTTGGTGATTTGTACGCATATTATCATTTTGCGACCATTTACTTCCTGACTTTATTGCAGGTTCACTGTCCAGCTCGGTGCGAGAAGATGGGTCTTTCTCAATTCCATGGAAGCAACTCGCGAACTCCTCGATCGCCGTGGCCGATTGTACATCGGCCGACCGGAATTCCCAGTCACTCAGGACATCATGTCCGGAGGGAACAGGATTGTGATGATGACCCACACCGAGAGATGGCGAAACCTTCGGAAAATCATGCACTCACTTCTGATGGCTAGCAATGTGAGTCGGCACTCCAAGGCTCTTTTCTCCAGTCTAACCCTCATGCCAGTCCGAAACATACAAACCATTTCAAGATGTTGAGTCGAGAGCGCTGTTGTGGCAATATCTCAAGGACCCAGGCAGGTTCTATGAGCATGGGGGTCGTTTTGCAAACTCGAGTACGTCTCCACGCTCAATGCATTTGACATTTGGCTGATCAAGTCTTCGTAGTAATTTTCTCGGTGTATGCGAGTTCTTTCCTTAGCCGTTTCAGCTTGCGCTGATACCTTCCAGAGTCTTTGGCCGGCGCACTAGCATGAGGGATGCGAACGTACAAACGCTTTTCTCGACCATTGACGATTTCATCGGATCACAAGCGTCGCCATCGACCGCTCTTGTTGAGCAGTTTCCTTGGCTAGTCAAGCTTCTTCCCCGGTCGTTGCAGTGGTTCCGCCCTGAAGCGGAAAGAATATATAAGAAGACCGTTGGGTAAGGCCATTGGCTCACAGCGTACTGCAGAGTTCAATGATCTATGCTATTTCTGACCACCAGTCCAAGCTGATCTGACTTGAATAGGGTATATGAAGCATTCTTCGATGATCTTGAGCGCCGCATCAAGGCTGGACAAGATCCCAAATGTTTTGCCCGTGACATGGCTGACTTGGCTAAAAAGTACGGGTTTGATGATGCACAGACATACTTTTGTGGTATGTTCGACAAGCAAAAACGAGACTTGTCCACAGGGCCTAAGCTGACAGTTCGCAAGCCGGTTCGATCATCGAAGCGGGAAGTGACACGAGCCGCAACCAGATCAATTTGATGCTGGCTGCTGCAGCCAAGTTTCCAGAGTGGGTGGTGACAGCCCAAAGACAGTTGGATGAGGTCTGCGGCACCGCCCAACGGTTGCCTTCGTTCGAGGTTGGCTGTGCATGACCTTGGTCTTTATTATCGCCGCTAATACGAACATGTACAGGACTGGGACCAACTGCCCTACATAGTGGCTGTGATCAAGGAAAGCCTCAGATGGAGGCCTAATATGACGGGATCGGGTACCCCCAGAGCTCTAATGGAAGATGACACATACCGCGGTTTCAGTTTTGAGAAAGGCACCGTCTTCAGCTACAACCACTTCGCCATTAGCCACGATGAAAAGGAATTCCCCCAAAATGAGGTCTTCTTACCAGAAAGGTTTCTGAACGACGACCTCCAGGAGATGTTGAAGGGTCATTTGGGTTTCGGAGCTGGTAAGTCGGATTATGTATCTGCAAACCATCGGTTGTCTGACCAGGAGTAACAGGAAGACGTATCTGTCCTGGATGGCATCTCGGCACCCGAAATATGTTCATTGCATTCAGTCGTTTGCTTTACTGCTTCAACTTCAGTGAGGTGCCCTCGAAACCCATCAATGTATGGGAAATAGACCCTCTGGCCCATGATCATCCACCTTTTCAAATTCATATCACGCCTCGTAGCGAGCAGCATGTCCTGCTCATTGAGAAGGAGTGCGCCAAGGCGGGACAAGGCTTCGAGTGAGAGAAGGTGTGGAATTGAGTTTAACGAAGCATCCCCTGTCCATTCGCATGGATAGCCACTTCAGCAATGGTGGGTCAGGGTGACGAGTCTTCCACGGTCTCAATCTAGTGTGGGCAGCCTAAAGATACCGTCAGCAACAATGTCAGCCCAGGTGATGGCTTGGGAGCCTCATTATGGTGTCCGCACTGTATACCGACTGTATGAACTGGGTATGATCATTCGATGAGTCAATATGGCAGTATTCCGTATACCCCGATATCCTCAGGCTCTGTCACTCGATCACTGCTGACAAGCTGTGCACTTTCTCGACATGTATCTTTGTAAATCAGTGTTAGTATTATTCGGGAGCGATCATCTCAACAAACACCCGGTAGGGCGTAGTTGCAGCATGCCTGACGAATAACTGCGCGTGTGGAACCTCGAATATAAAAGAGCTCGGTGTCAGCCTGTAGAGCAACGAACCACCAACCGTGAATCTTTGCCACGTCCAACTTTCAAAATGTCGCCCCTTCGAGATCAACTCCTCAAGACTGCACAAGGATACCTCGATGGCCTGAACGATCCGGGACCAGATGCTGCAGGCGTAATTGCTCTGCGTACACCAGACTGCACTCAACGTATCTTGCCCCAGAATCTTGAACAGCCACTTCATACCAACCAAACCTACCAAGAATTCATGGCAACTGGAGCCAAATTGATGGTCAGCATGCCCAAATTTGCCTTCAATAGCGAGCCAGTGGTGGACGAATACGCACGGAAAGTGGTGCTCCATATGCGCGGAAAGGGCGAGTCGCCTTCGGGACCCTATAACAATGAATATTTTATCATTCTCTCCACGACCGAGGATGGAACCCAGATTAAAGAGGTCGTCGAATTTCTGGACTCTCAAGCATTCACTTCGTTGGTCGAGACATTCAGGAAGTTGGCCCAGGAAAGCGCAGCACCATCTTGAGCTGTGGATTACTCATATTGGAACAGTCATGGAAACGACATGGGAACTTGAGGATGTCCTAGAAGTGTTGACTCAGGCTTGTTTTTTGTGCGCCCGGCATAAACAGGTGGTATGAGAATGCAGACGTCGGAGATGAGATACAAGTAGGCATTTTGTGCGTTGAACATGGGCTTCGTCGATAGAGAGCATTCATTACGGATTTCGAAGATGCAGTCGTTCGTTTGAAGTCTTCGATCAATAGAGACAGAAATTGAAATATTGAAACAAAGCTGGAAGCAATGCGATGGCCTGTTTCTTTTTCTCGAGATCGTGGAGTGAGAGAGTGAGGAATATTGTGGTACGAGCTTTGTCTGCACGATCTCGAACGTTGAATGTTGAATCTTTTAATCTTCCCCGACGTCACAAAATGAGGTGAATTTAATTGAAGTCTAAACTGCGCATTTGATCTTTGCCTACACACAACACACCACCACAATCTCTTAAAACAATCACCTAAACACATCACATCTCGATAAATCGCTCCTATTCCTTAGTCTCCCGGGTACACATCTCTCACCGCACTCCCCACACTTCTGGGCGACGAGATTCAAGCGCCAGACTCCTCCCCGTCGGGCTCAAGTCAGACTGCCACCTTGTGCATCGCCAAAGGCCAACTCTCTTGCTGCTGCATTGCAATTCGATCTGTTCTGAAATCGCAGACCCAAACAGCTGCGGGAACCTGCGTTCTGCGCTATCCGCCTTCTTTGTTTCCTTCAAACAATCCTCCCCTCAAGCCGCCCTGCACTACCAAACCGATGCTCACATTATCACCACCTCGCCTGCCACAGCCATGTCCGGAATTTACTCTGTTGAAGATTTGTTAAAATTGCGAGCATCACCGTTAATATGCAGGCCACCGAATCTCCCACCTATAGAAGAATGGATGGGGTATGCTCGAACATGAACAATACCTGCAACCAAGCTACAATAACTGACAAGCCACAGCACACAGGATACCACGACTCGCAAAGCTCCTACTCGGGGCAAACAGGACGATTCAGCTATACAGAATGAACCTTTTCAAAAGCGACCAGCGCTACTTGACAATCAGCGTCGCACGGCCACTGGTATGCACGCGACACTGTGACATTACGTTTCTAGCTAATCCAATTGTGCAGATCCCGACAGAATAGTCCTGGGCCCTCCGCGTCGCTCTTTCGCCTCCTCCAACGTTCGCCCGGTAGGCAAACTGCAAGATGACGAGTCAGGAAAGAGAAACGGCGATTGGTCCGAAACGAAGCAAGTTGAGCGTCGCAGTACCCAGACCAACGGTCGCCACAATCAACGAGATGGCGAAGATCAGGACACCGAAGTCCGCCGAACAAAATGGGCTGCAAGAGACAGGCACGATCATGGTTTGGATGATGACGAGGATTTCTCCCGCGGAGGCTTTCGGCAGAACCGAGGCAAATTCTCCCAGCCTTGGTTTCGAAAGGACGCAGCAGAGGCTGATGATAACGGAAAAGACGACAGACATCCGGACTGGCGACGTGGCGATCGCAGGGATCGAGAATGGGATCGTCAACCCAAGGCCGAAGCAGAGCCTGAGTGGATGGACACAGCTGAGCCCGAAGAGCCGTTCCAGGTCCGTACACAGGAAGACTTCCAACGCTGGAAGGAGAAGATGAAGGCTGGAGCTACGACACCTCAAGACAAAGCTGAGCCCATACCCGCAGAACAAGCAAAATCAGCCCCGACTGTGGCTTCGCCCGAACCAGATGACTCCATGGACAAGTTTTTTGCTAGATTCGAATCGAAAGTAGCTGAACCGAAGGCTGCACCAGTCAAAGCACACGGCAAGACACGTTTTGCCTCGCTTTTCAGCCCCCCAACCGAACAAAGCAAGCAAGTCGAGGCACCAGCAGCAATCTCAAGCGGCGAGAGGCCTTCATCTACACAGCTTTCTGAATCCACTTCTGATGCTGATCAGGCTGGATTTGCACGTATCCTGGAAATGTTGCAAACCCGCAGCAACAATCCCACGCCGCAAACTCAGGAAACAACAACAAAGCCCCGAACACCCTTGTATGCGCGTGGTTCTGAACCGAAGCCTGAGATGGAATCGCGGCCGTCTTCCCAGACGCTTATATCTCTGTTAACGGGCCAAAATCTGCCTCAGCCACAGGATGCGATCTTGAACCACGGTTCGCCACCCCACGGACGTGTCACGGATCCTGACTCCCCCATTCCTCCGCCTACGCATACGCGACAGCAATCCAGTATTAACAAAGACGAGGTTTTGTTGAATCTCTTGCGTCAAGCTAGCCTAGCTCCAAAGCCTCAGCCGCCCTCAAATCCTCATCAGCAAGCTGGAGCAATCTATGGCATGCCCAATGATGCTAACATGCGAGCGGCAGCAAGAAATCAGATGGTCTCTCCTATTCAGGGGCAAGAACCACTTATTCCCCAGAGACGGGAGACTGGACGATCTATGTTTGATGAATCCCCTGTATCTATGTATCAAAATGAACAACAACCACGTGAGGACATGAGGAGACGCGCGACTAATAGTGCTCAGTCTGGTCTTGATGATCCTTTGATCACTATGCTTCGCGGTCAAGGTCCACCGAGGCCTATGCAGGCTCCTCAAAGCCTCCCTCCTGGCCTTCAGAGACCTCCTGGATTGGAACAGATTCCTCGCCAGAATCCTAACTGGCTTCCACAGCAGCCCCTACAGCCTCAACAACAGGCTTCGCGTCAACAAACACTCCCGCCGGGGTTGTCGGGTGTTCCTCGAGGTCTGCCAGGAGCTCCCTATCCGCCCTTACAGCAGATGCCAGGTCCACCGCAACCACCACAGCCGCGTCCACCGCAGCCGCCCCAACGTAAATACACAGGCGAATCGGGAGCTGCTCCAGGAATGCCAAATATGCCTCCTGGCATGTTTCCTCCACCAGGATTTGTGAATGCCGGTCCGCCACCTGGCTTCCCGGGATCCATGGCTGGCCATCAGGGTAGGTACCAAAGTGAACCTGGACCAGGACCACAGCCACCAATGAATCGTGCATTCATGGAAATGTACGGCGAAGCAGGCGGACGAGGAGTTGGATTGAGAGGTGGTGCTGCCAATGCCGGTATGCCGCCCTTCAGATAAGCCCCCAATTAACGGGGATGGGTGACTCGATAGCTTCGTAACGGCGGTTTCACACATCCGTGCCTCGCGAGGTACTACCTGACCATGAAACTCGCCGGTCGAAGAAACGGGAGCGGACAAACGAAAAAAAAAATGAGCAATAGTATCCTTCTCAAGATGTCAAATGTCTCGAGTCTTGATCCAATTTGTCCGATGGAACATTGTCAGTATTGTGTGGTGATCTACGTCGTGCTGAGCGTGACGAAGATTCACCTACTTATCCGGCAAGCAAATGACATCCACGCAACTCGAACGACATATGGGATACGTCCAGGGATACCAGTCCCAAGTAGTGTACTGCAACAAGTGTGTACACGGGTGGCCCAATCTTCAGGAACCACAAGACAATAATCATCATATTGAATTCACATCCCGAACTTTCCCACGTGTCACCCCACCCACCACCAACCACCCACCTTGTATGAAATCCTGCTCTGTACTGTACTTGGGCGTTTTCAATCTTCCACGTACTGTGTATTGTAGTCTACTTTTTGCTCTGCCTCTTGATCTTCTCGACCAGGCTCTTTACATCCGAAGAGGCGGCGCCACCTGTTTCTCTCCGGCTCACCTCGCGCTCGCCAGTTGATTCGAGGTTGCCATCGCCGTTGTTTCTGCCGTGCTTTCTCTTCCTCCCCTCCTCGAGAAGTGCCTTCATGCCTTTCGTGCCCTTGAACCTCGGGTTCGTCGGATCAATGGCGTACTCGTGGCTCGAGAAAAGCCGGGCGAAGCGAGGATCGGACGTGTCCATGTTGAAGTCGTCCTCAGCGGCCGCATTTTGTCCACCGCGTTTGTCCTTCTTGTGGGCCTTCTTGCCCTTCTTGCGCGCCTGCTTCTCGGCGCGTTCAATCTCCTTCATGTCAAAGTGTCGGATCCTGGTCGATCCGTCCTTGCCGTCGCCGCCCCCAGTACCAGCTAGGTCGTCGGCCATGAGCAGTTCCAGTTCGGCGCGTTGTTTGCGCTCAATCTCCTCCTCGGCTTCGCGTTCTGCTCTCTTCTTCAGACGCTCCTCTCTGCGCAGTTTGGTGCCGAGAGCCTTGGCGGATTGAGCTGAGGGTTCGGTCGCATCGTCAGCGAAGAAGGGGTCGTCGAAACCGAGGTCCTCGTCGCCACCATTGCTGACGGCGTTGTCGTCATGATGGATAGCACTGGAATCTGGGTTTGTAAAGGCGGCGTCGTCCTCGCCCGCACCCTTGGACCCCTTCATCTTCTCCTTGCGCTTCTGTTTCCGTTCGCGCTCCTTGCGGATGTACTTCTCGACCGTCGTCTCTTCGGGCTCTGGCGAGTTCTCAAAGACAGACTTTTTCTTCTTCTTTCCGCCTTCGTCTTCGGCCTTCATGAGCCCAGATGTGAATGTAACCTGCATATCGCCTATGGGGCCCTTTTGCTTGTCTTTCGACTTCTTCACCGGTTCGGGCGCGAGGCCGAGCAAGGCGCGCATACGTTGACGCTCGGCCTCCTTCTTCGACACTTCACCACCTCCCGCTGTCTCGGTCATTTTAACGTCCTCGCCCTCGTCTTCATCCTCAGAAGAATCACTACCGAGGTACGCCTTCAGATCGTTCTCCTCAATCTCTTTCCTTCCACCTTTGAAAGCCCGCGCAATTGTCTCCTTACGCCCAGCGTCCTCTGCATCCCACGTGAGCTTTACTTTGCTGTGTTGAAGCGCATCCGTGACAAATGTGTTTGGTTTGTAGTCGCCCGGGAGCGATGTGCATTCTTCCTTGGGTGTGCCTGTCGAGAAATCCGTTTCGTCAGGCACGAAGCGCAAGTCGAAGAAGTTCGCCGTTCTCAAGTACTCCGTGCCGTCAACGGCGTCATAGATGTGTTTTGCGACATCTGGGGATGAGAACGTCAAGATACAGTAGTAGTAACGCAGTCGTTCAAGTTGATATTTGCGTAAGGCTGCGGAGTCGAAATCAGCACCATCGTCGGCTTGGAGGATGGATTTTTTGATGTCTTCGTCGTCGGCCTCGTCCTCATCTTCAGAGCCCGCCGATTCGGAGTGGCCATCAGCAGCGAAAATGTTTTTTGGAGGACCTTCCACCTCCTCTCGCTCGAGCCGTTCCTTGCCGAACTCACTCGGGTATATTGATACTTTGAGAAGACTGCCTGTGGAGGGAAGGAAGCTCGTGAAGACTGCCATTAGATCGGCCGCCCGGATATTGTCCCAGTCTAAATTGACGATGGCGATACGGGAGGTCACTTCGCCAGTAGGTATGTCTGTGGTTTGCGTCGCTCCTATACCAACTTCCTCGTCAAGCTCCGCTTCTTCTTCATCGGACTCTTCGTCGCTTGTACTCTCGTCAGAAGAGGCTGCAGAATCATCATCTCGAGTCTCGCGCAGGGGATCGAATTTCTTGAGTTCTTTCTGGACTTCGTCGTCGTCGTCTGGTTCGTCGCTTTCCTCGTCGTCCTCTTCGAATTCGTATCTTCTCTTCAACCGGTTCTTCTCTGCATCCGACGTCAGAGGACGACCGTACCTATCCACCTTTGCTCTCCGCGTGAAGTCTTCATCCTGCAACGCTCGTTTGAAACGCTTGTCTAGTTTTACTTTGTCCTTCCGTCCTGGGAGGCGGTATCGAGGATCAGACTGGATGTTGGCAAAGCGAGGGTCGGTGATGCGGGGCTCTGAGGACTCCTGTGACCTTGAGCCTGTCTTCTGCTTTTTGGCGACGGGCCCTGCCATGTTGACAGAGAGGTGAGAGATCGATCTTCGGCTCTGGCAAGTATTTCAGGTACTAAGTTGATACCCAGGCGCAGGTGCGCAGATCGAAAAAAAAGTTGTCGGCTGGATCGCGCGGGGTCGGCGAGCGGAGCAAATGGCGCCGACGCTAACCGCAATCGGCGTTACATAACATGACGGCTTCCAGCCCTCGTCAGGTGCTGAGTCAGTAAATGGTCGGTATTGTACTGTAAATTCACTAGTGTGCTTTAGGTCCGGCGCCACCCCGCCGCTGCCCGCCATATTGCACCTTGTACTCCGGACGCGCATGAGCCTCGCGGTGCTGTGTCTAGACCGGTTCGTGAGCCTTTTTTTCCCTTCAGCTGCTGTAGTCCTCATGCCACGTTGCACTCACCTTTCGCTCATTCATACATAGGTAGTGTACATATACCAAGCACCCTCTCGTTCTCAGTCTCCGCGTGTCCGGCGACCCTCACAATCTCTCTCCAACGCAGACAAACTATTGCGCGATTGTCTCGGATTCCTGCATCAACATGCCTGCAGGCTCGTGCTTAATCACTGGGTAAGCGCAGCCTGAAACAACGAGCTTGCTAGACATGAGACACGGTCACTAACCTGCATACAGCGGTACTGGCTACATCGGCTCGTTCACCGCGCTAGCTTTGCTCGAGGCGGGCTACGAGGTGGTCATTGTTGACAACCTCTACAACTCTTCTCCTGAGGTCCTCAACCGGATCGAGCTCATCTGTGGGAAGAAGCCACAGTACTACCATGCCGACATTACGGACGAGCAGGCTGTCGACGAGATCTTTGAGAAACACCCCGACATTGACAGTGTCATCCACTTCGCGGCTCTGAAAGCGGTTGGCGAGTCTGGCGAGATCCCCCTCAACTACTACCAGGTCAATGTCTATGGAACACTGTGCCTCCTCCGCTCCGCTGCCCGACACAACGTCACGAACATTGTCTACTCCTCGTCCGCGACTGTCTACGGCGATGCCACTCGCGTCCCCGGCATGATTCCTATCCCTGAAGAGTGCCCATTGGGCCCCACCAACCCTTACGGCAACACTAAATTCACATGCGAGCTCATGATCACGGACCACATCAACGCCGAACGGGCCAAGGCTGAGAAGAAGGGAGACACTGCGGCGGTGAAGAAGTGGAATGCTGGCCTGCTGCGATATTTCAACCCTGCTGGTTCTCACCCCAGCGGCATCATGGGTGAAGATCCCTCCGGTGTGCCCTACAACCTGCTGCCTCTCCTGGCACAAGTTGCCACCGGCAAGCGTGAGAAGCTCCTGGTCTTCGGAGACGACTACGCGTCTCACGACGGCACCGCCATCCGAGACTACATCCATATTCTCGACCTCTCCCAAGGCCATCTCAAGGCTCTCGACTACCTTCGCGAACAGAACCCCGGTGTCCGAGCATGGAACCTGGGCACGGGTCGCGGCTCGACCGTCTTTGACATGGTCAAGGCATTCAGCAAGGCCGTCGGACGAGATCTTCCGTACGAAGTGGTTGGTCGCAGACCAGGCGACGTGCTCGACCTGACAAGTAACCCGTCCAGAGCGAACAGAGAGCTGGGCTGGAAGACGGAACGGACATTGGAAGATGCTTGTGCAGACTTGTGGAAGTGGACAGAGCACAATCCCGAGGGATACAGACAGCAACCACCGAAGGAGTTTGTGGACGCCCTGAAGAAGAACTGAGCTTCACGAACCCGGAAACTGACGACAACCCGACACCCAGCTCTGACCGAGTGCATTTTGTGTTGTGGTGTGGTAACGAGGATGTGCCGAGGATGTGCCTATGGAATGGGGACTTTTCGTCGAGCTTCAAAACAGAAAAAAGGGTCGGTCTGATGACTTTGGAATGGGGAACTCTGGGGGCAGGTTTTAATATTTTTCTTTCCATGCATTGACCATTACGAGACTAGATGTCGTGAGACTACGTTCCTGAGGCACCTCTGGGTGTGGCCGGCGGGCGGCGTTTTGAGCAAAGATTCACACACGTAACAGGGGCCAGGGAATCTGGAAGGAAGATCTCTGGCACCGTTTATAGAGATGGGGCAACCGTTTCCAGACGGGCAACGCGTGTGCCCAAGGCATTCATTCATCTGTGCCTTTGCCTCCCTGCGGTTGGGGATCGAGCGCCATTCGGTCTGGCCTGGAACAGAGCATGGCTATGATGATCCGACAACAGTTGTAGGTACAGCACTCAGAACCCTTTCGGACTCCGGCGTCGAGCCATCTGTCTCCACCGGACTACATGAGTGTGGCGAGCGTTAGATACTAGATATACTTTTTTTTATTTTTTTTCTGCTTGATACAGCAAATTTGATTCTCTTCTCATACTTATGCTTTTGAATGAACTTTCAGTGTCGTTTTCCGGTCGTATGGCACATGGGTGTATATCTGAGTGGATATTCACTTTCATTGGGCAAAATAAAACCCCATCCGCGCTGTTTCGCTATGCATGCCCGTGCAAGTGCCACTCGACAACCAATCTCATGTGTCTGGCCTGAGCCCGGACGCGCGACGGCGTATAGTGGACAAAAGCACCTCCCGTATCACGTTGAATAAGCGATACTGAATCCCACACTGCCCGTCCACCTCTTCACACTCACTCCTCCATCTGGATCTAGACCCGGCTTCGCAATGCCGCTGGCCACGGTCACCGGGGTGATATTGTTTCCACCTCGTGATACAGGGGACACGCTCACGCCCGCAGTCACGAGAAGACTCTTGACGCGCCCCGTCCACAAAGCCCGCACGTTCCATGTGTCGTCAAGACGAAACTTGAGGACGTTCTCCTCCTCCCTTGCGACGCGCTCGTCCTTGAGCGCCTTCTCGGCCGGCGTGAACCAGTCTTTGGTCTTCTCTCGAGCCCACGCCGTGGAGTGATCGGGGTCTTTGGATGTGCGGTGCTTGCGCCATAGCTCGCCGCCAAGCACGTACCGGCTTTCCCAGGAATAGAAGTTGAAGTCGAAGCGAGAAGACAGTGCGAGGTTGGATGTCGGGCGGACCGAGTATGACGACGATATCGAGCCCGTGAGGGGTGTCAGGACGAGGGTCATGGTGTAAGGGAAAGAGGAGTGGTGAATGTTGCTTGGCGTGAGGAGAGAGTGGCTCGCGTTGGAAAGAAGTGTGGCCGATGTCCCTGCTAGTGGCTTGTTAGAGGAACGGGTCGGCGGCTCTGGGGGCGTTATTTGTGGTGTTAGTGTCGTGAAGCGCAGCCCTGTGGACAAACCTATGACATGGCTGAAGGGACTATAGTAGAATTCCGCCCCGGCGGAGAGCAAGGATGGTTTCGATGCCAGTCGATTGTGATAGGCTGACAGAACATCTAGATGCGGTGGGAGGGGGAGCCGTGTCGGGAAGTCGGTGAAGTCCCCCACGAGTTCAGACGGGCCTGTTGAAGCGATCGAACCGTCCGTCTCTGGTGGTAAGATGCCGAAGTTCCAGAGTCCGCGGACACCAAGCAGGGCATTGTCCGTGGAGCCAAGTCCTTCGATAGAATATCTCCCAGTGTCATGTTGAACATGGGCGAGAACCGATGCCGGTGGCACACCAGAGGTGGCACTGGGGAGTGGCACGGATTTGCTATAGAGAGATAACGAGAGAAGGGTGTCCGGGTTTATTCGTCGTGCATAGAGTCCTGTCAGGACAGAAGGAGGAGGTAGCGCAAGCGTTGCATGTAGTAATGTGGGTTTCCTCGCGTCTTGTGGGAAATGCTGCCTCGGCTCTTGTACTCCTATTGGCAATTTGATGTCCCGGTATCCTCTCACCAAACTCTTCAAAGGTATGCTTGTCGCCTGCGAGGGTATGTGTGCAAGCGGGACCGTTGAATACAGGTACGAAATCGACCCATCTATTTGACCCACCGTCGAGAGGGTGTATGAGGTTGCAAAGTTCGGCGTGCTGAGAGATGAAACATGCAATGCTAGGGATGATGGCGTTTGGAAGGACAGGAGAGCATCAGAGGTCGCAGTCAGATAGGAATAGCTGTTGTCGACATTCCAGTCGGTAGAGGTGCCGAACGCGTGGACAACATAGTCCATGAAGTCTATCATCGTGCTCTGGGGGTTGAAAGCACGCCAGGCGCTATCGTAGATCGCAATACATCCTGCGACTGGAGGATCACGACCCAAGCTGCCTGATACATTCGAGAAATGCTACGAAGTAATCGGCGCACTTGTAGAAAGTGCAGTGGTATGGTGTTTACGAAACAGCGCCATGCTGTCTGATACTTGACCGTAACCATCTATGTGGTGGATCAAAAGGCCAAAATCACAATTCAAGTCAAGGATCAACATCAAATGACAATCTCCTGATCGTTGTGATACAAAAGACATTCCCAGGCTGAGATAGAACGGCCAAAGTGTCAGCCTATCGCTTGACAATGAGATGATTATCTCTCAAAGGCCCATTCCCTCTCTGAACCGAGTGCAACGCTATGCGTGCCACAATAGTGGTGCTGAACGACCTTGCTCTTTTCTTCGCGCCTTGAGAGTACATGGGAGCAGGAATTTTGCCTGAAGGCAATGCTCTATTGAGCGGCTTTGAATCAAGCCCTTTCTTGGTTAATTGCATATCCTGCACACACAAACGCTTCAGATTCGCAAACATTTGAGGAAACCTAGTCCTGTCGAGGTTGCCACACCGCTTGTACTCGTCCACCCTCTGTAATGCCCGAGTCTGCGTGGTAAGACAAAACGCCGTCGCCTCTTCATATTCGTACCACACCAGAACCTTCCCTTGAAGTGGCGCTCGCATCGCGTCGTCCCACTATGACCCCAGCTGGATAAACAGTCCACGGATACGGTTCTCCAGGAGCAATCGAGACCAGAGTCTTAGATTGGGTTACGTACCTGTCGCGATTGGGTTCGACAAGAGCAACGCCACCGAGCACCACGATCCTCTCACAGATGAAACTTCTCTGGGCTACTGCTTTATCAGTCGGAGCAATAACGAACGTGCCTTGGGAGTGGGTATCTCGTCGAGAACTCAATGAAGCCCAATTGTCCGGCGACCGAGCGTGTGCCGGGATCAAGCTATGGACCGTAGTAGCCTCATGGCTCACTCTCTGCCGCTAGCTAGAACATCCGATAACAAACCGGTCATATCCCAGTTGAAGAGACCATAAGGGTCGCTAAGTTGGAAATCATCCCAGGCGAAGAGTCCCTCTACCCCTCCAACAAGAGGTGTCAATGACAGCACCTGGTCAGTAGGCTGCGCGTCCATAAGTTGAGCAGGAGATATCTCAGAGCCCAGAAGGCCCCCGCTGATATCGGCTTGAGCATTACCGTCCCCCAAATTAGCATGGCCTTGGTTGCCATTACGCGTTTCGGCAGCAGTCCGTCGTCCGAGGTATGCGCGAGTAGTATTTTCCCCTCCGAGGATGATGGAAATGTCTGTAACGAGGCCTTCAGCATCTTCGGGTGAGCAAGAGTCACCCTGCTCGAACAGCGATATCATCTTGAGTAGGACGCTACGGCCATTAACGGCGATCGACACAGGACACGCTTGAGTTTCCAACAGACCCAGGTCGGCAGCCATGCTTTGGATGTCAACCCGGAAGCGAGCAGCGTTTGGGATGGTTCGCTCGACTAGTAGCAATGCGGCCAGTGTGACGGCAACGGAGAAGATCTGGTATGCCTGTGGGTAGAACTTTTGTTGCGTAGCTATCGGCCTGTTTCTGCGAAGGGTCCGATACACGGCCAGGGAACCCTCAACTGCCGCAATACAGGTGTCAAAGGCGCTCGTGACCGTATCAAGAAAAGGGCGATACATGCGAATACGCTGCGTACTGACACAAGTCCGCAGGATGTGGTTTTGCCATGTTAAAAAATCATGAGCAACAGAGAAGGTTTTAGGTTTTCCATCATTGTCGAGCTGAAAATACCATGGCAATTCGTCAATGATTCTCACAAGTTGTCGGTCAATCTCAATCACTGAATTATACGACTGGAATTGAGATGGATCAGTTACCAAGGCGCGGTTGATGAGTTGGAATACCCTCGCTCGATAAATATTCATGCTCATCGTGGTAGGCTCATCTAAGGTCTTTGCATGTGCGAAATCCGGACCCAGGTCGAGATCGTTGCAATTGAGAGGAAGCGGCACATTGGTGAGGTGCACCTGAATCAAGGGTGGTCGGTCAAGACATATAGACTGGAATCTAGGTCTTCGTCAGCACGCACGTCTCAGTCGCACAGGAAGAGACAATATGTCTACGTGTCCGAATCTACCAGATCCCACCACAGACGATGTCTCATCTCTTCGGCTACATTGCTAGCAGGCGTGTGGTCTTTGTCCAGACCTAGAGCTTGAGCGTTTCGGACAGCCTGGCCCATTCGGCTGACATTTAATCAGACAGATCCTGTAGTTGGAGTACCAGACTTACGAATTGATGGTTTCAATATCATTGGTTGCGTACCAGTACAGCTGCGTGATTGAAAATGTCTGCAACTGTAATAGAGTTGGTTTTCTTTCATAATTGCCAGCCTGAAGAGCCTGTAGGCAAGCGCGATGCCATATGTGGGCATGTTTTCGGATTGATTCCCGCTGCAGGCCCACTACTTCCACAGCGTCGCCAGGGATGTATAGTGCGCTCAAGGACAGTATTGTAAACAACAGCGACATCCACGGTAGATTTGCATCTTCGACCTTACCATCCCAGAATGACGAATACTCTTTTCGGAATGTGGGAATGTGGACCGTCTGGAAAAGCCAATTTATATTCTCAATGAAATATCCTAGGAGTATGTCTGCTTGAGTTCGAGTCGGAAGCAATCTGACGAGAAGTTTCTTCCACTGCAGCTCGTCATCCGAGAACTCCAAGGTGTCCAACAGGCTGCCGTCGTGACCAGTGGAAAATTGAAACAGGGGAAGGTTTTGTGGAAATAAAATGCCCACAGCATCATTTGGCTGTGCCGTCGTAGCATCTCCGGTCGCAGATAAGTGCTGATGTCTCGTAGACAACGACTGGTTTGCGGTAAGGAGAGGGACATCCTCGACTAAATGCCACCGTTCACGCTGTGGTCGGTGTTGTTCTGTTACTTGATCGGTCACTGGAACATCTGCAAGGGAATCGGTCGTTTCATAGATAGGGTCATCCGACCAGACGTTTGCTAGTAGATCACCGTGTCTCGAGGGCGAAGACCTGTTGCCAGAGGCGGTTGGAGCGGGTCGCTTATCGTTATTGGCTCGGACAGTGTATGCAGGATGGTTCTGGGTTTTCTGTCTGTGGTGCGAGTCGACTCTTTTGCCTTTGGGCGGCGCAGGATATAGCAAGCACAAGTCTTCGCGGCTGTACCGTGTGCAAGTGCTGCATGGCACTGCCCGGTCACATTTGAGTTTATGCCTTCGGCAAGGTTCACAACTCAGAGGGACCCGCTTGGGTACATGGTGTGGTTTTTTCTGCACGACGGGAGAGGGTACTGCTGAGTCGGACTGTGAGGTGGACATAGAGATGGTCTGCAAGGAAGCAATTTATTCAGAGATGAAGACACGACTTCGGAGATGGAGGATTGACATCGAGGCCAGATTCGTCCATCTTTGGGTTTCGGAGCTGTAACAAATGGCGTGGCTCCTTAGCCGGGTACGAATACGAGGTCACAACTCACCATCATCAACACCACAGCCTCACCAAGCGCAGGCTTTGTCAGGCGACTGCGGACGCTAGCTGGGACCAGAACATTTAATGCTGTTTCGGGATAACCTTCGCGACAAGAAATCTCCGCCGTTCCAAATATTCCCCTTGACGGTTGATTTTCAGCACACCATCAGCAACAATCTCGTCCTCGTGCTCTGTTTCAAGGAGTGAAGGTCGAGCCTCGCTATTGTGAGCTTGACGCTCGCAATCGCGCCTTCATCGAACCTGTGCATGGCGGCGTTCAATGTAGACGCATCTCCTTTTTCAGGAATTCCAGATTCGAGATCTCAGACGAACAGACCAACGAGGCTTCGGGATAGGTGCACTGTCTGGATCATCTGTCAGACGCATTGTTCCGGTCTGAATCTTGAGTCTGGCTGGTAGAGCGCATCACAGAGGAGTGTTTGGCTGATTGAGCCCATAGGCTTGCTTTGCGAGTACTTTTTTCGTATAATACCGTTCTCCACGCAGCCCTGTCCCCTCCGAGATATACCATCTCGTCTCTTCAACGCAGTGCTCCTGAGACGAAAAACCCTCGCAGTTCACGACCCTACTCAAATGTTCAATTTAGTAGTAGCCTCAAGACGAAGGAGTGGTGCTAGTTAAAGTCTCGGAGATGGAGATATTCAACAGTTTTGCCGGAAAGAATTAGTACTATTATCCATACTACCTACGCAGCATTGAACTCCGGTCCCGTCAACTCGGTCACTCACAATCCATGACTGTAGCGAGCCTCTTATCACTTACACAGAGTGGGCTTAGTACCCATTATTCACAGATTCTTATCTCACTAATGCCACTAGAACATCCTAGATCAGCATGCTAATCATACGGTCATCGAAACTTGAGTATCAGACAAATTAAATGTATTTGGTAACACAAAGAATGAATCGTACGGCTAGATGATCCTTATTCGAGAGTTCCCTGGAATGGCTCACGGCAAAGTGCGTCGTACTTTGCGGATATTGCGTCGACATCCTTCCAGCCTGCGGCAACCTTATCATTCCGCTTTGCACAGTCGTCCGGTCCAGTGGTCACCACACGTGTCTGGCCTTGGATATGTGCACCTTTCACCAAGGCCGAGGTTCTTGGTTGTCTCTTCTCTGCGAAGGCCTGGAAGATGTTTACCAAACCTGGCCCCAGCTTTCGCAGACCATCCTCGTAGTCGTCACTTCCTGGAATCAGGTATGGCAAGGCACGGCTAAGATGGAAACAGTCCTCACTGTAGAAGAGGTTAGTCTGACGCTTGTCAGCGGGGTATGGTCGATGTCAACTTACAGCGCCTGGTTTGCTCCTTGACCAAGGTGAGGGCTCGTTGGATGAGCAGCATCCCCAACGAGAACGATTCTCCTTGAATGCCATTGGTCTGGGCTCATTTCTGTCCGATCAAAGAGACCAAACTTGATGATACGAGATGGGTTCTGGACCAATTCTGCTGGCGATTTGTCTTTCCAAGAACTGATCTTTGCGAGCAGTTTCTCCTTTCTTGTGGAGATTTCTTGCGGAGAGCACAAGCCCCAATCTGCTTCATTGCCCTCACCTTCAGGTAGAGTCAACGCCCAGGAGGTCACATCTGGAGAGACCGGATATGCGATCATATGGACTCCTTCGCCGAACCAATTCCTCATGCTGTATCGAGTTTTCAGTGCCTTCGGCGTTGGTGACAAGCCAGCCGTCTGCGAAGTCAGCTATGAACACGATGTCTTGAACTATTGCGCTTACCTGTGTCAATCCGCTGAAGTCAGGCAGTCCCTCGCTGATCCCTCTCTTGCTCAGAAGGATACGTCTGGAAGCTGCTTTGATGCCGTCGCACCCGATGAGGAATGATCCTGTGACAGATCCATGTCCCTTGAAATGGGCCGTAACCGAATTTTCGCCTTCCTCAATGTCTTCCAGCTCCCAGCCTTCTCTCACCTCGACGTTCAGATCAGTGAGCATGTTCTTGAGCATCAAGTTCAACTCGGTTCGCTTGACACCCATTGCAGGTGATCCGTATTTTGATCTGAAGCTCTGTGGCAAGTCTGAGAATCCGAGGATCTCGCCATCCGAGGTAAGATCCTCGTATGCATCCAGTGGCTGGGAGCCTTTCTCGATTTCCTCCGCCATGCCCACCAAATTGAGGACTTTGAGTCTGCAACACGTTCAGCATATCCTGCTCGACTTGTGTTCAAGACACCGGTATCATCTTACCCGTTTGGCATCAACATCAGTGAAGCCCCTGCATCTCCCAACTTCGAAACTTTTTCGAAGACGATAGGACTGTAGCCTTTCCGTTTTAACAAGTTCGCGAGCACGGGCCCAGCGACTCCGCAACCAATGATGAGCACCGTAACTTCAGACATTGTTGAGATACGTGATTATACGTTGTTGATCCACGACTTTGGTATGCTTCCAACTGTTCCCCTGTGTGTGATCAAGGCCTGTTTTTATGTCCTCAGCGTCGGGGCATCCATTATCCACCCAGACCGAGATTTCCCATCGACTGCGACTACGTCAGTGCACATGCATGAGCGGGAGTCAGGCACTGACTCATCCATCTGCATGAATAACACGAGGAAGAAGGCAAAAGGATCAGCCGACGAGTGGTCTGCTGGAAATGGGAGACCGGAAAAGGAGAATAAAAAGCTAAAGTCAGAACGCCGGTCGGAGTGTTCGGAGATGGAGCAGATCCACCGGAGATGGAAGTTGGCGCGAGACATTTCTGTCAGACTGAACGACCCCGGATTCTCCACAAATATTCAGATACTCTTCGAGTCTTCGTTCGTAGTGCGTCTGCAAAGAGATTAAGCAACGCCTCCGTGAAGATGTGATCGAGATGGAATTGATTGCTCGTAGCCAGACCGCATTAGTCCAGTACCCGCCTTCTCTGTCTCACATTGACCATCGCAGGATCTGATGCCGTCTCGTGCATGCATAGTCCCAATGAGTCGTTTTCAGGTGCTGCGTTGAGCATTCACTCATAACTTACCACTGCCAGTCCACCCAGGCAATCAGCGCCCTTACTCATTCACTGCGCAGGCCCAATGCCCTCCTACCATTCGTCCGCAGAATAATTGATCATTTATAGGTTTGAGTCGTGAAATTTCTGTCAACTAACCTTCACAGGGAACTCGATTCAACACGAACGACTTCTTCAGCCTCTATGGTGCAACGGTTAAAGTCGCCCTTTCAGGGGAGTCAAGTCTGGACAAAACTGGATGGCTATCCTGCACGGCAACTTGACTCCCGCGGAGGAAGAAGAATTTCAAAGTGGAAAAATCGACCGTCTCTCTCTCTCAACACACTGTGGACTTGGGCAAATTTGGGCAAAGGTCGACAACTACAGAGGGCAAGGACAACATAGGAGGAGAAATCATGGGGATAGAAAAAGTTGTAAGCGCTGCGGCAGGGGAGATTCCAGGGCGAGTACCATCATACCGTTGCGACCTTCAGTGGACCCGGGATGGGAGGCCTTGGGGGAAAAAAATCCTTACACGACTGGGGTTTTCTTGACTAGGCTCCTATGGGAGATAAATCCTAGTTTAAGTTTTTGCAGTTTTGCAGAATGGACTCCGTATTGTAAGTGAAAAAAGATTTAATATTATAGTAAGTATTAAGGAGTTCATAATTATCACTTCGTTGAGTCTACTAATATACTATAGAGCGTAACGATAGTGCGGATTCTCCCAATCAGTAAGATCATATATAGTATCGCACTCTTGAACTGTGATATCAAGATTCTGATCTCGTTTCTTGTTTGCTCTCACAAGGTAGAACCTCATAGCCAGACTGCATACTACCGAGATAGCTGCCGTGATGAGAGAGCCTCGAAACAAGGTCGGATAATGATCATCGACCTCGGTTGTCTTGATAAACAGTGGTGCTGTTCCATTGGAAATGCAGTACGCCATCCACACCAGACCCATGACGAAGACCTTCTTGGTGTAGCCGCCGGTGTTTGAGCCGACGAGAGACAGCAGCATGGTGTACGAGGGCGGAAAGGTGAAGAGGAGAAAGAAACCTGCGAGGGCAGCTGAGTGGTCAGGCGCCCATTGAACATGCCAGATCAGTGCTGCTCCAACGATGACAAACACCTCGCAGACGCACCAGACCACGGTCCGGGCCTTGGGGAGGTAGTTGGCTGCCACACCAGCGACAGCCAACCCTAGGAGGAGATAGAGGCCAGCACACCCGGTCAGCAGCACCGACTTGAACGGCGAGTATCCAAAGCTTTTGACAATGATGGACCCGAACCCCGAGCACGCACCATTGATGAAATGAATGCAGTACGTCGATACCACCGTCAGCCACGTTTTGGGGTCCTTCAATGCCTCAACTATCTGGTGAGGTTTGATCATATTGGTCTCTTCGGTGACGTGTTCCAGACGGATTCGCGCGTCGGCGACCTTGCGTTCAGGCTCGGTCAGGAACCAGGCTGACTCTGGGTTGTTCGGTAGTGCGAAGACCATGATGGCTCCCCAAACGATCGTAATTGCGCCCAGAATCAGGTATTGTAACTTCCACGGCGCGAGCTCTGCGTGAATATGGCCGATACCGTAGACCATCATGGGTCCAAGGAATCCTCCGAGGCCCTGAGACATGTACCAGAGCGAGTAGCGGAGAGGTTGTTCTTCTCTCTTCCAGAACAGTGGTATCATGAGCGAGAAACCTGGTCCTGCGCCAGCTTCACAGACGCCGAGGAAGAACCGCTGCACCAGCATCCCCGGATACGACGAGACTGTGGCCGTGAGCATGGTGACGGCTCCCCAGGTGATAGCAAGGCCCGCTAGGAATTTTCCCAGGGGAAGTTTCTGTGCGAGAATGGCAGCGGGCAAAGCTGTAATGTAAGTTTACAGGATGTCAGCTTTTCCAGGCTGCGCGCAAGTATTGGGTAGGTCTGGATTGCCAACGTACCACCAGCGAGATAGCCCCAGTAGAATATGAGCGTCACCATAGAGAAACGATGAAGATTCAGGATCGGCTTTTGTGTTACCGCATTGTGGCCCGCCACAGTGTACAGGTCGAGGTCTTGGATAATACCGAACTGCGATGCTCCGTTCAGAATGACCTTGTCGACATATTGCAGACAATAAGTAACGACAATGAGGGGCGTGAGCCAAGTGTCGATCTTTCGTAGACAAGTTCGTTCCTCCTTCGCAGTGATGGTAGATCTCGGATCATTGTTCAAGTCCTTAGCTGCATGCTCCTCGGGCCCCTTGACGGACTCGACTTGCTGGGGTAGATCCATTGCCTTGATATCAAATGAAGCCATTCTGGGGAGTTTCTCGAGAAGCTTGCTGCGGGTGCAGACAAATCGAGGAGTCCCAGCGAGGCATGTTAGATATACTTACCCCAGGAGTTCCCCGGACTGCGCTGGTAGGAAGTTCGGCGACGCCCCCACAGTTGACAGTCCGGGCGATGATGTATCTATATCCGCTATATCCACTTCACATCCACAACCAGGTCCGCACTCTATATCCTGAGTCTATATCCGCCCCCGCAAGCATCCTACATCCATCCCTCCTCGAAGATTTCACGGTAGCAATGCAACCAGCAAATCTGTGACTTGGTTTACCATGTCTAGACTCTACATCCGAGGCATCCAGTCTGCGTCTACGGCTACATCCCGCTTTTACTTGCCGACCAGCTCCGCTATCGCAGGACGTTTCTCTCCTCCGCCATTTTTTGCCTGAGACCGACTTTTGGTTGAAGATTCCAGTAGTTTTCTACGGTCATACTAACGCATGGGCTTATATACTCAGGCGTAGCCGTTGAACAAAGCCATACCGTCAAAAAAAACCCTCCTCCCCTTTGCAAATCCAAGGCATCTCGATCCAAACATGGCCGATTATTTCAGACGATTGGCCTCACATGCTACAAGGAATCATTTGGCCATCGTTGATCCAGTCTCGCCGGAAACATCGACATCGATACACCACAGCTATGCTCAACTGCTCTTGCGCGTCACCATCTTTAGCGAGAGGCTCATTACTGCCGCTCAGGAGACTCAGAGACATCTTGAAGGCGCAAGGGTCGGGTTGATGGTGCCTCCAGGACTAGACTTTGTTGCGTCTCTGCTAGCTATCTGGAGCGTCAAGGCTATTGTGGGTATGTATAACTTGTATTCTATGCACAATGGATGGAAGTGGACTGATACATGCCATCTCAGTTCCAATATGTCTTAGTCACCCTCTACAGGAAATCACCCACACAGTAACAGACTCTAGACAAGAGTTCATCATCTATCACGCAGAATATAAAACCAAGATCAGCCCACTCCTCCAGGGGAGATGTTGTATCGATGTAACCACCATCATGCCCGAAGCGAGACCAAAAAAGGTTGTGGTGCCACAGTCTCAACGCCATCAACTCTCTCCATACTATATTGCTAACTAGAATTTATCAGGAAATTGACTTCTCCACATTAAAATGGCCGGATGAGACGCCATGCACCATAATCTACACATCCGGCACGACTGGACTTCCCAAGGTAGACTACACCCTCCCTCCCTCCTCCTCTCCCTTATTGTAAAGACAATCCTGTCTCTTATTAACCACCCCTTTCCATGCAGGGAGCAGTACTAACTGCGCGGAGTCTTGAATTCTCCTACAGATCTCTCGCAGAAGCATGGCAATTAACGTCGGCAGACCGAGTACTTCACGTTCTCCCTCTTCATCACGGGCATGGTCTGACACTGTCGCTCTTGCTACCGCTTTGGGCAGGCGCTACAGTGGAGTTCATGGCCAAGTTCAACGAGAGACTTGTATGGGAGCGCTTCCTTAGTACATCATTGAGTCCCGTGACTGTTTTCATGGCCGTGCCCACGATCTGGGTCAAAATGATAGGCTACTTCGATCAGCATTTCAAGAACGAGCCGGCCAAGGCAGCTAGAGCCGAAGACTCAGCCGCGAGACTGAGATTGGCAATAAGTGGCTCGGCTGCATTACCTGCCCCCGTCAGAAATGCCTGGGCTCAAATAGCGAACGGATACTTGCTGCTGGAACGATACGGAACAACCGAGACTGGGATCACATACTCTGAACGGTTGACCCCAAATGGGCGGGTTTTGGTAAGAAATTGGACCGCCCGGACCCAAAAAGAAAGTTTCCATGTTTAGAACTGACTCTTGTTTTGCTAGGGAAGTGTCGGGTGGCCGCTCCCAGGCGTGCAAACACGCTTGGTTACTGCCGAAGGGCAGGATGTGACCAAAGTGCCAGACGTCACGGGGGAGATCCAGATCAAATCCGACGGTCTCATGAAAGAGTCAGTAGCCTCACCAACCTTCTCATGGAAATCAACTCCAGTCTGACTTTGTTGCAGGTACTGGGGAAGGCCGGGTGCAGCAGAGCAAAGCATGACTGCCGACGGCTGGTGGAGGACAGGGGATTTGGCACTGGTCAAAGCTGAACATGGCAATGCCACCTTCATTCAGGGCCGGGCCAGTGTCGACATTATCAAGTCTGGCGGGTACAAGATATCGGGCCTCGACATCGAGACGGCAATGCTACAATTGCCATATGTTCAAGAGGTGGCGGTGGTAGGCGTACCTGATCATGCCTGGGGCGAGGCCGTGGCAGCCATCTGCGTGCCGGTTGAAGGCAGACATGCTGATCTCACCATTGCCAATATAAGAGAGGACTTGAGAAGTCAGCTCGCTGCATATAAGCTGCCGCAGAGGCTGTGCGTAATCAAGGAAATGCCGCGGAATGCCATGGGAAAGGTACAAAAGAAGGCCCTTCGAGAGCAGTGCTTCCCACGGTCGCGCGAAGCCAAACTATAGAATCAGTTTCGCCCTCAAGAAATCTTGCCTCGTAGATAGTTAATAGCCAGCACTACAGATCTAGATAGGTAGATAAGCCAGGCCGAGGTTGCGGTGTAGAATGTAGTGCGATATCGGCCTTGTAGGCTGTACTCCGGTGTATATATAGAGCATTGCGAACCAACTCCCCCCTCTTCATTAGCTACATCCAGTTCATCTTCTATAACTTCACCTCCGCAATCATGTCATGCACCATCGCATATAGAGGCCATGTGGCCGTCATCACCATTGACAACCCAAAGACCCTGGGTGCTTTGACAAGGGACATACAGCTTCAACTTGGTCACCATCTCCGTGAAGCAGCGGACCGCAAAGATGTCTACGTTACGCTCCTGGCCGGGACAGGACGATTCTTTTCCTCGTAAGTCATAGTCCGAGTCCTCTGAATTGATTCCCCCTCTGCTCCCCCGGCCCCTCCCATCATGCCCTCTGACCATGTTTTGTCACAATTTTAGAGGAGCCGACATCCGTGAGGACCGCGAGGCGCCGGCCCACGAAGACAGGAGGCGACATTATGTGCACCAAATGGCCGATCTGCTTGATCTCGCACAGACGTTTTATACACATCCGAACATGCTTGTGACGGCACTGAACGGTCCGGTCGCAGGGCTGGCATCCGCCTTGATATCGCATTCGGATTTTATCTACGCTGCGCCACACACGTATCTGCTCGCGCCCTTCAATTCCATTGGAATCGTGGTCGAGGGCGGCGCTACGAAATCTATGGTAAGCCGTATGGGAGCAGGTCTGGCGAAGGAGGCTCTGCTCATGGCCAGAAAGATTTCGCTCGGTCAATTGCTTGCATGTGGCTTCGTGAATGGCGTATTCGAAGCCGACGCCTCGGGAAGAGACGCAGAGCAGTTTACACAGACGGTGTTTACCGAGATTTGTGAGCGACGACTCGGCACGCATCTTAGCTCGGCTAGTCTACTGAGAACAAAGCAAGTAATGTCGAGGTCTGACGAGATCGCCTATGATGCGCACTCGGTTCGCGAGTTTGTTGGTGGGGTCGAGGCGCTCCAGCGAGGGTACCCTCAAGATCAGTTTCGCAAGATGCTACGAGGAGAAAAGAGGCACAAGCTGTAGCTTGTAGATGATGTACTTCGGCAGAGCCGGAATCAGACACGAAATCGTCCACATGTTTGATTGAGAGACCTTTGCGACCGAGTCCATCGGCTATCCACGGTCCAGAGTACACTGCATGTTTTCGGCGACACTATAAATTCTGATCCTCTATTGAGCTGAAATCGAACCCCAGAAAATCATCATCGCTCCAAGGAAACGCGGTCGTCGTGGGCCAGGATGAAAGTCCTAGACCAACAGCATCCACTGAGTCCGGTTGAGCCGTGTCAGGATAATACGAGTCTGATATGGGCGCGCCTTCGCAAAGTGATCGGAGTAGACTCTCGCTCTGCACAGGAAGCAGCGCCTGCATATGCTTGTAGATGGAAAAGTTGGCAAACCCAGAAATGTCAGACAAGGCCCGAATTGCTTCATCAAGAGCTTCACCCCACCTCGAACGAGGATACTCAAGTAGTAATCTCGCCATGGCAACGTACCGCGAAGCTTCGTCATGCACGAGCTCAGCGTGCCAGTAGGCGAATATCAACATGAAAGCAGCAGATATTATTCTTTTCACCTGTCTCCAGGTAACCGCAAGAGCTGCAACCCTCGGTATTGGTAGCTTGTCGGTCTGTTGATCTTGGACACTGAATTGGGTGGCCAACCGGATCAGCGCCGGCTGGTAAAGCTGCAGGTATGCCGTCAAAACGCCCTGGGCGGCATGAATGCAGGTTGACAGTGACAACAACCACGAAGACTGAATGGAAAGGCCTGGTGCACGAAGCTTTAGGCGGCAACTAAGAAGTGCGGTCAGTAAAATAGACTCGAACCTTCGGCAGGACGTTGAGCATACCACAGCATGTGGATGTGAGCGACGAGCTCGTAGTCGCTTCGACAGCTGCCATTGCCAGGCTGTAAGGGCATTCTCTGTTGCCGACACAGGTCCCCTATCTTTGCTTCGAGCCGCCGTATTTCATCTTCCGGGAGATTTACAGTCCTGTACGACTGTTCGATTACGTGACCGTTTATTGTTACTAGCTCGGCAACTGCTTGAAGCTCAGGTTGAGCCTCGATCAAAGGAGCAAAGAGTCGATCAGCAAGCTTCGATGCCTGAATGTGAGGTTCGGTGCTGTGTTGCCAAGAACCATACCTAAGTGCCACGTTAGTCGGACGTCCCATATCCGCCGGAGTAAGCAGGACGTAACTGGTCTGCCATGTAGATCAGCAGAAAGAGGAGGAGACCGCGGTCTCCATGCGAATTTTGCTGGAGCCCTAGTTCGTGTGCGACATAAATTGCCTGTGAAATCATACCCTGGGCATAGTATGAAGTTCCAGAACGAAGGGCAAGAAGATGTTGCAGGAAATATGACAGACAGAGGTTCAGCGTTGGTTGACCCACGAAATATTTCACCATGTCAGTCGAGACCCCAAAGTAGAATCGGCCACTACCGAGCTCGCCACTTGCCACAGCTCCAAGAGCTAGAGCTGCAAAGATCAACGCAATGGTGTCCACCGGTAAACGAGTCCTCGTAAGCATCATTGAGATACCCCTAGGCGACAGGTCCACCAAGGTGTCCAGGTAAAGGCGAGACACGGCGTGTAGCTCTTCAACATCAACAAGCCCAGGGTCTCGGAATCCCAGAAACTTTGCTGAACACTGCAAGAGGTGTCGAACTTGCATCGAGCTTAATGGCAGCTGTGGGCGATCGTCGTCAAAATCTTGATGAAGGGCGCCGCAGCCATTTGCAGGCCCGGGCTTGCATGACTGGGGTTCGATTAATGGACAGTCGAACTCATAGCCTGTGGCGTTAAAATCAGTGTCTGGTCTGGGTAGTAGAGTAGCTTCACCTACCGTGTTGTTGTCTCAACACGTCTTGCACGAGACCTTTGAGCAAGTCGTACGTATCGCCTGGGGTCTTCTGCCGACACACCGGTGATCTTCTGGGCTCAGTCGACTCGCAGTCCGGTGAGGCTGTAACATCCGTGCTGTAAGGCTGGCTTTGTCCTCGCCCGATTGTAGTTGGCGAGACCGAAGGTTTTCGCTGATGCCGTCGCGGTCGTGCTCTGGCTCGGACATCGCAAGAAACACCTGACCCGACGCACTGGCGACAGGGATACGGGGGCTCGCAACGACGTCGTGTAAGCCTGCAACGCTCACACGCTCGAGGTGTCCGCCTGAAAGGCTTCCGCATGCTCACGACATGACTGTCCAGATCCGATGCCTGTGGGTTTCCCTGGGACATACTAACGGATGAGATTTGGATTGCAGAAGAGAGTGAGCGACGGTGAGCTGCCTCCTCGGGCTGAGGGGTTGGAGTTTGAGACTTTCCAGCCGCGGGGTCTCCGTTGAGGGCTTGATCCACAGTCCTTGATCCGCAGCCCGGTCATTCCACATACCTGAATAATCCTCACCCTGCCTTTGACTTGTCCTCCCAAACATCAGCTTCCGCATGAGTACGATCTGAAGACAGATGGCTTGGAAAAATTTGGTCCATAGAGCGAGTTTCATGATGATCCCACGTTAAACAAAAGACGAACTCGAAGGATACGGCACTGGTCAACGACTCAACGGTACTCTCCGTAGCTCCTCGCCGCAGCTCCTCGCCGCAGCTCCTCGCCGCAGAACCTGTTTCTGCCAAATACTCCACAAAAGGCGCCGAACCCCAGGCCGCACGGGTGGATATACTCTAAATGGGGCCAAAGGAAATGCTATTCTTCGTGGTTTTAAAGCGATCGTACGCTGATCAAGATGCGGTCTAGACTGTCTACCAAAGCCTGCGATACTTCTATGAGATTCCCGACATTGACTGGACCGGAAGATCTCGAATGTGGCTTCTCCTAATCAATGGCTAGCTAGCAAAAGTTCCACAATCTGTCAGCCGGCTATGTCCAAGCCCTGAGGAATTCCGGCCAATATCTATATCCGCATCCCATCCATGGCCCACTGAAAGCTATATCCGTATGTCTCAGATGCTTTGCTACTCAACCTGGCAGTACGGCCAAAACTGCTCCTCCATCTATATCTCTCTGACGATATGCTCACATGCCAGATACTGAGTCTGGAACCTCAGCGGATCCTTCTGGTGTAGCTTGAGCACGTCTTTAAAGTTTCAACTCATCCTCAGAACCATTTGCCAAAGCATAGGACAAGCCGCCCTGGGCCTTCCAATGCTCTTTTCAATAAACGCCAGAATCGTCGTGGCCATTTGTGACTATTGGTCTACCTCTGCTAGCACCAACGACATCGGTGAGTATTTGTGTTGGCAAAGTCTTACAGGGCTGACGAAGCAAAACAGCGCGAGCTCAATTGTGTTAGACCAGGTCATGAATTGCGTTCCCAACCACCTATGACCAGCCACCCTTCACTTAGTTAGATGACTATATAGGCATTGCATCCCCTAGGACCTAGATAGAGGGAACAGAGATTCTTTCACCCTTCGTTTCGCTCCCTCAACCTTCAATAAGTTGCAGTGTCACAGGCAAGTACGCGCCAGTTCACGAGACAAATGCCTCGACTGGCCCAACACTAAAGGGTTTCTATGCTTTTACGTTCCTTACGGGCATATGATAGCCGATACCATCAACCGCTGTGAGGAGCGGAATCTTATGAAAAGGTGATCATCTCCTACCCAAAGTGTAACTTGCAGTATGTGTGGCTATAATCGAATGAGTTATTGTATTACACAAACCACTGGTCACATCTTATGTACAGCTTAATGAACCAAGCTCATACTTCAGACATCTATCTAACCTCACTTTCCCAAGGACGATCACTGATCCAGGTAGACACTCGCGACAAAGTGCACCGCTTCAGTAGACGCAGGCTTCAGGTAAATACTATATCTGTCTGACACAATATTTTTCATTGTCCTATCAGATGTTTGCCTGTCTGTTCGGAGATGCTGAATTAGGCATGGACTAGTCTCTTGGCCCAAGAAACGCAGCATTGGTATTGTCTTCAATTGACAGCGACCATTTCAAACGTCCCCGGTGTTCTATGCGTCAACCGACGTTCTCAAATTTGACAGCGGAAATGTGATCATCCTGGGTCTAGAGTTCGCGGGGATCTATGGTGTCGCAATCATTTTTGGTTTTTGTGATGGCAAAAGGCCCGAAGGGAGAAATTGCATTCAGTGAGAAGCAGAGTAACGGAAAATCAGGCGAATAGCGCCCATGGTACCGTTATGCCTTTTAATTCCAACGCATAGGGTCGACAGACAGTATCTAGGATCTCCTTCACCTCCTAGTAAGGCTGAGAAACAAGGGGCTTTGGAGGAAACCACGAATTTGGGCATAAGCTCGACCGCAAAAGATACGGTCGATCTTACGGCTTCGATTGTGCCAGAAGCCTCGGTCCAGGCTCGAGTCACACAGATACAGACGCGTACTCTTATCAACCGTTTCGTCTCACATTTTCATTCTTTTTGTGGTTGTTTTGGCTATAGAATTCTACCCTGGTCTGAGTAGGCCCATATAGATTTGACGGATCGTTCAACTTGTGCCGTGTTCAGAATTATTCACACTCCCCCGAACACAGGAGTCACGGCAGGCGTCTCGTCCAACAACAACTTGCACTTTACCCAATCTTGAGCGGTCATTCCTGAGGTAGGCCACGGCGTTGCCGAAGCCCAGGTGCCAGACTTTCAACTTCTTCAAAAGACCATATATATACTGCCGATCACTGGCATTTGCCGCAAGTCCAAGTCCCGCAGCAATCGAATTCGCGAGGAAATAGGAGTCATTACGGGATTCCTCGATCTGGCGCCGTCAACCCGCTTGAGTCTTCGTCATGGAACTGTCCGGACCCATTCCAGAACTACAGACTGGGGAGCAGCATCCAGACCCATACCTTGCCGACTTTACCAGGCTGGGCCCGCAGATCTTCTTCTACGAACCACGGGGATCAATTCCCTCTGACGCGGACGATGTGACGACGCCCGACCTGATCATACTATGTTCCTGGATGGGAGCGCTCCCAAGATATATCGCCAAGTATACCAAACCATATCAGTCGATATTTCCGCGCTCACCAATCCTCTTGCTCAAGCAGGACGGAGCTGATTTATTCTGGAAGCCAAGATACTTTCAAGGGCACGCCATACAGCCCGCATTATCGGTGATACGGCAAGTTGTCCAGGAAAAACTACCAGGCAAACCTCGAATTCTTCTTCACATCTTCTCAAATGGAGGGTCATACTCGGCGTTATTTCTCGCCGATGCCTATCGGAATTCATCACCCAATAAAGACGAAACGCTCCCTATCTCGGCACTCATCTTAGACAGCACCCCTAGTCTACCTTCTTCCAAGAGTGGACACGCTGCCATTTCGGAGTTGCTTCCTAAGTCTGAACCTATGCGAACAGTCAGCAGCGCCGCTATATGGGCCTTCATCGGCATTGCGCAGACTTACGAAACGCTGTCAAGAAGCGAGAACATAACAATATGGTTGCGAAGGAAGCTGAATGAACCTGGCAGCGCATTCACTCAGGATGGGTTGAAGAGGCTATATATCTACTCGCAAGCAGATGCTCTGATCCCAGCAGGAGACGTGGAATCCCATGCCAAAGAAGCGGTAGACATTATTGGCGAGGAAAGGGTTCAACTAGAAGACTTTGAGACTAGTAGACACGTAGGCCATGCCATGCTCAATGGACAGAGATACTGGAAACTAGTAGAGGATCTGTGGAAAGAAATGACTTCATAAAGGATAGCGGTATGGTATATTTGTTTAGCACTAGATATCAAACCTAATCTTGTTGCGTCCATGTGGTTTCTTGAAGCCTTGCAATGAGTAGGAATCTCTATCAAATGGTCACCTGGAAAACGACCACATCTGGAACGCTGTCGATGTATGCCGTGAGCGTGAAAAAGAAAATCAAAGGAGGACAAACACCAAGATTAGACGCGCAGCTGCTGGTATCCTCCCATCTCAGCCTCGCCGTCCTATTCTGTGCAGCCTCGCGCAGCCTTGCATCAATTCTGACGTCGCTGTGGCGCACCGTAAACAAAAGCCCAGACACCGCAAGATCCAGAACATGGTGCTGTACCACAGCCCCCAGATCTCCAGCCAGCAATACGGAGTACCATCTCTCGCACCCATCTGCCTTTGCGGCTCTCGCTCGTCGCGATGCCCAGCCTTCTCGACTGGCTCGTGTCTGATGAACCCTCCTTTCGCGTCTCCCGGCTTCCCTCGTTGTACTCTGACCTCAGCGTGCAAAAGATCACCAACCCAGAAGGCTATGCGGCCAACACCACCGCATGGACAAGCGCCCTCACCCGTGCGGCCCTAGCAGGGCAACTCCCCGTCGCAGAGCAACGCCTGATCCTACAGACGTCCGATGACCTACTCAATGCGCTTGCGAGTCCCCAGTACGGCCGGCCGTCCGGGCTGGGCCACGTTCTCGACGAGGCCGTCCGGTCAGGGAAGATGATCGACGTGCAGGATTTCCTGACGTCCGACAAGAGCATATACACCAAGACGTGGATTCCGTCCCCGCTGGCGATCCTGCGTTGGGGTCTCCAGCGCGCCGGGCTCGTGGGGACCGGCAGCTACGACGTCAACGGGCACCTGCGGCGTGGCAACCTCGTGCTCGTGAGCGCCCTGGAGGAGGTGTACAACAACCACATTACAAAGTTACGCGGGCAGACCGGCACGAGTCTCACGGACCGCATCATCAGCCGGGAGTCATTCACCAAACAGCTCGACGGCCTCCTGCTGGCGGGAGGGAGACTATCACCGCAAGACGTGTCAGTGTTACTGCGCTACCTTTCCCGCGACAAACAGGTCCTCGCGTACGACGAAACGACGATAAAGTTCAGAGCGCCCCGTGCGACCGCAACAGCCACGCCAGAATCAGAATCAGACGCCGCAATCACACGGGAAGATCGAAGCATTGCGTCTCTCAAGACACTCATCTCGAACCTCGCCACGCAGATATTCATCCTCACTTCGCGCATCGCCACACTACAAGCCACGGCTCAGAATGCAGTCAAGTCGGGGAACCGGACGATCGCCTTGTCCGCGCTGCGGTCGAAGAAGCTGGCCGAGAAGTCACTAGAGTCCCGCGCAAACACCCTGCACCAGCTCGAGGAGGTCTACACCAAGATCGAAGCCGCGGCGGACCAAGTCGAGATCGTGGCGGCCATGGAAGCCAGCGCGGGTGTGCTCAAGACGCTCAACAAGAAAGTCGGCGGGGTCGACAGGGTCGAGGACGTGCTGGACTCGTTGCGCGAGGAAATGGCGAGGGTCGACGAAGTAGGCGTCGTCATCGCCGAGCCACTCGACGGCAAAGCCGTGCTGGACGACGCCGAGGTCGACGACGAATTCGAGGCCCTGGAGCGCGAGGAACGACTCGAGCGCGAAAAGGCCGAGAAGGCCAAGCAAGAAGAGCGACAGGCTCGAGAGGCCGAGATGACCACGAGGAAGAGACTGGAAGAGTTGGACCGAGTGCAGCAAGAAGCTGCGCAGAAGACGAGAGAAAAGCGCGAGGGCGAGACACGGCAGACAGAAAATCAAACCCAAACCGGAGGCGACGCGGTCGAGGGGGAACTCTCGAGAAGTATCGAGAAGATGCAACGCATGGATCTTGGGGGCCAACAACCGCAACAAGAGGGCAGGAAGATGCAAGCGGAGCAGGTCTCAATGTCGTGAAGTACGATGGTATGGACATGTTCGAATTTGTTACGCCCAATAGTCAAGGACAGAAGGCTTTTGATGGGGAATCTGAGAAAAACTCAGAATTAGATGCATTCAGATACACAGCAGGCCTATGTCGTTCCGTTCTGGATAATGTCCTCGTACCATGTACCATTTTTTCATGAAGCATGAACCCGGTACCACATAGAGTGTTCCCTGATGATGTACATGTGACTGTATCTGTATCTGTACTTGTTGTACCTACTTCATGGCCCTTCGAATGTCTCGTCCATTGTTGGATGTGGTAAATCCTGACTGTTATAATCATGTAATCCGCTGGCCCTGCCCTGCTCTGACAAAAGTCCGCTCAGTTAAAGAAACGGCCAGTAGCTGGCTTTTGGACGACCTCCAGCGGATCCATTCTTACCTCTAGACCGCCTTCTTCCGGCGGCTCAGAGGCCTCGTTCAGAGACTTCGACAGGCCAGTAGCCTTTGCATCTGGATCCTGCTGCTGCTCAGCGTTTCCAAACATAACAACTTCGGAATCCGCAGGCACTTGCTCCGATTCAACTAATTGATGGAGGGAGGCAGCTGCCGCCGGGTCACCTTCCGCTGGTACAGAGACTGATCCTGGTCCTGATGCCGTGACCAGTGGCACAGCTCCATTCGGTGCCGTCTCTGGCGCCTTCTCTTTAGTTGCAGACACTCTCTGTCGGGCCTGCTTGATCAACTCATCAAAATTGCTTTTCTGGCTCTTGACATGAGAGTCCCGATCAAAGTCTTTGGACATAAATCCAGTATTGGGCGGCTTCTCCATCTGCCGTCCCAATGTATCCTCCCACACCCGCAAATCCGAAAGTAATTGTCTCTTTGTGACAGGATTGGAAGAATCACAGTTTGCATTCCAGAGGTTCACCCACTCGGTATGCCTTTTGCGCATCAGCTCTTTCGATCCGTGACTTGGGATCCCGAGATCTCTCAACTTCTTCCGCAACCCGGTCTCAGCGAGGAGATTATAGTTGATAAACGGTAACCGGTCATTCTGCTTCAATGGCTTTTGCTGAGTGTAGGCTAGCGTTACGGGGGTCGCGTTTTGCGCCCTCGTAGGCGGCGCGGGCGATGATCCACTGTCAATTGGAGTGGTACTCTCTCCCATTACACATTTATCCAGGTGTGCATTGATCAATGTCTCCTTCATCCTTCTGTGGCAGCACGGGCACGCGACCAGTCCGTCGTTCGGCTCCTCATTATCAGCTTTGAAGTGTGGGCTCTTGGGGACGTCGTCGTCGTCCTCATAAACGCTTCCTTCCTCGCTATCCTCAATTGTGACTTGGGTAGACGGCGCACTTTGCTGGCTTGCGCCTTCCGCATTCTTTTTCGTTTGACTTCGGGTACTCCGTCTCCCCACGCCGTTAGTTGTAGTCTGAGTCACGATTCTCCTCCTCTTCCTAGGTCTTTCAGAATCTGCTGCCTGCAGTTCGGATCTCGATACCGCTGCGTCCGTGGCGAAAGTGAGAAGGCCCTTTCGTGAGGCGGTAAAATTAGCGACCAGTTCTTCCACTACCCAGTTTCGACGCAGCTTGACTTCTTGGTCAGATTCTCGGCATGCTGGGCATCGGCCTTCTTGTGACAAGTACCTCCGTATACATAGACTGCAGAATGTGTGAGAGCAACTGGTCATCATCGGCGTTGTAAAGAAGTCCTTGCACACCCGGCATCTTAGAGAGGAGTCTAGTGGCGCAAGTGCGGCCAGAGGTGTGGGCAGCCAGTCTGTGCTGTCCGTAACCTCATACGGCTCAGGCATCATGCAAAAGACTTGCGACCAGGAGGAAGGAATGCGACAGTTGTCAGCGTGTTGGAACTTTGAGATTCTGGGGTGGCTGCTCGCGGCCTAGAGAGTGCTTCATCACTGATGCCAGTGCAAGATGCGGAAACTGCGCTAGGAAATTGCTTCGCGCACGCGTCTAAAGTGGACCGGAAATGGACTAGCTCTATCATTAGTCAGCACGGTATTTTGTACCAGGTCCTGTAGGTCGTCGGCAGTGAGTATTACAAGTAGGTCGTCCATATCCATACACTTGGTATGTAGGTACCTAGGTCTTTATACCTCGAACACACCTTATCAAAGAGCATTCATGTCCTCATTCAAAATCGTCATCCTCCCGCAACAAAGGGTCTGGCCTATTCAGACGGACCGGACTTAGTGGCGCTTGTTCTAATGGGTTGACACCTGCACCAACACCAACCTTCAAGTTCCTCCTGTTGACTGGGCTGTCTGCTTTCTCAAGGGGATTCATCTCCTCCAGCGTCTCATCTTCAACTTCGGTCTGCTCTTGACCGTCGATGTCTAGTTCAAGTTGTCGTGTGGCTCCACTGAATCCTCTCTTCCTTGCTTCGCCCAGCTTTATCCTGACGGCAAGACGCAGTTGTTCCACGTACTGAGCCATCTCATGAAAATGTTGGATAGAGTCGCTGGTCTTTGTCTCGTTGTACAGCTCTTGGGCTTCGTCCAGCTTTTCTGCTGCGACCTCTGCTCTTCCCAATTTCATCCACTCGTCCGCCGCCATGACATTCCAGAGAGCAGCTTTGCGCTTTCGCGTGCCCCAGCCAGTGTTGCCAATACCAATACGATCAGCGAAACAGGACGCAACCCGCTCACTGACAAGGACATGACCTATACTGCCCACCAGACCAAGCTCCAAGCAGCGGATAGCCCATTTAGCGGCAAGCTCACTAGCGGCCTGGCCTCGAACCTTCAGTAATTCGACACCTAGCAGAGTCGCACGTAATGCTAATGCCGGATCTGAGCACCGGGTCAGATATGAATAATTCGCTGTTTCGAGCATGAGGTCGAAGTTTTCGATTTTGAATTTGGAACTGCCACTGCTTGTCAAGGGATTGAGTAGAGTGGCGACTAAGCACATCTCATTAGCACCGGCAAGGTGTTTCCAGGCTTTGTCGTTTGAATAGTCGGATCGCAGAAGTTCGTATATGGACGCTGCCAGTTTGTAGTCTCGTAGCATGAATGCATAGTCTGCTAGCTTGCGGAGCAGACTTTCCGGAGCATCGTACCGATAGGCGCCTTGCAAACTATCGTAATTCCCACTTGCTCCCGAAGCACCGAGGCTTGTCGCTGACGAGTTTCGTGAGCTTCCAAGCCCAGTCCACCTCTTTGACAAGGACATGAAGCGTCCAGAGATCCCTCTTCGGCGAGATGCAATTTGTTCATTCCACAGTGCAACCCTTTGCTCCATATGATACACTATCGACTGAGCGATGAGCTCACGAACAAATCCCCGAAGCGACGAGACATCGGATGAAAATATGTAGGGTGAAGTCGAAGCATTAAGGTCTATCAGGTGAGCGGTTTCTTCCAGAAGTGATAGTTGTTCCGACGGTGAAAGCCATTCGCAGACTGGGAGTTCCTCGGTGTCATCGTCTGATTCGGTGCATGGCACAGACCTCAGCCTCAACAAATGGCAATGTAGGCCGAAATGGCGTTTCATCTGATCAAACAGGGCAGAGGACTTGCTGAAATCATCCCGGTCTTCATCATGCACAAGCACGTAGTACCGCAGATATTCTGGGTTGGCATACGGGGGCAAGGCATTCGAACCTTGAGCAGTTTGCTGATAAAGATTTCTAAGCGTCTCAATAGGCTGGCTGGTGGAAGAGCTGATGGCAATTACCGCACCCACAGGATGCCGGAAAGTCTCATGCGGGCTCATTGACTGCAGACACAGCAATCGGGCCAGGAAGAGTTTGTAGAAGTGGGAGATTTCGCCTCTGGAAGGGACATCAGCGGTATCGTCGAAACCTGCCCCGGCGAACTGTTCCATCAGCTCCTCCACTTTTTCGAGATGATCTGATTCTGCCGACGGATTCATGCCGTTCCGCACGAGTTGGCTCAAATCCGAGAAATGCACGCCAAAATCTTCCCATGCTCTACTCGCCCCGGTGCTATCTCTGACCACAACTTTGCCATTGATCTTGTCTCCGAAAGGCCGTACTAAGCCCGTGAATCCATCTCTTATCCCTTTACGAACGGCTAATTCGTCTACCTCGGGTGCAGCACAGACTGCGACGGTAGGTGAGAATGCCCGGACAATGAGGCTTCTGGTGTCGTTGTAACTCTCCGAAGGATTTCCCAGAGGACTGTTCACTTGGGATCGACCAAATTTCGCAAATGATAGGGAGAGTCTGCCATTGGGAGAACTCGAGCGTGACAGGACACTCGACAAGGTGCTATTGCGTGACCCTAGGGGTGTGGGACTAGAGGCGCGGAGGGGAAGACTCGTCGTGGACGCAGTGGGAGACTCTTCTCTCGGAGCCGCTCTTGTCTTCTGGACTCCAAGAATTGAGAAAGAAGGTGGTGGTTCCGGGGATTGAAGAGGGTCTCCATCACTGGGCGAGTTCATGGACAGCGGTGGTTATTGGTGATATGTGAGGGAGGCTGTCCTTTGTCGTCGCATGGGTAGGGATAGTGGCTGTGGAGTAGTTGTCCTTCAGGGAGCATATCAATGGGATCCGATACTGCGATATAAACACGGCTTGTCGTTCCCTATTGCCATCACTACAACGGAGCACCTGTAGCAATACAGTGACGGATTTGAAGCGCTTGACAATTGCGCCCGGGACGGGACGCATTCCATGTAAACTTTTGCATCACCGTAGAGATGTGGTACTTTGGATCATAGAACACCAAACGCCTTATCTACGCCATACAAAAGGTGCTGATGCTACTCGTACAGGATCATGTCGATCACAGGTTGGGTCCGCTGGCATGTCCTCATACTCATTGCTCCTCAGCGAAGCTACTTGCCCTCTCCCTCTATCATTTCCACACAATAATATTCCATACAGGACCGAGTACCACCACGAATTTGCTCCCTGGTAAGACTATATCTAGTGGAGTATTGCTAGCCCAACAACGTCCAGGGCAATGAGTGTCTAGGGCAGCCACTCTCTGTGACGAAGTTTGACGACCTGTGTTGCCAATAGCGAAGTATCGGGCCGTGTGATGCCGTCAGGTACGCTTGATAAAAATCTCTGATCAGCTGAGAATCCATGACTTGCAAATATAATCTCCATATCTGTTTCACAAGAAGTCGTTCGAAGGACTTTTTGAACTTGTCATAATCACCGTTTGACATCACGCAATCAAATTCAAATACGAAAGATCCCCAGACGATGGATCTCAGAACGTTTTACCTCGGGTACATTGCAGCCATCAACACCTCCACCGACCTTGCGACGGACCTATGTCCTTACGTTAAAGAGGGTTTGATTCACTCTCACGACGACAAAACGCCCCTGTCCGTCGACGCGTTTGCCGAGATGCTACGCCAGAGCCAGAGAGATCTACCCGGCTTGCATTTTGGGATCGATATGTTGGTAGTCGAAAACGATTTGGCGAAGAAAGACGCAGGCAACATCGCCTCAAGGCTTAGGCTTAGCTACCAACCTTCACCAGGCACTACGCAGGTCTTTTTCGAGCATTGTATGTACCGCGTCGAAGAAGGTAAGATTGCAAGGGTATGGACTGTTCTGGATGGCGCTGGGCAGAAGTGGTTGGAAGAGCATTACGGACACAAAAATTGAGATCTCTGCGAGCACACCATGACTAAAGTATGCCGTCAGATGAATGAATGAATTGGCAAATTGTCGCGATCATAAACATTGAGACTCCATAATATCTTGAAGCGATCACGTTAAAGGGATCGAAGCCAATCCCTGCTGTATAAAGGTGTACATCGTCCAAGGTTCGGGTGCCAGTATCTTGCATGCGGCGCCTGAGCCATATCCGACTCCTAAATCATCTCTACCTCTACTAGTATGAGTACACGCGTAGACAGTACATTACGATATGTCTCCTGCTTCGCAAAAAGCTACTCATCTAGGTACTGGTTAGTCTGGCTGTGCGGGACGACAAGGAACTAGGAGGCTCGGACAATGAGATTGTCGACTCCTCCTACTTACCCACAAGTACTTAATGTCTGGTAAAAAGCGCAGTTCCAGGCCCAATTCCCGGTAACCACTCGGATACAGCAAGCCTTTTGGGCATGCAGTTGAACTGTTCAATATGTAGGTAGTGAACCCCAAGCCAGAGCCCCAAAGCTGCGGTTGCTGGTTGAGCATCAAAGGACTAGCCAATATTCTGCTATAGGCACGTTGGGGCCCATTCCGGGCGACATGGACAAGGCGAAGGGCCAACGGGACTGCTAACTCAGTTGGGTCTAGGGGCTCTTCTCACCCATAAGGCGGGAGCAATTCGCCTAAATTGACTGATGTCACCCACCCTCATTCCTTGGTCTCGGCCTTGGAATCTTTTTGTATGGCCAGCTTTATGAGACGCAGCCCACTTTGTTCAACATCTTCGCTGCACTGCCACCACCTCCTACGTACTCACCCAAGAACACGGTTGCGATACCCGAAAAATCGATAACACAAATTCTCGGGTCATTCTTCGTCATGCCATCTTTGTAGCTCAAGTTATGCTGCAACTGCCCACACTCGTTTTAGACTCGGTTTGTGTTTCAAGGTCAACCACTCTTGCCTGCCCCGAACTACCAAATGTTCTGTCCTACTCGTGCTCGTTGAGCAATGCGACAGCCTCTGTCGAAATCCTACCCAATGAGCGTCGGGCCTGAAGCATCACCACTTGCTCCTGTCGTTTCGCGAGAGACCTACCATGGCAGTGACACCACCGAGTCCGCCTGGGGATCAAGAGCTGAACAGGAATGCGCCAGACTCCCCAAGAGCTGGTCAAAGCAATTCAGAGAACGCACACGGGGCTCAAGACAGTGAGGGAGAGCTTGTTGGCACCATACATAATGAAACATCCAGAGTCCGTTTCTCTGTCGAACTTCCGAGATCTGGAGTCGAGGGCAAAGCGCAAAAAGATCCGACTGTCTCGGCACAGAAGCCCGCAAGCGTTCTCAAGGCGCCTTCGTACGGTCGCAGTCGCGGATACTCGCTCCGACGATCGCTTTTTGCTCAGAACATCCAAAGGCAGAATGAAGACCATGGAGCCTCTTTTGAGCTAGGCACCTCCGACTCTTCCCTCGATTCGCGCAAATCCAAAGAGTCTGGCCATCTCCAGTACACCTCGATCACAATCCAGGAAACGGGGGAGGAAAGCCAGCTGGCGGCCAAAAGTCCAGCCCGTTTGTCGGACCCCAACCTCGACTTGCCACTGTACCGTCGCTGGCTATCGAAACAGAGCTCGCGCGTAACGTTATGGCAGAAGGCCCGGAATACCTACCAGCAAGCCCGTGACAGGATCGCAAAGGCCAACACAATCCCGCCCTCTGTTGACGGCAGACATGTGCGTGTTAGGGTTTTACAGCTAGATTCGCCGCTTGATGAACGCACAGGAAAACCCTACATTGACAACCTTATACGCTCATGTCGATACACTCCGTGGAACTTCGTCCCACGTCAACTCGTTGCACAGTTTGGAAAATTGGCTAATTTCTACTTTCTTTGCGTTTCCATACTCCAAATGATACCAGGTCTCAGTACAACTGGTACGTACACAACTATAGTACCTCTCCTGATCTTCGTTGCGATTTCCATGGCGAAGGAAGGTTACGACGACGTTCGCCGGCATCGGCTGGACAAAGAGGAAAATGAACGCTTGACGAAAGTGCTACACATGGGCAATTTCTCTCAAGAGGATGGCTTTCAAGCCGGGGCACTAGAGTGGCATGAAAAAAGGTGGCATCAGGTCCAAGTGGGGGATATTGTGCTGCTCACTAGAGATTGCCCTGTGCCCGCTGACATGGTCCTCCTTCACGCCAATGAATCCTCTGGTACAGCTTACGTTGAAACAAAGAGCCTTGACGGGGAGACGAACCTGAAGTCAAAAAAACCGCTCGCCGACATAAGTGAAGCATGTCAAGATACCGATGGAATTGCGAATCTCAGTGCCGAGTTCGTTGTGGAAGACCCTAATCTCGATCTTTACAAATTTGATGGCAGGGTGGACATGAACGGGCGCTCGTTCCCTCTTACCAACAACGAGGTGCTTTATCGTGGGAGCGTTCTGCGCAACACTTCGTCCGCTACAGGCATAGTCATTTATTCGGGGGAGGAGTGCAAGATTCGGATGAACGCGACCAAGAACCCGAGGGTCAAAGCCCCGGCTCTGCAAGCCAAAGTGAACAGAGTGGTCGTTATCGTCGCTGCGCTTGTCATCTTCATGGCGATCATTTTGACGGTGGCTTATACAATTTGGCAGAAAACCACTGAAGAGGATTCCTGGTACCTCCAATCTGCCAAAGTCCCTTTTGGACACATCTTGACCTCCTTCATCATCATGTTGAACACCATGCTACCTCTCAGTTTGTATGTGTCTCTCGAGATTGTGAAAGTGGCTCAGATGTTCCTGATGAACGACATCGACATGTACGACCCAGAGACTGATACTCCGATGGAAGCCCATACATCCACCATCAACGAAGAGCTAGGCCAAGTCAGCTATATCTTCTCCGACAAAACTGGAACCTTGACAAACAACTCCATGAAATTCCGCAAAATGACCATTGCTGGCACTGCTTGGCTACATGACCTTGACCTCCACGAGGACGCAGTAGGTGATGGAGGTCGAGAGAAGTTGAGACATAAAAAGCGTGGCGGAAAAGGGAAGGAGATCTCAGGACGGAAGAGCAAGCAATCCCATGCCAAAAGTACCCGCAAATCCGCTGCATCAGCTACCGTGGAAAAGGAGGCCTTGTCCGCTGAAGTCGAGGATCGAAGTGAAAGTTTGCCCTGGAAGGCTTCGAGTGGTCTCGACATGTCCATGGAAACTGGCAACACACAAGATCTGCTGGATTACATTCATCACCGACCTCAGACTGTTTTTGCACGGAAAACAAGATTCTTCCTGCTCTCATTGGCACTTTGCCATACGTGTATACCTGAAAAGAATGATGCAGGCGACATTACATTCCAAGCAGCATCGCCTGATGAACTTGCACTGGTTACTGCGGCACAAGATCTGGGGTACATTGTGACGAATCGTGACTCACATACAGTCACCATCAAAACCTACCCGGACAATGACGAAGACCCCATCTATGAGACCTACGAGGTACTGGATGTTATTGAGTTTTCTAGTACAAGGAAACGGATGTCAGTGGTTGTACGGTTTCCTGACCAAAGGATATGCCTTATAAGCAAAGGCGCTGACAGTACGCTGCGAAAACTCCTTCGTCTTGCTGATCTGGCAAGTTCGAGCGTACAAGCTGCAGAGGGGCGAGCAACACAAAGGAAGAGTGTCGAGGCTCAGGAGGCCCTTCGACGAAAGAGCGTTGCATTAAGCCATAGGTCAAACTCTGTACATGTTGCTGATAGCTCACCCCGAGTTAGCGGCCTTACCATCGACAAGTCTCGCACAGCCCGAGAGAGCATCGACCAATGGTTGAAGGAGCGAGAAGCTGACCCAGGCATCTCACGGCCTCGCCGAAGCTCACAGTTTTATTCGCCGCGGCCTTCAGTACAGTTTGGCTCTCGCGCATCCGAAACCTTTGGCAGCAGAGCACAGTTTTCCTCACAGATAAGCCCACGGCCCTCGATGCAAGTTGAGGGTGTCGAGGAGCTCGTGGAAGAAAGCTTGGTCATCAACGAAAAAGCGGTCTTTGAGCGTTGCTTTCAGCATATCGATGATTTCGCCACGGAAGGCCTACGAACATTACTCTACGGCTTCCGCTTTTTGACAGAGGATGAGTATAGCACATGGAGAGAGATATATGAATCTGCTAGTACAAGCATAGTCGATCGCCAAAGCAAGATTGAACAGGCCGCAGAACTCTTGGAGACGAAATTCGAACTTCTTGGCGCGACGGCAATTGAAGACAAACTACAGAATGGCGTTCCGGATGCCATTGACCGGTTTCGACGGGCAGGTATCAAGCTGTGGATGCTGACTGGCGATAAGCGCGAGACCGCCATCAATATCGGACATTCGTGCAGATTGATCAAGGACTACTCAACCATAGTGGTATTGGACCACGAAGCGGGCGATCTCCACAGCCGGATGGCTAGCGGCTTCGCCGAAATCGACGACGAGAAAACGGCACATTCGGTGCTGGTGATCGATGGCCAGACTCTCACAATTATCGAGGCTGACCGAGCTTCAATGGCGCTCTTCGCCGATTTGGCCATTCGCGCAGACTCTGTCATCTGTTGTCGAGCCTCTCCCAGTCAGAAAGCCTCACTTGTCAAGACCATTAGGACCAAAGTTAAGGGTTCGGTAACTCTTGCTATTGGAGACGGTGCCAACGACATCGCAATGATTCAGGAAGCGCATCTCGGAATCGGTATTGCCGGCAAGGAAGGTTTGCAAGCTGCAAAGACATCGGACTACTCTATTGGACAGTTTCGTTTCCTGCTCAAGTTGGTTTTGGTACATGGCAGGTGGAACTATGTTCGCATCTGCAAGTATGTTCTTGGAACTTTCTGGAAGGAAATGCTGTTCTACCTGGTGCAAGCAATCTACCAGCGATGGACCGGCTATACCGGTACCAGTTTATATGAGCCTTGGAGTTTGTCCATGTTCAATACGCTCTTCACCAGTCTCCCTGTCATCTTTATGGGCGTGTTCGAGAAGGACCTCGCCGCTTCCACGCTTTTGGCAGTACCGGAGCTGTACAACATTGGCCAGAGAGATCGAGGCTTCAACGTCAAGCTATACGTTTGGTGGGCAGGTCTCGCTGCGTGTGAGGCTGTCATTGTCTACTTCATCATGTATAGCATATATGGGATGGCGCTCTTTACGCGAGACCAAGGACTGTACGCAATGGGTTCAATCGCGTATAGCGGATGTGTGGTCATAATCTCACTCAAACTGCAGTGCATCGAGTTACACAACAAGTCGGTGGCAGCAGCCATCGCCATCTTCCTGTCAGTCGGTGGTTGGTGGCTTTGGAATCTCATCCTTGGGGTAATCTATCCTCAAGATGTGATATACAGTGTCAGACACGGATTTCTGGATCGCTTTGGTCGGAACCTCTTGTGGTGGTTGACGCTGTTGCTCGTCATTCTGTGCGTTTGTCTCTTGGAACTCATCATCAAGACGATCAAAGTGGCCGTTTGGCCTAGTGACGTCGACGTATTCCAAGGATTTGAACAGGATCGAGAAGTCCGAAAGCGTTTCGAGGAAGCTGCAGCAGATCTCCTGCAGCAAGGCTGGGATCGAGGCACGAAAAAGTCCAGCCTGGAATTGGCTCGAGAAGAAGCCGAACAAGCGGATCGAGAAGCTCAAGTGCAAGCGCTGTTGGACCGACCACGTGATATGAACCGGAGGAAGCCCTTTGTCAGGGAAGTCTCAAGTACGAGTACGATGCAGGTGGCAAAGAGTGGGCAGGTTCTGCCGAAAGGGGGAGGGGACGGAGGAGGGCAGGAGATGGAAGAAGTCCCGCGCAAGTCGCTGGACGCTGGGGAACTCTTTACAAAAGGATTTGGCGCTGTGCGCAGAGAGACGATGCAAGAATTACGATAAGCATGATTGCCGACTATGAGAAGATGATGATACCCCGGCGAGCGCGAGCACATATGGATACAATGGAGTATGAATATCTGACAGAGCATGGATATGCAAGGTTTGGAATGAGCTACAAATGAAATGAAACGAATATGCCTGCTTATCGATGCGACGACGTATTAATAAGTGTGGAACATGAATTGCTAGCGACCCCAGGGAGCTTTCAGCTACTAATGTACCGTCAAGGAGTATGCATACCGAGTAGGGATGCGTAAGTTGAAAATAGCTTCAAGGACGCAGGTGCCAGGGTTCGTAGCAAGGTCAGGGTACGCAGCAAGAGTGAGACAAGCACAAATAAAAAGGGGGGTGACATACCTACAGTACATAGATAATGCACAGAGTATGGAGGATGGACAGAATTATCGAGCATTTACTGGGTAGGAAGAAATATGTGGGATGGATGCGTTGACCATTTCCGAGGGGACAGAAAAGCGTTCGGCGGATCCATGTACAGTATCTCCCCTCCCTCTCCAGGTGCTGGGAATAACCTAGTCAGTCTGTAGACGGTTGCGTCGTGGCCTGGGTCCGCTGGGTAAACCCTGATCCCTGGTCCCCGACTAATAACCAGGACAACCGTCAGTGAGCTCAGTACAAACCGTATGGCTCCCAAGATCACCACTCCGAGTCTGTTCAGAGTGTGAGCTCTTCTCAGGAACCCCCTTCATGTCGACGATGGCCGTTGTCAGCAGCCCCGTCAATCCTCCCGGACCGGCATGCAAAGCATCCTTTCTCACCTTGCACGAGTGAACTTTAGCTTTTTTTGCATCGGCTTGCTGTTGACGTAGGTGTGGAACCAAGAAGACCACTGACTCACTTGATAGTTGGCGGTGTCGAGATTATTTACATTGGATCTATACTGATGAGTGCCCTGAGCCTCGCGATCCCTCATTCCTCGTTCCATTTAACTTCATTTCAAATCAGGTTGACGCTTTACTTACCATAGATTGAGTGTGCCTGGGAATCAACACCACTTAGTACCCGACCTCGTGTTGTTTCGCCCACTGTCATTCACCGGCTGGGTACTCTGTTGAGTGCCGTAAATGCAAAACGTATGACTGTGCCCATCTTCGTGGTGGCCGCCATCATCTCAACCTCGGGCCTCCTGGCAGGTCACACAAGGCATCCGGTGTGGCTTCATCATCCTGGGCAGTCTCGTGGCTACAATCGGACATGCCATCATGCTGTCGTAGCATAGCGTCTGGGAGGGGTGGCCGGGAGTCTTGTTTTCTTTTGTTTGCCATGCCATTGCAGCTTGGGGCTTCGTTTCGCAACCCATTGCTATTGCTTGCCCGAGCAAAAGATACGCCGGTCCGTACATGCCTGCGCTTGAAGGCGCTCAGCAGATCGGACTAGGCAGCACGGACGGCTCGGGTTATCAGCAACATTGTCGTCCCGGCGAAGCTCCAGAGTAAATGGATATGGGGCGAGCTTTGAAATTGAATGGCTCTGTAGCTCCTCGGGAACAGCTAGGATGTTGGTCTTGCTGTATGGTATCGCGAGTTCATAATCGCGAACAGTTCCGGGAGGGTCTACGGGCTTGAGCTGTCCCAGGACGAGGTTCAGAATATAGGTGATCTTCCTCCCGCTTTCAGATTCGCCTGATAGAGATGGAAGTTGATGAGCACCCACTCTTCTCCCCGATTTTTTGAGACAGACAGCGAAAAGCAGTTTTCTGAGTGATGTAGCACGGTTGGAGAACTAGAAGAGGGCCAGGGTACCGAACAACCACAACAAATGATAGTCCAATTCTTACTGTATCAACACCCTCGTGCACCGATCATCGTGTTTTCCCCATCGGCCCGAGAGGCGCGTCTTCGAGGCTACCATGGTGCATCTTGCACTTGCCATTATCGCTGCAAGATTCCAGGTGTGGCTGGAAGGGAATCCGCGATTTGGAGGCTCCTTGCAAGCTGCTCGGCACGTCAAGGCGCGTGGAGAACTACTCGCGGCTCTCGCGCGATCGACGACCTATTCCTCACTCGGACAGAAGTCCCAAGGGCCCCTCGTTGGTGGATAGTCAAGCCGAGCTCCTCGTTTCAAATGACAGGTCGGAAATTTCTGGCATGTGCTTGTCGGCTGGGGATAAAGTTCCAACTGCAGCGTCGATGACATTGAGTGACATATGTTCCTCATCTCCCGGAGATGAGGCTTCGAACATGCAAAAGCCTTGCGGTTTGTCGAGGCGTGGCAAATGACGCGACGAGGTTCAGAAATCGCTCACACTTCCTCGGCACCGGCTCGACACTGCATTGCAATGAGTATGTGTAACGACTGGGAGTTTTACACTCGTTTGCCACCACGCTACCCCTGATCCTTTCCGCTCTCGGTCCCAGCGGCAACCGATGGGTTCATGAGGAGGAGGATTATTAGTTTAGCTTACTACGGAGTATTGTACCACAGATCATGGGCCTTTGAACGCGTCGAGAATGCCAAGTCCGGGCTAGTCCAGGGCAGGGAAAGCGTCCGTGTCTGCGAGGAGGTGGGCGCCTCCACCACCGTCACCACCAATTGTCGCGACTCGGTACCTGGACTAGACACACTGCAAGCCACCTGTTCCTGGCACTAGCCAGGGGGGAGACAACAAGCTTGAAGCCACCCAGCGCCCTGGACCTGGCGTGGACCGCGATGGTCGAAAGGTGCCTGCATCATCATCGATGTATCGTCACCAGACTCAACCCTGACCAGATCCTCGTCGCCCACCGTGCACTGGTCGTCACGTCGCAATTCGATTCGACATCGAGGTGCCACACATCACTCGTTCACACCCACCTCCGTCCCAGCGCCCGGTAAAGTGTACAGCCACCACTTGGGCAAAGACCGAAGTTTCTCAGCAGGGCGTCTCCAGTACCTCCGACACCTCTCCCCTCCACCGGCTTCCTCTCGCTCACCCCATGACATCGCGCAAGCTGGACCCAGCGGCGGCGATCCACACTTACTTGCCTCTCCCTATCTGTCTCTATCAGCACCTTGCCCGCTACGGAGTATTCACCCTGCCGCTAAGGCTGAGTGCTGCCTCGTGCTCAGATGCCAAAAGACCTGTCTGGAATGCCATGAACACATAGAAAATGCATACGGCATCTACAGCTGGCTAGAGCTGATCTGTGATGCAACGGTTTTTTTCTTGGTACGGAGTATCACGTACATACAAGCTTGTTCGAATGCCTGTCTTTCTTTCTATCAGCCACTGTCGTGACAAAAGTGGCGAGATACTGTTTTTTGTTTGCTGGTGCCGGGCCCGAACTGAAAACATACTTAGCGCCATGACTTGCATAACTTGGGCGAAGCACCGTGCTCGGTTGGATCTTCAGGAGAAATCGACCGTCTCATGAGCTCTTCTCGGCACGGAGTCGTAGAGTACGGACTCCCACCGTGGCCAACAGCACCTGATGCGGGTTTTCCCATTGCTGTTTGAGATTGGTGGGCTCCATCCAACTAAGAAGTATGTACCATAGAGGCACATGTGATGTGAGACAAGCATCAACAGCGGTGAACCTTCTGCCACATACATGATACGGCGAGTTGAGACGACACCAAGCCTCCCGTCTGGACAGCTCTCTACGAGGCACATACGGAGCAGGTGGCCGTTCGTCCCAGGGTCAGGCGCCTAGGAGCTGCTGACGGGGAGTCCTGTGGCGAATCATAGCCGCCGTCATTACTTGTTATGACTTGATGAATGATGGCTGCTTGCCGAGGAGCCAATAGTTGTCGGTTCTGAGGAGAATGAAAGCATCTATCATTAGCAGACGAGAATAGGATCATCGACCACCATGGTTCATTGGTGCCATCGTAACGGGCGCAGATTACAAGCCGATCAAACGGTTTACCATACATCGAGAAAGGATTGTGTAGAGGATTCTCACTGCACCGCCTGACTTCCAGAAGCATTCGAGCAGTGCTTCGGCTACAGGACGGAGGACCACACAAGTTACGACAAGTTGCGACATGGTCTTCGGAGGGGGCTTGTGCTTGTGCGCCCACGCGATTGGGGGCGCCGCAGCCAGGTCGCAGAATGGTCTGCTGGCACATCCTATGAAGCCCTGGTGCACAGATGCAGATGCAGATGGCCCTAAGCTTCTTGCTGTTAGTTCTGTATTTGTGGGCGGCTGCAGGTCTGAGTGACTCTGCGCTAAAAAGTGTCTCGGACGCGTGCCCGACAAGCATCAGAGTCTCGAGCCTCGAGGTACAGCGACAAATCTCGACGGACGGTGGCTTTGTGTCTCCAGGTCCATGTCTGTGGTTTTACGGAGTCCTCGTCGAGGTCCTACACGTACATACAGTAGTTGGTAGCAGACGGTTTGGGCTATGGTGTAACTCTTCGCCGAATAATCGCGTCTGCTCGCTCCTTGGACTCCGTCCAACATTGTCAATCCTCAGATCCTCGGGCGGGCTCTCCACATGGTCTGACGAACACGCCGTACAGTATTCGTACGGTCGGGCAGGGATGTCTTGTTGTTGTTGCAGCGCGCGGTGGGTGAGACCGTGAGACGGACAGGATGAATCCATGTTGTGACATGGGGTGTTTTGACTGCTACTCCCTGAAGACCGAGCGCGTCAGACAAGGGCCGCACCAGGCCTTTTCTCCTGCGCTCCTGGGCTCCTGGAACAAGGCCTGCGATCCAAGCTTCCTTTAGGCGGGCTAGGGGCCTGTGGGCTGTGGCGGCTTTGGAGCCTCAGGCGCCCACTAGCACCTATGGGGGAATTCAAGGAGACTTAATGGCCAGCTAAAAACAGGCTAACTGGGCCTCCACCTGGGGCTTGTGCTTTGGCTTTTAGGCTTCGCTCGGCGGTACCTGCATAGAGGGCCCCAGCGGGCAGGCGCCCGCCCACTCATCGTGCCTCCTGCTGCGGGTCTCGCTCACTTCTGATCCTGGCCCCGGCTAGTCAGGCACCTCCCTTATTGTGTCCCTCGCTCCCGCTACCACCGCCTCTGCCCTTCTTCTTCCCATCCTCACCGCCGTCCTTTAACCTCCGTTCCATCTTTTTTCCATCTCTCTGTCCAACACCTTTTTTTTCACTTGTTTCTTCACTTGCCCTGCCTCGAGCGTGCCTTTCACTCCTTCAAGGCCCTCGACCACATTCATTAGGCAACTTGCGTTTTAACACCATTTCAACTATCTACGGTCCTTACCTGCACCACATACACCCCTTTTTTTCACCATCACCAGCACGAACTACAACGAAGTCATTCCGCATTCGACTGCCTGGATCAGCGAATCGAAGACCTTCACCGCCCCCCAATCCGTACGAACACGAACCGAAAGATATCGATCACAGTATCTCGTCGCGTCGTATATCGCCTGTGAGCATTCCACTCGTTGAGACCACATCCGACCAACACACACCATGGACACGATGGAGCCCATGTCTTCCGACCTCACCGACTTCTCTCCTGAATCAACCCCTTCTCCCATGGCTACTTCAAGCACGCCGCCCCAGACATCAAGCAGCGCCACGTCAGGCCCGGCTTCTGGTCCCAACTCTGCGCGTCGACCGCCTCGAAAGAGCACCCTGACACAACAGCAAAAGAACCAGAAGAGACAGCGGGCTACACAAGACCAACTTGTGACGCTGGAGGCCGAGTTTGCAAAGAATCCTACTCCCACCGCGGCCACGCGAGAACGCATCGCGGCCGAGATCAACATGACGGAACGTTCAGTGCAGATCTGGTTCCAAAATAGGTATGCAGCTATAACGGTGACTGCACGTGGTGTTTTTTCTTGGCTAATATTTTTAATCCTTGTAGCCGTCGACGAGCCAAGATCAAGATGCTTGCAAAGAAGAGCTTGGAGAGCGGTGAAGACTGTGACAGCATTCCAGAATCCTTGAGACAGCTGCTGGCCATGCAGGCCATGGAATCTGGCAGACCCTTTCCTGGTCAACTCTTCCGCCGACCCGGTGGGCCAATGGCTCAGTATGGCAGCGGTGGAATGTTGATGAACGGAGATCCTAATGCTCAAAGCAAAGTTGGTGAGTTTTTGGACGTTTCTTTATTATCGGCGCTTGTTGCCTGACATGTCGACAGTCATCCAGCACTTCACCTGTCGATCCCTGAGTATTGGTAGCTGGCGACGAGTTGGCCAGAATGCGATGGATCTCGTTATCTTCTACTCGCCCGACAAAGCCTGCATCACGTACTACATCAACAACGATTCGGCAGGATATAAGATCGAGTACCCTTTCGCTTTCATCAAGAGCATCCAGTTGGAACCCGGTGACACGGCTCCAAATGCCAATGGATCTCCACCCCGCCCTGGCGGGCTTGTCATTGAGTTGACCAGGCCCCCGAATTTCTTCATGGACTCATCCAACTCAGGAGGGTTCTACCAATGTGGTGACTTCACAGAAGACCAGCAAGCCTCTCAGATCCTGACACACCACTTGGGAGGTCACCCAAAGGTGTTGAGCGGGCAGCTTGCCAAGTTGGTGTCTCTCGAGTCCTTCCAAAACAGACATAACCCCTTCGACATGGGCGCCATGCCTGCGTCTGCACCCGTCTCACCTACCATGGGCATTGTTAGACCTGCATCTCAACCCTCGGTCCAATTCGCCCGACCACATCCTCCCCATGTGGGAATGTTCCAGGAACAGTATGGTGTTAATCCTCACCTCCACCTTGGTCGCATGCATCCTGGCCACAAGCGTCAACGAAGTCGATCTGTGCCCATCGCTCTTGATTTCTCGATGCTTCACGGACCCATGCCCACCTTCCATGTGCAGCAACCCTCTCCTCAAATGACCCCCGACCACCACAACCTCTTCCAGCCAATGCCTCAGCAACCTGTCCAGACGCCAATCGGCCCAACGCTACAGATTGATACGTCTGCTGGTTACGGGATGGATTTCCGTCAGATGCCCATGTCGGCAACGGCCACATCACCCTCAGAATTTGCCAGTCCCGGCTTCTTCCCATCCAACACGTCCCAAGGACCAATGCCTGCTTCTGAGTTCGGCACTCCCCAGCAGTTTAACATGCCTTTCCTCTCACCCTCTCCAATGGTGGACGGTCACATGATGCCGTCTTCCGTTCCTCCCATGGCACACATGGGTCATGCCGATCCAGTTATTGCAGACCACTCACCTCCATTGTCGGCCCTGCATCGGAGCGCGTCGGCCGACATGTTCAGCATGGGCCATGACGGCAGTGGCATGATGGACGAGACATTGATGCTCGGCGAGATGTACTCGAAACAGAGTCTCAACATGCCGATGCCAAGTCCGGGAATTGACGAGAAGGGCATGTTGATGATGAACGACATGTCGGAATTCCACACGCCGATGGAGCACATGGACATGCCCATGACACCGTTTGGCACCATTGATCCGAACAGCTTGCAAGCCGGTCTACATCACTAGAGTTGCCGGCACGAAGGGCTTCCCTGTAACAGTTTGAACGACGTTGATGCCTTTCCTAGAAATCTAAATCCTGCACCATGCTTCTTTTTGAATTCGTCAGCAATTCAAGTGGAACCCGAAAGAGATGGTTTTCCATTCAGCACTGTCCGGACGGCGCCAAAACCTTCTGTTATATATTGCAATATCTCCATGTTAGTATGCGCGGCCCAGTTTGCCTGCTGTCTGATAGCGTGGATAGCTGTCAAGTCTGTTCTTTTTTTTTCCCCCGCTTTGTCTAGTTACGCGGTCATGCATTGGAAACGACTTTTGTGTTTTTTGTTTTGGGTTTCAAATTGTGCGGTTGAGGGGCTTTCATTCTTGCCTATTTCTTTGAACATTGCACAAGATGTAGGTGGGGGTTTCTGGTGGCGAGCACACAGTATTAAAAGCATCAAAGGGGAGAAGGGAGGGGAGAGGGAAAGTGAGCGTGTTTGATATTGGTAACACAAGGGGATTTTCTCTCAACTTTTTTTGACGGTCGATCGATTGTGACATCGCGTCCACAGGCAAGATTTCTCTCTCCTGGTTGAAAAATGATGTGTACCATCTTTCGTAGTATCGCACCGGACACGTCGAGAGTGTTGAAAGAGAGGATTGATTGGTGACTTTTTCTCTTTGATTCCGTCATCAAAGGACCTGGATTGTTTCATATGATGCTCCTTCGGTGTGGTAATGGTGACAGGTTAGATAGTCTACCTAGCGTGTTGATTGATGGCTGGGTAGGTAGGTTCATAGGTTGGTAGCTTCTGTAGTTGGGAGAATACCGAAGAATGAGTTGAGAATGAGAGCCGTCTCGAGGTACATGGTGTGTTTCGTGTTTCTGTTTCAGTAGTGGCAGTAGTGTTTAGTGTTAAGGGTCAAGTCATAAGTGAAAGGGGAGTCAAAGGCAGAGGTAGGTAGAGTGAGTGGGTGAGGTATGTAGAACAAAGAAGGAGGAGGAGGAGGAGAAGAAGTGACGGTGGACGGCGTCCGTGATCGTTTCTTCTCTTAAAAACTAAATACTCTGCTTGTATGTGCGTGCGCGTGTGTGATTTTATTGTTAATTTGTTTTGTGATGTACGGTACTCTCGTAGAAATTGGGTCGTGTGGTAGGGGTGGTTTCTAGTGTTTCCATGGTGAAATTGGGTTATTTGAAAGTGAGATTTGTTTGTTGCAAATCTGCTTCGTAGAAGAAAGGGAAGGGGGGGGGGGGGGAGGGCTGTTTGCGAGAAGATTACTTGTACTCCATCCGTACGGAGTAACAGTTTATTATTTATTACTAGGTTACCTACCTACCTGTGTTTTGATGGAAAAAACAAATTTGCGCCGCGGGAGTAATTAAGAGTAGTAGGTACTTAAAAGAACAACCCGGGAGGAGGCGTTTTGAACTTTTTGGATTTGTGGTAATTTATTATTATTTCTACGCACCATACATACGTAGGCTTCGTCGAGGCCAGAAGAGGACGGTGGTGAGTTATTTACTAGTAGTATGTAACACCACATACAGTATATATAGAGTACAACAGAGAAAAGACAGGAAAGGACCTTGGTTCTACTACGTGGGCGGCATCCTAACCAAGTATTAGGGGGTGGGTGAAGGACCTTTTGAAATGCCCCCCGCGGTAACGAGGAGATTAAGAAGTTGTACTGTATACCTAATTGCAGGTACCTGGTACCTGGTACCTGGTACTCCCGTAGTAGGGGGGAGGTACTGCTTGCAGGGAGTACTCCATACCTACCCACAGTACCTACAGTTCCTAGGGGAGTAAGGAGTAGGGAGTATTAGGGAGTATCAGGGAGTGAGTCCCCTCAGGTAACGCCTACGTACAGTGCCGAGTAACCTTCATTGTAGTAAATTGGGGAAATTTGGCGGTGCGAGGCGCGTGCACTTCACAACCCAAGAAGATGGCGTTGGATGATCCCCGACCCCCGGCACTTTGGGTAATTCATCTCTACATACGGAGTACTTCTCGTACCTGTGCCTTGGGATTCTCAGGTACCTAGTTAGAAGCCCACAAGGAGGGAGAGAAGGTGTATCACAGTAGGCGTGTCCCTGGGAGATGTACTCCGTACGTAAGGTACCTACCTACCTTATGGGCGGCACCAGGAGGTCGGTAGTTAGTTGGGTACTCCGTACCACCCTAAGGTACCTAAAGACTACCTAGAGGCACATATTGTACCTACGGTATGGACCACAACAATCCCACCACGTAAGAGGGTTCTTTTTCTGCTTTCTGGTTTCATCTGTTCATGTATTCATCTGATACGGGAGTATTCGCACTACCGATGAACCTCATCTTCTCTTTCTCTTTGTGACAGAATTCGAATCTCGTAATTAGCCGAAACAAAGTCGTCGTTAGTTTGGCGGAAATGTGTGATTGGTTTCATTTCCCACGAAATTACTTTACCTCTGGGGGGGGGGTTCCCGGGTCGCCGTGGACGAGGCTGAAATCAGGCTGTCTGTGGCCTGTGTGTACATATATATGTAGGTGGCTTGTTGTGGCTTGCTGGTGCGGCTCAGTAGGTGGCAGCGCGAGTATTGTCATCTCCGGTAATAGTACCTCCATGTATATACTTTGATGGTTGAGATTGTGTTGTTGTTGTTATGGACTGCTGGAGATTAATTATTGATTTTTGTTTTTCTCAAGAAAAGAACAAACAAACAAACAAACAACAAAATAACATCAAAACACCAACACCAACACCAACACCGGCCGGAAACCTAGAACAAGAAAACCACAAAAAAAAACAACCACATCAAAACAGCCAACATCCACGAGCTTTATTATCAGCTGGACCCATCTTCAACAACCTTGCCCCCCATCCCATCAGCAAGGTCATCCTCATCGACTTATCCTCATCTCTACGATCCTGTTCCAAATACTACCGCTATCAAATCAAGACAGATGCAAAACCAGGAGGTGAGAGCGATCAAGATGGGACATTCCGTGGATTTTCTATGCTCTGCCATGACACAAGTCTAAAACTCCTTTTCCTCAACGACGACCCTCTCGTTCAACATGTCAACACCCATCTCCTTCGTCAAAGTCTCGTCAACACTCCTCATCACTTCCCTGATCTGCTCATTGTCATGATACGCACTGTTCCAGACAACATGAATATTCAACCTAGACCGAAAAGTCCACACTCGCAACACGATCCCCGGAGACAGAGGGTCCGCGAAGAAGTCCACGTCTGATATTGACACTTCGATCTGCTGCTGTGATCCATCATCCTCACCACCACCATATCTGGTGGACTTGATCGTCTCCCTGTCCAACACGCCTACTCCAGTGAAATAACCCATCGAGACAGATTGACCATCCGGCGGCGTCCTACTCCCCAACATACTCACTTGTTCACTCGTCTCTCTTGCGTCAGCGTACATCCACTCTTTCTGGTCCGCGAGCCTGTATTGGCTCTTCAGGTCTCGGGCGCGGGCGACAAAGTCCTGCTCCTGGGCCGAGGGTACGACGAGCATGAGCATCATTGCGGATGACCAGCATCCCTGATCTCGGTACGGGGAAGATTTGGGTAGACGAGTTCGGACCTCGGCGGGCATGAGACAGGCATAATTCCGCTTCAGTCTCTGATCACACTCATCGCGACCACGCTTTGCCGAGTCGTTTTCGTCCCCGGGTTGACGGTTCTTAGTCGCGCGTGATGATCCAGCGGTGTACATGGCTCCAATGTACGCCGAGTGAACTGCCGCCGTGATACTAATCCCGTAACTCTTACAGGACGCGTACAACTTGTCCAGGGCAGAGACGCTGTACACGTGTCGGATCTCCTTGACGGACCCAAACGGCGCCAAGGCCGTGCTTTCTCCATCTCCTTCCCCGTGGTGCGACGATGGTGACATTGGGAAGTCCACGGACGGCAGGCTGGAATAGTACTTGTCGAAATGCGCCGCGACCCGTGCTTTGGCCTCGGGAGTCGTCTTGACGTCCTCCTCCCCCGGCATGAGAATGTCTTCTATCGCAGGCGTCAGAAGCGAGCACTCATCTCCAGGCCGATAAGAGGACAATCTTGCAGCCGTGGTCGACAGTTCTTTGCCTCCTGGAGGGGAAGCGAGAAGATCAGCGACGAACGAAAAGAGGTGGTCGAGGATCTTGAACGCCCCCGACGCCTCGGTCCGCCAATGACTGATGAACAGGATTACCGTCCCCTTGAATAACGTCGTTCCCGTCGTGTCATCGTCGTCCAGTGGGCGAGAAATGAGCTGACATACTGGCAAAAGTTCGAGGCGTTGCTGCATTTCCCTCACTGCGCTTTGCACGGCCGTCTCAGGTGTCGTAGATGTAGACGCCGACGCAATGAACGTTCGCTCGAGCCATGCATCTACCTCTACCGCCGAAGGGACTTGGTACACTTTGTATGCGTCCTCGACTGTGGTCGCGATGTCGGGAGATTTGAGAAGCCGCAGCGCTTTCCATGCCGTCCGGAAGGCCGAAATTACGTCGTCCCGAGTTACATGTAAGCCGGAGGGGGACGCGATTGTGAAGTCTGCAAAGGCATTGATTCTGATCAGTTCTCGCGGCGACGGGCGAAAGGCCTCGATGACTGATATCAGGCCCTTTTCCGCGAGGTTCAGCGGTCTTTTGAAGTGCCCTGCCGGTGGACCAGGAGATGATTCTGTCCAAGCCATACTGCTGCTGACGTGGAAACTAGACGTGTTTTGGCACGTATATCTTGGGGAGTTGTTTGTATACTGGATGCTTTCGACGGTGTGAGGGCCTGAGAGATTGAGGAATTGAGGAATTGCGATGTCGAGATTGGATACTCTCGGCACCTCTACCCAATAGTAAGTAATTCTAAGGTCAGTATTGTATCTCACTTTTCTCCTTTCACTGTGACTCGTCTTTCTTTTGTTCTTCTTGGGAAAGAGCCGGCGGGAATACTATTATAGAGTGAGCTTTGCGTTCCTTAACAAGGAAAGGCTCTCTGAGAAATGGTTCATGACGCTGCGCCGGCCACAGTGGAATATATTTATTAACTAAACTAGATCCGGAAGCTGGTAGAAAACCACACTCCGTACTTTCGGACGAACCAGCTTCACACTGCATGTATTCACCTTAAAAGTAAAGAGGTAGCCTTGGGAAATAGAGATCTATGATACAGTCATATGCTCATAGTGTCTGTGAAATCTTCCCTTCCCGTTATCTAGACACCAAGCCTACGGTCTCATGTGCTTTTGAACCTTTTATCTCCTTGACTCTTCTTCCATTTCCCCCACCGCGCATAATCGATATTATTTTTATTCAACTGTGACAATCCGACCTTTTACCTTACCTCTTTTCTACCTTAGGTATTGAGATATCGAAAACATTCCCCCTCTGTTCAATCCACACCCCCTAGGCACATTCACATAGGCCATGGAGCCAACCAGGCATCAACTTCTTTCTCTACCTCGTGCCTGGACTCTTCCTCCTCTGCCTCACCCTCGTGGTGTAGTTTGTCAAGGTCCACAGAGGGGAACGATCCGCGATGCAGATCGATAACAAGGTGCATCTTTGTGGAATCATCCGGGGGACACAGATGTGGAAAGTAGCCGTCTTCAGGATCGATGTTGATTGCTTCGAAGAATTTCTGCCTGATTTCTCCTCGATCACGCTCATATCTCTTGTGAAAGCAATTGGCCAACGTGGATTGTGAATGGACGCTCGACTGTGAATGTTAATTGTCCCGTGTCGATTGGGTGAACGCGGCAATGTACTTTAGTCCTTTTCTGGAGAGCATTGGTCCAAATGCATGCAAGACGGCAGCTAGCACAGTTGACACGGGCGATCCCAACCCCAACATGCGCGAGTTGGCGGTGAAGGAATTGGAATGGGCAAAGGTTCAAGTACCAAAAGCCACAGTCACTCGACTAACCCAGTACGAGGATCGAGGTGATGAACGACATGATCAATAGAATCAGTAGGATCATTAGGATCCGTGTCTGGTGCTCGTGTCAGGCTGTCGAGTGCAGATGATGCCCAACTTGGTCATTGGATCTATACCCGCTTCCGATCGATCGATACGTCAAACACCTGCAGAAAAGCGGTGACACCGTCGCCCAAACCAGGATCGCTTGATGCCAGACAACAAGTAAAAAGGCTGGTGTGGCTTGTTCTTGCCCTGTTACGGCTGGAACTGTCAATCGTTGGCTCCTGCTTGAACAAAGGCAAGAAGACTCTCTCTCTCTCTCTCTCTCTCTTCTCTGTTCCAACTTCTCGCAAAACACAACAGCGAGACAGCAGCCTTCTGAGCAGCATTGACTCTCTCCTTCATATCATACTCGAGACACACTTAGCCACGACAGCTTTAGAGAATACTCACACCAGCCATCCCGCTACCAACTAGACTAGTCCAGTACCACCATCTTCAACATCATCAGCATCATCACAATGTCCAGTACAGAGGAAATCACATCCAAATCTCCCGCAGTAGAGAGATATCTCTCCCCCGACAAAGGAACATACCAAACTCCTCCCCCCTCGGCATCACGCAGTGCCTGCCCTATGATTAACGCCCTCGCGAACCACGGCTACCTCCCGCGGGACGGTCGACAAGTCACTGCATCCGACCTAGAATCCGCCATGTCTCTTGTCGGCCTCAGCCCGTCCCTAGGGGCTCTGTTCAGCAATGCCGTGTTTCTCGAGCATCCAACTCCCGGTTCCCCGAGACCGTCACTTTTCTCTCGACTTCGTGCCATCCTGCAAAACCCGTGGGAGCTACTCCCCCATCGTCTCGGCGTACTCTTGCCAGGACAATCAGACACATCCTCCACAGGAAACCCACATACCAAGGCCAAAACACTCTCGCTAGCCGACCTCTCGCTCCACGGTGCGATCGAGCATGACGTGTCTCTCTCTCGCCGGGACGAGGCCCAAGGTGACAATCACACTCCTCAGGCTGACTTGATCTACGAGATCATGGCTTCGTCAAACGGCGATAAGACGCTCACCATGGACGACCTGTGTGCTTTGAGGAAACGACGCATCGAGACCCAGCGGGCCGAGAACAAGGAATTGCAGTACGGCAGCTTCGAACATGAGTTGGGATGCGGCGAGATTGCGCTGATCCTAAAGATTTTCGGCGACGGAGAGAGAGTGAAGCGAGAGTACTTGCAAGCCTTTTTCGGTGATGAAAGATTGCCTCTTGCAGAAGGCTGGAATATGGAGAGGAGAAATTCATGGTGGAAGAGGTTGGGCCTTGTCGAGTTGAAATGGAAGGTTGAGCAGGTCAAGAGGAAAATTGGTAAGGTATAGTCTGCGCGAGGACATATCCTTGGGTAGGAGTTCGAGGCTATCTGTCAGTCAGGGGCGAGAGATATCGATCTGGTGAGTCCTCAGACTATGAGGCCAAGGGAGTTCATGTGAAAGTCTATCTTGGTTATGATGGCTATTGTGCGGTGGCCTTGGTATATTTGTTTAACATGGATACCCAATCAGTAAGAAGTCAGCGTCATTCACGATGACTATTGCCAGTCATGATGTCCCTCGATTTTGGTCCCCAAGGCAGCACGTAGAAGCTCATGGATAGAAATCGAAAGTGTGCCCGATCAAAGTATGGACAGGTTACTGGAGCAAGTGTATGGAATAGACAAGATGGACGTTGACCAGCGGGAAAAGAGTGCCTAATTTGAATGAAGGCGCTCGAATCTCCTTAATGGACGAAAGGAGTAAAGAGAGAAGAGTCCACGTCAAATTGTTCGATGCTCTGTGAATAGTTCTTTCAGAGGGTTCATTCATTTGGGGGGGGGAGGGGGTTAGGGGTATATCGTATGCAACCAGGTAGTTAGGCAATAAGGAATGTAGTTGTAACGTCAAAATTGATCTCTCTGCGCCTGAAACGCCCCCATGCTTGGTTGTACGACCCTCTCTGAGCTGTTACAACGCCGTTTGGCCCCTGCCCCCCCCCACCCCAACGTGCCCCGACCCAACCATCAAGTGTGCCTTTCGAATGATTTCCAGGTGTGGGTGGCAATAAGCCACATGGTGCCATGCTCGGTCATCGGCCCCCGTTTTGGGGGGGGGGGGGGGGGAGAATAATGATGGAATGCGCCGTGTGTTGCTGCTCCGTATATTAAATCATGCCTCGTTCACACTGCTGGACGGCCCACGCGCTCGGCTTCCACGCTCGCTCGTCAACGTTGCGACACGCGGAAAGATTGAATATCTCGTCACATCATAACATCCTCCTTATCTGGGACTCGTTGACGACTTCGCTCAACTTGCCCTGCTCCAACTTCTCCCACCAGTCGAACAGCATGCCCTCGCAGATCAGGCGGAACCAGGGGGTGTACTTGAGGTCCTTGTCCCTGCCGGAGTTGGTCTCGACGTCGGCGAACATCTGGCGCAGCTCGTCGCGGCCGACCCAGCGGGTGTCGCGGACCTCGTTGGGGTTGACGTCGAGGGTGACGTCGGCCTCGACGAAGAGGATGTAGTCGATCTCGTGCTCGCCCCATTTCCCGTCCGAGGGCGCGAGGTAGTGGATGCGGGTGAGGAAGCGGAAGGCCTCCAGCGGCACCTGGGCGGCGCGGATGCCGAGCTCGTGGTTCAGCTTGCGCACCGCGGCGCGCTTGGCGCCCTCGACGTTGCTGACGAGGTCGCCGGCGCCCGTCTCGGACGGGTGCGCCAGCGGGTGCGAGCAGCACGTGTTGGTCCACATGTCCGGGAACGTGATCTTCTCCGACGCCCGCTGCTGCAGCAGCAGCTTCTTGCTGCGCGGGTCGAACACGAACGCCGAGAACGCCCGGTGCAGCAAGCCCTGCCGGATGTTGGTCATCAGGTGGCACGCCTTCTTGGACGCCGACCCCAGCACCCCGTCGTTCTCGTCGAGCACGATGCACACCTCGTCCATGAGCCGGATCTGCTCTTCGTCGTACCCCGCGAGGTCGTCGTTGGACCCGGACGACGACGACGAGAATCCGTCCGGTGTCGAGTTGGGTGCCATGTCGGCGCCGATGAGTCGAGTGTGCACGTCTGGAAAGAGGGTCGTGACATTCTCGCGGGTGATGGTGGTCGTGGTGGCGGTGGCGGACGTGGAGGTGGTTGTCGTCGTCGTCGTTGTCGTCGTCGCCATTTTGCCGCAGGCTGTATCAAGGATGTAATGAGGGTGTGTTGACGTACTCGATACGGCGTACGTTGATGAGGCGCGCTGAAAAAGGGATTAAAGGAAAAAGAGCGGACGGTGAGGCTGAGGTTGAGGTTGGACGATACCAGACCAGCAGTCGTAGTCAGTTCGTTCTTTGGCTGCGGTGAAGTGCAACTAATTGAAATATTTAATTTGTCCCCCCACCAGCATCCCCGGTCACGTGTCAGGGGTAAACAGCTGGTCGGCTTCAGGGCATCCCGCGTGGGTCGACCACTCAGTACTCCTAGCACTCCTCGTAACTATTCACGACATACATGTCCATACAGACTACATTACTGGCATAGGCTGAAGACAAGAGACTCACAGCTTCCCAGACTTAGCCCCCGTCTAGTACTTCCTGCCAAAGACATGCTATAATCTGAGAGGCTCAGCCTTAGGACGGCGCATGCTAAATTGGTGACACTCCTTTCCGTGGTCGAAGACGGCGTAGAAGGCCGGGACGATTCAAGAGTCGAGTTTGAGAAATTCGTTGTGTTGGTACCTATATAGTGGTGCTGTTATGGATGGCTACCAGACGTCTACCGCATTGAACATTCAAGACAAATGATATTGTAGGCTCAATGCTGCCCCTAATGGTACCGACCACCACCATCACATCCTGTCTGAGTAGAACCCGAGTTTTGAGCTTCCGTAATGTGAAGAATGCTGACGTCCTCAAACCTAGTGCATGCGCGCCGTAGGGATATCAATTCTTCACGAATACATGTTAAATCATAACCACAAACTCCATACTCCTCGCTAAGCTCGGATGCTCGTAACAATTGTCTTTGGATCGCTCCAGCCATCTCTATCGCAGCATGCAAAAACCAATCCACCTATACACTGACCTCACCATCCTCGTCGGCTATATTGGAGCTCGAAGTAGATAGTTCCTTCGTAAACTCATTAGTGTCAGTCGTTAACTCTTCCCTTCCACTGGTCTCCTTGACATCGTTGTTCTTGATGTCACTCAGGATCCGTTCAAAGTAAGCTTTTAGAGTTCTTAAGCCTCGCAGATAACCACGGTCAATATCGTGAGGATGAGCTGGCGGTGCTTGAGCGTTGGGAGGCAATTCGTCCTCACCAGTAACACAATTGGCAAAATCCACAAGCTTGATATCGATCGGCGGAGGCCATTGCTTGCCTTCCTTTTTCTTCAATTGTGCTATGTCGACACCATTCCTAGCCGCTTCTTCGGCTTCCCTAGACTTATGAGGCTCGGCGTCATACAGCATAAGAAGCGAACTGGCATAAAAGCGATACCCAGGCAACCTTCTCACCATGCTTTCGAGTTTGGAGAGTTTGTTCAGAATAGTTGGAATATGCCGTGCCACACTGCTATAGCTGATCCCATCATACAGGAATCGTGTGAGTGCTTCTCGAAACTCTCGTCCAGCTTTCAGATCACGACCGTAGTATTTGTCTTCGTAGGTTGCCTTTTGGTGCTTTGCATCAAATGTTTGCATTCCGCATATTCTGACGCCGAGCTGTTGCGACGTTGTCATCTTGCATTTGCGGCGCTGAGACTCCATCTTCTTCTTGGAAGCTTCGACTCCGAATTGTCGAGTGCCCATCTTGAGATCCAGCACACAAGGACGACCCATGCCACTGGTCAGATCTTCCAAAAGGATGAAATACGCTACGCGATCACCTGAGCTGAACGATTGTGCTTCTTTCGGGTTGGACGGAACCATGTTGGTCTCCACCTGTTCTGGTATGTTGTTCAGGCTGCTATTGTTATGGTTTGCCTCATCAGAATAGTCTGGTCCATTTTGATGGCCAGCAGTCTGAACGTCTGTACGAGCCTCGAAGGTTCGGGATTTTGGATCTTGGTCCATAGCAAATACATCGTTTCCAGTGTCTGGGCCGACGTCTGTGGCGTAAGCCTCGTCCTCGAAATATTCCAAGTTAGTAGTACTGTCGTTGACAGACTTTCGCCTTCGTCGCAGACCCATACCAGAATGTCGTCTTTTCACATGAGACCTGGCGTCAGCACTAGAAGCGGTTGAAAGATCGCTGCCAGTAGTTTTTACCTGTTCAAGCTTGTACTCGTCATAGGCGGACGCCGAAGATGAATACATAGGCTCTGTACTTTGGCTGGCCACGCTGGACCTAGTGCGAGAAGGTGCTAACAGTGGAGAAGCTTTTGTGGCCATCTCCGGAAGAGGTCGTCGTTGGGGTTCTTCAGGGGGCTGTACGTTCTGTTGAGGCAGGGAATTAACAGACAGGTTGCTTCTGCGACGAGCGCCGTGGCTACCTTTCAGCCTCGGCATGGTGCTGTGAGAAGTTGGATGACGTCGCAAGTATTGGATAGGAGGCGGTCCAAAGACTTCCCGGAGTATCTTGTCCCTGAGCCCCTCATTAACAGATGTGTTACCCCAACTGGGGGAGTGCTCTGGCATAGACGGCCTGCTAGGTGATCGAAGAGCCGATCCATTCTTATGAACTGGTGTACTCGACATATCAAAATCTTTGCTCGGGCGCCGTCCATGATTAGGGTCGGCACTCCTAGGTCGTTCCGGCAACAAAAAGTAGTCTGAAGGGATGATATGTTTATTCTGTTCAAGGATAACTTGGGGAATGCTGCCGATTTGTTGTGAATGGCTTACAATACGAGGCTGAGGAATTTCTTTCATTTCCTCTGTTTCTGGATAGAGTCGGCTTCCGGCGGCATTGGCCGACCCAGAGCCATTAGCTCCTGATGTATTATCTGTCGAGGGTTCGGTGGTTGTGGGTTGTTTAGGCCCTTTGGAGAATGTTACGTTTAGGACACCAATGTATCTGGGAAGAAACTTGAGCATATCGGGGTGTCTGTGCTCAATTCTTTCATAGAATTCATTTTCTCTGTTGTTTAACTGTTTGCACACAGCACGACGGGAAAACCGGAAGATGGTCGAATGACCGCCAACCTGATGTTTGTAAGGCTCAAGAACAACCTTTGCTCTTGTATGAGGTGCACGAGCATCACTTGGCTTTCTTGACAGCGCGCTATGCTGTGTAGGCGTAGTAGAAATGTCTTCGGCTTGACTGGCCGTCGCGTATTCGTCCCCAGACTCGAGCTCGGATTCCGAAGCACTGACGATGGCACTGGTTGGGGTTTCTTCAACTGGGGAGAGGGCCGGAGAAGGAAGATCTGTGTTTGCATCTTCCACAGGCCGATAGTTTCCATGAAAAATCTTGGTGTCATTCTTCGATACTACCGAGATGTCGATGTGTTCGGTACCTCCAGGAGCATCCACCCCCTGGTCGGTAGTCATGCTTGTATTGGCACGAAGCGCCCTGACCGAAGCTTTTGCATGGGCGGCGACTTGGTCGGGAGAAGTGAAGCGTTCAATCTCCTCAGGCGATGGACCTGGGTGAGGGTAATAGACAGCTGCAGAAATGTGCTCTTCTTCATCCTCGCGAGAATCTGAAGGTTTGACATCGAGAGTTTTGAGCGATGTGTCTGTTTGAGCCAGCTGCAGCGTCTCGTTTGTCTTCTTCCGTCTGTACGCCCCGCGAATTTCTTCGAGCAGATTCGAGGGTACATGGGGCTGTTGGGCCAGGTCCTGCTGTCGAAAGTATGGATCGTGATCATGGCTGGGCGACGCGCCAGCATGTGAACTCACAGGTGCAAACCGAGTATCGGTCTCAAGAAGTGCGGAGTCGGGAGGGTCGAAGGAACCATTCGAATTCCGTCGTATCTTCTTCACGTCGTCAAACTCTTGAGCACCAGCAGGGCCTGCCGGTTGGGGGATTGTTTTTGAATGCTCTTTGGTCTCCGCCATCTGACGGCTTAGTTCGCCGAGGTTGGTCGAGGGACGCTCAGAATCAGAGCGAGGGTCGAAAATACCCATCATATGGCTTGCCTTTCTGCTACGAGCAGTCCCGCTGGTCTCCGGGTTCTTGACGGTGGCCTCAATGCTTTTGTCCACATGTTGACGGCCACGACTAACGCTACGCTCTGTGCGCGACGATTCTTTCATGACCGCCCTCAGAGAATTTCCCCTTTCAACAGAACTATGGGTCAATGTCTCCTGTTGGGATCCCGGCAGCTCAAGAGCACTGCTCCTGACATTCTCGTTTCTGCCATTGCGGCCCTCCATAGGCTCAACACCGACATGAAACTTCTTGGTCCACGGATGTCCATCTGAAGGAAGTCTCCGGAGACCCAGGAACGTTCCTGAGGGCGGTCGAGAGGTTGGAGCGGTCAGGTCTTTTTCGGTAGCAGAATTGGTTCTTTGAAGCCATTCGATATTCCGCGGGGACTGCGGACGAGCGGTCTTGGAGGACTCTGGAGGAGAGACGGGGCGGGCAACCATGGTCGACATCTTGAGGGGCACCTTCCGTGGTGTAGAAGGCAAGGAAGATCGTGTCAATTCTTCTGCTGGAGAGGAAGGCACGCTCTGGTGTGATACATAATGGTCGGCAAATATGCTGTCTCTTTCTGATAACGGCGGTGTCTGTTCGTCAAAGGTAACTGCCCGAGAGATCTTGTGTGGCGGGCTTCTGCCATTATTGTACGCGGGCTTCCCTTTTGTCCCCCGTGAGATGGGTATCGGTTTTGAGCTCGACGAGGGACTGGCAGTGGTTGAAGGAAGACCGGATTCATGGCGGAGAACACGTCCATTTACCGTGGACGCTTGCGCGGACGGTCTTCCGGCGGGAGCATTATTTGACATGGAGAGGACATTGGGCAAGCCGTTGAGAGGCAAGGGTATTGCAGGCGTGTGGCGACGATTCGCTTAGAGTGGTCGAAGGGCCCTGGAAGGGGACATGCGGCGGGACAGGAGAGAAGACAAAGCAGCGCAGCTTCTTGCAACGTGTCGCAGACAAGGGTCGAGGGAATTGCCAGGTCCGGAAAGGCGGTCTAGCGATTGTTGAAGATGAGGTCGCGAGCAGGATTTGAGGCACGTGGAAGAGCGAGAGGCTCAGTGTCGAGGTGGAAGATGATTCGGTGGCGGCGTGTTTGGGATGGCTGATCAAGGGCGACGAGCACAGACGTCAGTGGGCGCAGAGACTTCTGGATGTTTTGGTGCCTTGCTCAACAACAACACGCATGCAGACTACTCCCTGGTAGGGCCGCGGAAACTGTTGGCGCTGACCGGGCCAAAAGGCGAGCAATCAATGGACTGAGATGGCGTTACGGAGAAGCGAGTACAGACTCATCAGTACGAGCGATAGTGGGAGGTGGAAGAATTTGATTCGATTCATTTCACCCATTCGACGCCCTCCACCTTTTCGCGCAGCAATGACATAACTTCAACACCAGCGACGCACATTCCCGACACCCTCCCTTCTCTCCATCGACAGCTTCATCGCACGAAGGCGTTGCTCCCTTCACTTCGGGAATCTGTGTGTATACACGGCCCCGTATCCTGACGCCATGATTTCGCAGACTACCAGGGTTAGGTACATCTGGGATGGACTGACCTCTCCGCTAACATCCGCAGACAGTCCTGTATTGCCTTTGCTCGTCTATTTCGGACCAATCCCTACACGCGATGCTTGCACGTTCTTAACATTGCATACGGCTTAAGACGACCGGGTTACGGATGTCTCTGCCCGCATACACCCTATCCATGATCGTCAAGCTATGTCGGCGGCCCGTTATGGAGATGCCGCATCCTCCCTGCAACTCGGCACAGGCCAGCCTCAAAAAGGTAGAGAAAGCCTCCGTAACCGCAAGGGTTAGGCACAATCGACAGGGGGAATCATGAGCTGAAACACCAGAGGACATCGAGATGGTACCAGACGGATAAGGTGACAACAGCCACACTGTCGTCAGTCTTACTGCCATTACTGGCAACCAACACCTTGATCGACTGACACCGCAACTTGGTCTTTCCAACCTCCCTTCGTCCCGTCAATGCCCAACAGTTACACAGACAATTCCTGGCCCACCAGAGTCTCGCTCAAAGTCCACAGTCTTTCGCATCCTTGGCTGTCCGTGTCCATGCTTCTGCTGGGGCAAATTGACAATCGCTCAGGCGCAGATTGTTGCCTTCAGAAGTCGGTGCTAGCAGACCGGGCTCTGGTGCTGCTCCAGTGTTTTGAATCGGGGTACAGACACCTTTTGAGCCTGAACGAGGGCTTGACGAACCCATACTCACTGTGACTCGATAGCTCGACTTTGATGCCTCCTGGGTGCAAACTATATGGCTTGATGCTATACTAATTGGACAATGAACGGGAATGCTCCAACGAGACGAGAATGGCTGCTGTTTTGGACTGTCCATGTGCGGCCACTGGGCTGTAAATCCCGCCTTTTCCGAAGCCATAGGCTCCCATGACTGCCAAATTTGCACGCTCACTTTCTGGAAGATCTTTCTGCTCTTTGCTAACATTGGCATCAGAAAATCTAACAGGTGAGAACCTCTGGCCACCTGACGATAGATTTATGATTCTCACAGCGCCGGCTGGGGGGTGCTTCACACTGCAATGAGCTTCGGGAGAATCAGACTGACAAACAGGAAATGGCCGATGTGATCTGTGGCAAAGTCTGTCTTGCTGTTGTACGCTCTTCGTTGGAGGCCTCGAATCCACATCAAACCGGCGTTGCAGATGACAATATCAATCTCCGGAGAGTCCTTGGTGCCGTTGATCTCACTTGCTGCCTTCTTTACCGATGACACTCTGGAAAGATCCACTTGCAGGTGTCCCCAGCCGACCTCAGGATGGGCAGTCCATGTATGGTCCATCACTGCTTGCCGTGTGTTCTCCCAGTGAGGATCGAGTGGGAAGGCCCGTGAGCTGCGAGTGTCTCTGCCATCCTTTGACCCAGTCCCTTAGATCATGATTCTCGTTACGTGAATGGCCTTGTTGGCGATCTGTTCTGCGAAGCTTGGGGCGACTTCTGATGATTTGGTAGGTTTGTTGAAGGTTTGTTGCGTCGGCATCTTTCGTCTCTCTGCCTTTCTTCTAAAGATACCTTGAAGGGTCGTTTGGTGCGACTGGACACATAGTCCTGCTCTGTGCCAGATTCTTTGAGCTATTATACAGTCTTCTCGGGGACACTCCTGACATAAATTGGTCTCAATCTTCCAGCAACCCAAGGTGATTCAGGGTTGACGCTGCAAAAATCGGTTCTAAGACGGATTTCCCTACGGGGTTATTGCCCGAAAATGCGTTCATGGTCCAACCATCATCTTCTAAGTCGGCCCAATGATGCCTGGGGAGGGTGCTCACATAGAGGTGTCGGTTTGGTGCATCAGGGTTTCCACTTTAGCTCTTCATGGTGTTGACCTGCAAGTCAGACGTGCTTAGCTTCAGATGCTGAGTATGAGCCGTATTTTACTATTTTACTAGATACAGTTCGACAGAGAACTAGGTAATAATAAGAGTTCCGAACTCTGCTTCCCCTCGATATCGCGAGTCTTGACGATTGATAGTTGGCGACCGGAATGACGGCACGTGATCTGGCGTTCAAGCGCGTTACGGGACAGACGCGTTTTCGTTCGACCGACTCAATGTTTGCAACCACGTCCATGTTCATTATGTCATGACATTGCCACGCTTCAGGTGAAATCTTGACGAATGCCTGCCGAGATAGCGGATTCGGACGCTGAGTCCGACTTCAATTCGCCCGTCAAGAAGACAGTGGCCATGGAGGAAGTGGCCGGCTTCGGTGACGGTGCGCGCCCAAGCCAGGTCTCATTATCAGGCTATGACTTCGATCAATTCCTGGATCCCACACAGCGTCTTTCCTCTCTTTCCCCTGGCCACGCCAACGGTGCACCCACCGCTAGTGAATTGTTAGCAGGCCTGCCCAGTGAGAGCTCGCCGATGCAGATGGGTCGCGGTTCCGACGCATCACTGGTGTATGGCAAGAAAAGAGCGCATAGCGACTACCAAGACCCCTCTGAGACTTTATTCAATGAACCCTCTTTGAAATCAGCAAGCTCCAAGCGGACAAAAACCTATGCGCACTCTTCGAAGCCTCGAGGCATTTTACACGATATTGATTTGTTCGCGCCGTCCGCGGAACCATACTCAGGAGAAATCCATCGCTCAGAATCCGACCAAAAGACATCGGCGTTAAACGTTGACCTCTCCATAAAGACCGGTCCGCCTAATGGGGCAGTGAATCTTTTGGGGGAGTCTTTGACAGGCTCAACGCATCGACTTTCGACTTCCGTGGCCTCCATGGGTCAGTATGAGTCCATCAATTTGGACTTTCGAGGTTCGGGGCAGGGCATGGATATCAATGCCAACCCATTCGGTTCACTCAGTCAGATTTCGAGTCGCGAGCTGCAACTTCCAGACCATACTGGTTCTGCTGACGGCCTGTCCACCAGCGCCGAGTACCAGCCCGAAGAATATAATCAACGCAACCTTGAAGTTCTTAAGAATCTCGACCTACCCCATCAGCATTTGTCTACCATGGAGCTGAGTTCGCCTCGTCCGCTCTTGCCTATCAATCCCTATCGGATCATGCAAAACGACGGCCCAACGGCTGAAGTTACGGAGGAAATCGTGCAAGCGGCCGATAAATGTACAGATGCACCAATAACAATGGCAGAGCCTGCAAGTAATGCGACTGTCATTGAAAAGCCTCCACCTAAAAAACGCGGACGAAAACCTAAGAATTCTCAAGTATCCTCCAACACACCGTTTCCTGCAGTTGATGATGATATGGACGAACTCGCGATGCACGAGCTAGCAACTGTGAATCGATCTCGACAGGGGACGGTGGACTCCGTATACTCGCAGGCTTCTCAAGCATCTACCGGGAAGACATCGACAAGGAAACGCAAGAGACAGTTGTCAACACAGGTTGGCGATGCAAGAGAACAATCGAGACAGTCTACTGAACCATCACCTGTCAAAGAGCCAAGTAGCGAAATGATTCTCGGCGACGAAGCACTCATTGGCCTACCTAAGGAGCAGTATAAGCCTCGGCCCAGCCGTTCTCGCTCCAAAAGGGTGGCTGACGTCGAAAATACTGATTCCCTCTGTCTTGAGCAACAGACTCCTGCCAATAGCAAGATGGTGGATTTCGAAGATCCGAAAGAACAGACGCCTGTTGCCGCCTCTACCAAGCCGAGCGCAAAAAAAGGACGCAAGAGTAAAGTGAAACGAGCAAAGACATCTGCCGCGGCCTTGCTTAAACGTGGCGAGCCGATGCTCAGCGAAGGCGAAGATGATGTTGTATGGATGGATACAAAGCCTGCCCCAGTCAAACTGGATCTACCTCCGGACTTGAAAGTCCTCAAGAAAGAGGACGACGTTACGGAAGATATCGAAACCGCAAAAGATCCCCAAAAGGTACAGCTGCAGGAGATTGTTCAAGGGGGTAAGGTGTCGGTGGAGATTCGAACAGACGCTCCGGCAGAGGATCAGGAGCCCGTGGTAGTTCCTAAAAAGCGTGGCCGCAAACCGAAGAAGACACCGGCCGTCTCCGAAACCAAAACCATCGAGGAACAGGACGAGCAGGTCGACAAGAAGCGAAAAGCACTGGCAGAAAAATCCGGAAATATGTCTAGTGACCATCAAGACCAAGCCAAAGACGATGACCCGAAAGTCCCGACTGTATCGCCTCTATCCTCTCCTGAACCTGAAGAACAGCAAAAACCTCTAGAGCAGACCCCGAAAGTCGCTGTGGTGCTGAATCCACCACCGAAAAGTACGCCAGATAAACCTCCTTCGACGCACTCGCCTATCAAATCGACACTTCTCTCAGCTGGAAAGAAAACAATCTATCGTATTGGCCTTTCACGAAGACAGAATATCCCAAGCCTCCTTCGTAAGGTTCAACGAGACAAGCCTCCCCCGAAAATTGTTGTCCGTAAAGAGAAGGAGAATAAAAAGAAGAAAAACGATTGTTCTGACGACGAAAATACGGATCGGAATGAAATGAGAGGCGCTGATGGCATGTTGGTCGAATGGGACTTTTAAAACTTGCCGATGATTTGACGATGACGAGTGTTTTTATGACTTTACGATTGCTGATTGTTGCTCCGTCTACATGTAGGTCCCTAGATGGCGTTTCGCGGCATTTGTGTTTCACCTTTAGATGGTCAGAGGGTGTGACGATGACCATTAATTATGCATGGGGTCACCGATGCTTCACGACATGTTTAGTTTGACGAGCTTTCCAGTGGAATCACAGTCCAGAGATAGAATAATAAGCTGGCTCAAACGCGTGGCTTTCTCCAGGACGCCATGCAGACACATTCACAAGTACCGAAGACACCTTTACCAGAGAGTCAGATTGCTGGAGTGCGTCCTGTTCCGACACACGGAGTGATCTGTAAATGCTAAGTACTGCGTATATTATATTATAGTTCTACATCTACGGTTTGGCAGAGGAGCCAAAGGTCTCTCTTGCCGAGGCGTGGGCCAATATATGGCGAGCCCTGTCCTGTCCGGAAGACAGACTATGGCGGGAAGCTATTGTATATGTTTGGAGGTGGTTTGCTCCCGGCTTTTCCTTCTGCCGGGGCATGAGAAAAAGGTGGAAATCAGCCAGCAATCGGTAGGTACCGCGCAGTGTGGAATGCTTTTGAAAGTATCCGTAGCGGACCTCACAGCTTTTCGGCGCGCTCGCGCAATTCGTCCGCTAGCCTTTCGAGATACGCTTTCGCGAGCGCTTTGGGGATGCTCTCTGCCAGCCCCAATTCAGGTCTGTCTTGTTGCTGCTGTTGATCGGCAGTGGTTGTCGCCTCGGTGGCACTTGGAGCGTCGGTATTGGTAGAGGTTGATACAGAAGCAGCAGGACAAGGGTGGTGATGCTTTGTTTGGCTGTTGCTGCTGCCCAAGAACCGCCGGACAATCTTTTCTACATCTCGTCGTCCATCTTCGTATGCGGCCAGGTCGCGGTTGCCGTACACATCGCGGCCGGCGGCGTAGTTTGATTGTGACAGAGAGCGGAAGAAGATGTTGAGGGAGATATTTATGCGCGACAATGATGCTGCGTCCATTGCGGCGTTGGACGCCACCGTGGTATCTCCCGACACCGAAGTTGTAGCTGGCGTCAGGGGCGACGAGGGTGTATCTGAAGGCTTTGGCTGTGCAGCTGTGGTCGTGGGCAAAGGTGTGCCTGAATGGGCCCATAGCGGAGGAATGAATAGTGCTTCGCCGGGTCTGAGGATGGCAACATATGGATGTGTATTTGGTATGGGTTTCAGCCTGTCTGCTTCCGTCTCCAGATTATCTGACGGCTCAAGAATGTCAATCGTCGAAGTTGTCGACCCCGCGGGAAAGGAGAGGTGTTTGATGTCTTCGGGAGGGAAAAGGATGAGTTTCCTGGTTCCACGGACCTGGAAGAGGACGTTTGCCATGACATCGTAATGGAGCCACATGTTGACATTCGCGCTGATACGCAAGGGGCTGCTGAATTTGTGCCTGCGAATGAAGTCGAGGGTTGATGGCAAAATGAAGTCGTCGGCGAGTTCGGGCCAATCGGCGGAAAAGAGTGCTGGGACTTGTGTCGGCTTTGTGCTGGATATCGAGCGTAGATACATATGTGCTTGAGGGTCGGCGTCTAGGATTTTGATGAAGTTGTGGAACGGCATTGTGGTGTAGGCAAAGTCTTTGCGCTGAAAATTCATGGTTCGGTTGGGCGAAGCGTGGATGACAATGTTCCGCGAAGCTGGAATTTTGGAGAGGAGATAGGCGGGAGTCCACTTGGTGGTACAGGGTCCAATATCGATACAAGTGAGAATTTTTGGCACGCCGGCTTGCAGGATGTCGATGAAGTCCTTTTCTAGGTACAGACTCACACAGTCAACTGGAGTCAGAGGCCGCATTGAGCCTTCCTTTAGCCCGCCCTGGCCTGCAGGTAGTGCCTTTTGTTGCGTAGGCTTGACAAGAGCCCATGGGGTAACGTCTCCTCCTTCGAAGAAGTACAAGAGCCAGCAACCTGGGTTCCAGTAGGCACCAAAACTGAAACACGTTGCTCCTCCACCGACAATCAGTGTGGCTCTGTCCTCGGCACTAGCTGTACGATGGGTGGAGTGTCCGATCAAGAAGGGCCGAGGAATGTTCGGGTCCATCCGCGGCAGGACACATGCAACTCGCAACTCCATCTCTTTCTCGAATTCGCCGAATGCTGAAAAGCTTCCAAGAATGGTAAGTATCTCGTAGTCTTTTGGTATGCAGCCATGTCTGGCCACTCCTCCGATAACTAAGAGCTCATTCCTGATGACACTATAAGACGCCCCGAGCCGAGAGAGCCATGGCCAGATGCCAGCTGAGGTGTCGAGAGCGTTTGACTGTTTGAAAGTGATGCCAGCAACAATATTGTCCCTGATGTTCAACCGCCATCGCCATAGACCCTGGCAAATAACACCATCATGTCGCATACCTCCAAAAAGGAGGCCATGGTTGAAGCCGAGTCTGACAAAGCTTGCTCCGAATCGGGGCATGGGGTCTTTGAGAAGAGAGCGAAGAACCTGCCAGCCATTCTTTTTATCCCAAAGCAGGCAATCGGTGGCGACCTTCGTGGCCGACGTCTTGCCTCCGAAAACGACAACGCCATACAGCTTGTCAGGTAGGACTACCGCCGCGGCGCGATGTCGAAACCGAGGTTCAGGAAGGTCATGGATCCTTTCCCACTTGGACCCGGTCTGCAACCAGCAATCCTTCATTGGCGCTGAGGGCGACCCTCTGCCGCCAATGAGAATGTTCTGTCCATTTGCAAGCGTCGTAATGGTATGGCAGCACCGGGCTCCAATGTCCTCAGGCGGAATTGAAGGTGGCTGTAGTTTGTAATCACTAGACGCATACACTGATGTGCTAGACAGTCTAGCCTGCAGACCAGTGCCTCCATGCAGGCCAATGGCATCCTCGCCAGGAATACGGTAAGCTGAAGCATGGTGCGTGCGCCCTTCCCGCTCTGGGTTTGGTGTGTACTTGTAAGCAAAGAACTGCGTCAAACCACTGTAGGGTGAAACAGTTCTCGTGGACATGTCGGAGGCAATACTGTCCAGGGAAGCTCGCCTAGATCTTGGTTGCTCGGGAATTAATGGCTCATCTCCAGTCTGTGCGATGATAAAGGCATAGTGTGAGGCGAATAATGCGAATTCTTCCCTACCAGATCGTCAGAAGGGCCCGAAACGGGGCCACGAAAGTGACCTACCATTCGTCGAACGGTTCGACTTCGTCAAGAGATATCCGCTGTGAGGGTGATAAAAATCTCGGATCAGCCCATAATTCCCATAGATTCTGTGTCTCGACCATGTGAAAGCCTGCGCTTTGAAAACGCAGCGTCTGAGTGTGGCATCCTGGATACTTGAGAACAGAACGAAGTGGAGTGCCCAACTTGGAAAAATGCTTCATCATGGTGGCCGTGAACGGATTGTCAGGTCGATCTGGCGACTGCTGTTCTAGTACACAGAATGTGACATCTATACTTGTCAGTGGTGCTCCTGGGCGGGTAAGGAGAAGCAACAAGAATACCTGGTGAGAGTGTGCTTGTCCAAGCGATGAGGGCGTCTGAGTCTTCAGCTGCCATGTAAGTGATGCTGACTTCGGCCAAACAGAGGATCAGACATTCATCAAGGTCAACTACCGCCTTGAGCAGACGTTCCAACCTTCGTGGATTTCGCAGGTCACACCCAATAGCAACGTACTCTTTGCTATCGAACACGATACCATTTTCTTCCGGCACTTCGGCATTGATGGACAGCAGGTCTTTCATTCGAGGAGTGTTACGAATGATTTCTCGCTTGCTGATCATCAGCTCTTCGAAATCGACATCGATAAATTTCGCATTGGTGCATAATTCCCTATCTTGTGCAAGCCACTGGAAAGGAATGGGATCGCTGGCTACAAGTGAGCACGAGAGTCCTATGACACGTACACTGAAGTTCTTACTCACTATCCGCAGCCCAGATTAATAATGACCTTCTTCTGATCCGAAGGCTTTTCCAAGAACTGTCTGACAACCCAGTCGATTGCTCGCATACGGAGCCAATACCCCCGATTAATGAGGGGCGCTCTCCGCTGAGGCTTCTTGACGAAGTATCGATGAAAATGCGGCTGGGGCAAATACAGGCGTTCAACACTCCTCTTCGACACAATGCTGCTGTTGTTGGTCTATGGGGATCCCGGTCAGCTAGACTTGTGCATGCAAAGGCGCGTAATACTTGCACCCATTATCAGGCCAGCATTCTTCTCCATCGCGATCTCATCGTCGCTCTCCTCACGGAGGGAGCTTGGTGGAGTGGCCATGTCACCCCCAGAGAGTCCTGTTGGGATGTTCAATTACACCAAAGTACGCATGTTGTCAGCACAGATTGCAGGAAACAGATGGAGAAAGATGAGTCAGAAGCGCCTTTGGAGTTCAGTCGCTGGTGACGATGCGGGTTGGAAGTAGAAAAAAAGACACGGGCAGACATTATTGGCCCAGTGTCTGGCCTTGGCGCAGAGGGCGCTGTGATTGGCCAGGCCGGCGCTCTTCAACATTTGCCTGCTTACTCAATCTTCTGCTCATGCTTCTACAGATAACAAAGGGATAAATCATCGTGAGAATTACCAGAGATCTCTGCCTGAGCACGTCGCTACATACCGTACGTGATAGATCTCCCTCGCAACAAGTCCGTCCAGGTATTTCAACCCCTCCGGCAGGGCCACCATGGCAACAGCAAACGAAGCGTCCGAGCCGAGCCTCAAAGAAACATACAACGAGGCGAAACTGCGACAGACTCAGCTGGACTCTCTTGATCCTCGAAGCTCTTCATACAAAGATACGCTGCAATCCATCATAGACAACTTTGAACGATGTCGGCAATTGATTCGACAACTCGCACTCTTCAGTCCAAATGAAGAAGTCGAGGACATTGCCACTCAAGATCTACAGTATGTGTGTCCTTTGTCTTTGAAACCACTGCTAACGGAAAAGGTATTTGACCGTGGACTACAATCTGGCGGAGATGAAGATCAAAACGTACAGTGAGGATCGACTTTCGTCGCTACAGGCGTCTTTGGCACTTCTGGAGAGCTTCCTGACCCAGCTGGACAACTATGGCCTCCTTGACTCATCCAATCACAAGCTATACGAGCGATTCCTTGAGCAGCGACACGGCTTCAGGATAGTATCCTCCAGCAACCCCGAAGAAAAGCGCAAAATCAAGATTACTCGATTTCAGGAAGAAAAGGCTCTGAAGCAGAAGCTCGAGGTTTGTGAGTATTCACCGCGGATGACTTTTACTAACGAAACCAGTACTTGAGAGGCGAATCTCAGAAGATCAATATTGACGACGATACCATCCGGAATCTTTACCTGGCTGAGATCGCCCTCTCTGTAAATAGGACTTTTTCTTCGTTAGATATGATCACCCAGGAGCTTGATATTCTGTCTCATATGCGCCAAGTTCCTACTCAGGCCAGTCCATCAATAGACCAGAGAGAGCCAACTAGATCTGACGGATATTCTGAACGTCTGGATGGACCCATGACAATGGCAGGGCTAGGCAAGAAGGGCGGTCCTTTGCTCAGCTCGAGTGGAAAACCACTTCAACCTTTCACTCTCACCGACAAACGCACCCAACTTCAACAAGGTGTCTTCCGATCTGGTCATAATCTCCCCACCATGAGCATCGATGAATACCTCGAGGAAGAACGACGCAGAGGAGGCATTATCGAAGGGGGAGGTAATGCCAATGCTGCTCAGCCGGAGCCCGATGAAGACAACATGGACGAGGTTGATGCTGCCACCATGAAGGCTCGACAGTGGGATGAGTTCGTCGAAGCGAACCCTAAAGGCGCTGGCAATAGATTGAATAGAGGATGAAGCTAAGCACGCTTTGAGATAATTTTTCTTTTCGGGCCAAGATGAAGGTTTTCATCCCATCGATCCAAACCCCGTCCTCTGATGTTGCCTTTGCCTGAGGCTGTCTCGAGATGCGTGGCAATAGTCGTTACATCCACAAGTCTATGCTTACTTTTCTTCCAGATCCGCTACAGTCGTCGGTCTTTTAGCTTTGATATCTGCCAGAATTTTGTCTGCGCCTCTCCGCAGTAACTCCTCAGCCGCAGATGTACCGAAGGATTCTGCGTCTTCTTTGCTTTGCACCACTTGGGTCATCTCAACTTCTGCCTTGTCCTTTCCGTCTTGACTTACAACGATTGCTTTGAGCTGAAGAGTATCCTCGCTGTCTCCTTTGAGCCATTCAGTTTCGACTCCCAGGGGAGCACTGCATCCTCCCTCCAAGGTCCTCAATAAGCTTCGCTCTGTAGCAGTAGCCAGGTGGGTTTCGCGATGGTCTATTTTAGTAAGCATACTCTGAACCCGTTCATCAGATGCTCGGTTCTCGACCCCGATCGCGCCCTGTCCCACAGCATAGAGCATCCCTCCGCTTTTTGAATCGAGATACTGAGTAATGCGATGACGGAGATTGACACGGATCAGGCCAGCAGCCGCCAAAATTGCAGCATCAAAAGGTCCGTCCTCGGCATCGAGTTTTGATAGTCTGGTGTCGATATTTCCCCTCATATCGAGGACTCGTAGGTGAGGATATTTAAGAGCAATCTGTGCCCCTCTTCTCATTGACGAAGTTCCAATAACTGCTCCGGCCGGTAGATCTTCGATGTTGCAAGGTTTGCGTCCGGCCTTGATAACAAAAGCATCCCTCGGGTCTTCTCTTTGCAGCACTGCACCGATTTCACAGCCAGGTGGCAACTGGGTAGGAACGTCTACAAACAAATCAACGCGAGTCCGTGTATCGATCGTCAGAATCCAAACCTTTGTATGAGTGGACTAAAAAATCCAACTTCTCTTCGAGCATCAAAGTTTCAAGTTCATGCGTCCACAAATTCTTCACCGGCATATCCTTGAAAGGAGTGACTTTGTCGATATCTCCTGCCGCTGTGTCCCGTGCTTTGATGGCATAGACATTGTCGGGGAATGTTGCAGCCAGACCCTTCACTACAAGATCTGTCTGGACCAGAGCAAGCTTTGATTTTCTAGTGCCGACACTGAAGGTTTTTTGAGGATTGCTTCCATCAATTGTTGCCGAGCGATTGTCGCCCTGGACCACGGCGATGGTGGCCATTTCAGTGGAGCGACGTCTTGCAGGTTGAGTGAAGAACCTAAGAATATCTGAAAGTCAAGATATACTCTGGTGCCATCGGGTCGTGCGATGTAAGTCAGTCGTCGCGGTTCTGAGGAACTAGTCTTGCGCTTGTGAGCACGTGACTCGCTTTGTCTTACGTAATACACCTTCGCTCTCGCTATCGCCCGCTGCGTCGGGTTGCTATCGTCATGCTAGACACGCAGCCCCGAACCTCGGCAGTCCAAGGCTTGCGGCGTCAACTCCAGTTCCCGGGGCTTCATATCTCGTAGATTCCATGGCCATCCCGTACAAGTCGAATAAGTAATCCCCTGGCATCCCCGGATCATCATAAACACATCTTGCTCCCCCATCCCCGCCTGTGCTACTCCGAGTCCTCTCGACTGCGATCCCATCCTACACCATGGGTTACACCGCAAAGGCAACTATCCCTCTCATCCCTCTGGCCCGAGATTCGGTCCTTTTGCCTGGCGTCACCCTCAGGATATCTGTTTCGAATCGCGCCGATATACCCCTCCTCATCTCCTCTGCCTTTCAAAGAGCCACAAGGTCAAGAGTAGGGACTGCGTCTCTCCCTGTCGGCTGTGTCCCTATCAACTCCCCTTATCTCAGCGCCGATGGAAGGGAACTGCTCGACAGTTCGAAGAAAGAGAGCAGCGGCCACGTTGAGCATGATATCGATCCGGGCAACGCGACCAAGAAGGATTTATTTCAGTATGGTACTTTAGCAAAGATCATAGGAGTCCAAGGCAGCTCCAACGCGGATCCATACTTGGTCGTGGAAGGCGTCCAGCGGTTCAGGATAGATAAGATCAAGCACGAGAAGCCAAACTTTGAGGCCGAAGTCACATTCTACGAGGACGGGGTACCAGATCTCAATGATGGTGACCTGCGCGCCAGTTTCACACGACTTAAACAACGATCTCGGGAACTTTTGACCTTGCTTCGATTGTCATCCCTCTTCCGACCTGCTTCGATGGTTCTTTCACCACTGATCGTCCGCCGCTTTGAGTTGTTCATTGCAAAGAAAGATCTCTCTCAGGCTGGGCAGCTGGCAGACTTTATGACCGATATTGTGGAAGCAAGTTACGAAGAGAAACTACGCATACTGAGCACGTTGGACTTGTACGAGCGCCTAGAGCGTGTTCTAGCTCTGCTGAACAAGCAAATCTCCGGTATCAACGGCAACATCAAAATTACTTCGATTACCTCGACAACGCTACCATCCAATATTGGAGTGGACATCTCCGACCTCAACCAGAGCCAACGCGAGGCTCTTGCGAGGCGTGCGATGTCCGGCCTGAACGGCATGACGCCTCCGGGCATGCCAGGTGCACGAGGTGGAGAAGGCGATGAAGATAATGAGGTCAATGAAGTAGAAGAGCTCAAAAAGAAGGTGGCTGAGGCTGGGCTGTCACCAGAAGCCCAGAAAGCTGCTGATCGCGAACTGAAGCGCTTAAAGAAGATGAATCCTGCTAACGCAGAGTATGGGGTTATACGCACTTACGTGGAGAACCTGGTTGAGATCCCCTGGACCAAGGTTACTGATGACCAGTTGGGGGCGGATACTCTCACCCGAGCTCGCAAGCAACTTGATGACGATCACTACGGGTTGGAGAAAATCAAGAAGCGGCTACTCGAATACCTTGCGGTCTTGAAGCTCAAGCAATCCGTGAATGCTGATGTCGATCAACAAATTGCACGTTTGACAAAGCAACTTGCCCCTACGCAAGAAGGCGAGGAAAGAGAGGTCGAGGCGATTCCGGACAATGAGAAGGACGCCGCTACTGCTAAACTGCATGTCCTTAAGTCGAAGCGAATGATCGACAAGTCGCCTATTCTTCTCCTCGTTGGTCCGCCTGGCACTGGCAAGACGTCTCTTGCGAAATCTATTGCACTCTCTCTAGGCCGCAAGTTCCACAGAATCTCCCTTGGTGGCGTTCGGGACGAAGCTGAAATTCGAGGCCACAGGCGGACCTATGTCGCTGCAATGCCAGGTCTTATTGTCAGTGGCCTGAAGAAGGTTGGGGTGGCGAACCCTGTCTTCCTCCTTGATGAGATCGACAAGGTCAGCACAAACAATTTCCATGGGGACCCGTCAGCTGCTATGCTTGAGGTGCTCGATCCTGAACAGAACCACAGCTTCAGTGACCACTACGTCAACATACCCATTGACCTCAGTAAAGTTCTCTTCATCGCTACCGCCAACTCCCTCGACACTATTCCCGCGCCACTTCTCGACCGTATGGAAACTATCCAACTTTCTGGCTACACCACTATCGAGAAACGTCACATTGCTAAGCAACATCTCATTCCTAAACAAGTCCGTACGAACGGTCTCTCGGATGGTCAAGTTATCCTGCCTGACGATGTCATCGACACTATTATAACCTCCTATACCCGTGAGTCTGGTGTGCGTAACCTTGAGCGCGAAATAGGCTCGGTCTGCCGATACAAGGCTGTCCAGTACGCAGATGCAAGAGATGCAAATGACACCAGCCCAAATAAATATAATCCCACCGTGACCGTGGATGAGCTCGAAGACATCCTGGGTATCGAACGCTTCGAGGAAGAAATTGCCGAAAAGTCCTCCAGGCCTGGGGTCGTCACAGGCCTCGTGGCGTACTCGTCTGGTGGTCAGGGGAGCATATTATTCATCGAAGTGGCTGATATGCCCGGGAAAGGCCGTGTTCAACTCACTGGCAAACTGGGCGACGTGCTCAAGGAGTCAGTCGAGGTCGCACTCACGTGGGTCAAGGCGCACAGTTATGATCTAGGCCTTACCCACCACCCTCATGAGGACATTATGGAGAAGCGTGCTATCCATGTCCACTGTCCTGCCGGAGCGGTGCCAAAGGACGGCCCCAGTGCCGGGCTCGCGCACACCGTGGCTCTGATCAGTCTTTTCAGTGGGAAGAGCGTGCCTCCTACGATCGCCATGACGGGAGAAGTCAGTCTTCGAGGCCGCGTCATGCCGGTCGGTGGCATCAAAGAGAAGCTCATCGGTGCTCATCGGGCCGGAGTCAAGAAGGTTCTTCTGCCTGCACATAATCGTAAGGACGTCAAGGATGTGCCTGATGAGGTGAAGAACGAGATGGAGATTATCTATGTTAAGTACGTTCCGACCTCCCCTTCCCCTTCCCCTTCCCCTCCCCCTTGCCCAATGTCCAATGTCCAATATCCCATTCTGTGCTCCACCATCCGTCCATCCCAGAGTCTCTTTTTCTATTGTATCAGCTCCTAACAAAGTGCATCAGACATGTTTACGAGGCGCTCAGACAAATTTGGCCCGAGTCGCAATGGGCCTCGGATAGGTATTTTGCCGAGGTGGAAAGTCGGTTGTAGGCTGTGGTGCGTGGGAAGAGACGATATAAATAAGGGTTGCAGGCAGAACTTTGTATTAGCACAGCGAGCGATTTAAACCTGGAAGTATTCTGAGTATGAGCTTAGTATATTTCATGCACTTAATCAGAGTCTTCAACGCAGCTACTTCATCTTGAAGAGTAGAACGATTGAAGCAGAGGTTCTGTTGTATCCGACTCGGCACTTGGGATCCCAGTTGCCAATACTAAGTAATACGAGTTCTCGTAGTCGTGGCAGGCTGCTGTCAAATGATCGATCACCTCCAAAAGTTCAGATAGGGAAACGATCATATCGACATGTGAGAATCGGCTCGGTAGATCAGTAATGTACAGTATCGATTTTGGTAAGCTCTACAAGGTAGGCAAGCAAAGAAAAAGGGTATCTAACGTCGAGGTACATAGTCTGATGGCGTGGCGGTACTCGCCGAGTCCAGCAGTTGCCATGTCGGCGCCCACTTTTTCTTCCCCTTTAATAGTTCCTGTGCCTGTTGGGCGATTGATTTTCGGTGTGCGAGATTGGGTTTGGACCACCCCCATTCGCTGTTTTCTCGCTCCTGGGCGAATTGTGTCTTGGCCAAATGCCAGTAGTCGTCGTGCTCCCACCTAGAGGTTCCTGTTAGTTTCTGAAGCGGCGCAAGTAGATCAATGGAGGGGTGTCCAAAAACTTACGGATCGAGGTCCTTGATCTCCTCGGGATAAACAAAGGGCTTGGCTAGTTGGACCGTCATCTTCTTCAGGCTTCGAGGCCGGTACAGGGCTCCCTGGCTGTATCTGTCGGACGGCTGGGTCCGTTTCACTTTTTGTTGGATGACCACGCTCCGGATGTGCAGGACTTCGACCCCGTACACGTTACTTAGGTATGCTCGGAGATCTAGTTTGCTGAAATGTAACGGCACATCGAAGGCCGCGTAGTTGGGACTGAGATGGGGCGTGCGCATCAGGACAACGGAGTCTTTGGGATGGGGACTGTAGCGGTGGCATCAGGTTAACAACGGCGGAAAAAGAGGGTCTGCAATGTGAAGACCCAGGAAGAAGAAACTTACAAGTTGATTTGCTTCCGGGATTCATAGGGGACGTTGGCTGGCTTGCTGAAAAATCGAGACGGAGATTGTAATAGTTGAGTGACTTTCTGCGGGCTGAGGTATTTGCTGTTGCTGTGTAAAAAGTCCCTCACATCGCTTGAGACGTGCGACAAAGGAGGGTAGACGTCCATGAAGTGGTCGAGGTGTTTCCGCTCCATTTCCCACCAGCGCAACTCGCTGTCCGTCTGCGTGGCTCGAAGCGCCTCGAGGGTTTCTGGAGCTAGCTGTTGTTTCGGCGGCTGGTTTGACGATAGTTGGACTTCGTACTTTTCAAGCCATTTGGACGGAGGCTCGACTCGTTGGAAGATGGTGGCAGAATATGGATTGAGTCCAATGGTGGTTTTGACCCGTCTTTTGGCATTCCATAGTCGGGGAGCATTAGGTGCTACCCGGGTTGTTGGGATCTTCGGTTTGGTGTGAAGTGTAGGGGGCAGCCTTGCTCGAGGCATCGTTACGGGGAGATGGTCGACGCCGAGTACAGCAGACCTTTGCAAATGGCAGCTTTGTATGCGCACGGCGCAGTTTGCTCGACATCTACGAGGTATGAGAAAATGAGCTGGGAGAGGTTGCAGAAGGAAGGTTTGCCGCGGCCGTCAAGGCTCAGGAAGGGACACGCGCCCAAACATTTCGGTGGATCGTTTCCATCATTCACTCACTCGTTCCGTAAGCTACTTGTCGCCTGCCGCCAGACGCAATTGTCCTCCGTCCAATTCATCACCGCTGCTGTTTCTTGCCTCCATACCTCACCTGTACTCGCCCTCTTGACGCCCTTCTATACATTCTCAGCGGGCTTTTTGATCCTTCCCCCTCTGCAAGTTCATCGGCCACAGAGGCCACTACGTCAACATGGCCCAGGACGAGAAGACGCCGACTGCCGCGGAGAAGGGCAAGGGCAAAGCAGAAGACGTTTCCATGTCGAATGGAGAGAAAGATACACACACAGATGGCAAAGAACCAAAGGAGGCAGATGGAAAAACAGATGCGCCCGCCGAAGAAGAGCTCAGCGAAGAGGACCAACAACTCAAGAGCGAACTAGAGATGCTGGTTGAACGATTAAAAGAAAACGATGCCAGTTTGTACAAACCTGCGATCGAAGCCATCAAGAATTTCATCAAGACCTCTACGTCATCCATGACTGCCGTACCTAAGCCTCTGAAGTTCCTTCGACCGCATTACGATGAGCTCGCTGCTCTTTACGACAAGTGGCCGGCTGGGTCCGACCGGGACTCCCTCGCCGACATGCTTTCGGTTCTAGGCATGACATATGGGGACGAAGAGAAGCTAGAAACACTCAAATACAGACTGCTTTCAAAGTCGGACGATCTGGGCTCGTGGGGTCACGAGTATATCCGCCATCTGGCCCTCGAAATTGGCCAGGAGTACCAGAACCGACTTAACGATGAGCGAGAGGTGGGAGATCTCACGGAATTGGCTCTTGCTCTTGTACCATACTTTTTGAAACACAATGCGGAAGCCGACGCGGTCGACCTGCTGAGCGAGTTGGAGATGATTGAGGAGATTCCGCGATTCCTAGACGAAAACACATACTCCCGAGTGTGTCTCTACATGGTCAGCATGGTCAACCTGCTTACGTTTCCTGACGATGTTGCCTTCCTCAAAACCGCCCACGAGATATACGTCAAATACAACAAATTGGCGCAGGCGATGGTAGTAGCAATCAGACTAAATGACGAGGAGCTCATTCGTCAGGATCTGGAATCAACAGATGACATGGCGCTGAAGAAGCAACTGGCCTTCCTGATTGCGCGGCAGAGAATTTACATCGAGGTGCCTTCGGAGACAAAGGATGAACAAGAGATCGCTGAATGCTTGGGCAACACACAACTACCAAACCATTTCAAGACCTTGGCCAAGGAGCTGAATATTCTAGAGCCAAAGACGCCTGAAGATATCTACAAAACCCATCTTGAGAGCGGGCGGGGAAGCTCTGCAGCCGCGGATTCGGCGAAGCACAATCTGGCCAGTGCCTTTGTTAACGCCTTCGTCAATGCTGGCTTCGGGAAAGACAAACTAATGCTGGTGGAGGACGACCAACGACCCTGGCTGTGGAAAACCAAGGACGATGGCATGATGAGCACGGCTGCTTCACTCGGTATGCTCATGCAGTGGGATGTCGAGGGCAGCTTGGACACCATTGATCGGTTCCAGCAGTTAACCGAAGAACCTGTTAAAGCTGGTGCGCTTTTAGCATATGGTATAGTCAATTCTGGAGTTCGAATGGAAGGCGACCCAGTCATGTCGTTGCTCAGTGATGACGATGTTCTCCAAAATGGGAAGCCCTCTATGAGACTCGCAGCCATCATGGGTCTCGGTCTGTCTTATGCCGGATCAAACCGAGAAGACCTCCTGGACTATCTACTTCCCATTGTCGAGGACAGCACCCTTGACATGCAGTTGTCTGCTATGGCCGCTGTATCGCTTGGTATGGTGTTCGTAGGTTCGTCCAACCACCAAGTTGCAGAGGCCATTGCGACTCAAATGATGGACGAAGACCGTCAACGGCAGCTGAAGGACAAGTGGGCCAGATTTATGGCCCTGGGACTAGCGCTGCTCTACTTCGGGAAGCAAGAAGAGGTCGATGTCATTCTAGATATTCTGAAGGCCATCGACCACCCTATGGCAATGCCTACTGCAACCCTTGCCTCCGTGTGCGCTTGGGCAGGCACTGGAGCTGTGCTGAAGCTTCAAGAACTTCTGCATGTCTGTAACGACCCTATTGAGGAGAAAGAAGAGACCACTGGCGAGCAACTGGTTCAATCATACGCTGTTCTTGGTTTGTCACTGATAGCCATGGGCGAGGATGTTGGACAAGATATGGTTCTTCGACAATTCGGTCACCTCATGCATTACGGAGAGGCCAATATTCGAAAAGCTGTGCCACTTGCAATGGGTTTGATCAGCCCCAGCAACCCACAGATGAAAATCTACGACACCTTGTCACGGTACAGCCACGATAACGACAACGATGTCGCCATCAATGCCATCTTTGCCATGGGCTTGGTCGGAGCTGGAACCAACAATGCACGTCTTGCTCAGCTCCTGAGACAGCTTGCCAGCTACTATCACCGAGACCAAAACTCACTATTCATGGTTCGCATCGCCCAGGGCTTGGTACACATGGGCAAGGGTACCATGTCGCTCAACCCATTCCACACCGACCGTCAAGTGCTGTCCAGAGTTGCCGCAGCAGGTCTTCTCACGGTTCTTGTCTCCCTGATCGATTCTAAGCAGTTCATTCTCGCCGATGCCCATTATCTACTCTATTTCTTGGTCACCGCCATGTATCCCAGGTTCTTGATCACCCTGGACGAAGACCTCAAACCGATCACTGTCAACGTTCGTGTCGGTCAAGCTGTCGATGTTGTGGGTGCTGCTGGTCGGCCAAGAACCATCACTGGCTGGCAGACACAGAGCACTCCGGTTCTGCTTGCATACGGCGAACGAGCCGAACTCGAAGATGAGGAGTACCTGTGTCTGAGCAGCACTCTAGAGGGTCTCGTCATCTTGCGAAAGGTAAATATTTCTCCCCAGTCCTGTCGGTAACCACTAACATTCTGCCAGAACCCGGAATGGGAGAGTACCAAATAGACGGCATCCATGGTTAAAGAGTGCGATTCGGTTGGGATTTACCATGTCCCCGAAGGCAGCAAGGCCGGGTCCTTTGGGGAAGGCTGTATTGTATCATAGATACCAGGTTAATCTAGGTAGTAGACTCGCACTGCGCAGCGTCGCCTTCAGATGGCAAGGTGGTGGGTTCAGCTTGACGGACATTGTGAATGAGCATCCGTCTCGGTACCAGAAAATTAAACTGAAATAACCACTGCACTGTCTGTACGTCTTCAAAGGTGTTGAACAACGGCTTTTCTTGCTGGGAGTGCGTGGCTGGGCCTGCAGGTGTTGGAGCCTCGGAGCAGGACCAGCATCTGCTCCACCTGTGACATGGCATCATCGTATCGCTCCGCATCGTCAGTCACTACTGATTGACTTGCCCGCTTCCTCCCATTATCACTTGTTCAACATATACTGATTCGCTGGCCCTGGGCAGGCAAGATGAGGTCGATGCTGGCATGAAATCGGTCATCATGATCCCACTTTTGCACAGCACTTTTCATCGCTAACGTCTTCCTGGGAGCAGAGGTCTCCCTCCCCTCGACCATCATGCCGCCAACCCCAAACCCACGCATCACGTCTCTCGACTTCGACTCTCACCGCAAGCGCAGGCGCCAGTCGGCAGGCTCCCGTCCAAGCATCGGAGACGATGACTTTGACTTCATGGGCCAAGTGGCGGAAGAGATCATTGAACGGGACCGCATCAGAATGCGCAGAGAGGTCGTTCGGGTTATGAGCTTCGTCTGCGCGATTCTGAACTGGTATGGTCTCGCTGCCGAGTTCAGTATCATGCAATCGCTAACATGCACAGTCTATGCGCCGGGTCAATAACCTCGTTTTCTCTCTACGGTGCTCGTTTCCTCACCGACTTGCATTACACGCAGTTCCAAGTCAATGCCGTGTCTATCACAGCCGAGTTGGCCATGTACCTGCCGGTGCCTCTATTTGGCTACCTCTGCGACCGTTACTCGCCTCCACCGCTATCACTTCTCTCTTCTTTCCTGTTCGGCTTTGGCTATCTGTTGGCTGCATACACATATAAATCTGGCCCGCCTGCAGACGCTTCAAGAGACGGACACGGATGGCCGTTCGGCGCCATGATTCTGGCCTTTATTGGCATCGGAGCCGGCACAAGTTGCATGTACCTTTGTGCGGTCGCAACCTGCGCAAAGAACTTCGCCAAAGCCAAGTACAGAGGATTCATGCTCGCTGTGCCCATTGCGGCCTTTGGTCTCAGTGGCATGTGGCAGAGCCAAGTCGGCGCCCACTTGCTCTACCAGAGACTCCCAAACGGCGCCAAGGGCGATGTTGATGTGTTCAAGTACTTTGTCTTTCTTGCTGGGACACTGATCGGCGTTGGTCTGCTCGGCACTCTCGGCCTACAAGTCGTGGACGAGGAAGAACTAATCGATCACGGGGTTGATGTCCTCGAGCGCAGCGGCCTACTAGAAGAGAGCGAGTTTTTCCACGACTCCGAAGCCTCTACACCCGCAAACTATGGTTCTATTGCTCGAGCTCGCTCAGGTTCGGGCAGCGCCACTCCCGCTGACTCCGACTCCGAGGCAGAGATCGACCTGTCAGAATCTCAACTTCTCAAACGCCGTGAACAAGAACACCGGCTCCGCAAGAAGAAATACTGGCTCCTCAACCATGCGACACACACTTTCCTCACTGACCGGACCATGTGGCTACTGGCTGCGGGCTTCTTCCTGATCACAGGACCGGGCGAAGCGTACATAAACAACCTAGGCACCATCATTCCCACCCTCACGCCGAAACGATATTTCGACCTCACCAGTCCGCCTGCAGGCCATGCATCTACACATGTGAGCATCATCGCCCTCGCGAGCACATTCGCCCGTCTCTTCACGGGCTCGTTATCGGACCTCTTCGCGCCTCCGAGCCAGCCCGAAGATCCGCCCACGGCACGATTTCAATTCAGCCGGCTTGTGCTCCTGCTTCCCAGTGCCATTGTGCTTTTGCTGGGTTTCCTTAATCTTGCTCTACCGTTTCTGACACCCTCTGTGCCAGAGCTCTTTTTGCTGTCCAGCGCATTTCTGGGAATCGGGTACGGCGCATGCTTCAGTCTCGTCCCGATCATCATCAGCGTCGTTTGGGGTGCCGAGAATTTTGCCACCAATTGGGGCGTGGTGGCCATGATGCCTGCCGGTGGTGCGGCGGTGTGGAGTCTGGTCTACAGCGCCGGCTACTCAAGAGCTTCCAACGGCAGTGGACCTGGGACCGCACCTGGCGAAGGGGGCGAGGGCGAGTGTTCCGGCTACGCTTGCTTTGGAGCTTGGGCATGGGGATGCGCAGGAAGCGTCGTGGCAGCGATTGTCCTCTGGTGTTTTGCGTGGCGTACGTGGAAGAGGCGCAACGTGATTGTCTAGCAGGCAAACGCGACCAGGCGGACAAATGGCCAGGGAGAAGAGGAAGTAATGGTTGACGTCCGGGTGCGGATTACTTTGCCTCGCGAAGAACATTTAGGAAGGACGACGGGGAAGTCGACTACGAAGACGAAGACGAAGAACATGCAGAATACGAGGAACGTTCCTTGTGACGTGCATATTCGAGTACATTGATCTGCCGAGTGAATGGTGAACACCGTCATGGAGGCAGGATAGAAGAAATAGAAGCACGACGAGTCCTTCAGGACTTCAAGAGGGAGCGAAGACGGGGCTGCCGACTTCAGGTATCTATCTGCTGGTCTTGGGGTCTTCTAGTGGGTTCGACTGCGTTTCTGCTGGTATCGGTGGTCGGTCATGGCGACGGCGTTTCATTGCTCTTGGACTTTGCTTGCTTATGGCTGAGCTGGAGCATCAGGTATTACCTGCTTCGAGATCAGCGTATTGTGTTGTATTTTATAGGTACCTGTGTGGGTAGGTCGCGTATTCTGGGCGATCTCATCGCCGGGATCAAACGCTGCTTTCATTTCCATTTGCACATGTTTCGGATAGTTTTGAGCAGATACAGATGTTACATACGCACAATCCACAAATAGCGAACGGCAAACACGCACACCAAGTGTACAAGAGCGACGATCAACGTCGAGGAACGTGAGCACGTATGGAATGGACGATTTGGTTCTTTTCTCTCGATTGTACTTGGTGAAAAAAAGCTACTCGTCACGCCTTCTTTTCGTGGTTCAGGCAGGGTATCTTTGGGGGTTTCTTCGTGATCATTACATCCGTCCGCTCATCCCCCCGTTCAATGCAACGCGCAACTCTGATTGCCTGCTTTCCTAATCTCAGAACTTCTTGCGTGGCTCCAAATTGAAAGCACAAACGCCGTCCCACTGCGATACTCCCTGGCGAATTAATTGGGTATGATGCATAAAAACCGTGACTGACTTGCTGTTCTCCGATGCACCCCTTCCCGCAAACAAACAAAAACACCAGAACTCCTTGCTCTATGATAAATCAGGAACCAAGAACCAAAGCAAGAAATCTCAAAAGAAACAAAAACAATTCCATAGATCAAACCAGGTCCCAGGCAGCTACGCCGACGAATCCCATACCAACACGACCCTTGCCGTTCAGAAACTCCTGCACCGTCAAACCGCGTGCGTCCTGTCTGTCCCCAAAAGTCGTCACTGCAAACAGAGTAATACGCTGGCCCGGGGCACCCAGTTCCCGAGCAGGTATATCCACGAGCCAGGTATCGCCACCTTGGCCATTGGGTCCGGGATAATATTCCATGGGAATAAGATCCTTGTGGCGGCCATCGACGCCTTCGACTGACACGATAAAGACGGGAGGAGGCCCTTTGCGCGTGTGTCTGTCCAGAGTCCAGTGCGGACAGAAGAGACTGAACTGAAACCGGATCATGCCTGTTTGTCGCACATTGATTCTCCTCGCTCTAGGGTAGAAAGACTTCTCGCCGATCGAGTAGTCCTCTTTCGCGTTTGTGAACACCGTCGGGCCTTCGACGCCATCTGGCCAGCAGGCTGGGTCAATGACAATGTATTCCTCCCATGACATCCGTCGACCTCCCGGAAGAAAAAACTGATCACCGTTTGCGGGGAAATGCTTGATGGCAAATTCTTCATTACTCATTGCGAAGAACTCTGGACTGAATTTCTGGATGTACGGTTGTCCGGCCCCTTGGACATGGCCAGCTCCCCAGCAACAATCAATCAACTTCCATTCTCCGTTATCGATCTTAACAGCGTTCCAAGCATGGCCTGTGCTGTAAGGCGGGAGAGGTGCGCCAGGTGCGAGTGCTGAGAAACCGTAGCCCTTGCCATGCCCGCCAATCACAACAGACTCTAGTCCAGCATAGGTAGCGATGTTGGTGAAGAGAGCAGCATAGCCTTCACACACAGCCAAGCCACTTTGGAGAGTCGACTGCGGGCTCGAGGGCTTCACGTTGTTTCCGAAGAAAGCCACCACATCATATGCAATGTTGTAATGAAGCCAAGTGAAGATGGCGCGAGCTTTATCAGTGGGAGAAGGGAACGACGACGTTAATTGATGGGCGAGTGTCTGTAAGGATGTGACTTGAGTTCTTGGGAAAAGAGTGGCTTGGTGGTCAGGGCCCGAGAAGTCCCGACACGTCAGACATACATTAGATGGTGTGGTAGTTGCAGCTGTGTTTGCAGCGGAGACCTTGGGTTTGGTCGCTTGTATGGCTGATAGGTCTGGTCTTGACGATAGGGGCACGGGGGGCGGTGCGACTGGGGCGTGCTGTTGCGACTGCAGCTTGCTCTTTGCGAATGAGGAAATGACATCTCTTATTGGTAGATTGACTGTGTCTCTTGCGTGGACATCGGCGTCAGTTCGATGTTGTAAAGCCATGTTGTTCTGGTCCATGGGGACATGAGGTTCAACGAGCGAAACCACCTCCACGTGAGCGATCTGTTTTTGAGCAGTCTTAGGAAATGCGGCTCTCTTTGCCTTCTCAAGAGCCGCCGTGGTGGGAATCGGGGGCAGCTTAAAGCCAGGACTTTCTGCAGCATGGTCATGCCCTTCGTTCACGCTCTTTCTGGAAGGTAGTCTTGGGGGAAGGGAAGGTCTTGATGGTGGACCAGGTTTGACTTCTCGCGTGGAGGCTGGGGTCGTGGCAGTCGTGCAACCTGGCGCTCGATTGACATATTTGGGTTTCTCGTCTGAGTACTTTCTGGTCAGAGGCTGGGGGGGTGCACCTCGTGGAGGCAAGGGAGGTAGTTCGGACTCTCCCCATGCTGGTGCTTTAACTCGACTCAGGGAATCCGTTGACTTTCCTCGTTGAGTGGCCGTGATTGAAGATACTGTGTCCACTGTGCCATTCGAGGTAGTCGAGGCTACCGAGCCCCGCCTCTGCTCGTCCAGCGAGTTGTTTCTAATCGGAAGGGGAGGGGGCGGTTTCTTCGCTGCAGGGGGCGGCGCAGGCTGATTGCCAACATTGCGGTCGGTGACAGAACCATGGAGGCTTTCTGGAGGATTGTTGAAGGTGTTCTGTTTGACAATGACAGGCCGCCTGTTGGGGATCGGCGGAGGGTGAGACGGCGAGGGTCGAGGAGGCTCTCCTGGCACTCGACCAACATGAGCAGCGTTCAATGCCGCAATGCGTTGTTGCAGAGTCAGAGGCTGGGGATCTTCAGCCATTGTAGAGGGAAGTGTGTCTTGCTCTGGATCCCTGGACGTGGCAACAGAAATCACGACAAGGCCATGGCGAGGAGCAGGAGATGAGAGGCTGGATCACCGTGTCACGGAGACGGGGGACTTTTGGAATCCGCATGGCAGCGAGCACCGTGAGGATTGGCTGCGCCTCGCCTGTCGAGCCCTGCGGAGCTAGTGCAGAGTTAGTGTGACAACTGACTAAACACTTCCATCACGTGCACAAGATCTGCGACATGCCAAGAGATTGATTGAGGCGAGGCAGATTGTGTGCTCGAGGAACTGAAGCTCTAGGACAAAGAGTCAGGACAACTAGCCGAGGTACGTGTCAAGTGCTCGTGGCCAGAAACGCTCGCATCAATGCAGGGCTCTAGATTGTTGTCATGATGATATTATTCTCCGCTCCTCTGGCGGCTTCTTATTAGATCAGTCCATCAAAAGGACTAAAATACGTCCGCAGATTTAGCAACCTTGTTACATAAGCAGCAAGCTTCAGCCTCGCAAATACGAATACGAGGGCGAGGCTGTAGCCCCTAGTCAACTCTATACCTAAGGCTATACTCCGCGGATACCGTATTCTCTCCTGTACTCTAAACTGTCGGCTGGGATAGCTTTCGAACTATCAGTATGCCCAAATTTTGAGGATTGACCGCACCTAATTTAGACCCGACTCCAGTAGAGACTTCTATTCGCATGAAGCGCCTAGAGATACAACAAGGAACATCTTAGCTGGCGTGTGGGGAGACAAAATCATAGCCACCGAGGCGTATCAGTGAACTTTTTAAACCCTATGGCCAGCCCGCGGACGGATTGACCGTTGTGAGGCCAGAAATCACGAGATCACGTTCCTGGAATCTAGCTCAGATAACGGTCAGCGAGATATTTCGCCCTCCAACTGGAGTCTGCAAACTCTTTCGAGTCATCAGAAAAATCGCCCAGAATGTCACAATCTTCTCTGTCTTCTCAGCCGGAGCGACTGCCAGAAACTGATCTCTCTCCTCATCAAGAGGCCATGGTAGAAGCATGCAAGGCTGGTCGACTCACTGATCTGCAGAAACTCTTCGAAGAGCATGATATCAAGGGCGACGACGACCCTGTAACAATGGAGAGTTTCACACAACAAGGCGCCTCGAAAACCACTCGGCTTTTTGTTGCGGCCATCTCGCACAATCAGCAGTCCATTGTTCAGTACCTGTATTCGGTTTACCCCGAGTTCAACTTTTGCACCTTTTCAATCGTCGAGGCGCTCACCAAAAATGCGGATATCGAAATGTACAAATTGATCTGCTCATACAACCCCAGGGTTGTCCGCTATAGGGCCGATGACCACCAAACATCGGCCTTGAGTATGGCTTGCGAAGGCGGTCCACAAAACGCGCCGCTAATACATTTCCTTTTGGATAACGGTGCAACAACCGGCGGCTTCGGAAGCTACACGTGGCGCTTTGGAGGGGAGCTATTGCCGGCCGTCCAGAACAAACAACCTGTTGAAATTATTGAAAGACTAGTTCCGACGACAACCCATCTAGGCTTTCCCATTATCTCAGCAACCCAGAGAGAGTGCGCCGATGTACTCAAGGTTCTCCTAGACGCACACTATACCAGAGGAGAAAACCCCTCAGACTTGTCGTTCGCGCAATCCCTGCTTGAGGACGCCAAGAAGACCGAAGACAAGAAAGTGATTGCTGTAGCGGAACGCTATGTCCGCAAATGGGAGAAGCGAGCGACGAAAATCACTACAAGCAACCTTCACTCGAAGACTACGGAGCCAAGCAAGTGGTGGCGGCGTGGCTCGCCGACAAACAACAAAGAACGGTCTGGACCTGAACATTCCGTTTCCTCAAAACCTGCAAGGTCTTGGTGGCCCATATCTTGGTGGCCCATATCTATCTTCCGAGACAAACCGAAGCCTGCTGGTACCCATCAGGAGGAGAAGGATCTCCAAGATTCAAGCTCTGGCGAAAACCTCTGATGTTTTATGTTTCCAACAGCCAGGGGGACTTGACGCAGTCTGGATGAAGAACGCCATCACAAGTTGCAAGCCTTGGAAGAAGGGAAATGTCAATGGCAAATGGCTAAGGCTCATCAGTCTGGAGGTGAGCCAGCCGACGATATCAAGCTCGGGTTCAAGATGGAAATGGAAGTGCCCCTTGTCGAGGTCGCGATATAGAATTGGTTTCGCGACCGGAATTCGATATTGGTTCGAGGGGTCCTGTACGAGCCCGTACGCCCTCGAACCCTATATGTTCTGACAAGCCCCGTAGACCCCCTGGTAGAATGACAAGTTATCTTTGCACAATCACATTGCTCAGGCTGGGCTGGGGCTGGCTCACCCAAACCATTGCGGCGTGAGAGCTGCAGACAATTGCTCTATCTACGGCCTAGTTTCAACGGCAAGGCACACAATCAATGTTGACGTTTGCCTTGTGGTGTTTTCAGCCACGTTCCGCCCAGGTGTTGGGGAGAAAGGCAAGGCGTAATTTGGTCCAAAGCTGGACAGCGGTCGGCGTCTAACAAAGAGCGAATTAGTGATTAGCCCAACCCGTAAGCGAAAGCAGGCCTTCACAGTAGCCTCACCCAACTTGGAACCGACCTGAGAAACTCTCCAGCCTTCACCTGCGAGAATAATCAGTTATTCTGGACACAAAGAAACTTTATGGTCCCGAAAATCTGACGAGTTGCTAAATTGTCCCTTTCTCAACCCTGTCTCACGGTTTCAATGGCCGAACAGCCCTACGATAGGTTGAGCTTCATCCTTTGGTTGATATGGTACTATCCGGGCACGATCGTCACAACGTGCGTACTTTGCCATGTTGCAGCAAGGGCTGCGGAGGACGCCACAGCACGAAAAATTGATCACTCCGCTGTTCAGATCCGCCACGAGATCCCCACCGAAGCTAGGAAGCCCGGAGATGCTTCAGGATCCGATTCAATCCTGCTTCGAGCCCAGGACACGGACGAAGGGGCTCTGAAAAGGCTGTCTCGTGTTGACGAACAACCATATTTAGGACCGGGCTCTGCGACACAACAGGAAAATCATCACGGCTCACGCTCAAAGACATCTTCGGTGACTCTGATGAAGATCGCCATCTTCTGGCAGGGGGTTCAGATCTTGCTTCTTGAGAGGATGGGACGTATGGCAGCGAGGGAGCGAACTCTGACTGGAGATCCCATCTTTGTCTCTGTCGTTATCTTAGCCCTCTGCACAACCCTCGTCTTGTTGTCAGCCGCTAGACTCCAAGACCGTTGGAATGAGGCCAGGATTGGCAAGACTGGAGCTGGAGCAGATCTGGGAGAAGAAATGAAGAAGTCAAGGCCTACGTCAAGACTAATATTGGCCGCTGTGCTTCTAGTGTCACTACCATGGTATGAGTTGTTGACTGCAACACATTCGCCATGAATCTACTACAGGTGTCTGGGGATATTACTTCGCAATAAATCTTCGTCAACTTTATCGAACCGTTCCGTCAATTGGAGATGCTCAACACAACCATCTGCATCGTCACTATGGGAGATGTTGCCATCGCTTGATGAGGTGCCATCCGGTCCGACCACGATGCTAGAGGGTAAAGGTCCACGAAGAAGTTCCCCCTGCTTGCTCGTCCGCTAACTGGGAACCCGGGGGTCAAGCCGTGCGAATATTCACAGACTCGGGGCAATAATCGCACCTCAGGTTGAAACTGCGAGCCTCAGGTCGAACTCAGGCCCAAAGATGGAAATAGAAAGTACGTGTGTCAAGAGTCCGACGTCGAATTGACTGCTTCACGCCTGCAATCTCCACACTTGTCCGCCTTCTGGCTCAGGTGTTGGACTATACAAGTAGAGATAATGTCACCGTTGCTCGACAGAGGTTCTTTGTTCGTGTTGTGGTCGCTGCAGCAGCTGGATAACTTTCTCGTGGCCTTTGAATGAGGCAGCCTGGAGCGTGGTGCGACCTTGAACTCGAGTGTTAACATCAGCACCCTTGCGCAGCAGAAGCTCGACCACCTTCTCGTGGCCTCTGTCTGATGCTACAAACAGCGCAGTGCCGCAAGGTCTACCCGGAACCCAAACGTCGACATCGGCGCCTTCGCCCAGCAGCAGCTCGACGAGCTTCTCCTGGCCATTATATGAGGCCGCCTGAAGCGCGCTGCCACACTCTCCTCCCTGTGCATTGACGTCGGCGCCCTTGCTCAGTAGTAGTCTGACCACCTTCTCGCGGCCATGGTATGATGCTGCCTGCAGCGCGTTGCCGTAAATCCCACCTTGAGCGTTAACGTTGGCGCCCTTGCCTAGTAGTAACTCGACCACCTTCTCGTGGCCATTGAGTGATGCTGCATATAACGCGGTAACATCTTCTTCTCTTGCCGCCATTAGTCGCCTTTTAGTCTGCCCTTCTAGTAAGATTAGTGTAATCTGAAGGTCTTGTAGGGTAAGCTCCCCTTTACTCCAGCCCATACTGCCTTGCCATGTCCGGTGCACGTAATGTCGATCTTGTGCGTTGATAACGGCGCCTTTACCAAAACCAAGTAACATCTCAGCCACCTTCTCATAGGTCTTAGCAGCTTCTGCTGCCGCATCATGTACATAATAATCACCGACCCCAGGGGAATTGAGATCTGCGCCCCTGTCTAGCAGCAACTCCACCACCTTCTCATGGCCATTCACTGATGCTGCAAATAGCGCGTTGCCGTACATCCCACCGTGAGCGTTGACGTCGGCACCCTTCCTCAGCAGGAGCTCAACCACCTTCTCGTGGCCATTGACTGATGCCGCCTGGAGCGCGTTTCCGTACACTCCACCTGGTTCATTGACCAAACACGAAACCTTCTGTAGGCTGAGCGCTGAGAAAGAACTTGTTGAGGGGCTCTCACAAAGCAACTTTGAGAGAACAAAATCCAGCCCAAGAAGTGATGCATAGTAAATTGGTAATGGAAATTTGTCCCCATAGCTGCCGTAGCCACCCCTTATCTTAACCCATCTCTCAAATTCTCCCCGGGGACTTCGAAATAGCTGGAGGACTTGGTGCTCAGCATTGTGGTTGCTGACATCTCCGTCACGAAAGTGTTCAGGCCAAGTACTCGCGGCATACAATGCAAGGGGATATTCTGTGGGTGGCTCCTTCGATAGCACAGCTTCTAGTAAATAAGTCAAACAAATCAAGGCGATTTCCGCATGAGCCTCTGATCGTCGTACTCTGAATGTGGCCACCGCTCGTTCAGATTCCAGATATTCCTGTACTGAAAAATGCGCGATTCGTACAGTGGTCCAGCTGTCTCGAGGATCCACGTCAACTTCGATTAACCCAGGACAGACCTTATGGATTGCGTTGATGTCTTTCAGTTTCCGTTTCGGATTCAATGTTGGAGGCTCCCTCAGGTCCACAGCGATTCCGTCAATAAGCTCTGACACTGTCAGCGGTCGTTTAGCGTAGCATAGCAAGGTCAATATCCGCTGAGCGTATTGGAAGCCGGGGCAATATTCAAGAGCATTCGTTCGTACGTTTTGTCCAGCGACGGAGGCAGTGAATCCAACAGTTGGTCGAGCAGGTCCTCGCATTCCGGGCAAGACTCTAGAGCTTTAAACTGACATTCAACCCATCGAAATCTGTAAACTCAGGTCAGATTAATCCTTGCTCGAACCCAAGAAACTTACACGCCCTTCGCGCCCTTCGTGAGCACGTTTTCTATCTTATCATAATACTCCTCCCACGCTTCAAGCTGTTCATTGTGTTTCAGATGATGAGAGATAAAGTCTGCAATATCGTTGTCGACTAAATCGTTCTTCATTGAGATGGTCTCATGTGGTAATGCGCAAAGTTTACGGCGAATATCTGGCTCATCACGGCTTGTTACAAGGAGATGTAAACCACGCTCGGACCAGCCCCGCATATCGACGAGTCTCTGAAGCATATCCCCCCGGTCCTTATGCAAGGGACTCTCATCAAGTGCATCCGAGATAATGTAAGTCTGTTCAAATGCTCGCACGTGCTGGTAGAGGCAGTCCATGAGGACCTGATTGGGTGGCATCGCGTTGCGGTAGCTGTTGTGCCATTGTGATAGGAGCCCGTGCTTGTCATTGAGCTGACATGATAGCTGTACAACTAGCGAACGGAGCATAGCAGAGGCGTCTTGCTTGGTATCATCGTTGAAGGTGAAAAAGAAGAACGCGAGACCGATGCGTGGATTTGAACTTCGATGCCGAAAGGCGTATTGTATAGCCGTAGAACATAACACAGACTTGCCGCATCCCGCGAAGCCGTTGAGCCACAGGAAAGAATTGGGGCTCGTAAGCCAAGAAGAAAAAGAGGAGCTTTTGACGAACCAGAGGCCAGTGCCTGGATGCTTCTTTTGGCATGCCTCGTTGTAGTTTTTGGTGGCATCGGGAGCCCTGAGCCACTCGCGAATATCTGACGAGACCTGGCTTGATCTGACAAGATCGAGTAATGCCTTGGTATCCTCGACATTGTCCTGAACGTTGCCGATGTCATTCTGCTGCAGCACCTGTAACGCCAGGGACAAATGGCAGACTGCTTCGTTGACGTCTTCGTCAAGCTTTTGCAAAGTACTTTGTCTCAGAGGATAGGCTAGCCTACGAGCACTAGTCTGGGCGACGGCTTTGATACCATCGGTAGATTTGACTTTGAACTTGAGAATCTCGATCTGGAGCTCATCGATATATTCTTGGCAGTCTTTTATAGAGTCCTCGATACTCTCGAGCAAGCTGTGCTCGTCAGGTCGGAATTGGCGGCCCGTCAACTGTTCGTGTAGACTCTTGAGCAAGTTGAGGAGATGTTCCAGCTTTTTGATAGTACGGGCAACGTGGGACTGCTGGTCCTTATACGCCGTGTAGAAGTCGACGAGAGACTGCGTGACATGGATGCCAAGCGAAATGATGCCGGCGAGGCTGGCGGCCACGGAGAGCCCTTCCATTACGGAGCATCGAATCTAGTAGCATATCATTGATGAAGAACCTTCGACTCCACAAAGGTCTTGATGACTGACGGGAATTGTAGTGCGTAGAGTCGTCAGAGAATCTAAGTCCAACGCCGATGTTCTCAGAAGTGCGCATTGATGCCGGAAACGTGGCGGCAGGTTATTGGACGTCACCGAAAGATCATTTGGTCCAAAGCGAAATCCAATCATCTGAAGTTGGAACTGCGGAAACGTGTGTTTTGGTATTCTGATAATCTTGACTGTGCTGTGGCGTTCACCCTGGGTTGCCCGTAATATCGGGGGACCGATATGATCAGTTCACCGACTACCTATCTTACATACCGAAGTTGGCATGTGTTCTTCTGTTGAACAGGCTGAGTTGTGACGGTGTCATTACAACCTCCATACCCGCGCCGAACGCCTCCGGAGGAACCCCGCCGCCTAGAACGCTCATTATTGCGCACTTTGCAACACCCAACTCACTCATTTCACAACCACCGAGCCAACTATCACTTCACTCATTGAACTATATCATGTTGACAGCAATATATAAGCCGTTCTATTGCCAATCATCGGAGCGCTTGTTGCAATCACTCAAGATGCGTCAGGAAAGGCCAACTTGCGGCCTGTGATGCGGCAACGAAGGAAGCCTCAATCGGGCAGAGAATAGTCGCTCCTTTTGCCTATATATATCATAGTCCTCGACCTCCTAGACATCGAGAGCAGACTCGTCAATACATCCCATTTAACTCCCATTGTGTGAGCGTTGCACGACATCTTCCGTCGAGGAGCTTCTTACCAGTATGGTTTGATAAAGGGCATCTTGGTCCATCAGCCGGGCCCACCTGGGGTTCAGATTGGTGGCATATTATTGTTGAACAGGCTGAGTTGTGACGACGTCATTACAACCTCCATACTCGCGCCGAACGCCTCCGAGGAACTCCGCCGCCTAGAACGCTCATTTTTCAGCACTCAACTCACTCTTTTCACAACTATCGATTCACTCATTGAACTATATCACTTTGACAGCAATATATAGGCCGTTCTACTGACGATTATCGGAGCGCTTGTCTCAACTATTGCAGTTCACGAGGAAAGACCGACTTGCGACCCGTGATGCGGTGGAGAGAAAGGCCTCAATCGGACAGAGAATAGTCGCTCCTTTTGCCTATATATATCATAGTCCTCGACCTCCTAGACATCGAGGTCAGACTCGTCAATACATCCCATTTAACTCCCATTGTGTGAGCGTTGCACGACAATTATGATGCAATCTTCCTTCCTTATTCTGGCAGAACTCGATCGGAGATGTCAAGAATAGACTAACGCGCAATATTTTCAACTGAGATAAAGAGAAGAAGGTGGCATCTGGCTGGCTTGATATGGGAAACTGAAAATGAGACCCACAGGATTCATGCGGCATATTTAGAGTAGCGTCGGCGGACGTCTTTTAATTCTTGAAATGAGCCACAAAGGGAGGGGGGGGGGTTTAAGTTCCCGACGACGAGACTCCTGTCAGACCAGGTCATCAAATGCGTCTCCAACCTCCTGTGGTGACCAGCCGCCCTTTACCTAGTGACTATATAGTTATCACGTCCCCTAGGACCTGAGAAGATCGAATAGAGATTCTTTCACCCTTCGTCTCGCTCCCTCAACCTCAATAATTCCGCAACGGTGTAGCTGTCGTCAAAGAGGCTTAGAAAGCCCAGACGTCTACAAATGGATCCCAGAACGCGCAACTTTATCAATCTAGGGGAAGTCGCGTTTCTGAATACAGATGATCTTAAAGAAGATCCGGTAAACACGGTAACCAGGGTCACAATGAGTCCCGTCTACTAACCTGGAAGGCCAAAGGTCAGAATATTGGTATATGCAAAGGGCATAGGTATCTGATAAACCTTCACTCTGTCTCAAAGGTAAACGCGACAGAAAGGCCTCTGAGAATTTGGTGGCACTCGAAAGGACTAGTCAGACGCTGCGGGTGTCTGCTCGCGGTCCTTGGTCGTCCCAAGAATCCCATGGTGAGCGTATGAAAGCAACCTACGTTGCATATCATCATACTCTTAGCCATGCCCAGGATCACATATTTCTTCTCTGCTAGCTATATATAATATGAAGGTTGAAGGGAACCCATCTCGCTCATCAGTTCGACACCACCGCTTCGTGTCAATTCTTCCTCACTACCATCTGCGGCGGTCATGCATCATTCCAAGCCTGTTACTCAGAGCTCTTCTCCTTCGCAACTTTACAACAGCCTCATGCCTTCATGATGCCACTCTGAGTATTGGAGTCTCGCTATCGAAATTTCAGGCTTCGCGGTCAGGACCATTCTTGGTCAGTAGTTTGACCACCACCTCGTGCCCTTTCTTCACTGCCAAGGATAGCGGCGTTTCATTGTCCTCATCCTGAGTATGTAAGTCGGCGCCATTCTCGAGTAGTAGCGTGACAGTCGCCTTGTATCCCTTCTCCGCTGCGTAAGATAGTGGCGTTCGACTTCAATAATCTCGAATGTGTGGGTAGGCTCCATTCTTGAGTAGTAATTTGACTACTGCCTCGTTTCCGTTGATCGCTGCCCGCGTTAGTAGAAGTTGGGTTATAGAGACCCGAGTACCTGGGTCGGCGCCATTCTTGAGTAGTAATTTGACTGCTGCATGGTGTCCGTCCTTCGTTACCAGATGCATTAGTATCTCATTGAGATCATTCTGAGTATATAGACCGGCGCAATCCTCGAGGAGTAGTTCAACGATCGCGTCATGTCCATTCTCAGCCGCCCGCAATAGCGCCCTTCGATGTTCATGATCCTTAGAGCGTGTGTGGACACCCTTCTCCAGCAGTGTTTCCACCACGATTTTGTTTCCGTTTTCAGCAGTTGCTACAAGCGGTCGGACTCTCTGGGGTCTTAAGCGCTCTGCTTGCATGCAAATGGTTTTCGTGGAAAGTTGAACATTTTTGAGCTCACTTGAATCCAGAAACTTCAGGGACCTCGCGCATCCTCTCTTGAAATGCCCCTCTTTTCCGAGTATAGATTGTACAGGAACTGCCACTCGACGATCCTTTTTTGCACACTGAAGGATGGCATACCCCTCAAACCCCATTGAGACCTTCAAATGAATTCCTTCATTGTTCATTGAGATGGCCCCGCTAGAAGTCCTTAAGGGGACAATATCGCCGACTTCGTAGAAAAAGCGTGGCGAGGGAGCAAGAAAACAAGGACGTCTCCACTTGGTGTCCCAAGCGAAGAGGCTCTGGTCATCTGAGACCTTCATAATTTCCTCTTGAAGCCGCCTAAAAGCCCTATCTCCTTCTCCATACAGAAGGGGCATGTTCACGTCAAAGATACCCATTAAACAATAGGCGATGTCTTCAACCCTTGTCGTTTGCCTCTCTGCTGCCCATGACATTCGTTGTGCGACACTGGCCGATTCAAGATCATCTCCCTCGAGAATGTTGATCGGTACACGGGTGATTTTCTGGATATATTTTCGCAGGCTTGATTTAGTCCCTATTTCTTCCCATTCCTTGCTGAGAAATAGTACAATTGCAGGAGCAATAAGCTCCTGTAGGGTCCATCCTCGGGTAAACCATCTGCTTTGCCAAAGTTCGAAGGCTCGATTGAACGGTCTCGACGATACATCCTCAAGGTAGGCGTAGCATAGCCCGGATCCTTCATACCAGCGATACATAGAGTTAATAGCTTCTGAAAGCTCGGCGCTGCTTGTCTTGTCAATACAGCAAGTATCGATCCAGACATAGTCGAATCCGTGAGCTGCGGCCAGAGAGCAGGTGTTTTTGATCTTTTGGTATCCCGCCTTTAGTTCCGTGTCGACCCTCTCAAGATCCTGGAGGGATACTTCATCCTCTCCCCAGGTATGCGAAAGGATCGCATACTGCGGGATCTTGTCCCCGAAGAATTGTTCCAGTTTGCGTGTAGCTGTATTAAGGAGACGCATGATGGACTATTGACTGTGCTTCTCGCCTCCGTCAACGTATAGTGAATCGTGCGTCGGCTACTCCGTTGGTTTAGATGCGGAGGCAGAATTTAAGACGAGGCTGGAAGCCAGAAGGACCTCGTTTGGCTTCGGGCGTCAACACGAAATACTGTCCAATGGGACTTGATGCCAGTATTCCGGGCACAATTTGGATCTTGTTATGAGTTTGTTTCGCTAGTAGTCTGGTACTTGAATTTTCCGGACTTGAAGGGTCGTTCACTGGGGTAATTTTCATTGAAGGTATGGAGTCTCACGGCTTAGGGGCAGAGTACTGGCCATTTACTCAAAGGAAATTACCAAACTTTTTGTTCGGGGCGGTTGGTAAGGCTGTAGCAGTGAATGAGGCACTGCCGTAGTCTCTGGGGCTTAGAGCTTTTCGAACTGGGGCTTTCTTGGGCTGATGAGAGTGACGTGATCAGCAAGGTGAGCTGGTGCAGGAGGAGGCTGAGCCAACGTCGAACCTAGTTAGACCGGCCAAAATAACACCGTCCTTCAGCCGCAGCAGAGTAATAAGGCAGACAGCGCAGGCGCTGCTGGCCAGATGAAGCGGTACCTTTGATAGTGGGCGGGGAAGTTCGAAGGGGACTAGATTGGGCAGCGAGACCTCGGAAATCGGGAGACGAGTCACAGTCACCAGCTAAGAATGCGCAAGCGTTGGCGGGAAGAGCCTCGAGCCCCATTCGGGATGGGCCGTGGAGACTTGGCCGGGGGGAAGCGAGTAGGGAAAAGCAACGTCCTTCAGCTCCGAATGCATGAACCCTTAGGCCGTGACGGGCAGGCCAGTCACTGCAGTCCCGCCTGGAATGGTGAGAGTCTAGACCAAGCCTCATTGTTCATCATGGACGCGGTTGGCCCAGATTGGACTACACTCTTGAACCTGTTGTTGAACAAGGCTGAGTTGTGACGGGGTCATTACAACCTCCATACTTGCGCCGAACGCCTCCGCGGAACTTCGCCGCCTAGAACGCTCCTTTTGCAAACCTTGCAACACCATGAATTCACTCACTTTAGTCACATTTTCGCTATATCATAGTCCTCAGGATGGAGGAACAGGACCTCCCCGACACAAGGACGCCGGCCCCCGAGGAGGACCTCATCGGTCGCCGCCGATGCCCGGGAGAAAAACCTCTCCACCAAGACGAGAAAACTTTCACTCCTTTAACATATAAATAGATAGAACAGCGACCTCCTAGTCCTGGAGGTCAGACTCGTCAATACATCCCATTTCGCCCCCCGACATCGCCTAGAACTGAGTGTTGCACAACACCTGTTTTACGTGAATTTTTGGCCCTACGCCGAAGGTGTTTGCTCTCTACACTCCCGCGAAGGTTGGAATGGGCTAGAGTCGGTCGGCAACCATGCTGACCTTACCAAGCTATACTCTGCACCTAGGACGAACAGATCGTGATTTGTTCTGGAGCCTCGTGTCGACCATATAGACTGAATCCTACATGGTCACTGGGACGCAGACACACGAACGTGGCCCTCTTGGATTGGTACGGTAAGTACCCTGCGCGCCAGGCAATGACCGGTGTGTAGGAAAGAGAGCACCTCGTCGGGAGCTGTTGGGCGCAAAACATATATAACTGCTGTAATTGCCTATGTCCGGTTTCTTCGGCAAGCCTGATCGCACCAGACACCAGCGCCAAAGCATGGGTTTGTTCTTGATCTAAGAACTTTTGAAACCCCTCTGGCCTAAAACGACATGGAAGATACAGACCACCTTTCAAAAGAGACCAAACCGCCCTTGGGAGACGATGGCGAGCCACAGAAGTCCAAAGGGGACCTCTCCTTCAGTTCACCTGCGTTGATCCCCAACGAGCCAATCATTCCGATCTATTCAGTCTTGTCCTCAAGAACTCAGCAGCTTCTCATAGCGTTGGCATGGACCGTCGTCACAGCACTCTTCTGTTCTTGGCTCGTTTCATTCACCTACATCGTGTTTGTCAGCGAAAGTCCCGTCCCGCATGTCTACGACCATTCGCCGAAGATCACGGTCGTTGCAGTCAATGTGGCTTCTCACATCGCGGTACAGTTGACTGGGTGGATGATTTCGGCCGTTTTTGATGTGCTTTCCTGGACCGTGATTTGGCGCCGCGGTGGTGCTTCACTGAGGACGTTTCTGGCGGCAAACCAGGCGACAGGGTTGTGGACCGTGACCACAATGCTTTTTACGCTTGGCGTACACCAGCTGTGGTGTATCCTTAGGTATTTGGTGTCCATGAAATTGCTGCCTCCGAGGTCTTTGATTAACTTGATATGGGGATAGATTCTTTTTCTTGGGAGCGGGTTGGGTCGTCGGGGTGCTGCTTCTCAGTAAGTTCGGTGACGTCCGCGCCAACTGCGTTCTTCATAACGGCTGACAAGACGTGTTGTCTAGGTGACATCTCCTACAAGAATGTCTACTACCGCAACCAGACCGTCAATATTGTGGGTGGCATCGCCCCTCTCCGTACAACGGCCGCCGCACTGCAAGCGGCCAGCTACGGCGACCAAGAACCCTCTCTGGAGGGAGCAAGTATCAACACAATGCTCCTGAGTTCGACCAACGGCATCCTCACTGACCCCAAGTTTGTCGTAAGCATAGATCCTGTGTCCAACGACTGCACAGGGCTCGAGTGTCGATCTTTGTTCTTTCCGGGAGGGCTGGAATTGCTCTTGAAGAGAGACGGGACGAGTATATTTGACGGAACTCAGCCGGATGAACCGGTTATCATCGTCAACGACGCTCCAGGTTATCAAATAGAATACATGCCGACGGACTTCAGTTTTGATGAGTCCGTCGACTGCCAGGTTTACGGACTCCCAGTGTCTGCCCTCTATGCATGCGTGGCAAGTCGGAACACTACACTTTATAGCGGTGAGTGAAGCCATATCCTCTTGCTATAGTGTTGGAATGTTTCAAAACATCCAAAGGATCTGACGATTTGCAGGATTCTCCACCTGTCCTTTGAATTTGATTCAAGGGGCTGACTGTCAGTCGAACAAGTCATGGACGCACCCGTTGCACGCCTCCGTCTCAATGCAAGTCTACAAGCGAATGTCGACCGTCGCGTACGACAGCACCAACTTTTCGATCCTGAGCATCGAAGCCCTGGGGCCTCCAGAAGTGGCCGTCGACGAGGACTCGGTCGCAGACATGCGGACACTCTTCACTATCATGTATCCTCAGTTGAGCACGATCGTCGACGACATTGCCGACGCCATCGTCTCATTCGACACAGGTCAAATGTGGACGGATCTCGCCTATCTCGCCTCGGTGTACTGCCTCCAAGCTGAGATCACGGCTGCCGAGCTCCTCTACAAGAGTGTCTATCCGGACTGGCTGAGCGGCCAGAGGGACATCCTGGAAGGGTTCCTTGCGATTCCGATCCAGTTCAGCAATCTTCTGTTGCAAGAGCTCAACAAGACGGTTCTCCTGACTGACATGGACACGTCCGCATCCTGGGGCCGCGCCTCCTTCCGCGTGAGGTCGGGACTCTGGCCCATCGTTGCGTTTGCGGCCTTGGCATTAGCCCTCATCCTCTGGGCGCTCCTGTGCCTGGCCTACTCTTATGTGGCGACCTCCCGTCGAAGGGATGTCGATCACGAGCCTTCCCAGGTGATTCAAGACGCGTTCAGACAAGGCAATCCGTTTGAGCCCTCGTCCCCCGGCGTTTGGCAAACAGTAAGAGGTTGGTGGAGGCGGATCTGCGGGAAAGACGATACCGCCCCTCAGATCGCCATACCGGTCGGGCCGACCTATATGGTCGCCCGGAATGTCGGCGGTGAAAATATGCTCATCGCTGTCGATAGGGATAAAGATTCAAGGATAGTGGATACTCAAGAGAAAGGGGCTTAAGACAAGAGGCCGCAGTGAGTCGTTCGAGGGGCGGAGGCTATCGCAGCTACGTCGGTCATTCGCTTTGCGTTTCGGTGCGTGCCTAGCGATGGTTGTGAATGGAGTCGTGGCTTGTTCATGACTTCGTCTCGGTAAGGTTTTGCCCAATCACGATGTCGGCAGGGAGAAAAAGTCACTCTCACTCTGCCCATGTCGTCTAATGGGTCAGGTAGTGTTGTTGGACTCATTTCATCAGTAAATCGTAACGGAATGGGTTCTCATTACGTCGACTAAACCTTGACGTTTCTGTAACAAATGTATGCCTTCAGCTACTTGGTGCAAGATATAATGACTACTCTCTGTGAATGTCTCACGGCGTAATACTACGGGACGCCACCATCGGATCTTCGGAGAAATAGTCAACATGGGCCCAGGGAATGCAAGAGACAAGACCCCGATGTTGCAAGGGCGATTTGCTGCGACGTGGTCGTCACCGTCCTACAGCACTTCGCAAACGCTCGTCAACTAGCATAGCACAACCTGCCTGAGATCCCTAGTCTCACGTCGCATCCACTCTTCGCCGTTCATCACGCCTTCAACGTAAGCGTATCCCACGAGGATATGCTCGTCTTCATGGCTTCCTGACGGACGCAAAACGGCTGGCAAGGAACAGCCATGGAGCAGCCAGATGCCGTCATCGAGCCGGGCATCGGGATGAGCCCACCCAACGTCGTCTTTACTGGTCGTCATTAATCGTAGTTCTGCCCTTATCAGCGACTGGAGCCCGTCCAGTGCTACACCGAGCTCCGCCGGGAGTCTGTGACCGGTATGGCCATAGTTCCAAGGGTTGATCCAAGCATTATCACCAGATCTCATAGCCGCTCGTATGAGGGCGTGGACGCTGTCCCTGAAGGCTCCCGTGTACAGAGAAGCGTCCATATTGTTCGATCGTTCTCCCAGCGTCTTTCCGAAGACCCGAAAGTTCCTATTGGCCTCCCTCCAGTCGATGATAGTGGAGTATCTCTCTTTGAAGTATCGACTGTTCTTGGAACCGGCTTTTCGCGACGTGTCGAAAGTATACAGATAGTAGAACAGCCTCGAAATTCCATCGCCGTTGTCTGTGTTGGCGTTTGCTTGTGGAGAAGACCACCCATGCAGCCCCAGGGTGCGAGTTATCGCTGAGAAGAGCGCGCGATCGCTTCTACTACACGGTCGGAACGAGTCGCCAGTGTGACAAGGCTTGCACCTCTCGCGCGGCAGACATCCAAGCCCATTGATTGTTCCAATCTTGATGCCCCTTGTCAGAAGGAGTCGATGCTGGATCCTAACGACGTCTCTGTTGACCAGGCTGCCTCCTGAAGCTCGCCATTTGGCCGGGCCCGGTGCTCCTGAGGCGCGGCTGTCGAGGCCCGACACGTACGGGACGAGTTGATTGCAGGCTGGATCGCCAGGCCAATGAAGGTAGTCTGGACACCAGGAAGGCAACCTGAGGCTGGATTTCTCGCGCCTCGAGCTCACAAAGATGATGTCCAACGATCTTTTGGCCCAGATCACCGCCCGGGTGACCTCGAGACAGACACACGAGTCGGTCCGACTGTAGTCAAGTTGGATCACGTACAGACTGGAGTCGAAAGCCAGACTCAGGATCCCGTAGAGTTTGTCTCTTGGCTCGGTGGCCTCGGCCTCACGACTCTCGGACAGCACCTGGAGAAGGCTGACGGGTTGCGCTTCAAGCCGCCTGGAGCGACTTTGACAAAGCTGTGCGAGATGATCGATGGCACGTCCACGAATCGGAGTTTCTTTCCATATACAACCCACAAGGGCATCGAGAGCGCTCCACCGTACCCCTTGCGAGCCGCACACGACAAAGACTTCAGAGCCGAGCGCGATTTCCTGGATCACCCACACACGTCGGAAATAAGCGTTGCGTAAGAACGCCACTAGATCGGAGCGGTAGCGGTCGAGGCATTTTCCGTCTGGGAGCCATTCTCTACCGTCCCTCACCCTTGCGGGGTGGTGGCTTTTGTCGATGCGCTTCAAGAGGTGCATGATCTTTGAGTTGCTCACGTCCTCGAGACCTAGCCATACCAGAACGCAATCAGCTTGATGGTAGATGCTTTGCATTTTCGACACTTGGGCGCTCCTCTCGACATCATCATTTTGGTTTATGCATACTGCGTCTACCCAAAGAAGGGGACATGATTTAGACCGCTGATGCTGCAAGGCTCTCCTGAGATTGACCGTCACGGGAAGGCGACGTTGTCCACACATATGTCGTCGCAGTGGGATGGGTCTCCCCATTCGTATGACAGCGCCGCATATCGTGGAACGTCGTGGTTGAGGCGAAAATGCCGAAGCCGACAACGTACTCTGGCGTCGAAGGTGCTGCTAGGCAAGATCTCGAGAAGTCTGGTTTCAGCCTCGGCGCTCGAGAGCGGCCGGTACGGATAATTGGAGATCGGCACGCTGACCTCTCTCCCTCGGTAGCTGACCCGCCTGTGCCCGTACCCGGCCATTTGACGCACAATGCATTGGAGTTGTTGTCAAAATTTACCTGGCAGTAGCGCGATGAATATCGGGTCAGCTATGCAGGCCTGATTTGAAGCACAGAGGGGAAAAAAAAATGCTACGTTACTGATCCGGAAGAGACAACGGCTGAACTCCAGGTTGTGATGGTCCTTAGATGACTTTGGAATAACTCGCAATGACTCCCGGCAACATTAGCCGAAAGCGAGGCGCGCGGAGCAGGGCCCCGGGACATATGTTAAGGCTCTCCTGGGGGTGTGCTCGGGGGCGCTCAGGGAAGCTAGGCCATGCTTAGGACCGCACTTCCACAGCTCAGTCAGTGAGGCGACGGACTGAGCATCCCTTGAAACACTGATTACGGTAGGTGACGTACGGAGTACCTAGGGGTCTTCACCTCCAGCCACCATTGGTCGATTTTCGGGTGCGCAGCGGTGATGCCGTGGTTGATTTTGCAAATCGGCTCCACAAAGACCCAGATTTCGACAATCTCAGGCTACAATTCAATATTGCGTGAAGTGGGAGTAATAATACCTTATATGGGCGGTAGTGAGAACGTCGAAAATGGGTGTGATCTGTGTTGTGGGTTCGCTAGTCGATCTGCTAGCGGACGAGGCTGAGAGCCCCTGGAGAAGAGTGGAGTGGTTGACTGCCTCCTTGGGTTTCGACGTTCGTGGACTGTCTGGGGCTATTTGAGTATTTGTTTGATCGATAGACCATGGACTATTGCGTACCGGTTAATTTAGGGATGCCTGCATTGATTTGTTTCATATCATAATTCCACTTCCTTCACGACGACCGTGAACACTTGTATTGAGTTTTGTCGGTAGGTTTTCTCAAGGTTTTGTTTTTTCTTTGGGGATCCAAACCCCGCGCTGAACATTCTCTGAAAATGGGGAAATGATACCACGCAGACTCCTTGGGCCCGAATCCAAAGTCACGATTACATTCATCAAGGTGAGATGGTTCCTGGCAGAGAACGGATACTTTCGATTTTCTAGATCAGGGATCGTAATTCTGACGTAATATGCTCGGCCGAAGTAAATACCCCACGGGCGACCTGTCAGCTGAATTGCTCCTCAGAAATGTAAAGGTTCTTTGCCTTCTGTCTGCAGAAGAAGTTCGATACTTGCGCCCCAGGAAGAACTCAAAAGTCTAGCCCTTTCCACCGTACCCGGACGTCATTCCAGAATTCAGGACTTCGATCATCTCACTTCGCATCTACCTTTTGCTCCTCCACGACGTCCTCCTTCTCTTGCACCTGCTTCTTGTCAGCAGCTTCGTGGTCACCCCTCAATCGCGCCTGCAGAACATGTTTGTATTCCTTGCGGGCGAACAGAACGTCAATCTCCTCGAGACTGAGTCCCTTGGTCTCCTTGACGCAAAAGTAGACGAACGGAATAGCCAGCACATTGAACACGCAGAACAGGATGTAGAATCTGTACCCGATATTCTGGATGCCCATGGGCCCGAATTTGACGACGATGAAGGTGATAAACCATTGTGTGAAGACGCCCATAGCCGTACCGATATGACGAACGTGGAGGGGTGCGATTTCGGGCTTTAAAAGAAAGTCGTTGTTAGCTCGGCTTTTGCAGCAGATGATGCACCGTGTGATAAATAAAAGCTCTATATAAAAGGAGGGTGGGTCGATAATAGACCTCAACGGGGTCAAAGGGCGTAGACATACCACGTATACCCAAACCAGCGGACACCAGGAAGCTCCAAAGACGAACTCAAAGAGGAATATCGAGACGACGGCCAGTTTCAGAGAGGGATCAGTGTTGACTCCGAGGCCGATGGTGAAGAGGATCATGAAGATGGAGCAGAAGATTGCCCCATACAGCATGACGGTTCGTCGCCCGAGGTGCTCGACGGTCCAGATTGTCGTCGCGGTGCCGCCGAGGAAGAGAAGCGTCACACCGCCGGACGTGATGGCTGCTTGGTTCTGAGACATGCCGAGGGAGTTGATGAAGAGGTATGTTGCGTAATATGACACGATACTGCCAACAGTCAGATGGTAAGAACAGAAGGGGTAAATGACCAAAGCATATCAGTCGAAGCTTTCGTGCTCTATTGAACCATGTCCACGACCAATTGTGAACACTTACTTGTTACCATCCATCTGCTGGAATAATTGGGTGAGAACACCAAGCCACAGTCTCCAGGTCGTGTTGACAGGCGATGTATCATAGAACAAATTCTTCAGGCCGAAGCTATACTCTTTCTCGGCTTCGAGAGCAGCAAAGACATCAGCACGGTGCTTGGTGACTTCCTCACTGTCCACCGGAACAGCGTAGATACGAGACATGATATCATCTGCGTCATCAACAGCTCCGTTCGCGTAGAGATATCGTGGTGATTCGGGCAACAGGAAGATCGTGGCCCACGTAAGCAGGATGAACACAACTTGGAAAGCAAGTGGGAGGCGCCAGACAGCTTCCGTGTTTGGGTGATGCTGAAGCATGCCATAATCGAACTAAGGTGTAACAACGATCAGAGAGAGATAAGCAGTACTTTGCACATCATATTAGCTCACCCAGTAGGCAATAGTTAGTCCCAGAATGACAATCGTGAGTTGTGTGGCAATCAAGGCACCGCGAGAATGAGCTTTGGATGTCTCGGCGACCCAAATAGGCACCATTGTGGTTGTTAGACCTAGGAGGTGTGCGTTAGCAGGATCCGTCTAGTCCAAAGACACACGCTGGGGATCAGGGACCACGAACCCATGCCTACACCTCCGATAACACGGCCTGTGATCAAGTAACTTGCCCCGTGGGCTCCGGCTTGCAGTCCTGCTCCCACGACAAGAAGTGCTCCTCCAATAACGATAAACACGCGACGACCCAGCTTTTGTCCAACAAACCCGGCAATAATACATCCAGTGAGGCATCCAATATCATAGATGGCGACAATGGTGCCTTGTATGTCTGCATTGTCCGGGTTGATACGGTTGGCTCTGAGGAAACTCGGAAGGGCGATCAATCCTCCCAAGACACCTTGATCGTAGCCTGAAGAAACGGCAAATATTAGCCAAACAAGCCCAAGGGTCATGCAGCCAAAAAAAAAACTCACCGAACAATGTGAACGCCCATGCTGAGCATATCGTAATAGCAGATTGCAAGGGCAAACCTTGCAGTGACTTGGCATATCCTCTGTTAAAAGCACCCATCTTGCTTTTGACTACTTGTTCCGTGCTCAAATCTCGATAGCAAGGAGTATTGTCCTCGTCTAGGTGGAATAACTTGGCTTCGCCCTCGTGCGGAATCGCTCATAATAATAGTTTGACGCCGATCTCAGATTCCACGGAATTGCTATGGTGCCCTAAAGGTATAGGAACAATAAGATCAACTTGCACCGCCGACCAATCCCAGTACCATACTCAAGGGCCACGCTATCTGGACGACCCGAAAGAGGTGGAACTAAGCCACCTACCCCATAGATCGTTGTGCGGGGGTCGGGGATTGGGGGACCATAGGGGGCTTCCTTGCTTAGCTCACACCTATGTCGATTCAGCCTGTGCCGAGGGTACACACTCCTCTGTGCGGAGTCCAAGCCCCCAGACGAAATAGCTCATCTGTGAGAAGGAGACGGACTGTGCTTTGGCGTAAGCCGCATCGTAGTACGGTAGTACTGTACATGTAGCCCAAACATCATTGTTCCATATTCATCCCGTGGCAGCTTCATGCCGGAGGCGCCCTTGACTATCTAGTGATAAGTTTATTTCCAGCAGTTGAGGCTCCCGGCCGGATAGAGCTGGCGTTTGAGAAGAGACCGGAGACAAAACAGATCCCACACTTGTGCTTCACCTAAGCCTTGCTCTTTTGAAACGGTCTCCTGCAAAAGGATCATTCTGCCAACTCTGGCGAAGAGAGGTGACCACATCCAGACCACGCGAAGCGCTTTTGTATGTTTGGGACATCTCTGCCAACGCCTGGACACAGGTCAAGAAGTGTCGTTGTGCGTGGTCTCTCTCCGGCTGCTCCTCAACTGCCACACATAGGCGGAAGATATGTATCAGAGCAGCAGTCATTGTTATGTGACACATGTGATGATGAGGTCGCTTCAAGCCATACATAGTGCGAAAAAGGACAAGAATGTTACATATCTCCTCCGCACTCTGAACGCATTTGCTGAGTGGTGAGTCCCCTGAAGACGAAAGAGGGTCATCGGAAACAATGAACGGCCTGTGTAGCAGTATGATGCACTCGTAGTAGCTCAGGTGAAGCTCAAGTATAGCTGGAATCTGGAAAGGCGACGAGCCTGTCCCATCCAGATGTAAATTGGCGGGCAGAGAAGAGAACCAATCTCGGAAATCCCTATCAGTCTGGGCGACAAATGATCGTATATCGTCAGATACGTCTGGCACACCCGAGTATAGAACATCGGATACCTGAGCAAGGATCTTCATCAGAGAAGCAAGGTAGACATGAACATGCGCCGCAGCGGCGAAGTCGAAGTTCGAAGGAAATCTCATACTGATATAAGGATCGACATAGTACTCCCATTGGTAGGTTCTGGAAGGAAGCGGATCCTGGACGTTGTGGCGTAGGCTCTTCATCAATGACGGCCGCCCACAGTGTGTGCTCCAAAGAGTGTCGATTGTGTTGATGGACCAAAACAGATTCCGACGCAGGATCAACATATCTTCAGAATCGACGTTCGCCCTAGGTTCTAAGCGGGCGTATTCCTCCCCCAGATCTAGATGAAGCCCGAGATCGGTCATAATTTGCACCGCCATACCAGAATAGATCCAGCCTCTAGACTCTCGTGCATGCGCAGCCTCGTGAGAAGATAGAATGAGCAGGGCTTGCGCAGTGGCGATTGTAGGACTGTCTACCTCAATTTCGAGATATGTCTTGCTTCGGAAGGCAAAGAACTCATCGGTTGCTTCATTGACAGCAGGGTGCATACGATCGGTATACGCAGCGCCCACGGCAAACCTAGTCAAGTGTCAGCTCCCTCGATGGACAAGTTTGGCAAAGTAGTAGGTATGAAATTATGTCGTCGGTGCGATAAAGTGATAGCAGGCCGTTGTACTTACACAGCATTCTCGAGAGCTGGAGAGTACAGATCAGTACTCTCCCCTGCTAGAAATTTTCCCCTCTCTTTGAAAAAAATGTCCCTATCCAACACGTACATCAACGCGTTGTGCCAGGAAAATACAAGGTTGATCAGGTGGTTTTCGTAGGTTGGGTCACTTGTCCACTGCAGACCTGCCTGTTTGATGGCTGCATCTCCGTGGCTGACGACGTTGCGGATATTGGGTTGAACGAGAGATGTCGGGCCCGTGTTTAGCAAGTGTAAGTTTGACATGGCGCCATAATAGCGAGCCTGACCACCTCCTGTGATTTGTAGTCGTCCCAACCGACTGGTGAGCTGTCGAGTAACGTTGTCTAACGTTGCCGCATCGTCTGCCTCTACCTGCCTCGTTCTGTCAACTCTTCTTTTAGATCCTTGTTCAGCACTAACACTGATGGCGGCAGGCGATGTTTCTATGCTGCTAACGCACGTCTCTGGAGTTACACCGGGCACCTTGAAACTTGGTATGTTTGCTGTCATGTTATCATGGTTCTCAGAGGGCCAGTGGGGGATGGCGGCATGCTGAGGAAAGGCGCCGCCAGCATACGTTTGCGTTACACTAGATCCATCATCCTGCCCAGGCAGAGCATCGGCAAACAGCAACGCAGGTTCGAGCGTATCGAATGCAGTAGTTGAAAGATCCCAATCTTCTTGTGGTTCGAGAAATTCGGTCGGTCTCTCGTCATGCCCAGCGCCATTAAGGTCGCCTACTAAGCTCGGTAAACTCAGATCATGCCATTGCAACTGTCCATCATATGTGTTGACTGACGTGGCCTCCAAACTCTCGTGTCTGCTGGCCGAGTGGCTGCCCAGCGCTTCGTCTTTAATCTCGTCATTTAGGATGCCGATGCTGCCCTTGCGACGAACATTTTCTGACATCCTGAAGGATAAGCAACATTCCTACCACGGCTTCTTAACTTACCGTCTCTTGTCTAGGCCATACACGCATTCGGAGCTGTAGAGTTTGCAGTTGGAGCATGGCTGGCCGCTGCTACACTGAAACATGCAGTTGAGCTTGGAGCGTTTGCAAAGAAAATCAAGCACACATACCTTTATACGCTTTCTTCGACACAGGTCGCATGCCAATGAGGTATATTTCCTATCTATCTTCTCTTTACTCGCTCGTTGATCAGACATGATTAAGGCACCCGTGAAAGAAGCGAGAGGGAGGGAGTGGAACAGACGGTGGAGTCGAATCGAAGCGAGAAAGGGTATATCTAATCCAGTCTGACAAGATTGTGGCGCTTGAACCCCGCATGAATATTTTATAGTTGGAGCATATTCCATGTGAGACAGACATCACGTAGACAAAAGAAGAGGAACCACAGTGGTAGAACGATGTATCTACTTTAGATCGAGGGGGAACCCGAAATAGGTCCATCTATCGAATATCATGGAAGCCGCCATCATTGACGATCAGACTTCCGTTCATATAAGAGCTCTCATCACTCAGCAGAAAACCTAACACGTTCGCCTGTTCCTCTGCAAAGGCCATCCTCCTCAAGGCAATCTGCTTGCTCACTGCAGAGTCTTTGTTCTCCTGAGTACCAATAGTCCCTTCTTTGCCCATGCTGTGTTCGACCATAGAGGTCAATGTCCATCCAGGACACAGAGCGTTGACACGAATGCCTTCTGGGCCGTAAAACTTGGCTCCATTCTTGGTGATCCCAACGGCGGCATACTTGGAGGGCGTATACGCTGCCAGTCCTGCCGCCTGAAGACCTGAGATAGAAACGACGTTGGCGATTACACCTCGTTGTCCAGGGATCGGATGGGCACAGTTCGGAGAAAAGGAGACCGGTCGCGGCTCTTGTGTCTTCATCTGCAAGGCCTGGTACTTTTGGCTTAGCCAGAGGCCTCGAGTGTTGATGGCATGTGTTCTGACATCGATACTCAGCAGTGACTGCAGGAAGAAGCCATCATGATCCAGTCTTACCTCTCAAACAGCTCTGTCGTGATGCTCTCTTCCTCGGCCCAAATCGACTCGCATATCCCGGCACAATTGGCAGCATAATCGAGACGACCCGTCCACTCCAAGGTTGACTTGATGGCATCTTTCACCTCTGATTCCTGGGTGATATCGACTTTGAGAAACTTGGCCCGGACATTCCACTTCTTCGCCACCTCGTCGGCCACTTTGACTCCTTCTTTCTCATTCATGTCCACGATGACAACCGACACACCCCGACTAGCAAGTTTATGCGCCGCCGCCTTGCCGATCCCCCCGGCAGCGCCAGTGATCATGGCTACTCTCCCAGCCATTTGCTGTTATGGTGAATTACAAATTGGGCACAGGGGGCGGTGTGACTGTGGTTTCTGGGACCTGAGCCCGGAAGACAATTTGATGCTACATTTTAAATAGCAGGCCATCCGATGCCTCTCGGCCAAAGGCACAATTGCTTGCGAGAATACCGTGGAATTGCTGTTCAGGCGCTGGCCAACTTCCCGCTGTGCGGAGACCCTCAAGAGGGAGGGGGAACCTGAAGGGGAAGCCTGAATTTTCGTGCTTGGTGATGTTGTTATTCAGCCCCACTGGGTAATGACCCATTGCTTTTGGGCTCGCTAAACTTCTGCCAGCTTAAGCAGCATTGTATAATGTCGCCATAAACACCCCCAGATCCCGCCCCCCGTTTCCAAGGACCGGTCTCGATGGAAAATTCACAGATTGGGCCAGACAGATGTCAGCCGGCGGCTCAGGTTCATCTCTTGTAATTATGGCCATTTCCCCGGGAAGATGGCAGTCCGAACCCCGCGAAGCCGTGGGGAATGAAGGGTCCGCGTTTTGAATTCCGTGGAATCAACCCCAGTTCCTCCACACTATGAACGGCAGTACCTTGTAGCTAACTAGTTCTTGGACGATGAACAAGGTGAGTGGCGGGCTAACCATATCGAGGGCAATTGTCAGTTCTCGAGGATCCTTCGCCTTGATAACATCGATATCGCCTGTTGTTAGTTTCCTATATCTTGTCGCTTTCACAGTTTAGAACATTGTTTTCTCTCATTATACAGTCATCCAAGTCTGAGCGGTCACAATGGCAAATTCCCTAGATGTTCTCATCGTCGGCGCCGGGTTCGGGGGAATATACCAACTCTACCGGCTACGGCAACAAGGTCTCAAAGCCAAAGTCATCGAAATGGCCAGTGATGTAGGAGGGACGTGGTACCATAACAGATATGTAAGAGATCCTCAGGGAGTCCATCCTGAAGCAGCGGATATGCGGGTTGCTAACGTATCCCCGCCCTTCACAGCCAGGAGCCATGAGCGACACCGAGAGCTTCGTGTACCGATATTCATGGGACAAAGAGGACCTCCTCACATATCCATGGTCGCATTACTACGTCAAACAGCCAGAAGTCCTCAAGTATCTAGAACACGTCGTTGAACGCCACGACCTCCGACGGGACATGCAATTCAACACCGAGCTCCTCTCGGCAGACTGGGACGAGGCGTCCAAGACATGGCGAGTCGAGCTCAGCACAGGCGAGACGGTGCACCCGCGGTATCTCGTCACGGCACTCGGTCTGCTCTCCAAGGCCAACTACCCCGACATCCCCGGGCTCGACACGTTCAAAGGTGTCAAGTGCCACACGGCAGCGTGGCCGCGAGACCTCCACCTGAGCGGCAAGCGCGTGGGAGTCATCGGGTGCGGGTCGACGGGGGTCCAAGTGATAACGGACATTGCGCCCAAGGTGTCGTCGCTGATCTCGTTCCAGCGGCATCCCCAGTACAGCGTGCCCAGCGGCGACGGGCCGGTGGCGCCGGGGTACCGCGAGCGCGTCAACGAGAACTACGACGAGATCTTCAAGCAGGTCAAGAACTCGATCGTGGGGTTCGGGTTCGTCGAGTCCACCGTCCCCTTTTCGGCGGTGCCGTCGCCCGAGGAGCGCGAGGCCATCTTCGAGCGGCTGTGGAACCAGGGCAACGGGTTCAAGTTCATGTTCGACGGTTTCTGCGACATCGCGACCAACAAGGAAGCCAACGAGGCCGCGTGCGCCTTCATCCGCAAGAAGATCGCGCAGATCGTCCGCGACCCCGAAAAGGCGCGCAAGCTGCAGCCGCACGACTACTACGCGCGCCGCCCGCTCTGCGACGGCGGCTACTTTGAGCGCTTCAACCTGCCGCACGTCGACGTGGTGCAGCTGCAGGAGACACCCATCACGCGCGTCACGCCCACGGGCATCGAGACCACCGCGGGCTCCTACGACCTCGACGTCATCGTCTTCGCCACCGGCTTCGACGCCATCGAGGGCAACTACAACCGCATCCGCATCCGGGGCCGCGGCGGCCTCACGCTCAGGGACTACTGGGCCCCCAACGGTCCGACGGCCTACCTGGGCGTGTCGGTGCCGAACTTCCCCAACCTGCTCATGATCACGGGTCCGCAGGGCCCGTTTACGAACCTGCCGCCCGCGATCGAGGCGCACGTCGACATGATTTCCGGCTTGATCGCTCGCACCGAGGAGTCCCGTCAGAAGCAGCAGCAGCAGACGACCGGCGGCGGTGCCGGCGGCGAGGCGCCCGTCATCGAGTCCCTCCCGGAAGCGGAGCAGGGCTGGCTGGACGAGTGCGAGCGCATGGCCGAGGGGAGTCTGTTCAAGGAGACGGCGTCGTGGATCTTTGGCCAGAACGTCCCCGGCAAAAAGTACGCTCTGAGATTCTACTTTGGCGGTCTCAAGTCGTACTACGAAACCATGCAAAAGGTCATTGACAACGACTATGCTGGTTTCAAGCCGATTTCGGTCCCGGCCGACACCCCGAAACAGGCTGCTAGCAGTAGTGGTGTCCCTGGTGAGGTTCAAGGGCAAGAAGAGATCAGCGCCCACGTGTAGCCTCTAGCTAAACGACCAGCCGGGGGAGAAGTCACGTAGTGTAGATTTAACTAGCAGCATCATGTTTGTTTGATTGAGACCTGATTAAGACCTTGGATGAGAGTTACAAGATACGTAGGTACATGATTGGATGCAATGCGTTTGTTCATAAGATTTGAAGAAAAATAATATATGGAAAACCAGGTAAACATATCCCAAGGTCCAGTCTAATAAGTCTCACGGGCTTCCCTTCCTGGACACGATCAGGCGCCCACCCTGCTAGCATATGATCAATTTGATCGCATGATGCTCACCAGGGTTCCTTTAGAGGACCAACAGAGACTAAAGAAAAACAGTCATTAATTTGTCGTGTGATGCGGATCAAAACGACCTTGCCACCCAAATATCATTTTCCACTCTTCAGAGTAGAAAGGTCGTGATTCGGTCATGCTGGCCGTGCCCACATCCATACTGTCCGTGGTTGTGGGTTGAGGGTTGTCTGGTCTGACCCAGATCTTGGGCGAGATGGGAGATGGGTAGAGGTAGGGTAGATGGTCTAGTATCTGCTTCCACCCCAGCTGCTTTGAGAACTGTGGTGCTTCTTCTTGTCCTTGAGGAAGTCTTCAGCGATTGAACCCATAATAGCACCGCCGACGGTTCCGAGAAATCCGTGCCCGGCCTTCTTGCCCAGGAAGTGGCCTCCGAAACCACCACCGACGGCACCGAGGAGACCTCGGTCGGTCTCATTCATGGGAGGAGCGTTGGCGTCATAGTTTGGAGCGTTGGGGTCGCTGGACTGAGGCGAGAACTGATGTTGGCTAACATCTGGCTGTTGGCCACCCTGACCCATCTGCTGCTGGTACGCTTGGTTTTGGGCGTAAGCGTCGTTGCTGCCATAGCCTTGCCCACCTTGAGGTTGGCCGTAGTAGCCGGCGTGGCCTTGAGGGTTGGAGGCGTCATAAGCACCGTATTGGCCACCGGCCTGACCGTGCTGGAAACCACCCTGCTGAGGAGGTCCGAAGGAGTCCTGGCGACGAGGAGGACCGAAATTCTGGTCTTGCTGAGGGTATTGTGAGTAGCCTTGTTGGGGGTATGACTGCTGTTGCTGCTGGCCGTAGCCACCTTGCTCGTATCCCTGCTGAGGAGGGTAGCCACCGCCGTATCCCTGCTGAGGGTATTGGGATTGCTGGCCGTAGCCTGAGTAGTTGTCATATGGTCCAGACATGGCAACGATTGGGATCTGGAGGTCGAGGGGACGGTGTGTCTGGGGAGGAGAGATGTATGGATGTGTGATTGCGATAGAAGATGAAGGGAATTGCGTCTCCAGGGGGTCAAGAGGAGGAAAGACGAAAGATTTATAAGACAAGTGAGCACAGGAGGCTGGGAAGAACAGCTCGCTCCGGAGTAAAATAGGATTCAGTTCGAACGGTTACTAGAGGGCCAGCTAAGGTCAGTAGGCGCAGCGCAGGCAAAGTCAGTCGGGAGGTTTGTGTGCGCGTAGGTCAGTTGGCCACCGGTTCACGCGGCGGTCACTAGGGGACTCGAGGAACTTTAGGCACCCAAAGACGCCTGGACAAGGGATGCACCGCGGGCTGTACGGAAGCATGAGGTAAGGACGGTTACAGGCGCTGCGTCGCGCTCGTAAATGGTGATTATTGTTGACTGCGACCCTGATCACCACATCTTCACCTGCTCAGCCCTGGCTCAGCCCCCGCGGCAATGAGGGGTATTTGCTGACCAACACGGACTAGCGCCCTGGGCGCATACGTACCTCGTTCGAGTCTGGCCGGACAAAGCCGTGATTCCATTAGCAGGACTTTTGGTGCAGTCCGAGCACATACGGGTGCAACTCAGTCCCTGCCAAATTCCCCAGAGAGCGCCAATTCACCACAATCGTCGTCAGTATGCAGATGCACAACCTTCACCAGCTGAGGGCGTCCGAAGCCGGTGCTGCCGACGACGCAGATTGCCCCACCCTTCGCTTCCACATCTGTACGAATACGAATACGAGGGCCGTGGTCAGATCACGTGCGGTCTCTCGTCGACTCCTCGTCCTGACGGCTGCGCGCACAGCCGAGGCTGAACCAATGCATGGAGTACCACAGTCTACACTACGATGCCGGAGTAGCTTGTAGAGGTTACACCTTGACTTGACTCTCTCTCCCCCCTCGCGCTCGCACCAGTTGATCGCAGAGCCACACACGGACAATACTCCTTTGATACGTGTATCGGTTTGCACCATCGGACTTGTACGGCCCTGTTGCCAATTCGTTTGCCGCAGTCTCCAATAGACGTCTTCATGAGTTGGCTCCATCTACGCACCGGTACAACTCCGCATTGTTGTAAGTAGTATATTTTATCAGACCGGGATTGCGCTTTAATCCGTTCGGATTGTTGCTATTGGTATTGTCGTTGTTCTTCGTGAAGCCGTTGTCGGTACAGTCTCTTCCTCACTCGATCCATACCTCCAACAGTCAGTCCCTTAGAGTAGACAAGCTGCTCGCAAAGTATACATACGCAAAATGGCTACAGCGGACTACAAACAAATATCGGCGATAGCCCGAAAGAGGAGGGCAGCCAACATTGCTGCTTATTACAAGACTCCGACTTGGAACGAGGCAGACCTACCGCGAAACCTGACCGAGTTCGCGCTGAGTTCTGGCTACTACACCAGCGGCGAGCTTGCCATCATCCAGTCCGAAGCAGATGTGATTCTCGAGAAGATCCAGACCAAAGCTTGGACAGCTCTTGAAGTAACCCAGGCATTTTGCAAGGCCTCTGCCCTGGCCCAGGAATTGACCAATTGTCTTACCGAGGTGTTGTACGCCGAAGCATTCGAACGCGCAAAGTATCTCGATGACTACCTTGCACGTACCGGTAAGACAATCGGTCCTCTCCACGGACTGCCCATCTCCCTCAAGGACTGTTTCATCACCGCTCCCCATCCATCTTCCATCGGAATGGCCGCGTACGCCAACGAGCCTTTGCAAAAGGATACACTACTGGTGACCATTCTTCGAGACCTGGGTGCTGTCTTCTACGTCAAGACGAATGTCCCGACGGCTATGATGATGGCCGAAACCAACAACAACGTCTGGGGTGAATGCCGGAACGCTCTCCACAAAGGCCTCAGCCCTGGAGGGTCCAGCGGCGGCGAAGGTGCTCTGATCGCATTCAAGGCGTCTCCTTTGGGTGTAGGGACGGACATCGGTGGGTCCATCCGCATACCAGCAGCCTGGTCATACATGTACGGTCTCAAGCCCTCGTTCGGTCGGTACCCAGTCTATGGTGGGAAGTCCGGAATCCCAGGTCAAGAACATATTCTGGCCGTCAACGGTCCAATGTCAAGATCGTTAAAGTCTCTCCAGATATACTCTGAGGCAGTTCTCTCAGAACACGTAGCCCCATGGGAAGTGGTAAGTTGTGGGCTCCATTGCTGAAAGGCCAACGCAACACAAAGGCATTCATCTAATCAAATGTTCATCAGGACCACAAAGTAGTCCCCATCCCATGGCGGAAGAACGTCATCCAGCCTCCAGGTCGCAAATTGAGGATTGGCATCATCGGCATCGACGACGGTCTGACCACCGTGCACCCTCCAGTCGAGAGAGCGCTCAACATGACTCGCGCCGCACTGGAAAAGGCAGGCCACGAAGTCTTCACCTGGTCAGCTTCGGAAGACCACCCTGTCATCGCCAAGGTTTGTTTTCTTTCCCCCTATCTTTTGAATGTGTTTGCCTCTGTTTTCCGAGTCTCTATCATGTCAGGATTACCTCGCACGTTACGCTGACTGACTCTTCACTTCCTCACGCAGAACCTCCAAGCAGCCTTCTTCGACCTCGGCGCGGCCGCGATAACAGACCTGCTCAAACCTTACAACGAACCCTTCTTCCCCTGCATGGAAGGTTACGGCATCGCGGCGGCCGCCGGCGAAGGCCAGCTCGGCCCGACGAAGATGCGCCTGATGAACCTCAAGCGGAACGAGCTCCAAAAGGCCTATCTCGACCGGTGGAACGCGACCGCCGCGGACGGCAAGCCGAGAATGGACGCCATAATCTGCGCGTGCTCGCCCTGGGCGGCCCCTCGTCTCGGCCAGACCCAGGAAAATTTGTACGTCGGATGGACCGGGTTTGTGAACTATCTGGACTTCCCGTCCTGCACGTTCCCCGTGACCTTGGCCGACAAGACCCTCGACAAGGCTCGCGACATGAGCTCGTTCAAGCCGCTCAGCGACATCGACGGGCGCATCCAGGCCGACTACGACGCCGAGTTCTACCACGGCGCCCCTGTGGCCCTGCAGCTGGTCGGCAAGCGATTGGAGGAAGAAAAGGTGTTGGAAATGACCCAGGTTGTGGCGGATGCTCTCAAGGCCGCGTCGTAGACTCTTATCTAGTGCGGTTTGGAGACGAGAAGTGGTATACAGTGCAATTCCGGATAAGAACTTCGAAGTCCTACGTAGAAAAGGCAGTCATCGCACCTACACAAGAATGACCACAGATTTGAAACTATCATGTTACCAACAGGCGCATCTACACTCAATAACAAATTGCCTCCTCGTCGATAACCCAGCTAGGTTCCTTTTCTGCGTCTGTTGTCCAAGTCTTGTTTCTCAGAGTACCTACGGTCGTCAAGGTGGGTTAGTTTCCCAAGATTGAATACGTACGCGTACCGACGTATGAATACAATGAACACCTACTCCGTCCCCAGGCTCTTAATGTAAAGAATGGGAGGGTCTCCTTTTTCTGCAAGTAAAAACCATCCCTCCTTGACCATGCCCTCTTCAACAGAGCACTCGCGAGTTATAGCCTCTCTCTGTTTCTCCGCCTTGACTTCAAGAATTCGCATCACTTCTGAAACATGAAACCAAAACCAAAACGAAAACCAAAAAGCAATTCTTTGAATCAACAAGGACCGTGTTTCTTGATTTTTTGGTGGTCCAAGGCTGAGATGTAGTCTATCTCTTTCTATCTCTCTGCTCAAGGTGACCTGAGCCACACCGAGGCTTGAGAATCTTCCTGGTTGCGTTGCCCAGCAGTCTATTCCAGCTCATCAAGCACCTGGTACGCTTCTATTTGTACAATTCGACCCTTCGAAAGGTCTGGTCTCTCAACTCTTGCAAGCCCCCCAGGAAGCACCTCCACCCGCTCATGACCAGACCTGGACGACCAAGTCCCAAGCCAGCATCAGGCATCAACATCAAAACCAACGAATGCCACCGCCTTCGCCGTATCATCTCAATGTTGAAACAATGAAAAGCTTTGTAAGCCATCCTTCCAGCGGGGAACCATGCCAATCCAACGGCTGCGTAGAAGTGCGATTCCAAGATCAGGCACGCATGAATACTAATAGCATCTCTTCCTCATGTCCACTTAATCGTCGTCTGCAATCAGAATCGTTCCATCGTCTTCATCGAGGACAATGGCGTGCATGCTCGATGATTTAGCAACCTCTGCATTAGTAGGACCCTGCAACAACTTCTTGGCCGGCGTTGGATCGTCTTCCTCGTCACCGTCCAATGGTCGTTTTCGTTTGCCATTTGACACTGGAACAGGCTTGTCATTCGAGACAATCAAGTCGTCTGCGTCATCTCCAGTCGCTTTGTCACCATCCTCCACAGGCGATTTCCTAGGTTTCCGCGGTATCGTGATAGTGTGACCTTCTCTCTCAACCAACTCGACAATCTTGGCCTCGTCCGTCAGCTTCTTCGCCTCGATGGCTAGTTGCAAATCAACCCGCGGATCGTCGTCCTCTTCATCCTTGACGAGAATAAAGCTGGCATCCGAAATATTGAGCTCTGAAAGTTTCTTTTCGAGGTTGTCTTCCAAATCAGGATCATAGACCACACCGGCGTCGCTCATCACGGTGATTTCCTCTCCGTAGCCGAGCTTCGCGCGTAGAATGTCTTCGACCAGGTCTTTAAGCGTTGCTTTCTCGAGATCGACGTGTATTCTTGCCATAGCGACACTGCAGACGGGGCACTCTGGATTTGGATCTTCCAGTTTATCAGTTCTTAGAGCGCCATTCCACAGCCAGAGCCATTTCGCTTTGGCATAGTCTCCTCTAAGCACCTTGAAAGCTTGCATGACACATAGCCCAGCGACCATGGCATTTGTAGTGGCAATGGCAGGGATAATGTTGCCAGCCATCTGCTTGATGTCGAACTTCGACTTGGGCTCAATACCGAAAATAATGGAACGGAGGTTTCCAGCTGCAGCGACGAAATCCATCGTATCATCGTCGTCTTTGTCAAAAGAGATGAGAGGGGGTGGACCTCCTTCTTTTGCGGCCTTGGTCTGTTCCTCTGCCTGTCTCGATGATAGTCGTGCTAAGGAGTCTTTGAAGACGATAAAGTTCTCTGCCGTTGACCAGGTTTGCTGAGCCTTCTTCAAGACTGACGCGTCAAGGGACGCAGCTTCCTGTTCCAAAGCTTCATAAGACAAGGGTTTAGGAGGGGTCTTCTCCTTCCACATATCCTCCATGTTCGCTAGGCGTTTGATATCCTCTTTGAAAACTTTGTCAAACACGTCTTTCGCAAAGTTATCCGAACCCATCGATTCTCTGATCTTCTTGAGTGCCTGCGCTTCTTGTCTAAGCTTTTCAATTTCAGCAGCATTATCCGAGTCTTCAGTCTGATCTACTTCTGCGGCCTCATCTTCGCTCACACCGAACAATTCGGGAAGGAGGTAACTCTTTGCCCAAACGATGCAATGGATAGGTTGGCTTGGGGTGCTTCGGATCGTACAAACAGGGTAGGAAATCGGCGTGGTCTTCGGCGTACAATCATAGCATGCCGTCTTTCCTTTCTTGATCACCTGCACTTGTCCTTTGAACCCTGTCGTGCCAGATTCAATCAGAGGAATGTCGACAGCCAAACACATCTTGTTGACATGCCGCCGGGCATCCATATTGTCGAGCGCATTGAACACAAGGTTGAATCCGGAGAACCATTCCAGATTGAACTGTTTGTCTTTGATGTTGGCATGGTAGGCGACCAACTTGACATTGGGGTTGAATTTCTTAGCCACCTCTTTGGCAACAAGAGCTTTTGGCTTCTTGATATGTTCTTGCCGGAACAGGAACTGGCGGTTCAAGTTACTGAGGTCTATAGTATCAAGATCGATAATGTGGATTTCACCGAAGCCGGTCAAGACGAGGTTCTTTAGTAGTTCACAGCCAATGCCGCCTGCGCCAACGAGGAGAACACGCGACTGCAAAGAGTTAGTGTTTGACATTAAAAGTACTACCAGACTATCATCTTTACCTCTTTAACGAGCCGATGCGCCGCTCCAAGCGACTGTCTGGCATACTTTTCGCGCGGCATGGTGTGAGGACGAGGGTGGCGCTCGGTTCGCGGTGCTCGTCAGGAGACTGGCTGAGGTCAAGAGGGGAAAGACATTCCGCGTTTTCGTCACTGGTGAGGGAAAGTTAAGGGTGAGTTATGTAAAATACAGAAGCAGAAGTGAAGGTGGAATGAGAACTGAAAGGAAAGAAACACTCCCTACAGGCAATCGAGCGTTGCCAGAGGGCAAACAGTGAATGAAGACAAAATGAGTAGATGAGCTGCCAGTCACTCCAATCGAAATCCGGCTGAGTTGCGAACAAGACTCTCAAGCGACAAAGATGCGCTAGATGGGGAACCCTGCAGGAGTGAGTGACGGATGGAGGGATGACGGGGTGAGCACTGATGCAGGTTAAAACTAGACCGCTAATCACTACTAGCCTCGCTAGAGCTTCTAGCTAGGGAGCAATCAGCCAAGTCTTAGTGAGGGATCTCCAGGCACTAACCTACTAGCAAAGAAACTAAAATCTCGAGTTAGTTGTGCCTTGCAGTTAACAGCCACAGGGGCCTCTTTTTTTTAAACTCGGGCACATAAAGAAGTTTTTTACGGTCTCTACTTACAGACAACGCCTCTGAGACCTCAGAATCTAGGTCAGGTCATCGTAGTCAGCATCTGGTTAGAGGAGGAGAAGGGGAGGAGAAATGTCCGATGATGAAGCCGACCCTGAACTCCTAGCACTGCTCCGCCAGTCCCTGGGTCTGGGACCAGGAACGTCCACCGCTCCTCCCACTACCGGGGTCCTCAAGTCAGCAGAATATGTCTACGACAATGCCATTGACGTGGCGATATCGTCCGACGGCACCAGAGCTGCCGCTGAGACGATATGGACACTCATGCAAGCGAAGCAATACTCGACCGAGACGTGGTCGTCGCATGAACTCCACCCAAAGACAAAGGACGAGGCTACTGTCAACTTCATCTTCACCATGACACTGCTCAACTTCTCCTTCTGGTCCGAGTCGTCGCCGGACGAGCGCTTTGCCATTGAATACCGAGGTCAGCGATGGACAGGGTATTGGTCGCTAGTGGCGGCTCTCCAGCGAGCACTCGACGAAGGTGAGTTCTAGTTGGAAGAACACCATGTCACTCTCCTCTGCCGGGGGTTTGAATGCATGCATCTCCTGCCTTCGGTTTTCAGCATGGCATGTCAGTTCAGGGTTACTCACACACTCTCTGCATCTCACCAGGCTACCCCATCACCACCCCGACGTTCTGGACGGACCTCGACGCCTGCCCGGACAGTCTGCTCGAACACGTCTTCCGCTCCGCGACATCCGAGCCCATCCCGCTGCTATCCCAGCGCATCGCGATCCTTCGCGAAGCCGGGACCGTCCTGGAAACCGATTTCTCCTCGTCCCCTCTGACCATCATCGCGCGCGCGGAAAACTCGGCCTCGCGGCTCGTCAACCTCCTGGCCGAGCACTTCCCCAACTTCCGCGACACCACGACTCTGGCCGGGCGCGAAGTGCGACTGTACAAGCGCGCTCAAATCTTCGTTGCCGACCTGTGGGCATGCTTCAACGGCACATCGTACGGCTCGTTCACCGACATCGACAGCCTGACCATGTTCGCCGACTACCGCATCCCTCAGATGCTCCAGGCGCTGCATTGCCTCTGGTACTCGCCACGGCTGGAGTCGCGGATAGCCCGGCTCGACAAACTCGAGCCCGGCGAGACCATGGAGGTCGAGATCCGCGGCTGCAGCATATGGTGCGTCGAGCTGCTGAGGCGGCAGATTGAGCGCCAGCATCCCGAGGCCAAGGGCAGGCTCAACGCCGTCTTGATCGATTTCTTCCTATACGATACCTGTAAGGAAATGGAGAAGAGAGGACAGTGTGACGACATGCTGCCTCATCATCGGACAAGGTCAATTTACTATTGATTGACCAAGTTTGAGTTGACACACACGCTCGGTGCGCCTTATTGACGCCGTGCAAGATATGCAGGTAACTAGATGTTATCTTTAGACATAGTATTTGCTGCAAAGCTACGCGATATACACAAGAGGGGGAAAATGTTTATTTTGTTTATATAGATATTAGACTAGATCTAAACAACAAAGGGACGACTCTGGCCGGGCTTTGTAGTTCCGGTTGCTTCGATTGCGTCTGATCTTTTCAAGTAAAAACAAAAGCACCCAGAACAGAACAGAAGTATGCTTTCTTGCCTTGGTTGCATAGTCGGCCCCGAGTCAGCACCAACGCCCTCCATAGTATGGAAACTATGTGTGCAATTGTGTCTTTTGGCTGCCTGCTCTCCCCACACCTCGACAATATTCCAAAACTTGTCTTCAAATTCAAACATCACTTTCAACAGGCGTGCTCGTCCCTCTCGATCTTGACATACTGAAAGGGGCGAGAACCTTCTTTGCTTCCCAGATGCGCCAGGCCAGATTCTCGACCTTGCCATCCGCCTTGACAACCTGGGGTGCGAACTCGATGCCAAACATCTGATGGATAGCGTAGACGACGCGCTTAGCGTACTTTCCGTCCCGGTCCACCAAGCTGCCAAACGCCTCTGAAGGGGTGCTCGGCGCGATATCTGGGTCCCGATCGAAGCAGTTCTGCACGATGGGCAGGAGTGTGCTTTCGATAGACCGTCGAATCAGCACGTCATTTTGCGTCAGCATGGTACCTGCGGAAGTGGCGGTGCTGTCTGTGCCTTCCAGATCGTCTTCACTGAATCGTGGAATACGAACTTCAAAGGGTCGTGAGATGGCCATGACATTATGTTTGCCGTTGTGATGATAGCGGAACTCGAAGACACCTTGTGTCCACCATAGCTTGTCGCCGGAGAAGATCATTTCCCCAGTCAAGCACTCCTTCTCGGAGCCGTCTTTGCCTTTCACGGTAGTCTTGACGTTACTGGAGATGATGCCCTTTTCAGAATTCAGCAGGTCATATTCTTGTAGATTGGTAGCAATCCAACGGCCCGACGAAGGAATTGTCGTCACCTCTCGAGACGGATTGTCGGTCACCATGTACAGTCCGACCCAGTCTTTCGCGCCGTGGTTAAGAGGAGCTGTCCATTTGACTTTAATGGGAGCACCGTACTCGAAGAGAAGAGCGTTTTGTCCGCTGGTAGCTTCGGCTGCGGTACGAACCAAGCCCGATTCTTTATCGCTTGAGCGCTGCGAGTCAACCAAAGGAGATGCCGGAGTACCTTCAATCTCGAGATTGTAATCCTCTGGGTTCAGGCCAACGACCTCCGGCTCCACCTTCGTGATGGTGACACGCGCTGTGTGTTTTGGTATGAGGTCTTTAACGTCCTGTACAATACTTGTGACACCTGCCGCCAATTTGGGACGTACGGCATCGAAGAAGTCTTCGAGATAATCGAATGTCTCATCCAGCATCTTGTCCATACCGTCTTGCCAATGTCGCAACGGTGGTGGCAGCGATCTGCGCAGGCTTCTGACCAAACCAGCATCTTGCCGAAGGCTTCGGCCGTACAGTTTCTGCATGTGAGGTCGCTCGACGTATTGAATGAATGCTAGACTGAGAGTGTGGCTCAACAAGGCCAAACAGAAGATAGCTTTACTTCCAGTAATGAGCGCAACTCCCCAGATGCCAGCAAGGCCCAGTACACGCTCAGGATTGTTCAAAAATCGGTAGATGCCACCATAGGTCAACTTAGAGGAGTGATCAAAAAAGAAATCCCCAAAGAACCATCCGAACTCGCCAAGTTGATCGTAGATGCTGAACGAAACCCATACCTGAAGCGCAATTAAACTGAACCCCACGACGTGCTTGAGTAAGACCAAGCCGTAGTCCCAATTGGTTGGTATGGTGTACATCTTCCATGCCGCAGCCGTAAACCAAGCATAGCACAGAATCATACTGAGGTGGTACGTGCCTTTCCATTGCCTCCATGCCTCACCAGTGCTCTCGCCGTACTTCAGAAAATGCCTGGTCCACTTCTTTTTGGAAGACTGCCTGTTAAGCAGATATCCAACCCCGGCAGAATACCAGATTCTCCATATTGCCGCATTGACGACAAAGAATGCTTGATAGAAGGTCGTGTTCGGTGTCAGCAGAGTCAGAGCAAAGATGTAGATCTGTAACACGAGGATGGCAGAATCGGTAGTCCGATACAAGTCGGTATTGCTTAGGCCCAGTAGATTGTGCGTTTGGGATGGTTGTGCATGCGCGGGACGAGGCCAGACATCGTCTGTAGTACTCAGATCATATGTGTGGTTTTCTCCATGTGCTGCTATCGGCAATTCGTTGATTGATCTTCGTGGCGGAGGAGAGCTGTAGGTACGTTCGATATGCGGGCTTTCGACCAACACCAAGAATGCGAATTGAGCGGCGTGAGCGATGATTGAGATGAACAGAACTTTGTAGCTGGCTGCCATGAGCGAGATACCATAGTAGCCGACATAGCCTATCGAATACATGGGGTGAGGGGCCATCTCAAATACTCCATCAAAGGTCAATTCTTGATCGACAAGGTAGAAGAAGTCGCCCCAATACCAAGCATAGTCCTTCACCACTCGATGCGCATCCAGCTTGACCCACAGGTTGAAGGCAAAGAGGGAGATTCCAACAGCCCACCGCAACAATGTGGTCACAAACAACTCCCCGTCTGGCCGATGACCACAGGACATGGCAAAAAGCATGTACGAAACGAAGTCGCACATCAAAATCAAATCGACGATACGACGGAAAACCAACCAAGTGTTATACTCAAGAGGGGCGGTATCGAAGTCGTAATCTTTAGCAATCTTGGTCTCGAGTTCTCGTTTGACAAAAGATCGTATTTGTGGGTGTGGATTCTCACCATTGGAGGCGCTGGGGAAGAGCTTGAGTCGGCGCGCCCACCTCACGAGCATCTTGTGGTGAGACTGCATGTGCAGAAGATAGCCAATGCCGATATTATAGCCTGCTCTCCAGAAGAGAAATATGGCTGCGAGAACGGGCTTCCGATATGCCGCTGGAAGGGACCAGGCCAAAAGAATGTGCAGCAAAAGGATCAAAAGGACGATCACGTCTCCCAGGTTCTTAGGCTCTGTGGGCGAGAGCAGCTGAGAGACCATGTCATGTGTGTAAGGCACGGTGAACACTAGAGAATGGTCAGAATTTGATGTCCAACATACCATCGCAAGAAGGAAGTACCAGTTCCATCGGGAGTACGGCCAAACGTCTTTCTGTCCTGCTCCTTCTTGTCGGATTGCTCTTCGGCAGCATTGAGGTCCAGGACTGCCTGTCTGGCCTCCTGCTGAGTGCTGGCATGGATTGGAGTATTCCGCTTGCGAAGACCCTCGGCCGCGGACTCGGCAGGGGGATCCATGCTCGATCCCGTTTGCCACTGAGGGACAGTCTAGCTGGCCTCACCGAGTCGAGTAGTACCTGAAAGAATGAAGCTTAACAATAAAACCACAACCCAGGGAAAAATTCAAGGAAAGCAGGTCAAGTGCTCCATAGATCGGGCCAGTATGAGTTCCATGTGGCTGGCTCACAACGAATGCCGTCCGAGTGAAGCAGAGGCAGTGGGAAAGTGGGCGAGGTAGAAGATGCTAAGGGCAGATGGTCTTGGCTGGCGAGCTGCAACTGAGTTTCGCGATATCCGAGTTTTGTTGGCTGTCACGTGCCTGGCCGAATTCGGTCCGCGGCGAATCTCTTCAAATGACGACTAATTCCTCCCAGCAGCGCCCGGCAATTGGATGAGCGCAGACGATGACACCCACGAACGATGAGTTATGCACATGCCGAGTGGAAGGATTTCGTGCCATGAGGAGATCACGCCCCCAGCTTGGGAACGAGCAGGAGGGGACGAGGGGTTGCGCAAGGCTGAACGACCAGGCTGCGGCTGAAGGTGGGATGATGGTTGAGCGCTCGCCTAGACCAATCACTTTCTTCTGGGTCTATTACCAATCCATCTTTTGCCTCTTCCACCATGGCCCTATTCATATCATAGACTTCGCTTCGCTCTGCTGCTGATGTTTTACGACGAGTGTATCCAGCCCATTGCCCGGTGACACCGCAACTTGTCCCACGTTATGGCCCCATCGTTCGAAGAGCCCCTCGCAGAGGCGCTGGAGGCTCCTCTGAAAGAGAAACCAAATCTGGTTGCACCAGAACCTGGTTCGTGTTTCTAATTCTCTTGGGAATCTATGAAGTAGACGTCGCTAATCGGTTTCTGCAGAACACTGCCCGGGTCCTGAATCCGACCAAGCCGGTAAGGGTGACGCCTGCGCTGGTTGCCCGAATCAGGCCATTTGCGCGTCTGCGCCCAAAGGGCCTGATCCCGACATCCCCCTCATTACGGAGCGACTCGCTGGCATAAAACATAAAATATTGGTGCTATCAGGAAAAGGAGGCGTGGGAAAGTCAACATTTTCCTCCCTGTTATCCCATGCATTCGCAGCAAACCCTGACTCAACAGTGGGCGTCATGGACACTGACATTTGTGGCCCATCGATACCCAAGATGATGGGCGTGGAGAGCGAGACGATACATGTCAGCAACGCTGGTTGGAGCCCTGTTTGGGTAACAGACAATTTGGGCGTGATGAGTGTGCAGTTCATGCTGCCAAATCGCGATGACGCTGTCATCTGGAGAGGTCCCAAGAAGAACGGGCTGATTAAACAATTCTTAAAAGACGTCGAATGGGGCGAGTTGGACTACCTGATAGTGGACACGCCCCCGGGCACTTCAGACGAGCACCTGTCTGTGAATTCGTTTTTGAAGGAATCAGGCGTGGATGGTGCTGTCGTCGTCACCACTCCGCAAGAAGTTGCCCTGTTGGATGTGAGGAAAGAAATTGACTTTTGCAAGAAAGCTGGCATTCGAGTATTGGGTCTGGTTGAAAACATGTCTGGCTTTGTGTGTCCAAAGTGTACCCACGAGTCTCAGATATTCAAGGCCACTACAGGAGGCGGGCAACAGTTGTGTCAGGACATGGGCATTCCTTTCCTCGGGTCGGTACCTTTGGATCCCCGAATTGGTATGGCTTGTGATTTTGGGGAGAGTTTCATGGACAGCTTTCCAGACAGCCCGGCCTGTAAAGCACTGAGGCAGGTTGTGAGGTCGGTGGGCAAGCTGATCGGCGAGGACCCAGACGAGGTTCTCCCAGACGGACCAATATGAGAAGGCAGAAGGTTTCTGCAAACTCTTTATTCTCTGTCGCCGAGTACTCAGTGCAGGCAGACACCTCTCCCGCAACAGTGCTATGCACGCCTCGCACTCCTATGAACCCTCTTGCACTGTCCAACCCAGCGATCCAACTTAACGGCTGGTGATCGAATGGACGCTCTGTCGACGATGACAAGTGGACGAAGTGCAGTGTCTCTGCCTCGCTCATCCACCCGTCACACCATGTCTGAAGAGTACAGAACAGCCCCAGCCAATATCCATATATACCACTCAAACTCCATATTGGAGATGGACCCTTGGGAGACGACCTGCCGAGACTGGGGATTTTTGATTATGAATATGGGAACCGGTGACGAGCTACGCGAGGTTGAGAGCAGGCCGCGAGAGGCCACAGACGGCAACTTCTGTCGAGAAGAACTCGTATTCATGCTCCGTTCGAGGCGAAGCGCAGGGTTCAAGGGTGCATCGGGTGTCGTGCATTGAGCCAGCGAAGGTAGCACGGTGGTTACCGGACCAAGTGGGCATGTTCATTTGAAGGGCTATAGTTAGGACCGTGACTAGCTAGAGGTATCTGAACGCGATGCCGCCGGGCGGGTTCTTTTCTACCTGATGTACCGTACATCCTGTAGGTGAGTCCCTTACCCAAGGCGTACAGTACTACAGGACGAGTACTGGCACTGTGCAATACCTACCCAGTCGCACTAGACTGCCGTGCTTGGCGAGCCCTCTCCAGGTAGCCAATGGCGGATGCCAATAGCGGATTAAGTGGACTAGCGCGAGGCATTAGCCGGAGGCCCATTGCGAAACTTCCCCTGCATTTTGAAACCCGACTATTCCCTGTTTCACCCCTTCGTCCAAGCCCCCTTTTTCTCTTTCTTCTGCAACTCTGACCAAGTCGATCAAGTATGGATGCGTCTGCTTCCCACACTCCGGCCTTCAGGTCGGTCGCTAGAGTTGCCGAGTCGGCACATGTTCTCCACAAACAGGGAGCCTCGTCCTCGCGGATGGACGCCATGCTCTTCTGTCCAAAGGCGATGGTTGGCGCCATGCCACTGCAGCTGTCACATCCTGGCACTCTGTGGAGAGGTCTGCATTCCGAAACCCAGATCCATATCGAGCGCCACGGTTGACTTGTCGTCTACTCTCCTGAGACGTGCAACATCCACCTGATGGCGTGGCCCAAGCCTCTCCGCCATGATTCGAGACGCAACCAGTCCCTATGTGCTGTGTCTCTGGCCTTGTTAAAATGTCGGCTTCCAGGCCAGTCCTGTGTTGTATCTTTCTTGTTGGCGGTCGAGTCTGGCATTTTTTCCTTCTTCCATACGCTGGTATTCTTCCTTTATATATTGGGGGCAGGTCCTTCATTACTCGCTCTTCCTCTTACGTTCAGTGGGCTTTCGCGGTGCGAAGTTCCTGTCCTCCGTTTCTTTTCGAGTCTTGCCGTGGGCAGTCGCTAGTCGATCTTTCTCTCTTCAAAATGCTTCGTCTTCAGATCCTGTTCTTGGCCCTCCTTTTCATCACCACAGTATTTTCGTCGCCCATCAGGCAAAAGCAAAAACGATCATTTAAAATCCCACGAATAGCACAACCCAACTATAAGCCCAACGGGAAAGCAGCATACAAAAGGGCATTGTTCAAGTTTGGCTTTGGCGATATCAGTTTCCAGCCCAATGGAGAGATAGCCACAAAAATTCAAGCAGCTACGAATGCCTCTGTTGACGCGACAGAGGATGGAGAGACCATTGCTACACCTTCTCAGAATGACGCCCAATTCTTGTCCCCCGTCAATGTAGGAGGCCAGACCTTGGTCATGAACTTTGACAGCGGATCATCAGATTTGTACGACGAGCATCTCGATGGAGACATTCGGAGCAAGCTAACAGTGTGACTTAGTTGGGTTTTCAACACCAATCTTGACAATGCAGATCAGCAAGGCCATACTATTTACGACCCGACGAAATCGAACGCATCTAAAGCCCTCACCGGTAGCACTTTTAACATCAGCTACGGAGATGGTTCGTTCGCTTCTGGACCTGTCGGTGTCGATACAGTTGACATTGGCGGGTCGACAGTCGATGCTCAAGCCATTGGCCTTCCCAATGTCGTCTCGGACAGCTTCGTAACCAACACGGCTTCGAATGGTTTGGTCGGGTTGGCATTCAGTCAGCTGAACACGGTCAAGCCACAAAGTCAGAAGACCTTTTTCGACAACGTCATGGCAGACTTGACTGAGCCAGTATTCACCGCGCAGCTCTTGTCCAATGCGGCCGGCCAGTACGAGTTCGGCCAAATCGACACGAGCTTGTTCAAAGGTCAACTCCAAACAGCGGCCATTGATTCTTCCAACGGCTTTTGGGAGGTTGCATCGACATCTGCTGCTGTGTCGGGCCAGACAATTAACCTTGCTGGTGGCTCTGCCATTCTTGACACTGGGACCTCGTTGATGCTAGTTGGCGATGACCTCGTTGTGGGATATTGGAACAACGTCGAGGGCGCACAACTGAATCAGCAAGCTGGCGGCGTCATCTTTCCATGCAACGCTGAGCTCCCGGACCTTCAGGTTGCTATCGGTAACCATCTCGCGACTGTTGCTGGCGACAACATGAACTTTGCCAATGTCGGCACCGACACCCAGACCGGCCAAGACTGTAAGTTGTTGTCCATACCATCTCGATCTTATGTGCCTGATGCTGACCGCTCGCAGTCTGTTTTGGTGGCCTCCAGTCAAGCCAAGGTCTTCCCTTTTCCATCTATGGCGACGTCTTTTTCAGATCCAATTTCGTCGTCTTTGACGGGGCTGGGCCATCGACCAGCTTTGCGCCTCATGCTTGAAATAGATACCACTGGAAACTGGTACTCCCAATTTATGATACCAACGTCGGGAAAAGAGTTTTGCATAGCGTCCGGAGTTAGCCATACAATAGTCTGTCTGTCACTTTGTGCATTGTTGGTCGCATTACCTACCTACGCATGTCGCATGGCGTGCGCATTCTCTTGTAGAGAACAAATGGCCCCGTAATGAACACAATAGATAGAGGAAGGATGAACAGTAACAAACTGATGCTTCGTCAATTCCATGTCACAAGGACGGGACCGATTTTCGAAGTAATGAAGAATGGTTACCTACATTTTGTCATTCTCATGCGTTCATACCACCGACGACGCCCGCCTTCGCCGGCCAATAGCTTCTGTTGATGGTATCACCAATGCCACAGGGTGCTGCGCTGCGGCCATCTGAAGGCAGCGCTGCGCGGATGGCTGCAGAAACGCCTTTGACATCAAACAACTTGTCCGCGCAGATGTATAGCTGCCGTCTTACATCCTAAATTTTCAGCGCCTACTCCAATGCCGATTCGGATTCCGTAGACTCCTTCGCAATGCGCATACGTGGGTGGGATTCTGAATTCTGTTCTCTCTTCCCGTTTGGTGAATGGACCACGAATGTCTACTTTAGGTAGATCCCGCTGAGGGAATTCGGGGCCCGGTAGAAAAGGAATGGGACCATGTTTCAGGTAATCTGGATCTCGTTTGTGATTTTGTAGAATTCAACGCGAAATTCCACCAGCGAGTCCGCCTCAGACGGATGTAAGATGATTCTATCGTGATTCGTACGGTACGAGCACCGGTCCCCGGTAATTGGCGATCAATCAGGCAATCGGGTGAGAAGGAGGAGGCCTAAAGGGCCAAAAGAAAGACGTTAATATCGTTCTCAGAGGATCCTGAGGCCACCAGGTCTCCTCCATCTGTTGCATGTTTTCCTTGCAGCGGTTTGTGGCGAGGCCAGTCAACCAAACGACACGAAGCCGTGATGCTGTCCGGGCTCAGAGGCGCCGACCAACCGCTCTAGAACGGTCTCCGTCCTCAGCTCGCTGAAGCATCTCACCCGGTCGCACAGATGCTTTTTCAGCTTTTCCCGTAAAGACGCCTTACGCCGGCGTTGATCGTACCCCAGTGATAAGCCTGGGGCAAAAGTCCGTCACTGGTTCAAGCCTAACTGTTTAGTAACCTCCGCCGCTTACCAAACACCACAATTCCACAATCCCTGCATGATTCTATCTTGGGCCGACCGCTGAATTAACTCCAGCTCACCAACTCTCTTAGAGCCCTAGCGAGGCCCTTGGCCTTTCCCGGACGCTCAAGTTGAGGCTGGGAAGCTGCATACATGTTTTCATCTCATCTCTACTGACCTCACTGTAACCAGCTCCGTATCCTGACCTGGCGGAAGATTCAGTTCCGTTCGCGGCTTCAACCAGGGTCGACGTTACAGGTAGGTTAGCGGTACCCAGAGTTTGTTTGTTACTTGAGTGATCGCCTCACCCTGTGCGTGAGAGCGTGTGTTGTCAATTGTTTCCTCTCTTTCTTGCCCTTGCTAGGATCTACGCTTCCATGGTTACCAGAAGACAGCCGGCATGGACTCCAACTCCAGGCGGTAAGTCATGCCCGCTCTCTTGTCTCGTAGAACTTGCTGCGAGTGGGCTTGGTCAACTAACATGTATCCGTAGGAGGCATGCTCCGCTATGGCCTCCCTTCAAACAGTCATATCGACAATTGGGCTCGACTGAGCATGTGAATCTAACACCTCTGCCGGCGACAAGCGCTGGTGGTTCGCAGAGGTCAAGTCTACCCAGTGCAAACATGTTCAGTCCAGATTACAACAGCATAACAGCCTATACCCCGGACCCGATGCATAGCACACCAACTGCACTACTCAAGTCCTCTCGCAAATCCTCTGGTTCGCGCAGCAGGAGGTGGTTCGGTCAAGGATGGCGCGCGAGTTCAAAGATAGCTCTGGGCTGCGCGGTGACGGTCTTAATTGCAAACATCTGTCTGACCATCGGCATCGTGACAACCGGCATGAAGATGATGAACGGGGTGTACATGGTCTACGAAGGAAGTTGCAAAAAAACCCAAATGAAGGACAGCTGGATTCACTTGTGCCTCAACATCGTCGCCACGATATTACTCGCCAGTTCAAACTATTGCATGCAATTACTCACGTCCCCGTCTCGAAGCGAGGTTGACAAGGCCCATGCACAGCGCAAATGGCTAGACATTGGGATACCAAGCATTCGCAATCTGGGATCTCTGCGGAAGAAGAAGGTCGCCTTGTGGTGGATGCTGGCCATTTCATCCATACCTCTTCATCTAGTGTCCGTTACCTTGTCTCAATGCGACAGTATGAACATGTCGCGGCAGCTGACGAGATTCTAGATACAACTCGATATTTTATTCGGCGCTCGCAACCAACAACTACAGCATCCTGTACGCATCACAGAGTTTCGTCGACCTGGCTGCGTACAACGAAACCAAGTTTCCCAACACGCGCGATCTGAACATCACGGACGTGCAATCCAGGGCCAAATCGTTCGAACGCCTCAACAACGCAGACTGCATCCACGCCTACGCGCGAGACTTCGTCGAAGACCGGCGCAACGTGATTGTCGTGGTCAAGGATCCGCCGGCCAACCAAGGATCCCTCTTCAATATCACACAGAATGATTTCCCCGAAGTCATCACACCGAAATACAACGCCTTTTCATGGATCTGCGACGATCCGAACGTCGCCAACGAGACGAACACATGCTGTGAGAACAAATACGGATTCGTCCCTTGCAACAAGATCACCCCCAAGCTGCTTGACAGGGCAAACCAATGGTCAACCGGCGGCTTCGAGGTCGACCACTGTCTCTCCGAGACTGTCGAGTCACGATGCCACCTCCATTTCTCTCTGGACCTCATGATCGTTGTGCTAGCCTTCAACATCCTGAAGGTCATCGGGATAAGTTACGTTGCGTTCCGACTCGGCGAATCTCCGCTCGTCAACATCGGCGACGCCATCCAGTCCTTCCTGCGGCACCCAGACGGCACGACCGAGGGCATGTGCCTGTCCAGCCACGAGAGCGTGGTCGCGTCGGCCAAACTCGGCGGCGGCTATTCGACCACGACAATGCCCACGCGGTACAGTCCCAAACAACGGCGCTACCTCCACGCGGCAACCTGGAACCAGTGGCTGTTCGTGACGGCTCTGTTCGTCCTCGTGTTCGTCGGCACGTCGGTGTGCCTGGCGCTGAGCATCGGCCACCTCGTCGGCGACAAGACCATCGCCAACGCGTGGTCGATCGGGTTCGGGAACGTCAAGCCCGAGAACCTCGTCATGGGCCTGAGCATCGGGTACGGCGACAGGTCGATCGCGGTGTCGACGCTGATCGCCAACACGCCGCAGGCCATCTTTTCATTCCTGTACGTGTGCTACAACGCCCTCTTCACCGTCATGTTCCTGTCGCGCGAGCTGTCGCACTTCAGCGTCACCGCCGGCCGCGGCCGCAAGTACCTCCGCGTCACCGACCCCCGGGGCGAGCAGAAGAGCACCTACTTTCTCAGCCTGCCGTACAAGTACGGCGTGCCGCTGCTGTCGGCCTCGGGCCTGGTGCACTGGCTGGTGTCCCAGAGCATCTTCCTGGCGAACATCTCCATCATCCCCCCGGACGGGTCGCAGCCGATGCAGGACGAGATCACCACCGTGGCCTACTCGCCCATCGCGATGCTGTTTATCCTCTTCGTCGTGTTCGCGTTGCTGGTGTTTTTGATCGCCACGGCTTGGCGGAAGTTGCCGTTCGGCATGCCCTTGCTCGGGAGCAACTCCATCGCCATCAGCGCCGCGTGTCACCCGCCCGTCGGGCCCGACCAGAGCGAACGCGAGGACATGGTCATGAGGCCTCTGAACTGGGGCGCCGTGCCGGACCCGAGGAAGGCCGTGGGTGATTTGGGAATTCGAGGGTTACACTTGGACCGTGGCGCGGCTGATGATTCCTTTCGTCGTGGTGGTGGTGGTGGTGGTGGTGGTGGTCTTGGTGATGACGATGATGATGATCAGAACATTGTCGGCCATTGTTGTTTCAGTGATCAGCCTCTGGTGCCGCCTCAGATAGGGAAACTGTATGCCTGAGGCACCTTGAGGTGGATCGGGTGTTGCCTCAAGGTTACGTGAGGAAACCCCCTATGCCTATCTATTTACACCTAGTATGTCCCCTGAACCAGTAAGGAAAAGTATTTCACGCGCCGAGCTGGGATGTTTGTTCCCTTACAGCTAGCTACTTTCAACATCTATTCAAAAATTCTCGGGAGTCGCGCGCGCGTGGGCGTTCATGAGGGAGGAGGGCCCTCTTCTTCTTCTTTTTCGTTTTCGTACGGATATTCCCATTGCATTTGCATTGGCAGTAGCGTTGGCATTACCAATTGGCATTGAGACATGGGAGTGGTTACAGATCCTGAAAACATCCAGAAGGCTAAACACGTTACATTTCACGTTTCCATGCCTTGCTTTTTTACTTCTTGCCTGAACGTCTAGAAGCCTGGACTGACCAGTAAAGCACACCTCCTCCTCTTACCTATCCAAAAAAAAAAAGCCTTGAAAGCCTTGAACTCCCTCCTCCCCCTTGCCCGCCCTCGACCTCTTCGTCCTTACTTCCAGCTCTTCTTTGTCACTTCCCGCACAGGAACTTTGCCATGAGAGACACAGGTGCACCAACTAGCCTTGGTTGCGTGGTCAACCAGGCATTCATTCCAAACTCAGTCCCCGTTCGATCCAATCTTGACAACGATAGACTTGAACCGTAGACTTGGTTTGCGCACTGTACACCCGTAGATTATTGCATAATGACTTGTAATCCAACCTTCATTCCAACATGATTTTCAACTTCTTGCGGACTTCCCAATCACAACCCAAGGATCGATATCAAGAACCGTTCATGTCATAAGCACCTGCTATTTATTGTCTCTTCTCCTTCTCGACTTCCCTCGTGATGATGTTGCGAATACCACTCAGCCCTTCATCACTGGATACCTTCAGGACTTTTCTCTCCTTCTCGTTCAACCCGATAAACTGCTCCGGGAGGACCGTGTTGAAGTCAAAGCCCTTTTCATTCTGCAGAGCCAGTTCGACGGCGCCGGCGAACTTGGCGGCGTGAGCGGTGGCAAGAGACACAGTCGGCACCCCTGATGATGACGACGCGGATTGCTCTTGAGCAATCTCGCGCAGGCTCGCCGCGACACCGATGGCCGAGTGCGGGTCGAGAACGTAACCCTTCCTCGCGATGGCGTCGCCGCGGTAGCAGTCGCGGATGGCGTCCAGGGTCTCGGGGTTGCTGACGCGGTGCGTGGCGAAGATGGATCGCGCCTTGTCCAGGATCTCGGGCTGCACGGTAAAGGAGCCGGTCTGCTTGAGTTCCTGGAACCACGAGTCGATCCTCTGGCCGGCCACAAGCACAGCGGTCTCGTACTTGACGTCCGGGTTGGTCTCGAGTTCGTGCTCGAGGCTCAGGTGCCACAGAAGACGTTCAAAGTTGGACGACACGAGGATGTCCATGGCGGGGCTGTAGGTTTCTTTGACGCCGGATTCGTGGGCCTGGGCGCCGTCCTCCTTGATGCCCTCGTGAGGCTCCGAGGCCGGCTTGGGGGACTTGCTGTAGGATCCGGTGCGCCAGAAGCGGTGGAGAATGTCGTTCTCATTCGTGGCGATGACGAGCTTCGCGATCGGCAGACCCATGCGCTGCGCATAGTAGCCTGCCAGGATGTCGCCGAAGTTGCCGGTCGGCACGACAAACTTGACCTTCTTGAGGTCGGGCTTGGTCTTGAGAAGTTGGAAGTACGCGGAGAAGTAGTATGTGATCTGGGCGAGGATGCGGGCCCAGTTGATCGAGTTCACGGCCGCGAGGTGGTGGATCTTGTTCGTTTCCGGGTCGGCAAACAGCGCCTTAACGTAGTCCTGACAGTCGTCGAAGGTGCCTTGGACCGACAGACAGTGCACGTTCGGGTCGAGGACGGTGGTCATTTGTGCTTCCTGCACGGGGCTCACCTTGCCGTCGGGGAACATGATGAAGATACTCACGTCCTTCTTGCCGCGCAGACCGTAGATGGCTGCCGAGCCTGTGTCGCCGGACGTGGCGCCGATGACGGTCAGGTGGTGTCGAGACGCATTGGGGCCCTCGAGGTTCTTGTTCTTCCGGACCAGGAAGAACTCAAAGAGGTTTCCCAGGAACTGAAGCGCGACGTCTTTGAACGCAAACGTCGGTCCGTGGAAGAGTTCGAGAAGGTACAGTGCCTTGTCTTCGTCGAGGGCCACGAGCGGCACTTTCTCGGGATGGCGGAACGTCGAGTAGCTCCTGTCGATGATGTCTTTGAGCTCTGCGTTGGAGATCTCATGCTCGTCAATGTAAAGTCTCATCACATTGTAGGCGAGCTCTGGAAACGACAGGTCCTTCCATTCCAGGTATTTGGACTCGACATTGGGCACCTCGTGAGGGTGGAAGAGACCTCCGTCCGAAGCGAGACCTTTTAGGACGACGTCTTCGAAGCTGAAGAATTCACGTAGTGAGCTGTCATGGTACCGCGTACTCGAGTATTTGGAGTTATTGGCCACCATGGTGGGGAGAGGATGTTGGGCGGTGGTGGCGGTGGTGAACTTCTGAGTCAACAGTTTAGAGAATTTTTTAATGCGGTCTCCTGTGGTCTTTGGAGAGTGAGTGGTGTTTCAGCAGGAAAACGTCAGTCGAAAGCTCGACGAGACCACCGTTTCGATATGAAAGTCACGGACAAGAGACCAAGAGGCAGCACCTGACGAACCCACAGGTGTTCCAGACCAAACAAAATATCAACTTGCTCGATATGCACTCGTAGGTAGTGTGGAGTGGCTTTCACATGTAACTAAAAACAGCATGGCCGTGTTGCCGGTTCGAGCCGTCACGTGGGGATCACGCCAGAAAAATCTCGCCGCTTGTACCACAATGGGTTAGCGCGTGAAATCTCTTGGCGCAAAGTTCGCTCCGCGGGCTCCTATAAATCTCTGCCTCTCTGCCCTTTCTATTTTTCTTTTTTTTCTTCATGCGACTTTGTGAGTTTCTCCCTGCACCCCCGACTAATCAAAGTGATGCTAACAGTGTCCGAAACCAGACTTCATAGAATCATTTCTATAGTAAACGTCCTCTTCTGAGCTCTTCACACGAGCCACAGACTGCAACCTGGCGGACGAAACAAAGCAACTTCACCCTAGAGTGAAACCGTTTTACCCTCGCCATTTGTTCTTCCTCCTCTTTTTTCGCACCGTGTTTCTTCGGAAACTGGTCGTGGGGAGGTCTGGACAAAGAGGGTGGTGATGATCTTTGACCTGCGTTCCTTGGGTTCTGGCTTCGTGCCGCCATGCGCAGCTGGTGAAGTTGTTGATTCTGACAGGCCTATCATACCTACACTTTTCATGAGCTTGGAACCCTTGAGGTTGGAGTTTGAGAAGAGCTGTTTTTGTGTTTGTCGTCCACACAACAAGAGGGGGTTTGTTCACAAGAGATAGGAAACAAAAGTGACGATTCTCTAAGAGCGCTACACCGATCTGTAACTACCTGTAGGGTGAATAGGTGACAAAAATCATGCCAACACGAGCACAGATCTCTGTTTTCTCACACGAGTTATCTGAAGTCTCTGATTTGTTATGGCCTAATTTTAGTTAGAAAATTTCTCGATGAGCCTGGCTTTGTTCAGCTTAATCCAAGCACTTCCTGACCACAGCGCGGCATCTTTTCATGCCAGAGAACATTGGACAGACCAACTTTTATCCGGGCACGGCGCCGGTCAGGATGGGACATGAATTTGATGATACGATACACGTCGACGAACCTGTGATCTCACTTCAACTTTGTAACCAAGTCAACTGCCCGGTAAACATGTCCCGGGAACTTGATATTTTTGACCCTCACTCACTGTAGGCTCCTTCATGCCGCGACTAAGGAATGGGTTTTAATACTCCTACGACTTCATGGTGGCTTAGAATTCCAAGCTCTTCTTCTCTTCTACCAGCACCGTCCTCAAAACCTCTTTGTCTGCTTTTTTCTCCTTCGGTCTTCCCTTCCTATCGACCCTCTCGTCCCTGGGATCAAACCCTCCATTTCCCCAGAGCGCCCACTCCGGCGTCTCCTTGCAATAATCCTCCGGTGCAAAATCGGCCCCTTCACCCAGCAGCGTGAAGAACTTGTCATAGTCAATGATGGTGTTCCACTTCCCATCAATCAGGAACCTCTTGCTCGCGAGCAAGATGCAACAGCTATGTGCATGTTCTGCAGCGATGCCGTAGTCGAGCCCCCGTTTCGCTAGAGCCCTGTCCAGTGCTTCAACGAATGCCACGACTTCTTCATAGAACGGGACATTCTGCATAGTCAAACCGGCGTTCGAGGAGGTCGAAGTTCCACAATACGTGACTCCTAAACCAACCCGCAACGTTAGCATCTTCCCAAACAAACAGAAGGCTCTATTAGTATCAGGGTAGATGGCCGTTACCTTTAATCTCGACGAAGCAAGGTAAGCCTTTCTCAACCAAGTCAGCGTACCCCTCTGCTTCATCGTCGATGTTGAATCCCTTGACCAAAGTCAATCTGAAGACCGTGCGTTGGACAAAGCGTTTCTCGCGGAGAATCTCAAGGCAGGATTGGAATCGTTCCCAAAAGTCTCGTTGGAGAGGTCGATCGATCTTGCGAAGGCTGTCCTTATTGCTTGCGTCGATACTCACATACAACTGCGTCACTCTCCTCAGATCACGAAGTTGCTGTGGGTGCTGGGCATTGCACACCAGGAAACTCGAAATCTGTTCACTGTGAAGAAGACCCACGAACTCGTTGATGCGAGGGTAGAATATGGGTTCGCCCACAAGACTCAAAGCACAATGCCGAATGCGCATTGCTTCTTCGAATCGTTCGCTCCGGACCCCGGGGACACCGCGCATCATCTTGATCTTCTTGTAGTGGCCTTCCTTCGCGCCGTCAAAGATCATCTGCGGATCATCCACTTGCCACCGCCAGGTCGTGGATACAGGGTTGGTTCCGTGGCGCCAGCAAAAGACACATTTATTGCTGCATGACAAGGACGGTGTTGTCTCCATACAGAGATGTGAGGCGATGCCGTAGAAGGAGTTTTTGTAGCATGACCCACGACCGCGAAGTGCTGACTTTGTCCATCGGCAAATCTTCACTCCCGAGTGACTGCCAACGATGGTGTACCCTTGTTTCGTAAGAGCCGCATACGTGGGCGACTCCTTGGGTACCATGGCCTTCAAAGGAGCGACGGCCGCTGCTGGTGAGCGAGAATAAGTAGTGAAGTCAACCGCCATCACCGCTCCTTTGCCACCTACGTCTTCTAGATCGGTGGTACTCCTGAGCTTTCTTCTCTTGTTCCGTCCGGAATCAGGGAAGTCGACTTCTTCCTGCTGTCTGTCCTCTTCGTCGTCCTCATCGCCACTCTCGACGGCATCTCCGCTTCCAGGAACACCCTCGCCCAGTCCGCCGGTAGTGCTAAGCTCCTGGAGCACATCACACACACCAGCAGTCCAGTCTTGTAACGTCTGGTCGATGTTGCTCTTCACGTCTCCTAGACCAAGGGGATATGCCCTTTTCCTTCCTGTCAACTTGGACATCCACCTGTCGACTTCCACAGCTTGTGAGCAGAAACCAGCTTCTTCAGTGGGCCACCCATTTTTGTCACCGATTCCAAAGACGGTGTACCCTGCCAGGCCGGAGAGAGATGCAGTGTCGATGCGGAAATCATTGTGTGTTTCGTCGAGATGGTCTAGAAAGGTATTCAGTATTGTGTCGATGTCGTAGGACGGTAGGAGGAGGATGTAAAAGTATCGCACGTTTGAGCTTGGTCCGGGGGTCTTTGGACCCGAGATGAAGTAGTCGTCGAGGTCGACGTACGAGAGGTCGTGCAGCTGGGGTTTGAGAACAAGAGGCTGCGCAGTAGGCAGGCTCTGGAGCTTTGCCAGCACCGACTTTGACAGACGTTCGGTAGTGCCCGTCAACGAGGTGTAAAAGACCAATGGTAGTATGTGCGCAGGCCCGTCGCGTTCGTGGGATCCTTTGCCGCCTCTGGGACTGGGTTTGCGACCATTCACCACCTTCGGCGCAGAATAACGGGGTTTTCGGGTCGTGCCAGTTGCAGGCTGCTGCTTGTTGTCCAGGGAAGTCTTGCCATTTGCCGTGGGTAAGGCGACCTTATCTTCATCCTCGAGCCAGTGTGCTTTTCGCGGGTCGGGTGAAGAAGTCGGTGCTCGCCTGCGGTATAGCCAAACCAGCAAGGACGACAACGCAACCACCGAGTACACAGCGACTCTATAATCGTGCCATGAAGTCAGTAGACGATCCAACCAGTCTGCTAGGACGACCGGTGTCGCTCCCCCATCCCCTAAGTCCATCGTCGTGTCGGTTGCAGAAGCACCAAGGGTAGTTGAGGCTTCCAAAAAAATATGTTGTGAGACTACGCGGGGTGCGTGCGGGTAATACTGTTGTTCCCGCTACTGGGCGCTTGAGGGTTCTCGCCTGATCCGCAATGGTGCTCCTCTCAAGCACTTGACAATACAGATTACTACAGAATTCCGTCACCCCGAAGAAAAGGTTACGGGGAAATCTCTCGGATAATGCATGAAGACTGGAAAACGAGAAAACGTTTCGGAATGAGCTTTTCGGATCTATGGGGTATATATAAGCCGTGTGTGCGTGAGGGTTACGTTTCAGTCGTTACATCGTATGTGCCTGGATGCAAATACTCATCAACAGGTACCATATGCAAAACAGCCTCCCTACCGGTGTACACGTTGTCTGAGGCAGCGTCCGCAATGCCTGACCAGCCCCAAGCGTGAGCGAGCGCATCTCCCGACATCACTCGCCAAAGGCTCGGATCAAGCCATCGCAGGTAAGAGTTATGGCCTGTTTGCCTGCTTCAAGGACGGCGTCCATGGCGAGGAAAGGATGCGGCATCCCTTGCATGAGGGTCAATTCCACGGGCACCCCATTCTGACGCAGCTTCTTCGCATACTCCTCGCCTTCATGACGAAGAATATCGACCTCGCCGACAATGATATTCGCCGGTGGAAGTCTTTGGAAGATAGCGTCTGCTGCCAGAAGCGGCGACGCCTCCCTGCGCGACCATGTTTCAGGATCTGGTAAGTAATGGTTACGATACCACAACATCTTCTTCGCGGGAAGAGCCGCTGTGTATTCGAATGTCTTCCAGGTTGGGTTGGAGCACGGTGTCGCAGTATTGTCCGTGATTGGAACGATCAAGAACTGGTGTCGGAGGGTTACGCCTCGTTCAATCGAAGCATTTTGGACGACAACTGCAGCAATGTTTGATCCTGCAGAGCTTCCCCCTATAGCTATCTTGCCAGGATCAAGGTCCAGTATGCTCTTGCCATATGAGGTAGCCCAAAGGAATGCTTCCCACGAATCGTGGATCGCGGCCGGCCACGGTGCTTCAGGGGCGAGCCTGTTTCAAAGGCACAGTCAGCTCGAGCCGGAGCAAACGGCGAAATGATGAGCAGGTGAAGCATCTGAACATGGAGTGGTAGCAAGAAAGCTGGGATCTGCTGACCTGTAGTCCGTCGTGATCACAACCGCCCTCGCTCTGTTGCAGATGTGGGTACAGATATTGTTCTCAGAGTCAAGGTTGCCAAAGACCCAGCCTCCGCCGTGATAATACAAGACTACTGGCCATCCAGAATTTGGCGGGCGTCCTTGAGGGATGAAGCATCGGATTGCTATGTCGGGCCCGTTGGTTTCTTGTCGAGGTATCTTCGTATCGAGGATCTCGCCAACGGGCAGAGGGTCACCATTGCAGGGAGTGTTGTTTCCCTTTGCCCTCGAGACAGACAGCGGCAGGCAGTGTGCAGGGTGCTGGTTCAAGAGGTACTTGTTGTAGAAGGCCACATAGTCCGGATGCAGGCGATCTATGACACTGGGGTGCAGTGGATAGTAGGGAGCCTGTCTCTGGACGACCATGGCGACGTGTCAGGACGGATTGGCCTCACGGCAAAGGTCGAGCAGCGCAGTTCTTCAGCATCCAACGCTTTGTCCCCCTAAACGTGGTCGGTCGGTTTGTCGCGAGCACAAGTCAAGACGGGAGAAGACTTTTGAATAGTCGAGGTCAAAGTCCTGGCCGAGCAAGTCGTGGAATCGAGTACTCGAGTAGCAGTGGGGACCGTCCCCCATCACACTGATAGCAGGTCAAATCAGAGACAGTGGACGATAGACTCTGGACGATTGGTGCAGAGCGGTACTTCTGCCACGGCGAGCTGGACTCTTGTGACCTCTGGACCCTGCACGACGAGCAGCCAGTCTGTTGTCATTTCGTCGGGTCACTGTGCAACCCACGAGTCCACAACATCTGGCTGGAGAGGGATTTGCTCCCTTTCAGTACGAATCCCACGCGGGAAGCGGCGTCACGCTATTGATGCAATCGCAAAGCTCGTCTTTGTTCCTAGCACATGCGCTGAAAGTACCGAAGGGACCCGGGCCAGTGGTATGTGTAACGGGCCCCCTGCCTGAATAGCTCTGGCATCACGCCCACAAGGCCACAGGGTCGACTTGCCCGAGCTGCAGAGGGCACTTCTAAGCCTGCATCGGTCACGAAGGTACCGAGACCACAGAGAGGCCGGTTGTGAGAACCTCGTTCAGCTCTAGGCGTGGCCGAATAAACGACGGTCCTTACGAGGTGGTTAATTGGCCGCTCGAGATCGGCATTGGTAGACTCGCTATAACCACCGTAGCGGGAGAAACTACTGCAGGAAATGAGCGTGCGCCCATTGGGCGTGCCGAATGCGAGATGCGTGTTCCAGACCGGATGAAGTGTTGATTCATTATGCAACAGCTGCATCAACCCGGGATGTTAAGCGCTGTGATCTGCGATACGACGTTGAACATGGGATCAGTGGTGTGTGTGTTGTCCTTGTGATGCCCCCCATCGAAGCCAATCTGAACTCTGTAGATCTCTTTACGTACAACCCAAACGACGTACTTATCTTGCTCCTGATTCATAGAACCACTGGTAGGTACATTACTCGGTAGCCAAAGCTTCCGCATTCTGCACGTCTCCATCCTTCGCAAGAGGGTATGGATCATCCATCCACATACTCTGCTCGGCCTGCGGCCTGGCCACCGGCGCCAAGTTGCCTCAGGAAAGTGTCAGAACAACGAGACATCGAGTCATGGGCCATCGGAGCCAAGGTACAGTAGGGATCCCATCGTAGGTCTAATCATCCATAGGTCTGCACCAGAGTCTTTCCCGAGCCAGCTTCGGCCCGATTCGCCTCGAGGGGCTCGATGCGCATAGAATGTTGTAGTACTGTATGTATGGCTACGGTGGCCCACTGCATGATACGTCCATCATCTCTCATCGGTATCGATTCTTCAACGATGCACCTCACGGCGAGGGATAACGAGTTTGTAACTGGGAACCCCCCTCTCTACACACAATATTCAGAAAAAGGACCCCAGCTTGCTTCCTCAAGGGGCCCCAGGGGCCAAACATGTCTCGACTCTCGTAAGCCTCAGGCGTTTGGATCCTTGTTCTGTCTCTGTCTCTTTAGACTCCGTAGTGGCTTCCGACAATGGCCTTGAAGAGTCAAGACGGGATTTTTTTCGTCCAGACTATGGACTACTTCGACATCGAAGACAAGGCTTCTCTCACCTCGACGTGTCCGTCCCACGTACTCCGTACCCCGTACTCGCCCAAGCTATCCACCTGACCGACTTTCATCATTCTTCTACAGCTGTCAGTCGGCCACTGCAAACGATAGCATTGGCCTCACCGCTCAATCATCCCAGGGTTAATATGTGGCAGGTCCGATACTTGAACTAGGGGGGGACCGTCGTCCGTAGTCTCACTTTGTCCACAAGGTCAAATTTAACGTTCTTCTTGACCTTGACGCGGTACAGCATGTGCTGCGGTAGAGAGGCCACCGATGCATGTGATTCCGAGGATCCGGTAGAGCTAGCACCTTCGATATCACTACTCCTGTCGACGATGGCGCCACAACTGTTCGAGCTGCTAGATTGGGTTTATGAGGCGGACGTGGCCTCGTAAGTATACGAATTTCCCCAACGTCGAAAGAACAGCTGGCAGTCTAACTTCCTGGTGTAATGCACCTTTTTCTGATCCTCACCCTTCCACACCTCACTCCAAAATGCTCCTCGAGCCATCTACATCCCTGAGGTCTTTCACCGTAGGAGGCGGTGCGACAGCCAGACCATAGCGAGCGAGGATGGCTTTCGGCGATGATCATTTTCGCACCCTGTCTTTCGGTTGCCATTTCCGCGGAAGTTGAGGAACCACAGGGCCTGAAGAAATATGAGAGCTTGGGGTTCTTGCTGGGGGCAGAATGGGGTGTATCCTCCTTCATGTTCGAATTTGCCTACGTCTTGAGTTCTAAAGCAGGTCCAAAACTCTCCGTGCTTCTCGCCTGTCGAGTTAGTGTTCCTTGCTGCAAGAGGAGCCATTCCAATACTGATAGCAATATCATCTGCGTGCTTTCGCTCACCAGAAGGATTTGCTGCGTTCTGGGTTTGGATGAGTGTCCATCCTTCGTGAACCTCATATCATTCCTCATTTACTTCTTGTGATTGAGAAGGGTTCACTCTATCCACTTCCGTGTTACTGAACTCAGAGATATCAGGCTTCGGGTAGTGCTTACCCTGTCGGTCCTCTCTGTCTGCGACGAGCACGGCGGCAATTACAAGTTCTTGAGCATCATCTCCCTTGCGTCGCACATGCACGGCTGTGGCTTCGTGTCCATTTGAGATGGACACGAAAGAAAACCCTGCCGAATGGTCTCTTTCCTTCAATGTCTCGTTACAATCTATTCTACCAAGGTCGAGTCCAGCACCAGCTTACATTTGCACCTATCCTCCATAAGTGGGAGCATGTCTCAGTAGGGCAGCGGCAATATTTTCATGACGCAAACAGTGGTCGATAACCTTTGACGATGTATATCTAGCAGCCGTTCCAGGCTCTGGTTGACACGGGAGGGTCGGTAGAAGCATGTCCCAAGGGATTCAGCGTGTCCCATGTATCCTTGGGACGTACCGACGCGGTGCTTCAGAGCAGTACTTTGGAGCTATACGATTAGGTAAGACTCGAGTACGATCTCAGTCTCACTTCCGAGATATCCTACAATCTGTCAAAAAGGTCATAATCACCAAATCCGAGACCTTATTTGCAACACCATACCAATGTTCGCACATGTTTTCACATCGTCGAGGGAGTCGCGTACTCGGTTACAGCTGCTTTTCAAAACCGGAAATTTCTTTGACAGAATGAATTCTCTTGTGCTTTATCGAAATCTGTATGTACTCCCCACAACATTCGGAAGGATTCTGACATCGAGATGTGGTGTCACCAGCGGTCTCCCCAGCGAAATATCGAGCCGAGCTACGCCAGAAATTTCAACGCATTTCATGCAGCAATACCATCCGACTCCGGAGGACCTGTGTAAACCTTGCGTGCGTGAACTGCATACCAGAACGCTGCGATGGCGAGGAAACCGACCAATACAACACTGGCATAATTCATAGTCACTTCCGTCACGGGTAGTGCTGTAGGCATGCTGAACAGGACCAATTCGAACGCGATCCAGCCAAGAGCCACGCAATTAACAATTGGCCCGATGACAGGACCACAGTTCCAACGAGCAGTCGACACCTCACGTCGGTGATGCAAAAGGCTGATGGCAATCGGAATCGCATATGAAAGCGCCAAGGCGATCACTCCGACCGACACGAAAGCCGTGAATGCCGACGAGGAACCCAGGTAGATCAGTCCGAGCAGCATCTGCACCACGGTGGTGAGGACGAGGGCGTTGAATGGTACGCCGAGGCCTTCATTCACCTTTGCCCATACCCGGGACAAGGGAATAGCGTCATCTCGCGCAAATGCCCATGTGCAGCGTGATGCGGCGACCGTGATGCTTATGCTGCAAAAAAGGGTGATGACCATGATGAGGAACATAAGGCCCAAGCCACCTCCGGGTGTACCCATCACGCGGTAGAAGATGTATGGCAGTGCTTGTCCGTAAGGCGCAGCGATAACGTCCTCCAGAGGTGGCAGAGTGAAACAGATTGGCAATATGAAGAACAGGCCCGCGAAACCTCCAACGGGCACGCAGAGACTGATGGCCTTTGGTACCTTGACTGCCGGGTTCGAGCATTCTTCGGCCATTGCCGAGATCATCCCAATGGCAGAAAAGGTGTAGGCAGCGGGCAGAAGACCAATGAAGAAGGTAAACCCTCCCCAGCCGGAGAACGACTTGTCATAGTGGCCCAAGGCGTAACTAGCACTGTGTCGGCCTGCGTCCGCCTTCACTGAGAGCGCAATCAGGATGATAATGATGCTGAGAGCTGTCCAACCAGCGCAAACAGTGTCCACCATCGGCAAGATTCTATTCATTGTCGCACAGATGACCAGGGTTATCAAACAGATGGCGTAGAAGATCAACAGCAGCTGCCAATCTTTCGCTACCCAGTCCGGATGGTACATTGCCACAGTCCCAGCGATGAGAGAGGCAAATCCGAAATTCACAGAGAGTGTGATGGTCCCTTTCAGGAGTTACAATCAGCATCAGATATTATAGTCTTTTGAGTACGTGGAGTTACGGCACATGGCTATAGCTCGTCTCTGGGACCATTGCGGATCGAGAGGAGCCCGCAATGTCTTGATGGTCGCAACGCCGCGCGTTGCACGAGGAGACTTACAGTTGCCGATTAGCCATGTCCATCCTGTCAGGAAAGAGAGTGCTGTCTTCCCTTTGGTTGCAACTTGGTATGACCAGTAGTACGGGCCGGCTGACGTGGGGTCTGCAGCATCCGTCAGCAGCTTTCTCAACGCAACCAAGTCTCGGTCACACGGTTGAGGATATGGCGACAACTCACATTTTGAGGCCAGTTCGCCTAGTGACAATGCAACACATTCGTCAAGTACGAGAATAACAATCCAGCCCACGAATATGGACAGAGGGCCGCCTCCATAGATGGCACTGATGAGAGGTGCACCTTCACCGTAGGGAATGGCAGCAATGGCAAGCGATTGGAAAAGTAATGTCAACATGGATCGATTTCGGGCCAATTCTGGCTTGTAGCCCAGTTCGGTGATGATGTGAATATCCTCTGCAGTGCCTGTCGCGAGCGAACCTCGTCGGCCCTCCTCCACGGGCACCTCATTTGAAAGCCGTTTCTCCGCGTCGACAGCCATGATTGCAAGGGATCTCGAAGATGGGACAGGTTTCTGGGAGAGATTGTTGCAGCCTCAGGTAATGAGCTGACCTCAGGGGAGATGGGGAGATCAAGTATTCCCCAGCGGATACTCGGGGCCCTTGGCCATCCCAAGCAAACAATAGTCAGGCCTTCGGATGTGCTTGGTGAAGCTTGGGAAACCTTGATGTGGCTCTATCAGACAGGGGTGGGCTCGCGATAACAAGAAGTCTACTGCGAGCAGATTTCGTCTTGAGTCTTGGCCACATCCCTGTAGAGACCGAATTGCCAGCCAGGGGATTGCACAGACAAGTGGCATGGTCGATATTTTGCCCTATTGTAGACTAGGCGGGATTTCTCACCAGACCAACACCAAGCGGTAAAAAGTTAGTGCTATCTGTCTGCTGGGATAGGGTTATCATCAGCCAATTGCCAAAGGTTGGTTGCCGTCTTGAGGCGCAGCTCGTCCATTGGCGATAAGGCTGGTGGACCATGGTACAATAAATTGCTACAACTACTGTACGGGAGTACAGGAACGAGGACATTCCATCCACGTTTTCGACAGTGGATCATGCCATTTTCTTGTTTTCCGGGGGAGGGTCAGTTTCCGTAGTCACTCGCCAGTGGTCGGTCACCTTCGCAATAGCTCAAACTTGGCCTTTGGTGGATTGGACGAAATACCCTTGTGTCACAGCACGCAGGTACCCCGACACCAAAGGTGCGGAATACGAAGGCCTATCTACATGCCCGAATGGGCATGGTGCGGCGCAGTGGCCCGGGGCTGTAAGATCTGCCATGCATTTGACGATTGCTGAGAGGTCCTCTAGCCAATAATGGCAATGCGATAGGCAGCCCACATCATTTCTTCGCCCAAGGTCGAGATATGGTCCGTCGTGAAATCACCTGTGTGAGCGATAAGCCAGATAGGTGACACCAGAGCCTCGCGATGCTTGCAATATAACTTGCTACTTCCAGAAACTCAGTAAACGGACAGGCGTCTTCAGTATTCACGAACTTTTCGCCGGCTCACTTTTCACCATGGCATCGGCGTCGGACGTACTGGCGGCCTGGGACGCCTGCGATAAGACTGATACTGTCTTCATCCTCGTATGCACCGTCTTCTGCTGGACCATCATTCCGGCCGTGGGGCTTGGATACTCCGGCTACTCGACCAGAAAGAGTGGTCTTGCATCTGTTATGCCTGCAATATATGCAGTGGCGGTTTGCACAATCCAGTGGTTCCTCATCGGGTACACGCTGGCATATGGCGATGGACCTGGAGGAGCGTTCGGCAATTTGGCCCATGCTTTCCATCGAGGCGTCCTGGCTGAGCCTGTCGGAACAATACCAGCTGTGCTCTTCAGTGAGTTTCAGCTTGTGTTCTTGGCCACGGTCTGCGCCATCAGTGTTGGAGGAGCTTGTGAGCGTGGGAGAATTCTACCATTGATACCTTTTATCTTCGTATGTTCTCTTACCACCAGATGTCTTGCCGCAATTGCTGACGGGTCGACTGCAGCTATGGGCGACCTTTATCTACTGCCCTTTAGCCCACATGGTGTGGGGCGGGGGTTTTCTTGCCGAATTGGGAGTTCTCGACTTTGCTGGTGGCACTCCCGTGCACATCTGTAGTGGTGCGACTGCCTCGGCGCTGAGCTTGTACTTGTCGTATCCAATCGCCAGGTCGCGGAAGTCGGAGGTTCGAACGCCATCACATCTGAAACTGCATCGACCTCATAATTCGATTTGTCAATTGTTGGCAATGATCATCATCTGGGGATCGTGGCTGGCTTTCGATGCCGGCACTACCCTGAGCCTGAACTTCCAGTCTGTCATGGCACTCTGCGTGACTAACCTTTGTGCCTCAGCTGGAGCTCTGACATGGGCGGCGATCACATATGCTGAAACAGGAAAGTGGTCATTGGATAGCACCTTCATGGGCGCGATCGCTGGACTCGTCATGATCACACCAGCGGCCGGCTTCATTGACCTTCCAACTTCGTTGTTATTTGGATTTCTGGGAGCGGTCGTTTGCCGCCAAGCTCTCCGCATCAAGTTCACAGACTTTGCTCGGAGCTGGAGGTGGGTTGACAACGGCGACACGTTCGCCACTCACTGTGTCGGAGGATTCTTGGGTACCATTTGCACAGGTCTGTTCGCTCAGAAGACGGTTGCGGCGTACGGTGGTGTAGAGGTTGATGGTGGAGTTTTCTTCGATGGCAATATCCGGCAACTTGGAGTCCAGATTGTAGAGGCATTGTTAGGGTTCGTATGGTCCTTCGTCGGCTCATACGCCATCATTGTCATCATCGACTGCATCCCAGGGCTTGAGTTCCTGGCTGAGGACAAGTACGCCGAAGATTCCCATCAGTTACTCTTTCAGATTGCTAACTGCTGCAGGGACGTCAACATTGGCATGGATGCCTCGCAAATGGATGAGAGTCTGTACGAAGCGCAATGGGCAGGCGAGGAGGATTACAAGCCACTAGCAAACGGCGGCATCGTTCTTGAATGACCTCGAGGTACTGACAATTTAGCGAATGACCTTTGACAGGAAAGATCCGTGTAGATCTGGACTTAGAGGAGTTTGTATTTCAGGATAGACTAGGATGAGAAAGAAAAGTAGTCAGAGGCCCGGTGTAGACCGATTAATAAGGACGGCGTTTGGAACTCCCATGGCGTCGGCAGAGAGACAGCTATCGACGGCATTCAAGGTAGCCACCACACTAGGATGGTGTCGTTGATAGTTGAGAGGTAGTGCTGGGACCATGATGTCTTTCAGATAATGCTGTCTTTTAATACCTGTACTCAACCATCTGACCTTCGAGTGAAGACAGCGTTAGAACCAGAGAGGGGGAAATCCAGTCACGTGATTAAAGCCTTCCTAAGACGGAATAGTCATGTTGTGATGGTATCGCACACAGCGTGTCTTTGTTCCTTCGCGAGAACGCCTGGTGGCCCTATGGGCTTTCAGATTCCCATGAGCGAAGCTCAAAGGTCATGCTGCATATATTTTCAATGTGCAGGGCGCCAGAGGTAAAGTGGAGGTCGCCTAGAGTCTCCTATGGTGAGTGGTGTCAACGCCCGAGTTGTTTGTCTCCTTGTCTCCTTTGTTCCTGTTCTGCTTTCGGTTTCATGCAGCTTCTGGGTTCACCGGAGTCGATCAACATGACTGCCACGACGAACTTTCCCGCGGTTCTTTACTATCTATGGCAGAGCCAGAAGCTTTGAAGTCTCGCCCTCAATTTTGACATCCATAAGCTCTGAAGGCAAAGAGGTAATCGCCTGCAGTTCCAGAGTTCTAATCCTGTCCCAATCATACGATGCCGATATCAACAGACAACCTGAGAGGGGGTCCCACTGCCGTGCCAGATGGGCGCGTCAGTTACACAGTATCCGCAGACGAACTTCTTGCAATTGAACTGTTTGCTAATACACTCCTGGCTCGAATACATTTTATCTTCTTTCTCGCTGCGTTACCCGACACGCCACATAACAAGCGGAATGCTCTCCTTGAAGAAGCGGACGCCGCACTTCACGAGGCTGAAGAACTTTGCATGTCTGGGACCTATCCTATACGGTATGAGCTCAAAGCGAAATACTGGTATGTTAGAGGGTTTGGAGCAGACACAAATCGCGACCGTCGCAATGCCGTCGAGTCATACAGGAAAGCCATAGAGATGGACAGCGAGTATGAAGCATACGAAGGAGTTAGGAGAACTCTCTATGCTCAAGAAGAAGACGAAGAAGAAGACGAAGATGATGAAGATGAAGACGATGGAACTCGCCCCCGCAGTATACTGTTCCGCAGTCTACTTCGAAGCACGAGAGAAGAAGTTGACGATGGTGATGACGAAGTCTCACGAACTGTCAAGGAAGTGGCTCTCAGACCCTCAAGAAAACGTAGCTCATTCTCGTCTCAACCACCGCCTCCGGTCCTAGTCCAGACGAAGCCTCCACATCCAAGTTACGGAAGAGAACATGCCCAGGCACAGTCAGTCTCGAAGCCAAAACACGAACCTCCGGTGGATCTACAAGGGCCCTTGCAAGTAGTAGAGTCCCAATTGACTTCATTTACAGAGCAGGAAGCACTACTGTCGGATACGCCCAGCATCTCAAAATCTCAGGTCGATGAGGCACTGATCTCGAACGCCACATCGCAAGATCATCCATCTACTTCAAAGCCAACCTTGCGTATCCAGTCTGGTAGACGACTCTCGCTGACTGGTTCCGATTCAATGCCTTCTTCACCGAGTATCCCGAGCCCTTTGAGAACAACCTCGTTCCCGAGCGATTTCGTGAATGATGCTGACTAAAAAGCACCTGCTCTTCAGCGAACATACTACCACTCATACAAACGTGGCCGAACCTGTCACGGGTAAAAGATAGTAATCGAACATTCGCGTTGTCGTAATTAGTAGAGGTGACACTCAGAAAACCTCACGGGCAGGAAAGTCAGAGGGCATCATCCCAAGCCCCGCTCCGTCAACCTCGATTACTGAACATCTGCACGCTTTTCCATTGGCTTGTCCAGGAACCACAGGACACGAAGAGGTGTTTTGCGGTTAAACGATACATGCAGGTTACGTGCGAATGGGTGGCATCACGGGCTACGTGGTGGCAGTAAGCTATTATATCAAAGACGGTCCATCCAACTTCTTTTCGGATGTTCACTGCATTCAACCCACTGCACGGCAATTACGGTCTGTAATATTTCACTTCCAGCATTGCGCCTCTAGTATCGACCACCAAGTCTTGTTCTTCAGAAGCGGAGGTTAACTATGCCATTGACAACACAAGTTCAAGCTGTCAGTGTTGACCGCCTGACATACCGCTCGACCATCCCATTCGAGGCAGCCGAGTCTCGCCTCCGCTCGTCGATCCAGAAAGATCCCAGATGGTCCCAGTTCCAGGACAAACCGGGTTCTCGGCCTGCGGACAGAGAGTCGTTCGAAGCCTTCATCACGGCTCAAGTCGGGCCTCACGGCTTCATGTACTTCAATGAATACAACCACGGCGCGTGGCTACCTCTATACGACCCGCCTACAATAAAGGCTGCCGATGCAAATGGGGGGACGAAGAAACTGAGAGCCGTCAGATTCATTCTGGGCAATCCACTGATCGCAATCACGATGCTCCGCCATGATCTAGATGCCGGTCTGTCCGTCCCTGTCGAGCTGTATCTTGTCGAGGAGGCCAACGGCACGAGGGTCGTGTGGTTCAGGCCGAGTGGTCTTGTCGCTGGATATGAGGGCGCCGGTGTTGAGTTGGTGGAAGCCGCCAAAGCATTGGACGCGAAGCTCGAGAAGCTCGTCAGGTGGGTTCTGAGTGAGAGCCTTGAAAGCCACGCGTAGAGGAAAGTTTGTCACGTGGAGATGCGCTGCGCTTGACTGACCATATCTACCTATCTAATATCAACCTCAACAAGGACTACGTCACGATTGAAGTCATCCAGCGCAACGGTAGTGGCACCCTTCGTCTTCTCCATCATAGCTATCTTCATCATCTCCCCGTCTGTGACGCTGACGTCGTGTTCCTCGATGACTCTATACCCGCATGCCTTGTACAGAGGAATGGCATTGACCGTGCTTCCCAGCATATATGTCGTAAAGGGCATGAACCTGCTCGCTGCAGCCTCGCACTCTTGAACAATCCTGAAGCCCAGGCCACGGCGCACATAGTCTGGGTGCACATATATGCCACGGATCCACGCAGGCGTCTCACGGGGATCAAATTTCTCGTACTGTGCCGTCTCAGAACCCTCGTCGGTATAGATTGTTCGCTGCGGCCACCAGCCACCAGACGCGACTAAGTGGCTTGGGTCATCGGCGGGATGGACAACGTAGTATGTCGATTTGGAGATCAGAAGATCATACCGACCTGCCGTAGCTTGAGATACCATGGTAGATACTTGCAAGGGTGAATAGTCGTTTCTGCATAATTGGGTAATGGCCGACGTGAAGAGAGCGTCTAGCGCCGGTCGATCAGCTGCTGTGGCGGGACGAAGTCGGAAACTGGACAGATTTAGCTTTTGGTCCATATTGCCCTTTATCTGGTACCCGTGTGTCGCTGAGAACTGAACCAGCAGGCTGGAAAGTTGTCTTGAACCTGTAAGCGCCTGTGGTAAACCTATTGAGCGTCGAAGTCCCTCAAATTGACCCAGTAGTTCCAAAGCTTTCGACCAATAGAAGCGGGGCCGATAAGGCTCCGTTCAACGCCCTTGCCGTACGCGGCGAAGCCACGCAACCTGACTGAATTACCGGACGCACGCTTCAAGGACATAGGTGCAGTCTGGAGGGTATCTCGACGGCGAGGCCGTGCTGAGATTTTCGGGGGAACAAGATATTGTCATGTAAGCATATCGGTCTCGAAATGCACGTGGATCTTTTGCAGAAATGTTCCACTGCCGGTGACTTCACCTCAACAACCTGTTTTTGGTGGCTTATTGGATCTTCAGATCAGCGAGAAATTGCTCGATCGTCCTCTCGGTAATGTTCTGTCGCACGTCGATATCCTTTTGCGGTTCGCTTGGCACATCTTTCTCCAATTCTCGACTCTTCGCTAGCATCCTATCCATTCGCTCGTAAAGACCATCCTTTTCTCGCATAAATTCTTGCATTGCCTGAAGTGCGTCGCGGTATTGGTGACTCTCTGGTCCCCAAGTGCTCTTCACATTTAGTAGATTCTTTCTGATTTTAGTGACCAAGTTCGAGATTTCCTGCATCTCATTGTCAAGATTAGCACCGGTAGTGGCGTTCATTTCAGACATCTCTGCGTGAGATTGACTCGGTACATGTGGCCGCGCGCCTCGAAAGTCACCTATATCCCCTGGTCTGAGATAGGAACTGCATCATCAAATCGAGGTCGAAACTGTCGCAACTTTCGAGGTGCTCCCAGCGTTAAGTAAAAGAAGTGGAACAGAACGGCGCTGTAAGTTTTGCGCCTTCATGTCCGTAGCCTTGCGCTACACGCCTCAGCCTTGTAACTTAGTAACACGTGACCTCGTCATATACCCGGTTTCTTTCTCTTACTTTCTGCTCTATCTTCGAAGATTCAAAGCCCGCAATACAGACGATTGCTCAATCAACACGCTACCTTGGTACTCTGCCACCGATTGATCAGACGCAAAGTCATTAGACTGATTTATGCAATGGTTTGACCTCCCAAGGCCATAATGCTAGGGTGAGGACCTGTCACGATTCAAAAGGTATTCTCATGGATACATTGCGACAACATGTCAGTTACAGTATGTCCAACCCGGGCCCTATTTTGCCCATATGCTGATGCTGCCTAGCTTCACACTACGCACGGTGACCTCAAGATCGAAATCTTCTGCGAGTCCGTACCCAGAACAGCAGAAAATTTCCTCGCCCTTTGCGCGTCGGGAGCCTACAATGGCACACCATTCCACAGGGTGATTCCCGACTTCATGGCTCAAGGCGGTGATACCTCGCTTTCATCACAAAATACTGCTAGTACCCCGATCATCAAAGGAGGGACATCAATATGGGGTGAATACTTTGAAGATGAGATCAAAATTCCCGCTTTGCGACACAGTGGTCGCGGTATGGTTTCAATGGCAAACAAAGGGCCGAATACCAATGGCAGCCAGTTCTTCATCACCTTCAAGGAGGCGCCTCACCTGGATGGGAAAAACACCGTGTTTGGCCGCGTCATTGATGGGGCAGAGGAAAGGGGCACGCTCGAGAAGATGGAGAGTGTCGAAGTAGACAAGAAATATCGGCCCAAGAGCGAGAAAATCGTCGTCGAACGCGTCACAATACATGCAAATCCTTTGGCAGGTTGATTAGGAGAAGTGTCCGAAGCTTGATGTTAGCTTTACGTGATGACGACCGCCTCCTTCGGCACATACGACTTTCACATGCAGCGTTGAGCCTCGTGTATACGAAAGGGTCTGGCGAAGATGATTTCTCTTCCAGACTTGGCCTCCCTGACCGGCTACCTTTCTTGCACAGAGCGGACTGAAGCCACCAAGGACACTGCACCGTATTGGGTGTCGGACATGGCTTATCGGGCTCATATGTAGTTCTACCGAAGCTGAGAACTTGTCTGTCCTCTTTCAGGGCCTACGAAGCCGTTCGCAGCTACGCAGGAAGGACCATCGAAATCAGGCACACCAATCGAGCTTGGCGCGCGGAATCCTTGACCTATAAATTGGCAGTACAGAAGTCCGCAGTGTGACGCTTGCCGTTCTGATGGGAGACTCTCCAACGTGGTGGTAGTGGATTGGCAGGACGGCTATAATCCGACAGCCAATCCTCCGGAATTACGAAGATTAGATGGCGAGCTCACTGACGCGTCGACTGGCCCCGAATGGCTTGGGAAGAGGGTGAGGCTGAATCTGGTCCAGACACCCGTCGCCGGAGTGGTTCGTCCAGTGGTGGATGAGCACCCGAACCTACCTGAAGTGGTAGAGGAGTATTTCAGATCGACGCAGGTGAAGGGTGTTGACGTGCGCCGCTTGCGTCGGATTGCGGGCATTTGCAAATCATCAGATCTACTGTAGGTTAATTTCCTGGGTGGTGCTGAGACGCATACAGCAGCGTGTACGGGTAGTTAGGCTCGCTAGGCTGAAAAGGTATACCTGACAACAAAAGGGCTGATAGTAAGCAAAGGACCTGAGTCTTATAGGCCTTGTAGGCCTGGTAGGCATCTCCGTCTACAAAGTCCGGGTACCCCAGGTAAGCGACAATAGGCAGCGCCACCAGGCTCACTGGGCCCAGCGGCGGCAGGAATCTCGTCATTCTACCCTCTTCTGTCCCACGCACTCATGCTGTCCGCAGCCTACACAACGCAAGCCACTCTCACCATCACCGCTCATATTCTTGGACCTCAGGCTTCAGCATTATCAGTCCATTTCCCTCCCGGTCCTAAGATACCTTCTGTCAATAGTGTGACCATCAAGACCACAATTCGCTCGTCCTCGCATTTGTCCGCCATCTTCTCCAAAACACGCAGACGTCAACAAGCCCATTCATTTCCTTGCATTCATCGCGAACAAAGAAACAGGAAACACATGCCTCCCAAGAACTCTTCCTTGATGTAACCTCTCCATACTATCTGTACGACTCGTCTCTATGGGCTTCATATCTTTGCTCAGAACAAGGCCTCCGCGATTCTCCAACCCCATAATACGGCGACCACAGACGAGACAGACTACGACGCCTCATGGTCTCGATATAGGCTCAAGCTGCATTAGAAGATGAGCGCATTTGTGCGAGTAACTGGTCGGCCCAACACAAACTTCCTCGTTGGATACCCCGGGATTTCTGCCACCTTGGTGAGTTATCCCTCGTTGCGTGCTTGTGGACTCCATGCTGACAGCCTCAGCCGCGCATTGAAGGCACTGTCGAGTTGCGTCCTGGTGTCGGCATATCTAGCCCTGTGAACATATCTGTTGTTACCATTGCCCTTCAGCGGCGAGAGAGCATCCATCCACATGCAGACTCGGTAGCAAAGAAACACCTGGCTGCGCCCAGGAAAGAGTCGACCGAGACCGTGGGCAAGGAGATGTTGTTGTTTCGATGTCCGGCCAACAGAGAATATGAAGAGATCATGTACATGGATCTGCCATTCGTGATTTTTGTACCGTTTGGTCGAGGAGGACAAGAGACAGCCCGCAGAGTGCCGCCAGCCAGCCTACAATTATCACGGAGGACGGCGGAGACATACTACGAGATGGTGGTGACGGTGGGTTATGGCTCTGGGGATCGCAAGCAATACGCCTTTCCAGTCCCGATATCTCGGTACGACACGTTATCCACGTTTGGGATGTACAATCGACCCGAATCTGCCGAACGAGTATCAGACCATTTAGTGACACTGGGCATATCTCTACCAAGGTGGTCATACGGGCCCCTTGATCCAGTCAGCGTCTACATCAAGCTATCCCCCAACCCGGATTGGCTAAGCAAAGCACGGAAAGTGACTATTCGGAAAATCGAAATTGGGATCGACGAGGAGGTCATATACAATCATGAAGGAGACGAACCGCAGAGGAAAACCAAGAACCTGGTGCGCAAAACCGAAAACGTGGGTGTGAAAATGCCAGAAGCTGGATATTTTACCAACCTTGGACTGGTATTTCCTGCGAATGATCTCCGCGATGCCGACGGAATCATGCCTCGTGGGAGGGCAGCATTTCCGCAATATGCAGTGACAGGCTTTACGACAACGGCAGGTTTGTACAAGGTTGAATACTACCTGACGATCAAGGTATGTCCAGGGTCTGAGAGAGACGTAAATGACACTACTGACCATGGGTCAGGCCTCGATGAATGGTGCCAAGGATATCGTTCTGCGGCAGCCGATCGTAGTCTGTCCGTACGACCACGCGATGTGCAAGGCCGAAATGGAGGCCATCGAACAAGCCGCCAGAGATGCTTCGCACGTCAATGCGGACAATCCAATGCTGCCACTCGCCACGATCGTGCGGGCATCGGATCCCAACGCCATGAGCTGCATCGGAGTAGCTCTGGTTGGGTCGGTGAAAAAGCCTTTGATCGAATGAGATGGCCACGAAGGCTTGTCGTGCTACAAGACGAGTTTTCGAGCTCCAACCGGTCCCCCATCAAAGGATCACTTGACGTACAGAGCCACCACCCTATCGCATACGGGATTTTTTGGGATCCCAGATAACTTTTTATCACTGATGCGAAGCTATCGCCCAAGGGAAGAAAGAAATCACACGCACACTTCCCCTATTTGGAACCAATGTGTATGACCAGGATGACAACGATTGGAAAGAAACTCAACAACAAGCGAGAAAATCGCTGCAACGAAAGAACCAGAATCACGACCCGAAACGTCCACTCCACGTCCACGTCCACGGCTGCATCTGCGACCATGTCGAGACAAGTTCTTAATTTAATCCCTTTTTCCCACCTACCGCCCTTATCAAAAGATCAGGACATTACATACAGCAGAGCGACGAGAGTGGCCTATTTTTCACTGTCCTATCGCCAGCGACATTGAGGGTACTGTTGTATCAAGTTCGAGTGAATCCGAGGAGGCCTTTACTAAAGCTAAAGAGAACCCAAGAGAGTCTGAAGGAGGGCGGGTGTACCTCGTGCTTGGGTGCACTCGAAGCTACTGATCACCTCACCCGCCTTACCTAACACCTGCTGTACCTAGGTACCTTTGACGCAGTCACGAGAAACGAAGCCGTGAGAGCGATTCACTGGATCAGCGTCAAGCACCAGTTAGTTTTCTCTGGGTGTAAGAGCAAAGGTAATCTTTTTGTCGTTTGGTTTGGGGTACAGATCTTTGTTTCTTTGCCACAGGTCAGATACCTAGACGCAAGGCGTTGCACTGGGTCGGGTCCGAGTTGAAAGGGGCGTTCATGGGTCGACCACCTACTTGCGTTACGGCACGGAGTACCTAAGGTTCCTATTCCTGCCTGTCGTCTCCTGCCTGTAGTCCCCTAAATACTGCGACGTACACTCGGAGAACTGGAATCCTTTACCTGATTTTAGCCTCCACCAACCACTTAATCACAATTACAACCATCGTCAAGTCATGTCCGCGGGGGGGATTTCTCTTCTCTTTTTTCCTTTCCACCGACGAAAAGATTTCCAAGTAGGTACGCAATGCAATCAATGGTGCACAGCTACTCCTCGCTGTCTCCGTATGGGTCCGATATATACCTAGGTACTCTGTTCTTGTTCGTGGGAGCAACAAGCAAACACTATTTCCACGTTCAGTTATTCCTACAGTCACAGATCAACGGAGGAAACGACGAAACCACTAAGTCAGATTCATGGCCAAAACTTTGTATTTTCGTTGTACCATGGCAAAAAAAAGATTAGATCTTACTGCATTCATCAATGAAGCAGTCAGTATAGAAACCAGGATCCAAGGCTGTCCATGTTCCCATTCCTGTTCGTCTCCCGTGAATCCTGCCAGATGACAATGCCGTCACGCCTCCGTTTCCCCAACGAACCCAAAATCAACCTTACAAAGAGAATGCTTGGACCATGCATGCCTTTTCTTTGATATGTACTCCATCCACGCTTCGTCATTCTCAGGTATATACTGTCGTCATGAGAAATTCAACAGAAAAAAAAGAAAAAGAAAAGGGCCTGTCCCTAATAGTACAAGTCGGGCAGCAGCTCCGACATGCAAATGCAGCCGAAGTAGTACAAGGGATCAACGTGATAAGATCCATCAGAGGGAAAGTAAAAAAAAAAAAAGACAAAAACGATTGAGCGCACCGAGAGAACACAATCATTTCATATCGTGCCGGACAGCAAGCTCGAGTTCTTTTTGGATATCCAACCCATCAGCATGTTATCAAGCTGTGCTTGCATCTCGGCGAGTTTGTTTCGTTCAACTGAGAAGAGATCATGCATGAGTGGGTGGTCAGGCCCGACAGGAGTTACGTTGGATTTGTCATGCACAATAATGAGCAAATCTTTGATGTCTTGGCTGTTCTCCATGTAAGAACGTAAAGATGCATCTGACCATGTAGGCGTTGACCTCGACGTTGATGGCGTATGTGTCGCAGTTGAAGGGGATGGCTTTGAGGTGCTGGCAGTACCTTCCGACTCGACCAGCGCGGGTTCGTCGTGGATTGGTGATATTCTGATGGTTTCCTGCTGTTGCCTCTTGTACTTCAAGTCGTCATACTTGTCAGATGGTTCAATCGGTGACACCTGCATTGCAGAGTCTGATCGAGAGAGTGCTACTTGAGGATCTGAGATGGGAGATACAGCTTTCCGGTTGTCTTCCTCGACATATTCCGTCTTCCCATCCTCAGAATCACTATCATCAAGAGCAAACCGTTCCTTCGCTCGCTTCGAGTAGATGGTTTTCACGGAAGCATCGCCATCCGTCGCTGTGTTCGGGGACGGCTTCAGTGCAGTTGTGATAGGAGAGAAGATGGATCTCTTCTCTGTAAGTGACGGAAATCGATTCACCTGCACAGTTGGCTGAGCTGCGCCTAGCGATTGTGGCTCTTTGGCCTCTTCGCTCTGTGTTGTATCCGGTTCGACTTTCCTGACTGTCGATGCGGCTGGGGCCGATCTGGGGGCTGCGGAGGCGATAGCAGCCGGCGGGCGGGAACCAGCTGCTTGTGAAGTAAGGGTGCCTTCCCCGGAAGGCGCTCTCTGATCTGGACCGGAAGATTTGGGAGATGCCGGGGGGTTCTTTTGTAACTTGCTCGGCTTGCGCTCTGGTCCTGATTCGGGCCTTGAGGTCAGAGACTCAAGGGAGTCTTTCGACTGTGGCGATTGTCGCTGATCTTCAACGGGCTTCTCGCTCTCTTCCGGAGTTGAGCCCTTCTTTCGTTTGAATAGACCGCTAAGCATGCCTTTCTTCTCTTTCTTCTTTTCTTTCGACTTGTCGTCTGAACCGACGATTTTGTCAAAATTCTCTAAACTCGCTCGCTGGCGCAAATCTTGTTGTTCAGCAGGGGCTACATCCGCGTCGCCGCGCAAAAGCCGTGGTGTCAGCGAAATCTTCTTGGTTTCAACGGTTTCATCTCGGTAGAAAGAGTCTGTATTTCTGACGACTCCCTTCCTCGACCGTTGCATCGGCTCGTCGGATTGTTGTTCTCGTCCGGCTTGTACTTGCTGAATCTTGGCGGGACTCGACACAACTTCATCTTTGAGACTTTCATTACTCGTCATGCGCTGAATTCCAGTGACGTTGACGGCTTCTTCTTGGGTTCGTGCTTCTGTGGTACCGGATAGATCTTGCTGATCTTCAGCAGGCTCAGTGTCGTCCCTGTCATCGTTCCCATCAAGAGGCTCATCATCACCCTCTTCATCTTCCTCATCAGAATAGTCATAGTCTGAAGGTTCGTAGTAGGTAGGAGCAGTAAATTGTACCGTCTTGGCGTTCCTCCGTCGCATGGCTTTCTTGAGCGGGTTTTTGGACTTTTCAGTGTTGTCCCCAAGCATTGAAGCGGACAACTTTCGCATCATTAGCAAGAGCGAGGGTTAGAAGTTATCCACTTACATCGACATTTCTGTGCTTGTTCAATCTAGCCAAGCGCTCCGTCGGCGTTTCTATATGTTCAGCGGGCAAATAGCCTGGACAAGTAAGCGAGATTTCAGACCCCCGATTTTGGGAGATTCTTACCAATGCTCCCATCCTTGACAACTCGGACAAGCCACCAATAGCTATTGCTATCATCCAGCAATACCATAGTGTCGCCTTTTGTGGCATTCGCTTGACCCTCGACGGTGGCCACAAACGTGTGCAGAGCGTACACAAACTCGAAGTCAATGTCCTCTATTTCTCGTAAGCATTCTCCTCCCCAACCAGAGTCGATAAAACGCTCGTCAAGAGAAAAATTGAAATCCTCGGTGTCATCATCAGAACTCGACGCAAAATCCGGCAAGTACGAGGCTTCGTCTTCCCAGTCGTCCTCGTTTTCTTCGTAGACAAAATCGTCCTCGTAGCTTTCTATTGCGTCGTCGAGGAGAGGGTCATGGGTCGGCAACAGATATCTTCGGAATTCTTGCGACTCGGACAGGGGGATGTTGTAGAAGTGGGTTGTTGCCACAGGGTCAGAGGCCATTGACGTTTGGTTTCCTGGGATCTCATACTCCTCTCCGAGTGGGTCGCTCTCGAGATATCCGTCTGTGTTGACAATGTTCTGATATGAAAACTCACCATGATGACTTGCCGGGTGTACTACATGGGTTGAAGACAAGGGATAATGATCCGGGGTAACAGAAAAGGGGGAAGAAGAATGACCGCCTCGAGTCGGTGTCGGTGAAGCCGGGGAAGCTCCAAGATCCACAGAATCGACTCTTGTCGGCCAGATAGGGAGGGAGTATTTACCATCTTCAATCGAGGGTGAGCTGGAAATCTTGTCCATCAGATCATCATCCATGTCCTCCTCATCATGGGAGTCACCCGCTCCACCATCGTCAAGGTCGTGTCCATGGTATCCGTTTCCGTTGATACCGTTCTGCGAAGTCATGTGGTCATCGTCTCGGTCATCGTCAAGGTCGTCATAGAAGTGTTGGTCGGAGTGGAAACCTCCATTGGGTCTATCGTCTGAAGCACGGGGACTTGTGTGTTGTTGCTGATGAGCCTCGTGCTCTGCATGTCTCAGAGTCTGCTGCTGATGAGGCGCGGCAGGGCCATAGCCGTAGGGTGAAGGGTGTGTAGGTTGTTTGCTATGATCTTTGGCCGATGGCGCATCATGATCTTGGAGGTCCAGGGTATCTAATGGCATGAGTAGTGAGTTAGTACAGGCCTTGATCTCACAAAAAGAGCTTCGCAGAGAGTTGTGAATTTGTGCAGAAATTCAGTGGTGTTATCTTACCAGCTCTCACAAGCTGTGGCTTCAGGGTGGTCATTGCGCGCACCATTTGGGCGGTGGTCGATCGAGTGTCGCGTTTCGTGCTCGCCGATTGAACTCGACGGGCTACGGCTTGGTTCTGATCGCATAGAGGGTTTTCTGGAGGAACAGGACGGCCAAGTGAGGGAATCAGTCGGTGCAATAGCCGGGGAGAATGTTGGGTTCTGCGGACGAAAGCGACGATCGACGCGGTAACGACTGAACGGGTTGACGGCGAGCCAGCTCGATTGTTGGCAGGGAGCCACGCGTGATGCGGGTGGGGAAGTCAAGAGAAGGATCAACTGTTATGCGGCAAGCAACAAAGAGTCGTGGTCGTCGGCGCAGATGTCGACGAGTGCATTCACCTCGTCCAAGATGCAGAGGACGAGGATGGCTGTGGAGGGTTGACTGGGAAGGAGTCTGGGCGGATCAAGGTGGTGGTTTCCCCTAATTGCTGGCGCGGGAGGAAAGAGGAGCGTTTCAAAAATTAATGGGCAGGCCCCGGGCTAGTAGGCTGAGGATTCAGGAACTGGGTCGAGCAGCAATCGAGATCAGGCGCCACCCAAGAGGGAATAGCCGCGGCTGGAGTCACGTAGCCATTGGAGGAGCAGGCGAGGCTTGGCCAGGAGGAAATCAGTGCTTGGGTCTAGTGTGCCTAGCGGCCTCCGTTAGTGGCCCAGCGTCCACCCGCGGATCCTCTAACAGTCCTCTAACAAAGGAGCCTCTAAGGCTAGCCTAAGGTACGGAGTACCTAAAGGCCTAACAACTTGGGCCTAGGCTGCTGCCAACGGGGCCACCTAGCAAGCCCTCAGACCCGGCATAAGGCACTCCCATCCCGGGGCCGACGCCAGGCCATTCTTAACCAGAGCCGCCCCTCCCTTAGCACCATTAAGCGCCCATTTCGATTTGCAGGTAGGGATGTTGCAGCTTGGTTGCAGGCGTTTTGTGGGGGATCAAAGCTGCACCATATCTGCAACGGATTCCTCATCCCACCATGGAGTACGCAAAGATGCGCTCAGAGTCACACAATCAGTGTCGGACCATGTACGGAGTCTCCTGCTCGCATGGCATTCGTAGAGGAAATAGCTGAACCCTGTGACTTAATCGTGCATATCATGAGATCTACCCGAGTCCTTCCAGATTCTTTATCTACTATCTGCGCTATCTCAAGGAGCCCTCACCACACAACAATGCTGTACCTGGATCGCTGCCAATATGGCCATGACTAAAACAATGGCCTCCAGCTTTAGGCGGCCGGACTGTATGCGCCTGGACTTCGTACGAGTGAGTCGTACGGATGCTCAAAATAACGATTTGCTGCTTTCACAGCCACAGTCAGATCCTGCTGACCTCGTGAACCGCATAAAAAATTTCACAGCCCTCAACTGCCATTTGTTCCCGCAAACATCGGATCTGCAGATCACCAACCGTGGCGCAAAGTGGATGTATTTCTCGTTGAATAATAACATGAGGAATATGAACACTTCCGAGGCTCGTTGATTCCCCGGCCCAGCGACTCCATTTCGTGCCCGCACGTGGGATGAAAGGATTTTGAAACTAGCACCACCACCACTACCAGGCACCTCTTTGCTTCCAGCCTCTCTCCTCCATGAAATAACTCCAACTCGACTACGCGAGACTCGTTACTGATACCCGTTTCGAGCACTTTCCGCGGTCTAGTTTTCTGCCGCTCTCTATCTTTTGGCAGAGCAAGAGCTTACTCCGAGCGCACCATCGCCCTGTCTGATGGAGCAGGCCGACGGCGATGCCCATCACCGCCACGACCGCCCACTTTCGCGAGATGAGAGCGATCTTGTCTTGACAACAAATGCCATTGCTGAGGAATTGAATCAGCTCTTAAAAATGCCATCTTCACAGTCTCGGCCTCAGTTCAGAGAGTCGGCGGCGAGTCAAGATACTATCCGCCCGACTGCCACTCCTCCCGTCGACATACCAGCCGCGACCGAGCATCCTACAGCTAGAGACGCCTCTTCCGATACATCTTCCTACATCCAGCAGTATATGCGCAACCGGAATCCGTCTGTCAGTTTCAACAGTGAGATTAAGTTGGACTCGGGACACCGTCAGAGCATTGGAGAGCCGCTGGAGAAGCCGTGGCGCGACCGAGGCCGTCCTACGATGCATCCGGTTTCAAAAGAAAGGAGAGATTCACGGGCACACAGCGAATCAGAAAGGTCGCATTTCGATCTTAACACTGGTCGTCGGATTCCCAGGTTCTCGCAAAGCCCTCCAAGAGAACAAGCACGCATCGGCGAAGCCCGGTTCCCACTGTTACAAACTACCGTGGATGAAATGGCACGAGAATCACATACCGATCTCCCTCAGGCACAGTCATTGACTTCTCAGTCAACAGCAGAGTCCAATGAAGAAGCTCTCTTTTCACCACCTCCCGACGACCACTTCCTTCAATCTCCTACGACCGAATCTCCTACGACCCCGTTTTCCCATCGAGCCTTCTCGTACGAGGACTCCAAGCCCTTCCGGAGGACGGCCTCTCAACGATGGCGAGACGGCGAGGTCGGTGCGTCCCCACAGGACTTTTTCTCACGAGCAGGTAGTTTGCGCAACAGGAGCATGCGTGACATTGCAAGCCGTGCTTCTCGGCGAGAAACCTCGGGCTCTACAAAGTCGCCCATGTCAGCTGCATCATCTTTCCTACGTGGTTTTTCCATGAGCAGTTCGACGAACATCGGAGATGCCGACACCGGACCTCTCCCTCCGGACGCCGAGGGTCAGACCATTGGTGAGGATTATGTTCTGGGTGAACAAATTGGATATGGCGGTTTCAGCAAGATCAGGGCAGTGACACAGCTACAAGATAGCGGCCAGAGGAAACTTGCTGTCAAGATTGTCCGGCGGCGCATCAGCAACATTTCAGAAGCCGAAAACGAACAAGCGCAGGCTGAATTTGAGCATGAAGTCGAGCTCTGGAGGTTCCTCAATCACCGCAATATCCTCCCTCTAGAAGCCGTATACAAGCTGGACGAAGCTACATTCTGTTTCATACCACTGAACGTTGGAGGCACACTCTTCGACCTGGTGCGCTCGAATCGCAACGGCGTCGAACCTGACGTAGCGAGGAGCTATGCCTACCAGCTCGCCTCGGCACTACGATATCTCCATCTGGACGCACGAGTCGTGCACCGTGATATCAAACTTGAGAACGTCCTCATCGAACCCTCACCAGATGGTAAGGCGGGATTATTACGCGTTTGCGATTTCGGTATGGCAGAATGGCTTTCGTCGGATAGCATTTCGGGCCCTCCGAGCCCAGACTTCCATGATACCGATCGCCCTCCCCGCAAGCACATGGGACCAGCAGACACGTCAACATCGGCTTTTGCAGGTGGCAGCCTTGAATATGCCGCTCCCGAGATCCTACGTATTGCTGAACGTCTCAAGAACAGTGGCCCTGCAGAAAGAGCCATCGTGTCTCCTGCGGTTGACCTGTGGGCATACGGGGTTTGTGTGTACAGCATGGTAGTTGGATCTCGACCTTTCCAGAATTCCTTCCAACCGCGCGTGGTCATGGCGATTCTAGCAGGAGACTGGAATCGAGAGCCACTTGCAGAAAAGGGAGGACACGACGTGCTAGAATTGGTGACGGGCTGTCTCGATATGGACGATACAGCGCGTTGGGACATTTCTCGCGTCATGGAGTCTGCATGGCTAGAAGATCTCGCTTCGGATGAGGACAACCTCGAACAAGGCCTGCATGGCTGGCGGTTGTGATACATCTCGTACAACTACTTGTCACCTGGCACCACCAATGGTGCACCTTTTTCTCTGGTCGAAATTGCCAACACTGCTTTTGGGAACGACATTTGTGCCCCTCTCCTCGGGTTTACGACATTACGACTTGTAACTTGTAATTTTTTTCTCTTTTCTCCTGCTATCGATCTCCTTACTCGGCATGCGAGGCGCTTACTGGAATGGACCACGTCTAGCAATGGCGCTTCACTCACTCTACGATTAATGTCTGGCGTCTTTTCTTTTCCCATGACCTGGCCTGGGCAAGAGGGTGGATGAATACTTGTTCATTTTTATCCCTGGTAATGAAAGGGAAGGTTCAAGAGCCAGAGGGCAGCCAGCCAGCCGTTCCTTGCTTTCTCAATATACGACATGTCAATGATGATGATGATGATAATGAGCACGGTACGGTTGCGGTTGCGGCCATGGTCATGGTTAGAGAGATATACCCCTGAGCAATTATTACTCTTTATTCTTCCACTTTCCTTCTCGCGTGCTACGTTCCGTCAACTGCGTATCAGACAGACCATCCTTAGGTACCCACATGAATCTAGGGAGGTATCTTTCGGAAAGACATCACAGCAGAGTGTAGAGCATGCACAAAGCCACCCGGTACGAGAACTCTTACCGGTATCTTGAAGAGGTGCCCAGGTAAGTAGGTAGGTAGGTAGGTAGGCAAAGGATAGGCAAAGATGGACTCTGAGTGTATCTCTTGGTTTAGTACTTGTTGATCGTTCGTTGCCTTCGTGCCATGCGTACTTATGTATTTTTATGTACGTATGTCTGTATGTAAGACGCACACGTCCCTTGAGGATCTCCTCTTCCCAAGATACACACACACACTCTCTCTCTCTTTCTTTATCCACCCTCGTGAGTGCAATGCCGTGCTGTGCTGGGGTTGCTGTGCTATGCTGTGCTATATGCTATTGCAAACATATCGGCGATCTGGCCCCGACTAAGGTACATGAATTACGATTTTCTCCTTCTCGACTTCCATGGCTTGTATTCCGTACAGCAAACAACCTTGTTGCCAACTTTCGATTCAACTCGGTGTCGATTCGATTCGTTTCAAATTCGATTCAAACTCAGTGCAATTCGTGGTCTTCATCAATCTCCCCATCTGACTGTGTGATCTTCGTCGATGCATGTATTTTCAAAGTGTGACGATTCCGGAAGAAAGGGATTATCCTCCTTGCGCCCAGTTGCGGTCCCAGATCGTCTTTCTTCTCCCCTTTTTACTGTTACAGACTCGACGTATCACATCATATCGGAACCCTTGCCCCTCGACAACGTACACAGACATTAGTTCTCTTTCTCCGGTTTGTCTCCCGTCATCAGCACCCAGATGACCCCTCCAATTACGTCTATGTGGGTTCCATTTCGTGTGCGTGTGCGCGTGTATGTGTGGTTTGTTTGTTTATTTGGTTCCTCGATCCGCCTTCCTGTTCGCTTTGCGTTTTCGAGGTCTGTCTCTCTGGACGCTTAGACCGAAGTGACAGTGATAGTGATACGAACCAACTCTCCGACTTCGGTAATCGTGGCGGTCGTGGTGTTAATAGTGGTAGTAGTAGTAGTACATCCGTTGCAATTCACTTGCAATCAATCGTCGCAGTTGGACAAAGTGGTATCAATCAGTTCGGATCTCTGTGCCTGTGCCTTGTCCCACTTCCAGCTTCTTAAGAGAAGGGGGGAAAAGAGAAAAGACATGTGATGCACTGGGCTCCGCATTATGCTACTCCGTCGCTTCATCTCAGACCGAACAACCAAGCAAATACGCATAAGCAAAAGAAAAGCAGTTGATGCTGTGGCATATTGGCGACGCCTGCTCCGGTGCTGAAGGGCGCGTCGAACGGACTTCCGCCGCCGCTGTCGCCATTATTACCGTTACTGCTTCCAGAGGATTGTGTCGTTGAGCTGGCGGACGTGTTGTCGGCCGAGGTCGTGCTCGTGCTGGTGAAGGAGGTTGTGAGAGTGGTCGTCGGAGCGGTCGTAGTCGTGGCAGAAGATGAAACGGACCTGGAATTGGATGACGCGGACGTCGAAGAAGGATTGCTTTCTGTCGTCGCTGCTGAGCCACTTGCAGAAGAGGCCTTCGTGGTGGTGGTGGTGCTAGCGGAACCAGAGGCGGCCGTTGATTTTGCAGTCGACGTGTCCGACGCCATTGACACCGACGTCGAAGGACTTGCTGCGGCCGTCGTCATGGCTGTGGTCGTGGGGGAGGACGTAGGTGTGCAGAGGAAAGAAATGAGGTTTCCGACGAAGATCTGGCCGATGAGGGAGTCTCCTGGTGCTGACAGGCCGGCACAGGTTCGCTGGATGAAGTTCTCGGCCGCTTCCAGAGCGATCTCGCAGTTTGCCGAACACCCACTTCCACCCAGCAACGAGAGCTCGCTGAAACTACAACCGTTGACCGTCGTTTCGTACGCTTTGGTGCAGGAACTGGGGAAGCCGAAGATCGGCTGGATCTGGTCGAAGGATATGCTGGCCCGTGAGACCTGTAGTAGACCACACAACACCGTCACGAAGACAGCCTGCCGGTCTAATCTTGGTCGCATGATTGATTAGTTGTGCTTATTGCTGAGTTGGGATGATAGGATGAGGCTGCGTTCGATTAGAGCGACAGAGCGACGTATGTCGTTGCTGAATAGGCTGCGTGGCGCTGAGGGCCTGCAGTCGAGTGTTATTATCGTCGAGATTTTGTTTACAGTCCGGCAGACGTTCCGGTATCACCATCAACACTGACAGTCCCAGTGAATTCTCGCAGGATGTGAACAAAGGCCGCTGTCCTCAAAATGCCTCTTGGCCCGAATACATGTCGTGTTTATTCTCCTCCTCTCATCAACGGCGGCCCTCCATCACCCTTCTCACTGTGAATTCTGTGGTGGGATCGCAGAGCCAAAAACTCGGATTTGGTGCGAAAGCTGCTAGAAGGAGGGTGGCGGCTCTTTTCTTCCCTGGTATTGTATGTACTTCTTCTGTCAATCTCTCCACACTGGGATCGTCCAGCGGATTTCCTGGTGGCCGACTTGACAATGCTGTAACCAGTCACGTAAGGACGTCTACAACAGCCTTCCCCGTCCTACGTCAGTCTGAGCTTCGCCAGACGAGGGATGGGCTGATCGCAATCCCACGGTCGGGAATCCAGGTGTATATGGAGCGTGTCGACGACAGATCTCTGCCGATCGCAATCAAAATATCCACAAGCTGTTCGGCGATTTTATCTCAAGCGGACCCCAACACTCTGGTCTGAAACAGTAGCCTCGGCGCACAGATGCGAGAGACGGTTGTCTGACTTATATCTGCCGGCCCTGATGTGATGTCAGATGTCCCATTCTCTCGTGAGAGTGTTGTGCCCGGTTCAGAGTGCGAGCGCAGGCGCAGTCTGGTCTTATGGGAACCCGCACGGGGCCACGTTCTCCGGGGCGTTTCGATTGCTCGGGCGGCTCTCGCAAAGTCTAGCTCTGGTCTTATCAGAGGACTCAATGTCTTGCAACAACATGGGACGAGGGGAGAGACAGGGGCGTCAAGAAGTTTGCACTTCGGAGCCTTCTGGCGCATCATGGTCGATTGTTATCAACACAATTGTGCTGAACGACACTTTACTGGTGTGATTCACGATTCCAATCCGTCTGGTGAGCCATAGGAGACTATCCAGCTTCGCGGTGTCCTAGAGGCTGTTTGCGAGCCAAAACGGGGCAACGCTGCATACTCTGCGACACTCAAAACACCCTGCATCAGTGCCACAGCCACGAGGCTGCCCTGAGAACAGTCCAAGGCGGTAACGACCTGAAGCAGCAAATGTCAGATCGACAGGGGTATCCGCTAGCCGATTGGCAAGTAAGCGGTCAAGGGTCCCAACCTGAAGCGTCCATCACGGCTTGGGCGCTTCCGGACCGCCGTCATTACTTCCAGGTACACGCTTCTGGCTCCCCCACGGCTTGCCTATTATGTAACAGTGGAATGTGTCTTTGACGCTGCCCTCGAGTTTGACATAGATCTTGGTGCAAACGGCGGCATGTATTATTCGTCCCAGGTGAGGTGAAGCTTCCATGCGCGAGTACTAGGCAGCTCATACGGGGTACGAGGACCACTGACCGAGGCTTCGGCGTCGACGGGGTGGCAGAATCTCACCACACAATACAAATCATGAGCTTTCCAAATATCGATACCATTCCTCTGCTGCCGTGTTTCATCACAGAATCTCATGATCATCACAATCTACCTATGGGATCAAGACACCTCGGAATCTCACCTTCCCATCAATCATTTTCTGCAAGGCCTCATTTGCGTTGTCCAATGGGAATTTCTCAATCAGGACATTGACACCATGAACCCTTGCAAAGGAAATCGCGTCTTCACTGTCGAGCGCATGACCACTGGGCCAAGCCACAAGACTCAACCCATAGCGGATCATGGAGGCTGTGTCGACTTCGACCGGGGCAGAGGCAGCTAGAATGAGGAGCTTTCCCAATGGTCCTAAGCCCCGGAGGAGCGAGGGAATGAGTTTCTGGTTTGGAGCCGTGAAGATGATACATGAAGCTCCTCCCAACTATCGCGAAGTCAGAAACTGTGCAGCACAACCACTGACTAGCACAGGGCGAGTGCACAAGTGGTGGTCCCACTGAATTGAATCCAGCACATGTACGTACCTTTTGGAGCTGCTCGCCGATGTCTCCCTGTGATGCGTCGATGTATTCATGCGCACCCAGCTGCGTGGCGAACTCTTTCTTCTCTGGGCTACTTGAGATAGCAACGGTGCGGTATCCCATCTTTGAAGTGTATTGCAGCGCAAGATGACCAAGCCCGCCTAGGCCCTGTATAGCAACAAGGGATCCAGGAACGATATTTTGTTTGCGCAATGCTGAACATCAAACTCTCGCGTCAGCTTTGCAGAATGTCACGCAGATCAAGGCTGGGTTAGGGACATACAATTGAACACGGTCACCCCAGCACAGAGCAATGGACAGAATGCGGCAGGGTCAACATCTTCGGGGACTAGTAACACACAAAGTCAATGGCGGCTCTCGCTTTGTCATTTCGTACTTGTCCATACCTGATACTACCGCCTCGGTACGGAGTGTAACATACTCGGCATACCCGCCGTCCCGTGTGACACCGTTGACTGTAAGGTTATACATCAGTACAGCTGATGGAGGGCCGCATAGGAGAGGGTCTCACTCACTTTGTTCTTTCTCACACATCTGGAACAGACCTTGTCGACAAGGGGTGCACGTTCCTGAAGAATTTCAAGGTAAGCAAGATGCGTCTCAAGCGAATCTGACCTTTCTTACCATCGTGGCCTCCATGCCACGGAGCGCCGACTCGTGCGCCCACGGTCCAGCGGGTTTCTCCCTCTGGGACCGCAGCCACCTCGCCAATGACTTCGTGTCCTATTCTCGTCAGGGGCGGATGCCACTTTGAAAGTCGAGGTCGTTACCAGGAATGATTGGGAATCCATTGCCGAACAAGCCATGTTGGACAACGACGTCGGAGTGGCAGACACCACATGCCAACACCTTGACTAGAACCTTGAACGGATCATGTTAATCAGAGCAACTACCAGGGAGCCGGGGTATTTCCTCACCTCTCCAGGCTTGGGCAGCTCAAGCTTGATTTGCTTGAAGGTCAGCGGTTGACCTTTGGCTTCAAAAACAGCCGCCTTATATTCTTTTGGGAGAGATGCCATTTGGGGACGATCGATAGAGATTGAATACAGATGTTGCCCGAGCTTCCCAGTTGAAGTCGATCTTCAGCTGGACGAGAGACGCAGCAGTTGAAGGACGACTATATATACACGAAGACAAAGAGTTTCTTTCTCTAGGCTGAACACAACACGAGTCCTCATACGAGTACGAGGATTTGTAAGGAGGGGTCCTGGCATCGACGCGCATCACCAGTTCGCATGCGGGCTGGTGGATTGACACGATCGGACAGATCGTCGGCTACATGATGTCAGCAGCTGCTGTCGTCCCATTTGCCCTGTGCTCCAGTCGATGCTGTAAAGGGCCAATCTCGGTGACGCTTCGACTGGGTGGCGCAACGAGCTCCGGGACTTTATCAGGATGAGGAAGGCTAGTTACAGCAACCAGGGCAAGACCACCCACCGCAGGACGATACGGACGAGAGAGGCCCATCTACTCTGTGGAAGTGTTCGGAAGCAGGACTTTTGTCTTTCCTTTTTGATAACAGTCTTAAAATCCAGACCTGTCTATCTTCGAGTACCTCGCCTACTTCGGCTTTTATTCGCCGTTACCGTGCGCCTGAAGCGGTAGTTGGTATACCCGCCTCCGATGACTAAGGTAAGATGAATAATCGTCAAGGTTCCCAGAACGTCTGTAAGTCTGTTAGTCTTCTTGGTGCGTGGAGTCTACAACTAGTAGATAGACTCCTCTCGACAGAGTGGTTCCGTGGTTCCTTGTACTAGGGTTCTTACCGATTCGACCAACAACAAGTCATGCATGATATCAGAAAGCCCATGATTGACAAGCCACGCGTGCATCATGTGCATGAGGGTACTCGTAGCTAGATGGTCTCAACGAGCGAATTCACACCACAGAAGCCTCTCTTGAACACCTGCTCAAACATGCTCTGACCATTGACTACCTCAAATATTGCCCAGGATGGCCAACACAAGTTGCGAATTTGCCTCATGAGCACCGTACAGTAGGCGAGGAGAATGCGTGGTGGAAGGATTTGTTTACTTCCCCCGCACTAAATAAATTCCACGAAATGCAGGAGGCACGCACATGTTGACTCGGAAAGTTATCAGCATCACCTCCAACAAACACTACACGCAAATACTGCAGCTAGACAAATCATCTCGTTCCCTTGTTCAATCCGACCATCTTGTCTAATTCAAGACACTGGTTGTTCACTTCATTCCCATCCCGGAGCGCGTGGCAACGCGACTTCGAACTCGGAACCAGCAACCCCATCAGCGCCTCAAGAATCTCTCTCCATAGAGGAATCTCAACACCAGCCTCACAGACTCACAAAGGCATTTCTCTTCGTGACTCCTCTCTACATTCTATCCATCCTAGACACTATTTGTCACACTCACGCATCGCTCAAAATGGTACGTCCGCGCCTCCAGAACCACTTCCAGAGTGATCATAATCCGCTTCAACCCTCACCGTCGTACCTGCTACCCTCTACACCTCACACTTAGTTATTTTCTTGATTCTCTAGTCCCGCGACTCCTCCCACACCTACATACACACGCAGTCGTCACGGTTCGCGGACCTCTTTGAAGAATTCTGCCGCCCACCATCGGCGTCGTTTCCAACACCTTCTTCCGCCGCCACGACCGGCGCCGCAGCCTCCTCCAGCCAAGCAGCCAACGGCGGCAGCAACACCGCCGCCACCACAACTCATCAAGCAGGGCACAACGGGATCGGCGTCAACGACAACTCCAACATGGTCCAGGTTCCCGGATCCTTCCTGCCCTTTGAGGAGATCTCCCTCCCACCCCACCTGCAGCCTCTCAACCCCGAGGACGAAGACGACGTCGTGCCGGACATGCACGCCGCGTTCGGGATCAACAGGGCTCTGGGCCAGAACCAGGGCGGCGCGGCCACCGTCGCGGTGACGGCGTCAGGCGCAGGCGGAGGAGGAGAAGGAGGAGGAGGGGAAGGAGCCAACAGCGGCGCAGGCGAGACGAGCAATGCAGGCGCGCAGAGGGAGCCCGTGTGGCGCGACTTCGGCCTCGAGGCACTCGTGGCCGGCGTCAGCATCCGCGCCTACGACCTCGGCACCGGGAGAAGGGAAGGAAGACGGACGAATCTATTGCTTCTGCGGTGATCAGAATCCATCATTTTGCGTCCCTTCCCACTTCGCACTTCGATATGATCATTCGAATCGATGGGGAACGCCCTGCACCTACGACCTCTTGTATCAGTAACAATAAGTTTCGAGCGACGAAAACAAAAAGAGATGTGAATGAGTGACGAGTTAATGAGATATGAATATAGCCTTGAACCTCGAGAACGGCCCATATCATGACTATGCTTATGCCTACGCCTATGCTTCATGTCCGAGACGCGAAGGTCGATCTCTCAGATCAATCAACCAGGAATAGAGAGATCTTAGCACCGAGGGCATCAAATCCACAAGGGGATCACTGCGAACAGATGGGGATGCATGGACAGGAATTTATTACTACGTTCGCATTAATCCTGTGCTCAGTCTCACTCTTACTCTCAGTCTTTACGCCACACGCTGTACGGCATACGGCACACGGCATACTGCGTACTGCATACTAGTGGTATCCGACAGTGCTCCCTCCGAATAAGACCTTGCGACGATGTTATTTATATCCTGACGACATCGACCCTCGCACGTTCAAAAATATTATGCACAACATTCTTCGCCTCCTTTTCTTCGTCACTCAATATTCTCGGCTGCAATGAAATCTGCGCATAAGTCCCGGGGGCTTTCCGCTTGGATAGTTGACCCGGGTTAAGGACCATGACGCTGTCGACAACCTATCAAAGTGGAGCACTGTGAGCCCAAAAAATCATCAAAGACAACCGGGGAATAAACATATATCAGAATCGATACCGGGGAAAGTGGGATGTTCCGATGGTCAGATTTGATTGTGAAGGGAGTGAAAGCAGCAACCAAGGGAGTTGAATATGGTGCCACTGGCAGGGAGAGGAAGATCAAACATACCTTGACACTAGCCGTGACCAGACTGGGTAGTATGAGCACGTCAGGCTTAACGTGCATCCACTCCCCGAGCTTGAAATAGCCCATGTCCAAACAGGCGCCGGTCGCGCCGTTGGCCCTCTTCATCGGTGGGAACAAAGGGAAGAAGTGCCTCTGATCGATCAAACAGCCAGGGAGCCGACTGAGCAGATCGCTCCCCACGCCCTCTAGGCCATGCGAGATTTGCTCGCGGCTCAGCTCGAAAAGGACATCCTGAGAACTGATGGCAAACACCGTCTCGTTCAAGCTCACAAAGCACGGATTGGGAAGCATGGTAACCTGCTTCGGCAGGTGTAGTTCCTTCTTGGCCAGTCTCTCTTGAGGCCAGGAGACGTGCTTACTCACGGCGTCGCGCACACTGGGCACTACGAGCACCGAGATGCTAGGGACTGCGGCACACAGACGCTGCAGGTGCGGCGAGATCAAAGTCCGAAAAAGAACAGCCATGCTCGCGTCATGATCCAGGCCCCGCGTCTCTGCTGGGAAATCAAAGTCGCCGCTCGCAAGCAGGGGGTGCTCAATGTCCAGAAACGGACCGGTCAGGATGAGGGCGTCAGCCATGTTCTCTGCTGCCTTTTCACACAGTGCCTGGAACGGCTCGAAGTCGAGATTGTCGTCGGCTGTGTAGGGGCCCGAGGAGAGCATTATATTCAGTGGTAAGGAGGAAGAAGCAGAGGAGGAGTCCTCGCTGACGTCTAGGCGCTCGTTTACGGTGGTGATGTCGTTCGGCGTCGACGATGGCATGGGTAGTTTGGGGAGGGAAAGCACTTCCTTGACTGTAAAGTACAGACCCGAGGCGTTGGTGCCCTTCAGGGCCACAATCTGGCCGGGGAAAAACTGGTATGAAGGCAATGCGTCCACTTTCAAGGGGACTCGCAGGCCGGCGCCCATGCGGCGGGACATCTCGAGCACGAGAGACGCAGAGTTGAGTTTCCCCTCGGACGTGTCTGACGCGATGCGTCCCACGGCAATGATTTCGCTCGTGCTTTGCGCCGCGGCATTTCCAAACGCAGAGTCGTCGAGGTTATGGTGTTTTTGGACCAGAGACAAAAAGTCATCGATGCGCTCGTCGAGGATCTCAGACGCGTCTGAGAGACGCATGGACATGGGCTTGTATGCAAATTTTTTGAAATCTGTCCGAGAGATCAGTCGTAGTCGTGCTTCTGAGAAGGGCGCCAGCGGCGCCTCGGCCTGCGGGAGGTGGTCGTTTAACGTCTCGATGATCTGTCCTGCATTCTGCCGCTCCACGAAAGGCACACTACTATTTTGTCGTGCCGTTAGTTACTCGGTACACATTCGTTCCATCTCTCCCAGAACGATAAATTTGGAGGGCTAAGTGAAGGACACGTACGAAGGTCCAAGATCTACCTTGCCAGCCTTGCCCGGCGTCTTGTTCGTATCTGGCCTGTTGATCTTCTTGGGCACAGGCGAGTCGAAGTCCGCCTTCCTCTTGATGCTGCCGCTTCGCCGACCGATGGTGTTGGGCGTGAGTTCGTCAAGCCTGAGGTCATTGTGCCGTTAGCCCATGTCATGCGACACCCCCGGAAACTCATCACGCTGCGCTGCCCTCCACGACGGTGGAGGGCCGGGGGGGGTCTTGATCTGCGTAATCATGTCTCCATACATACATTCCGAAGACGTCGCCGGTCCCAACCGCCCTGGGAGTCGCGTGGACTGCGCTCTTTCTGTCGGACCTGGGAGCGAACTTGTTGGAGTTCGCCTGCTGCTGCGCCCTGCCGTCTCCTCGCTCGACGCCGTCCTGGACGTCCTTGGCAAACATGCGCGCGGTCTCCAGGTCGAGTTTGGTCTCCTCGCTGCCCATCTTCAGGCAGTAGACCTCCCACTTGATGAACAGTTCGTCGGCCGTGAGGGAGTGCAGCCTCAGCGTCGACTCGAGCACCCCGAGAATGTCCGGGGCCAGACCGCTGCCGGAGGGGTCAAAGGCCGCATTGAGGTTCTCTTTGGCGTCCGTCATCGTTGTGTGTGTGTGTGTGTGTGTGTGTGGGTGTGCGATTTTTGTAGGGGGTGATGGTGCTGTGAATTGTTTTATATCATGATGCGGAAGTGCATTATCGCCGGCGTCTCGTTTCTTCGATTCTGAGAGAGAGAGAGAGACGCGTTCCACTAAACGCGTCTGGTGCGGAATCTATGCTGCAACGTATTTGGGGAGGGGTTCCGCGTGGTGTACGGCAAAGTACAGCGTGAATCGATGCATGGACTCGAACCCAGCCTTGTGTTGTCGACTTCCAGAGAACCTTTGACGCGTAAAAGCGTAGGTTACTCCTAATCCAGGCTGGACCGCGTCCGATACAAAGGTGGAAATTTATCGAGGCGCCAAAGTTCGAGACTTTCAAGATTTGGAGTTTCTAAGAAAACATGTAACATTTCTCACCAGTGCCGTGGCCAACTAGCATCCATAAGTCTAGGAAGTTTTACCATTGAGCTGGTCTACATGATCAAATCGTGTTCTATGAGAGCAAAGGCAGACTCCGTCAAAGTAGCTCTTGTGTCAACCAACAGCTACCTCCTGCACCAGCAGGGTCTTCGTGTTTCCACCATTGTATCACGTAGAGGAACCATGGACAATGTCTGTCTTTCTCAGCCCACCTGGACGCCGAGGAGACGCTTTTATCCTGTCTGTTTCATGCCAGAGATTGGGTGCCATACAACTCCAACTTATGCTTCGATGAGAGACGCCCAAGCAATGCAGTCCAGATTACCACCGCCCTTGATCATTACACTTGACTCGTTTCCTCCTGTCCCTCAACTAGAATGTAATGGAGAATGTCGCTGAGTGACAATACCCCCTTGAGGTAATTGTTCTCGTCGACCACCATCAATCTGTGGACCCGGGATTTTCTGATGGTGTCGAAGATTGTGTCGAGGCCATCGTCTAGAGAGCAGCAGTAGATGCCCGGATGATTCGGTGAGCGTGCTGACAGGGCCTTGCCGACAGTCCACGTGAGGTTGCCATAATCTCCAGTCTTGAGAATTTCGATGACATCTACGGCTTCAAAGACATTGAGCAGTACACCTGTGATAAGATGAGTATCACGACGACTTAGCAAACACCTCGACTCACCTTCTGTGGTTACCACAGGCACACTGGATATATTCTTCATCACCATCTCGTCAATGACGTCTAGCATCGTTGTATCCATACTGCAGCGAACAATGTTGCCATATGTTCCAAGCTTGATCATGGCAAGAGGCTTTCGTAGCATCTCGGTTTCCTTCACGTTCATCGCGATGAATTTGAGGATTCTGTATTGAGTGATGACGCTCGTGACCATTGTTCTTTGAGTGTCACTGTCATATGACACCAGTGGAATACGCCGGGCTCTAGATACCAGTTGCTTTCGCAACGCATCGTACAGGATAGCTTCTGGCGATGCTGAAACTGTCTCAGGCGGTTTAACATTGAGGATTTTCTCGACATCTGTATGTTGATTAGTCTCGTGCGCAGGCCCAGTGCGATCGTTCATGCCCACCTTTTAAATCGCTTAGCAACAATTTGTCCACGTCCTTCAGCTTGTCAGCGTGTAGGTTGTAGTACCGAACCACGTTTAAAAAGTCGTTGACGGTGAGGAGGCCTGCATAGGTCGACGTCGAAGAGTCCCAAAGCGGCGCAGACACGATTCCTGGCCATGTAATCAGCTCTGTATCTACCTGGAAACGGCCGTAGACATACCGCATTGAACCAGAATGTTGAGGCTTTCTTTGACAGTTAACCCAACGTCGAGCTCAATGAGCCGGAAGCTGAGTGGTAGGACGTCATAGCAACTGCGCACTCTGAGAAAATCTCGAATGGCTTTCTATTCTGGAAGTTAGACTCAAAACCTTCATGCGATGTGCACAACGCGGCGGTCGCTTACCAGCCCTGCTCGTTCATCTCGGTCGATTGGTCTTTCCGGCTTTGGAGGAGCTATTGGTCGAGATAGGGGTTTGGGACGAAGTAGATCTGAAGGTCGGACAAAGGTGGCCTCGTGACCAAGGCTGGGAGGAGTAGCGTGGGCGGTAGCAGAGGGAGAAGTTGGATGATTCGTAGCAAGGCTAGTAGGCTGCGCAGAGGGCGGCGGGGTAGAGGTTTGGGTCACCTCAGCGTTCTCTGCCATGACGACCACCCCAGCAGCATCTTTCTTTTGTTTTTGGAAGAGGATGAAAGTTTCTTCTGAAGAACAGAGGAGGGTGACAGAGTTGGTTGTTGGAAGGCGGGAATCGATGGCCCCGGAGTGCTGTGGAGAAGTTTGGGCGCTCACGAGAGGGTTTTGGTCGGGCGGGAAGGGCTGGCAGGGTTCAGAGGCAGAGGCGACCACAGAATTCCTCGTGCAGGGTGTCGACAATGCAAGCAATCGTTTTTGCGCAGGTGTGTTCACCGCAGACCACGGTAAGGATTGGCTCGAGACTGGGGAAGCAGTTGAGAAGGTGGGATGCGGGTTGAGAGATGGGACCGGTGGTGGGATGCGCTGCGCTATTCTCGGCTGTAACTAATGTGATGGATCATGGAATGGGAAATTTTGGTGGACTCAGCTCAATCCAGATCACCGTGATTGACATGTGATTGATTCATGCGAGGGCTCGTTTCCGGAGAGACAATCTGTTATATCACACCAAGTCGATCAGCGATTTCACACTGCTCGACTCTTGACAGTTCTGGAGACTCGCATGGATTACACGCTGCACCGCTGGATCGTTGCAAGTAGTGCTCTAGTCTATCTGGGAAATACGAGGCCACGCTACAAAAAATTCCACACAATCCAAACTCCTCAACGACTTGAATAGCTCGTATCGAAACCTCAAGTGCTCGTGGGAGCTACGTCCTGCTCACGTTCCGCCACACTCTTCTCCTCGCCTCCTTTGAGGTACAGCTCGGACTCGCCGATTCTCTTTCCCCCCTTCTCCCACCGAGCTTGCCGTTCTGCCCTCTTCAATTCACACAAATCATTCAGTGCTGGCCAATACTGTTCATGGTCATACTCGAATTCGACTAGCCCACCACTCTCTTTCAGCAATTGTTCCCTTGGCACGTGCAGACCCATATCCTCGTTGAACCTGATCTTTTCCCGTGTCATCGGATCAATGAATGGGGTGATGAGCTTGAAGAAGCCCCAAATGTAAAATGGCACATTCGTGACCAGCGCACGACCGAGGCGCTCAGGATAGTGGTTCTGCAAGATGTTCAAGGTCTGCTTTCCCTGGGAAAGAGTAGCGCCTTGTCCAGATTTGGTCTCTGCGAAGTTGATGAGCAAAGCCAATGTTTCCTGACCAGGAGGCATCAAATCAATCGCCCGCTCAAGCATAAACACAAGGTGCTGGATCTGGCGATCGCTGCGTTCCGTGTTTTGTTTCGACGGTCTCAGATACTGGCACGTACGTCCATGATAATCCCAACCCAGAATTATTTGCTTGCCCGTAGCGTTCTCGATAGATATGTAGTCCTTTGTGTGTTTTTCAAGGCCGTACTCGCGCCGCCAGGTCAGCGTATTCTTGAGTCTTTGTTCTGATTGAGCAACATTCCAATTTGTGGCTCTCAAATATCGCAATAAGCATTCTCGGGTTAGAAACATTCGTTCAGAGTCCGTGAGAGGCGACGCCTTTGAGCCTTTGGCAGATGTCTCGGGCAAATCAGTCCAGGACAGTACATTCTTCAGTAAAGTGTCATATTTTTTCTCTTGTTCAGGCGTTAACGGAGGCCTGGAGGGAGGCTTCGCGGTCTCCAAAGGTTCGGCGAGCGGAGTCTTGACAAGCCCATCAGCTGCACTGCGTGGAAGGTTCAGCGTGTTTGACGGGTTCGATGTGTTGCTGTGCTGTGGATTTGTCGAAGCAGTAGCCGTCGCCGTAGGTGTCTCGTCAAGCTTCGATTCTTCCATTGCAGCAGAAAGTTCTTCTGCGGCTTTCTCGGGATCAGTTGCCCCAGGAGGTATTGCAGGATTATTTTCGATAAGAGTAGCCATGGTAATGCGGCTCTTCAGAATAAGAAATCGAAAGAATGGCTCACTAGAGCCGATGCGCTCGAATTTACATTGTGAACCGCATGTCAGATGGAGGACTCTGGAGAAGGGCAGACTGCACTACTAACTAACTTAGAGGCGCCGGATCTTCCTCAGCCGGCGAGCCTCATTCCCAACACGCGGGAGCCGAGAAGGCTAGTGAGGCTACTTCTGCAGCCAAGAACAACACTTCTCCTGGCTCATCCGGACAACTTGAGACTCGCTCTGTTCTTCGTCGAAACCACTCGTATCTGGCACAACAAGTTGTTACGACTGACTTTCGCTACTGTCTGCTGCCTCATGACTCATACCCTGTATTGATGCGTGCATAGTGTATACAGCACTTCATCCACCCCCCACTGCCGCCAGCGGTCTCCCCCAATTCAACTTCCGTCGTTCAGCGCTTTTGTACACGGCCTGGGACTCCTTTCTGCTCGAGCATCGCGGAGACATCCTTGCTAGTAGTGCGATTTCCCACCCATGAAGACCTTGTCTGAAAGATCCACACCTGCGGAGAAACTGTTTGGTTCATTTTGGGGAAGCTTCTTCCAAAGCAGCCGAACGAGCCTCCTGATGCCGTTCTGCTCCAGAGGCTCTGCCGGGCCGAGTGTCAAGTATACATTTCCATCAATCTCTCTCATCTCTGCCGCCCGAACCTGAATTGTGTCGTGCCATTCAAGAGGGAGTCCGACTTTGGCGTGATGAAGGAGGAGCGATTTCTTCTCGTTGAAATAGAAAGGACCGCAATAGCACAAGGTCTTGCTGGCATCGTCCGTGGTGTCCTTCATGGTGCTATCCGCTTTGCCTGATTTGGACGCGTCGATGTCGTCGGATTGAATGATAACCGACATCTGCATTTTGTTCAGCAACAACGCCTTCTTCCAGCAATACTGAACCGGCATCAAAAGCTACCAGCCTGCAGACCAAGATAGGAACTCACGTATCCGTCATCAGTGTATGTGATTTGACCTTTACAATTCTGACCCATAGGGTACTGGATATCCGCAGCGTTGTCGAGTCTGCTTGCGGAATATGAGACCAGTTCCCAGGCGCCGAGAAGACGCGACAATAGGAACTTCATGGTTAAGGCTTGACGATACGCACACCGAGGAAACAGACACCATTTACACGATAGGCGATACTTAGTGAGAAAGAGGGAAACGGAAAACTTGTGCAGAGACGACAGACGACTGAAACCGGGCCTCAAGACTTACTTCGGCCAGGTCATGGAAGTTGCAGTCTCACCTTCTAGCACTGACTTTCAACCTGGCAACTACGACCGTGATGGTGAGCACTCACTCCGAAACCCCTTTTCAATATCAGAGGACCCTGGGAAGCTCGTCGTGATCTTTGACATGGGATGGTAGGTATCGCCGAATAAAAGTCACGCGTGTGGTAAGCGCAGTATGTTGTCCATTCCTTGGTCTCTTTGCACCCATCCAATGTTGCACAATCTCCCGAGCCGTTTGCTGGAAGAAGGTGAGAAGGGACAGACTCTAGCACTTCGGTTGCCGAACTTCACTGGATGGGGGAAAATGAGCTCAGGAGACAATCGACAAACGAGGGCCATGCTTGGAATGAAACGTGCGACTTCGAGAAAGTCATTGGCTGTTCGGTTTACAATTCGAGCATAAGAGAAACTAGGACGCCATTCTAGACCCGACTCGTCTCCAACGCTCGAAATTTAATGGTATTCAAGTTGCTCTGGCGCCGATAAACCCATGAGAGACCAGTCTCACAACAGGTACTCCCTGTAGAGACTCTATAGCTTTGAATGCCGTTCAGGTGATAAGCCACCAAGCACCACCAATCGATATAACGCAGAATATCACTGTCAGGATACCTGCACCTGCCCTGCCGGCGGTTGTGATGGGTTTCTCTACCAGGCTCGCAGGACCACCTGTGGCTGAACCACCAGCCGAGGGATCACTCTTCGAAGTTGCACCGGTTCTCAGAGTTAGAGGGGCCATATTAGAATTGATCAGGTTTGCGCCGAATACGGACATTGCGCTCATCTGGATGCCGGTTAGCTTTCGCATTCCAAACAACCAGTAATTTTCTTACCTCTTCGCCAACGCCTGTATACCCATCATACGTCGTTAGATACCACTGTTCCCCACAAACGTTTCCGCCACCACTACATTGTCCTGCGGCCCCCGTCGCACTTCCCTGCAACTTCGGCATAATCTGGCTTGCGGTGCTAGGTACCAAGACCGCTGTGACTGCCAGCCAGCGTGACAAATACGCTTTGAAACTCTTCTGGTCTTGGTCGCAGTTCAAGTGGGGCTCACACTCGATCTCACTCATTATGTTCCCGCCGTACTCAGAAGGGAAGAACAAACTGAACGTGCTGTTGAGGATTTGCTGTACTCGGGACTCCCAGACGGAGCTCCCATTAGTGTAGTTGTACATGTAGGCCGCCCCAGCCAAGACTGTCCCATAGTTGTAGGTCCAGACATAGTGATCCGCGCTGGTGCAATTGTTGTCGCTATCAGTGCTGTCCCAAATGTAGAGCATGCCCCCCGAAGTCTCAAACAGTTCACTGGACGCCATCCAGTCCCAAACCTTGTTTGCCCAGTCCGCATAGCTCGAGTTTCCTGTGATGTAGGCCAGCCGTGCAGACAGCTGAAAGTTCCCACCATTGGCAATGGTAATCTTCAAGTTGTATCCGGAGTTGAATGAATACACCTGCCAGTGAAAGCCGCCACCGCAAGTCGAAGTGTCCCATAAAGAAGTTTGGAAGTTGTAGACTGCTTGCGCGAGGGAAAGCCACGAAGGTTGGCCGTCGCTGGCCTCAGGGAAGTTGGACTCGACAGCATCGAGGGCTGAAAAGGCCCAGAAAACCTGGTCATCAACGCCCATGCTGCGGGACTGATTTGGAGGATTGAAGTTGTTTTCTGGCCCCCGCTGGAACTGTAACGCCTCAGAGACGACCGAATTGTATGTACTGTCGTTGGTGTATTGCCAGTAATTGATCAACGATCCCCACATTGCACCAGCTTCCCACCAGCAGTATGTCCCGGCGACGTTGGGGTTACAACTTAATGATCCAGGAAGATCACCGGGTACTTGGCCGGTCTGGTTGCCGGTGTAATAAGTCATCATGTTGTATGCTGCTGTGCCTGCCGCGGAGGCTATTGAGGACCTCGAGTTGATGTCGAGGGTGATTGCCGCAGCAGCCGCTGGGAATAACAGTGTTGTCAGCCACATGGCTGCAGATAGTGATCCAGCTTCGTTAAATCTTAAACGATTGTGATACAGTAAGACCAGATCAGGTCATACTGAGGCAAGACATTTAGCGAATGACATGGACAGGAACATGCAAACGGTGAAAGATAGGAAGAAGCAACAATGAGATACCGTACAGGTTGAGACAGAAAGCATGTTGAAGGGCATCGAGTCTAGAGTCTTGCGTTGCGTTACCAGAGGCACTTGTCTCGGCTGTCAAGCTAGATTGGTCGGTGATAGGTCAGCATGGCACTGGGCTGGGGGAAACTTTGCGCGCTCTGGAAAAGCCGCGTTGGTGATCCGGAAACTTCGGCTGTTGTCATCAATTCAAGAATGTGAGGCAGTGCAAAAGCGCAACAAGATCACTAACTTTCGCTTGCCGCACGGGACGTATATGCTAAAAAATTCCGCGCAAGGGTTACATGGGCAAACGAAGAAAGAATGACTTTCTTCCTGGTCATGCTCAATCGACATTTCAAGGACTTTGGCATCCTTGTGATGCCAATCCGATGATTCCATCAAAGTTCATTTGGCTGCATCGAGGCTGGAAGAGGTGGCTGCAAAGGGCCGGTAGAATGGGGTACACCCGGAGGACTGTTCAATTAAAGCAGGCCAAGAGTTGTGCCTATCGAGCCTAAGCAACGCCCAGAAATGCTTAACCATCCGGGCCGTTTCATGAGCAACCGAGAACCGATTGCTCATTGGACTCAGGTGGGAGGACACTACTGGACCGACCGGCAACCAGACAGATTTGGCTTCGTTAGAACGGAACAGGACACGCGTCAACCATGCATCGTCCACCTAGATTTTTCGGCACACAGACCGTATCAAGAAAGCACTCACGCAAGCTGCCGCGTAAGAATGACTTCAAGGCTCGCACCAAGGTCCACGTCACGGATGTACGAATGCACGAAAGCAAATGTTTGACAACATGTTTACCTACCCCATACTCTGGTGCTTCAAGTTTTCGCTTTGATTGATCGACCATCAACTCTGGGGCTGCACAACGCACATTGGCCTCCTCAAATGTGGCAACATAAAGTAAACTTCCATGAGCTAATCTGATCTTAACCTGGAAGCCCTAGGTGCTGTCTATTAGATTATCACCTATTCCACAATGTTTGGCAGAATCGCTCTCAGAGGCTCTTCTAATTCATTGGTGAGGCTAGCTTCGCTGGGAATGCGCTCTGAACCCTTTGGAAGATCTATCTGGCACCACACCATTTTCATACGATCGCGACGCTAAGTCTCCCATGACGAGAGCATCTGACATCTGGGCACATGCACAATTACTACCCAGGTTGGCATTTAACAGATAATCCAGCGTACAGGATGCGAATGAGAAAAGGGTACGATGAAAATCAAGACATGCGCCACATGTGGCGCTCTCACCAGCCACACCAAATGATGTGATCACGAACTATTACTCCATATCTTCCTTTGCACTTGTACCTTGCCGAAGAGCTCAGCAGGTCCTTTTCAACTCTATCGCTTTGGAAGACTAGTCCTGACATGACCATGCTGTCATCGCTCATTGCAACGCTTGTGAGAACGCAGCGTCTGGGATCTCGCTATCTACGCGAATATGCAGAACGCAGAAGTCAAGTTATTAGGGAAGTTGTGCAGAAGAATGGCGCCCTCGGGTTTATATGTTTTGGTGGACCACCTGTTCACTTTCAGATCGTAAGTGACGAACCGACTCGGGGAGCGATAGACTCTTGTGTACCGATGTGGGTGGCTCACTTTGCATGCACAGTTCCACCAGCGATTCGTTGACAAATACCATTGGATTGATGAGCCTATGTTCCAGGAATTGTTTGCGGTAACGCAGGCCCTGTCAGGCCCTGCGAGCACAAAAATGCTGTATTGCATCAATCTGAACCGCAATGGATTCTGGAGTGCTTTGGCAGCTTTTATGTTGTGGTCGTGAGTTTGGTCCAAGCTCGTCTCAATTCAGTCGATCACTGACCTGATGCCCAGAATCCCCGGAGCTATTGGCATGTACGCGTTATCGCTCGGCATCTCCAGCGTTGGGAATACTCTTCCTGCACCAGCATATGCCCTTCTTTCAGGACTCAATGCTGCTACCGTGGGAGTGATTGCTCTTGCTGCTGTGCAGTTATCCCAGAAGGCCATCACAGATAAGATTAGCCGGATATTGATCTTTCTCGGAGCCACCGCTGGGATGTTGTACAATGCATTATGGTTCTTTCCAGTTCTCATTTTTCTGGCCGGGCCTGTGACAGTCATTTGGGATCTCAGAATACTCCATCCAGTCTTCTCTCGAATTAGAGGTGTTTTCCTCCCGACAAGGCAAACAGAAATCCGAGATGTTGAGATGACAAGTTCAGGTACGCCAAATGGTGCTCGATATATGTCATGGCCGAGCTAATATTGAAACAGAAAATAACGCCGAAGACGTGTCAGCTCGAGAACCTTCAACCGGACAGGAAATGGCGCAAACTGAAAGAGGAAACTCCGCTGTCGAGCCCACCGTTCTCAGACAGTCGGCCACCAATGATTCACGAGAGAGACTGAGTGCAAGAGTCATCCCTAGAGACAGAGAATTGAAGGTATCGTGGCGATTCGGTACAATTCTCATAGCGGCATTCTTGGCGACTTTCGTTGTCGTTATGATATTACGAGGTGTCATCAAACAACGGCCTTTGTTGTTCAGCTTGTTTTCCAATCTGTATTTGGCAGGCACAATCATCTTTGGTGGCGGACCTGTGGTGATTCCACTTCTCAGACAGTGAGTGGCAGGAGTCATACCTGTTGAGGTTGACCTGAGCGCGAAACTGACGCTGATAACAGGTATATTGTGACGGAAGGCTGGGTATCCCCTCGAGACTTCCTCCTGGGATTGGCCATCATACAATCATTCCCGGGACCAAATTTCAACTGTGCGTGCATGGCAATGAAGCTATTCCCAACCCACTGGAGATGGCGTATCTAACTTGTCTCGATAGTTGCGGTCTACCTCGGCTCACTAACTGCCATCAACGCTTCACTTCCCAGTGCATTGGGCGCTCTCATTAGTTACATTGGTATCTTTGCGCCGGGTCTAATCCTCGTTCATGGAACGATGGGGCTTTGGAGCGAGCTTCGTACTCGACGCTGGTTCAAGGCTGGTCTACGTGGGATCAACGCTGCAGCTGTGGGCTTGATCTACACGGCCATCTACCGTCTCTGGGAGATAGGATACATTGACGAGAAATTCACGAGTGGCTCGAGTCTGGGTCGTGATCCTTGGTGGGTCGTTGTGACAGCAACGAGCTACGTTGGTGGGTGCTGGTTTGGACTTCCCGTTCCTCTGGGTATCTTGCTCGGAGGTGTCATGGGACTTGTCAGATACGGAGTTACAGCGACATGACTTGTCTTATCAGGACAGCTCAAGCATGGGTCATGTTTTATTTCATATGCTCACACTTCTTCTATGCCTTCCACTTCATGCCCCGTTCTACGGTAAGCACTTCTTAATACGGCTTATGTCTGCGTCTACTTTCAACAACCATTTTGTCAGCTATTGTGTCCAGCAAGCAAGTTCCTCCACTCCACTTCGCTGCGGGGTGTATATCCCAGGGGGCGGGAACGCCTTGGGGAATGTGTCGGTTGACCCCTGTTTACTGGTTCATGACAAGTAGTGAGGAATATCCCGCACTTTTCAGAGAGAGCGATGAGTTGGTGTTGCGTTGCCGAACCCCGTTTCGCCTGTCCCCTTAAGATAATGAGCTAGTTAGTTAGGATCGTCTCCCCCCCATCGGCTGGTGGCTTGACTACAAAGGCTTGCCCTTGCTTGCCTCCGCCTTTGGGCCTTATCTGCGGACTTGAGCGCAGTTGAGTCGTGCCAGGTCAGATCGAAGAGGAGAACAAACGGCCCGTCGCCATCTGAATGCTCTCTTTTCCTTTTGTCGCATGTCGTGGTTGTCCTCTCCGTGTCAGTGCGGACCTTCAGCAGCAAAAACATGGGGAGCCTTGGGCCAGAAAACATCCCAATTGTCGACTTTTCGAGGTTCGACACGGATTTGCCCAGTCTGGCCAAGGAAATCAAAGAGATATGCGAGACATGGGGCTTTCTGTACCTCAAGAACCACGGTCTGGACCAGGACAAGGTTGATCGAATGTTCGATATCAGCGAGACGTTCTTCACGACGACTCCCCTGGAGGAAAAAGCCTCGACACCGTGGAACAGTATCTACAATGCAGGCTACGACGCAAAGACGGGGACGGAGAAGTACATGCACGAGAACGGGGCCAAGGACGTCGTGTCGTCGCAAGACGGCAAGGAGGTCTTTGTGATTCGCAAGCAACAGTCGTACGACCAGCCGATGCCGCCTGCCTTGCGCAAATTCAACCCGGAAATCCAGCAGTTCATGGCCGAGACGCACGAGAAGATTGCCGTGCGGCTGCTTGCTTGTCTGGGAGTTGGACTGGGCCTGACGAAAGACCGGCTCCCCGAAATCCACAGGCATGAAAGCCCGTCGTACACGACGCTGCGACTGATTTACTACCCGGCCCTGCAGCAGGCTGATAACGCACCGATTCGACTGCCCTCGCATACTGACCAGGGCGTCATCACGATCCTTTTCCAGAATCAGATCGCCGGCCTGCAGGTTCGGCCACCCAAGTACACCGGCAAGATCTCCGAGGACGAAGTCTGGCTCGATGCTCCTGTCATACCGGGGGCGGTGCTGATCAACATCGGCGAGACCATGACCTTTTTCTCTGGCGGCCTCATGAAGAGCACGTTACATCGTGTTGCGAGGAGCCCTAACGTAGAGGATCAGGGCAAAGATCGGTATTCGATGGCTTACTTCTGCCATCCAAACCAAGATACCTTGTTGGAAGTCATCCAGGGCATTGAGGGTGCCAAGAAGAGAGACACGCCTGTATCCTGTGTGACCGGACGACAAGTAAAGACCGTCAAGGACTGGATTGAGCATAGACATTCGATGGGGAGACAGGAAGCGATGGTAGCAAAGTGAAGCTGGCATTCTTTTGCGGAGATGTCATTTTGTGCCGTACTGATAGGCGTAGCTTGTACCAACCTAGGGTACCCCGTGTGTACCTAATGATCCACCGCAGCTCTCCGCACCGGAATCCGCCGTATTAAATATTGTGAGAATCGTATTGCATACAGTCCGCACTTTTTCGACGTCTTCAACCCTTGAGCAGGCCAACTGCCTGGAGGCTCAAGATCTTGATTTCATTGATTCACAGCATTTATTCCGCTCTGGCCATAACCTTTCACGCCTCCAGATGCCGCCATCATGGCACCTCCAATGCCCAACCCCACGAAGCGCATGACAGCGAACCCAGCGAAACCTGTTGCACGGTACCGTCCAGGGAAACCAGTCGCAGAACAAGAATCGTCCGACGAGGAAGAAGTGTCGGAGGAGGAAAAGCCACAACAGCCGCAACGAAAACCTCCAGCGAGGCCTCCACCAGTCAGAAGGCCAGTTGCTCCGGCTCGGGAAGAAAGCGAGGAGGAAGATGAAGACGAGGAGGGGTTCGTGACAGAAGAGGAAGATGAAGGGCTAGGTCTCGGTCCCGGTCAGGGACCAGGGACTAAATTGACACAACAAACAAAGAGTGATTCTACATTACGGAGACCAGCACCACGACTATCACAAGCGAAGGCCGCCTCCGACGAGGAATCAGAAGACGACTCCGAAGAAGGATCATCTGATGGAGAAGAGTCGTCAGAAGAAGAAGAAGAAGAGTCATCGTCGTCGGAAGATGAAGCGCCGCAACGCAAGTTTAAACGGCCAACATTCATCCGCAAGACCGATCGGCAAACTTCAACGCTCACCAAGACACAATCCACGGCTGCTGACCCACCTACGTCCTCCGCAGGCGCAGCCGACGCCGACGCCGCTCGACGCCTCGCGCAAGCCGACCTCCTGATCAAAGACAAACTGGAACGCGACGCGCTCGCGCGTGCGGCCGGCAAGAAGTCATGGGACGACGACGACGACATCCTGCCCGAGTCCATGGTGGACGACACGGACGGGCTGGACCCGGAAGCTGAGCACGCGGCGTGGAAGGTGCGCGAGCTGCGACGGTTGAAGCGCGACCGCGAGGCCCTGGTGGCGCGCGAGAAGGAGATTGAAGAGATCGAACGCCGGCGCAACCTGACGGCCGAGGAGCGCGAACGGGAAGACCGCGAGTTCCTCGAGAAGCAGCGCGAAGAGCGCGACGGGGGCCGCCACGACGCCGCGTTCCTCGCGCGCTACCATCACAAGGGTGCCTTCTTCCAGGGCGACGAGGCCGCCGAGATCCTGAAGCGCCGCGACGTCATGGGGGCCCGCTTCGAGGACGAAGTCAGCGACAAGTCCCTCCTGCCAGAGTACATGCGCATCCGGGACATGACGAAGCTAGGCAAGAAGGGGCGCACGCGGTACAAGGACCTCAAGGGCGAGGACACGGGACGGTTCGGAGACGAAGTGAAGCGGTGGAAAGGCAGTACCGGTGCTGGACCACGAACCGAGGGTGATTTCGATACAAGAGGGCTAGACGAACGGTTCCTGCCTGACGATCAGCGTCGTGGTGGCGGTGAACGGGGAGGTCGAGATCGAACGGGCCCCACGGGTGCGAATGCCAGTGCGGTCGGCGAGAGGAGAGACAGAGACAAAGACAAAGACAGGTACAGGAGCCGGAGCAGGAGCAGAGAGAGACGGAAGAGATCATATTCAAAATCCCGCTCGCGCTCGAGGTCGCCCAGACGGAGAAGGAGGGATTCGCCTTCACCCGATCGCCATCGCGATCGGGTTAGGGACAGGGAAAGGGATCGCGACGGGACGAGTAGGAGAGAAGAGGAAGTGAGGACCCGCTAGTGAACATCTACCACGACCGATGAATTCGTGGTGGTGCGAATGATATGTTTGAGCTTGAAAGGCTCAGTGTATAGATAGCTACCTAGTCCTGTCCTACCTGGCGGGTGGATCTCTCAAGCCACCGCGATGTGTGCGGCAGATCATGGAGCATATTGATCTGTACCGTGTGTAACTACAAGTATCGCTCTCACCTGCGTCGCCCTCAGGAGGTCATCGTCTGTAAAGCACGATCATGCACATCTGACTGACCCTACCACTTGTTCGATCTGGATTGGCTTCGAGGTCGTGTTGATATGGCTACAGCACGCCATGAGTCTGTGAGTACAGTAACGATGATAGCCCGTGTCAGAGTAAGGATGTCCATGCCCAGACATGTCTCTTCCTCCCCTCTCGTACGCCTACCGAGACTCCATTATCTAGGCCCTCACTCACTGCCGTTCCATTACGTATCCACCTTCAGTCTTCTCGAGGTCAGGGAGGTATTGATTGCGGTTGCTAGGGACAGTTGCATTGACCGCCTTTGACATTCCGCCTCTCGGTACTTTCACCAAGTGTCGACAAGTAGTCGAAAATGCCACTTTCCAGAGACTGGTACACGGTGGCCTGCGTAAGAGACGTATTGACGCCAAATGCTTTTGGAGAGTCTGATTTCAGAATTTCGTTGCGGAACAACATACCCACTGCAAGCGCCGCACCTTAGTCTCGGCGTGACACGTAGGTCGTCGATCGATCACAGGGTGATTTTCCAGACGACGAAAAAGCTCGATCGGGACCAAATATATAGTTACTGGTGCTCGGTCGGCTAGAGACCTGCGTCCTGCGGGAATTGCAAGACTGTCGACCGCTTCCTGCATATACTCGCCGGGATTGACTTGAGCAAATGCCGCCTCTTGGAGGGAATGCTAATGCCAATGCCAGCCCAGTACAACGCTCTCTTCCCCTGTACCCTCTTGCATTCGTCGATGATAGCAGACCACTGTGGGCAAACAAACATATGATATGCTGTGATAATCATGCTCTAGATCAACGGCACACTGTTGCCCATGGGGAACGAATGCGTTTGACGCCGTCTTGGCCATGGATACAAGCGCTTATTGAGAGGTAGAGACTCCTTCTGTTTGGCATTGTTGCGTCCCACTTCTTCATTCATTTTATTCCCTGTCTCTCCAGCTCCTTCTCTCTCTCAAGCACGCTGTCCTCGAACTTGATCAAAAACACCGTCCTGTTAGGCCAGACGTCGGTCGCGGTATTGTGCGCACTGGCCTTGCACTCAAAGCCGGCCCCGTCGCACACGCCCTCGATGATGCCCGCAATGTACGCCGCGACACTAAGCTGGCTCATCTCCTTGGGCACGCTGATGTACTGGTTCGTCAGCGGCGTGTTGTCTATGATCATGTACTCGCCAGGGTTTGTCGTGGACTGCTCCAACGAGTCCGCCGGCCGCGAGAACAGCAGGGGGTACAGTTTCGTCGTGAGCAGCGTCAGCAAGGGAAGCAGGCGTAGCGGCCGGCTGGCGCCACTGCCGCTTGTCGAGGACGTGCTCGAGGAACTTGACGACGACGACCCCGCCGGTGACGTGCGGTAGAGCAACAGGTCCAACAACTTCAGGCCCAGGGGGTACCCTTGCTCGTTCAGCCTCTTTTCAAAGTCCTGGATACCCTTGACGCGGCGGTGGGCGTACGACACCATCTCCATGAACAGGTATGCGAAGCTGGCGCGCGAGAGTTCGGCGTTGCGGCTGCGGTTGAGGTTGCGGTCGTAGATGGTCTTGCGGGTGGAAGGGTATCGGAGGGTCGAGCTCGTGCCGGCCCCCGTCGGTGTCGTCGTGCTGGCGCCGAACGGGCTGGACGTTGAGTAGGTCGAGATAGGGCGGGATGGAGACGAGGTGTGGGAGGGAGGGTACGAGGAGGGCATTGTAAGGCCTGGAGGCGCCGACATGACTGGTGAGCTGTCACGTTCGAAGAGCCACAAACCAAGTCAATGTCAAGGCTTGAATTGCATGTTGTGGTAGAAGTTTAGGGGGCGATGGGTCGGTCGTTGTGGTCATCGAAGTGGAAGTGGAAGCGAATCCAACAACATCTGTATGTACAGGTAGTACAGGTAGTATCCGTACTCCGTAGTCTCACGTCAAGGCAACTTCGCCGAGCGATATGCGAACCCACTTTTCTAAAAGCCGGGGAGGTTCAGCCTCGCGACCATAAACTACATTGGGGGCAAAAACTCTCTATAGTGACATTCACCTTCGTTACACCAGTATACTCGGTGTGGCCCAACATAATTGCTCTATGGAATGGTCGTCATGGTCGTCATGCCCGAGCCTAGGCTTATTGGGACCCCGAAGCACTCCGTGGATGTCGTGTCTACTCTTGGTGCCACCCTGGATGACCTTGTCCGCCTCTTTTCTTATCCTGGCGGTTATCATCTGACTGAGGATTCTTGCCATTGGCTTCTTTGGTCTCATTATTCTCCCCATCCCATTCTACAAACGCCTTTTGCCGTTGTCTCGAGTTCCATTGTAACGTTCTTGATATGCTGTTGACCCAGTCTTCACTGCGGCGTCCCGGCGGCATGACGTTGGCGAAAGGATACCGCGAAGCCGATATTGTGACATAATCTCCCGGGAACAACTCAATTCTGGACGAGCTACGTTAGCAAATTCGTCTGTGCCTCTCAAATCATCATCGCGCCTACCGTTCCCGTCCGTCAAAGCTTGCCCAAGAATTCGAGCGGGCGTCGTAAGGCACGCCGAGTCGCAAAACAATGGTGTCAGGAAGGATAATCGGGCGGAACGACAGGGTATGCGCGCAGATGGCCGTGACCAGGATCACTGGGTTTTCCGGGTGACAGAGAGACCCTCCCGCGGCCAAATTATATGCCGTGGAACCAGTCGGAGTAGCCACACAGATGCCGTCGGCCTGAACAGTTGTCAAGTGTTCCTCATCTCCAAAGAGTTCGATCGTGGACATGGTGGGATTCGGACCTCTGTCAACCACGATATCATTCAGGATCTCAAATGTTCCATCTGGAACATGTGTCTTGCGATCATCGGCTTCTTCACCGATCAACTCTTCGACAATATCACGATGATCAGCGTCATCATGACGCTTCTGCGATCTCATGACTGTGCCTTCAAATCGTAACCTCAGACTTATCGTCACGCCATCCTTGATGGCCTGGGACAGCGTAGTCTGGTAAGAGTCAAAGTCGAACTTTGTCAGGAAGCCAAGCGAGCCCAACGCAAAGGACAGCACCGGGGGTACGACTCTTTGAAATAACCAGCTCGCGTAAAGCACTGTGCCGTCACCCCCCAAGGTGATGACAAAGTCGAACGTATGAGGCCGTCTCCTGGCAAGATTGACGTTCCAATACTTTAATCGTTCGCCGTATGAGGGATCTTCAGCCACGAGCCCCGCTGCATCGAACGAAGGGTTCTCCTGCAAGATGTCCTGGACGTAGACGATATACGGCACAGATCGGTCTCTGGACAGGAGCCACCTGGCCACCTCCCGTGTCTTGACGATCAATGTCTTGTCATGGATCTTCGTGAGTAGGAAGATTGCCCTGATCTTCAGTCTGACCTTTAGGTTTCCCAGCTTTTTCGCCAGAGCCCTCACGCTAATGGCCATGTCACTCAATTGTTTCTTCGTGAGCAACCGCGACTCGACGGGTCGGTTTTCTTCTTTACCGAGCATCGGCTCTCTGTCAATACTTTCCGTCGCCACGCTTGGCTCAACTTCATCGATCTGTTCCAGTTCTGACTCGACTTTGGTCTTCTCGACGATTTGGTGGACGAGGCATTGCGACTTTGCACGTTCCGCGTGCGGGCGCCTCGATTTGTCGACTCTCGGTTGGTCGGTGAGAACAAAAGAGGACTTTCGGCGACGAGCCGTTTCGGAATCGAAGACAACCTGTTGTCAAGACATCGTGTGAGCAGGAACAATTTTTCCCAAACAGCATCGCGATCTTGGCCCTGCGCGCACCTCAATTTTACGATTGTAGTCGTCCTCACTGCTGGAGTCACTTCCCATCTGATCAACCGTAAGCAAATGCCGTTGTTTCTTGTGCAGGCATGAATACATGATCCGGGAGACATTCACTGATCCTCCTGCTGAGGTGAGGCGCACCCCGCGCAGCGTCCATTGAGGAGCGAAGGTATATACGTTCAGGAAGAAGCCGGTTGGTAAGGGCACCCTATACACAGTTCTCCCGTTGCTGTAGTGTGCTCATTCTCATAAAGACGGCGCCAGACGTGCAAATGTTGTTGGCGAGAGAAGAATATTGTTGCACTGAACTGATTTGTAGGACACAAGTGAGCGTGCCGTCACCAGCGCCCGCAGTGGAGATCTAAGTATCCCGACAGGGTTATCGATTGACTAATCAACAATTAGCCACGACACCATTACAAAGTACAAGGGCCTCAACCAATGACAGAGTACAACAGGATCTGGCAAGGATGATTCTCTACTGCGAGCATAGTGTCACGGTTGTGGACCAAGTGTCTTCGGGAGCAATGGCTTAGCTACGAGTAGTTGTAGCACAGTTGCATCACCCTCAAGTGCGCAAGGTCGATGATCACCCAGCGTCTGTAGATTATCTCAATCGACGTAATTATACATGGTTTTCAAAGGAAAGACCGGTCTATTAAGGGTATCCTATTGGTCCGTGGCCATCATTTCTCATTTCACTCGTAACTTGTTGTACATCAATCACAGGGGGGATAGTGAGAGTGTTGTTCATTGCCTGTGGGGCTGGACGTCGTCTTCAAGGCAGGGATCTCGACTTCTCCGTCCGGAGCCTCACAGGGAGTCTCGATCGGGGAGCTTGTTTGAGATCCAACGGCAGAATCGTCTGAAAACTGCGTCGACGGCGCAGCGGTCGACTGTGACGCCACTGTATCACTATCAAAATCACCTGCAGGCTGATTCTCGATCTCGGTGTAAGAAGTGAGTTCTATGCTTGGTCCGGTTTCGGAAGGCTTCCCAACTTGCTCTAGAAGCGGCACGGCTGACAAGGGCTCCAAAGCAAATTCAGGTTGGGATGGCATGAGTTCGTAGAACAACATGAACCCATTGCCGCGCCGACGAACTTCATCTTCCGAGACCTTGGTAACAATCTCGTCATTGAAAGAATACCAGTCCTTGCCTCGCTTTGCCAAAGCAACATAATGACCGTTGTCATGTCGACCATAATGCGTGACGATACATTTTAAATCGTAGACGGCCGCAACAGGACTTCTGTTCGTTTCCAAGGGTGCACACCAACGGCGGAGGAAATCGAACTTGACGGGGACTTCGACAGATGCTGTATTCTTCAATTGATTTCCATACTCATCGAAGATGCTGCGGTTAATGTGAAGGACGAGATCTTTGGGCAAACGACCAACAGTCATCTGCTTGGCTTTTGTTCTCAGAACCGGTGTCGGCTTTTTGTTCGGCCTCTCTCCCGCAGTCTCAACCTCTGCACCCTCGGTCGATGGCGACTCTTCATTCCCATGCGCCATTTTGGTGCAATGCTCGCACTCAACGCCTTCGACCTCTTCCGGTGCTGTGAATTCATCCAGCAAGTCATCAACAGACGATGCCCCTCGAAGGCCCATATTTAGAGTCAGGCAATTAAACTGGGTTAAGGACAATCCTTCGGTGTATCCGCAAACCTTGCATTCGAGAGCCTGTGCGGTCATGCCATCGAGAGGGTTTCGATGCCCGAGAGAGGCAGTGCTTGTCAACAACTGCGCTGCTGATGTGCTAACAATCGTCTCAGATTCTGGTCCAACAATTTCTCCCGGGCCTTCATCATTAGCCCTCCTGAACACTTTCAGGCACTCCAAGCCTGCGATTGAAGGCTTCTTCAACTGCTTTATATAGCCGGATGCTTCCTTCTCCGCAGCGTCAAGAACTCGGGAGAAATACTCTTGCGCATCTTGCTGCTGCCAACTGTCCATTGATTTCAATACTTTGGGGGTCCACAAGGTTGTTTTGCTGTTAGTTGAATCCGAAAGCTTCTCTAGGAACGCAACTAGCGCTTCATGAGTTTCGGCCTTGATCTTGTACTCGCGGCACATGTCCAGGCTCTGTTGCAAGAAGTGGAGGAAGGCAGGCAGAGATGCTAGGCCTTGGAGAACACTGTTTTGGTAGCATGAATTGTCCCAGTTGCCCAGTCCAGCTGGTCCAATATCGTGGCCCGACGGCATGTAATCCGCCACACCAGAGAGGTTCCTGACCTGACGAAGAACGAGTGGCATCTGTGGAGGTCCAAATATTCTCTGTACAGCTTCTTCTTTTGCGAACATATTTCCAAAGTCAGCTCGACTGAATCTTGCATCCTCGGGGGACAAGCGACCAAGCCTAACAAGGGCACGCTGCATCATATAGAGAAGCCTCGAGGGAAGGAGATAGATGAACGATTCGTAGCAGTATCGTTGAACGGTGGAGGGCCAGGCGTCAAAAACGGAAAGAGCATAGTAACCCAACACCAGCAGAGCAATCGTTGAGATCACCTTGGTTACCGTCGGGTATGGAGCACTTTGAGAAGCGTAGGCGTCGTAGACTACCGGGCTGCCGTATGCCCTAGCCGGGAGGTTGTTCATAGCGAAGCAGCGGAAGGTGGTGAGCCTGGTTCACTATCGTTAAGAGTGGCATTCGGTCTGTCAGGTCACAAATCACCGTCTATATCCACATGAGGTGTTGGAAATCGAAAGGAAGCTGCTAGGCTTCTCTGTTGACGAACGATTGTTTGTAAGACGCAGTGGAAGAAGATGAGGTGATCCGGGCTTCGTGAGAGGCGGCGCAGGCGAGAAAGGCTTGGCGGCTGCAATGCGTGTGTGTCTAGACCATGGCAAGAGACTCCCATCGACCAACACAATGTACACCTATCTGTACTTGCACGTCGAACACAGTCACGTTGAGCAATTCTATGCATTATTATGTCGTGACATTCTCATCACTAATGTCTCGCTTCCGTTTGTTCGAGTCTGGTCGTGTTTGAGCATACGGCGCAACCTCTCCTTGCCCGATTCCGGCTGGGTGAGAAATGTTTGTGCCATCCTCATCGTTGGGTTCGGCCTGTCTAATCTCAGCATCATTGGCTTCTCGTGCCAGTCGCTTTCGTTCTTCCTGTTCCCTCATCGCCTGGCCTGGATCACCTTCTACGTGCTTGGCCCACCACTTCTCCCATAACCAGCTCAAGGCCTGTTGTGTCATTTGCCTCAGATAGAACAAGTGGGGGATGTCGCCGTGAGTAACCTGGTGTCGTAGGTCGACAAACTTCTGTGGCATGCCAATCGCAGCCGCATGTGCATACATTGAACTTTCACCCTTGGCTGGAGGGACTGCTGCGTCCTCCATCTCAGAATCGTCCAATGCGAGTTCCATGGCGTGCAGTCGGGCTACATCGCGATCAACGAACCCGTTTACAAACCTCGCAAATGCCATGGCGTAGATGCTCTGCATAGCCGAGTCTGATATGCCTCGAGAGCTGCGGTCTAGGTCATCGTGAAGGAGAGCCTCGGTCAGACCAGATGTGGCTACGATTGCAGGCGCAAGGTGGCCAGCTTTGAAGAGCCAGAGATTGACTCGGTCAATGGCCCTCTGTTTCATATCTTGTGGGGTGGTCGAGAAGGCGTCCTGTTTCGCACGGTCGGGGAAAAACCAGTCTCGCACCATGGCTAGCTCGGAGGCGTGTCGCCAGGGCGGAAATTGCGACACCATTCTGGCAGCTTGGGCCGAAACATCAGACCCCAACGTTGGAGACCCGACCGCGGGTGCCTTGGAGTGTTAGGCTGCCTCAGTCGCTGGAAGCAGCGTCCTCGTTTCGTATATAGATATTCCAGATTCCACAACAGTTTCGAGGATGAATAGACGGCTTTGCATTGGACAGGAGAATTTTTCACGTTATTCCTAATGCAGACTAGTCGGTGTCCGCAAGCTTCGCGCGATGACGCAAGGCCCATGGATACAGAGCGAGCGTTGATTGGCCACCAAAACACATACAGTAGTACCGCGTCTAGATCAGAGCCAGTGTGCGTGGCCAAATGTGGCTGCATTCTAGAGCAGTCTACGCGTACAGCTTCAGCAGAGGATCGAGCGGGATGGACTTTGCATTAGAATCTGCAGTAAGACATAGTTCATTGAAAAAGGGATCAGCCTAGCAGATGTCCCCCAGGAAAAACCAACAATAGGGTATCATCATGTACATGAGGTATCAGCGTTGATAAGTGGCTTTACCCAAAAGTAACCTCCTGGAAAACAGAAAAGTACATGTATGTATTCATCAAGTCATAAATCATATCCATCCATAACCATACTGGCAATTGGGATAGTACGCACTGTTGAGCTGGCTTAGTGTCGCGAGATATTTGTATGCAAGGGGATCAACCCCAGAAGGGGTGGGAAATGCCATGTGGTTGGCGACAGATTGAGAGTCGTAAGAGGAGAACATGGTCGCGGAAGTATCCAAGGGTGTAGGGTTATGCTGCTGAGCAATATCCTCGTCCATTTCGACTTCATCGTCGTCGTCATCGCCCTCTGCTTCTCCATCTTGGTCGGCAGCCGGATCCCATTCTACCGGCTCAAATGACTCGGCAAGCTTCAGTGAAGTTTGTCCAGATCCAGCGAAGTTCCCAAGAAGAAGTGACGACGATTGTACCTGGGCTGGAGAATCGTAGAGCCCCATTCCGACTAATTCTTCACGATTGTCTTGTGCCTTTCCATCACTCGAATCCAGCGAGAGATCTTGTACATTGATTTCTGAAGCGCTCGGATAGCTTGGCGATGGTGGCGCCGTGGCGACACCACTCACCATTGCTGGCTGAGAGGAATATAATGAAGAATCAAACGGCGCAAAGGTGTATCGGTCGAATTTAGAGTGCTTGTCATCGTGCCAGACTTGATTCAGGCAGTGCTGACTACCATGTCCGATGACAATATTTGCAGCATTGACCTCGTCAAGCGGGGTCATAAGCTCCTGAATCTGCGGCTCATTCATAACTGGGTGTGATATTGGAGTCACGAGTCCATTGACTTGAGTGGTGGTAAAGTCCCATGCAGACGAATCATACTCGGGTGTACAGGAGTCGAAAGGAATATGAAGGCCATCGTATGTTGTATGCCAACTGACAGGTCGTGATCGAGAGTTGTCGAAGTCGGGCTGTTGTTGACTTCTGGAGCGAAGATGGTCGACTAGTGATCGAGTTCTCGATGAGAGGGTGGCACCAGTTGTGGTTTTCCTTCTTCCTGAATTCCGTGGGCTACTGTTGCGACTGCTTGGTTTGACGACTCTATTGGGGCGAGCGAAGTATGAAGATACACTCATCGAAGCTGGATTGTATGCTGTCTCCGGTAAGGAGTAATTCCACAGTGGTGCGTATTCCATGGATGCGTTGGTGAAGATCTTCGGTGGTTGAACATTAGATGTTTAAACGGAAGATGAAAGTCATATCTAGTAGCGGCAGGCACAGATATGAACAGAAAATCCAGTGGGCCAGCTAAGGGGTAACGAACACGAAATTGAGAATGGCATCTCAAATTAGGGAAACTCGGTTGGGAAAACAACTGCACATACTGTAGCGGTCGAAGTGGGCTAGGGATGAACCAGGTGTCTGGTGGACAACAGACCCAGAACCGGGGGTCACACCAAAGTTCTCACTTCTGAGTTCTCATGAATGACAGGAAGACAGGCAATAATACTAGCTAGGGTAACTAACTACTGGTACCGGGGTACGAAGATGATACGCACGGTCGGAATGTTTTGGCTGGTGTGAGTTTAGGATGAGGTGGAAGCGGGCAGGCGAGATGCGTCAGAGCCGGGCGGCAACTGTAGTGCCGCAAGTGGGAACATGGGGAAGAGTGATGCGAAGACGTGTGGCCGATGGGAGTCACTATTAGACTAATAACTAGCACCAGCACCCAAAAGCGCGTGATTCCGCTCCAAGCACGGTTGCATGGTCGAAGTTTCATCGACTTAGGTGCGAGAAGGTGCGAGGTGTGAGCGAGGAGCTGGGAAAGCAAGCCGATCCGGGCGGCATGGAGATCCTCTGTGGGTTTACTCCTCGCACAATGGCTACAGAAGGGTCAGAGCCGGCCTGATTCGATGTCTCGCAGCCTGCGGCCTGTGGCGCCGCCAGGTGATAGTGTGAAGGATTGTCAAAAGCAGGGAAGAGAAGTCTAAAAGAGGCGACAGACGCTAACAACCTCCGTCGAGGAGAGAAGTCTGAAAAGTGGCAGCTGAACCTGCTTAGGACTCGACTGTCTGGCACAGTCAAAAGTGGCTCAGCCCAAAGAGTGAAAGCACAACAGTCGGTTCGCCGCCGGCAAGGGAGGTTGAAGGCGGAGACACGCCAAGGACCGTCCTCGATCCTGAGTTTGTGGTGGCATCGAAAAGAAAACGGGATGACGCGATACCCGACATGTCCACTGACCATCACACCAAGAAAAGACCAGGTTTGTAAGGAGGCCAGGAGAGCCGACGAAAAGATTCGGCGTATCAGATGCACGATAGAGGCATTGGACCAGGGTGACGCCCAAAGTGTTTGTTGGCTAGACCGACAAGAGGCACCATCCTTGAATAATACGGAGGCGGTAGCCTGTGAGCTTGTGACAGGACCGAAGCTGTTGTTACCCAGCAATCGCAGACCGAGGAAGGGACCCTGTCAAAGCATGGCGAAACGCAGAAAGCTAGACATTTCAGCGTGCTGGGAGCGACGATCAGCGTCCTTCAGCGAGTCAGAGACAAGCCTCAAGGAAGCTCTCGGTGGATGTGACCTGAGATTACGGTGGTCCGGCCCAGAGGGGTAATCAACCAGTTGTTACTAGTTAGTGAAGTTCGAGTAGTGGACGGAAGTGTCGAGAACTTTGAAGGAGGTGATGGACCGGTGGGTATTATCGACAGGGATCAGGAGTCAAGAACTCCAAAAAGGCGAGCATCTCGTGGTGATCAAACCCGACATGGCAACGGATGGCTGCCATGTGGAGTGGGCCCGGGCGGCGATTGCCATCCATGGGACCATCCTTGTCAGTCGACAAAGGTGCAAGGGGAGCAGACAGTAGAGTCAGAGGATGCGCAAAAGATACCGAGACAAGGATGAACGGTGCGTGAACGGCTTCATACCAGGGTGGTGATACAACCTCGGACCTTCTGCACTCGACGTCGCAGCCCACCGGCACATTGTATCGAGCCGACTCAGAAAGGGTTTCTATGGAGGACTGTTCGAGTACTATGCTCCGTTGGGCTTGTCCGCGTCCGACGCGCAGAGTACGCGAAGAATTGTACCATGGTGGTTGGGGTCCAAGAGAGATTTGAGCAGGTTGGCATTGCAAGGGAGGGTGGCTGTGCGGCCATGCTTACGGAGTAAACGAGATGCTCGAATTCAAAAGCACCTCTTGTATGCACGGCAGGGAGGCTCGAGGGGAGACCGAGAGAGAGATGGCAGGGGTGGGGCTTTTACCGTACGAGCCAGTTGAGTGGAGACAGACAGCACGGAAAAGGAAAAGAAAAATGGAAAAAGATGCATCATGCGTCCACCAGCGCGTATTTTCGATTCTGATCCTCATCCTGATCCTGATCCTGATCCTGCGCTACACCATCTTGTACAGTTAGACTACAAAGAAGTGAAGTCCTGGGCTGGCAGTGGGACCCAGTCTTCCCATGAGCCCTAATCCCTGGTCCCTGGACTACTGGGCCCTGTCAAACGTCCCGCGACTACATACGAGTCGCACGAAGAGGCGCACCCGCCTGGTGGATCGCGTCGCATTATTCCGCTCTGCATCTCTTCATGCATCGACGCCTCCTCTCGGTGCTTTTCCTTACCAATCGTTCCAATTCTTTTTCAGGAGAGATTTTGACTCCTGGGCTTGCAGTTTGATGTTCAACCGGCGATTCTGCCCACTGCTTGGGCCCACGCTGGGAGGGTCGCTACGCCGTCAGACCACTACTTAGAACCATTGCATATGCGGGCCTTATCGTTGCCTGTCGCTGGTGATCGCTCCAACTCCCAGGCGATCACCACCAGCACCAGCACCAGCACCCAACACCAACTAACAACCTTGAGAAAGGACCTGCATGCCGACCAAATTTAAAATTGGCCATAAACATCCAACTCGGTTTCAGACCATCCAAATCCATGGCCACGAACGCAAGCCTCTGACCTACAGTACGTACATCATCACAAGGTCCAACATCCAGTCCGGGCTGCATACCCGAGGCAGGGTTGCCCGTGCCACACATAACCTGGCTGAGAATTTAAGGACATCCCCCACGGTGCCTCGAGGCTGCCTGATTTCGGTTCGAGAGTCTAGTATCCGTCACCCGTCCGATCCAAGACACCTGTCCAAGGAACACCGGCGGACCCGTACTGTCCCATTAAAGTATTGCCTTAACCCAGGGACTAGCCTTGTCAGGCTGTCACCGACCTCTGACCGCCTAATTGACACTTTGACCTGGAGCGAGTAGTAGTCTCAAGAGTAGCACGACCCCAAACATCATCTAGCGGCAGTCGATTACATTGACCCAATGAATACGATTCACAAGGAATCGGAGAGTGAAGTCTGGTAAGACTCTTCTGGAACCCTTACAGTCCCGTTCCTATGTGGTACGAATTATAAATGTCGACGCGTCGATCCGATTTCACCTTCACTGCTGAGTTGAGCTATTGTTGGTCCTCGCAGAATACCGGTAGTACGGTATACCAAGAAGGCGTGGAGCTTTGGACGGACCGCTACCGAAGACAGTCTCTATGAAATTAAACATGAACCAATTCTTCCTGAACGTACTTACCTGGAGTATTACCTAGTTAGAGCAGAGGCTGAGCTGAGTGGCTGTCAGGTGCAAGCCTAGACGTGCGCCACACCAGGACGCTATGACATTTCATCAACCCGTCTTGCTGGACAGAATGGGCGGCTCAAATCCTTGATGAACGGTTTGATGCTGGCCCGTTCTTCTGTCGGTGCCGCCGCAACCCCGTCACGAAGTAGGATTCGACGGCAATAATGGCTATGGGCTCGGCTTGTCACACTGCAACTGGCCCGAGTGTTCAAGCAGCATTACAATGTCTGCGTTAGCCTTCTGAGTGCCAACTGGGCTGTCACCTTCGCAGACAAATCGAGAATCAAGGATCAGCGACAACAAGAATGCCTAGTTTGCGCTCAATGCTCGTTTTGCGTGAGACGGTTCGAATGGCTAACGGTCACGTCTACTTCGACCCTTGACGCATTTCGCATTAGCCTGAGGCGAACGCCCCATTATACAAGTACTGTATCATTCGCAGGCGTTATTACCGCGGGCCGCATATGGAATCGAAGGGAACGAGTCATACTTTTGTAGTAGTTCGGCGGGCTAACTCCCTTGCAAGGAATGATCCAGCATGCAGACGTCCGGCGTCATCAACTACGACTCCACGAGCGCTTGTACTCCACCGGCAGGGGCACCCGGACTCTGGGAGACTCTCTTGACTTTGAGTTTTTGGCCCTGGTCCAGCATGCGCTAACAGGCGACGCGGCCTCCGTTTACGGGTTCAAGCCCGTCCATTACCGCTAGGTGCCATCCCCGCCAAAAAGTGAGACTTGGAATCTGCTTGCTGTTGTTTTTGTTGTTGCCTATCGCCACCCTGATTGTACAAGACCTTTGCCGGGGCTTACAAGTAAAGCATCCCATCCTTGCCGATGCCAATCAGAGAGAGTTTCAAGACACCGGAAAGGAAGTCACAGGCACCCACGGATGATCCACAGGGATACATTGTTAATGGCCGCCCCACTCTCCGCGCTCGTACAATACTGCATATAATAATATATCCTTCCAAGAAGAAAATTTCGAGAAATCACAATCACGGACATGTACGGATCGGTGTGGTACATACATTCCCAGTGATGACTGTTTCCCCTCGGCCACCCCGTGTCATCCAAGCTTTTACTCTGTTCAAAAGCTTAGAAACCCGGCTGGTCAATCCTTGATCTGACACGCACTTGTGTAAGGGGTGAACTGGACTAGGTAACTTGCTCGCCCACCATTCTGGAGGGGCCCTGGCGGCTGTAAACCCCAGCTTTGGACAATCGCACGGTCGGCGGAGTCTTACAAGACCACAAAAAATTAGCCATTGTTCGGTGCGCGGGCCCAGGCTCCTGAACAGGGTGGCACGCAGTGCGGCACGGGTCAATGGGGAGCGTACGGATCGGAGGCCGCCACGTCTCAACCTACAACATCATCAGTGATCACTAGCGCGATCCATTTTGTTCAAAGTTGTTCAAAGCTAAAGAGCTTGAGCCTTTGGTTGAAGGCGACGAAGGATGGATCCTCCTGAACAACGCGTTGCTGTGGGCTTTGTTATAACTTGAAGGGAGATACGCGTTGCTCAATAAAAATAATAAAATCAACTCCAGCGGTATGCAATGGGGGGCATCTTGCCGGGTATTGAGCGACGAGTGTTGTAAGATGGAAAATCTCTACGCTAAATCGATAATGACCGTCTGCCATCTTTCTTACAGTACATTTTCTCACCGATCTACTCCGTAGCGTTAGTTAAGGGGATGCCCAGGAGGCCTTCACCGCCCATCTCCCCTTTGTTGAATCCTCGTAATGCTTTCCACAGACGCCTTGTCGTGTCGGAGTACGAGTGGTTTGGGAGACTTTTGGAGGCGCTCAATAATAATGCCACTTCGCAGATGTGACTGATCTCCGGCGAAGCCTATCTCTAGACTTGTTTTAGGATTATTATTTTAGACAAAAAAATTGCAGGTCAGATGGCCACAGTCCTGGCGTGGCGAATACCCACCTCTCTCACCCGTCTCGCGTCGCTTAAGCGCCCGTTATGCACACCACACTGACCACTGACCAGGGATTAGGGACGACTTTCCAACATGCAGTAGTCTCTGGGGGCCTGGTGAACAAGTTGGCGTCCGACCAGGAGCCCAGGACCCCTGGCCCATCCTTGGTGAGCCGAGTGTACTTTAACTTGTAGGACTTTGGTCTAGCCTCACTAGCCTTCCACCACTGATGCATTTACTACTGCGTGAATTTGCCTTTTTGATCTTGAATCCAGCCTTGCAAGGGCTTGCGAGATCACACGGCGTAGCTGATCATCGCTTATTCCATCCATCCTTCAAGCCTCCGTCGATGTGTCGGGCGACTGGGTCGGTGGGTCGGCACTTCCGCACTCACGGCTTACAACACAGTACTGTATTAGCAGAGTCCTTCGGGCTGCAAAGCTTTGTCAACGTGGCAGCAATTTACATTGACATCGTCGGATTACCAACTAGGCAGCAAACGATTACAGACAATTGGCACAGTCAAATCTCGAGAAGATCCGAAGTGACGTCTTCTGCGTCGCTCAGGGTCTGGCTATGGCCCCATAGCCTACTCCGTATACGGGTGCACTCCTGGTGCTGGACTCGTATCACGGTATCAGTCACAAACTTCAGTGTCTCACCGCGTCGAGGCCTTAGGCTAGTGATAGCAACCCCCTGATCAAGACCATCTCATTGACTGAGTTTTGGGGCTGGCCCGACCTGAGCTGAGGCATCAGTATACTTGAAAGTGGGAAGTCAAATTCATGATCCAGCCACAGCCACCGCTGCGTCTCGTCAACGCCCAACGAGAGCCCAACAAGTCTATGCAATAATTCGGCTATCTGGACAAACTTTTGTGGCATTTTTTCCCGTACAGAGTTCTTACCGAAACAAGTCCTCTCGGGCCCTGTGTCTCAACAGCACTGACTTCCCGGCTTAACCAGATTACGGCTTCACCGGAAACGGAATTCGCACCGCTTTTCAAAAACTCGCAGAGTTTCGCAGCCTCCTGGGATTTTTCGTCGCTTGTCGATCCTGATTCCTCTGCGGAGTATCAGCAAGTGGTCAGCAGTGGTCACATCGCTAGTTACTGGATGCATGCGGCAGCATGCATTGCAGAGAAAGGGGGTTTCCATCCATTCAGAGGCTGGGACCGACGTCTACGACAAACAGTACGTACTTGTGCAGTAGTTACGAGCACCCATTGCCGCGTTTGTGGATATTTCACGTCGATCTTTGGGCCTGGACACTCCTTTCTCTTCCTCTGTTGTCTCGAACTAAGCCTCTCGACAGTTTCTCATGTCGCGTCGCGACGAGGTCAACGGGTCAAATTTAGAGATACTTTAAAGATGCCAGCGATGTGCGACAAACCCTTTCCCAGTACGCCCCACGGTCCTCGTATTGCTGGAGGGCTGGCCGAGTCGGTGAGTGTCCGCACACCTAATTGTGTCGTATTTCTTGTTGGTGTCTCGGCGTCCGTACTCGTCGGTCAAATTCCGTGACGAGGATGGCCCTGTCTTGACAGCTTCTATTCCACCCGGGGTCAAGGATTGACCTTGTCGAAAGATGGGATACTCTTGCGGAAAAGCATCACCAATTAACCACTACTCATAGACTCTCACAGCGGTTTTGAACAAGTCTTCCGAGCTTCGACAGGTCATGTCGGTTCTTGACGCCTGCCTCTCGATCGAAAGCTTGACATCCAACCTGGTGCCAGGGAAACTTGGGCGGGCACGTAACTATCGTTTACTTGCATACGAAGCAGACGAGACCAACAAACCAGCATTGTCAACTTGACACTTTTCTCCTCGTTGGCACGACTTTGACTCAGAAACGGTTTGCGGCAGTGGGCGCTGGAAAATAACAAGTACGACATCTACGTCAACACATGCATCCGTTCCTTGTTACTGCTCTCCGACGAATCTTCGGACGCTCATCATAACACGCGGCTCTTGTCAACTTGTCACCCGAAAGAAAAGGGAACACATCGTACATTACCGGCTTTTTTTTCTTTCTTGATGATGACACCCCATTCGATCTAGAGTTTACGTCTCGTACAGTGCGTGCCAGGCGCTCGCTCGTATTGACGCAAAATGGATTTGACTTTAGCAACTCGTAAAGTCCCCCCAACGGCTGGGGGATGAAGTAAGTCTCGTGCGTCTTTTGGGCCAAGAATGAATACTAGGTACAGGTACCGGTACCGGTACAGGTAGGTACTGGCGCCAATCTCACTCGAATCACATCACACACCTGATACTTCGGGCGCCCTGGGGAACTTGGCAACTCTATCGACGACCCCAACTGCAGGTATCTACAGTATCTATGTGTATGGTCCTTCGCATGCATCGTTGCCATGGTCGTGGCCAACACCTCTGGGATCTCGAGATACCCACACCACTCGCATCGGATCTCTCGACCGACGTCGACAAGGGAAGAAGTGGAAGAAGCAAAAGGCTTACGCAAAGTGCAACAACCATCCATTCACAGTCACTTAGCCAAGGTTTCAATCCCGACATTTTCGACAGAACGACAGCTGATAGACTGAACCGCTGACCGGAGAACAACTGACTCACTCTCGTCTTGAAAGGGACAAGCCCAACCCGAACACCGCTTCAACATGACATGACTGGTGAACTTACCTCGGGGGAAGTTGACCTACGAGGACGTATCGGTGTGCATCTGAATTTCACCCTACAGGACTTGTCCTGCCCTCTACCGAATATACAGTTTTCTCTCGCTCAATTTTATTGCTTTTTCTCTTCTCTCATCTGGAAATGCCGGACCGACGGGGCCTCGTCAAGTTCCGGGTGTGAAGAAGTCATGAATACCTATACTAATAGCCGCAGATGAGAGGAGATGGTTGAGAGAGGAGCGGCAATTAAAACCCGGCGGGACAAAGCCACTGGCCCCGGCTGGCCCTAGGAATGGGCACTGGGAGTGGTGGCATTGAGACTGGCACTGGCACCGTAACACCTGCCTGGTCCTCGTATACCAACTCCCGAGTAATGGTAGCCCTTTGGGCGGCAAGCAAAACGCCACGGGATGTATTTTCCTGGCCACGGCAGTCGTACTCGTATGTGCGTACCGCTTGACGTGCCTGGCATACGTACCTCATGTAGGCATTCGTACTTACCTGTAGCTACCGGGTATCCAACGCAACTTCGGTCTTTCTCTTTCTTCATACCTCGAGTCTGACGGGGGGGGGTGGCGGGCGGCGGGCGGCGGGCGGCGGGCGGCGGCGGTCATATTGGGACGTTTGGATCAAGCGGTGAAAACATTCCGATGACCATTTTCAAGTATCCCCTTTCACCTTTCATCATCCGGATGAGATCAGGTATACCGAGAAAAAGAACGCTTCCTCAAGATTCAAGACACGGTCATTGACTTCAGTCGTCTGTTTCTGTTTCTATCTTCTTTCTGGGCTTTTTTTGTATTTACTTTTTATGGTTGTGGTTTATTTATCAACTCGCATTCTTCATCTCCCTCAACTTATCCATCACGGCAGCGGGATCCGTCTGACCCGTCACCTTCTTCATCTCGTCGGTGTGCACGCGCATAAAAGCATTATGCGCCTTTTCCTGGCCGATGGTAAACTTGCCTTGTGTCTCCCGATTCTCCTCGGCGTACCTGGCGAGCTTCTCCAGCGCCTCGTTGCCCGCGAGGACCGTTTTCAAAAACTTCACGTTCGACTTGGTATACTCGTGGCCCGGGTAGACCTTTGTGTCGTCCGGCAGGGCGGCCAGGACCTCGTTGAGCGCCCTGTGCATCTGTGCCCCGTTGCCCTCGAAGAACTTGCCGCACCCGCCTATGAAGAGCGTGTCGCCCGTGAACACCACGCGCTCGCCCGTCGCCCGGTCCTGCATGAACCAGCAGATGCTGTCCTGCGTGTGGCACGGCGTGTGCAGCGCCGTCACCTCGATGTTCTTGCCGATCGAGAAGGTCGAGTTGTGCGCAGGCGTCTGCGTCACCGCTTCGCAGTCCTTGCCGCCTATCACGGGCACCGGGGCCGCTAGGGACGCGAGGACCTTGGTGTTGCCGCCTGCGTGGTCCCAGTGGTGGTGCGTGTTCATGATCGCCGTCAGGTTGAGAGATGAGGATTTCTCAGCCAGAACTGGTGTCACTCTGTACAACCCCGCCAAAAACGCAGGTGTCATCGTCAGTCCCATACGTACATAATTTACATATATGTTATGATACAGCATGCTTCTTGTTTCTGGTTGGACTGCAGCTTGCAGGGAGGGGAATCAGGTAGGAGTGTGTATCTCGGGGCCCTGTGCCTGCGCATGCACCCAGGAAAGGGAGCAATCGAGGGATGCTGAGAGAGAGCGGGAGGGAAGAGGAAACGCAAAGGCGCCTTGAGACACAGAAACGTACTCGGGAGGATTTGCGGGATCGATAATGACGGCATCTTTGGACTCATCGTCGCTGACCAGGTAGGCGTAGTTGTTGGACGACCCAACCCCTGCGACAAGACGTGTAGATTAGTACCCATAGTCATGGTTTTTGTCTCCCGTATCGCCGCACGACAAACCGGGGATCGAGAAGAACGAGGCTCGAGTATTACATACACATGGGAATACTCTGGATATGCATCTTCCGCAGCGGTTGTGAGAGTCCAATACCGTGGATTGGGAATTGCGGGGTATTGGCGAGGCGAAAGCAAGAAACAAAAGCTGCGCTGGTCGATAGTATGGGCCGGACGAGCCTCGAAGTAATCATGAAGGTCTTTCCGAGAGATGAGGTAAACAGAAACAAATTTCGGAGTCTCGAGAGAGAAGCAAGTCGGAAGCAAGTGAATTGTAAGCAACAAGCAACTATCGCGTACGGAGATGAGAGCAACTACGCAACATTTAAATTTATATACGCAACGCCAGGGACCTAAACTGACGTCAATTTCGCATGTCGATGGATATATTAAATCCGAAATGGTATCGCGTTCAGCACTTCTGTATACATCTCACCGCCAACATAATATCCCGGCGACGGAATGAGACAACCGGATCCTGTCGCCGTTATTATACGATCTTCTATACAATCTTTCTAATGGATAATGTTCGTCTCATAACATCAGCGCAGCTAAACTCATGCTCGTCGCTCATCGTATCTAATACTGTGATCTATCGTCATTACCAGGTCCTGTAAACTCATTACTCATGACCACCAACTGCGCCATAATCAACATGGCTACTCCTTCTCCTGCTCAATCCCAAATGTCCACTTTCGCTCAGCAACCTTTGGCTCTCCGCCAGGTCCACAACTCGATCTTTCCCAGCCATACTTGGTATCCATCCACGCATCCAGCCATTGACTCTCTCCCAATGGCCCCCGTAGCGATCTCTGACTTTGACCAGATGTTCCTCCTCCTCTCCGTACATCCAAAACTGAACTCCCATCATAGCGTCCATGCTCAGGCAACCTGCTGAGCCAAGGAAAAAAGGAGCCGCTCTAGCCACCCATGCCCATCTTTGAGAGCCTTCAGCATCCACCCATCCATAGTGGCCATGGGGACCATAGTCACTCCACGCATTTGGATTGGTGAGAAGAGAAGTCGAGTAGAAGAAATTCCCACAGAATGCCGCAAAGAACAACAGTGGCGAGAGGCCTGCGGTGGACTGTAATTTCCAATTCTTGTACAGCTGAGGCAACCTGGAACCTAGGTAGAGTATCGTAGAGCACCACGACAAGATCGTTCCGGCAACTTCGAGAGGCGTCTCAATGCGAAAGAGATGAAGCCCATGCTGGCGGTGGAGTTCTGGAAAGGGTATTGGAGCAGCGGCGGCATTGGACGCAAGAGAAGACAAGGTTGCTGCATATAGAAATGTGCGAGGGGATGGCGAAGGCATCCAGCTACCAGATGCCTCGTCGACATGCACTTCTTCTCGGTGGACTCCAGTCTTCTCCCCGTAGTGTACTCTCGAGAAATGCGGGACTTCGATCTGGGTTGGCTGAGCGGACTTCTGATTATTCTCCTCTGATTCCTGTGCGGATGCGTCTTGGATGGCAAAATTCGTGTTTATGGGCGAGAGCCCGTTGATGATCTCGCTGTCCGCATCGTCAAATTCACTGCCTGCATCAGAATGCAAACTCTCCGCATACACCCACTTCGCAGCATACGTGTACCAGAAGTACTGCAGAACGAGGCACACGTCCACAAAAACGTAGTAGCTTGCGATGACGACCTGCCATGCAGCCTGCCTCGTGAAGAGGGCGCCTAGAAGGTTCGTCAAATCACCCAATAACCACTCTGCTAGGAAGAATATTGATAACCCCGCCGTTGACTTGAGGTGATAGTTCTTGAATATTTGTGGCATCTGTGCAAACAACCATGATATGATTGATAGTGTGCCCAGGAGACAGGACAGGGCAGCTAGAGGCGTAGGTATGCATGTCCCAAAGTACGAGGAGACGTCGACGAGGAAGGGATTGGTTGGCGCGCAGTGGTCTGGTAGGGTTGGGTTGAACAGGAATGTCACATATGAAGCCATCTCTTGACGGTTGGGGGACTCCCTTTCTGCGTGCAACAGCTATCTCGTGCTCAGTCCTCTTATCATCTCTTCAGAGCCTGTCCGCCCAAACGCGTCTGATTGACTACGCTGCCCAAAGACCACTCCGGCGCAGCTTTGAAGAGGGTCGCCTGCTCTGGGGATGTTTTTACAAAGGCGACTCCTGGTCGCAGGAATGAACACCGCGTATGAGGGAGGACGCCGCGCTACTTCGTTATTCGTCTATGAGGGTTTCGTCGTGGACAACTCCGAACATTGAGAGCACAGCCGAGGTTGATGATTCAGACAACTGAAAAGACAGTGAGTGAGTGACAAAGGTGCTGATTTGCAGTCCAAGCAAGAAAGGAAGAGAACGACGAGAGAACGAAGACAACAGTGGTGCTTAGAAGTAACAATCGACGTGGGATGAGGCCAGGCGTTGTATGTATGTATTGACTACCTGTGGTTAGTGGCACCTTGATAAGGTGGTGGTCAGTGGTCAGTGGTCATACCCCCAACTCCGGGGCGGAAAATCGGACTCTGGGAGATTGTATTCCAGCCTCATTCGCCGATCGACCAAGGGATGAGCCGAAGTGCTCTCTCAGTTGGAGTTTGTGACCAGGTGACACTGCGGTATGACAGCAGAATTGGTCAGATGGAGCATTGAACCTCATGGTTGGACTGAGTGTGAAGAGGCAGATGCAGGAGGAATGAAGATGGTGGAGGGCGATACGAGGCGCGGATTTACACGCGACTGGCAAGACTGATAAGCAGCAGGAAGAGGCCAATCGCTGCCTGGGAATTGCGCACTTTGGGCGTCGGCAGCCGATCACGGACGCTTGAATGGCCTGCAACCGCACGCTTAACTTTCGATGAAATCTGCTGGACGTCGAGTGACCCCTTCTCTCTTGTCCCCTACGAGGACTCAATCACAGGATACACATGTCCTCGACTCTGCGCAAAGAGACACACCGAAGCCTACGAAAACGGACTCCCCTCCATGATCCTCAAGGCCCCGGCATCCTGTCTGCCATGTCGCTTGAAATGACTGGCTCGAAGCTTCAACGATCGCCGAATTATTGACCTTCGTATTACATGATAAATTCGATTAGGATTGTGGATCTAAATGTCAAAAAGCAATGCAAGTATCCAACGCCGACACGCTCCGACTCTCTGGCAGAACCCGGAAATCACATCTGTAAAAGGAAGATGAAAACGAGGAAATATCGAGGATCAAAAGCCCCCAACACTACACGACATCTTCGGAAGTCGTCAGCGTATATTCATTCCTGTACGGTGGTCTGGCCAGATTAGCCCAAGAACCATGGCTGTTGATCGAAGTCTTCCAGCACCTACTTGGCGATGTTTCTGGCTGCCACAATCCCAGCAGATCCAGTCGCATACACGCTAAGCAATGTCCTCCAGTCACCCTTTTGACCAACAGCCAGAGCCACCAGGTCATAGACAAGGCAGCCGCCAAAGATCCAGTCACTGGCAGCACTTGCGAGGCCGAACCCAGCACCTGTAAGTACCTTGACGGGCAGATTGGCAGGCTGGCCCTTGAAGAATGCTGCAGAGCCGTTGTGCAAAAAATCGAGGACGCCAATACCGGCGAAAGTCTTGGAGACTATATGTGTGAGTATCGACGAAGTTGACGCCGTGTTCATCGGTTGGAGCTTCGTCAGCATATACCACAGCTGAGCGAAGGTGTTGATGGTGACAAAACCATGAGATATATCGAGACGTCCAGAATTCCACGCCACCATCCATGCTTGTCTGTGTTATGTACTGCATCTTGGGGGATCGGACGAGGTCTTACCTGCAATGCATAGATTCCCCAGGGCGTAGTAGGGCACAAAATCCACAATTTGGTCAAGCTCTGCTCGCTGTGCAGGTCTCGAAGGGTCAAGTTTCCCGAGTCGATACAGCCATGCCAGCTGAAACAGTTGCTGGGGGAAGAAGAATGCCGCAATGAAGAATGGCTGAGGACTGAAGAATGAGATGTTCTGGTCATGGATGTCCTTCATGTTAGGCGAGGAAAGCATTCCATAGTTCTGACATGCAAAGTCGATTAGAAATGATACGGGTGCTATCCATTTTGCTGTACTGTAAGAGACGCCCATTGTATGTGAGTCTACAGGTTTCTTGCACTTCATGCGCTCGCTCTGGTCGAGCGAAACACAGCTGTCCAGCAGCTATGCTTTCGAAATACAGACAGATCTCGACCTGCTGGTGTACACAGTCATGTCGTCACTATCTGTGCCAAGTCGAGCCCCAACCTCAGCGAGCCCTGCTAGGGGAAGATCCAATAGGGGCTACCGCCATTGTCTTTCTGTCCGCCTTCGTACTCGTAGGGTTTCAAATGAGCCTTGCCGCTGGTGTATGGGCATCACAGGGATCTTGCAAAAGGTTATGACCACCTCGCGTCTCTTGTGGCTCTTGTGCAAGTCGAATATCCCTACGAGTGTAGTCCACGCTGCCCAGGCGGACCCAGATATTCTTTTCTCCCTCCTACTCGCTCTCAATTCCCCCTTTCGGCGCAGCTTCGCCCGTCCGCTCATGTTACTTTCTCTGCTCCATATTTCCCAGCGATCATGATGTAAAGCAGGTGGGCAGCATGGAAATATATTCCTCGACCATTAAAACTCACGTGTAACCAACGATGGCCGCATCATGATGCTTCACGGGCCACTCGGAATAGCCATCCGGACCATCAGCGGGGCTCGTATTCAGGACTTACCAAACTGCCATCATCAATTTTCTGTTCTGAGCTCCAGAAACGAAAACATGACGAAATATGCGTCACAAAACCATGAGATATGAGGCACGAAGCTGGATGCTTGTAATTGCTGAGACTGTAATTGGCGGTAGCAGTAGGTAAGTGCGAGACTCCCTCCTGGCGACTCCGCCGTCCTCATGTTTATCTACCTGGGCAACGAACGCCCTCGGTGACCTTACTTCGTATTCCCTCCTTCTCTGCGATGGCTTCTTCTGTGACAGATCGTGTTAAGAGTATTGGAGAGTCTATTTCAGAATCAGCCAAAAACATGTTCGAAAACGACAAGGTCGCTGACCTCAAGAAGAACATCAAGGATTCTCATAGCAAACACCCTCAGACCACCGACTATGGTATCAAGGTAGCAGACTTGGATCACTGGTTGAAGGTCGTCGATGAAGAGAACAACAAGGTCGGACCACATCTTCTTGAGGACCAAATTGCACGAGAGAGGGTTAGTTGTCTTACCGTCCCGTGGAAGATTCGACGTTAATTGTGTTCCCAGATCCATCGTTTCGACCATGAGCGTATCCCGGAACGTGTGGTTCATGCGCGTGGTGCCGGTGCACATGGTCAGTTCAAGCTATTCGAAAGTCTTGAGGATGTGACTACTGCTGGAGTTTTGACGGACACCTCCCGTACCACCCCTACCTTCGTGCGGTTTTCCACCGTGCAAGGTAGTAGAGGCAGTGCCGACAGCGTCCGAGATGTCCGAGGGTTTGCCACCAAATTCTACACCAAAGAAGGTAACTGGGACATTGTCGGAAACGATATCCCTGTCTTTTTCATCCAAGAATCGATCAAATTCCCCGATCTTGTCCATGCGGTGAAGCCGGAGCCGGACAATGAAGTTCCTCAAGCTCAAACTGCCCATAACAACTTCTGGGACTTTGTGTTTCTGCACAAAGAAGCAACACACATGTTCTTCTGGGCCATGTCTGATCGAGGTATCCCCCGCTCGTACCGAATGATGCAGGGTTTCGGTGTCAACACTTTCGCCCTGATCAATGCGAAGGGTGAGAGGACTTTCTGCAAATTCATCTGGACTCCAGAGCTGGGAGTGCATTCCTTCGTCTGGGACGAAGCTCTCAAATTAGCTGGTCAGGATCCCGACTTCCATCGCAAAGACCTGTATGAGGCCATCGACAATGGGGCGTACCCGAAGTGGAAGTTCGGTGTCCAACTGATCCCAGAGAAAGATGAACATAAGTTCGACTTTGACATTCTCGATTCGACAAAGGTTTGGCCTGAGGAGCAGGTCCCCATTCGATACGTCGGTGAGATGGAGCTCCAGCGTAACGTCGACGAATACTTCACCGAAACTGAACAAGTTGCTTTCTGCACAAGCCACATCGTCCCGGGTATCGATTTTACCAACGACCCCCTGTTGCAGGGCAGGAACTTCTCCTACTTTGACACTCAGCTCTCGCGTCTAGGCGTCAACTGGCAGGAGTTGCCTATCAATCGGCCTGTCTGTCCGGTGCTCAATTTCAACCGCGACGGTCAGGGGCGTCACACCATCACCAAAGGAAAAGCTAACTACTGGCCCAACCGGTTTGAGGCAAATCCCCCTACTGGTCACGGCGGTGGTGGCTTCATGTCATACCCTGCCAAAGAGACCGGTATGGATCAGCGAAAACTGGCGCCCAAGTGGAAAAATTACCTGTCTCAAGCTCAGCTCTTTTACAACTCCATGTCCGATATTGAGAAGAGGCACATTGCAAACGCCTTCTCTTTCGAACTTGACCATTGTGACGACCCAATTGTTTATGAGCGTCTGGTCTCTCGCCTCACGGAAATCGACCTGTCTCTAGCAGCGGCTGTCGCTGAGAAGGTGGGTGCTCCGACTCCTACCAAACAGACAGTGGAGAACCCAGGTTTCAAGGCCAAGGGTCTCAGTCAGTTTGACTATTTGCCGGAGACGCCTACGATCAAGTCTCGCCGCATCGCCATTCTGATTGCAGATGGCTTCGATGCGGTGGCGTACGGTGCAATGAAGGCTGCGGTCTTGTCTCAATTGGCGCTGCCATTCACCATCTCCAACAAGCGCCAAAACGTTAAGGCAGCGGATGGTACGACCACCGTCAAACCTGACCACTTCCTTAACGGTCAGCGTTCGACCATGTTCGATGCCATCTTCGTGCCCGGTGGTGAGCAGTCCATCAAGACCCTCGTGGGCAACGGTCTTGCTCGATTCTACGTCCGCGAGGCTTTCGCTCATCTCAAGCCCATCGGGGCCACCGGCGAAGGCGTCAAGCTTGTCCAGGCCGCGCTTAACGAGGTTGACGGCGCTCAGGTGGCAACTCAAGGCTCTTCGGATGTGGTTGACTGGTACGGTGTCGTTACCGCCCAGAAGCCAGATGACGAATCCAGCATCAAGAGCGGCCTCAAGTTGGTGAAGGAAGCAAAGGACTTTACTTCGAAGTTCTTTTACAATATTTCCATGCACAGAAACTGGCAGAGGGAACTTGATGGCCTTGCTGATATGGTCTCTGCTTAAGATTATGATTGAATCATGAGACCCCATAGCATAACACAAGTGATCCAAAATTGCATACAATAGGTAGCAATCGTAATATACTCAAGTTTGTCTCGTACAGGGTGTAGTCTCCCCTTTTGAATTCTGCCGTTGGTAATAGTTGCCGATATGTTGTTCGTCGTCGTCTGGAGTAACACTCATGGGTGATGGTTTGAGGTATAAGATAGAAATTACGTTAAGGGCTGTCGTGTTTCATTTATATGGTATATTTGATATTCGCCTTGTCAAATCGAGCGTTAAGAAGGGCGGCAGAGTTGAACTGCCTATATATACCTACACCCTCAGTTCCTTTTTCTTTCTTAGGAAAGGAAGGGTAGAGTTCCGACTTCTTTCGCGAAGGACGACACCTAACTCATGCTGTGTCGCCCACACAATGCGCAGTATGTACAATGCTATTTCAACCCGTTGAGAACGCTCATTAACCCCATTTTCCTGCTAGAAAGAAAGGAGAGAGGAAAAAAATGCAATCAAGATGTAGACGGAAGGGAACGGGAAGGAAAGACAACACTCGGAGACAACACTCGAAACAGGCGGAAGTGCTGGGGTGATTTCCATCCCATCCCATCCCATCCGTCTGGATGTCTGGATGACACACTTGGAGTGCTGAACAGGCGCCGACCCCTTTTTTCGCTTTTGAAAATTCAGAGTTCGTCACTGTCAGGAACCTCAAGGGTCCCTTGCATGTTCAAAACTGCGCTCCCACCAAGCAAGACCTCGCTTATCTCCACGACGCCTTCGGTGGCGGCGGCGGCAGTGGTGGTCGACACCTCGACGGAAATTTCACCCCGCTGGCCCATTTCGACACCCTGCGTGATGTGGTACTTGTATCGGCCTGCCGTGCCGGTCTGGAGAGAGAGGTAGCTTGCAAGGGCGCTGGCTGCGCTGCCGGTGGCTGGGTCCTCGCGGGATCCGAACATGCGAGTTCGGAGATGGCGTGTTGTCGGTTCGGAACCAGAATCGGAATCAGAAGGAGAAGAAGAAGGACCATGGCCGAGGTCGACGTAGAACTATTTTTACAAAGAAAGGGGAAGAAAGGAGAAGTTAGAGAACAGAACACATGCTTTTCTTTTTCAATGTGAATGTGAAACTGTGCGTGGGAGTGGGGGGGAAGGACGGGGAGCATGAAGAACAATCAAAACGAAAAGTGCAGATTGAGGCATATCCCATCGACAATGCACCCCCCTACGTCTGTGAGGTACAGCGTTGTGATTATCCAAACGGGAGAACCGGCCACTGATGTCTCGAAGAGAGGGCGCGAGTAGGTAGAGTAGGAAAACAAAAGAAAAGACAAGCAGATATATATACTCACATAAGTACACAGGAGCCCAGTCCTCCATCCCTCGTCGAGGGCGGTGTGAGCTGTATAGGTACTCTCCGACCCGACTAGATTTCCGGTCTGGTTCTTCAGAGCATCCAGGTCGGCAAGCTGGACGAGAATAAAGTTCATGCCCTTGACGATGCTTATGACAGAGTAAGCTACGTAACGAGGCTGCCCTGTGAGCAGCCGCTGCTCAAGTCCAAGGGAAGAGTGGACATGGACGTTGTGGGCCACGGAGATGCGTGCTCCGGCGACGCTGTCGTCGAGCGTGATTCCAAACCGGCCCGCTTTGGCCTGAAGCGCTTCGATGCCGCGGAGAGGACCGTCCTTTGGTAGGATGCGGAGCAGGTAGTTCGCGGTGCCGACTGTAGGGTGACCCGCGAAGGGGACCTCGGCTTGCGCGGTGAAGATGTCGATGCGCACGGACTCGTTTGACTTGTCGGACTCGGTTTGCTCGTGCAAGAAAACGGACTCGGAGAGGTTGAATTCGCGAGCGATTCGCTGTTTCTGGGATTGGCTCAGTGTCGTGGACGAGGGGACTCGGATGATGGCGAGAGGGTTGCCGGTGTAGCGTGTGGCGGTGAAGACGTCGAGAGTGACGAAGGAGAGTGTCGCGGGCATGGTGATAGCGGATAATATCAATATATAACAATAGTAATGAAGAAGTGGTTATCCCAAGGTTAAACCTGTGGGTGTGTTGTAGGGTTGGATTTTTCTTTCTTTTCTCAACTGCGCGAGGAAGAGAAAGGGTGAGGCATGTCCTGGTGTGAGGTTGATATACAGTACAGTATGCACAGAATACCCACAACTGTGAAGTTGTGACTCATGCCGTGATCAGCCGAGATTGAATCCGGAAGCACCATTGTGGGGATGTGAGAGCGGTGCGGTTGTATTCTGAACATCGCACCAACGGCCAGTTCTGTTCGTCAATAACGTTGCCTGTGCAGAAAAACAAAAATAAAAACGAGCCTTTCTTGATACGAAGGACTGCTCTTAATGATCCCGTGATTTTGGGAAGTGAGGCGGCTGGGTTGTAAGTCTCGAGGCAAGGAGGATGCGCAGTGGTCGGGGAGGGGAGGATTATGTCCAGGTTGGCTCGGGGTTTTGAACCCGAGCCCCGGTTCCTGACTTCGTCTGGTGACTGGCCGTCCATCTCACAGCAACGTGGTTTTCTGATTTGCAGTTAAGGTGACTTGGAATTCTTTGTGGGTCTTGAGTGTTGCAAAGGCTACATATACGATGATGCCTGAAAACTGGACGGTGAAGGAAGTTGAGGTGAAAGGCGGTACTAGTGCCGCCTTTGAGCAGTCGAGAAGAACTTTAAGGGCGAAGAGGACACTGGATTTGCCTCTGAAACAGACAGCAGAGCAGGTTGAAGCAATCTTCCAGTCATGCAGGATTCTTAGAATTGAATCAATCCTCATACATTTCATGTGGCCTCGTACTTTGGACAAAAGAATGAGTTCAATTGGATAATGATGACCAAGAAGCCCTCCCACAACCAAACGAAATACGTCTACCACCACCCCTCATGAAGTCCTAAGTGGAATGGCCTTGGGATATTCTACCCAGTCAAACGTCCCTTGATATCGAGTCCAAGGAACTTCACTGGGATGAGAAGCTCCACGTTGAGGCGCATCGGCTCCATCGATGAGAGTTCCACTCAAGAATGTGTGTGGAAAGCCAGGATCAAAGTCGTAAGCCTTCTCGATGTGATCAATCTCGTCTGTCGTGAGACTCGTGGACAAGCTCCTGATGTTGTCCTTAATATGTTCCAGCTTTCTTCCCCCGACAATGGGGAACACATATGGCGCCTTATATAGGATGTATGCGAGAGCTACATTGCTGAGCGTGGCCTTCTTCGCATTGGCAAGCTTTTCAAGTACGCCAGCAACGGCCTTGTCTCGCGAGGAAGTGGTTGCTTGGTGGCGTCCCGGATTGTGCTTTTCACGCTCCTTGTACGCAGCCTCGGTCTGAAATCTCCCAGAGTTGAGAACACCATAAGGGCAGATACCCATCCCTTCTTCGCGGCACATCGGAACAATGTCGCGCTCGAAATCGCGAAGGGCTGCGTTCCAAGCCCCTTGGTAGACGACAAATTGACGCAAACCATGGTCCCGAGCGTACTGATTGGCTTTGGTGACGAGCCAGGCTGGACTGTCGGAGATTCCGAGGTAGAGGACTTTGCCAGATGCCACAAGGTCATTGAGAGCTTGCATGACCTCGGGAATTGATGCGGTGAAGTTCCACCAATGGACATAGAGGAGATCGATATAGCTGGTCTGCAGGCATTTGAGAGACTCTTCTACACTGAGACGCAGAGACTTCATCCCATTGCCACCATAGTTTGCGCGGATTTGTATGCCTTGGTCTGCAGAACGAAGAATGCCGGTATATTTGGTGGCGATAACCATTTGGTCGCGATTTCCGCGAGCTGCCATCCATTCACCCAGCCAGGTCTCAGACTGGCCGGCATGGTAAGAATTTGCAGTGTCGATGAAATTGCCCCCTTCGCCAAAATAATGGTCGAGAATCTCAAACGCGGTTTCTTTGGTGCATTCACCCATCATTGCCTTGTAGGCTGTCCCGAAGTTCATACTCCCAAGGCAGATTGGGGAGACGAACACCGCAGCAGAGGGAGACAGCAGCCGGTAGCGCGAGAGGAGTGATTGGCTTTGCTGGGTAGCCATCGTGACTCGCTGGGCCGTTTGATAACAACGTACTTGAAGACGAAATCTCAGGTCGCCTGCAGTTCTCGTTGTTGACCTCTGAGCAGGACACCCCTTTTATAGGTGGTGCAATTGACGGACATACCAGCAACCTCCATGGCCACTGTTGCTCGAGTTGTAGTCACTCCATGCTGGAAGTCAATCTCAATGACACGAAGTCCATGTCTTCACAGATGATTGTGGAGCTCTTCGGCCGAAGTGGCGTTCTTAGCACGGCCGACGCTGGACCCCCCGACACCATAAGCAGACTAGCCATGCAATCCAGGTACAGTCAGTCCCCTGGGACCTGAGGAGATAGCTCACCTCTTGAATATCTTGTCAAGCCGGCGTAGTCGGATGCGGGGTCCATAATTGTCAGGAATCGGCCCCAATGATCTCAGGCTCATGGCCAGGCCCCCCGATGAATACTGGTGGATAGTGTCAGTACGACATTCGCGCGTTCCGTGGACAAAGCAAATCCGGTGGGACGTGGATTTCTCGGTACTTCTAGAGACGGAGCCTCCTGTCACTCTCACCCGCCTTTCATTAAGCGATCAAGCGTTCTTGGGTCTGTCGAGGAACCTGGCAGAAACATATTCTACAAGGCTGTTGCCCTCACACGCGCCCCGAACCTTGTTCGATTCTCAACAATCTCCGATCTGATGCTGTGATTCAGCAGCTCCCACCAGCTTTGCAATTCGAAGATGGCTCAGGCTCATCGGCAAGGATTCGTATCTACCTTTCCAAATCGGCGAAGGCCAATCACAGTCTGTTTAGAATGTTACCGAAGGAAGTTGAAGTGCAATCGGGTAAAGCCATGCAATCAGTGTTGCAATCGAAAGGCTCCAGAAACATGTTGCTTCGCCGACGACGTGAGCCCTTCACAGTCCGCTCCAACACCTCAAGCAGGATTTGACCATCCGGAAATACATTCGAATGTCGATGCTAGCAGTCAGATATCAATAGCAGAGGGGTTGGTGGAGCGAGCTGGCTATTCTGCAACTTCAGCAAGCAGCACCTTTCTTCGGTTGAGTGACGAAAGCGTGCAGGGACATCACCAGACTCTACTCTCACTCTCTCAGTCGAACTTACAAGGTTTTCACGATGAGTACCGACATTTGGTGTCGAAGTTACCCCTCCCTGCCCAAGTCCATGCTCTTTTCGACTGCTTCTTTCAGGAAATCTTCTGGACCTCAGTGCCCGTTGACGAACATCGCCTCAAGGACCTATACAATGACTGGCTGAGTGTTCCTGTTGATGAACATCTCAACGACGAATTGAATCATTCACGCAGAGACCTTCTCTATCTCCCCGCATTACTCTTCCAGGTTCTGGCTAATATCGTACTTCATTTGACACCTCAATATGGTCCGGCGAAAGCTTTAGGCCTTGGACAGCACTCCGACTGCGCTCGCTTGTCGCGCACATTCTTCCTCTTCGGCAATAGACTGATGTTCATCCTCGGAAGGCAACACCCAACCCTATGCTCAGTTGAGTATGACCTCGTCGCGTGTTCGTGGCTGAAAGACTCAGGTCAAGGTAAAGAAGCCTGGCACAGTCTCGCGAACGCGGTAAGGTAAGGCTTCTGATACTCTTGTCGGCATCATGTGTGTGTCGTGACCAAACATGTCCATTGATTCCTCATCTAGACAAGCTCAAGAACTGGGACTCCATCGACTTCCCCAAAATATTGCACCCCCAGGGCTCGGGCAAGAACTATATCCGATGAGCTCATATGACTTGGAGCAAAGGAAGAAGGCTTTCAGTACGCTCTTTACATATGACAGGTATATATCCTTTGACAAGGTCAACACATTGCTAATTCTTGTTCAGCATCGGGTCTTTCTCACTAGGCCGCCCAAGATTGATGCATAGAGAAGATATTTCAACCCCCGCACCCACGGCATGGAAGTGCCATCAAGATGTGACAGGCTCCGTACAACTCTCAGATGAAAGTTTCCATGATGCCGCGAGTATGCTCTTCCTGAGTTTGGCGCACCGTATTCACGATATACTATCACTCTCGGCAAACGGGATCTTTGTTTCGGATTACCTCAAAGTACTAGAAGTCCATGACCAACTCTCGTCACTGCGAGATTTGATGTTGCACTTAGTACCAGAAAACAACTGGGGCAAGGCCACTACTCCTGAGATGTTACGACGCAGTCACCTCCGCCTAACCTTGTTGAGCACAGCCAATGCTGTCATGGTTGCACTGCACCGTCCTTTCATCGGAAGCCACCCGTCTAGCCACTCAGCTGCTGTATCAGCTGCTCTGGACGGCTTGGACCTGCAACATTCTATCTTTGATCTCATCCCCCATTCACACGTAAAGCAGTGGGCAACCACGCTTTCCATTATTGAAGCTTCTGTTTTTCTCTGTGGCATCATGATGGATGGGCCTCCACAAGACGCTGCTGAAGACCGTCGCATCAGACAAGCTATTCTGCTGGCGATCGGAAGGCTCTCTTCCACAAAAGATCTGAATCCCTTGGCAGAGGCAGGAGAACAAGTCCTACGACAATTTTATCAGAAGATACAGTCAGCTCGGCAACCGATGCTCGGCCACGGAGAATGGCATCAGCACAGTACTACGCCTCAGACCTGGCTCGAACAAAGTGGTCAACTGCATGATATCTCGATCCCATCACCGCAAAAGTCTCCGCAAGAGATCTATCAGACACTATTTGGTGACCAACTGGTTTCCCTAAATTCCTTAGGCCTCAGTAGCAGTGAGGACTCTCCATTCGAATATGGCGCATACAGCATTCCCGAGGAGATTATTGATTCGGAGTATTTTCATTGGCCTGAAAATTGACCATCTAAGGTGGGATTAATGGCACAAGGCATGGATACCTAGTCCTGCTTCTATGATCTTTAACCAAGGACATGGTGCAGCATGTCGGGTCTTGAGGATCCGTTCTCATGGCTTTCACGTGTACGACATCCAGTCGCTTAGGGCTAATATATAATCCCTTAGGGGTGATCTGAAAGAGTGCGATATACCTACACCTCAGTCTTTGGGCCCTGGCTGGCTGACAACCTATATTTATGCTTTTGTTCCTCAGGACTACCGAAGGATTCTTTTCTTACATCAAAGGGTAATCGGTAGGCTGTTTTGTGCCGTTCCCAACTATAACCAACACTACAATACTGGAGCACTCTTATCACACTACAGTCTCAGAGTCCTCGACTTTGGAGATCCGCCTCGACTATTTATCATCTCAAATGATCTCGGGCTTCCAGACAATTTGATCTACGCATCTCCCTTCTCAGCATCCATCACTTTGGCTCGAGCTGAAGCTCCTTTCACCACGGTAGACAGATCCCCTACGGGGAGCGCAAGTGGAAAGTCAACGGCTAAAAGCACCAGTGCCAAAAATATATACCATCCCAGAAGACTGATCGCGAACAACAGTCCCGCACCAGCGTGCTGATATTTCTGAGCATCTGCTGCCCGACCTTGAGCTAGGGCAAAGAACGAGGATGCCAGACAACCGACTAGAATCATAAGGAGCAGGGTCAGCGATGTAATCGACAAGGGGGATAGTGTCATGAGCGGCACCATCATGCTTTGGGTGGCCGGACTTTGAGGATCGAAGGTGGAAAACAAAAGCTCAACTTACAGGTTGGGATCAACATCAGGAAGATGATGAAGAAGATGACGTTCGTGCGCAGGCTGGCGATGCAGTAGACAACGGTGAGGATAGCCATGGCGACGAGAAAGACGGCAAAGGTCGCGAAGAAGGCCGGTTGCGCAAGTCCTTCGGCGGGATTGCTGGCATCGGTTGAGTACATCGAGTATGCGCCAAAGTCCGGGATCAAGACGGATGCAAAGGTCAAGAAGAAGCCGCCAAAGGTACAGAATACTACGGCGGTAAAAGTGTTGCCTGAAAATTCGGAAAAGAGGAATCGCAGACAGATGGTCAGCGGGAGATATCTCAAAGAGTGTTGAAGACGCAGAATCATGCTTCGTGATGCACACAAGGGGTCATCGGATTCATGAAGGAGCTGCGACTCACCAAGAACCCATTCTAATAGGGCGCCGATAATCTCCAGGACACCACCGAAGAAGACGAAAGCGCCGCTGTGCGAGTGATGAGATCAGTCATGATGCCATTGTGATGGTGTGGGCGGCGTTTGGATCAGTCCGGGGAGGAGGAGAAGGTGCTCAAGTGTCATGAACATACACATCAGCGGCCGCGAGACCTCCGGCACCCTGCCAGCCCAGAAGCACCATGGACAAGGGCGTCGCGGAAAGCAAGAAGCCCGCCAGGCAGATGGGTGTGGGATTGCCGAATGTCCCCCTCAGGTCTCCCTTAACCGCATTCTGCGGCGACAAGTAGAGCTTCTCGAAGAGCTCGGGAGACATGGTGACAGTATCGGCGGTGCGTAGCCTTCGAAGAGGGTCGTCACGGCTGTGGTCGATGCCGTTGGCTTTGGCTTCAGTCGTGGCACTGACGCTCTCGTCATACTTGAATTCAGACATCTTGTCGTCGACTTGGGTTTGCTTGCAAGCAAAGAGAAGAAGATACGGAGGAGTATCACTGGGCTGTGTTGTGCTGGGTGGCGCTGAGGAAGCAGGGCACTGCGTAGGACTCTGCGTCAGAAAGGCTTTTGGACTGGCGAGAAGATCGGGATGCAAGTCAGACTTGTTGATGAGATTTGGAAAGTGAAAATGCGACGAGCTGCACAACAGGAGGTTCCTCGCTCGCTCTTCTATATCAAGTTTCTCATCTTACCTTCTAACAGGCCGGCTACTTCAATTCCTTCCGGCGAAACTGTAATCCTTATCTTTCATGTCGATCTCGGTCCTGTCGAATCGGCCGGCAGGAGAGCTAGCTACTTTCACGGCGTAGTTCATGGCTCAGGCTCAATGGTGGCTTGTTCCCCCTTAACGTTCCCCGGGTCTCGACGCCTCCGCATGCTCCGTTCTTCCTCCATCTTATCTGTGTGCTGCGTAGGACCCATATAACCGTGGATTCAAGGCACTTCTTGGAAGCTAGAGAGGTTGAGATAAGCATCCGTATGAGCAAGGGCCAAGCCCTCGTTGTCCCTAGACATACCTATCTGTTCGGTCCGGAGAGTCCTACAGCGACGTGTTGCGCACCGGATGGCGGTCCGCATTGCCGGAGTACCCACCCTCGTGGATGTGGATGGCTCATTACCAGAAAGATCAGCACAATTTAAATGCACGACTAGTACGACGAGCACGACGAGCACGACATAGGAGTGTTTGCAACTAGCCGGCTCTTGTGCACGAAGAACGCACCGAGATGTCACTTGATGGGTGTGCGGGTACGTCCCCTGCCCCTACAGTTTGGATTGATACCGACAATTTCCGATCTCGACCCTCCTACCGGGGACGAGTTCTTGCATTCTTGACCAGGAACGTCGCAATCGATAATCTCATCTCCTGAGCCCGTGAACTCCAAGAGCACAGAAAGAAGTACAGTGCGCTTACCGGATGAAACGAAACTGAGCAGTACACGTCGCCGCTAGGAGTTTAATAAGACCGGGGTTTGGGGGTATTCACCATAATGAGAAAGATCGTTTCTTAAAGCGTCAGAACAGGACCATCACCCTTTACCCGTTTGTCCCGGAGATATACTTTGCCACGCTGGCCTCCTCGGCGGACTGAGCATCGGGGCACACGCATTGGTAGCTTCAGTCAATAGTTGTTGAGACTCACACCTGACACCAACTGGTGGCTGAATTAATTGACTGTTGACGCGTCTACCAAGACACACTACGAACTAAATGCGGCTTGATAGTCCTCTCTCACTCTCACTGTGTCCCGTCCTCATCTACGCGAGTCTCTGCTCGTTGATATTGGAGCTCGTCGTCCTGGGTATTGTTGCATTGCAATAATCCGTAAATCCGAGGACTTTTGAAAAAGTACAAAACACCCATAAAGTGTGACTGCACGAAAGCACTGAACAGCCACCACTCCGTTCCATGAAATCTCTGTTTAAGGTGGCTCAGAATTTGATTCTCTATCGATCTATGCTAGCATTACTAGTTGTGAAGGTCTCATACTGCCATATCTGGTGACTTGAGATGTTGCACTTGACTCCGCAAAAGGCAATTTACGGATTTTTGCAAACTATTTTGGCTTTGCAAAAATCCGTAAATCGCATTTTCGGCGTGCGAATGCAACGTCAAAGCCACGGAGTATAACAGCGTGAGAGTTCTCAACGACCACCACTCCATACCATGAGATCTCGAAACAAACTCTAGCAACCCTAGTCAGAGACTCCATGATATAATGTGGTGGTTGTTGATAACTCGCATAAGATGACTTGAAGTATTGAAGTGTGTTGCACGTTGAACAAAATAAAGATTTTTACGAACTTTTGCAAAGCACAAGAAAAAAATAACTAATCGAGCGGCACAAACTCAAGAAGACGTGGATACTTGCAGAGAACGACCTTGTTCTTATCATGTTCGAAGATATAGGCTCGTACACGGCGAAGGGTTAAAGACACCGTCTCCCCCCCACCTCCTCGCAAGATCCTTGACCCCCTATGAATGCCGCTTCAAGAACGGCCAGGATGGATTTTCAAGGCTGACCCGACTTCAAATGGTCCTGGGAGAGCGCAGGGAGTGCACTAGGGGTTTCAGCGACCAAGGTCCATCTTTCTACCCTGTTCCTGCGACTCTGTAAAGTTACTATTGCTCTGCATGTCCACAGATAAAATCGTAGTCCGTCGATAGATACAGAAGGTAGAATGACAACTTCGCAAATGTTTCAAAGAACCATGATAGCACTGCTAGCTACTCTCGGCCCTTCTCTAAGATGGTATATTTCGAGGTTATCTTCAGCCATGAACATCTTCCAAAGGAATACATCTCTAGCCATGAAATTCCTTGATACCTTTTAAGTAGTCAGACCAGACTTTCCCAATATCGTGCTTGTAGATCCAGTCCAATTTGTTTTCCTGCCCAATACCAAACGACTTGAATCTGACCTCAAGAGCCTTGTCAAAAGCTTTTCCTTCTTCCTCCACTTTTGCAGCATTCGCTCTTTGGGTGTCAAGATAGCTGTACCTGTACGTATCATTTATCAGTAAGGTTGGTGTTGTTGGATATGGCTGACATGTGACCCTTCGGGACATACATTCTCTGATAGTAAGGCAGGCGGATTTCTTCGAAGGTCTGAAGAGCACCTTCGACCACCCTTTCCGATCCACGCGAATATTCCCGTTCAAGCGCCTGTGCCAGCAGCCACCCGTCCTCCATGCCGAACGTGGCTCCAGATCCAAATGCACCTAAAAGCAGACAGAATATTGGTATCGTCAACTGTATCATGAGGGCCAAGGGTGTACGTACCATGCAGTGGGTGACTGGCGTCTCCTATTAAAACCACCTTATTCCACCCAGTAATCTTTTCCGGGCCAGGACCAGCATAATTGGCAAACTCTTTCCACGCGCCTTCGGGAACAGCTGCAATTGCATCTCGAACTCTTTGGTCGTATTTCTGTCAAAAGGACTGTCAGTAGGACTGTCGTCAAGGTTCTTGACGTATGTGACAAACCACAAAGCGAGCCTGCACTCTTTCGTTTGTTGCCGGGATTCCCCACGAGACCGTCCGTCCTGGGATATCAGGTTCGTGGTAAGATCTCACAGAGAGCTCGAATAACTGGTCTTCGAGAGGTACTTCGGAAGAATCGTCGACGCCCGACAAATAGGCATGTCCACCATTGACATACCACCATGATGTCCCATTGGTAACGTCTGGTATGTGTGTGAGAGACGATCTCGGGACAAGCGTGCGCCAGACCGTGTTTCCTATCCCCAAGTTACGGTCAGTTGTTCTTTTGTACATATAAACTGTGGCTAACCGGTGAAGTGAATCTTGTGATCTGGATAGAGCGTTTTTCGGATCACCTGTACCATCTGTTGTCAATGAGTGTATCGGATAGGTTGGTGGCTTGAACAAACGGAACGAATGCCGTCGGCTCCAATAACCAGGTCTGCAAGAGCGTCGGTGCCGTCTTCGAATGATAGGCGCACGCCTTGAGAGCCAACGTCTTGCGCCGATACCAGTTTCTTCCCGTACTTTATCACCCCGTCAGGGACCTTGGCCAGAAGCCCGGATTGAAGCCGAGTTCGTCGAGCTCTGATGGCCCCACGAGGATCCAAATCACTGTTCTCTGGGTGAGGTTGCAGCAGAATGACTTCACCGGTGTAGCCGTTCCTAAGCGAGGTCCATGTGAATACAAGTATCGCACCTTTGTTGTTTTGTGGCGGCCCTACCTCTGACGGGTATCAGCTTTGGAAAAGCCCTTGACTCCGTCGGCGGCCCCGAGCAGATCCAGAACCTTCCAGGCATTGTAACTCAGGCTGATGCCTGCTCCAACCTCTTGAGGCTCGGGGTTCCGCTCGTAGAGGACAGTCGAGAGAAACGGCAGCTTCGAGAGAGAAATTGCCGCCGCCAGGCCGGCCGGACCTCCTCCAATGATGGCGACATTGATCGTTTCTTGATATGAACCCATGGCTGTTGCTGTGGGTGAAGCGCACAGAGGAATACTCCGGTACTTCTTCCGTTGAGCGGGACATGACTTATAGGTTGGAACCACCATACACATAGAGCCTGAGTTGGGATGCCATCGTACGTGCCGCCAATAAAGCACGCCATCAAGCACGCCTTGCAGGAGGGAAAAGTTCCGCCATCTCCCTGATAACTACATCAACTCACTGATTGGCTGGACACGGACTGCCCCGAGGAATGATTGGATATAGAATGCCGGCACGCCCCCTTATCTGTCCGTCCATGCCTTCATGTCTCCTGATGGGGCTTTTGCATGCCATTCTTGACAAGCCTTCCTCCACAGGCCACGCTACATACCGATGCTAGCTTATAAATATTCATATCGGCGATCCGTATCCAGTGGCCAGAAGACATCCCGGCAACTGGGTAGACCAGCGCCTTCTTCATGACAGCCGAACAGACAATGATGCAAACTGGGGTCTTCTGGTATAGGCTTGTTTCGCCGCAAAGTATAGCTCGACCACAACCATGATATTGCGTTTTAGAGACCTGTTATGGCACAATATCTCGCTATGGGAACAGGTGGGAATAGGTATATAGGATGGATGTCTTGTGTCACTTCAAACGCTGTATTCACCGATTCCGGTCCTAATATCAGTCTCCCTGTCGTGTACGGCCTCCAGAGTCCGCTCATCTACTATATTTAGTTGTCTTGAACGCTCGAGATGTCCAAAGAGGCTGAAGCAGTTGTTGTAGGCGACGGACTCGCTAGCGATCCGGTCACCCAGCAGAGATCATGGAAAAGCTACGTATGGGACACATTCGACAAGCCAGCCGAGGAGCGGAAATTCTTGTTCAAACTGGACGCTGCAATTCTTACTTTCACTTGCCTGGGTATGTGGTAGCTTTCCAACGGAAGAATGTTGGACTGTGCCTCTGCGTGAGCCTGCTAACTTGAAGTTTAGGGTACTTTAGCAGATTCCTGGATCAGGCAAACATCAATAATGCCTACGTATCTGGAATGTAAGGTTGTAGTGGGATGTCCAGGGAAACGACGGTTGACTTGGAGTAGGAAAGAAGACTTGAACATGCTGGGCAATCAGTACAATTACGCCACCACGCTTTGGACGGTCGGCTATATCATTGGCGAAATCCCTAGCAATCTCATCCTCACCAAGGTCCGGCCATCGATCTGGATTCCTGCCCTAGAGCTTGTATGGTCGACTTTGACGATTTGTACCTGCCGAGTCACTACTGTCAATCAACTGTATGGGTTACGCTTCCTGGTAGGGTTAGCTGAAGCAGGATTGTAAGTTCTTCTCCTGCAATATTCTTGTCATGTCGGCTGTTGTTTCTCCTGCAGCCATAAACTAACTGCCACCCCCAGTTTCCCAGGCATTCTCTACATGCTTGGTTCCTGGTATGGGAGGGACGAGCTTGCCAAACGCTCCGTCATATTTCACGTTTCTGGTTCAATCGCCACCATGTTTTCCGGTTACCTGATGAGTGCCGTGATTGGGTTGGGAGGAAGACACGGTTATGCCGGCTGGCAATGGTGAGTAATGGCCTGTCCCAGACACCGTCCCGGCCGATATGGCTTGCAAAAGACCTCCACTAACCACCCTTGTCAGGCTGTTTATCATTGATGGCGTTATTTCTTTTCCAATTGCCCTCTTAACATTTTTCTTCTTACCTGACCAACCCCATAACACCCGCGCCTGGTATCTGAACGCACGAGTAAGCTTCCCCTAATCAGAAGGGTGAACTAGTGATTTCTGTGCTAAGTTCGTGTCAGGATAAAGAAATTGCCTTAGAGCGGGTGAAAAGAATTGGTCGGGCCAGCAAAGAAGGCTTCTCAAAGGAAAAACTCGTCAAGATCTTTTCACGATGGCACATCTGGGTTTTCCCCCTGATGACTGTGTGAGTCCATTGGCAGAATAAATGAGGCAAGACTGGAGACTGATTGACATCTTATGGCAGGTTCGGAGGAGGTGCAGGAGGTATTGGCCAGCCAATGTTCTCTTTTTACTTGAAGGCATCTAAGCACCCGAAATACACCATCAGCCAAATCAACAACTATCCTACGGCTACAGCTGCAGTGATGGTCGTCGCCGAGTTGTTGTATTCGTGGATCTCTGATGGTCCACTCAATGGGAAACGGTGGCCGGTCATGGTCTTCGCATCAGTAAGTCGCGATGAACGTTATCAATGTCACTTATCTGACGCAATGGACCACAGATTTTCCAGCAGGTCATTTGGATTTCACTGCTCGTGTGGGACATCCCCAAAGGGTGGCTCTGGTTTTGTTACATTGTCATGCAGCAGGGCATTGCACTTGTGCCCCTGAATCTGATGTAAGTTTATAAATGTTAACAGCCGGTGATCGTGGCAGGATTGCGCACTAATGTTGCGGTAGTTGGGTAAACGAGGTGTGCTCTGATGATATGGAAGAGCGAGCTCTCGTCCTCGCCGTGGTCAACACTATACAATATACACAGAGCGCATGGCTTCCACTCCTTATTTGGAAAGTTACCGACGCCCCACAGTACAAGAAAGGCTTCCCTACGGCCATTGCATTCACCGCCGTAGTTACAGGGGTGATTTTTCTCATCAGGCACCTCGCGAACAGGGAAAACAGACGGTAAAGGCGTCAGATCTCAGTCCAACCTAGTCTCGGTTGCTAATTTCTTGAGTAGGAAAAAGGAACTCGAAGACAGACTCAGCCCTGGCTTGGAGAGCAATTCGAATGCCTCTGAAGATGTGGTAGTTCCCAAATAGTTCGTACCATCGCTGCAAATGTTTAAGGCTCAAGTGTCCTGTTCGGCGGTTGCGGGCTCGATTGATGGAACTGGGGCTTAGGTCCTTTTGCTGATGGACTCGCTCAAATTCTCTCGACAGAATGAGCTGATGGAAAACGTTTACTGACGCCTTGGAACCTCTGGAAGACGGGTTATTATCCTTTTTAGCAGAAGACGAGCCGAATAGTCATCTGCCTTTCAAACCTATACCTGGAACCTAGCATTTCTGTATGTTGGACAGTTTACAAACGACCCACTCGGAAGAATGGTTGAATTGTGCCCAGAGCAACTCTCTGCCCTGTTGCAGGATTTCACACACCTTCTCCCCGTTAAAGGTAGAGAAGTTAGTTCTCCTTCGTGTCTGTTGTAGCAGCTCTATTGCGGTTATTATCCTATAAATAGTCAATTAGCGTCTCTGGAGTCTGGACTGTCGAACAGGGGTTGCGTTTGTTTCTGCGATCTGCATACCTGGTGGCCATGAATACGTCGATGTTGGGCTTCTCGGCAACAAAAACTTTGATCAAGTTGAGCGCGGGAAGAAGCCCTTCCCGAAAGGGCTCCCACAGTAGAAACGGTAGCGGGAGTAGTTCGTCGTCGAGAGTTCGCTGCATCATTGGGCGATGGAGCGAAAACCGGGCATACCAGTACAGGAGCTTCAAGCGTGTGCTCTGTGCCGACAGAGCGCCACCCCCCGGCTCGACTGACCAGCTTAGACTTGCCGGGAGGCGAAGTATCCAGGTATCAAGTTGTGACCGTAGCTCCTGTGTTACGGGAGAAACGGAGAAAGCCATGTTACAGGCGGCTGCCTTTTGAGTTGGGGCAGGGCTGAATCCCACAAAAGCCGCTTCCAGCTTGTCGTTTGTCAAAATTCTCTCTAATATAGCTCGCAGAGACATTTCAGCCAGGAAGAAGACGAAGTGCGTGTTTATGTGTGGAGGCCTGGTTGTGTTGTTGGCTTCGTCGCATGGCAGAGGAAGAGGAAAGAACTCCTCCAACTCAGCCAATGTACTCCGTGGAAGGGTGCTGTCGATCTCGTACATCATGTCTCTATACTACAGTCAACGGGAGGCTCTTGGACCAGGGAGTACAGAAGAGGTTCTTGACCGTTCAAGGTTGTGACAGATCCAGAATAACAACCTTATGTTATTACTCTCATTCCTTGGCCGTTGGACTTTTGCGAGTTGGTCCCTATCTCGGCCATTAGCTTAAGTTCTTAACTGCGAGATTCAAATATGGACTATATCAGTAACACTGAACAGCCGATGAGTCTCACCGTTTGATGACAGTCTGAAGCATACTGCAAGCACTATGAAGTGCCGTGGCAAAGTCAAGTAGGCGACTCTTCTGCAGCAGAAAGAGGGCAGAAAATACTAGCACATGAACATATTGCAGATTCAGCTGGGCACTGACCCGGCTGTGGAGGTGCATTGCGCGCTGAAAATCTGCCAGGCCGCTTTCGGTGAACGCCGGGTACATGAAAGCTTTGATCGTTGCGATCACGAGGAGCAAGAGGCATGAGCGCATGTTGTCTTGGAATCCCTCTACCTCGACCGCGTCTGCAGCACTGCGCAGAGTGCTTTCGCAGATGACAGGGTATAAAACCCCAACGTTAGGAAAGAAGCTCTGCCGAGCCAGAGGTATATCACGCACATCGCTTGGCCTGTAGGAGGTCACGACGTTGGGAAAAGGGTTCCGCCGCTCCTCGCACGACATTGGAGTCTTACCCAGATACTGAAATGTTGTATCGCCTTTTGACAGAGCGAACTCAATGCTGTGGTCGATGCTCTGGGGAGAGCAATGCCAAAGGTCAGTCAGCGACACTCCTGCGGCTATCTTCTCGCACCAGTCATTTGTATGGGAATCTGGGGTAGATGGGAAAGGCTTCCACGACACTACCTCCCCAAGGCTGCTGGCTCGACTAGTATGCGTTGTAGTTTGAGCGTCTGATGCGTTGGAGGAGAAAGCCGATTGATCCGGCCTTCTTTCGGTTTGGGCAAGGTGCGGTCGTAGATAGCCCGAATGTTGTGTGTCGCTGTCCCTGATCAGTGATGCATACACAATTGGATGGCAGCGGCACGAAAATACGCACTTGGACGATTGTTGTCGTGGATAGTCACACTTGAAGCCATGGCGGTTACAGTAACCACACCTTGGTCTTCCTTTCGTGCATTTGACCTTCTTCAACCGGCAAGTCTTGCATGCCTAGACCAAGTAAGCGTTTGAGCCTTTCCTTTCCTTCTGTTTGAAGTGGCAGAGCTCGGTATGGGCTCATAACATACCGTGGCACCTTTCTGCAAACCGTCACTAGTATCTGTAGATGCCACTGATAGGGGCCCACTTATTCTTCGAGGCTGCAACTGCAGCAGCTGAGTTGGCCGCAAGAGTGAGCTTCTCAGCAGCCGCTTTCGACGACTGCGGACTAACGTCTCCATTTGCAACGACTCCTAATGGAATTTTGGGAACGACTCTTCCCAAATTCGAGATTCGATAAAGTAGTGGTTGCTTTTGATCAACCGGTAGGGTTTCGGCCGAACGATCGATCCTCGCGATGAGTAAGAAATTGCGCTATCAGAATGGCACCATCGGTCCCAGACAAGGCGTGAGAGCAACACCTGACTATTCGCGAAACCATCCTCCATCTCGACAACATTCAATTGGCTACAGTCGGAAGGCCATCCCAAGAAGAAGCTCGCCCGCTATGTGGCTTGCACACGAAGTACCGTCTATGTTCCAAGATCCGAGTGCCGGTAATTCACTTATAGATATCGGGACAGTCATGGTGATATCTCCCCATGTCCTAGCTACTGTTTTGTCGTGCGAGGTCTTGAGCTTTTGTTCCCAAATATTCATCCCCTTTCAGCGCCATGATTGAGCGCGTTCGACGTGTAGCCGTAATCGGGGCCGGAGTTTCTGGAGTGACAACGGCAGCTCATCTAAAGGCCGAAGGGCTCAATGTCACAGTTTTCGAAAGGGCTCCTGTCGCTGGAGGGGTGTGGTCAGTATATCTTTGTCCTTTCATGCGAGAGGCCGTTGATCTCATTTGTCAGGGTCTTGGATTCTCGAACGCCTCATGAACCAACGTTCCCTTCAATCAAACCGTCACTTGCGGATTCCGTCTTTTACACTAGTGTAGAAGAAGAGGATCCTTATCTTTTGCATGCGCCTCCAGGGTAGTAGAACTTGTTTGACACTGGGACCTCAGGCTGAACGAGGACACAGACCTGCCTATGAGACGTTGACAAACAACGTCGCGACTCAATTTCTAGAGTTGAGCCTCAATAACTGGCCAGCGGACACTCCAGCCTTTGTCAGGCACAATGTTCTGGCTCATTACATCCAAGACACGGCAGTAAAGACCGGTGTCCATGAAGACACAGTGTACGACACTGCAGTGAAAAACGTATCAAAAGCAGGCGGCACCTGGAGACTTGAAACAGCCACGTGGGATAAAACCACTGGCAAGGCGACAGAGAAGGTTTGGGTGAGTTGCGCCCACAATTCCTCCATTCCTCGCTGGCTGACCCCTTCTTCAGGATTTCGATTTCGTTGTCGTTGCGTCCGGACGTGAGTGGTTGTAACCTCTGGATCCTGGGTCTCAAAACATTCAGAGGTCTACATTTTGATCACCATTGCTAAGAACACAGCAGACTATCATGCCCCAAGAGTGCCGGATATCCCTGGCCTGGCAGAATGGAAAAAGGCATGGCCATCAAGGATCCAGCATTCCAAGAGCTATCGAAATCCCCGAGGATTTGAGAACCAGGTAACTTGACCTCGAGTGAGGCACGCATTCGCCCCAAGTTAATGATTGCCTAGACTGTCCTTTTGATTGGTGGAAGCGCCTCTTCGATAGATATCGCCAGAGAAGTTGGGCCGGTAGCCAAGAAGGTTTACCAGTCAACTAGGGGAGGTTTCATGGACACACCAGAGTCCTGGCTGCCGCCTAATGGAGTGCGAGTACCTGGAATTGCCTCGTTTGGGGAGCTTAAGGGCACTACCTCGGATGGCACTGGAGCAATTGACGGCAAAGTCACCCTGGTCGACGGTCAGGTACTTGAAGGCATTGACCGCGTGGTTGTCGCTACCGGTTACCACTTTACCCTGCCCTTCTTCCCGAAAGAGTTTCATCGTGACGACGTGCCGCGAGAAGAAGCCGATAACAAGATCCTGGTGACTGACGGCACCATGCTGCATAACCTTCACAAGGACATCTTCTATATCCCAGATCCAACCCTGGCGTTTACAGGTGTTCCTTTCTATACCGCGACCTTTTCACTTTTCGAGTTTCAAGCCATCGCCATTGCTGCGGTGTTCTCTGGCCAAGCTAGGACGCCAACCAAGGAGGAGATGTTGGCCCAGTACCAGGAAGGAATTAAAGAGAAAGGGTATGGAAAACCGTTCCACACTTTGGTTGGGCAGGATGTCCAGTACGCCAAAGAGCTCATGGAATGGGTGAATCTGGGTCGTGATCCGTCCACGAAGAAGACTGATGGCTACTCGGCAGAATGGATAGCAGCTCGTGAAGAGTTTATGAGGACTTTTTGGGAACGGGGGAGCAAGGAAAACAGTTCGACCGCGGAAGAAGTGTCTTCAAACTAAAATATCAAACTGCTGGGCGCGACGAATGGCCAGGCGCTGAGTTGGAGATTTTTCAAACTGGTCCTTCCACGGAAGCTGCTCTTCACAAAGTCATATGCATCGAACACTGGGTGTACTGGGTGTACCAGTGTGAGTCAGTAGAGAGATAAACGACGATTCTACTCAAATGCGGCGTCAACGATTTCAATTAGTGGCACTCGCGGCCTGAGGTGATCATATTATTGTGATCTCAGGGCCATTTCAGCCCACGTATGACGACGCGTTGTTGTTGATTGCGCTGTCAGCTGGAGGATTCCTGTGAGGAGCTCTGAGTAGATACTGATATTACAAGTAGTTCCAAGACCGTAGAACCACCACTCCAGCTTAAGGTGAGGTCAAGCCCCAGAAGTCCCTCTGTCGTGCTTAGACGAAAGTGAACTTGACTCGCTCTTGTCGACTCGTGTCCCGCCGGGAACTCAACATGACCAGCGAAGAAAACACATCTGGAAATTTGACAAGTGGGGCCTCTCTGGCAAAATATAGTCTTGCAAAGATCTCGAAGTCCTTAATCTGTTGAAGCGCTCCTTGCTGCGAGGCCTCTGTTTCAGGGCTGGCCCATGGTGGTTAGAAAGGGAGTAAGGCTAGCCGGATAGCAGTAGGAAAAGTTTCGATAATCAAGACTGACCTCTTCGTATTCTCTTTTGATTCCACAGGGACAGAGCGGATACTCTCTGCGGTCACTCAGGAATCAGGATAGCAGTAACCACCAGCGCTCGGCTTCAACTTCGGTAGTGGACATCCAGTTTACTCTACGCTACGCAAAGTCAGAAAAACTCCGAGTGGACAAGCGGGTAGGGAAAGGCAGAGCCACGTCGATTACGGAGAGCATCCGTTTGGACGGCATCCTTTAGCAGTGAGATCGTAATCTCATCGACGCCATCCTCTCGATCTCGGAAGAATCAAAGTTTGATAAGCACACGGTTCGCGCGTTTCATCAACAAACCCCTGCAGGGTTAAACCTATCGTCGAACAACGGGGACCCCACATTGCTCTGCATGCTCATATGGCTCACCTTATGCACACGTGTCGTCGACAAGGCGAGGTTATGCAGCACTACTACCGAGAACAGCGATTTGCTCTGACACACAGAGAAATCTAGGGGGAATTGCTGACGACAGCGTTCTGAGGGCTTACCAGTAGGATTCACAAAGGTGCTATCTCGGCCCTGTTTTGAGAAAACAGTTACACGGAGCAATTTGTATTCACGGTATCTTTGTCTCGAGGCGCCGAGGCTTCCGAGTTGTGCTGTTCAGCTCCTAATCCTTACATTTGCTAAAACCCCTCTCCAGGTACAGTAATATCGGCTTGCTTCTTGAAACTCAGTATAGTCATACCAGGTGGGGTGACAACATGTGGTTGTTGGCACTTCGGCTCACGGAACTGCAAAAGACACGTGAGTCTTCGTGAAGACCTGAGAACATCCCACGAGGCCTTCCGCTGGGATCCCTTGCTCTTGCTGCGACGTCGCCCCGGTCACTGCGTCCACTATGCGTTCTGGCTCGCTTTCAAGGGGCCCTTATCGAGCCGTTGAGAATGGAAACCCCCGCTAGCCTCACAGCGGAAAAGAGGACCAGCTACATTTCTGCTCCTTAATCATTTACCTGCCTTTCATGCCCCTCTCGACATTCAACGCATGTGGCAGCCCACAACCCCACAGCATAGTGACTATGGGTGTCAGGGTACCAGGATACTCGAGATAAAGTTCTGTCTTGTCCTGTCCTGAAACCACCACCATGAGCCTTGCATGGGCAGGCTATTCGGTTATCTCACAAAGGAGAATTGGGATACTCGAGGAACTACATGGCTTGGAGCATCCTTTAAAAGCACAGTCACCAGACATGTTGAACTTGTGTGGTCTATCATTCTGACATTCTTTACTTGTTGGTGCTTTCCTTCATTCTGTCGTTCGTTTTCGAGTGCACCCAGACATTCCTTTTGCAGAAGCAGGCTCTTTGAAAAGCAAGAGAAGGGAACTGAAGAGGTCCAAAAGGCACGGATTTGGAACAATGTTATTTTCATTCCTGGCAATTCTAGGCTTTGCTGCCTCGACGCTGGCCGACGGTTCTTGTGTGGCACCCAGTTACAGCCAACCTCCAGTCTTGTACTGGAAATGGGAGCCAACGCCCATCTTTTCCTCACCAGGAAACGGACCTTCTGGAGGGTCTACTCTCACTTTCATTGAATGGAAGACTTCTACCACTACCGTTGTGGTGACTCAGACTGTTTCGACGTCTGTGTCAACTGTTCCTACCGATGTGGCTGGTGAAGAAACCACGCCTGCGACATCTGCGTCACCTACCAGGACAAACTTGGTGCTATCGTCTATCACAGTGGCCCATTTTCGAGGTGCGTCCTCAGCGAGCTCCTCGATCCCCGTCAGCTCGTCAAGTTCTTCGGCCCACTCTGTCGCAACAACCTCTAGCTTCACGGGACTTTCTGCATCTACCACCCTCGTCGCCCACTTTCTCAACTCCAGCTCAACGACTTCGTCTGCCAGTTTTGCAAGCAACGAGAACGTCGCAGCCGTCTCTGGAAAGCCCACTTCTACGTCTTCAATCTCCGTTTCGGCCACACCGACCGCAGCTGAAGCAACATCTGCGGCTTCTACCTCGGAAGTCTTCATCGGCCTGGGTACTCGCTACGGCGGTTCTTGCTCAGAGGAAGACTGCTGGCAGGGCGGCGCATGCAGTTTCGTAGACTATACACTTCCAGCCGGAATCGACGGGTCGACCTGTGTCTCTGAGGATATCTGGAACAATGGTACTAACTGTGGTGGCTGTATCTCTGTCAGCTACAAGGGCAAGACTATCACAGTCATGGTACGAATGCGATCACTTCATTGTGCGTACTAGAGGTTATGCTGACACGGTAGTTACTAGGTTACGAACCTGACTGGAGGTAACGCCACACATCTTGATATGACTCCTGATACCTGGGCCAAACTTACCAACGGATACTCTGGTGGTGGAGTTGACGGTATCGAGTGGGAATGGATCACTTGTCCTATTGCTGAAACCGAGCCCTTGTGGATTCGAATGCACGGCGGAGCATCAAAGTACTGGTTTGCTGCAACCGTGGAAAACGCTCGATATCGGACTTCGAAACTGGAAGTAAGCAGCGATGGAGGCAAGACGTGGCAAGACACCACGCTCAACAACTACAACATCTTTGTATTGGATGGGACCCTTCCCAGTGACACCGCCAGTGTCCGAGTTACCAGCATTACAGGCAGCCAGGTTATTGTCGACAACGTGGCGCTGAAGTCCAACACGGACACGAAAGCCACCGAAAACTACTCCTGATTCCAAAGGCCGCTATTTGTGAGCACTTCTCTCAGAAAGCCCTGATATGAGCCAAAGTTGCGCATCGGGCAGCCATTTCTCTTCTTGTACATAATTGTTGTTCTTTCTCTTCATCCTCTTGTTAAGTGTATTGTACACTTCAGGGGCCGGGCAAGTTCCCTATTAACCACGACCAGTCTTCCGATGATAGTTATTATTATTCTTAGTGTCATCAATAAAGAAGACTTGCAGTATTTCTATGCAGAACGATTCTCTGAGTCCGATGCCTGTACGGAGGTACCGTTGTGTCAGTTGTGTCAGTTGTCAGTTGGCCAATATTCGCATTTGAAGGTTATTCTCACTTGGTACGCGCCAGCTGCTGGCAAGTAAGGGCGGCGTGATACTATTGCCTCATCCGAGGTGAAACACGAGCCGCTTTTCCCATCCCTTGGCGTGCAGATGCCCCAAAGCGAGACTGCGCTCGAACCTCAATGCTGTGTGTACTGGTCGTGCAACTGCTTTCGGCCACCCGCTCACCCACGCACGACGGCCATGTCGTTCCTCCGGTCGCAGAGCTCCCTCCGGCTCTCACGAGCATACACACAAATCCCCAGATCGCCGAGATGGCTATCATCGACGGCACAGCGCCGCCTAGGCGAACCGGACCCCAAAGCTATCCCGGACGTGAAAGCGATGCAGATGACTGAAGACCAAGCGTCCATGGTCGAAGCCGGCCGTCAGCCCCAAGGTGGCGGTGGTGCCGTGGAACAATACCACCCGGACCACCAGCCAGACTACACTGCGACCATCGACCACGGGACGTCGACATATTCGCCGGTCCCCAAACGGGTCATGAACGGCAGCGAACCTACCGAGATCACGCCCGCCGCCGTGGTGTCAGGAGCTCCAGTCGACCTGCAAGCCAGGACTGTCAGGTACGCAGAGCCCCGATCGCTCTCGAGAAACGCGATAGTCCGGTGACGGAGGACCAGCTAACCTGAGCTTTGTCTTTTTTCAGAATCTACAAACCCGTCCGACCGGCCACACAGTCCGGAACATGGGGCAGCCACGCGTGGCGCCTGGACTGGGACCCTCTGCCCAAGGGCCACCGGTGGGAGAACCCGCTGATGGGATGGCAGTCGTCGGGGGATTTCATGCAAGGCACCAACATCAAGTTCAAGTCCAAGGACGATGCGATTGCCTTTGCCGAGAAGCAGGGCTACGAGTGGTACGTCCAAGAGCCGAACGAGCGACGATTCGTACCAAAGGCCTACGCGAACAACTTTCTCCACGAGCCTGGCCCGTTGAAACACATCAAGACCAAGTAAGCTTGGAAGTGACAACAAAATGAGTCCGGGGGAAAGAACATGTTTTACGGGCAATTGATGGGACGCCGTGCAGTGCAGTGCAGTGCAGTGCGTACCGGTGACAAGAGTATCGACATGTGTGGCCCTCTGCTTATGCTTGTGAGGTTCATACATTGGATTGTATATAGGGGAGCTTCCAATAGCAGAAAACGACAACAAAAAAAAGATGAATATGCAAACAAGAAGGATGCCAATGTTTTTTCTTCATTGCGGACTGTCTTTGTGGGGGTACTTCTCCTAACTCGCCCCCGTCAGTCAGTAGGACCTGGGTATATTCTACTACTGACCCGAAGTAGGTACTCTGAAAGCTACACTCCTTGGAACGACACGAAATGTGCAACACACAACGAGCGTACATGAATCACATGGTATTGATCCTTCGTCGGCGGTGCTCCTCCAGGTGTAGGCAAGATATCACATTCGCAGAGATGCTCGGAAAGGCTGATTGGTACGGATTTTTTAATAGGAAGCGTCGTCGCCGTCGTCATTGTCCACTCATTCTCATGAAACCTAGTGGTACAGGATTCATCTTCACAAAAACTAATAGTACAGGGTTATCACAGCAACAGGAATTCTTCGCAACATCTCCTGAAAACAACCACTTCGCCATGTCGAATTACAAGATCCCCGACAGCTGGGTCTTTGCCCGCCTCCCTCTCCGCCCTCATGCGGGGTGGCCGAGTGCTCGTAAGATCAAGAAAGGTGGGTGGTAATGGTGTCGATGGCATGAGTGGTCATCTAGTAATTGTGCTTGGCGGCATGCTTGTCTACATCAGCCTGGCGTTTGTGGGACGACTCGTGCAACTTGTCCTTGATAGCATCGCCTGCAGCTCGGAGGCGCGTCGAGGCACGGACGTTTGGGTCTTTAGCGATCCTGGCCGGTCATTAGTTGAGTTGTTCACCACGCTTCACACATCTCCATGCAAAAGAAGGGGACACGAAAGACTCAGACGCAGAAGTGGCACAACGACGTACTGTTTGTTTGTCTCCTTGCTGGCGGAGTGAGCTCCGCCTTGAGTCTTGTGGGAGATCCAGCTGCCGGTGTTTCTGATCGAATAGTAACGTCAGCACGGGTTTCAGAATGGCTAGCTAGTGAGGTACTGAGGACGTGGACGGCGCAAGGAGGTCCATACATACTTGATGGTATTCATGGTTGCAAGAGGTGGCTGATTAGTAAGTGGTGGCTTTTGTTCAATTGGTATTTAGGTGGTGTGCAACGGAGAGGACTTTGAGGTCTCGAGGTCAACTTGTCAGAGTGGTGAACAAGGGTAAATGATGCAGAAGTTATAACGGTCGAGGGTCAAGGCCGGGTCACCACAGGATATATATGCCAATTTCAGATTCTACGATACACCTTACCCTGGCTCCCAGGGAAAATGCATGGGATTGTTCTTTCCCCCATCCCCATCCCCCTCCCTCCATACGTTCTGACCTCGCATCGCGCCAGGATCAAGGGCAATCACGATGTCATAGTGCATGGAAAGGGTGTACGGGCAGCAGCCACTGGGCGGCATCGGCGTCTTCGCCGCGCAGAAAGTGTAAGAGCGCACTTGGTTGGGTTGTGGAAACTCCACGGTGGTGACTTCAATCAAGCATCGCCGACGTGGGTACGAAACCTGTTTTTCCGCGAAGCTTGAATAGACGGACATAGAGCTATCAGACCGCATGACGGATGATCCTGCAAGATGAGTGGTCGGCTCTGAAGACTGGGGGTGAACGAGGAAGAGCCAGGTAAACGGGCGTGGCGTGGCGACTGGTTAGGAAGATGGAAGATGACGATGTCGTTTGTCTACGTCATTGCAATGGTGCCCCGAGCATTGGAGTTGGTGGTGATGGGATGGATGTTGCGGAGTACGAGTTCAGCCTTGCGATGTGTGTATTGTAGCCTCGCGAGCGAGCCCGGACATGGTACAAATATCCGAGGCACATGGTTAGATTCATTCCCGTAACTATATTGATACTGACTAGTGGTTCCAGCACGGTAGATGCTACAGGTCCAGGCCAAGGTCTTGGTCGGCGGCATGCAAGGGAGTGTAAAGACAGACCTTGGACTCTTGTCCTCTCAAAAGCTATCATGCGTCCACAATAACCCTTCGTGCATCTTTCCGGCTCGAAACAAGGCACCGCTCCTCTTAACCCCTTTTGCACTTGATGCTGATGATACCGTTTCCTAGCATGCCGTGGTCTTCCAAGAACTGAGAGGTGTGATAGTTGGCGGTTCCGGGGTACTTCCAACCGGGAGCAGTATTCCAGCCATTGTCGTTGCAGTTCTTTTGTTCGTACACGGTGCATGTCAGGCCCTTATCGGGACCCATAGACCCGTTGGAGTCGTAAATCCTGGTCATGTGCGTTAGCAAAACCGTCCACGGACGACAGAGCGACTTTCGCGGGTGGACTGACCGGTTGTAGCACTGCCCGTCCCTCAGAGGAGTCCATTTGCAGGGCATGACCCAATTTTGATGGCTACACTCATACACGCCGACCTCGGTGGCACGCGTACGGACATGACGGGGGAAGCCACCCTCATGACCCCCGTGGTCTCCGTGGTCTTGGCCATGTCGAGCGTACTCGCCATGTTCGCCATGTTGGAAATCTCGAGGACCGTTGCCGTTGCCGAAACCATGGCCTTGGTGTTCTCTGCCGGGGCCAGATATCTCTCCACCGCGCTCATGCTGGCCGTCGTGTCCGCTGGAATGCGAGTCTCGTGGGCGATTGTCGTGGTCATGCCCCTTCTTGAACCAGTCTCCTGGGTTTGCATTCTTGTGCATGAAATCTTCGTCTCGAGCATGGTTGGCCTTGTTGTTACCTTGACCCTGGCCACCGTGACCCTGCATGCTTCCATCTTGAGGGCCATCATGGTCTTTCCACACTTGGCCGCCATATCCTTGACCTCCACGACCCTGTCCACCTTGAATGCCGCCTCCATGTTCTTGGCCTCCGTAACCGCTTCCACTTCCACCAGAGTTGTCACCACCGTGATTCATACCGCCAGGATGGCCAACTCCACCAGAGCCTTGCCACCCTTGCTCTTGACCAGGGTAAGCCGAGGCGAGGGTGGCCACTGTAGCCCAGAGGAGGATTGGATTTTTGATAGCTACCATTGTGATTTGAGATGAGAGACTCTGTGAGCAGATTTTGCTTGTAGCCGACACAAGGAACTCGCGCGCGAGATATAGACCTACCTGGCGAACTTTGACCATGCCATCCAAGAAAGAAAGAAGACCTTTGTTCTTACGAAGGCGGGCAGCAGATCATGACCGAAAAGCGAGCATTGGTACAGATCACAAGCCGCTTTCGAGAGAGGTGCTTGGGGCTAATGAGTTTTCCACCGACAATCACAGTCCATCGAGGGTGCGGGTAACGTTTGGGACAAAGCTGGGGCTTAGTATTGTTGTTGTTGTTGGACAAGGCTCAGCCCCTTGATATTGTTCTTCGCAATAGCCGAACATATACCGACGTCTACGCGAAACTTTGGATGCGGAACAATGAAATGGCACAGACATAGCAGGAATCCGATTGATATGGGAGTCGTTTGAGGGTGCATGCTTAGTGGTTCGTCTGCGCAGGCCGCATCAGCTCGTACTACGGTCGGTCTATGCTATCCCTCCTCCTCATGGATCACGCACTCACTCGTTCTTGACCTTGTGAAAGGAAGTCGAGCAGTCCCTGCGATGACGATAGCTCGTGCTCATGCATCAACAAAATCCGGTTCTGTCCCACACTATCCACGCGTATCAGAAGCACTGGAACGGATGCTACGGTAAGTATGATGAAATCGGAATCGTTCTCCGTGTTCTAGGGTTAGTCCGCGTTGATGTTCACTTGCCTTCAGATGGCCATTGATCAATATTGATATAGTCACTGCGACTCCAGTTACTCCTAGTCAGACCTGGCCACAGATCCAACATATACCTACCGTTGATATTTTCCTGAGATTTTATGTACATCTGCTGCAATACGACCTCTCAATAACACTGCCGACGATGGACAAAGTGAGCAAAACGGGTCCTAAGAAATTCCGCGAGTCCCTTAAGGAAGGCAGGTAGACTTATGTTTTCATGCCGTCCCAATAGATGCATGCACTAACAACCAAGTCTCAGGGAAATGTCTGATCGGGCCAGGTGTCTATGATGGCATCTCTACTCGAGTGGCTTCAGCACTGGGCTTTGATTTCTTGTATCTTGCGGGTTCGGGCGCAACGGGGTCTCGCGTAGCAGAGCCAGACTTGTCGGTGATGACCCAGACCGAATTTGCCGATATCGCCGGAATGATGGTACAGCACACGCACCTTCCTGTCATCGCTGATGCAGACACCGGCTTCGGCGGCCCACTGAACATCAAGCGCACAGTCCAGCTGTATGAGCATGCAGGTGTCGCCGGACTACACATTGAGGACCAGGTGTTCCCAAAACGATGCGGCCAGCTCGAGGGCAAGGATGTGGTCGGTCTGCAAGTCTATCTCGAAAGGGTTAGGAGTGCTGTCGAGGCCAGGACAGATCCAAATTTTGTCATAATTGCTCGGACCGACGCCAGACAGGCCAAGCAGTTCGGGGGGAGCGAAGCTGGCGAGAAGGCTTTTCATGAGGGAGTCAACAGACTGAAGGCAGCCCTCGATACCGGTGCGGATATGGCGTTCATGGAGAGCCCGCGGTCGGAAGAGGAATGCAAGGAATTGGTCAAAGCATGTGCTCCCAAGCCAGTGCTTATCAACGTTCTGCCGCATGTATGTCGTGTGAAGCCTTGAAAGATCAGACCCCGAGGAGTACTGACATGACTTTCAGGGCTTGACCCCGAACTTCACTACTTCGGACTGCGACCGCCTGGGTTTTGCTGCCGCGATCTACCCATGCACGGGATTTATTCCAGCTATGCTTGCCATGCAAAAGTCGTATGAAGGACTGAAGAAGGAGGGCTCTGACCTAAGATTCTGCGAAGACAACACCATCAAGGACTTCTTTGCGCAGCTCGGCCTGGCGGAGAACTTCGACTTTGATGATCGCATTGAGACGTTTTCAAAACAAGAAGTGGAGCATACGAGCCACGAGGACGAGAGCTGAGATACAAGAGTTCCCGAAGAGGGTGTGGTGTGGTTGGGGGGGGGGGGGGGGGGGGGGGAGGGGAAGATAGAGAAGAAGCGCTTTGTTCGTCGCAACAATGAGCGGACCATTTCGTTGAAGGAAAGGGAGCAACGTTGCACACACGTAGCTTCAGACACGAATCTGGCTTCCCTATGATCCTTGTTGGACTAAGGTGAAGCAATTTCGATCTCGAGAGCTTGTTCCGAGCCTCGATAAACCCCAAAAGGGAAATGGGCTTAGCTAAAAGTCAATATAGCCCAGATTAAGGGTGCGGGTGATCAGTTGGTCAGGCCGACTGCTACCGTGCTCAGTCAGGTGTAGGAGCATCTTTGGTCGAGATAAGTCTCTGCCTTCCGGAAATTCATAGACTTAACGTGGCGTTGGAAGCCAGTAAAGAAGCAAAAGCCCAGGATCAGAGGACTGGACCAAAAACTCCCCAGCTCAATCAGCCCTCGCATCATCAACACGGGGACGGATGAACCTGGCTCCCGATGACAAGCCGGACGAATTCTAACACCTTCCTCTCCCTGTGTTGAAGAGTCCTTCGCTGACTGCCGCATATCTCGGAAAAATCGACTCTGATCTAGCACGTATCCCTCTGCTAGCTTTGTCGGTAAATTTATATCACCGGTCTCTTCCGTCCGGAGACCGTTAAAAATGAAGCTTTACACGTATCTCGAGGGCTGCCTGGAGTCGTCCGTCTAGTCCATATCCTTCCTCGAGCAGGCGTAACGGCCTTAAACTGCCTCCTCGGCTCAGCACTTGCACCTTGGGCAAGGCCCACCACTCAGATCATGGTTAACTACAAGACTGTCCAGGAATCAAATCATAGGATAGCGACGACATTTCCGCCGGGGTTGGTTGCCGTATTTGTGGGTGCCACCAATGGCATTGGGATGTACACCCTGAGACAGTTCGCCCAATACGCTCGGAAGCCAAGGGTATACTTTATAGGCAGGTCGCAAGAGGCCGGTAATCGTATCGCAAACGAATGTCAGGCTGTCAACCCCGAAGGATCCTTCACTTTCATCCAAGCCGACACGAGCCTTCTTGCGAACGTTGATGAGATTTGCCAACGCATCCAGTCGACCGAAAAGGTCATCAACCTCCTCTTCCTCACACAAGGCACTTTGGATTTCAAGAAAGGTAGGCCTATCCACAGGGGTGCATATAGTGTGCTTACTGGCGCTTGCAGAAACCCCGGAAAGGCTCCCTCTAACTATGGCGCTTGTGCATTATGCCAGAATTCGGTTTATACACAATTTACTACCACAGCTTCAAGCAGCGCATTCATTAAAGCGAGTTGTGAGTGTCCTCGCTGCGACAAAGGAAGGAGAGGTAGATGTTGAAGACATTGACGCCCGTCACGTTCCTCTCCACAAAAAGCAAGGCCACACTGCCACACTTGCCACCATCTCCATGAGCGTCCTCGCGGAGAGAGCACCGGATGTGTCCTTCGTCCATGACTATCCAGGTTTCGTGAAATCAGGTATTGGCCGTGATATACCTGGTGTCGTCGGCTATGCAGCGAGGGGGTTCTTCGCAATGTTCGCACCTCTTTTGGCCACCCCGGCAGAAGAAAGCGGCGCGTATCATTTGTTCTTCGCGACAAGCGCGAGATACTCTTCCAAATCTGCGAGCGAGTCGACCGGCGGAGTGTCTCTGGCATCTGGCGTGCACGTGGCAACATCCGTCGATGGGGTTGTTGGTGGCGGGATCTACTCGATCGACGAGAATGGTGAGAGCGCTAGCATTGCTGTCCAGAAATTGCTGGCGAAACTGAAGAAGGAAGGCGTCGCTGAGAAAATATGGACACGAACTGAGGAGGGGTGGAAGCGGGTACTTGGCGAAGGAGGACCTTCGACGTGACGGAGAGCATGATAGAGAGTGGTAATGCCCTGAAAAACGGCCTCGGTCCTCACGCCAGTTGTCCGGGAATGTTCCAATGCTGTTTGGAGTATGGCACTTTGATGCGATCCATGCTCGTTTGACATGTCATACAGCCTTTGGTGGGAGGTCTACTGATGCCAGTCATTGAACGTCACTCTCACTCTTACTGTCAGCAAGATATATCTTGTCGCCTAGTTGGGAAGTGGGAGAGATGCTTCTGCTTAACCCAGCTAGAAAGGTATGACAGATTATTTCGCTGTAGCCGCAGCACTGCGTCTTCCCATCTGTCGGGTTTCTCGTTGATCTTCCCCAAAGTATTTCTCTCTTGACGATTTGTTTATCCCACCAGGTACCTTATACTGTAAGGTGAGAACCGTCAGAGAAAAGATAAATTACTAGTGTCAATTGTTGCTGCAAGCATCGCCGTCGATTGTTGAGCATCTGACACGTGACTCCGGCTTAGTCAGCCACATTGCCTCCTCTTGATATACGTGATCGGGAAACCTTCCTATCCTTCACATCATTCGCTGCGCAATCGGCCGCGTTGTTCACCATCGTTGAACGACTCAAGAACACCCCCGCAAAAAGCGCCGACAAGGACGCTCGATGATGGAACACTCGGCCGTTAATTGCATAAGAAACCCACTAGAAGGAAGGCGGCAACCAAAAACCCAGCGAGCAAAATGACAAACCACAGAGAGAACAAATGGACCGGTTAGGTCGGCGCCTACATAGGCTACATAGATAGCTGGAATGGGCGCCTGCATGGTCCCGGGGTACCGAAAAGGACTCGGTATCAATCAATCGCCAACTAATCGATATACGGGATAGTATCAAATTTCTTTCTCATCAAGACTAATTAATTTCCTTAACCAAGTTAGAGGTTTTGATATTCAAAGCAATATAGAAATTATCTACGGAGTATGAGAATAAGAACCATCTTTCTGTTGTTGCAAACTATTGAATCAGTACGAGGTGAACCCTGCCTGGATTCCCCCTTTATTTGCCCCTCTCTATTGGAGCAATCTCTCAATCTCCTTTGAACAAGTCGGAAGCACACGATATCTCTCGCCCTGGGGGACATCCCCTGCCATGTTCCACCGAGAGACAATCTATTACCACACAGTATGTCCGTTATCAGTTCACTTTTCTTCCACTGCTCGTTCGATCCGAACTTGCTACTCTGGATCGCCGCCTTACATGCGGAGTACCCATGCCGCCGAGCTTCCTGACCTTTCGATAGGCTTGGGACCTAAGGTTGGAGTCCTGGCATTTAGGTAAGGAAACCCCATAACGGGCCACCGGGACTGATCATCCGGAAGGGGCCTTTTTACAGGGATATCCTGCTCGCTGCGCTGGGTCTGCTGTCGGTCACTACGAGAACTCGCTCAACTCCGGTGTTCCGTTCAAGAGCAGAACCTGGTGATCGTACAAAGATCAGATGGGCTTGCATCCAGCCGAGTACCTAGCTGCATATTTGACAACATCTCGTTATCCAGCTACTTTGCGTTCTTCCAGTGACAAGATCAAGACCCGACATTTTGTTTTCGCGCATGTCCCTCGTGTGCATGAAGGCCTTGCGACCGCATTTTCACCTCACTAGTTAGTGCGTCGCCGAGAACCTCCTAGGCCTTAGTTCATGTCGGAACATCGATACAGCTCAGCTGGATGAGGTTCCAAGGCAAGAAACAATGTCCATCAAGGTATTTTGCTGGAAGTTTTGGGAGAACGGCTTCTCTCTACACGTTTATGGCAGCCTCTGGCTTTCCCGAGCAGAAAAGACGGGAGAAAGAATGTCTTTTCGCCATTGCTTGGGCGTGGCCTCCTCGAATCGCCCCCAAGCCACCTGTCAACTTTTGCGAACCATCTGCAGATCGAATCATACCTTGGCCGAGACTGCTCCTTGATAGCACCACAGTTGACAGGTCGCGCGGTGACTTTTCTGGCCAAAGTAGGAAGCTTTATTGATTCTTGTGCATCCGAAGTGACGATCCCTTCTCCCCCCGCCCCGAACCTCGACTTCAGCCAAGCCAACACGCTGCGGGCAAACATCCTGGCACCGAAGGGCTGAACAAGGTGTAACGGAGTAGGGAATGATATATATCAACAAATGAGACCTGTACCATGGCCTCTCAACCTTCCCGACCTTTCAGCAGTGCACGCCCAAGCGACGTTTCATCATGTTGGAATCTACTGATGCAGTCCTGATGGGAACAAGCATTGTCCTCGCTGTGTCGACCTTGATATCGATTGCTGTCCAACTGGAGAGGCAACTTTCCACCGCCGGTCGGCTAGACCTAAGCAAGTGTGAGTAATGAGCAGAAGTCACTCACTGGTTTTAACAACACTGACCAACATCAGGGTTTCTCGTGATAAGTGCTGTACGGACTGGCTATCTTTGCACCACGACCAACAGGATGCTTACCGGAGACTGCAGTTCTTTGCCATGATAATGACAGCACTGGTCTGTGCCGGTTAGTCAGATGCTCTTGGACTCGTGCATGAACCGATCGCTGACGTACACGCCACAGCCGCTGCTCACGGCCTCGGAGCCTCGATATCTCCAGAAGAGTTCGCCGGACGAGAGACGTTGCAGAAGGTGCGTGCTTGCGAGTCACCTCCACCTCTAGACTGTCTTCACTTCAGAGCTAAATCCAGCGGCCAGCTTCTCATCGCAGTCTTGCCTCCCTACTTCCTTTGCAACATGTTCGTCAAGCACGCCTGGCTGACGTTCTACTACGCACTGGCACGAACTCGCACCCAAACGTGGATCATCCACGGTATGCAGTTCGTCGCCTTTGGCTTTGGGATCAGCTCCATCCTCGTCATTATGCTGCAGTGCATACCGTTGAGCCACGTTTGGACCAAAGTCCGAGATCCTCCGCCGACCGATCAAGCACGCTGTGTCAATCTGATGGCATACTTCTACTTCAACGCGGGCTTTATGGTGTTGAACGACACCATAATGTACATGCTCCCAGTGTTTCTGCTGCGGAATGTCGACATGTTAAGAGGACACCGGTGGGGGATCTACTCACTGTTTGCCGTCGGCGGAGTGTGAGTCGACCCGACTGACCATGCACTCTGCTATGCAATTGCTAATCACTGGGTCATCAACAGTGTTGTTCTGGCAAGCATATTACGTCTTGTAGCCGTCCACGAGTTGGACACGATGACCAACTTTTCACGTAAGCCAACCCGCCCACGCACGCACACCCACACCCACACCCCCATGTATATATTCTCGAGCTACTCTTCCCGAACTTTTGAATCGTCAATGCGGCGTACACCCACAGGTTGAACTGACATTTTGTTGTTGTTGGCTGTGAAACAGAAAACTACGCACTCATCTTCCTCTGGGCGGCGGTCGAAAACCACCTGGGCATCTGCGTTGCGTGCGCCGGCGCCGTCAAGCAGAGGACGATCCGTGCTGTTGGGAGCCTCAGAAAATCATATGGGTCCATCCGGCACAAGCCATGGCCACCGACGTCCTTTAACATTGTGACGACACAGGACACGGAACATCGGAATCTATACACACGCCACGACAGCAGACCCTCATCCACCGGGGTCACCGACAATAAGGAAGGGGACCTTCATACGGTGGAATTGCGTCCAGTTCAATCCAATACCGATATCACTCCTACGGCGATATCGCCGGTGTGATGTCAAAGAGTTCCTGCTCTGCACTGCCGCGTTGGCCATCTTGCTAGCTATGTCTCATTTATATTTTTTTTTCGGGGGGGGGTTTTCAAGGGATGAATAAAATTCGAGATGTGACATGACAGAAACGAGGTTTTCTGGGTGAGAACGACAAAACGGGAAAATTAAAACAGGACCAAGATCAATATGAGAGAACGAGGAGACGAGTGATATGAGGGAATGAGGAAATTAATGAGGATGAAAAGCTGCCTCGAGCACCGTAGGTACCTAGGTTAAACGCCTAAGGCAGTGTGTAAATTTAGTTTTGAGTGATGGTTGATTCTCAATGAATATACCTAGTTACCTTGCTACTCATTGCGCTACGTGCTTAACCTGACGAGAACATGTATCTGATGAGCGCAAGCTGCGCACATGTAGGTTTGCAACTCCTGAAGGGCTTCGGCAAAGTTCAAGGTTCCGTTCTGCAGGGAGATCTCGACCCCGATCACCAGCAACACACAGATCGGGTGGATTTTCAGCTCCGGTTTCAGCATGGTAAATTCGGCTCGGTCCAGTTCATTTCAGTCATATCAAATCCAATCCAGTCCAGTCCAGTCCAAATTGATTCCTTTCTCATTTTCATTGTCCGTTCAGATGATATACCACCGGACCTCGGTGGATAGGTAGTAGACAGACAGGGATACGCAGGTATGTGCCGTTCTAGGCGGACAGATATATCTCCAGGCGGTGAGAGAAATTTCCGTCTCATAACTTGGTCCATCTGGGCAAGGTACTCAACCTCTCGTAGCCCCTTCTCATGTGGCTCGGCATGCCGCGGTCCTGGTCGGGCCTGCCCAGCCGTCCGTCGCGGCCCTGGCGGACGAAGACGTGGGTCGAGCCCCCGACGGCCTTGACGTCGTCGTCGCCCCTGCGGAAGATGCCGACCTCGTACGTCACGCTCGCCTTGCCCAGCTTGACGAGGCGGAGCCCGCACTCGACCACGTCCGGGTACGACACGGAGCCGAAGTAGTCGCAGTAGGTGTTGGCGATGATGCCGGCCTGCTCGTCGCGCGCCACCTTGTACCCGCACTCCTCGATCATGTACTGGTTCACGATGCTGTCGATCAGGACGCCGTAGTACGGGTTATTCACGTGCCCGAACACGTCGTTGTCGCTCCACCGGAGCCGGAAGTCGAGGTGGTACGTGTAGTCGGCGCGCCTGCGGAGGCGTTTGGACGACAAGTCGAGGCCGAGGGGGGCGTCCCCAGGTCGTGACGACATTGATGTTGCTGTTCTTGTTGTTGACGATTAAATTTGAATGAAGAGATCGTGACTGAGAGGGAAGAAGAGAGAGAGTGAGAGAGATTAGGTAATCTCGAGGTACCTCGCAGGTACGGACAAAATATGGACTGCGATACCGTACAGAAAGGGCGTTGTCAGAATGCTGAACGGTAGAGTACCTGGCAGTAGCTTGGTAACGCGTGTGGAGGAGAATATCTATATGTGCGTCTCTAATAAGAGAAGTACGATGGAAAAGTTCAACAGACTGAGTGAGGTTGGTTACCTTGGGAATCTTTGTTTTCGGGAGGTGAGTTTGGACCTCGGCTAAGTGGGTTAACTATCCAAGGTACACGCATATTGTATCAGATTAGGTATCCGTACTCACGCTATCTACGGAGGCGAGTATAGGAGGTCCCAATGGCGTAAAACTGTTCAGGACTCTTCAAATACCAAGATGCAATATATAACCATGCCGTCTGATAGAGGCTCGTGCTAGAGCAAGGCTTAGGCACCGTACAATAATAGGCTCTATATTTCATCGTTTCTTCCAAGAGGGAATCCAACCTCCTCCCAGAATATTGCTGTACTATCATTGAAGAGAAATGGTCTAAAATGTACGTAAATATGTCCTGTTTGCCATCACCGCATTATATTGTAGTTGACACTATAGTCGTAGCAATCTTGATTTGTGCGAAAGTGCGGCGATAAATTTCAAAGTCGGAGCACCCTCTTTTACTCCGGAAGCATCGTCTGTCTAGTCGAACCCTCTCGGCTCTGCTTTGTATCTCGACTCGAGACGAGATTACTGACGTCGTTCTTCTTCGAGGAGCGGCTTGCAACACTAGGTGCACGTTCAATCCTTTTTCCCTTCTCGGCGTTCCCACTGTCTTTATCTTCGTTCGGGGGCCCCACCGACAAGATCAGACCTCCGATACTGACAGTGAGAGTCTGATGATCCCTTGTCGTGAGAGTTTGATTATCCCTTGTCGTGGAACCGGTCGGTATAGCCAGACGAAACCCTCCAGGCAGCGTGATACTTGTCGTGGTCCCGGGGAGAGTGACACTTGTCTTGGTGTCAGTGGTTTGGCTTTCGCCCCGTTCAGAGGAGTTCCGCGATGATGACCGACTAGAGTTACTGCCGGTTTCCGACTTTGAACTTGAAATACGTTTATCGAAGGCACGAAGAGCTTCGGCAGTCAGACTAGCAGAAGCACTGCTAGCTTTCCCTTGGTAACCCTCCCCAAGACCTTCCAGGTCCATAGAGATAGCGGGTGTTGGTGTACGATGAGGCACAAGCCGAGAACTCGACGTTTCAGTCTTCGTTTTGGCCCTCCCGGGAGGAGAAGAAACCAGATTTCTGGGGCCGTACCAGTCTTTATCTTCATCCAGACGGCGATAGTCGTATGAAGTCAGTGGGAGAGACTTGCGTCGCTCAACACCATAATGGAAAACCTCATCGTCGCCGACCATCACGCCATCGTCTTTGGCGTGCCGCGGACCTCTCGACTTGCGGTGTTTGCGAATCTTGCCACGCTTCTCCTCCCCCTTCTTCTCCTCCTTGACCTCGGGTTTGACAACCAGTGGCCTCTCTTGGGGAATCTGAGGTGGAAGCCCCGCGCTGTTGAAATTGATCGGGCCAAATTCGGCTCTGGAGCGTCCATCGGGGTCAAGCAACTGCACGGGGCGTCGTGGTGGTGGTGGCGGCATCCTCGCACGATCCTCATCAACGTTGCGAGAGGACTTTTGCGGGTCGACCATGAGACGACCTGAGAGAGTTCGATCCGGAGACATCCCACTGTCTGCTGAGTAGTCCTGTCGAGTCACTGGCGTACGATATGACACTGGTGGTTGGTTGGATGGACGCCTATTTGAATTCACACTTTGGTACAAAGAGGTGAAGGGCTCGAAATATTGAGGTGCCGTTGGATAGTATGGGCCTGGGAATTGTGGAGGTGGCGGGGCGTAAGCGCTGTATGTGGGAGAGGGCAGTGACGGTGTGTAGCCTGGCGACAGAATTGCTCCATAGCCATAAGAGGGCGAGGGGTTGGGAATCCGGCTATCTTCGGGCATGGGATTTCTGGTCGTTGTTGGTGACGGAGGAAAGACGCTTGAGGGTCGTGAACTTTTTGATTGAGAAGACTGTCGGCGAGGAGGCTTCCTGGGTCTCGATTGATAAGATTCACGTTCTCTCTCGCGAATACCCAAGACGTCGACCCTCAAGTTGGGCGTTCCTGAACGACCCGAAGAGTTACGAGAGGTCGCTTTGCTTGCATAACCTGAGTCGACTCCATCACTCTCATACGACTTCCGCCGAGTTCCTGAAAGTGAATCTCGATCGCTTCCGAAGGAGACATCGGTCCTGGTTCGGAAACCCGACAGAGTGGTCTGCGCATCTTCATCGAGGTCGACACAAAAGGGGGGTTCGTTCCTGGTCATTGTAGTGACAAAGGGGTAGGGGTGGCCATCACCGATGAAGGTCAAAACTTGGTCGCGTTTAACCCCCATGTTGGCAGTGATGAGGGAGCCTGGTACAGTGTTCTGAGCAGCTTCATCCCAGTCCTCGCATGTAGCTGCCCGGGGACGATGGTCTTCGCTCATGGCCAGTGGCGCGGGAAATGAGGAGGATACGTCAGGATCGACAGGTATCGATTTTCCCTCCGTGAAATGTTCTTGAGATTTGAATGTTAATTCGTTGGAGCTCTCTGGGAGCGATACCCTGACTGCATCTAGACGATCTTGGATGTCTCGTAATATACCATAACTCGGCACCATGTAAACGTCTCCGAAGATATCCGTGGCAATAACGTGACCATAGAACAAGCCATTATGGACACCAACGACCCAAGTTCCACTGTCTCCTTTCGTTACGCCTTCATGAGAACCATTAGCATAGGAAATGTAGGGGCCAATAGCACTCACCCTTATCCTTGTCTAAACGTATAGTGAACGCTTCTACCATACGTGTACCTGGAGTCAGCAGAACATATGTAGGTTCCTTGCTAAGAACTCCTTGTAAATGCTTTCGACCATTCAGCAGACATAAACGGTGGTCTTCGGTTGATAGAGTCCTCTTGTTCCTAGGAACAAGGTCGGCGGAAAAGGCTAGGTCGGTGATAGTAATATGCCTCTGCCGTAAGACCTTGTTTGGCAGGTATCGCGCCTCGTCATCGAGCTCTATCAATGCCCAATCGAAATTACCGGTCGCTTCGTCTGTCAGGGCGTGAAAGCTGATGATTTTGCCAAATCTCGACCAGCTGAACTCGTTTTTGGTAGCATCTCCATGGCCTGTCGACAGATCAAAATCATGAGGAGCCTTTTCCGTCACAATCTCCTCGCTTGGATCCGTTTCAGAGAGGTCCATCTCGTACTCCTCGAGTGCGTCATCAGAAAAATCGCTATTGACTGAGCAAACATCTTCTGCTGAATCAACTTCACTGGTGTCGGTGTATCCAGGTATGATTGTCTCCTGTGCCGAATCAGCGAGTATATGACCTACTGTCATGGCAAACATGCGAGGAGTCAGGTCTTCGCCGACAACCTCAATGACGCCACCGATGGTAGCATATAGCTCTTCCGTGTCTTTCATTATTTTGATCGGTGTTCCACAGAGCGTTCCAAACTCCTCAATGCTGTCCCAACATTCACCAAAGGCGTCTAGTGCCTCGTTGTTGACAGTTGTCATCAGTGGACGACTATCGACAATTACTTGCAGTGAGGGAAGATCTGGATCGTTGGGTTGGAGCTCCTCCCTGACTCGTTTTTGATTGAAGTACCGCCGTACTTCCTTCGCAAGCGCTGGGTTACATAACACAACGATCCATGGTTTAGCAGAGTGCTCGTCCGTCCCCAGGCACTTGAGTCGAATCGTGATGGAGCGAACATCAAGCCTTTTGCGACCTAGGTGGAGCAGGAGAGGCTCATTAAACAATTCGGTCAGATCAAGAAATCGGTCACGAACCGTATCTGGTATGTCGTTGTCATATGGGCGTAACTTGGTCTTGCTCTTCGTCAGAAAATCGCCGAAGAACTTGCCCGCTTTGGTGGACGTGCTGTCTTCTCGACTTCCTGGGTTGCTGCTGGCGTGGGATGCATAGCCAGAGTCTACGCCGGGAGTATCGTCAGATTGAAGCGCTATTGTACCCGCAATGGGCGTGGAAGGTAGAGAGTCAATTTGGAGTGCAGAGGGTGGTGCTGGACAAGAGGTTTCGGGCGGCTCGAACGTCGCTTTGCCGCTCTTCGAGGCTTCGGTAGCGGGTTCGTGGTCCACGTCGAGCTTTCTTAGTGCGTCGACCAGGCTTTCGTCGCAAAATATTGCGGCCGGAATAGGCCGTCGACGTTCCATGTGCTCAAACTTGGCTTGAAAGCCATCAACAGCAGTTGACATGGCGCAATAGCCAATTCATGATGGTCGAAACGCAGGTCGAAGGTTAAGAGTCGCGTTTTCAGCCTCAATGCGTTGGCGGCCGCATAAAATCTCCTTCTCCCGTGACCCGTGATGCTGCTGCAGCTAAGCGACGCTTTTCAGCCCCTCGAACTCAACATTTTGGCCGACGCTGAGGCTGAGCATTTCCCTCCCTGCAGCATAGCCGTCAATGGGGCGCGCGGTGGCCCTCGGCCCCCACACTACTGTGCCTTTTGTACCTGCAAGCACCGTGCTAGGCGTCTCCCCTGTCGTCTTCGTATGCTGGGTATAAATGTAAGGTAGGGGATATGACTTGGATCCTGAGCCTTACAAACGTCAATGGGTAGACTTTTCTGCGTCATAACGACTCTAGTGAGCTTCTTCAGTCTAGTTTGACGTTACAAGAGCTTGATGGCCGCTTCTAGCTCGTTGATAACTACCCCACCCTCGGATGAGGACTTGGTCCAGCTTACCGTTTGTCTTTGGGCATGGAAGGAATGCGATGGTTGTCAGAGTCGACGCAACTGTTCCGGGGGGAACTGTCCAAAGACTCGGATGAAGCGTTTAGCTCCATTCTTTGACCACTACCGCACGTGGACTGCGCTGTACGGAGCAGAAACAGGTGGTACTGGAAATGCTCTAACTAAGCATCAAGATCTGCGAAACATCATTGAGAAACTGCATGCAAATCCAGACGTACCTCGAGCCGAACTTGCACGAATCATATTCTCCGCCCAACCAACCTCACATCCTCCATCACCCTCATTCAGCGATCGGGAGAGAGCCTTAAACCTTGCGGTACGAGTCTCGGCAATGATTAATTGCTCTGCAGTCTATCAAGATCTTGGGGTTCTTGAGCACGGGCTGTTGCGGCAACATTGGCGAGGTGATATAAGTTACAGCCAGTTTATGTCCTTATTGTTTCCACAAATCGACCATCCTACCGTCAATGAGGACGATTCCGGAAAATTGCCCGGCTTCAGGACCGAAGTCACAGCGCGGAAATTGAAGAAGCGTGCGAGGCTGCGGTTCCAGCCGACAGATGACTTGAGATGTCACCTTCAGTTCCACCGCAAGACTAGGACCGTGGACATATTTCATCACACTGCGTTCCTGAAAGAACAACTCAGACTCACAAGGGATGGTGCTGGCGATCTGTTGCTGAGTGAGAGCCTGAAGCTGTAAGTGTCATTGGGACAAGATCAGTGAGCTTAATGTTCGATGTCTGATTTGCCGTTAGAGGAGCACTGCCTCGTCAACTTATCCTCGAAGTTCTGGACTCAATCCAAAAGGTCCTCTTTCCACTCGCGGACGAGAAATCCTATGCTCTCCTGCAGTCACTCGTGTCAAGCTCTGGATTTGATCCGGACTGCCTTCGCTTTGAATCCACATCTATCCGCACGGCTGAAGAGACGAATATTTCTTACCACTACCTCGGTGCCCGCCTCGCCGAGCTATATGAGGAATCGAAGAACCCAACTCCGCATTCGTTGTTCGACAAATGGCTAGAGCGAAAAAGCAGCGCCCGGCACGTCATGCTCGCGACATTGGTCGGCGTGTTCATCGCCATCGTGCTTGGAATTCTGAGTCTGGCTGTGTCACTTTACCAGGCGTATGTCGGGTACCAAGCCTGGAAGCATCCTGTGCCGGCCAATTAATTTTCAGAGATCACAATGAGTTCGACCAAACATCCAACTCTCATGTCGACTGTTCTAGCTGTTGAAGAGGGTGGAAACTTTTGACGAAGACACATCAGTTACCAAAAATTGTAATGACCGCAGGGGCCCTTTGCGCGCCTGTTGTCTCCAAGTAGGTAACGTGTCGCGGGAGGCAATGTGATCCTATCTCCTGATGCTAGCATTAGAGCGGTGCAGGCCCTGGAGTGGTATGTATGCAGAAACCTGCCTCTGGCACTGGAATTGAAGTCGTGGCTCGCGCCAAGCGAGGATCGCCTGGGTGTGAGCACAGGGCGGCATCACCCTCGTCCTGATTAGGGGTGAGCGCGACATGACCTGACCAAGCTCGTTTAACAACGGTCTTTTTTATTACTGTCAGATATTCTTCCACGTTCATAACCAAGTTAGGGCGGGAGTATCGAGATCTTACCATCTATCGGTATATACTGGGCGCCTAACGAAATAATTCAACGTCCTCACGTTATCTTCGTAACACGTCAAGATCAATCTGTTGACAATCATAACAACCATCATCGCCTCGACTAAAGTTTAGATGGATTTTGGGCATATACCCACCATTTCATGACTTTCGCTCTCATAGAGTGACCGGACGACGCAACGACGACGAAGAAGGAGAAGACAAAATCATGAACCGCAAACAGCGTCGAAACAACAAAGCGTCAACCAATCATGGCGGCGACTCATCATTCTCGATAACCTCAGCAGACGACATACCTCTCGCACGACCACCGGACACTCGTCGCACCACGCGGGACGGTGGTAGTGGTGCTGGTGCTTCATCCGGAACCGCGCGCACAAAAACACTTTTCGAAATCGCTGCAGAGCGTCAGGCACAACTGCTCGGGGGCCAATCGGGGATCGAGAACAGTAAACCCATCGATCCCAAGAACATTGTGCAGGTCAAAATCGGTCAGGACGGCCAGATTGTCCGAGCCGATGGCCAGCCAAGTACGACATCACAACCATCATCATCATTGTTGACAAGATTCTTCGGTGCCCCTGACGACGACGACGACAGCCACACAAGATCAGAGACGCCGTGGTTCGACACGATCCTCCTCGCCACGTCCCTCTCGACCGTCCACTTCACCCTCGACGTGCTGACGGTGCACCAGTACGCGCAAGAGCTGCTGTTCCGGCCTATTTTCGCGCGGGCGGTCTTCACGGCGTTCCCGACGCTGGCCATGGTCATCGCGCTGTTCCGCGGCCTGCTGTTTCCGAGCTCGCTCACGCAGAACACGCCGCCGGCGGTGAAGCGAGGGATCAGCACGTTGCGGCAGGTGGCGTGCGTCCTCATCGCCAACGTGGCGGGATGCTACCTCGTCGCCCTGACCAACGACAAGGGGTACTACGCCGTCATGAAGGACGCGCCGGGCGTGGGCACGATCTGGGTCTGGGCGGTGCTGGAGCTGGGGTTGATGGGTGCTTTGGCGGGCGTGGGTGGACCGGCCGTATATGCCTGGTGGAATGAGTATGGAATATTCTAAAGCGACTAATAAAGATTCTGAGATTCGGATTTTGTTCAAAAGAACGACTAACGACTAACGAGCATGAGCGCAAAGTTCAAAAAAGTACACAATACCGATTATAAAAGTACAAGGTACGAGGTGCAAAAATTCAAAGTACGAAGAAGCAAAGTGCAGGTATCCCACCTAGGTACCTATCTCCGTCCCTACGTCTACCTCTTGTTTCTCTGTGTGCCGTACTGTGGGAGTCAAAAGTCCATATTGATTTTGTCCAACTGGAACAGCGTGAGCTTACATTCGCCTCCTCTGTCTGTGTTCATGGTCATGGTGATGGTGGTCACCGATCAGGATTTTCCCATTCCCTCTCAAGAGAGACGTAGTACAGTATGCGCATTGGTGTTTTAGTGAGGTATCTGTGGTAGGTCGTCGACCTCCATCAGACGATTGTGCATCACGGTGAACGAAGCGATGCCGAGTTCCGAGTCAAGCGATTCCAGAGTCCTCCGTAATCCACTTTACGACTCGGAGCGACGAGCAACTACTGTAACTTGCAAGCGTGTTACCGAGCCCGGGAGGACAGTACAGAGTGAGTGGTCGAAGGACGGCCGGTCCCAGTCCGAGTCTTCTCGGTCCGGAGTCGGGTTAGTCGGTCAGTCAGTCAGTCAGTCAGTCAGTTTAGGTTAGTCAGTCGGTCGTGGTCGGTCGGTCGGTTAGTCAGGATGGGATTCTTGACAAACATGGGGAGACACAAGAGAGAGAGGGAGACGGACAAGGCAGGAGATGCACGGAGTGGGCTGAGAAATGGAAAAAAGTAGCCGTACCTACTACTCCGTACTGTACCTAGGAATCTACTAGCGTCCTCGTACTCGTACAAAAAGGGGAGAAGGGGTAGTCATGACTCATTTGTATAAAGTCGCGCGTCAGAAGGAGGAGGAGAGAGAGAAGGAGGATGGTTAACAGTTAGTCGTACTGGTTAGCGTGTTGTCAAACGTTGTACGATGGCATGAGAGAGTTTGTGCATCGAACCACCTTGAGCAGGGACCTGCCAGGTGAGGGAGGTGTCAGTGCTCGCACAGTAGACCTGCTGAGAAGAGCCCAGGCTTAGAAGACGGACAAACATGGGTAATGAATACCCCGTGTGGAAGGGGGCATTTTCTTTCGGTGTCTTCCGGCTGCCATTACCATTTCGCGGGGTGGATGTCCTGACTGAATGAGGTTCATGGACTAGTTACTGTAGAATATACGACCATAACTTACGAGACAACATGAGAGCAATCACAATAGCCGCTGAGTACTTTGGTTCGGACGGTCATAACGCCGCCACCATCTGAGTTGTTGTATGCATTCGACTATATTAGCTCCTGCCATCCTACCTAAGAGCCGCCTGGAGGAGCAAGTTACTGCCGTGTACCGGTCGAAAGAGAATTGGAAGGCAAATTCCTCCTCCTCCTCCTCCTCCTCGAGGAGGCAGAAGGAGAGGAACGGGGGAGCAGGGAGCGGGACGAGAGAGCGAGTCGACTACATAGTCATTGGCGGGAGAGCAAAGCGGCGGGTTATTGGTCAGCCGAACGGGCGCGAAGGACGATTTTTCGGGGACTCTAATATATATAACTCTGATGATGAGATCTGTGGCTTGTACGAAAATGATATGATCGGAGAACACCGATAGACAGGCACACAGGGGGTGTCTCTCTCTCTCTCTCGGCGTCCTCAAAAGTATCATTTCTTGGGATGCGACTTGTCGCAAACCGGAGAAATCAAAACATGTCACTCTCACCCCCTGGGCCAGTGCAAAAGTCAAAAAATTTGCTCTCGTGATGTTGGGGCCGCACGAAGCCAGAAGGAAGAAGAAGTTCTTGAGCGTGTGGATATTCTGGAGTAATTATCGAGTAATGACAGTAAGCGTCGATGGAGTTCCAGCTACAGAGGCGCCTGCGGGCCGACCAGTGCCATGTAGCCTTTGTATCACGTTTGAGAAAATTTTCTCGCGACACTCGAAGGACAAGACAGTAGTAGGACGCGGATGGTGGGTTTTTCTGTTGCAGGGCGTGCGAGGCGGGATTATTGAGGACCACAAGGACAGTAGTCCGAGTTACAATACAACACCACCTTATTAGCTAAGATCCATATGGGTTACGGGGACTTCCTCCCACTCCCACTCCCACTCTGCTCCCGTGTACGCGAAGAGAAGGTCATGGCGAGATCTGAGAGACCGAGAATAACGCAATCATCTGTGCGTCGTCGACATGTCACCCTGCGGGTTCTGAAGGTCTCAGTGTGCAAAAAGTCTATTCGAGACCCTAGAATTTTCTGGTTGTTGTTGTTGTAGTCGTAGTAGTCGTACGCATCGATCGATCGATTGGATGATGATGTTCCTGATGTCCCAGGGACTCTGACTCGTGATCGACAAGGGCAAAGGAAAATCGCTGATGTCAAGGGAAAAAACTCGATTGTTCGTTGGAGAAAAAAAAGAACAGCAGTTTGCGGGGTGCAGGCGTCAAAAGGATTTAGTGAGGCTAGAAGCGCCCTAAGAGCCCTAAGGGCCCTAAAGGGATGCTTGGGGCGGTTTCATTGGGTGCCAGGGGCTCTAAGCTCGTCGCCCGCTAATGGTTCTGGCGACGCTACGACGCTCGATACGGGTAGTAGGGCTGCTAGAGACAATCAATTGGCCTGAGCGCACTGTCAGTTCATTGACATGTGCAGAGCGCAGAGTCTGCTGATGCAAAACAAAAAAAGAAGTCAGCTGTTCATCATCATGCGAAACTACGCGTAAAGAGGCTCGCGGCCCGCATGGTGCTTCAATTCGCCTCTGTGACTTGACTTTGCGCCTGTTTACTCCAACAATCCTGAGTGTGGGCTGGCTGATGTTTTCCGGACCCAGGATCCTTGCTGGCCGCACCGCCACCGCTGCGGAGGGAATGCGAGTTTGCGACATGGTGAGCACCGTGCAGGGGGCGGGATGGGCTGAAGTGAATCGGATTCACAAACGCCCTCGATCGAACGGGTGAGACAGCCGCATATGATTTCGTAATGACTGGGAAGACTGCGACGCCAGGAGCCGCAATAGAACTTGTTCAGACCCCGTAGTCGTGGTCTAATCCCGGATCGAGATGAGGTGATGTGGTTTGTGTGACTGTGTACAGCATCTTCCAGACTCTTGTCCGTCGTACTCCGCCTGACCATGCCCAACTCGAGTTTCCATTATTCACACCGTGCGTGTCAGAGCCATCACGCAAGAAACACGTTGAAACATACATAGGGTAGACGCGCCCAACAACGACCCCGTGGTTGTGATTCTTATACAATTTATTTCCTTATGGTTGACTCCCCAGGATCGCCCTTGACTTCCCACAACTCTCCCCAAGAGACTTTGATACAGGCGCTGCAGCCACCACCACCACCACACACTCCCGATCTCAAGATCCTCCCTCACTCACTCACCTACGCCAGCACGCCACCACCACTCGAGTCTTGGGCGCCTGTACCCCGCGGATATTGGCACTGGGCTGCTCCATCCACAGACTCAGGTGAGAAGTTCGATCGATCAGGTGGCCACCGACGGTACGACTGCTGTACGACGAGGCCCATCGAGCCGCCCATTAGCGCCTGTGGTTGGACCGACGCATTGGGACTATCCTAGGCTGCTTTGGGCACCTCTCGGCACCTTTAGGCTCCCTCGGGCTCCCTCAGGCTCCTCCGGCACAGCGAAGCCTCCAAGCGTCAACCCGCTAAATCAATTCTCCTCGGAACCCACAGTACAATAGTAACTCAACTGTTCGCCTGCCTGCGCCCCGCGTCATCCCAAACCCGCAGCCAATAAATCCTTCTGGTGGCTGTTTTCGTCGTCACCACAACCATCATGCGAGGTCCACGTCGCACTGTGCATCAAGGTACCGCGACCACTTCTCCTCGTCAATCCGCCACCACCGTCAACGACGTTGTTGTCGCTCTGCAACGCAAATTAACCGCAAATCATCTAGAGCCCTCCCTCAACGTCAGCCAGAGACGGCCATCCTTCTCCATGGATTCATTACTACACAAAAAAGACAAAAAGCGAGATGACTCCAAAGACCGCAATTCCAGAGAACCAAAACGCCTGTCGCTCAACATGCGGCACTCTAGCAAATCCAAAGACCGCGCGGCCCAAATGTCGCCTCGGATTGCCGCTCATCAGCCCGGTCGATTCGACATGATCATTGAGTCTCCTCCCTTGGTGCTGTATGGCGCTGTCAGTACTTCGACCGGAGCACTTTTGTCCGGGCGACTCAAGTTCTCAGTCGAAGACCCCACGGGCGAGGTGCGCTTGAACTCCTTCACCATGGTCCTAACTGCCCGCATCTCCAGCAAGAAGCCAGTCGGGAAGGACTGCAAAGAATGCAGCGAGAAAGTCGACGAACTCAAGACCTGGACTTTCCTGTCTGAACCAAAGACCTTCTACAAGGACCGAGACAACCAGTTCCCTTATTCTTTCCTGTTCCCCGGCCACCTTCCTGCAACAACAAACGCGCCACTGGGTTCGATACAGTACTCTCTCCATGCCACAGCTGTCACCTCCAACGGCGAGAAAATCTCCTACAACCACCCCTTGACCGTCCAGCGAGCTGTTCAACCTGGTCCCGACAAATCCAGCATCCGAATTTTCCCCCCGACCAACCTCACCGGTCGCGTACAACTGCCGCCCATCGTTCATCCCATCGGCACGTTCCCGGTCTCCATGTCGTTGAGCGGTGTTGTCGAGAAGAAAGGCGACACCTCAACTCGATGGCGCCTGAGGAAACTGTCGTGGAGGATCGAGGAGCACAGCAAGATCATCTCGACCCCGTGCGCGAAGCACGCTCACAAGGTCAGCGAAGGAAAGTCCATCCTGCATACCGAGACCAGGATTCTGGGCACCGACGAAATGAAGACTGGCTGGAAGAGTGATTTCGACACAATCGGCGGAGAGATCAACGCAGAGTTCGAAGCGTCACTCGCTAGCAACTCCAAATTCAAAGCCGTCTGCGATGTCGAGTCTCCTGCCGGAATCGAAGTCAAACACAACCTTGTCATTGAGCTGATTGTGGCGGAGGAATTTGTTCCCGGCAAGAACAGCCAACTGATCACTCCCACCGGCGCTGCACGCGTGCTTAGGATGCAATTTGCTCTCATCGTCACAGAACGAGCAGGTATGGGCATTAGTTGGGACGAGGAGATGCCTCCTGTCTACGAAGATGTTCCCGAGAGCCCCCCTGGATATGGAAGCGCTGACAAGAACGACGGAGCCTGGGGGGGAGCCATCATCGAAGACTATAACGGACCCGCGCTCGAGTACGAGGACCTCGAAACCATGGGTAGCGAAGGTTCGACCTCTCGACCTTCCAGTTCCGGTCTCCCCATGCGTCCTCGCATCAGTAACCGTAGGACGGATTCCGGTGAAGGGCCCTCGACTTCAACAAGACACTACGGCGGCTTTACAAATGACGAACTCAGCACTGAACCTCCTCAGTATGCACTACGAAACCCAGACGAATCGAGTAATGCCCAGAGTGGTCCCGTCGAGGATACCGCCCAGGGGGCGGCCTCTTCTGTCCAAACTTGAAGATTGTTGAACATCGAAAATTGGAATCTCGGAAGCTAAAATCCAGCCCGTCACAAGCATATGTATGATACGAGTGATGACTTACCTTACATTTTGGCACATTTGCACCTTTTCACACACTTATCTTCACTAATCGCACTTTACGACTCACGACACGAGAGACGATGTTCTTTTTATTTTCAAACATGCCTTTTTTGGCTTCCCTCTCGTCCCTTCTTTATCAGCTAGGGTTGTAACGTGGGGCTGGGGAGGCGGTACTGTCTTGTTCAAAACTCGAATGAAAAAGGAATGATACCCTCAAAGTATTGCAGCAGGCATTCTTGGGCAACTGGAGCATTGAGCATTGGGGCTCGAGCGGCGCAATTTTCTTTTCTTTTCTCTCTATTCTGGGGCTAGTGTTGGGGGGTTTATTGTTGTTTGATGCCTCCCCTATTGGGTCGAGTTTTGAGTACACAGGTTTTATCATGGAATTGGAAAATATTGTTGTTCTTCTGGGCAAGCTCTTCATGAGGTGAAATGGATGAGCCAAAAAAGAGGGGACGACCGAGATCATGAGATGGATTCTTACGAGTACCTCTGTTACTCTATTTCTCCTCTCCCTTCTCTCTTTACTTTTCTTAACGAGTGAGTTGAGCCCTCTCGTCTATCTGACGGGGGTTCCTCGGTTTGGAGACGTACTGTATATAACAGAATCAATCAATCAATCATCAAACTTGCACTTGGTATGTGTCTTGAAGATCCAATTTCCACAACTTGCTTGAAGTAGTTGAACAGACAGTAGCCGATGCTGTAAATAAGCAGAGCGATGATTCAATACGAGCGGCGACTACTACACTACACTGCAAATAATGGTGTTGGTACAATAATTACTCTTTCACTCATCAATGGGTCTTGGACAATCCCTTACTGACTGGCTAATTGACTGACTTGAGTACTGGATTCACCTTACATCATTTTGTTTCTATTCCCACGTGAGGTCAAGTATGGTTAGTTCATAACGAGTATCAAGCACTTGAAATCTAGAAGTTTGTGTGATATAATAGCTAGTTATGTGTGTGTGTGTGTGTGTGTGTGTGCGTGTGTATTCTTCAAGTCATCATTAGCATTCGACCATCATATCCCAGGTCGTCGTCTCGTTCGGCAATCATCAGCCAACAGCTGTGCTACTGACGTTTTACTACTCATCCACATCCCTAGGCTCATTCTTTGCCCAAAACTCTTCGTACTCTTCCGAGGTGATGGTGGGGAAATCGGTGGGACGGGTCAGGGGCACAAACGACTCTCCGTGCTGGGCAAACTCTTCGAGCCGCCGTCTGGTCTGCTCCTTCGACTTGTTGACGCTGTAGACCTTGACGCGGTGGCAGCTGCTCGTGACGTGCAGGCCCCAGTTCCAGGCGTTGCGCACGTAGAGCGGCTGGGTGTTGATGCTGTTGTCCCAGCAGCGCACGACGATCTCGATCCAGCCCTCGACGTCGCAGGGCAGGTCGATCTCCCAGGTGCGCCAGGCGAACTTGTGCTTGGGGCTCAGGCGGTCGTTGGGCACGGCGTACCAGCTGAAGCCGCCGTCGGCCGAGACCTCGACGCGCTCGGGCCAGCGGCCGCCGCCGCTGTAGGCCCAGCCCTTGACCTCGATGCGGCCCTCGTGCACCACGACCTGCTTGGTCCACGGCGACATGATGGCCGAGCTCACGGGCATCTCCTGGATCTGGATGCCCATGGTCGGCAGCTGGTTGTGCTTGCCGACCTGCTGGTTGAAGTACAGGTACTCCTTGCTCTGGACCGGCGCCCGCGTCGGCTGCGCCAGCGCCTTGACGCGGTACACCCACTTGACGCTGCGCGCGCCGATGTAGCCCATGACCACGAGCCGGACCGGGTACCCGTGGATCCTGGGAAGCGGCTCGCCGTTCATCTCCCACACCACCATGACCTCGTTGGCCTTGACCTTGCTCCACGGCACGCTGACGAGGTAGTTCATGACCTCGTTCTGCTTGAAGTACGTGTCCGCCCCGTAGAACTCGAGGTGCTTGCCGCCCTCGGCCATGCCGCCGCACTGCTTGATGAGCTTTTTCAGACTGACGCCCACGTACCGCGCCGTGCCGATCGCCCCCTCGGCCCACGGCGCGTTGATCATCTCGTCGCCCTCGCCCGCGTACTCCTGGATCTGCTCGATGCGCCGCGTGCCGCTGCACTGGATCGTCACGAGCTTCTCCATGCGCGGGAACACTTCCTCGTTCTGCAGGTCCGCCAGGGTGAAGGTCCGCGGGTGCTTGACCAGTCCGTCCAGCTTGAGCTCCCACTTGTCCGCGTCGATGTCGGGGATGCCACCGTGGTTCCGGATGAAATGCAGCGGCGTCGGGGTGACAGGCTTTGCCGTGACGAGACGCTTGGGCGGCTCGCCGTTGTACGGGAACTGGAGCAGGTGGAGCATGTCAGGGTGCTTCTCCTGGATCACGCGGAGCCACGACTCTTCGGGAACCGAGGTCAACGGGCCGCCGATCGCCTTGTGCCACATCTTCCACCGCACACCTTCAAGGACGGGATTGGTGTCGGGAATGGGTCCCAGTTGGAATTCCGGCGGCGGAGGAAAGTTATTGTTGATCAGAATCTTGTGGGCTTTGGCTTTCTTCTCCGGATACTCTTCCCATTCAACATAACTAACATTCCTCAGCAAAAACGTTTACAATGGACTTCGGGATGGATCCACCACCGAAGGTGATCCAGAGACCACTTACCCACGCCAACCTGGACGTTCCTCGGCGAATATCACATTCGGGTCGAAGTCCTCTGCTGCAATGTCGTCGGCCTTGGCGGCGTCTTCTTCATCCTCGCTGTCTTGGACCGGGACGACCGTCTGGCCCTTGGACATAGCATGAAGCTGTTTGAAGCGCTGCTCTGGCGGCACAGTTACGTCGAGAAGAGGCAGCTCTGCACCAGCGAAGCCTTGTTCAACCTTCCATTCGTCCGACGGCTGTTCGATTGAGAACGTTAGCTACAGCATGTAACGTAAAGCCCGTGTAGGGAATACGTACCTGGAGATGGTGAGAGATTTCTCTCATTCTCACGTCGTTGTGCATCTTGACGTATGGATAGCCGGTATTCCAGGCACACAGACAATAAAAAGGTCGGCAAGAGAATTGACTTGGGGGAAACAAATGGTGACCGTGGACAGGGAGAAACGAAGGAAGCACGAGTACCTCTGGAGGGGAAACATTAGGTAGATAAACGAGGGACACGAACATCCGGTAAAACAACGAGTGACGGTGAAATATGGGTCCGGCGTTGTAGCTGGTGAAGGCATCGACCAGTGATGGGGTACATCAAGGAAAAGCTTCCACAGAATGCTCGTTCGTGCATGAGGCTACCCGGATCATTGACAGATACGAGCATGGGCATTCCTGGCCTTTCCCCTCGTCTGGTCGTGTCGGATTTGATCTAATAAGTCCTCGATGACGCACTTTCCGGGTACTATCATCCGGAGTAGTGTTTTGCAAAGATATCAAAGCAAAACCATTTGCCGAAACGGCGAGCACATAAAAGCCATGCATTGGGTATAGGAGGATGCAGGTCGATGTGTCTTGGCCCATGTACGGGTCAAACGCACGATTCTTACTCATGGACCCGGCTGATCCTGTCGCTGGTCCAGTCGCTGGTCCAGTTCTTTTTTGAGCCTCGCGTACATCATCACGTCCTAATCGGCTTCACCGGACTTCATTGGACGCTGGACCAAAGTCCTCAAAAGAAACGTCCGGTGCCTTCTGCGAATGGCATTTCTTGCGGTTATCCAAAAAAAAAAACCCGGTTTTCTGTCAAGGCGAGCTGTTCCCGAGAGCGGTGTCGAAAAGAATAAATGATTACGATGACGGTTGCTGTGTGAGGTCTACGATCATGACGGGGTTTCAAAGTGGAGCGCGGCGGTTGACTACGCCCGGACCAAAATGATACGCACGTGATCCGGCGGAATATAGTTCTTCCTTGGCGGCTCCTCCGAGCTTAATCCTTCAGCCATTTCATCTACAACTGCTACTGGGTACTACGAGTGCGCATTGCAACCGTATGGTGTCAAACAAGTCCCCCAACGTCTTCATCATCTTGGGGGACCATTCCGACATTGTTGATTACCATGGGCATGTCTATGATATTGTTCCAGTTTTGACCGTTTCTGGCATCAAAGCGCGAGCCGTGCCACCACCCGCGATGACAAACAATGCATGCATATTCTCACCAACCCCTTCCAGGCAATCTTCGAACACATCTGACTGGTCCGTGTCAAAGACGGTCACACCTTTTCCCCTAACAGGCCTGAGCAGACGTCCGGACTGGTCGCGCCTCAATGCATTCACTCATTGTGTTCGATCAAACCAGGCACCAAGCGCTTGACCTCCTCCCAGCTATCCTTAAACCCGTCTTCTGAAAAAGGGGTGAATTTTCAACCTCAACAGGTCTTCGGCTTGGGTTCTATCCAGCCCAAAATGTTGCCTCGTATCGCAATGAGCCCCTTCCTCGCCCAGGCCCTTCTCACCTGTCGCCCTCCAGCCCGTCCTCGACCTGATTCACTCCTCCACACAAGAGAAACCGCTCACTGACGCCCCTCTACAATCCCCTCTGCAATCCCAGGGCACTTAAATGCGCCTCTGGTACGTCTCTCACGACTACCCAGACCCCTAACCCCGGCGTTGCGGCCTCGGGGCTTGAAGTCCGGGAGCCTGACCTCTCAAAACCTTGTGATTAGGTACTGCAAATTCGCGTTCAACCCCTTCACACCGTTGTCCTTGTAAAACTTCGTGATACGACGGACACAAGATGACCAGGTCCCAAGTAACTTCGCGTAGCATATAAAGTCGACTCCTTCAGCTACGGTCCCTGGTGCTTGAATGTCCGGCACGGCAACGAAGGTCAGGCCTCCCTCAGCACAAGCTTGTGGGTATCTATTCTCGAGAAAGCTGGGCTTTTGGATAGAGCCTGGACGCTCCCACCTACGGGTCAGTTGTTCTTCAACAAGAGATCAAATCAAGGACATGGGCCTCCGCAAAGCCATTGGGGGCCCGTCAACAGGACTAGAGGTTTGGTTGTAGTCACTTCTTGACCGTTCGATGTTCCTAATGTCTATCGCTGGATCGTTTGTTCTTTCTTATGGTTGGAACCGTTTCTTCTCGCTTACTCTTGGATTCTGTTGAAATTGAGGTGATTACATGGACGGGTTCAAGCAAGTAATGGCATTATTATATAAGGTAGGATTCTACCTTGTATCTGCCAGGCCCATACTGTAAGGTACACGCTGAAGCATATCGTGCATATTATAGACGGCATGAGCAGGACACACTTGATGTCAACCGTCTCAGCCCAAGAGCATCTCAAGCTCCTCAATACGTCTCTTCTTCCGTTCTTCTTCGCTTTGGCCTGCACCGGATTGCCCGACGCCTAGTGAGCCCGCAACGGCCATTTTCCTCTCTTGAACACGCAACATCCTGCCTTCAATACTTTCTCTGGTGACGAATCTTACAACTTCCACTTTCTGCGTCTGGCCCATTCTGTGCACGCGGTCTATAGCTTGTGCCTCGACCGCGAAACTCCACCAGGGATCCATCATGTAACAGCGACTTGCGGCAGTCAAGTTCAAGCCTACACCACCTGCACGCAGCGACAAGAGAAGAACTCGAGGAGCTTTCGGGTCCGATGCGTTCTCGGCGTTGAACGATCGGATCACCTGGGCACGGATCTTCTGAGACATTGTCCCATCGAACCGGAGATGTTCAAATCCATGCTTGGAAAGTTGTGGAGCAATGAGATCAAGAAATGAGGTGAACTGCGAAAAGACCACTGACTTTGTCCCTTTTGGCTGTTTGGACAAGTGGCTTAACAAGGCCGCAATCTTTGCCGACGTCGAGGCCGTCGGTGAGTAAGGATGCAGCCTCCGTAAAGAGATCCTTGATGGCTTGGAAGCAGCAGCATCGTCCGCTGAGTACAGATCGCCTTCGAAATCCTTTGATTCGGACTGGCTGTTGTCGTATTTGACCACTTCAAATACGTCACGCGGGTTGATGTTTTCGCGGCAGGAAAAGCAACGAGGAGACTCTCCTCTTTCGGTCTGATGGGTGATATATTTCTCGAGGCAATCTTTACAAGCACTATGCCAACAAGTTGTGACTGCTGGGTTGATCATTGGTTCTTCGTAGCACAAGGGGCATTCGCCACTGGACTCATCCTGGATCTGCTTGAGAGCGTTTGTCGTGAACGTTGTGATCGGGTCCTTGTTTTCCTTCTCTGCCGAATCCGTGTCGTTGGTGAAGCGATCGATGAGATCCTGGAGGTCCATATCATCAGCGAAGCCATTGACATCCGCCGCAGCAGCTACAGCTGCATCCTCTTCGTCTGCAACGATATCCTTGTTCCTCGTCAATACGGGATGGCAACACGACTGGCGAAGACGCAGGATTTGGGCGAAGATGGTGGTATACGACTTGAGCAAGGTGCCTGCGTGTAGTGATTCGTTGAAGGCACGTTTTGCCCGAGTGAAAATCAGGTCGTAGACTTCTCGCTCGGTCTTAGACAGCTCCACCTCTTCCACCGTGATCGTTTTCGGAGGCAGAGGTACTAGTGCTTCTCCTTCTGGCGTCTTCATATCCTTAGTCCGACGGAGCACTAGGGGCTCTAGAACTGTTTGGACAACGTTGAGCGCCCTCGCAATATCCTTCGACTCGAAGGGCACAGTGATGAAGGTCTTCCAGAAGGAGAAATTGCTCCATGGCTCGACCTTGAGGAACCTCACCAAACTGAACAAATCTTCTAGGCGGTTGACAATAGGAGTTCCAGTCAAGACCCATCGGTGCTTCGCCTTCAGCTCGTAGCAGGCCTTGGAAGTCTTTGCTTGCCTATTTTTGATAGTATGAGCTTCATCTAGAATCACTCGATGGAAAGCGACAGAGAACAAGCCTCCATGAGACCCGCGGTCACCTCCAGAGGTCGTGATCTGACCAAACTCGGACAAGACTGTACCATAACTGGTAATGATAACATTTGGTGCTGAGTTTGCATTAGCAGCAGAACAAAGAGTTTGGAGATTGACCGATTTCTCGCTGCCGTAGTATAACATGGTCTTCAGGGTGCCTGGCCTTGAACACTTAACTGCCTCACTCTCCCATTGAGCAAGCAACGACATTGGTGCCACCACCAGTGTAGTGCAGGGTGCCGGTTCCACCACACTTGACGACTGTGGTAGACGTGGTAGGTGGTTGACTGATGTGAGAGCTTTGTCATTGGCTTGGATGTCTTCTTCTGATCGGTTGGAATGAATGAGACTATAGATCTCGATGGTCTTTCCGAGTCCCATCTCATCTGCTAAAATACCCCCGAGACAGTTTTGCTCTTGTACGGGAAATTCAAGGCTGATCTCGCCAGAATACAGGTTGACGTAAAATTTATCCTGGCCCTCAACTTGTGCAACTGGCTTGTCATCCGCATCTTTCGTTGGCCAAGTGTACTCTTCCCACAGAGGATGCATCGATTGTTGTTTGGATGATTTCTCATCTCGTTCTTTTCTGAGCATCCAGTACAGAGCTTGTTTCTGGTACTTTCGCAGCTCAAGCGCAAAGGTCGAGGCAGGCTCAGCCTCAGGCGTGTTGAAGTCGAATGATTGTGCTTTCTGATAGAGGGCATCCAGTTGGTCTTCCTCCAATTCTTCGCCTTCTTCCTCGTCTTCGGAATTGGGGTTTGATGTTTTGCCTTTTGAGGTCTTGTCCTTCTCATACTGCTCTGCCATTTCTGCAGCTCTCAGCAAACCTTGCTTTTTGTGCCTAGCCGTGGTTTCATTTGTTGTAGTGGGAATCAAGTTGACCTCTTCGAAAAGTTTGACCAGGCCTACCTGTCTCAAACGAAGATCCCTCTCCTCGCCACTTTCTTTCTCTTCGAAAAAGCCTGTCGCTCGATTGTCATCCTTCGGTGCCACAAAAGCACTTGCTTCGAAAGCGGATTTGAGTAGATAGGCACGTAGTTGGAGATAGACGGTGTCATTGATGCGGACACGGTCGGGAGCATATACACAAGTTCCTTCAAACCAACATACTTTCTGGTCTATCAAAGACGACACCCAAGAAGCAGTCTCTTCGGGTAAGCGACCCAATTCCTCGCCTTTGGCATTGGTGAACCTAGTCACCACATCCACCTTTTGATTTCGCCCAACCAGGGGCACTAACTTGCCACCTCTGCCAACTTTAGTTTTTGGAGCGAGCTTAGTTCGATCTATTCGGACAGCTTCGCCGTGGCCTAATAGATTTGTACCGCTTTTGGTCATCCATGCCGCAACTCCAAATGAGCCGACGTATCGTTCTTTTGGCATTGAACGCAGCAGTGCCGTTTGTGAGGTCGATTCGCGGGGTATGACCTCGTTCCTACTCGGCGACGTCTCCGGTGCCGTGTTGGACGCGCTGAGCCAACCTGCAACCCCCTTTGGTCTTTTGGAGGAGTTACTGCCATCGGGACCAGTCTTCCAAGAGCCGTCGAAGTACATGTTGATGGCTCGCTCCAGGTCTCCGTGTGCCGCAGTCTGCACTTGGTCCACAACATCTTGACTGACATTTTCGCCAATAAACGCACGGAAGGTGTCTGCGTCAAAAGTGACGGACTTTGAATGTTCGTTTGGGGTCTGTAGGTCCGCAGCGTCTGTTTGACTTGACGGCTGGTCGAGGCCATGAGAAGGAGTGGCGGAGGTTGGTCTGCTGGAGGCGTTCACCGAGGACGAGGCTGAGTCTTGCTCAATAGCCTCTTCATTATCATCGACGAAGAAGCGTCTTCTCTTCCGAGGCCTCACCTCGACGTCCATGGGTGCGAACGGCTGGTTGGTGTAAATGTTAGGAGGATTGTAAATCGAGCCTTTGGGCACCAAACGCGAACAGACGCGAAGAGAACGAGGCGCGCTTGCACGTGACCAGCACTTTAATTGATTGTCCAGATTTGTTCCCAAACATTTTTATGCCATCTCCACGTCACATAAAAAACACTGGACCCGACATACTAATGTGATACAAACGCCATGAGTCCCTCGGAATAACCTACAGCAATGGGATTCGATGTCTGATTCTCTGGCATAAATGTTTGCAATGTTTGGAGGCCATATCACTTCTTAGCATCCACTTCTTGACAACAATGTCGGGGCTGGTATTGGAGAACATGTCCATCGCCTCTTGCTTCAAGCGAGTTTCAGCAACAGTTGGACGGACAACCGCACACGCCCGCCGCAAGTTTACAGCTACAGCACAGTTGAGCCTGTCGATAGAGCATGATTCTCCAGACGTCAAAAAGGCTAGTACATACTGCCAAAACCTGGTTAGGTAAGACGAGCTCCTGACGAGCAATGGCTTGTATCGTGGTTTGTATGGCTAACAGCTTCGCAGAAACTATGATTCCCCTTCATACACCCTGGCTCATTTCGTTCCATCACACATGCTTCCTGCATACTTTGCAATCCGAGCGTTCAATATAGAGCTGGCAAGGATACCAGACGTGGTTTCGATGCCGCAAATTGGCGCCATGAGAATGCAATTCTGGAGAGATACGATCAACAAGACCTTTGAGCTGACGCCGCCAATGGAGCCAGTGGCTATACTCTTAGCTTCTTACCTTAACCAAGGCTACAAGCTCAACAAGTCTTGGTTCCAACGCATCATCTCGACCAGAGATCGCAAGTTGACGCACCCCGGATTCACGAGCATGACAGAGCTGGAATCGTATGCTGAATCCACCTACTCCACGCTTTTATATTTGAGTCTGTCCGCTCTACCTCTAAATTCTCTCACCATGGACCATCTGGCTTCTCATGTTGGCAAAGCTGCTGGAATAGCTGCAGTTTTGCGAGGAGTGCCATTACTGGCATTTCCTCCACCTCCCAATCAGCACTCAAACAATCCCCCAGGGTTGGGTTTGCCTGCAAGTCGGGACAGGCAGGGCGCAATTACACTTCCTCTAGATGTCATGTCCCAGTGCGGCGTTCGGGAAGAGGACATTTTCCGAAATGGAGGCGACGCCGAAGGTCTTCGAGATGCAACATTTGCTGTTGCGACTCGTGCTTCAGACCACCTCATAACTGCCAGGACCATGCTCAAAAACATTCACCAAAGTCGTGATCCTGGTCATGAGTTCGAACATTTGAATGACGAAGGCCATGAAGACAGCCGATATGATGCAGATGGCTCAGCGTCCGCCGATAAGAGCAAGCAGGAAGTGGAAGAGGGGTTTGGCATTGTGATGGGACCCGCGGTGAGCACCCAACTATGGCTCGACAGGTTGCAAAAGGTTGACTTCGACATATTCGACGCAAGCCTGAGGCAAGTCGAGTGGAAGTTGCCTTTTGTCGCATGGTTACGGAGAAAGAGGGGCCAACTTTGAGGTCGGATGTCATGGAATGTAATGACCTGTGAGGTTGTTGCACAAGAGGGTTACTTCAAACCTGCCAAAGGTAAATCAAGCTTCCATCGTGTTCCTTCGGCTCCTGCTCAGAAGCATTCCGTCGCCTTTCCTTCCGAGTATCGCTTCCAGTGCTCCAATGAGGGCCTGAGCATCGTACAGCATGACGCCTTTGGCGCTTTTCCGACCATATAATTTAAGGCAATCGATGCCCACAGCTGCGAGGCGCTCTTTGTCGACCTTCGGAGTTCCCTCGCCGTTGAGATGTATAACATGAGTGACATACTGCCGATATATCGAGTTCCGTTCGGCTCTCTGCGTCATCTTAAATGAGCTACCTGGCACCAGTAAGTTGCCATGAACACCGGCGGACAAAGTTGCCCTCGAGGTCTTCAAGTTGTCGTCAGAGCATGACTTTCGAAGTTCTGGCCTCCAAGGATTTCCCCGAGATTGTTCGCATGCCCGAGCAATTGCTTCCACGAAGTCAAAGGCAGAAAAGGGGTCGGAGCTTGGACCGGTCTCCCGGTCTAGCGAGCCGTTTAGAATGAGGATCTTCTGTCGAGCGGGGCTGGAGTGCAATGCTTCGCCTACGCCTCGGAGGACGATGGATGGTACAACAGAAGTATAGAGCGACCCTATGGAATAGACAATCGCTTGCGCGTGCTTGACCGCTGAGAAAACTCGTGGATTGGCTGGTGGAAGCATTTCTTGTCCGTAGGGGTTAATATACCATATGCGCTCAATGCGAGCGGGGAGATCTTCATCCTCGTCCTTGCTGAAGTTGATGTTCTTCTGACGCAATGTTGGAAGTGTGCCTGGGATGTTTGCATCTTCAATATCCTCGCTGTGATCAACGCTGTGATGTGTCCTGGCCGGGATTGGGGGCCCATCGCCAATTATCGGCATCGCCAGGGAAGTGGCAGCTGCAGGATGAGAAATGTTATTCTGGCCAACAATGACGTCTCCATTGACCAAGCCTGCGGCGATATGGTGGGAGAAGTTAGAGTTGATGCTAGGTATGACATGCACTTCTTCCGGTATGGCACAGATGCTGCTAAGCAGGTATATGGCCGACTCGAAACTACCACTGAATAGTCTCGCGCCGGTCAGGAAGAGGTTACCCACGCTCGCTGAGGTGAAGTCAAATGGTGAGGAAGGCCTTGAACGTTTCAGGATCTCAAGATTCAAGAGGTTGAAGAATGATCGAATGAGTTCCTTCTTGGCTGAAGGTATTCCATGCCATAGATCAGCCGCTCCAGAAACAATCAGTTGCCACTCGGCCGCAGCATCTACTGAAGACGTAGATGACAGGCGATGGTTGAAGAGCTGTGAGATGGCTAGGCGCTCAGGAGAGGAAGGATCCGTTGGTATGAGTCTGACTAGGCGACTTCGCACATCACCAATTCCTGGGCCACCAAACACTCTGATGAGTTCTGAAGAGGAGCCGCCGTTATCGCTGATAGGGATGATATAGCTGAGGGGGCATGCTTTATTCTCACGCACTGCTTCGAAGACGTCGACGAGGCTGTTCGCGGCGCTTCCACCTGAGAAGACCACTATACCTTTACTGTGTGTCATCGTCGACCAGTGACTGAATACTGCAGGAACGTTCGGTGGCAGAAAAGGGAGTGCGACCCTTAATAACGACGTGACGAGGCTCGGCCTCGCCAGTCTTGAATCCGGATATGTCTCAATATCTGGATAGTGCTGTCGGGGTGGCTGATTGCGGAAAGACAACCGCGAGTGTGCCAACCACCACACAGGTTCAGGTATAGCCTAGTGAAGCCCACCGAAGCCCCTCCAAGTTCATGATTCTTAGGGGCCGCAATGCCGCTAAGATCGCTTAGTATTGGGCTCGAAAAGCTTAGCATTCCTCCCCGGAAAGACACCTCACTAGCCCCAGAAGACCCAATGTCGCGTGTTTGAAGGCCCGTCTAAAGATTTCACTAGGTTAAGATGCTCACCAATTCTCGTCCTGGCCAGATCCTTCGCAGCGTCGCAACCCTTATCAGCCGATCCCAGCCCCCATACCTCGCTGGCTTTCCCCTGCGTTCTTAAATTGCGAGGACAACCTCTTCTCTTCGCATCTATGCTCTTGCGACTTATCGAGCCAACGAGAAAATACGCTTTGGGCGGTCATGCCGGCCATCCCAATGCCTCACGCTGGTTCGCATATCCTAGCTCACCACAGAGATTCTGCAGAGGGCACGGATCATCGGCACTCGAGAGAACGACGAAGATCGCGAGATGTGGAAGCTCAAGAATCCGAGGGAGACCATCATGTTCACATAAGAGAAAAGCCAGAAGGGGGAGCGCACAAACAGCCTGAAGACGGGACCGAGGCACCTTTTCATACTCTACATCGTACAGACACGGTGAACTCGAAGTCTACTATGCGCAGACGAGGCCGGTCCAACACAAATACCGTCATGTACGGAGCACATGACATGGGCAGAACTTCCGGTTGGGCACCTGGCTTAGAACCTGGGATTGACACGAGCGAACCGGCACCGCCTTACAGTGAAGGTCATCCTACGTCAATACACTATGAGACTTTGAAGCAGAGGTGTGAAATTACAGTGGTTGACTTCAGCAACCAGGCAATGTCGACATTTGACCTGGATAACGATAATCTCGAGGAGTTCCTGGCAAGGCCTATCGAGCCTTGGGCTGACGTCCGATGGATTAATGTCAATGGCTTGTCGTGGGACGTAATTCGGCTTCTAGGTAATCACAAACATCTACATCCACTTGCGATCGAAGACATGATCAACACCAAAAACCGGACGAAGGTCGACTGGTATAGCGACCACACGTACCTAGTCCTGCCTCTACAGAAACTCATATACCTGGATGAACGTGAGGAATATGAGTCGTCCGACGAAGAGTCCTCCGAGACGTCAGGTTCGATCAAAGATCAGGACTCTGAGTATCACGCGCGAATTCTCACCGAACGGCGCATGCGTAAACGTTTGAAAAAGAGGAAGGGCGCCATCGTGTCTCTTTGGGACGACATCTTCAAGCCCAAAAGAAGGAAACGCGACTCGAACACCAGTCCGCCAGGCTCGTACAACGAAGAGATCAAACCGTCCAACTCCTTCCGACATGCATCCAAAGTCGAAATACCATGGGCCCCCAAGAAGGTGCGAACCATGCAAGGCTATCACTCTGGCCCCAACCAAGACCGCATCGACTTCATGGAGCGCCACGCCGTGCTACGCGACCGAGGGATCGGCGTATCGATGGAGCAGGTGTCAGTATTCCTATGCGCCGATAACACGGTCATATCCTTCTTCGAGTACTCGGCGCACGACGTCCAGACGCCCATCATCCGCCGCCTTCAGACCCCAGGCACTATCCTGCGCCAGTCCGCCGACGCGAGCATGCTGGCCCAGGCTATTCTCGACGCCATGATCGACCTCGCCATCCCTGTGACGACAGCCTACCAAGACGCCATCGGCGACCTGGAACTTGACGTGCTCACAGACCTGGACCTTCACGAGGCAAACACACTGTACATTCTCACGTCGGAGATTGCGATCCTTCGTAACGCCATCGCCCCCGTCGTCCAGCTCATTGGCGCACTAAAAGATCACAAATCCGACGCCTCGTCTGCCGCGGCGGCCCTCGCCACCTCCCGCGTGCCCACGCCATCCATATCATCCGCGGCGAACAACAATCCCATGTCCGCGCCCACCTCCAACGGCAGACCAGCCTACGCCAAACAGCCTTCGACATTCTCCTCGGGCGTGCAGATTTCTCCACTCAGCGTAACGTACCTGGGCGACGTCGAGGACCACGCACTCCTCATCCAAGACAGTTACGACCAGATGCGTCGCTCGGCCGACAACCTGGTCGATCTGATCTTCAACACCGTGTCCGCGTACCAGAACGAGAGCATGAAGCAGTTGACCATCGTGACCTGCTTTTTCCTCCCGCTGAGTTTCCTCACGGGCTACTTCGGCATGAACTTCGTCCGTTTCGACGGCGTCCAGCACCATTCCGATGCCTTCTTCTGGATCATCGCCTTGCCCGTCAGTTTGGTTGTTTTCATCCTCTTGATGAGGGACGTAATGGCGCGCTATATAATACGGTGGGCGAACAGGACGCTCATCGCGAGAGGCCGGAAGAGGAGGTTACAGAAGCATTGACATTGACATGACAAGCCATTTCTCCGTCCATTTTGCTCTGCCAGCAAAACATGTTATGAGCAGGAAGCAAATGTATTTTGAAGATCCGCAGTACAAACCTACCTAATGTATAAACGTATTTACTCAAGTGGTGTACTTGAATCAGGTCCGCATCATTGGTGCTGAGCACCTAGTAACGGCCTAGTATAAATCTCACAATTCATGGGTACCTACCTACCTACTTGTCAGTACCATCTGCCCACTTGGTTCCGTAATAATAAGTCACCAACAGACAGAACAGCCTCACAGCATCACACGAAGCAAGGCAAGGCCTTCTCAACTATAGTATGAAGGGAACAATTTATGCCAAGGTACAGAGCAACAGGTATTTAGAGCCGTAGTCGAGCCGTCGTCATGCCATCATGAATGCACTACTGGGTATCATAAAAACAAAAAAAAAACACATCTTCCCCGAGAAGACAATCAACCTATGATGTCTGGTCTGTTTCCCTCGAATGGATCGGCACATCACAAACGTCCATCTCCAATCCTGAAGTCATGACCATGTACGGCAAGGAAATTGCGTCTTGAGGGCTCAATCTGCCTCCATAAACTCTGCCCACATTAGTGCCTCATCCTCGTCTGAGCTGGGCGCACGTCGTTTCTTCCCCGATCTTCGGTTCTCCTTCTCCGCTGTCTTGTCTTCATCTTCTTCTTCTTCATCATCGCTGATGGTTTCTGCCTTGACCAACTTCTGTTTTCCCTTGTCGTCCCTCTTTCTCTTCTTGACCATCAACTTCAACTCAAGTGGCACCAGCGTCCTCGTCTGACCCGGGGCATCCTTGATATCTAGCGGCTTGCGACATACCGGGCACACACCCTTGACTTTCCGGCTGGGCGGGACGTCTTCTCGTCTCTGCTGAATCGACCAATTCAAAGTATCTATGATGCAGCGGTGGCAGAAAACATGACCGCAGATGGTCGCCGTAGGATCCGTGGGCGTGTCCATGCACACAGGACATTTGTATGCTGTCAGAGGTGTCCGACCTGCCTCCGTTCCTGGATTTTGCGACAGGATCGCATCCTCGCGCTGTTTTGCCAGGGTCGCTGAGAGTGTAGCGCTGTCGTCGATTTCTGTAAGGTCTACCGACTCGATTGTCGGGTCTGTGGAGGCCGACGGATCGGGTTGTCTGATTCTCCTTGCGGAGGAAGATGAGGAAGAAGGAGGAGACATCTCGGACCGGGATTGTTGCGGCTGCCTTTGGGCACGTTCTCTGGTTCTGGCTTGCGTTCTCTCCCAGTGCGAGTGATTTTCTCGCTGGCGATTGATGGCTTCTTGATCGACGATCGCTTGTAAACGGTTATGGTCGGCTTGCAGATGAGGCAGGCGAGGAAGCGGAGGCATGTGAACGGGGAAGAGTGCAAGGATAGGTTGGTCTTCGTTTGCGTCTGGCACATTCGAAGGGTTGTGGCCGTAGACTGGTTGATCAAGTGTGTTGAGCCTGCTTGGTCTTTGGGCTGAACTTATATCGTGAGGATGTGTCGTCCGAGAAATGTAATGTGCTTCTGGTGAATTGCTCTGCGAACTGCCCTCTGTGAAGTCGCCTGCAAATCCCTCGGCTTCACCCGGGCCTGGCCGTCGTGCTTGATAAAATGCGTTCTGTGCCACTTGCAACGCCCAATTCGCACTCTCCAGTGCTCGATTCACGTCTTGTACCGTGGCTTGGTAATTGGCTTGGATGGCTGCTCGAGGTAGTGTTGCCTGTCTTCGAGGGGTAGAGTCATCTGACATAACACTGAAAAAGTCACGAAACAGTCTCGGAGAAGGAAGACGAGGAGCCTGCGCGGGTCGTTGTGGCGGATTGTGAGAGGAGCCAGGATGGAGGACTCGGTGGGGGCTTTGATCAACTGGGTGGCCGGGAGGAGAGGGTATTAGGTCGCCAAAGGTGGTCGTGGGAGAACTCATACTGAGTCTGATATGCTCCGACTCACATGGCGGTGTTGAAAGAGCGCAGTTTGACGAAGCGATCAGGGTATGAAGAAGGAGAAAGGAGTGTGAGAGAGAGAATGAGTATGTGTCGTTGGACGTAATGATGACCACCAGAATTATTAACGCTTCTCCGCAGTTCCGACCGCCACCATCTCGATCATGGTACGGAGGAGGAGGCAATAATTTGGCCTCAGACTCGCGTTTCAATTGAGCAGGGAAAATCGTGCCCGTGATCACTGAGACCTCTACTCCCCTTCTCTGTTGATATACATTCTTCTATCAACGTGGCCCTTCCTCTGTCCCAGGCGGATACAGAATCATGCACCAGCTCTCGAATCCGCCGAATTCGACTGTCCTTACCCGCTCCCATCCCAGATGCAGATAGATATCCCTCGCATGCGGACTCGAGGTTGTAAGCCACACAGGTTTGCCGTCTACGGCAGCTCGATCCATCGAAGGTTGCAGTACAGCCCTCACCGCACCAGACACTGCCGGCTTTCTCGGATCACGGCCAAGCAAACCTAGATACCAGTACTCCTGGCCATGCTTGGACCAGATCAACTCATCTCTAACCTTGTCGTGCTCCAGTCCAAGGCCTTCTATCGAAATCTTTCCCTCCAGCTCCGATGCTTCACTAGACCTTTTGGGTTCTTCGTGTGAACCTGGAGGGAACCATGCCGCGTATGCTGCAAAATCGCCCGCCTCTGCAATGAAAGCACCAGCCTCAACTCCGGAGGTCAGGAATTGTTTTATGATGGAATGATACGCTGGCAACAGCTTCTCCTCCAAGGCTTCCTCACTCTCCTCGCTCGTGTTTCCGAAAACCAAAAGTCTCCAGGAGAGATTCGGTAACATTGCGTAGGCCACTGCCCAAGACATCTTTTCGACATACTCCTCCGAAGTGCTAACCGTCACCCTTGGTAGTTCTCGCTTCATGGTCTGGTTCTGTTCTTCTGATTTAGTGGGAGTTGCAGTCGTCCTTGTTGGTGTTTCCTCTGTCATGATGTGAAAACACTGCGGAACAAGTCGATATATGTCTAGTGCCGGCGAGAATACGTAGAAGACGCAAGGAAAAGCTAGAACACTGGAAGGATTGTAACAAGCTTGCGGAGTGAGATCTATCGAGCAAACACTGAAGGCACTGCGCCCGAGAATAGGATACTCTGCATCGCAGGCATCATCATTCTTCTCCCTTCAGCAGCAGCAAAGTTATAGAGATACGCAGAGATCTACCAGGTTCAGGCCACCAGACTAAACCATGAGTGGAATAGCAGCACATGGGAGATGAAACCTCGAGATGTGGTACAGCACAGTTGTAGCATAGTGTTGGAAATGTTCGATGAGGTCTCTCCTCCCTCCCCTTGATGAGTGTGTTCTAAATGCCAAGCCGGAGATGTGTTGGTAGCATCGTGGCCGTAAAAAGATCGAGGAGAGATATCAGGCTTCTGAGAGTTCTTGATATCAGCAACCCGGGCCACAGAGGATAACTAACCAATGAATTCGCCATTCACTCTTTCCAGTGGTCGCGGGGTTCTGCGCTTGACTCTGTTCTACAGGTCCAAGCGGACGAGCACAATGGAGGAGCTTACCGCGAGCCAGCAACTCAATTTGGCGCCATCTGGACGCCCAAAGATAAGCCATCCTCTGATTTCTTGACTAATGCGGTACTCGGGATTGGACTCGAGGCAACTGTCCACCATACTCATGACAGCAGTGTATCTCAGCATGTGCCATGTCAACCTACTAAGGCGGTGTTGACGGCTCAATCAGGTAAGAGAGACTGTCATCAACTAACCACGAATACCTCGAGTGATTCCCACGTCTTATCGAATATCGCGCGCTCCCATATCTTCGAAGTATAACAACATACTACATAACCATTGGGCACGACGTGCTTCCAAACCCTCGACTTTAGTTATTCACGCCGGGCCCCATTACTCAGTGAATAGGACGCAAAAGATCCTCCAGGTCCCAGGAACACTTACTCGGCGTCATACGAACAGAAGTCTGAATTGACCTAACTAAATTACAAGGAGAGTCTCGAACAACAAGACTTCAAAGCAAGCGAGCGAGCGAGCAAGATCACCACGTCAAGATGGGACGGTCTCGAACTCTTGAGTATCCCAAGACAGCAATCAATAAAGTCAACCGGTACAATGTACGAGGTGAGGATATATCCTTGATCTCCTGGACTCGAATTGGAACAGATGGCCCCTCGTTGAACCTTCATTCATTCGTGACTCCAGTGCCTGACTGACGGCGGTCCATTTTACATTATGTATAGAAACATACGACCTCGAAGCCATCCACACCATCATCAACGAAAGCACATATGTCAACGTCTCGTTCAATACTCCGGACCCGTCCAACCCATTCCCCGTGACTCTGCCGATGATCGGGGTGGCCGCGAGCTTCGACCACCCGTCGTCGTCCCTCGGTGAACCGCTGGACATCTACGTCCATGGGTACGTGAGCGCGCGACTGATGAATCTCTCTCGCAAGCCCGGTGGCGCCGCCGCGGACTCGGAACCCGAAGGCCTCCCGGTGACCATCTCGGCGACCAAAGTCGACGGCCTCATCCTCAGTCTGACTCCGTACACGCACGACCTCAACTACCGCTCCGCCATGCTGTACGGCTACGCCACGGTGGTGACCTCGCCCGAGGAGAAGCTCTGGGCGATGGAAGCCGTCACGAACACCGTCGTCGCCGACAGATGGCGCCACACCCGTGTCCCTCCCGTGTCCGCCGAGATGTCGGCGACTTCGATCCTCAAGGTCAAAGTGGTCGGCGGCAGCGGCAAGATCCGCGTCGGCGGACCGCGCGACGAGAAGAAAGACACCGACCAAGCCCAGCTGGTGGACAGCATCTGGACCGGCGTGATCCCCGTGTATGAGCATTTCGCCGACCCGGTGCCGGGCAGGGACAACAAAGTAGACGCTGTGCCAGACCACGTGGTCAAGTACGCAAAGGAGATGAGGGAGCGAAACCAGCGGTATGCCATGGACGTTATCAATGATACGAGTCAGGACTAAACGACCCATCATTTATCTCGGCTGGTGAATTGGGAGCGTTCAGACCACTACGGCGAGTACGTTAAGCCTCTGCTCTTTTTATCTGGGGCCTCGCACGTACGGAGATTCGCTCGGTTCCTCAGTCAGGGACATGACTGGTGTATTGCATCCTAGCCCAATTTATGATGTTTGACGGTTGATATCTGATGTTTGAATTGACTTGTTCATCCCCGAGTATAGAAAGGCAGTGTGAATTACATTGGTACAAGACCACCGCCGCCACCACCACCACCACCACAATAATAGATTCCTTGCACTGTATTCCTCCTGGCCGACTTCATCAACAGGAGTCATAAGGAGGGAAAGTGGCCCATAGATGGAGCGCACTTTAAGTCATATCTGCTTGTTCGACACCTCTGTCTACTAACCAGCATTACGATTTTCGCCGCAACTCCTTTAAATGCCCAAATTGACCATGGATTGAAGGTAGAGATGGCATCCAGGAGCGATTGAGATGGGGAGCGAGTGACGGGTGTCGCGCCATTACGCGTACCACGTAAGTGGCGGGTTATGGATTGCACGTCTCAAGAAGCAATTCTTCATAGTCCAGGCGCTCTTCCCTATTCTTGCAATGTTCTGGATCAAATACTGCACGTGTAAAAAAAACAGTATGCGTGCTTCGAGTCAATAGCTGTGACATGATATTATCTACGAGAATTAACCTGCCTCAATTGGCCATGGAGTGATGTCCGCGGTGCGTCCTCTGGAGCATTGAAGGTCGTTAGGGGTGTTATTGATCTGCGGATTTGAAATTCATATAATGAACATTGGTACCTCTTCCAGTCTTGATTTCTTCTTCTTTTCATCCTCTAATTGGCGTGTGCGTAGGCGATCCTTGTGTTGTCTCAACATTGTCCGAGGTCTGCGTGTGCCAGAATGGCTAAAAGCAGGCTCAGCAGTCGTCACCTCGACACTCGCGGGTGCATGAGAAATAGGATGGACGTTTGCCCGCGCGTTGCGCTGTTTTGCAGTCGTTGCCACAGTATATTGCGAAGAATTCTCGATAGCTGTACCCGACGTAGGCGAGGGAAGACGAGTCGACATATCATAGTCCCATGTGGTCGGAGGCTTGCCCAGTGCGTTTCTTTTTGTGCTCAGGTCATCGCTTTCTTGGTCTCTGCCAGAAGAGCCACTGCTGGTAGGTCTGGCAAAACCCATCCCCGCTTTCGTGTTGCTGGAGATCTTCTCCAGCCCCAACAGGGATGTCTTGCGCTGGTTGCTACCTGCCATCAGCGGAGCAAGACTCGTACCCGACCACGGATCATCTACTGTGTCTTCTTCTTCGTCGTCCGGAGCGGAGCGACTCAACACCTTCTGCAATGCTTCTTTTTGCCTGTGCTGCAGAGCGTCCGCCTTTAGTCTCTGCTTGGCCTGCTTCGACATCGGAGAGGTCGGTTCTGGGAGAGCTTTGGGGGGTGCTTCGCGCGCTTGTCTAACCAGTCTCTTGTACTCGGCTAAATGAAGGTGTGCGGTGTAGCTCTGCGCGACAGTATTGAACTCGTCTTCAACCATGATATAGATGTCGTCTCCGTCATAGCCTTCGTGCATCAACCTGTATAGTATATGAGCAATGCAAGTCACCCTGACAACTCCTTACTCACTCGCTCGACGGCGGTGCTTTGGCAGGCGACGAAGCAGGTGTTCCATCTAACTCAAGTCAGCTCGAATTTGCAGCGTGCAACTTTGAAAACTAACCATTTTCTTGCTTCGACGGGGTGGCATTGGGCAGGATATTTCCTGGCGGCGTGTCCAGGGTCTCGCCCGCTCTCCCACGCGTCGGAGAAGAGAATGGTGGCTCTGGATGGGGCCCTGCCGAGCGAATTGTACGTTGCCTTTTGGTAGACGGTGCCTGATCAGTTGACCATGGTAAGGTGCGAGCCATGCCGCTGAATGAATTGCGAGACGCGGTCTGGGCAGAATCAAGGAGGATTGGCGCGGCTCGGAGTGTGCTCAGGAAGAGCTGCGAACATGTCTAACACGGCGGAGATAGTTGGGAACGCGTAGGGTGTCGATTGTTGTTGTCTGGCGCAGTAAATATCACAACGTTGGCAAACAGGTGAAAAGCGCCATGTAGTCACGGCCACAGACTGGGATCAGCCTTGCGTTGCGGCAAGGCTGTAATCTTATACCCCGCCACACTCTAGGTGCCTAGTGAGTCTGGCCGCGCTCTTGCACGCCGAGAAGTTATTGCGAGAATGACACAGAGGCGTTGAAGCGAACTTCGAGCGAACGAACAACTACCGTGATCTAGAACTCAAATATTATACATTCTGCTGCAGTGTCGTAACAGGTGCGGGTGCAATTTCGTGCCTCCACAACGCCGAATTTTGGGTATCATAACTGAGAGATAGGGAAAGCTGCGAGCCAACCAATCCCCCGTGAACTCCGTAGCATGCAACGTTCAATAGTCGTCATAATAATCATCTGAGGCCGCTCTGAAGCCTCTCTTCAGTCGTGTAATCCAGGATGCAAGTTGAACCTGTCCCACCTCATGTCGACAGGTTTGTAATGTTACCAGTATCAGGCCTCTCCGGGTTTCTTAGAGTTGCAGCTGACAATTTTGACCTTGTCGGCCTGGAACTCCTGCCCTCCATCGCTCTTGAACTTGACGTTCTTGACCAGGAAAGTCCAGACATCGTCGCAGAATCGATATGTTTCCAAATGACCCTATGCGAATCTCAGTTGTGTTTGATGGCACACGAAGCATCCTTGCGCACCTTGAATGTGAGTCTGGATTTGACCTTCTCAGCGAGGTTGTCGGCTATCGCGCGGTCGAAATTGGCTAGAATCTTCATTGCCAGCTGGGGTTCAATCCGGCCATCATTGATCAAATCATCGATAGTGTCAATGAGCGAGGCGCCGATGCTGCATTGACAAGTCAATCGCCATCTCAGCCACGAAGCAAACTTGAAAAGAGAAGGCGAAAGGCGAAATCAAGAGCAAATTGGCTCAACGATATTGGATTAACCCACCTACTCCCGCGATAGAGCTCATAGTATTGTTGTGCTGCTGCCGCCATCGTTCCGTCGCCTCCCGCTCAATTGTCGACAAGATGAAGAGACGGCTTTGTCGCGATGTGAGAAGAGAGTTCGGTGGGGAGCAAGTGACTGGAATGGTTGATGAAGAATTGTGACAGCAGGATAAGTGAGGTCCAGAATGATCTGAGAAAGTCACCAGCGGCGCAGGCAGCCTGTATGCCCGCTATTGGCTGGAACCGACAGGGCCAGGTCTGACCAATGATTGGCTGCATATGCCCTCTCTCCCTACGCAATGCATTCCACCTGTCCCAGCACTACTACTATGACTTACGTAGTGGTAGATGATGTACTTGGGCGTGAAGGAGACCTCAAAATTGCTGTCACTGTTCGTATTGTAGTCACTTCATCTACACGTAACCCTCGCACCTGATGTTGAGGAAGACCATGTCTCTGCTCCGGATAACAACTTCTCCACAGACTTTTGCATGCGGTCCTACGGGAATCACAATAGCACGGTTGGCACACTCCACGGCTGTATCAAGTAGTGTCAAGCAGAATCCTTCAAAGCCAGCAGAGCCGGATAAGAGCAACAAACCCCCGGAGACGCCGAAGGAGTCTCACAAGAGCATGGCACAAGCCGATGAGGAAATGCGTAACATAATGGAGGGCCTATCTGGAGATGGGGGTGCTTCTGGTGCGGAACTGGAAGATGGAAAGCCAGTTGCAATGAAGCGGAGTGTCAGAGAGAACATGTTCAGATATATCTGACACGTTTTCACGTCGACAAAATGTGGCCGCCGAGAAGGAAAAACGGATCTCATATAATCAAACGAGAATGCCATTCCGGGGTATCATGCAGCACAGCAGAATCAGACTCACCTCCCCAACGCCATTCTTGTCAGAGAATGTCTCATTTGTTTCCCTTATTGTACAAGTCATTGACATCCCCAACGAGATCCCTGACCGCACTGCCGCCCGGGCAATCGTACCACCTCCCACCATCTCGAATACACCGAACCTTGCCCGCAAGCCTGACGGTACAACTCTTGGTAACATTGTACTCTTCACTTCTTTCGATGCTGGACCGAAGGAGGCCAATACCTTCACCCTCATCGCTTATGCAACCATTCAATCTGGAGAAGTCGATCCCATGCTCCATTGCGCAGCTCTCGACCAGGTCTCGTTTGGGAATATCAGGGTAGTCGGAAATCATGCAGTTCGCAAACCCGAGCCAGATCTTGACGTCTGGAAAGACCTTGGCGGCACAGAGGAGGATTACGTTCCCGAGGCATTCAGCGGGGCCGTGTTTGCAAGAGACTTCATCGGATTTAGGGTCGACGCTAAGAGCGGATGAGCAAAGAATATAGCCATGAGTTTAGCATAGAATACCTTCCAATAAACGACATGGTAAAGTTGACTTTGTCACTGATTTGCACCATCGTCGGCAGTATCAGTTCCCGCAGGCAATCCCTTGCATCTGGGCATTTTGACATGACATGGATTTCGAGGGGCACCTTTCGTGATTCTTCGACTACAGCCACTTGTGACAGGGGCTTTGCAGGGTCATAGCGATGATGGCAGACAAACGCAGCGCGAAAGAGTGAGATGAGGACCACTAATGTTAAGATGGCGGGTATAGTGCGTCTGATCCAGTGCCGCTGGGGAGCAGATGTCGCTGCTTGTGGCTGTTCGTAGCTGGGTTTTCCCAGAGAAGGGGAGTCCAGAACCTTTTCATCCGGGAGGCGAGAATACCTGGAAGCCATGATGAGAATCCAATGAAGCCGTCGGAAGGAGGAGTGCCCTTGAGCAATGACCGATGTTGTGTTCACGATACTGTTGAATCCCATGTGGCAGCGGGCCACCCAAGCTATGACAGGATGAGAGGGGCCTACTAAGCCCCCGACAACGGCGCCTTAAAGCGGCAACGGGGCTCAATGGTTTCAGGCAACCGAAATACGAGGGCAAGAATCAGGTCGTTATGGGATTTTGACTCTGCGTGTACCGAGTAGGCAAGTAAGACTGCCATCTTGCTTTCCCGTCCCCAAAGTAAAAGGCATCGGGCGTGGCCTCCACATGCCATTACCCAAGATAATACTGTACACGTCTTTGGGATCCTTTGTCCGTATTGTTGGAAAAAGAAAAGGAGACACGGTCAAGTACCTTGGAACTGTCTGGCGTTCCTGTTCTCCGTCGGCATCCGGCACTTTTTCTGGCGAGACCTCGATGTGAAACTCCCATTTATGTAAGGCATGTGTCTTGTGCAAGGTCTCGGCGCCCTTCTGTCCGCTATCGCAGGGCTCATCATAGAAATGGGTCACCAGCGGTCATCTTGACGCCTAACAGCCCATTGGCATGTCAAATCTGTGCGCTGTGACTCGCCTGTGCCTCTTCGGGGCGGCTCTTAGCTTGCCCATCCCTTGTAGCCATGTGGCAGGAGGACTTTAGCCTCCAAGTGGGCAGCCTATGACTCTTCTGGTACTGTATGAGGTGCTGTCGAGGTGCAGGTTCCCCAGTTATCACGTTATTAGTTGCCTTGATGACCGTCGTATTCGTGACCTCGGCCGGAGGGCGTGCTTATTGGTTCGCAGGTCTGTGCGATGCCGGAAGGACGAGCTTCAAACACCTGGAATCTAATTGAGGCTGACTAGACTTCCTTATGTGTGCTCGATTTTCCTCCCTTCTCCCCAGCGTCACATCCGACTCCAGGGTGACATCTGCCTGGACCATGAAACCGTGAATATTGATCTTCTGATATCTGAGTCACGCTGCCTCTGCGAGATCTGAATCTCAAGAATACCCCCAAACCACAATTATAGATTACACAAAGAGCAAGATCCCGGGGCCTTTGTACTCTGTGAAGTCGCCAAGTGTTTCAGCGATTCGCCTCGTTCGCCAATGCTGATCTGGATGCCTTGCACGTGAGCAGCCTTCCCGCCTCTCACAGCCCTCAAGCCCGCCACTTCAAGCGTCCGATATACCACAACAACATGTCTGAACGGGCTTCGGCTCCATCGGCCAGCAATGGCAGCCCGCCGCCAGACGATATGGCAGCTGAGCTCGAGTCTTTTGTCCAGCCGCTGCTTATCGACGATGGCGTGGTTCATGACTTGGCCTATCAGTTCTCAAAGGTTTACCAGGAACTTGCCCTCCACTCCGAAGAACAATTTCTCCCGACGCCGGTGACTGAGCTACCTTCGGGCCACGAGACAGGTCAATTCCTCGCCATCGACGTCGGCGGCACCAACTTGCGTGTCGCTTTCATCGAGTTACTGGGTGATGCTGATGACCTTGCATCGTCCGCCCAGGGCCCGGACAAGTCACGTGAGACCATCAGAAACGCACAACGACCGCGCGTGCGGCGGACTTTAGAGAAGGCCTGGCCCATTGGTGAACATCTGAAAATGGACAAGACCGAGGATCTTTTTGCCTGGATTGGCGATTGTATTGCGGAAGTCGTGGGGGACCGACTTGGTTCAGATATTGGCAGAGTCGCTGTCCCCGAGGAGCTCCCAATGGGCATCACTTTCAGCTTTCCCATGAAGTGAGTACCGGATCCAATGAGTGGGCAGGCTGGCTTTGTGTATTCTAACACCTGAATTAGGCAAGAGAAGCTCGACTCGGCGACACTGATGCCCATGGGCAAAGGCTTCACGATAACGTCCGACCTGGATCTAGGTTCCACCTTGCTGCAAGGCTACGCTCGACATACTAGACAACAACAAAGTAACGACTCCTCCCCACGAGCAAAGAGGAGGAAACTTGGTCCGCTCCCCCGACTGAAGATTGCTGCCATCACCAACGACACTATTGCAACTCTTGCATCATTAGCATACAGCGTCAAGTCGTTGCCAAATTCTCGCGTTGTTGCAGGCATCATTGTCGGAACCGGTTGTAACGCCACGGTTCCCATGAAATTCTCAAGCTTGGGCGCGGCTAAGGTTGACCCGATCCGCAAGAACAAGCCAGAAGCGACCCAGACCGTTGTCAATACCGAAATCACAATCGCTGGAGCCTGTGGGCCACTACGATCCATCACAACCGAGTGGGATCGTGAATTAGACGCAGCTTGTGCACGGCCGGGCTTCCAACCTCTTGAGTACATGACTGGAGGTAGGTATATAGGAGAGCTCGTGCGCATCATATTCTACGACTACATGACGAGAGCACATAAGCCGCCGGTTCCATCAACCTCACTCCCCGCTACTATCGTCCATCCATACAGCTTCACAACAACCTTTGTCAGCGCGGTACTGGGACGAGCACGGTCGGATGCAGAATTAGCGGGAGACTTGAAGCGTCGAATTCCACCGCCAGAATCATCTAATTGGGGATGGACGCTACATTCGGCTGGAGCCTTGCGCAGAATTGCGCATCTCGTCCAAGTCCGTTCTGCGGGACTCATTGCCGCCACGACTGTAGGCCTCCTTGCTACCGTCGGCGAAATTGCGTTGTCCGAACCAGGCAGCCCTGCCTCACTTCCTGATGCGGTGTTCACATCAGATAGCAGACCTTCATCTCCAAAGAACAGTCATCTAGCGCTACCGTCGAATGACGTGCGCGATGGGCTCTCGCCTGCTCCAGGTGCCACAGCCTGGAAATCGGGGCCGGAAGAACTGGTCATTGCTTATACTGGAGGAATTATTCAGCATTACCCCAACTTTAAAGAACAATGTCAGCGATTCATCGACCGGCTCGTGATGCGAGCAGGTCCTCAAGACGGCGGCAAAAGTGTATTTTTGCGTGAAGCTCGCGACGGTGGTATCATCGGCGCAGGTGTTTTGGCAGGGCAACAGGCTTCGTTGTCGTCGCGTTAGGCCCTAAAGATGGCGGCAAAATCATGACCGTAGAAGGGCTTCAATCGCATTGCGTATCAGCTGCGCTCCTGCAATTGACCTACGCATACTGCAAGGGTATGCAGCGGTGACGATTGCAGAACCTCCTCATCTGCAAAGTCATGCAGTCTTTATTTCTGGCAAAACTCCGGCGCGCACCCTTGGGATTTGGGAGACCATTGGGCAGAAAGCATTGTGCAGGTTGCTGAAAGGGATCATTTCGGGAGTTAGTTGCTGCCATTTACGAGTCGGATTTGAGTTGTGAGCACCGAGAACGAGAGAACAGGGATACCTGGGCTAGTTGGACGTGAAGAAGCCAATATAGCCAAAAGTCCACGTAAGGTAAAAAGTTTTGGCATTGATGAGGGCTTACGGGAACCCGGAGCACAGGAAGCTCGCCTCCAAGAACGCGAAACAGGAGTGCATAAAGAAATTTCGAATGCCTCACAAGGATCCGGGGGCTAATAAAAATGTGAGTGTGACTGAGGCGAAGTCTGGAGTTGCGGGATCAGTGGATCGCAATACCTCGACTTCAGGGCTAGTGCCCACGAGAGGAGCCTAGAGGCCAGAGCCCACCAGCCTGGATGACCTCTAAAAGCGGGGGAAGTTAGTGGGTGAAGCAGCCTAGGCTCTAGGCGCACCAGGCTAGGTTCTGGACTTGCTCTAGGCTACTGTATGCTGTCTCCCCTGTGAAACTCAGCACCAGAACGTGTTCACGCAGTCATCTTGAGAGGTAGAAGTCATGCTGTAGACAGGTTTGCAGATACAATTCCATAGCGGTCGTACGTGTGAATTAGCAAAAGAAGTTCGTACGCCGTACGAGTGCCTCGTACAAGTACTTCCTTCACAATGTCCGCAAGAGTGTTTGGTCGAATCGGACGTGATACTGTTAATGTCAAAAGTCTAACAGGGAACAGGACACTAGGCCGTCATCCGCCAACCATATGCGGAGCTCGCTGCGCCTAGAGAGCCCAAGGATCAGGAAACATATTGCTCGGTCCTCCGGCAAAGGCAAAGCTTTGGCCACAACAATGTGGTCTTTTCCAGGGAACGGCTGGGGCGGGCTAGACTCGTGTCCCATGACTTTGAGACGTGGCGCTGAAATCGCGCGGTGTCCGGCCCGGAGAGGAATTTCGACAAGGTCAAATCACAATCTGAGGCTGCTGTACAAGGTGTAGATGATCTCAGCATGAGACAACATATTCTGTTGAACCGTGAACGGAGCGTGAAAGAAGAGCAAAGTGTGCAGCGAGTGGCCTGAGGCACGAGGGAGAAATGGAGGCGGGTATATTCCGCGAGCCACTGATCGGAGATCCCTCAGGTACAAATGTCTTGGTACTCTATTGCTCCTCGTGCTCCATACAGGCACTGCATCAAGTCACAGCACCCCTGAGCCAAAGATGGCCAATGTCCCCCGGGTGCAATTGGTGGCGTAAGGCCAGCAGTAGCGCGCTAGACAGAGAAAAGAGAAGAAAGGGGAAGCATCACAAAAGGATGGGTGTACTGTACTTCGTGTTCACACGCAGGAGACAGAGCACACGAGGGAGCGAGGCCTGGATCGAATTCCTGGACCCCCGTTGCTGGGAGCCACGTTGCGAAGCTGCGAACGAGTGGGAGCTCGGAAGTAGAGTAGGTTCGACAGTCGAAAATGTCTTTGTGCTTCTGTACATACAGTACCTGGAAGGCCTCTGAGAGTCATTTGCAGGCCAGAAAAGAAGAAGAGAACCTCGAAACAATCTCCACCCTCGACGCTCTCGATTCCATGGGGCCAAGTTAGCACAAGGTTAAAACCCAGTCGAGGCTCGTCCTTCTGCCGTCAACCCATCCCGCATTTTCGCTTCTCCCTCGTTCTCATCCTTACTAGTTTCCTGCGCTCTCCATTCCTTTTCAACAGTCACCACACTTTCACTTAATTGCTCAACACCGCACTCTCCTAAAACCCGGCCATCGTCACCTTCCACTCGCTTCTGTCTCGTCTACTACCAACGATTTATACTGAGGGAAAGTACAGACTCCCGCGAATACTTCTCATCCCCCAACCCCAGCCGCACTCTTTGTCTCCGAGACCTCCAGTCAACCACAAACGGCCGACCCCTCGAGCCTGGTCATGCGCATTGTCTCGCAAGATCGCCTTTGATGGGCGGACCCCGGCAGCTGCTCTCGATCCCGCAGTCACTTATCTCACGCTCACACCCGTCGCCGACAATGAGCCCTATACCAAGGGTTCACCATGTCTTGCATACCCTGCTGCGGCGGGCGGATCAAGAGGTCACCAAGCCAACCGACCCGCACGGCCTGGTACTCGAAGCATGGGCTGAAGGCTTCATGATCGGCGCACTCATAATCATGTCCTGCATAACATTGGCCAACATGCGTAGAGGGGTTTTACTGCACAAGCTCATTTTGCTCGAGGTAAGTGGTCTCGCGGCCCGGTCATGAGGAAGTGGATAGGCGCTGACTCTCAATGCCTACTCTCAGCTTGTCCTGGGCTACTGGCAAGGCTTCTTCATTCTATTCGACCCCCCAATTTACGCCTGGTGGCTCTCTGTCGCTGCCATCTTCCTCAATATCTCGTGGTCCCTCCACAATGTCATCGCGTGGATGAAGATCCGACCATTCCTGAACAAAACTGCCAGTCGAATATTCATTGGCAGTGTCATACTCGTCCAGCCCTATTGGGTGGTTGAGATCTATGCCAACTTCACATACTTCCATAACGTCAACACCGTCTTCCTCAAGACGAGGCCCTGGGAAGCGCTTTGTCGCGACCCCTGGTGGGTGCTAGCCGCCTGCATCCTATTCTACAACATCAAAACAAAATACGACCTTACTTTGGTACAGATCGTCCGCATCTCACCCCGGTTTGCAGTCATGCTGGGCGCAATGATCCTGAGCATCTGTTTCATAGTCCTCGATGTGCTATCCGTCACCTCGGCACTCAAGTCTGCCCTACCAGTGGGGATCAATCCTTTTTGGAAACTGTCGTTCGTCTTCAAGTGTCTCACTGATTCCGTGGTGCTGGATGACTTTAAGACGGCCCTGGATCGCCTAAGGGCCTTTAAGATGACTCGGTTGGGCAGTTTCGCCATGGACGGCGCGGATGCTCGGACAAAGCAGCATATGGAAGACGTCATGAGGGCGAACAATTGGTCTTCACCGCCGCCATCATCGGGGGATCGGGCTCAACCCGCGAGTCCTTTGCCAGAACTGCCAAGGAGTCCCGACGGTGATTATATCAACCCACCGTGGGAGGAACTCAAGCCTGGCCCGACGCATCACATCGAAGACGAGCGGTTTGCCGCCGTGGCAAGAAATGCATCAAGAGATCGCGACGCAGAGGAAAATGGGTTCAACGCCATTGATTATGCTGACCCGCAGCGAGAATCCAGCGATGCACACATATTGCGACCTCAACCCAGCTGGCCTGGCAGGAGGTCATCCGATGAGACCTCTGATGCTGACATCGAGTATGCGATGGCCGTAAGGCAGATGACTAATGAATCAATGGAAAAGGACCGGAAAAGAGGCAAGGGGACAAGAACTTTTCGTAGCGCGAGATGACCATGATGAAAGAGTGTCACTTTTTGGCAGGACACCCCTGTTCTTCCTCGTGCTTGCAGATCGTCGTCTAGTGATGGGCTCCAATCATTTTGGCCGCTTGGTATTTCTGTCATCCGAAGAAAGACACAAGTGTGCGTGAGCATCGCGAGATCCGTGCGCAAGTTTCGAGGGCGCGTGGAGTATGACGATTTGTGAATCTCTGCAAGACATGCAACAGCACAAGGTGGTTCATCAGTTGTCTGGCATTTGGAGAGACGACCAAGCAGCGCTATCAGCCGCCATTTGCTGGAGAACTGGCTGGTTATCTGACCAGAACGTGATGTTCGCGCGATGAATGCATGACGTTGAGACGTTGGGCCGGGCTTTGCCTTATGATTGATTGTGATACCCCCAGCGGCTGGACAACTTATAGCGAGACCATTTGGGAAAATAATGAAATTTATCACTGGCCTCTCCCCGCTATACAGGTGCTCGTACTTAACATCTGCCTTCCGGTGCAGACATCTCTTTGCGTTGCGAATGTACGATTGCGTGGCTCAATGCTTCCAAGTCTTGAAGGCAAACCCCCTCGTGGCCCCTTTCGCTCGGAGAATTTGTCTGATCAGGGCGCTTTAGGCTGCCAGCTAACGCCATATCAAGCCTACAGTATACCTCCCGAAGCTGTGTCGTGTTAGCCTAGAGCGCCCTGAAGAACGCCGGGCGTAATAGGCTTGCTCTCACTACTCTTGTTGGTTCTGTCACATGCCATCGCTGCCATTGGCGGACGACTGCGGCCTCTCATTCGGGCTTGGCGACGGGCTCATTAGGCGCCTTCCCTGTGCTGGGCAAAAGCGACGCGTTTCCTTGCGCGATCTCCAGGTTTATGTATCCGCAAACTGACAGTCGACATTGTTTGTGCCACAAGAAACGATTTCATCCATCCCATGACCCCCCTCTATCATCAGCATTGCACCGGCGTTCAAGGGAATCGAGGGCCAATGCCGGAAACGTCGAATTTGTCCTGCTTGTTACCTTAGTCCTGTCGCCATGGGGGATGTTCTCTCGCCCACTGCTCCTAATGGGGCTTCCGCACCCGCTTTGGTAGAGCCAGACCCTTTGAATGTTCTCGAACACATCGCCAGCCTTATCGAAATCACACTCGGTGCTGCGCGCAAAGAACTTGAGGCTGTGGGGAGCCTGTTATCCAAACCAGACCGGCCAGCTTCACTTGAGAAATGTGCCAAATTTGCAAGCGATTCGCAGGTCACCCTGTTTGCGCAGAAGGATATCAAGCAAAGCCAAGTCAACGGCCATGATGAAAACTCAAGTCAGTTCATGGAACGCGGTATGCAGTCTCGTCCTAACTATGTTGTAGGGCTTGAGCACAGCTACACACTTTCGTCCGAGTTGTCACCCTCCTCGACGACAGTCGCCTCGATTGCCCTCCTCAAGCTGTCGGGCCCCCTTGACGCTCGGAAGCCTCTTGCGCATCAGATTCAAGTCTTCAACCTTCCAGGCTCTTATGCTATCGATGGCGAAGTAGTCAGCAATACCGAACTCGCCTCACCTTATACCGTAATGTACTCCCTGCTCCATAATGTCCTTGGCCCATACTTTGATGCATATACAAGGAGAGGTGGTTCTGGGACCCGAAGTTGGTATGATGCCCAAGCCAAAGGTGGTGTGCCTGGAGCGAAGAGACGAATGATGGAGTTGGAAATAAGCCTCCTGAACTTACAGCAGAACACCGATATTCCGCTCGTTCATCTACCCCTTCACGAGGTCGTGGTAGATACCTTGCAAGACGCTGCGGCCCAGGGGGTCCAGCCCACCGTCCAGCTCATTCCTACGCAAATCTTGGAAAACACCACGGTGCAGAACAGTCTTACCAATACTGTCAACGGATGGATCAAGTCAATACAAGCCCTGACCAAGCTTGCAAAGGACCTTTCTGGTGCTCAAGCGACTGCTGCTCAAGAAATAAACTTTTGGTTGAACCTTGAATCCGCCCTCGCCAAGTTGGGAGATGAATTGGAGTCGCCGGGAGTCAAGTTGACCATGGACATATTAAAGAAGGCGAAACGGCAGCAGCAGGTTATTGGATTTGACACTGACACGGGATTGAAAGAGGCCCGGGATATCGTGCACAACTACAACACCCTCATGCGTGATTTCCCACTCGACGAGCTCTCATCTGCAGGTTCACTGGAAAAGGTGGTAGATGCCCTGGACTCTATTTTCGGCCATCTCAACAAAAAATGGAGGGTTTGCAATTATCCGATTCGACGAGCACTTAAACTCGTAGAAGGTATCTCTGCAGAGTTGAACACCCAAGTGCATAATCTACTTCAGGGAAGATCGATCATGTCTTCGAGCTACAAGGACTTCCAAAAATTGATGGAGTCCGTCAATAAGGTGTGGGCAACTTGGGACGATCACCTGAAGAGCTTTACTGCAGTCGCGCGCGAGATTACCAGACGCAAGAACAACGATTTTGTTCCCGTGAAGATTACGTCTCAACATGCCCAGACACAGGAGCGCCTACGGTACGTGAACCAGTTTCGCAACAATCACGAACAATTACTTCAGACGATTGTGAATGTCCTCGGAGTCAAGTCGACCGCTCCTGGCCAGACAGCGCCTCCCGATGAAGCCGGGACCGCGATAATTGAGGAGCTTGGTGATGTTGATGCTGTCGAAGAGGTCAACGCCGCGTATGAAGTCGTCAGGCATGTAAACGTTCTCGATGTTTCAGAAGATGGTACGAGAGTCTGGGTCGATGCAGAAAACCAGTACACGGAGAGGACATCTCGTGTTGAGGATTCAATTATTGCCAGACTGAGAGACCGCCTCGGCAAAGCAAAGACCGCCAACGAGATGTTTCGAGTGTTTGAAAAATTCAACGCACTGCTCGTCAGACAAAAGGTTAGAAGCGCAATAGCATCTTATCAGGCACAGCTTCTGGACAACGTCAAAAGCGCCATTGCAGCCCTGCACGAGCGGTTCAAGCAGCAATACGGCGGCTCAGAAGCACAAATGATGGCACAGCTACGTGATATTCCTCCTGTAGCTGGAGCGATTCTTTGGGTACGACAAATCGAATCACAGTTGGATGGCTACATGTCCAAAGTCCAAGCCGTTCTTGGAGAGGACTGGAAGCTCCACACAGACGGCGAGAAGTTACAAGCTGAAAGTAACATGTTCCGAAAGAAGCTCACCACCCGAGATATCTACGAAGCATGGCTGTATGATGTCCAATCAAGAGATATCTCGGTGACAGGGAGGCTCTTCGTCATCATGCGCAGCCGAAGTGCTAACGGAGCGCTGGAGTTGCACGTCAATTTTGACAATCATGCCATCTCTCTCTTCAAAGAAGTCCGAAATTTAACGTGGTTGAACTTCCAGATTCCGCATCGCATCGCTACCACCGCCAAACAAGCACAGAGAGTATATCCGTACGCGTTGAGTCTGATGGAAAGTGTTTCGGGCTACTTCTCGACAGTTAGGACCATCTTAGAGATGCCAAATATGGCCCCTCTAATGGCTGGTTATGAGAGAGAAGTACAAAATCTCTTCAGCACCGGCGTGAAGTTGCAGTGGGATTCATTTATCCATTCGTACGAAGTGCATATCAAGGGAAAGTCTACGTCGAATGACTCTGCCCATGTGCAATACGTTCGTGACTTGGCTACGGCTGTTACGGTATTGCAGAGCAAGACGGCGATCATTCGGGAGCTCGACCAGAAGATCCAACTAGCACTTTCGGAGATGAAGACATGCCAATACTCAGCCAAATCCTTTCAGGCTCACATGGACACTATACAGAACGCCGTTGACAAAATGAATCTGGAAAGCTACGCCAACTTGTCCCCCTGGGTAACAGACTTGAATTTGCAGCTCCGTCGAATATTCCGGGAACGGTTGCAGCATGCACTAAAACATTGGACGAGCACTTTCGTCTCTCGAGACGGGCATGACGGAATGCAGCAAAACACCGTCGCACCGGAGGATGCAATCTACCATGTTGATTTCCCGCAGACCAACATTGAAATCATCATGAACAATCAGACCATCTTCGTCGAGCCCCCTTTGAATTTTGTCAAAGCGTCCTGGGTAAACCAGTTGGAAGACTGGCTCGATGTCCTGTGTCATCTGCCTCAGATCACTCTTCGATATCAGGTAACGGCTGACGCTGGCCTAACACAGACGTCCCTTACCTATAATGATTTGCCTTTGGAGACCGTCGAGACACTGCTCACAGCGTACAAAGCCATTGATTCGAAAATTGATCAAATGTCAACCTACCTCGATGAATGGTACACATATCAGAACCTTTGGGACCTGAGAAGCGACCAACTGCACGAGACTTTGGGCGACGACCTCGGCCAGTGGCATCAATTACTTCAAGAAGTTCGCCATGCGCGATCGACGTTCGACACCTCTGAGGGCCGAAAAGCTATTGGCTCTGTTGTCTTTGACTATGAGCAGGTCCAGTCAAAGATCACTCAGAAGTACGACAACTGGCAGGACGAGATCACGAGAAAATTTGGTGGTATCCTCGGCAATCGTATGGCAGAAGTGTTTAACGAGATGAAACAATCCCGGCAAGATCTCGAAAATCAGTCCCTAGAAGCATCCTCCACAGCGCAAGCCGTAGCATTCATCACCATTGTTCAGCAATGTAGGAGGAATGCCGCCATGTGGGGTCCTGAGGTCGAGATCTTCCGTCAGGGTCAGACCGCGCTTTCCAGACAACGTTACAACTTTGGCACTGATTGGCTCTCTGCTACTCAAGTCAGTGACGAGTGGGATGCCTTCGAGGAGATACTCAACCGCAAAACCAAAATCGTCGAGGATCAAACGGATGCCCTACGGTCCAATGTCATCAACGAAGACCGTGCCATTAGCGGTCGCATAACAGACGTCGTCGCTCAATGGTCAGAGGAGAAACCTGTATCTGGAACTATTCCTCCAGCAGAGGCCGCTGAAGTGTTACGGACATACCAGGCACGGATGGAGAAACTTCAAAGCGAGGCCGACACAGTTGCGAGGGCCAAGGAAGCTCTTGCTCTTCCTCAAACCAAAGACACTGCTCTGACTTCTGCGCTCGAAGAAGTCAGTGACTTCAAGTCAGTTTGGTCAGCTCTTTCCACGATATGGCAGAGTATTAATGACCTCCGTGACACGTTATGGACAAGTTTACAGCCACGAAAACTCCGCCAGTCCCTCGATGGCTTGGTCAAGATGACCAAGGAAATGCCCAGCCGGATGCGCCAATACGCTGCGTTTGAACACGTGCAGAATATCTTGCGTCAACTGATCAAGGCAAATCCTCTTTTGACCGATCTGAAATCCGATGCTATTCGAGAGCGGCATTGGTTAAAGATCTTCAAGGCTCTGAAACCAAACAAGCGGTATTCCGAGGTGTCAATGACGTTAGGCGATGTGTGGGACCTTCAACTAGTTGCAAGCGAAGCCACGATCCGAGACATCATTGCTCAGGCCAGGGGCGAGTTAGCACTGGAAGAGTTCGTCAGACAAGTGCGCGATACGTGGCAAAGCTATCCTCTGGACCTGGTCAACTACCAGAACAAATGTCGCCTTATTCGCGGCTGGGATGACCTGTTCGCCAAGTGCAGTGAGAACCTCAATTCGTTGCAAGCTATGAGACACTCACCGTATTACAAAGAGTTCGAGGAGGAAGCGTCTGCGTGGGAAGACAAGTTGAACCGTGTTCATGTTCTATTCGACGTTTGGATCGATGTTCAGAGACAATGGGTTTACCTAGAGGGCGTATTCACCGGCAATAACGATATCAAGCACCTTCTGCCGACTGAATCCAGCAGATTTTCCAACATCAATACCGAATTCTCTGCCGTGATGAAGAAGGTATACAAGTCTCCATTTGTCATGGATGTTCTTGCCATCCCTGGGGTTCAGAAATCACTGGAACGGCTCGCCGAGCTCCTGAGCAAAATCCAAAAGGCTCTAGGAGAATATCTTGAACGCGAGCGTGTCTCATTTCCTCGCTTCTACTTCGTGGGAGATGAAGATCTTTTGGAGATCATTGGCAACAGCAACGACAGCACACGCGTAGCAAAACATTTCAAGAAAATGTTTGCAGGCATTTCTGGAGCTGAAGTGAGCGAGGATAGTACGATTACAGCCGTCACTTCGAAGGAAGGAGAGTCTGTTGCCTTGAAGAAGGAAGTTTCTCTGATCAAATTGCCAAAGATCAACGACTGGCTCACAGCTCTCGATAACAGTGTCAAGCACACCTTGGCGGAGTTACTTGCAGAGGCTATTGCCGTATTCCGACCGCTTTTCACCGCTTCCGAACTTGACCAATCGATGTTCCAAGAATACATGAACATGTTTCCAGCTCAGATCATGATTCTGGCTGCTCAGGTCGTGTGGACTGACCTTGTTCAAGAGGCATTGGAGGCTGCTGGTCATGGTCTAACAAAGGTACATGAGTTTGAAGTACGACTGCTCGAACTGTTGGCGGAGAGCGTCCTACAGGATCTTCCTGCCCTGGCTCGGAAGAAGTGCGAACACTTTATCACAGAAGCTGTACATCAGCGTGACGTCGTTGCCAAACTCATCAAAGCTGAAGCTGCCTCACCTGGGCATTATCTTTGGATCCTGCAAATGCGCTACGTCTACAGCCCCAATGCTGAATTGAAGAGCCGGCTACGCATCGAGATGGCAAATGCTGTCCTAGACTATGGGTACGAATACCTGGGAGTACCTGACCGCCTCGTACGGACACCACTTACCGACCGCTGCTTCTTGACTTTGACGCAAGCACTCTGTCAGCGTCTTGGAGGGTCTCCCTACGGTCCTGCGGGTACAGGTAAGACTGAGTCTGTGAAGGCCCTTGGTCTTCAACTGGGCCGCTTTACCTTGGTTTTCTGTTGCGATGACACGTTCGATTTCCAAGCCATGGGTCGTATCTTCCTTGGCTTGTGCCAGGTAGGTGCCTGGGGGTGTTTCGACGAGTTCAATAGGTTGGAAGAGAGAATTCTCTCTGCAGTATCCCAGCAGATCCAGAACATTCAAATTGGTCTCAAAAACACCACGAATGAGCAGAAAGCACAGATCGACCTCGTTGGTCGTCGCTTCAAGGTCAACCCCAACTCGGGTCTCTTCATCACGATGAATCCTGGCTATGCAGGTCGTTCGAATCTTCCGGACAATTTGAAGAAGCTGTTCAGAAGTGTTGCAATGTCAAAGCCCGACAAGGAATTAATTGCAGAAGTAATGCTCTTCTCCCAGGGCTTCAAGCAGGCAAAGCAGATATCCTCTCAGGTCGTTCCTTTCTTCGACCACTGTGCTCAGCAGCTTTCCAAACAGCCCCATTACGACTTCGGTTTACGAGCATTAAAGAGTGTGCTCGTCAGCTCTGGGGGACTCAAGAGGATTCGCATGCAGACCGCAGCTGAAGGTGTAGATGACGAACGTGCGCTTGAACCACAAATCATTGTGCAGAGCATCCGCGAAACGGTGTCACCCAAGCTTATCAAGCAGGATGTTGAAACACTCGTGTCGGTCCAAGCACAAGATTTCCCCGGCGTGGAGTACGTCCCGGCCAATATGGACAAGCTTGTTTCGGCCATCAAGGAGGTCATGCGTGAGGAACATCTTACTGAAAGCGATGCCTGGATGACCAAGATTTTGCAATTGTATCAAATTCAGAACATCCATCATGGTGTAATGATGGTGGGCCAATCTGCCTCGGGCAAATCATCAATCTGGAAAGTCCTGCTACAAGCCCTCCAGAGAGTCGAGGGTGTTGAGGGAGTGCACCATGTAATAGACCCGAAGGTTATGTCGAAAGAAGCTCTTTATGGCAGTCTTGATAGCACTACACGAGAGTGGACTGACGGGTTGTTCACTGCTATCTTGAGAAAGGTCGTCGACAACTTGAGAGGCGAAGACAGCAAGCGACACTGGATTGTCTTCGACGGTGATGTCGACCCAGAATGGGTTGAAAATCTGAACAGTGTGCTTGATGACAACAAGCTTCTGACGTTGCCAAACGGTGAACGACTGAATTTACCCCCAAATGTACGCATTATGTTCGAAGTGGAGAGTTTGAAGTATGCGACTCTCGCCACCGTCAGTCGCTGCGGTATGGTCTGGTTTTCGGATGACACTGTAACCCCATCACTGATGATTGACCATCACCTGCAAAATCTTGCGGACAGAAGTTTCGAGGATTTGGACGATGAGATCAAGGCTTCAGGCATGGCTAATAAGGCACGGGAAACACAAAGACATGTTGTTGAAACGCTGCGAGGCCTAGCAAATCGCGATGATTTCCTCCTCAAGGCCCTCTCGACGGCATCGAAACACAAACACATCATGGACTTTACACACGCCAGAGCACTCGACAGCCTTTTCAGTCTTCTTGCCAAAGCATGTCGCTCGATCCTAGAATACGACTTGAATCATCCTGAGTTTCCCCTGGACGTGGAGCAGACAGAAGCCTACATTTCCAAGAAGCTGCTCCTGGCATGTGTCTGGAGTTTTGTCGGTGATGCAGGGTTGAGCATTCGAAAAGAGTTCGGTGACTTTCTCAGCACGATGACAAACATCGATCTACCAAATCTGGACAGCACAACGTCTCTGATCGACTACGATGTCAACTTACCACACACTCAGTGGGTCCTTTGGCAATCCCAGGTGCCCACAGTCGACCTAAACACCAACTCAATCAAGCAGACCGATGTCATCATCCCAACTGTTGATACTGTTCGTCACGAAGATGTCCTGTACTCATGGTTGGCAGAACACAAGCCGCTCATGCTTTGCGGTCCACCTGGATCCGGTAAAACAATGACGCTCTTCAGTGCTCTGAGGAAACTCCCAGATATGGAGGTTGTTGGCCTCAATTTCTCCAGTGCGACGCAACCGGAACTAGTCATCAAGACTTTCGAGCAGTATTGCGAGTACAAGAAGACCTTGAACGGGATGGTCCTTTCCCCAACACAACTTGGTCGATGGCTAGTTATCTTCTGCGACGAAATCAACCTTCCGGCCCCTGATAAGTATGGTACTCAACGAGCAATCAGTTTCTTGCGACAGCTTGTAGAACAAAATGGCTTCTGGCGCACGTCGGATAAGGTCTGGGTATCCTTGGAACGCATCCAATTTGTAGGGGCTTGCAATCCTCCCGAAGACGTCGGTCGTCATCCACTTGGCGATCGGTTCTTGAGGCACGCTCCTGTTGTTATGGTTGACTACCCTGGCGAGTCCTCGCTGACTCAAATTTACGGATCGTATAACAATGCTGTGTTAAAGGTGGTGCCGACCCTACGAGGCTTCGCGGACGCTCTGACGCACGCAATGGTGGATTTCTATCTCAAGTCTCAAGCACGATTCACTCCAGACATTCAGCCACATTATGTTTACTCTCCCAGAGAACTCACTCGATGGGTTCGTGGCATATACGAAGCAATTGCTCCACTCGAGCACCTCTCGCTTGAGGGGCTTATTCGAATCTGGGCGCATGAGGCACTGCGACTGTTTTCTGACCGTCTCGTCGAACCCGACGAAAGAGCTTGGACATCTGATATGGTCAGACAGACGGCGCTCCAGCACTTCCCCACTGCAGACATCGACCAGGCTCTACAAGGGCCCATATTATTCTCGAATTGGCTCTCCAAGAATTATGTGTCTGTGGAACAAGAACAACTTCGAGAATTCGTGAAAGCGCGACTGAAGACATTCTGTGAGGAAGAAGTTGACGTCCCACTCGTGCTCTTCAACGATGTACTGGAACATGCCCTTCGTATCGACAGAGTATTCCGGCAACCACAAGGTCATCTTATCTTGATCGGCACCAGTGGTAGTGGGAAAACCACCCTTTCGAGGTTCGTCGCTTGGATGAACGGCCTGACCATATTCCAAATCAAGGTCCATGGCAAATATTCTGGTGAAGACTTTGATGAAGACCTTCGAAATGTTCTCAGAGCGTGCGGTACCCGAGGTCAGAAGATATGTTTCATCATGGATGAGTCCAACGTGCTGGATTCTGGTTTTCTTGAGCGAATGAACACTTTACTTGCCAATGGGGAAGTTCCCGGGCTCTTCGAAGGCGACGAATACTCTGCGTTGATGACAGCTTGCAGAGAAGGAGCCCAGCGTCAGGGCGATCATATCGACTCCCAGGAAGAACTCTACAAGTGGTTCACCAAGGAGATTGTCAAGAACCTACACGTTGTCTTCACGATGAACCCGCCACAGGAAGGGTTGTCATCTAAAGCCGCTACGAGTCCAGCCTTGTTCAATCGTTGTGTACTTAACTGGATGGGTGATTGGTCAGACCAAGCTCTTTTCCAGGTCGGATATGAGCTCACACAGTCAATCGATCTCGACAAACCGAACTTTACTGCTCCGGATAGCATACCTCTGGCCTATCGCGATCTCACGCTTCCTGCATCTCACCGTGACACTATTGTCAATGCGATGGTACACATGCACTATTCAATTCAGAAGACGAACGAACGCCTGGAGCAACAGCAAGGTATCGTTACGTATCTCACACCTCGGCATTACCTGGATTTTGTCACGCAATTCGGCAAACTCTTCAGGGAAAAGCGAGAGGACCTCGAAGAACAACAGCGCCACCTGAATGTTGGTCTCGAGAAGCTACGGGATACCGTGGACAAAGTTCGTGACCTCCGAGCAAGCCTGGACCAGAAGAAGCAGCAACTAGAGCTTAAGGATGCCGAAGCAAACGAGAAATTGCAGCGCATGGTGGCCGATCAGCAAGAAGCCGAGCAGCGGAAAACATCCTCGCTTGAGGTACAAAGCGCATTGGAAGAGCAAGAAAAGGAGATTGCAAGCCGAAAGGAAATTGTGCTCAATGATTTGGCCAAGGCCGAACCAGCTGTTATCGAAGCTCAGAGAAGTGTTAGCAACATCAAGAGACAACATCTTACTGAAGTCCGTTCTATGGGCAACCCTCCAGCTGGTGTGAAGCTTGCACTGGAGTCTGTCTGTACTCTGCTTGGCCACAAAGTCGACAGCTGGAAGAGCATTCAAGCCGTCGTGCGCAAGGACGATTTCATTGCGAATATCGTCAACTATAACAATGAAAAGGACATGACGCCACCGTTGCGGCAGAAGATGCGCCATGATTATCTGTCCAACGATGACTTTACCTTTGAGAAAGTGTTCCGTGCAAGCAAGGCATGTGGTCCGTTGGTACAATGGGTTGAGGCTCAAGTCAACTATTCCGAGATTCTCGACCGCGTTGGACCCCTCCGCGCTGAGGTTGAGCAGCTGGAAGAGAAAGCTCTCGACACAAAGGCGAATGCTAAAGCCATCGAGAACACCATTATCAAGCTCGAAAAAAGCATCGGTACATATAAGACGGAATATGCTGCTCTTATCAGCGAGACCCAAGCAATCAAAGGTGAAATGGCCAGAGTGCAGACAAAAGTCGACCGAAGTCTTCGTCTACTGGACAGTCTCTCTTCCGAGCGAGTAAGATGGGAAGCTGCCAGCAAATCTTTCGAGACTCAAATCCAGACGCTGGTTGGAGATGTCTTGATAGCATCAGCATTCTTGGCCTATGCAGGTCTATTCGATCAGCAATTCAGAAAGACCATGGTTGATGACTGGATGCATCATATGTCGATGTCTGGAGTCTCCTGTAAGAATGATGGTTCCGTTTTAGGCTATCTTTCGTCCGCCGACGAACGCCTGCAGTGGCAACGCCACTCACTGCCTGCGGATGATCTGTGCATGGAAAACGCAATCATGCTCAAGCGCTTCAACAGGTATCCCTTGATCATTGATCCTCCTGGCAGAGTTGCCGAATTCTTGAAGCAAGAACACCAAGGACGCAAGTTGACAGTGACCAGCTTCCTCGACGATGCCTTCACCAAACAGCTTGAAAGTGCACTGCGATTTGGCAATCCAATCTTGATTCAAGATGCAGAGTATCTTGACCCAATCTTAACCCATGTTCTCAACAAAGAGTATCAAAAGACCGGCGGACGAGTGCTCATCCAATTGGGCAAACAAGAGATCGACTTCTCAGAGCATTTCCAGCTCTATCTCTCCACTCGCGATCCTTCCGCAAACTTTGCCCCAGACGTGTGCAGCCGAACGACCTTCATCAATTTCACAGTTACTCGGAGCAGTCTCCAAACCCAGTCTCTCAACGATGTCCTCAAAGCAGAACGCCCAGATGTTGACAAGCGTCGCACCAACCTCGTCAAGATGCAGGGTGAGTTCGACATAAACCTGCGGCAACTAGAAAAGAGACTGTTGCAAGCTCTGAACGAATCCCGCGGCAACATTTTGGATGACGACAATGTTATCCAGACCTTGGAAACACTCAAGAAAGAAGCTGCGGTAATCACAAAGAAGGTTGCTGAGACGGAAGGGGTCATGGCAGAAGTTGATCGCATTACCCAAGGCTACAGCCGGATCGCCAATGCTTGTAGCGCCATCTTCGCTTTGCTCGAACAGCTTCATCACCTCAATCATGGCTACCGATTTTCGTTGCAATATTTCCTCGACATCTTCAGTTCAGTCTTGCATCACAACCCTCACCTTACGAATAAGACCAATCATGAAGAGAGAAGCGAGATCATTTTGAAGGACATTTTCGTCGAGACGTACAGGAGAACATCGCTGTCTATGTTGCAAAAAGATCGAATCACCCTTGCAATGTTGCTCGTCCGCGCGACACCTTACCACTTTGATCGTTCTATCATGGACATGATCCTTGAAAACCAACAGCCGTCTCCTGGTGCAGTTGCACCTGGTGTTTGCGAGGAAGATGTGATTGCGGCAGTCAAACAGATCCCTGTATTTGATCGACAAATAATTGACGCATCTGGGAACGCATGGAAACAATTTCTCGCTGCTGAGCGCGCTGAACATCATGTACCGACCCTGTGGAAGCAAACCGACAATGCTGTTGACCGCAGCCTTTACGAACTGCTTCTTGTCAAGCTCGCAAGACCAGACCGGTTCTTACCTACAGCGGAGAAGCTTGTGATAAGCGTGTTTGGACAGGAAGTTTTCCAAGGGTCGGACGATTTGAGCGCAATTGTCAAGCAGGTCAACTCTTCGGTCCCGATTGCCCTCTGCTCAAATCCTGGATTTGATGCCAGCTACAAGGTCGATGCGCTTGTTGAGAAGCAGAATGCAAACTGCGCCAATGTGGCTATGGGCTCCGAAGAAGCTATTGCTAGCGCCGACAAGGCCATCACTAGTGCGGCTGCAAACGGCGCCTGGGTTTTGATCAAGAATGTGCATCTGGCTCCTCAGTGGTTACAGAGTCTCGAAAAACGGCTATCGGCCCTCAAACCCCATCCCGATTTTCGACTCTTCTTATCAATGGAGTCCAGTCCCAAGATTCCAGTCAACTTGATCCGAGCATCCAGAACCTTGGTGTATGAACAGCCGGCCGGTATGCGAGCCAACATGAAAGATACCCTGACAGTTCTGTCAGACAGGGGCACCAAGAATCCGGTGGAAAAGGGCAGATTGTACCTTCTACTCTGCTTTTTGCATGCTGTACTTCAAGAACGCTTACGATATGCGCCGACACTAGGGTGGAAAGGACTTTGGGAGTTCAACGACAGCGACTATGAATGCTGCTCGTTCATCATAGATACCTGGATCGAAGCGATTGCACAAGGTCGTTCAAATGTTGCTCCTGTCAAATTGCCCTGGGAGTTGATCCGTACTTTAGTCACCGAAATGTACGGAGGCAAGATTGATGACGAGGGAGACTTTTCATTGCTCAACAACATTGTCAATCAAGTTTTCGACCCTGCTGCATTCGAGGCCGATCACGAGCTTGTGTCGGATAACGACGGTCACGCTCTGAAGGTTCCACAAGGAACGACCATTCGAGACTTTTTGAACTGGGTAGATGGACTTCCAGAACGAGAGCCACCAGCCTATTTGGGACTGCCTGCCAACGCGGAGAAATTGCTTTTGATGGGACAAGGACGAGAAACCATTGGCAATCTCGCCAGGATCACAGATTTGTTGGAGGAAGGAGAACATTCTGTTGCCGGCCGCGAAGAGCATAGCGAGGCATAGGTGTTGGATTTATGTTTCTTGAGGGTGGTGACTGGTGACTTTTGTGCTTGCTGATGGGGAAAGCGAGGAGAATAGAGTGTGATTTCTTCTTGCGCTTGATGTCATGTCCAGTTCTGCACAGCGTGGCAGATTTTTTCATTGAGTCAAGAGCATGGCGTTCCAAGGTGTTTCGGATATGAATTTCTGTTTGGATTGGGGGGGTTTTCAAGAAAGCAGAATTTGCTTGATACGGTCGGCATCAGTTTTTGGTTGTCTTGATTACCCATATCATTTCAAAGTTGTACAATTTCTGTTTTTTTATGTTGTTCTTGAGATAGATACACGCCTCTCTCGGAAGCTTCACGGCCCTTTTCCGTGTTCTCTCTTTCTTTCCTCGTGTGGCAATATATCTCCAGGTAGTCTTGTAAATACAAGATCGAATTAAGTACGCATTGAGGAAGAAATTGCCGATTGACCAGATTTAAATTGAAATCATTCCACGAGATATCGTCGAAGAGCTCTTAGGTAGGGAGGACAACCAGCAACGGGAGCCATGTTCTTGAATTCAGACGAAGAAGAGAGGCCCAAGCTGGGGATTTTTTGGCAAGACGACTCTGGTCATTGTATGGCCTTTTTTCCGTACTCCGTGCCAGTGGCGTGAGCGAGAGTATTGCAACAATATTATTACCTGACGAAGCAACCTGACAGTTTTGACTGGCCACGACCATTATTACTTAATTTCCCACTCTACGAGGACTCGGAAGTTGCCGATGCCAGGACAGGAAGCGGTTAGTCGGCTGAAGAACGCACCATGACATGAGCCCAGACAGTCCCATATGTTGCATATGTAAGCAGCGAGCTGAATCCTTTTTCCAACCTCATCCTGATAGCCCATCGCACCCGGTTGTAGCGAACGCCACAATGCCAGCACAAACTGGCTCAGACGGTTCCGATCCGGAGCTGAATTTCCCTAGAGAGTTGCATGCTGTGTCAGATCGATGATCTGTCCCAAGGCCACCACCTACTTCGAGGTAGGTAGCTTGAACGCTGGTGTCGCGGACCAACCGGTCTCGCACTCTGAAATCAGGCCGCGGCTTGTCATGATCTCAACCACCAGAAAGAAGACCAGTAAGTGGTGTGTGCATTGGATGTCCCCGGGCTTGGGTTTGGGCTTGGGCAAACCCCATTATCCAAGGGCGGAGCTGCAGCGGTCACCTTCAGGACATCCCGACCAACCTCGACAAGATTACCCGCCAACAAGAGACTCAAGCACTCGTCTCCTGAATTGAAACCCGCAAAATGAATTTCTCGGTTCATGGCCATGGCTCCTGGCTTGACCTGGCTTGCTCGAACGACATGCTGACCTTTGTCGACGACCTGCCGAATTCATCATCATCATCCTCCTCCTCCCCCTCCTCCTCCTCCTCCTCCTCCTCAAAGCGATTGACCGTGCGAGAAAAAACACACAATGCCCCGTGGAAACCTTGCACCTTGAAGCTTCCCGGTACAAGTGGACCATTCCCAGGCGCAAGACCAAGTCACGCCTGGTTCACTCCTTGGCGGCAGCTAGGAAAACAATTCACGGGGTTTATGAATTGGAAAGGTGAATTTTCCTTCCAACTAACCAATCTTCTAGGCTTCTCGGTTTTTGGCTGGGCTGGCGCAGGGGCAATTCTTCGGAATCAGGACAACTTGTTATCCAGCCCAGCTTGTTCGGTCAGCAGTTCGAATCGCATTGTCGCCAACAAAAGATCAACAACAACAACAAAAAAAATTACTCAACAACCAGTGAAGCGTCCAAGGCGGGAATCTGGGGGAGGGTGATATCGGGCAGGTCGACAACAACAACGACAAACACAAATACAAACAGGAGGAGAAAAAGTTGTAAGCGCTGCGGCAGGGGAGATTCCAGGGCGAGTACCATCATAACCGTTGCGACCTTCAGTGGACCCGGGATGGGAGGCCTTTGGGGGAAAAAAATCCTTACACGACTGGGGTTTTCTTAACTAGGCTCCTATGGGAGATAAATCCTAGTTTAAGTTTTTGCAATTTGTGTTTCTTTTTTTTTTTGCGCAGAAATATACTGTACTGTACTGTCTATCTATATGTCTCTGTCTGTCTCTGTCTGACTGTAACCGTCGACAGAAACCACAAACAATCTATCGATAACTTCAGGACACTACTTACTTTTGAACTGTGAGGCACGAGTACCCTCTGTATCCCTAGGTATCTATCTACTCAACAGACTCCCCCAACTCCGTTTGAAACCCTCAAGAACTCGTCAGGCAATCAATCAATCAATCGATCAATACAATCAATACAGTCCGTCCTGTTGCTCCCTGAACCAGAAGCCCTCCATCTCCCCCTGCATGCGCCACCACATCTCGACCAGCTGCCTGTCGATCCAGCCGGCGTTGCCCTCGTCCCAGAACTTGTCGTGGACGCTGGCGGCGCCGCGCTCGACGTCGCCGTAGCTGGGCCAGTTCATGTTCCACTTGCCGGTCTGGAAGTGGCGGTAGGGCATGGGCCCGCCGGCGCGGTGGGCGTAGTTCAGCAGGCCCTGCTCCATGGTCGAGTCGTCGAAGCGGCCCGGCAGGTTCATGACGCCGAGGTAGTAGCGGTACAGCACGGGGTCGGGCCTCATGACCCAGAAGCCGCCGTTGACGTTGTCGTGCTCGTCGGGCACGCTGTCCCGGTGCGGCCCGCCGGCGTCCGACACGCCCACGAAGACGTAGTCCCTCGGCAAGGGGCCCTCGTCGGCCCTGACCTTGTCGCCGTCCGACGACGCGGCCGCGGGCGTCTGCACCACGTCCTCGTCGAACATGCCGTCGAGGCTCGTGATCAGGAGCATGTCCGAGTCGACGAAGGCGATGCGGTCGAACTCGGTCAGGGTGAACAGCCTGAGCTTGGTGAACTGTTCGGCCCAGCTGGCGCGGGCCGGGTGCACCCACGACGCGTCGTCCGGGTTGAGCACGTCGACGTGGACGACGACGGCGCCCTCGCGCTTGAGGATGTCCGTCTTGCGCGCGTCGACGTGGTTCGGCACGAGCACGAGCAGGGGGTAGCCGTTGGTCGACCTGGTCGCCGGGTGGTGCAGGAGCTGGTACAGCAGCACCCGCGTCGCCGTGAAGTACTTGTCCTCGTCGAGCGGCCGCGTGTCGTTGGCCGGGGACGAGTAGAAGGTCGCGTACGCGTACCTCCTTCTCCGGTCGTAGCCACTCGATCCGACGTCCGGGGTTCGGTCCGCCGAAGAGGAGGCGGAGGCGGAGCCCGAGTCGGAGGAGTTGGAGTTGGAGGAGTCGGAGGGGGAGTCGTGAAGTGTTATCTCATCGCCGTGCGGGTATGACGAGTGCTGCTGCTGCTGCTGCTGCTGTTGTTGTTGTTTTCCAGAAACTTGGCCGAGTTTGGTCGACACAAAGTCCGATATCGACTGTGACGAGTTGCGGATCGAGTACTCGGGAGCCGTGACTTCGAGGAACGCCAGAGACAAGACGATCAACGCGAGCGACGTGACCGTCAGCGCGATCTTGGTGAATCGCTGCATGGACGCTGACTAAATCGGACACCGAAAAATAGAACGAACACTCCGGAGCAGTAAAAAAGATGAATGAGGGAGAGAGGGCTCCTCCTAACGCGCTGCCCCTCCTCGTCTTTCAAAGAATGGGAAGCCGTACGGATACGGAGTAATAAAGTGTGTACAGAGTATCAGCAAATTTCTAGGTGCAAAGCACCGCGGGCGCGGTTCAGGAGCACGAACCCGGTTCAGGGGTGTTGACGGTATGGGCCAAACCACCGTCGCTAACCCAAATAGAGTAACCGTCAATTTCGGGAAAGGGTAAAACACACCTGGGACTAACCCTGATAGGGGAACCCCACAAAAGCTCGTACAATACAGTACAAATTTAGATTGAGGCTGCTTGTGTCCGGGAACCCCCATCGATAGACTGATGAGAACTGGTATGTACGGAGTACAATACACACCATCTAATGCCAGATCTGAGAGGCGCTTCTACAATATTGTACTTACACACACGCAACCGGACAGACATTGCAGTATTGGACCCCCACTTTGGATGCTTGCGGATATGGAGGTAAACGGACAGGGAGGCCCGTTTGACAAGAAGCGAGAACAGAGGCTCGGAACACATTAGTTAGCACCTACAGCACATTGGTCCTTTTCACATCTCCCACCACAACTTCCCTTCTGGGACTCCACGGGCTTCATTTGCTTCTTTCCTCTTTCTATCGCGGTCCACCGCTTCGGAGGCAAGTTTGCGGATGTCCTCCTCACTGGCGTCCGCGTTGGATACGTTGATGACGGTGGCACGTCCTCTGCTGGCGAGCATTGACGCGAACTCATTGCTCACGGAGGAGTTTACCCCTGGACCGGTGCCGTTGCTGCTACTGTTCCCAGTTATGACGACCAAAGGGATGCTTCTCAAAAGACTCGAGAGCTCTTCGTCGGCAGCAGTGCTCCTTTCCGCTTGCAAGGGCCGAGTTGAGGCGTCTTTTGCCGATGCATGCATTCGCAGTGGGCGCCCAAGCTCGGGCGACGTTGACGATCGCGGGGCTGTCTGCACCTTTGGTTGAGTGGTAGAGCCGGGCCGCACAAGTTTTGGGGAAGGCTCCCCGCGAGGAGGAGGCACGGTGGCTTCTGAGTTCGTGAAAAGAGGTACGCCGGGTCCTCTGTTGCGCCGGTCGTCGAAGGGAGCCGGCGCTGAGAGGCGGGTGTCGCGAGCACTCCGTCGACCGAGTTTAGGAGGTACACGGGTCCCAAATAAAGTCCAGTCCGTTCTTGTTTCCAAGGATCTGTCGTTCCGGTACATCAAATTCCATCTTCTTTCGTCCTCCTCCGAATAGTAGTGTCCATTCGGTACGGCCCTGGTGAGAGGCTGTCTTGCCGGCCCTTCTTTGGTCCTGGAGGCAACGTAAGTCGAACCCTCGAACGGGGTGAAACTGGCTTTGTACATACCCGACGGTAAGAGAAAAAACGAGACCAATTTCACCCAAGGCCGTGATCATTACTCGATGACCTTCTGGAAGCGGTTCTTGATCGGAGAAAAATAACGATCCGAGCTCATCTTCCGGACCGACAACAACTTGGTATCCATGAGGCGGTAGAAGCACTTGAAGGCGTAGAGAGGCGATCGGTCCCAAATTCTTTCCAGGTTTCTTGTCTTTGGATTTCTCGCCTCGACCGATACCCCGGCTTTCTCCGGGGAGGTAAGACTTGTTCGACCTTTTGGGAACAGGGTTCATCTCTGACGGATTCCACATAGAAAGCGGTGGTTCATCCACAACAAATGTCATGAGGGCTGTCTCGTCCTCGGTTATTTTACTCACGTCTGCCCTCCGTGTCGCAGGACAGAATTCGTGCTCCGGCACAATGCGCACCCGAGTTGAGTGAACCCCGTTTGTTCCGCGCGGAACAAGGATAGAAATACCACGATGCTCGGTCCCAATCGAAAGAGGGTTCAACTCGATCGTCCACTCGTGGGAAAAATCGTCAAAGCTCAAATGCAAGGCAGCACCATACTTTGACAGCATTTCAGCAAGGTAACATTGGAGCTGATGAAGTCGTTGCGTGGATTGAGCAGCTTCAGGTGCCAGCGCCATGTGGGATGCGATCGTCTCAGAAATGATTTGGAAAGCGGTTTGCTCGGGCAGAGCATCTCGTCCAAGCTGCACTTTGATTTCGGTTTCGATTTCGTCGCAGAATCTCTGCATCGGGCCATCGGTAGTGCATATGCGAGTGTTGATACTCTTCAGATCGATACCAAGCAGCTGTTGTCTGAGACGCATGCTGGACCATCGACTTGGTGGCATCTCGAAGTCCTTCGACCAAGGCGGAAGGTCTCTCATCAACTTGCCGCCATATGTGTCGAGGATTCGATATATTTCCTCCAGATCAGATAGTTCCTTGAAAACTGTGCGTTTTGATCGTGGGATTCTCCGGGTTTCTTCAAGGTCCCTGAATGTGATGTCGTATCTGGACATTCGATCGTAAACAGCGTGTATCACCGCATCGCTCGGCGTACCATTGTGGAAGTCTGGGATGTTCGGGTCAGCACCCCACTCAAGTAGCATCCTTGTTGCGTGGACATTTATGGATTTTATGGCGAGCATGAGCGGCGTAGCACCGGTCCCATCAGCTTGGACGTTAACTAAGTCCTGGTGAGGAAGGCGTTTGAGGAAGAGGCCCAACAGAACCTCAGTCCACGCGCCGTTGCGCGAAACACTCCAGGATTCGACCAGGTTGTGGAGATACGTCTTGTATTTATCATACTCGGACATAAACCCTGCGGCGCCGATAGGCCCATATTTCGCTTGTGCTTTCAGCACATAATCATAGGCAGCGTAGGGAGCCATGAAGCCATCCTCTGCAAGGTGACCAAGAATCGTCAAACCGTCACTAAGGAGGTGAGTGGACGCTCCGTTGGCGATTAGATAGTCAGCCAATTCGAAATCGCAAGCGACTATGGCCAGGAAAAGAGGGGACTCCCAATTTGAATCCTAAGAGTCTATGTGAAGCCCTTGTGCGAGAAGGACTGAAGCAAACCTAATCCCAGTCCCAATGCCTGGACAAAGATGGAGATAAGTCGACCTGGGGCCACGCAAGAATGAGACATCAGTAGTAGACCGAGACGGATCCTTCTGCCGCGGTACAATGAGATCTGTCTGAAACCTTTGAAATGGATCCGCTCCATTCCTGAGGAGGTAGTCGAAGATTTCCGTGTGCCCATTAGCTAGGGCGTAGTAAAGAGGCGGCTGCCAGAATGACTTCCCCAGCTTAAAAGTGAGGTTTACGCAATCTTTTTGATGTGTCTGAATGAGGTATTGCACAGTATCTAAGTCGCCTACACTAGCTGCTAGGTGCAAAAGACTATACCCTCGTGCAGTATCCACCAGCTTTTCTCCGTATCGGAGCAGAAGGTCGATTGTGGCGTGGAGAGGGTTGCGTGCTGCTGAAGCGTCACCATACAGTTTTTGACGCAGCTCCGTACAATGCAACACGAATGTTGGAAGTCTCTCTGGCTTAGGGACGGTATAGATGCTGTTCGGGCGGTATTCCGAAGACCCACTCAGCATCAGTTCAAGAATCGACACAGCACCGAGAGAGGAACTATGCATTTTAGCCGTAAGGCGAGCATTGTCAACGCATGTATGAACTGACGAGTGTTGCAATCCTTTGGAGACAGGCAACTTGGGGGTCGTTAGGTGGAGAGCGCATGCGAGTATCAACGGGCTGTAGTGTGGAGCCGCGCGACTTTTTCGAGTGGGAGAGGCTCCTAGACGGATCAGGCAGTTGACTGCTTCAACGTTATTGTAAATAGCAGCATGGTGTAAAGGAGTGCCAGAATCAAGAATGGCCTCGGAGATGTCTCCAGTGCCCACTCCCTGAAGATTGGGGGTACATTGCGCTTCTACCCGCGCACCAGCTCTTACCAGACGTCGTGCTATCTCCGAGAGCTGTGGCTCTTGAAAAGAATGAAGCCAGTGGAGAGGAGACATCTGCTTGGGACCACATATGTTTGCTCTGGCTCCTTGCGATAGGAGTCCGAGAACAAGATCAGTTGCACCCGCTTGACATGCTCTGAGAAGAGGCGTTTGACCATGAGTATCCAGGGTGTTCACGTCAACACGGCCTAGCATCAGCGGTGGGAGCCTGCTCGGCACTTGCGACGGAATCTGCGATCTTTGAAGTTCTGGGCGAAGCGACAGGTGCTTTTCAACGAAAGCTCGAGCGGAAGCCAGAACGGAGGTAATATCGTGAGTGGGAGCCCCTGTGACTGTGGATATATCCCACAGGAATCTTTTTCTGATCCGAGGTGGTATTCTCATGAAGGAGTCAAAATCGATCTGGGAAACTGTCAGCCGCATATCCAATAGCCAAACACTACGCTGAACATTGATACCGGACTCCATATCTCCGACGTCAAGTTCCTCTTGCTATAATCTACACCTTGGTGATCTGGTGATGGACTGAGACTGGTTAGTGGACACTCTGTCAAGCATTCAAGAGTCTCATACCCCCAGCTGCGCAAAGCGAGCGCAAGGTCTCGTTTCAAAGGATCCTTCTGAAGGCAAGATTGAATGACCACTTGTAGTGTGTGGGCGCGTTCTGGTATATCATGATTAACCATCCTATCAGCAAGGCATTCAGCGACCCAAGAGTCCATTGATTTAGAGTCCAATTCTTTGATGTATTTCGTGGACTCCATGAGCTCTGCGTTGTAGTGAGTCAGTCAGTGCTCTGGTTGGACGGAATTGGTCTCACTTTTCTGATCGTCTTCCACATCACCCAACTCTTCTTCAAGCCCGGCTAATAGAGAAAAGCGTCTTTGGTATCCGTGGGCCGATCTTTCCCATGTTGTTGGAATTCCGAAGGGATTTCTGCCGTCCAACATGACACGGAGTACGAGAAGGCCCCAAGCGTACACGTCTCGCGCTTCGAGATGGTTCTTCGACCCTAGGTCCAATGGCTCAGGGGGGTTCCATTGATCAGTCCCCAACCGAGCTGCCGCGGTCGATTTTCCGTGAGAAGAGAGGCCCGAAGCGGCATTCGTCAACGAATAATCCATAGGCACATAACCAAAATCTGCCAACTTGGCAACAAATTGATTCGGTGTTGATCCGAATACAAGGACATTCTCACTCTTCAGGTCGCCATGGATGAGATGCAACTGATGCAAACTCTTCACCCCAGCTGCCACATGCAGACAAAGCCTTCGCTTCGTCAGATAGGGCAATTTTGAGTCTTGCGATTGAAGGTGTGCAAGACTGCCAGACTCTGCAAACTCGGTGACCAAGACTGGCCAGAGCCTGTAATCTCCGCTAATGGGAGCAGTTTCCCATCCAATGCCAATCATCTGAACCACATGTTCATGGCCACGAAGTGCCATCAACAGTATCAGCTCTTTCTCGATCGTTTCAAAACTCCTCGTTGGGATGTGAGAGTTGCATCGAAGTCTCTTGATTGCTACCACTGGCCATTTGGCAGCATATTGCTCCCTCAGCTCCATATTTTGAAGCATGCCAATGCCGATTTCCTCGACAGCATGTTTCTCAACACTGAAAGTCGCTCCTTGGCCCAGCACCGTGCCTTGTCGCCGGAATGCTCCTGGAGAGAAGTGGACGCATTCGTAATGAGGAGCATACAAACGGGAGACGAGAAATGGCATCGGCGACAGCGGACTGGCCTCTTTGCGCACCTCCTCAGGGGATTCATTGGAGGCACTTGACAAAACAGATCTCTGAAAGCTGTAGCTCGACATTTCCAACACAATTGGGTCAATCTGAGGATCGTCGCATCCACAATAAAAAAGTGTTGGGGACCTTAAGTACTTGGAAGTGTGCTGCGGTTGTTCCGAAAAACAAGGAAAACAATACTTCCGACCACGCTCATCATTGCAAGGCGAAGTGAATGGAAAACATCCTCCTCACAGATGTTGCCCCTAGCGACTAAAGAGACCACCTCGAGGCAGAAGAAACGATTCAGCCTATGAGATCAACAACAGGGGTTTGATTTGCTTCTCGAATACGAGTATTGTCTGTCGCAGAAAAACGATGGACGTGCATGGTGACTTAGATGCACAATCTCCACCATCTTGAAGTCACAACGATTCAGCCGCACTCAGCCCAGGCCTCGTCTGTTGAGTCCTTGCGAATCAAGACGCCGCTACTGGCGATTGCTGCGGCTCATGAGCTGTAGGCAAAGTCACAGAATCAAGGGGTGGGCTTGGTGTAACGAGAACTATTAGGCTTGGCGCTGTTGTTCTGTCTGACTTGAGATTAAAAATGATTGTTCTTGGTGAGAGAGATTCTTTATCTTAACAAGATGGGAGTCGTGGTGGGAGTCGCCTCACGACTTTCAAGTCAAAATAAGCAAGCGAGGTCTGAACTCCTGAGGGCCATGAACTGAGATCCTATAAGATATTCAGCCAAGGGAGATAGAAGACACAGTTCCCGACTAATTACTGCTCATTCTCTACCATCCCCTGCCACCCAACGCTTTTGCAGCCGATGTGGTCACGTGTGGATTTCTTCCATCAGCTGTAGCAGCTCAAAATTTGACAAAGGTGCAGTTCCCGGCGAGGTCGCAGCGTCAATTTGCGTCAGGAGACTGTGGACTACGAGCTGGTATCTCTCGCCACAGCGTCCTCCGAGGTCGGGAACGAACTTGCGACATAGTCTGTCTTTCCATGCTGCTAGATCTGTTTTGTACTCGGGCTTCCAGAGAACCGATAGAGGCCGCCACAAACCGATCTCCAGCAGAACGCAGCCGAGCGAATACATGTCATACTCCGCTCGATAACCAGGATTAGATTTTGCATCCGACTCTTCCCCAGATAACGCAAGGTAGTCCGGATGCGTATGCTTTTCAGAGTGATTGAGCAAGAACTGGTCGGTGAACTCGGAGAATTCTGAACGCTGGATGGGCCGGGAATAGTCGAAGCCAATCAGTTTCGGTCTTCGAATGTCAACGCCAATCGACGACGCTGATTGTGTCGGCGAACTTTCTTGTCCTCCGGACGACATATTCCTGAGGAAGAATACCACCTTTTCCGAATCATATCCTTTGTGATACCAACCTGTCGCGTGCAGTTGGATCATGCTCTTGAGCAAGGTCAGAGCGAGCTGTAAACGATGTCCTAGAACAGGCATCTTCGGATTCTCCCTGATCACTTCTGAAAGTGTGAACCAGACCTTCGAACCGAATATCTCCAATCGCCCAGGCGAGTTCACCTGGGTCCAATCGTAGAGCCGATATACGATCCCAAAGCGGGAACGATGCCCATCGTGGATGTATCCTATGCAATCGAGCACCTCGAACTCCCGCGGTTTATACTCGCTCGTGAGAAGTTGCACTAGCATTCGAACTCTATCGGCGGTCAGCTGAAAGTTTGCTCTCGAGTTGCTCGTAAGGTCAGGGTTGTAGTATTTCCATTCAACGAGCACCGAAGAGCTATTCTTCCAGGTTGTGTGCCAAAGCGCTGCGGTTGAGAAATCATCCCAATTGATGACCCTCACCTCGGAAAGTTCGATTTCGCGGTTCGCATTTTGTGTTAAAATAGTGGGACGTTGTTCCTGGAGCGTGAGGTTCAAGGACTTGAAGCTTGCCATATTGCGCAATAGTCCACTTTGATTGTCCATTGCTCTGATGGTTTGAAGGTCTTCAACCCGTCCAGCAGAGGCAGTAAGTTGACTCCGAACACTAAAGTCCACAAGTTGCAGCACCATCGGCGTCAAGGTAGCGTCAAGGGCGTCATTGAAGTCTCTGAGATCGTCGATAAGGGCTTCAAATGCCTTTCTGTCCCGAATCGCCCATCTAGCACGCAGCCTGATCGATTTCTGCGATGCTTTCCCGGCCGCGGATTGATCCACAGAAATTGGGTCGAGAACTTCGAGCCCATACCGATCTACAAGCTTGTCAACATCGTGCATTACTTCCTGCATAGCCACCAGCACGCCATGTACAAGTTCAAGTACTCGCTTGGAGTATTTTTGAAACTGTGCTGGGGCGACCGTTGGATAGTCCTCGGTCACTTCGGCGTCTTTGAAGCTGTGAGCATCGCCCCAGGTAGTGAATCTAAGCTCCTGGGTCTTCAGCTTCCAGAATAACGCAGAGCTAGTGCTCTGAAAGTCCCTGATAGAGGTGAATGTGCGATAGCCTTGAATGCAAATAGGATAGAGAGCAACCACGCTTACAAGCAGACTGGCCGGCTCCATCGTCTCTGAATCATTTGGCACGGCGTGTCACAACGACACCCGTTGAAAATGTTCGAATTCTGTGCAAAGGACAAGAACTAGAAGTGAGATGGAGGTGCGTATATATATGCGCACCTTGAGGCAGTGGCAGTGTTCAGGGTCGAGATCCTGGTACAGCCTCAGGTGTAGCCCAACTATTTGCGCTCTGAAGTTCAGAAGAGCTTCCAGGCAACGTCGTGGCGCCGAAGCTTAACTAGCACTCCGGCTGCGGGCCCGGCCTGCCTTATGTTGAACGTCCGCCGGCTCACGAGCCCAGCCTTGCTAAGTTGCGAATTTGCCATTCAGGTTGTCTCAAACATCAGGACTCAGGAGTGTTGACTGTATGTAGTGGTGTATCGGAAAACACGAGCAGCATCGTGTCGGATCAAGGTGACATGACACTGTTTACACCGGCGACTAGAAACCCCTCTTTGACTCTCCCTCCTTCGTGCCCGAGACGGCGACCACCAGTCAACTGACGTCTGCCAGGCAACGCATTCGGGGAAACGACAGGAGAGGTCTCAAATATAACAAATGTATGCGCTTTTGATCTGCACCTGACATTGTTCTTCGTGCCAGGTCTCATATTTTGTAAGGTCTCTTCACGTACGACAGTTGTGTAGCGAGGAGGCGCTGTCAAGGAGGGTCGACCGCACATGTTCTTGCTTTGCCCGAGGGTATGTCTGGTATTGTCCATAACTAAAGCTCTATTAGAGCATCTGTCGGAGTGCTATTTCCAAGTGACACGACTGGTGACTTAAGGTGACTTTGCCCACTCCCTATACCAATCCAAACAACTGCTGTTGGCAACACTGGCGCTTGTCTTGATATTTAACCCACTGAGTATTTGTTTGACAGCACCCTCCACTTTCTTGCCGTTGGTCGTGACTGGGATCTCAGGGCATTCATCGATGATTCTTGGTACGTGCCTTGCACTGAGCTCCTTCCTCACAACTGCTTGTATCCTGTGAGAGAGGTCGCTGGAAAATGAATGGCCCGAAGACATCTTGAGAAAGAGGACCACAACCTCATCGACATCCTCCTCGCGCTTTCGACCTATGCATAAGGCGTCTTCCACTTCGGTCGCGAAATGCTTCAACAGAATATTGTATATCTCGCTGGATCCGAATCGCACACCCATTGGGTTAAGCACACCATCGGACCGACCGAGCATCCAAATACCGCCAGTCTTGGGGTTGAAGCGAACGAAGTCTCCGTGAGTCCAGATAGGATTACCGGTCTTTTCGTCCTTGAAGGCCTCGAAGTAGGAAGATTTATATCGAGCTTCACCCTTTGGACCAGGAGGCCAAAACATGCATGGTTGGCAGGGGAAGGGCACTGTACACACAAGCTCACCGGCTTCGCCTGTGGACGAAATGTCTTTCCCATCTGCCGAGAACGCTCGGATCGACATTCCCAAGCCCGCGCTCTGAATCTCGCCCATGTAGACGGGCAATGTCGAGCATGGTGCCCCGAAGAGGGAAATGATATCCGTGCCGCCGGTGATCGAGCCCAACAGAATACCAGGATGAGGTGAGGGCGGCGAGAGGTTTTTATACACGTATTGAAAGGTGCTGGGTGCAAGAGGGGAGCCGGTCGAAAAGATGGACCTGAGTGACTCGAGGCTAGCACTCTTCGGGCTTGCTTCTCGCGGCAAAAGGTTGGCCTGTTCAAGGACAGACAGGTATTTAGCAGAAGTTCCGAAATGGTGGATTTTTAGTTCGTCAATGAGTAGTGGCATGCTCATCTCCTTATGAGGTTGGAAAGGGCTCCCATCGTAGAGCACAATGGTTGCTCCACTGGCAAGGCCAGACACCAGCCAATGCCACATCATCCAAGTCACTGTCGTGAAATAGAATAGTCGTTGGCCAGGTAGAATGTCTGCCTGGATTAAGTGTTCCTTCTTATGTTGCAGGAGTGTCCCGAGAGCCGCATGCACGATTGGTTTGGGTACACCAGTGGTGCCAGAAGAGTAGAGGATATAAACAGGGTGGTCGGGGTGGAGGTAAGTGAAGCGCAGAGGGCGCGAAGCATCGCCCTTCGATAGAAAAGAAGTATACGTCTCTACTGTCGTAGTCTCCTGGCGTTGTAGAGAGGGGAGGTCGAAGTGGTGTCCAGGTATTGTCTCGAAGATGGCGACATTCCGAATGGAGGGCAGATCCGCGAGGACGTGGGATATCTTACCGTGCGTTTCGTGCGTCTTGCCATTATACGTGACCGCATTGTCGGCAAACAGAAGCACCGGCTCAATCTGCTGGAGTCTGTCGAGCACTGCGTGAACGCCCGTGTCAGGGCTCACTCCTGACCATATGGCTCCGAGAGACGTCGCCGCCAGCATGGCGATCACGGCATTTGCGTGGTTCCCTAGGTAGCCCGCAACTCTTTCCCCGGTCTTCACCCCATGCGCCTCCATGGCCGCAGCACAAAGTCTCACTCTTTCTCGTAGCTCCGACCATGTCAAGCGATCGCGAGTCTGCTCCGTGGCACCGATGATAGCAAGTGATTCAGGCGTGGGGTTTGAGGAGGGAAACAACAGGTTCTCGGCGAAGTTCAACTCGCATCCGGAGAAAAAGGTTGGCTTGGGAAACATGGGCAGAGTCTCGTCCAGGACCTTTTGTACCTCGAGTCAGCAGTCAAGCTCCCGGCCACGCTCTAATCCTCGTCGACCTACCGAGTCATACTTTTTGTGTGCCTTAACCTCAGTATAATGCCAGACATCTTCCCAGAATAGCGCAGGGTGGTCAACACTCCACTGCCAGAGTTCTTTGTAGGAGGGCGTCTGGACGCCATGTTTCTTTGCGACGTACTGCTGGAAAGCATACAGCTGGGTCTGCTCAGGGTGAGGATGCTGCCACAGTTTGACAGTGGCCTCGTGCACACCGTTCACACCATTTTGCGCCATGACGAACAGATGTACAAGGAGTGAGGGAATGTCGCGGCGATATGTGCCGTGTACGGGTTGTCACGACTCACTGGATGCGCTGCAGACACTCTACTCGTAAATACTGTAGGGATTCGTTCCCCAGAACTTTTTATAAAAGAAAAGTGGATCCAGGAACGAGCCCTGCGGGATGAAGTCGGAAGGCTTTTGAACCTCGGAAGGAGAGCGCAGCGAGCAATGTCCGACGAGCATCACGGACAGTTCAGTAGCAAACGCAGGCTTTGGCGCATGAGTATGTTCAAGATTGTGTGAAGAGCCAGCGGGTGGTGTGTGAACAGCATGTCCACTGGAACAAGCAAAGTAGGACGGTGACACAGAAACCCGTACGAGAACATCGTGCAGCATGGATTGACGAGGACACGGCATTTCGAGATTTCCTGGGAATGTTGTCTGCTCGACCTCACACCTGTCTTTGCGAAGTGCCATGGGATTCTACAATACGAGGTATTGTAGTACTGTACGAGGTCCGGAACATGGCGAAGGAATTTTTATCATTTCGCGGGCGCACCACCGAGTTTAAGCTACTCGCTTATGGGCCGCTAGTACGGGCTCTAGTAGGGACTATGGTAGGGACTATGCTTGTCTTGTACTGTAGCAAGAGTCCTCCGTACGAGGAGATACAGGACCTCCAAGTGCTGTAGTCTGTAGACTACGGGCCGCTCAGGGGGCACCAGATAGTGCCAAGGGGGCCCATCGTAGGCTAAACCTTTGGGCCGCTGGGGCCAATGGAGGCCTGGGATGAAATCTTCAGCAGCCACCCGGGCCCCCTATTAAAGTTATTACCCGGTACAGTACAGTATGCTTTGAGCCCTTCATGATGAAACATGCCCCCAGCAATCTCGGCGAGGCCAGAGAAAATTCGCTCCCTCGTTGAAGCGACTGCAGCCAATCTGCGAGCAAAACCCACTCACTCACTTCCTTGCAAACAGCTCGTGTCCCTTTCGTGTCGTGTTCGTCTTCTCCCTCTGCTACGAGTATCCGTATTCCTCATTCTGTTTTATTCTATCAGCACGGCTCGCCTGGCTGTTTGTGATCTTTTCCAGGAGCCGTTTTCCGCTCGTTCTCGCTGCTCTGCCGCAGTTCGACGATTGTGGTCAAGCCCCGGTTCCCTGCGGGCGGTTCCTGCAAGGGACGCAGGCTTCTTGATCCAACCAAAATCTTGTGCTCGCACGGATCAGAGCGGAACTCGTTCTGTCATCGTCCGCATCTACCGACCTGTCCATCCACACGTTGTACTTTTACACACTTCCCCCTCGAGTACGTCCTAGCGAGCTTTCGTGTTCTGGTCTCTATCATAGCAGATTCCACCAACATCGCCAAAGACCGCCGCTGTGTTCGCCACCAAGCTCGTCGCCTAAGAAGCAGCAGCCAGCGAGGCCTGCTTAACGTCGGCCTTCTGCTTCTACACCGCCACACTCGTCCTCCCGCGTCTTTGCGACACCGTAGCAGGTAGCTGAAAAGTGCCCGCCAGCCACCGCGACAACAGCGCTCTGGGGAGTGCGAGCGACTGGGATCATCAAGAGGAGGTTATTCTCTGAACATCGCATTCAACCGGATACAACTTTTTGGCCATGCCTCGTCGAGTGTCGAATCCTCTTTTAAGCAGCTCACCTCCGACTCCCTGGCCGTCCTTTTCCCCCTCCGAAAAGGGCGGCAGCTTCGTCAACAAGACATCTCAAAAAGCAACCAAAATCGCACAGTTTTTCTCCACCTCTCCCAAGACAAAGGAAGCCCAGAGCGCCGCCGCTGCGCTGTTAGCAGCCAGCAAAGCGCAAGAACAGGCCTTCTTAGCATCGGGTTCTCCTCCGATCAGCTCGGCGTCTCTGTCACTACCTAGCATCTCCTTGTCAACCGCTCGAGCGGATTCGGCCAACATGGACGAGCCGCCAACCACGCTCTATCAGCCGCCATCTCCAGCCGAGGCCCGGAAGCTCGCCAGGCAACATGCCCAGTTCGGGCCTCTGATTTCGCAGTCGCACAGATATACCAGTCGGCATCAGGGTGGCGAGTTCCCCGAGCCTGTAATGGACGAGCCGCCCTACTACTATCTCCTAACGACCTACATTTCCTACCTCATCCTCATAATATTCGGCCATGTCAGAGACTTCTTTGGTATGAAATTGAAAGAGGACAACTACCGACACCTGAAGGCTCGGAACGGCTATGCCGCGCTCAACAGTGATTTTGATAATTTTTATGTCCGACGATTGAAGATGCGTATCAACGACTGCTTCAACCGACCCACTACCGGCGTTCCTGGTCGGTATATCACCTTGCTAGATCGTACAACAGACGATGGCAATTTACACTTCTCCTTGACGGGGACCACCACCGAGACTCTGAATATGAGCTCCTACAACTACTTGGGTTTTGCACAGTCTGAAGGTCCCTGCGCGGATGCCGCTGAAGAAACACTCAGAAAATACGGACTGTCGACCTGCAGTACGCGTGCTGAAGCTGGGACCTCGGAACTCGCCGTTGAATGCGAGGAGCTGATCGCCGAGTTCGTGGGCAAGGAAGCTGCAATGGTGTTTTCTATGGGCTTTGGCACTAACGCTGGGATCTTCCCCGCCCTTGTGGGTAAAGGAGACCTGATCATCTCGGACGAGCTCAACCATGCTTCGATTCGGTTTGGCTCGAGATTATCCGGCGCCATGGTCACAACCTTCTTACACAACGATATGACGGATCTAGAAAACAAGCTTCGCGAGGCCATTTCACAGGGACAACCTCGCACTCACCGCCCCTGGAAGAAGGTTCTTGTCGTTGTCGAAGGTCTGTACTCCATGGAAGGAACCATGTGCAACCTTCCGGGCTTGATTAGGCTGAAGAAAAGGTACAAGTTCAACCTTTTCGTTGACGAAGCCCATTCCATTGGCGCGCTGGGACCACGTGGACGAGGTGTTTGCGACTACTTTGACATTCCTCCGTCCGAGGTTGATGTCCTCATGGGTACTCTGACCAAGTCCTTTGGTGCCAATGGAGGTTATGTTGCTGCTGACAAGGCCATGATCAATAAATTGAGATGCACCAACCCCGGTGTGATCTACGGCGAAGTTCCTCTTCCCGTTGTGCTTGCGCAAATCATGGCATCTCTGCGGCTGATCAACGGTGATCTCAGCCCTGGTCAAGGTGAAGAACGTCTACAGAGAATCGCCTTCAATTCACGATATCTCCGCCTTGGTCTCAAGCGCCTTGGTTTCATTGTCTATGGTCACGACGACTCGCCCATCATTCCATTGCTGCTGTACAATCCAGCCAAGATGCCTGCCTTTTCTCACGAGATGCTCAAGCGCAAGATCTCGGTGGTCGTGGTTGGCTATCCAGCCACTCCCCTGATTTCATCGCGGGCTCGCTTCTGCATATCAGCTGCACACAACAAAGATGACCTCGATCGCCTCCTGGCCGCGTGTGACGAGATTGGCAACGTTCTTCAACTCAAGTTTGCCAGTGGTGTTGCGGGCGGGGCTCCTCCGTTGGCCGACGGCGTGAGCTGGGAAATGGACCAGAGTCGCAAGCGATTGGAAAAGCACGACAAGGTGCCCAAGTCGATGGTGCTCGCACCTCGTTGGACACTGGAAGAAGTCATCAAGTGCGGTGTCCAGGATGTTAAGCAGCCTCTGCGATAAGTTTTTGTTGACAGCCGGGCCGATTTCCGGGACTCAATTTGTGTACTTTTTTAAGTGTGTCGAGACGAAGTCATGGACGGCGTCAGTCCTCGCAGAGTGTCATTATTTGATTTTGGGAATTACTGTTGCGCAACAGCTGAAACACAATTGTTCACTGTACAGAAAGTTGTGCCACTGCTGGCGCCGGCGAAATGAAACGGTTTGGTTCGAGGGCATCAATGAGCCAGGGAGTTTTCTCATCAGCGAGTCAAGATTCACTCAGGGAGGGTGCAGCCAAATCAATATCTAGTAATACTATTAACTGAAGACCTATTAGTTCTGCCATGATCCTTGCAATCGCGACTCGAGTCACTCCAAGCCCTTTGGTAAGAGTGAGGCGAAGGATCGCCTAGACTGCAATGCAGAGTACAACTCACCCCTTCCCTCTCGCATGCTGCAAACTGCACGAAGACTTGCATCATGCCGTCCTATGGTAATGAAGCGTTCGGATGGCACGGATATCGTGCTACCAGAAGCCGTCGGGCGTGTGTACCTGCGTCTGGTGTGTTGTACATGTTATTAGCAGTGCTTGTCCACAAACTTCTGACGATGCCTCAGCATGGGGCATCTATTGTCTCTTCAATCGCCCACAAGAGACTCTTTGACAACGAACCTAATAGACGAGGCGATTGACTTCATTAATCCATGATCGTCGTCTGGCTGGAAGGTTCTTCTGGGATGGTCACAGGTGATGGTCCCCAGCAATATCTATATGGAGTCTATTGATGCGCTCGCTTTGAGCTAACCGGGCTGGCTGTTATTTGAAGAGCAAAGCATTTACATACGAATTGACCGTCTCTCTGGCCACAGCGATGAGACCCTCGTACGTACGGGTACCTGGCTACAAGACATGAGAGAGTGCGGTATTGTATTGCTCAGGTTCAGAATCACGTGTAGCTGATGATATAGCGGAAGACTCTCTCTTCTCTTCCTTCTCTCCCCCTCGTACTCGTATTCCGGACATTCGGTTCTCCTCTGTCCTCATAAACACTCTACACGCCATTTCTCAATCCCCTCGCAATCTCAGCCGTCAGCAGCCATCCCCCCAAACGATGCGAGTCACATTCCATCACCTTACAAAGCACACAATGGTGCCCTTGCGCCTGGCTGCATCATGAAGCGATGTGTGTGCGACTTCTGACGCCAAGTCGATCCCCCATTTGTTCAATCATGCAGCTCATGTGTTCGCTACTGCAGGCTTGGGGCGAGCAAGGCCCATGTCGTCGTCTTCCTCCAGACCGCCGTTTCACAAGTCGACCCCGGCTTAACCTGTTATTTCTCTGGATGCCTTCTTCCATTCGTCTCGATGCCCCGCAGATACACGCCGTCTCTCACATCTCTGACTGAGAAGCAAACGCTTGCCCTGTCAGGGTCCAGCACTGAAGTTGGAGAGACAAACCCCGGCCTGGTCGTCAAATGCATGGGTCGGATTGGTGCGTTGGCAGAAAGGCAACCATCGTGGATTTCATTCACCAGTTGATCAACCGGGCCCGACTTCCATAGTCTGACTCAAAAACACCAATGACTTAAGTGTTCCCTGCAGGAGCTGTGGCTATGAGAGCGTCCGTCTCTTCTGGCACACTCTCCCACCTCCACATCGCTATTCTGCCTCAGGGCTAGATCATCAACCTCACAGTTCTTCTTGTTTTCTGATCAACCACCCATCTACCGCACCTGTACGGAGTACCGCCCCACTAAGCCTCACCAGCCTCACATCTTTGCCTTGAACTTTCTCAGGCGTCTGGACAACATCGCACGACGCTTCGCCGGTACCCGGGTGATCAACTGAATATTGACTGGAGGGGAAGACAATGGAGCCACCTCCTCCTCCGGATCACCACTTTGCTCCAGTCAATCCCGACCTACACATATTGGATGAAGCCTTTGACATCCTCCACGACGAACCGGTACGTTACGAAGAGCGAAGACCCACGGTCCAGCAGCGCATGCCCGACATGCAAATACACGATGATGTGCCAGAAGTGCGGCCACATAAGGAGCGTACGAAATCCGGCGAGGTTCTTCCTGACTATGTCTACTATCGATTGAGGAGAAATGGAGACAATTGGGATTCGGCTGCCAAGTCTCGAATCATTGCTCCCATCGAAGACATTGAAAAGACTGTGCGAAAGGGGAAAGGCGGAGACGCTCCGATCCTAGAGCAGATGAAGCGAATGTCGGATACACGACGAGAGATGATCGGAGAGCTTGTGCATGGCGTGAACAAGAACGAGACTGGAGGTTATCGATTTGAAGTTGCGTATATTACGGCGAAGAGGATTCGGAAGCGCAGCGGCAAGGTTGAAGTGCCTGAAATGGACGTCATACTGACACGAACCAAAGTCAAACCTAAGACCAAGAGTAAGAGTAAAGATGTCGGGGAGGAGATTATCCTCAAAGATACCAAGAAATCGGGCGAGAAAGAGAAAGAGAAGACACATGATGAAGACGGTCATTTCCACTCCCGGAAGGACTCTGTATTGGAACCGCTCAAGGACCCCATCGCCAACATGTTGTTGTTCGACCCCGATGGACGCCCCAGAGATGAATTTGGTCCGATCAATTTCACCAGCGCGGGGCTGCCACCTCAGATTCCCCAAGAGAGGCCACTGGGTGTCAAACCCGAGGCCAAGAAGGAGGAGAAGAAGCGTGGCAAGAGTCGCAAACGCAGCAAGTCGAGAGGTCCGCGGCACGGCGAAGACGATATCATGATGGTCGGTGAACTCGAGGAATTCCATGATGGCGCAGACGCGCCTCCTGTCGGCAGCCTCTTTGCCGAAGCCAACGCTGACAGGCGAGGCCGACGGGGTAAATCGCCTCACCCTACTGAACATCCTGAAGTCGTGGGCGGCGAACCTCGAAGGTCGCATTCTCGCCGCCGTCCGGCAACCGAGAGTCGTCATCATTCCCGCGACAAATCCCGATCTCGCCCAAGCTCCGTCTACATTCCTAACCAGCATACCAGACAATACTTCCACGAGGACAGCGCGTCTTCACACGACAGCGACTCCAGCCGTTATAGCGTTGTCGAATACGCCGAGAGCTCGGCAACCTCTCTCACGTCCGGCGGACTGCCTCGGCGTGGTAGCCTTGTGCGCCATGAACCTCGCCCGGAGCAAGTGTACAAGACGCACCGTCGTGGCCCCACCAGAAGTGCTTCGTACGTGGACAAGACCTATCGCGGAGAAGAAAGAGTTGTCATTCCGTCCCGCTCGCGCAGAGACTCGTTCGTGGCCTATGAACGTCCACCGGGGGAGATTCGCTTCGAGCGGCCCACACCCCGACTCGTCAGACAGATGACGGTGCCAATTCCAGAGGAGAGGCAGGTCCTGTATCACCAGGACGTTGTGCCGATACGCCGCGCCACCGAAGCTCCCGTGATCCGGTACGTCCGTGACGCGGTGCCTCCTGTCGCAGGGTATCCCGAAGAAGAACGCGACGTCTTTTACCGTGAGGACTTGGAAAGGCGATCATCCCGAGTGGAAGATTATCAACGCGAGAGGGTGCGAGAGGAGTACTACAAGCAGCGAGAGCAGGAACTGGATTCTCGACAACACGACCTGGAAATTGCCGAGGCGGACATGAGGAGACTCAGAATGCAGGAACGCGAGTACCATGACGACAGAGAGAGGCGTGAACGTGAACGGAGACAATCCAAGCCTCTCTACTATGATGAAGAGACGGGAAGGTATTTCTACTACGAGTGATGAACGAAGATGCAGGATGCAGAATGCAGCATGATCCTTTAAAAGGGAGGGAATTATTGTAGTGTTACTTTTTCTATGGTTGTGCAACGAGAAACGTCAATTGCAATTGCTGCCGGGCGCAGCTACGATGTCTTACGAGAAAGATGACAAGGGATGAGGGATGAGGCATGGTAGCATTGAACCGATGGGGATCGTCAACTGGAAAGCCATGCTCAACCGGCTCAACCGGCCCCATCTATTGCCGATGGCCCAAGAGCTGGATGTTTGTTGTTTTGTTTTGTGTTAACTTTTTCATTCTTTGCATTCTTTCTGTCGTTTCAGAGATACCCATTTATTTAGTGTAACTTTTTCCTCTTTTTCCCCCCTTCTTCCCCTTTCCTTTCAGGCTTCGATACTACGCTGGAGCGAGCGGTGCGTGAACCGCACTCTGTACCTTTCTTCTACACAGGGCCGATATCAGTCCCAGTCAGTCAATGGAGGATTGGCACTATTTATGTCGTGGAGGAGATGAGGAGTTGGAAATGTTGGTCTTTGGACTTTTGATTCTGATTCTAGTTCTGATTCCACCGTTCTCTCTCCTCCTTCTTGTCTCGCTGTACGCCCAAGTCAGTCTGGCACTGGCTTTTTGAATGCCGCTTGAGTCTTGATCAGTGGAAAGCGGCAGGCATTGGGGGAAATCGTCTGAACGCCGAACGAACGAACGGACTCCGTACGTAGGTCGATCAGGTAGTTTAGTTTCGTGGGTACCAAAGTCACTTGCCGTTTTCGGGGAAAATCCCTCTCGCTCTCTCTCTGGCTCGCTTCTCGGTCCTCGGGTCCTCGGTTCTTGATTCCTCAATTCGGGTTGCTGCTCTTTCTTTCTGGTAGGATCGAGGTCAGAACCTCATGCGTGAAGTGTCCTCGCGTTGCAACTCTGAGCGTCTGAGTGAGTGATTTAGGTGAGGGAGTGTGGTCAAAATAGGCGCAGACTAGGCGCAGACAACAGGTCACAGGCAAAGGGGGGTAGATGATGAAAACAAGATCCTCGTCAACAAAGCGGGTCCGACGTGTTCTAGTTGAAGTCAGTGTATGAGTATCTAGGGATGCAACGATACTTTTGATACATCTCTGTGTCTCCAGGTGACGAGACTTGATATGATATGAGATGATGGATCATTGATCACTCATCCTGTCTTCTGTCTTCTGTGCTCTCGATTTCCCTTGACTCTCCCCCCTTTTGAGCCCCAGCAGATAACGAAGAAGTGTGCCGATAGTTTCAAAACCATGCATGGCTGCTTTTTCTATCTTTGTGCTATGCTGGGAGTGCTGCTGTGCTGAGAGCGCTGATGGGTTGGGAGTGCTGCTGTGTTGTGAGTGCAGTGTCCACCGGGAGTACTGTTTGCGCCGGGAGTGCTACAAGTGAACACTCTCACTCATTCACTTTCTGCGAAAAATACCAAAAAAAAATCAATCCCCAGTGAACTCGGCAGGAATCGGCCTACTCGAGATTCGAACGGCGGACCAACCCAACCCGACAAGCTCTGCACCTGAGCGCTTCCTATCTGCAGGGTACACCGTCCGAGGTCGGCAGAGCTTCAGTCTGGAACCGGTACAGAAGGGTTGCGAGGGGGTAAGCAGAACAAGTTTCAGCCGCGCTTCCTTGCGGTTCCCTGAGCCAAAGCCAGTGCAAACGTCGAGCAACTCCTTGCCAGGTGAGGGTCGCCGCAGTTCCACAAGGGTTCACTGGCCCGGCCACAGGGAGAACGTCGAGCCAAACCGCTGCAAGTGACACCCCTGGGAGAGCTTCGGTGTGACCGTGGCTGGGGTGGATTGAGCTTGCAAGGTATAGGATGGTTGCCTGCACTGGGGATTTGAGACAGAATTCGACATGTTCAATATATCACCTCTAGAATTATTTTTCGGCGCAGTGAATGAGAAATAGTGGAGACCGCAGCGTGCTTTAGAGCGTGGGAGTGAAGTGAAGTGGAAGGTTTGGTGGTTAAAAGGAGAACGCGAGGCTGCGGCGGGCGCGACGGCGAGGTTGCGCGCCGACGAGGTGCGACACGACGCGCAAGGCTGAAGGGGGATAAACCCGCGCGGCCATTGGAAGCTGCAACGTCCAATCGACAGGAGGCAGGCCCTTGAGATTGAGATCGACGTGGACAAAAGGACATCGATGGGCAGGTACTGATGGACAAGGCTGAACCGTGTGAGATGAGGTTGATATCCGCGGCCGCCGTTGTGGTGGTGCTACAAAATGGTACTCGTACGTGCGTATGTATAGGGAGTCGCTCGGCGAGGATCCATAACACCAAATTTCGAGTTGAATATACGTCTCGAGGTACTCCGTTGGATGGGAGATGGGTATGCGCTGTGCTATGCTGTGGCAGTGCTAGGTGAGAATACGGCCGGGAGTAGGAATTCTACAAGGTCAGTAGGAACCACAGAAGGATCAACAGGAGCTGGATTGACATCACCAAGAATACTCGTATAGCATTTGAAAAGAGTACTCGATGTTGATAAGCCAGGCCGCCGACATCAACCATTTCAGGACCTCTTCCTGCTAGGTCTGGCATTTTTTTCTCTTCTCTTTTCTTTGGCCCTCCGCTCCTTGACCATATGATCCACACTTCGGAGTTCTCTTCTTCCTTTGTTGTCGCCCATGCCCTCGGCACGCTCCTTCGCACCGGCAGCCTTCTTCTTCTGCTTCTCGTAGTCTTCACGGTACTTGTCAGGTGCCTTGGGCATTTTGTTTGTTTTGTGTTTGAATCGTTTCCCTCCAATGCCACCACCGCCTGCAGTGGAAATATTACCCTCGGCCTCGCCGACTCTAGCCACGCGCTGAAGTCGATTCTCCTTCTTCCACTTTTCGAATCGACCGGAGCGGAAACTTGCAGCGATCTTTGCTCCTGATTCACCACGTACAAGACGTTTGCCCTTGCTACCATCATCGTCATTCTCCCGCCGAACGTACTTCTTGTGTCGCTTATCCCAGCGCATGATACTGCGTGCTTCACCAAAAGTCTTGCTAGATTCGTCCATTGCGAGGTCCATGGTTGCGGATCGTGCTGCTTCGGTAAAGTTGGTATTGCTCCCGGAGTGTACACCGTAAGCGCGGTCATCGGAGAGGTTGGTCGACGTTGGAAGATATGACATGAAATTCTCGGGATCGCGGAAAGAGTCGCTTGCATGAGCAGTTTGCTTTTTCTGTTTCTTGGTTTGCGGTTGAGAGAAGGTGACTTCTAGCTCATTGGACGAGGCTTCCGACATAGCATCGTCAAAGCCATTCTCATTTGCATCATCTTCCCACCCGTCTGCCTCAGCATTTGCCATAGGCACGGTGTCATCGTCGAGAGAACCGGCTTGCGATTGGATTGCGTCCAGAGACTTCTGCTTGCGAGTCTCAAGACCAGATCGAATCTTGCGGATAGCATCTATGGCATCGTCGTTGTTCTTCCGGCCACCACGACGAGCACCAATCTCAAAAATAGACTCCTGTGGACGAAACCCGCCAACTCTCGCTAGCATTTTCTCTCTTTGAGCCTCAAGATCATCTGACTGGTCATTGAACAGAGGATGTAGCTCTGACCAAGACTCAGATGCGACCAACTCTTTCGCCCTCTTCGCGCTCTCTGACGATGCCGAGTTTCGGGTACGCTGGTACAACTTCTCGCCCTTCATGGCAACAGACCGTAGAGCAGACAAGTCTGAATCACTTTCAAGCGATCTGCTCACCCATTCGCATGATGTCGTTAAGTCATCACGACGTACACCCCCAACAACAACATCTAAAGCGAAGTTGACATTTTCTTTGCTGGCCCGGCCAACTGAAAGTTTGCGACCGAGGAAAAGTTGTAGATCGAGTAGATAAGGCGCATCAGCGTCTCGAACAAGACTGTAACTCCACCCCTTTTGGCCCGCTCTTGCTGTTCGTCCAACTCGATGGACGTAGATTTTCGGTTGGGAGGGAAAATCGTAATTGATGACATTGGCCAAAACAGGAATATCAATACCTCGAGCAGCTACATCGGTGACAACGAGGATATTTGTCTGACCGGTTCGGAAGGCGTGGACCTGCGTCTTTCGTGCAGTTTGGTCAAGCGATCCGTACACGTAGGACACTGCATACCCAGCAGAACGAAGAAGGTGTGCAAGATACTCGACATGGTGTTTAGTGGCTGCGAATACGATAGTTGAGTACGGATTGGAACTGGGTAAAACGGATCCTTCGGCATCTTGTCGTTTTCTTTTCTTGCTTGATTTATCAGTATCTCCAGTAGTAGTCGAACTGATCAGTTGTGATTTGGTCGGTACTTTGGCGATCTCCTGAAGAAGATACAGCAGTGCCCCCTCCTTCTCGGACGACTTCAAGGTGAAAAATGCACTTTGCAGGTCGGGAGAGATCTTGCTGTCGGCGTCGAGTCTCACAAGCACAGGGTCTTGAAGACCTGCACGAGCAAATTCAACTAGAGATTTTGGCAGGGTTGCAGAGAACAGCAGCGTCTGCCGAGAAGCTGGTAAGGCGTGCAAGATTTCGGTCAGCTGGGCTGCAAATCCCATTTCAAACAGACGGTCTGCCTCGTCAAAGACGACATATCTCATGCTCGACAAATCCAAACCCATCTCGACCTTCAAATGCAGAAAGCGACCTGGAGTGGCGATAATGATGTCTGGATTGTTTGACATGGCAGAGAACTGTTCTTCGAGGCTGTCTCCTCCAACCAGTAGTATTGACCGCAAGTCCGTCCCTCTTCCAAGGTCTTTGACGACTTGTAACGTCTGCAACGCCAGTTCTCTCGATGGAGACAAGATCAAAGCCCTTGCACCGACCTTGGTGCTATGGACCTTCAGCTTCTCAATCAGAGGTATCACAAACGCAGCTGTCTTTCCCGACCCCGTTCGTGCCATGCCCACCACATCCTTGTCATTGAGTAGGAGAGGAATAGTCTTGCGCTGAATCGGCGTCGGCACGGAGAAGCCTTTTCTCGTGATGGCCTTGAGGAGGTTCGCGTTGAGGCCCATCGCCTGAAATCCACCACCCTTCTTTACGGTTCGGCCTTTCAGATTCGTGCCTTTGCGGTTCGATGCAGCCAGCTGAGCGGCGATGACTGCCTCGTCACCAGAACCCGAGTCTTCCCCTAGGACATCCAGGTCTGCATCCTGCACTGTGCCGTTTTCCTGATCCGACAGATTCGCCCCGGACTCGACATCACCGCCGAACAGTGCAGAGCCAATGTCGAATTCATTCTCGGAGCGGGCAGGTGAGCCCGATCGGCCCTTCATCGTGGCAGCCTGTGTCTCAAAACTGTGGAAGGAACTGCTATCCTAACTAGGAGCTCGCAAAGTCCATGTTGACCTTGTCGTCCTGCGTGCTTTCGTCTTTTGACCGAGTCGGAAAATTATATGCGCTACGACCATCGGAGGCCAAAAATTTCTGGGTCACCGCCTTTGGCAGAATCAGCTACTTACATAAGCGAGGAGAATTACAAGAGGCGCGTCGCAAACGCGTCTCGCTCAAGGCTTCATGCAGCCACTTTCCGATCGCCATCACTGACTTTTCAATCCAGACAAACATTCTCAACAACTGGACAGATGGGTAAGTCTCATCACAAGGACGCTGTTGGCGCTCTCACTGACCACTTGTATGCAGATTACGGCTACAACAACCAGTACTCAACCTCCTACGGTGCCAATGGCGGGGCCGACGGTGGCGGGTTTGTCGCAGGAGAACCACAGAGCAGTCCTGCGGCTGGAAGAGTACGTACAGCCTCAAGAACTGCTGGGCGCGGATTGACATGTACCGATAGGGGGGTTATGGAAAAGACACCGTTCGGCCCATGACAATCAAACAAATTCTCGACTCACAGCAACCTCACCCGGATGCAGATTTTCGAGCCGACGGTGAGCCCTTCGGCTTGGTAAGATATTTGGCCCTCTCTGATCGTGGATGGCTGCTGAGTTTCACAATGTAGGTTACCTTCGTCGGACAAATCCAAGGCATCAGCACACAGCCCACGAATATCACTTACAGAGTAGACGATGGCACGGGGATAATCGAAGTCAAGCAGTGGATCGATTCAGACTCCAGCAAGGGGGACAAGATGGACGGTGTCGAATCGGACAAGGCGAGGCTGGTTGAGAACGGATACTGTCGAGTCTGGGGCAAACTAAAGTCCTTCAACAACAAACGACATATTGGTGCCCACGTCATTCGACCGATCACGGACTTCAACGAAATCAACTACCATCTGCTGGAGGCCACTGCGGTCCATTTATTCTTCACGAGGGGGCCGCCTCAGGCACACCAGGCCAATGGCCAGCAGGCTACGAATGGCGGAGGCCAGCAGTTCGGAAGCGCCGCGGACGGAGCACTCCCGGGTGTGTCGCCCTTGGGACGGAAAGTCTTCCAGACACTCAAAAACACCGCGCAGACCAACGAGGGTCTGCATGTGCAGATGATTGCTTCGCAGATGGGTATGCCTGTCGCTGAAGTTTACAAGGGAGCAGAGGAGCTGCTGGCGATTGGGATGATCTATACGACCGTGGACGACAATACCTGGGCAGTTCTAGAGGCGTAAAGCGTTGATTGTAATGGTTGTCGAGTCTTCCTACGCAAAATGCCTACACCTACATGAACAGAGGTTTTCCGATTCAAGACCTGAAGAGGTCTGGCTGGATTGTTATTGACGACGAACTGGACAATATGGTATGACGATACGAGGGCGGCGGGAGACATCAAAATTGTGAGCCTTTTTACAAGTTTCAGGAATTAACGAGTGCATTGTACTACTTGTATCCCATCCGCAATCTCTGTTCTACAGTAATAAGGACGAGCAGCCGACGTGGCTCAAAGGCCGGTTGATCAAGTCCACGTCCACATTCTACGTTCATTCATTTGAAGGAACCCAGTTAGCTTGAAAAGGTGCCGTACGGGTATCATCTCGGTTCGGATGGAGATCAGAACTAGGCCATGATGGCAAAAATTGCTGGGACATCCGATTGCCAGTTTCCTACTCTCACTCTTGCTTTCACTCCCACTTCCGAGTCACGGACATGCTAAGAAAGTCTCAAAGCCTGCCTGACCAGTCTGACCACCCTGACCGAATAAACAATGACAACGACAAGAATTGCCGTGGCTGGTTGGGTATCTCGATTCCTCGCCTTCGTATTCAAATTCGTTAGTTGTCGACGTGCTTAGAGCGAAAAATGAGATATCGAGTCTATCGCACAACTGCACCCTTCAAAGTCTTAACCGTACACTTTCCCTTGCCTTCGACGATGAGGAGACCTTTCTCAGCACCACCAATCTCTGTCTTTGCAGCGTCAAACCCCACGACCAGATCTTCGCTCGTGAAGAATCCAGGCTGGATAGCTTCCCACTGCTTCTTCTTCGGGTTGAGTTGTTTCTCTGGACCACGGCCCTCACCGTACGGCCAGCCCTCGAAGAAGACCGGGTCCCCTGCCTCAGCGCCCTCGGGCGGGTTGACCAGCTCCACGACCCGGTCTGCCGCGTGGGGGTCTGCACCTTCCTCTGCGGCCGGTGACGCTGCAAGGACCATGGCCGCCGACTTGATGCTACGCATGTTGACGGGTTTCAGGTTCGCAACGACCACGACTTTGCGGTTCTGCATCTCCTCTAGAGGTACGAGGCCGTTGAGGCCTGAGCATACGGTGCGCACGACCTTGCCGGTCTCTTCGTCGACGGTGGTGTGCTCGGTCCCCTCGGGGTCACCCATTGCGATTGTCGAGACGTACAGGCTGTCGGCGTTCGGGTGCGCGATGGCCCGGAGAATGTGGCCGACTCGCAGGTCGATGAGGGCGGGGGATAACGGTGCAACAGGCGCGGCTGGCTTGGGCTGTTTAGGTTGTTTCGCTGCTTTCTCTTTCTTTTTGCCGCCTCCTGTTGCTGCTGCAGCTCGGGCGGTGGAAGGGTCTGCGGGTGCGGCTTCGACCGTGTTGGTTTTCACGTTCTCGGCGATCTCGTGGTTGAGTTCTGCCTTGACTTCCGCGGGGACGGTTTTGTCAGGAGATGACGAGTCCATTGTCGTTGTCTTGGGCGAGGATGCAGAGGTGGTGTCGGGTTGGGGTTTCGTGCGACCGACGACGAGGGGTTTGTGCTGCGCCGGGGCGGACGTCGAGGGAGGAGAGGACTCGGACGTCATTGAAGGTCTTGGGGAGTGAGAGGCAGACGGATACTCTCTGCTGCTTGAGGTTGCGAACGAGGTGTGGAAAAGACAACGACCGGTAAGTAGTAGGTCTGTGCGGAGGTGTGGGCGCAGTATGGAAGAACGGAGGGCTCGATAGGTCGTTGCAACAGGTGATGCAGCGTCTAATAGAGAGGTATTTGCTTTGGTGACCTGTACCTGGCCCGGTCGTGTAGTGAAGTGATTTTTTTGTCCGCGAAGTGGCGCTAGGAGGTTGTGGTGATGCCTCGATCGCTGGTGCAAGAGCAGGCTGTGGGAAAAGCTGGAGCTATATTTCCGGGCCCCTTCAAAGCCGCCACGTGCTCCGCTGTTTAGAAATGTCCCAGAAGGTCGACTGGTCTGCGTGTTGGAAGATGTTTGGTGTGTTGGCGTGCGTTGTAAAGAGTCAGAGGAAAAGTCGAAGGCCGAGTTGGAGTCGTTCGAAGGCAACTGTGCGGAGCGCAAAATTTGTGTCTGGCGGCCACATTCAGGTCCAACTGACTGGCGCAATACTTGACGGGCACTTCTTCTGCCAGCAGCATTCATCGTGTGAAGCTGGACTACGCTGGATATTTTCTTCTTGCAGGTGGGATGTTGCTCGAGGTTCAGATTAGTTCGCGACCAGAGAGATGGCGGGTTCTGTGCCAGGAGAGATTCTGGGCAGGATTCCCCCCTTTTTACTGACGAATATTGCACTGGAGTTCACATACTTGTGGGATCAACGTGTGCATTCGTTTCTATAGAAGAATGACCAACTTTGGAACAGGGACGTTTTTGTCCAGGATAATCAAGTCGACTGTCTGACTCTTGAGAAGGACTGTGAGCCGGCACTGACCAGCCTAGTTCTCCTAGTTCCAACTACTTCTCTCCCTCCTTCACGACAGCCCGGCATCAATCCTTGACCCTATCGACCAAGTGACATTCAAGCGATAGGGATGTCTCGAGCAGCGGCATGCCTCGGCATCAGATCCAAAGCCTTCCAACCCTGACAGCTAGAGTTTCTCACTCCATGACATTCTCCCTTCACTGCACTCTTTCCTCACCCCCAGATCCGGGCTGCGACTTCTCAAGTTTCGTTTCGTGTTCTTCCGTCGACTTGGACTCTGAAGAATGCCTCACTTGCTGATGTGAGCCTGCTTGAAACAGACTCGATTTCTTCTCTCTTCCTGCGGGGCCGGTGACTTGTGGCCGCTTGGGCTGTAGTGACGAAATCATTCAGTAGTATTGTCGCCGGATCGAGAACCAATGGTGCTGTTATTATTGGCACTTTTCTCAATGGACTCGGGCTTGTAATGAAAGGAACTGAAGGGCGAGAACAAAAGAACAAAAAGTTCCGAGGTGGAACAATATATCGCCACGATCCGATCACGTGGGCAGTATTGTCCACGGGAGGATTTGCTCGACTCAGAAAGCCTCGTGATACTCGAGGTATTGCAGACTTTGTCTCTCTTCGTATGACATAGCGATAATCGAAGTGTCGACAAGCCGTCTCAGTTGCTTACGATCATTGTGACCCCCAGTCTAAACATGCGAAACTCAAGCCCCACCCAACTTTTCTGTCGAAAGTTCACCGAGCTCAGCTCCATGCATCCGAACTCGGTAAAGGCATGTAAAGTCCGATCCATAGTTCGAGACTACGCGTACCACAAACCGCTGGGCTGAGTAGATATTCGAATGGTCATTCACATCAAGTCTGAATGCTTGAACGTGAGGTGCCTCCTTGGAAGCGTCATACTCCATCTGCCCAATCATGCCCCAAGTTGGGCCAATCGGGCTGTCTCCCTGCATAGATCTAATGCCCAGTGCCATCCATTCGCGGCTGTCAAGATGCTCAAAGTCGGCCCAGATCTCGATATGTTTGGGAGTAGCTCCGGGGGAGCGCGACCCAGCAACGGGATAATTCTCCAACACGACCTCTTTCGGATAAATCAGTCGAGCAGTTCGAACCCCTAGTCTCATTGTATCCTGATCTGTTGAGGATGGCGATGAGCACCAGCAGTCGCCCACATCTTGCCATGCAGAAAGAGCAGCCTCGGCCTGCTGTGTTTGATAGTATGCAGATCCCAAAAGACGCCAAAAGACCCTGTGGCCGATTGATAGCGGCGTGAGTAGAGTCGGAGAAGTGAGTCGAGGCTCTACCAGTGCTCCAAGCTTTGGGGAGAAGTAATTGACCTTTGCGATTACCGGTGATGCGACGTCTCCCGAGGATGTTGTCCGCTCCAAGTTTAGCCCGGCAATGCGATTTGACAAGTCGAACTGTTGTTGTCGTAACTTTTCCATATCTTCCTTTGTTTTGGCAAACTGAGTGTCAATCTTATCGTTCAGCCGTAACTCAAGAGAGCGTATCTGGCTGTTAAGGTTGCTCAGGGTGGCCGACAACTTGGACAGATCCGCGTTGTTACCGCCGGTGACATTGAACAGCGCATCAGGACTCCGAACGCAGCTACCGCAATATTTCTGCAAAGCCAATCCCACTGGAGATGTTGTGTAAGGGTCACACACAAAATGATTATAACTGTAGCAGAAAAGAAGACTCGTCGCAGCCATCATCAGCATAACGAAAAGTAGATGAATAAAAATCGGGATGATTGATGAGTGTGGAAGGTCCTTGACCACTCTGCCACTCTCCTGCAACAGCTGCTGTGTCCAGTCGAGGAATGATGAAGACAACTGAGAAGCCTTCTCTCCAGACTGTTGGGCATAATGTTTTGATGCGGCCCACGTCTTGCGGAGAAATGGTTGTTCAACCTGCCGGACTGTTATGTTGGGTCTTCGAAGGCCGCGCTCATAGTTGTAACTGTGCTCAAATATGCCACTTGGGAAGCTAGAGGGATCGGTATCTTTGTGGGAAGCTACATCCTCCGCAGTGCTGCGCGAAACATCCTCTTCGGGTATCTCGTCGAGTTGACTGCTTTCGAGTGAACTAGCCCAAGCGGCTACTCGTTGGGTCTTGCTCTTCTCCACGTCGTCAATTCCCGCAGACGGGTCTTGAGAGTTTTCTCGGGACGCCCTGCGGTGAGCTCTCTCACCGCGAGACGTTCTTTGTAGGTTTGCATGAGCTTCGTCGGCATGATCCCGGAGGTGTTGGTCGGCTTGTTCAACGCCAGCGTCAAGCGTCGCAGCAATTTCTCTCAGGTTCATCCTACCTCTTGGGATCAGCTGAGTCGGTAACATAGGCGTCTTGCTCGAGCCATAAGCGTACGACTGCTGGATCTTCACCTCGGGCAATCTTGGCAGGTCGGCACCGGCCCCCTCGGCCAAGTTTGACTGTCGAGAGGCACCTCGAGTTGTCCGCTGAGGAGCAGCATTCTCCGGAGACACGACACTGTTTGCTCGAGTTGACCGCCTTGTGGGCGACGCGCCCCGGACAGGCGTTGCGCTTGGCCCCCGGGCTGTAGATCGCCGTGGCGGCATATCTGGCTAGATGGTATCGGAAGCCTCTGGTGGAACGTCAATCGGAGAAACCGCGTACATACGGCGGGTTCATGTCATGCGTTTGGGCTCCTCAGATGCAGATACACCGCAGCGAAGGTCCTACGTCCAAGCGAACTGTGAGATCCTCGACGGTGGACGAGGTAATGGTGAAAGGTGAAGGTGAGATCTGCTACCGGAGTAGCCTAGCCATTCGCGATTAGACTTGGCGATATGATATTGAATATTTGTTGTGTGACTTCGCACCAAGTTTCGATACAACAGTAAAGCAAGTCGCGACCTGATACAGCAGAGTGATTCGATACTCATACGTGATTCAAGCAGAGTTTTGCGCGTGCAAATAATCGAGCGTTTGGACAGCAGATGACGTTCCAAGCCGCAATAGTGAACCAGGACTCGTGTCAGTTGAAGGCGCCGTCATTAAGAAATGAAATCGAGGTTGTTTTGCTACCATGATGATTCATTGTTAATGGGACGCGTCGACGCATTGTTTGAGGTGGCCGAGTCCGGCTACAAACATTCCAGTCACTCGGTCACGTGATGGCGACAGGGTGTGATTCTAGCGTCGGGTTCGGTACTACTTATTCCCGACTCCACATTGGCTTACATGCTCTTACGTATATATAGCGGCAGGTCACTCCCTCACTTATAGTTAGTCAAGCAATTTCTTCACGCCGCCACAACCACAGATAGTAGCAACGCACGCTTGCGGAGACAGCCGTATCTCTCCGCAAGGGCAGCTAACGGGCTGGATAGCATCGTTTATAGTTATCTCGATCTGTCTGTGTCTCTGCGCCTCTATATATCGTCGATGACGGCCCTTAACGATATATAATAACAGCGAGGTTAATAACGACCTTGAGAATAGTGTCATTATATAAGGGATTTTTTGAACGAGAATTCGGCTAAGTAAATATATAACTACTTATATCTAGCTATCTTTAGCTATTAAAAAAAGACAGAAAGAATATAAATGAGAAGTGAGTTTTAAACATCACTATCACTTTTTAACCACCCTCTTAGAAACTTTTCTTGTTTTCTTTAAATTTATATATAATTAGTTATAATGATATAAAAAAATACGTAATTTTAAGGCTAGAAGAAATTATATTATTAAAAAGAAATTAAGAAAAAGAGAGAGAAGAAGAATAGAAAAGAGGTCTTTAATATTCTTCTTTAATTACTATTCTTTACGCTTTATTTTTTTCTCTTTAGAAAGATCTTAAGAATATAGCTTTCTTTTTATCGCCTAACTTTATCTTAAAGGGTAGTGAGTTAGGACAATAAAATATTATGAATATAAATATTTATAGATTCTTTTAGTATCTAGTCACTTTAACTTAAGCTAACTTTTACACTATTAAATAGCTTAATAAGATATTATAGAATTATATTTATATTAGTGAGTAATATTAAAGTGATATAACTTATTACTCTATAATATAAAGATTAAAGATTAAAAAGCCTTATCTTTATAATAATAATTATAGTAATAATTAACTTAATAACTATATATATAATATTATAAATTAAATTAACTTCTATAATTAATAAGAATAATAAATTAATAAATCTAAAAAAGTTAAAATAATATCTAACTATTTAACTAAAAGAATATATTATATATATATTCTAATTTATAGATTAATATAGACTATTTTAGACTATCTTTAATAATTATATAAAATCTTTTAAGATAATAATAAATAATTTCGACTACAAGATAAATAATATATCTATATTTAATAAAAATATTTTATTATAAACTATATATAAGACTTTATATATTTTATAGTATATATTAAATCGTAAAAGTTAGAATCTAAAATTAAGAAATATTTTTAAACTAAATTAAATAAAATAATTTAGATAGATATAGCTAAATATTCTAAATAAGATAATCTCGACTTATTTAACTATATTAAGTGTATAAACTATTAGTAATAAGTTAAAATCGCTAAAAAATAAGTTAAATAATATATAGATCACTATATAATAGATTATATTATATTAATAATAATAATAATAATAATAAAGTTTTATTATAGTCTAATTTAGCTCTCTTTTAAGACTATATAGACTTTAGTAATTTTCAAGAAAAAACCTAAATCTTATCAAGATTCAAGAAAACCTTTAACTCCCTTCTAAGTCGTCTGTGTTTTATAGATACCTTTCTTACTACTCTTTCTGTCGCTTTATAATTATCTTTTCCTTTAATTTATAGAAGGTCTTATTTTATTACTTAGTATAGTCTCTTAAAGATATATACTCTAATATCTCTTTCTCTTCTATCTTCCTCGCAAATTATAGATATCCCAGCACCCCTTGTGCGAGCAGTCAGCGAGCTATATACTTCGCGGCCTTAGGCCTTGAGAGTATCTTGTTAACTCTTTATATTTTGTAAGCCTAGAGAAGCTTCTCTTATTTGTACTTTTAGTAGTGTAGAAGAATATAATATATTATTTCTATATATTGACCACATAAGTATAGCGAGAGTACACCTAGAATATTGATTCTTGCTAGCTATCTATTGAGCCTAATTATCTCTATCCTAAAAAGAAATAATGTTATCGCTTTAGCTTTTAAGAGGCCTGTATAGAGTGTATATTTATCCAGCTTCTAGTTGATTATCTAGATTATTAGGGGATTAGGACCCCTTAAGGTCGCTTTAGTCTTTTCTTATCTAGTTTTTTAGTTATGGTCTATAGCTCTATAAAGAGTTACTCCCTTTAATGACAGTACTCTTAGGCGGCGATAGTGATATTGTTCACGTAAGATTCGCTAATAACTTATCTCCCTTTCGATATAGATATCTATCTTCTCTTAAGCACATTCTCTAATAAGATGTGAAAGCTTCACTTAATATTAATATCTTGTTCTGAGACTATTTTATACTCTCTTAAATACTTTCTAGATACTCTTCTTAACTAGATTATATATAGTTCGCAGTGTACTTCTTCTTACCTAGATAAGGACGACAAGATCGAGTGAGAATATATATATCTCTCTCTCTAGAGCGACTTAGAGGGTTTTTTTATACTCTCTTATTATACTTTAAAGATATCTATTTTATATCTTCATTAATAGACTAATACACAAGATTAAGAGCGATTCTTACACAATTTATATACTTTATTTCTATAAGCTATAAAGAAAGATTAACTATACTATCGCTATATAGAGAAGCTTAGTATTTTATATTAATAGTTTCTAGATTAATATAACTAGCTAAGCCAATATCTCTAATACTATAAGTCTCTTATAGACTATATACACAATATACTCTTTCTATATAAGCTTTAGGTTAAGCCACACACCAAGAATCTTAATCGCCTTTTATTTCGAGACAATTTTCTATTCTACAATCTAAATACTATTTATCTATAGATCGTTAGTGAGTTATCTACTTTTTATAAAATAAATAAACTAGTATTTCTCTAGAGCGAATTTCGCCTCATAACTCTCTATTCATTTCTTGTATTCTTAATAAACTATATTTAGTCTATAATAGTTATACTTCTCGCTTAGACCTTACACGATAATATTTATATTGTTAATAAAGCTAAAGTCTATAGTGTTATCTTATCTATTAATAAGGCTTTTAAGGAGCCTTAAGATATAGAAGAGAAATAAAATTGATGATAGAGAGAAGCCCTATAAGATACCTATTTCGATATCTATCTAGTTACTCTTATGCTCTATATATATAATTTATATATATCTCCTAGATAGAAAGCTTTAAATAAATTTAACTAGCTATTTCGGGAAGCCCTTTCTTGTGAGGATATTAAGTAGTGTGTTGTGAGATATATTGTTAAAGATTCTCGCGATATCGAGGCTTAATATTAATACTATATAGCCTAGCCACGCCTGTCACGCCCGCTCTATATAAGCTATTATAAGGCTAATAATTAAGAGTGTTAATCTATCTTAATATCTACCTATTTAGTTTTAAGGGAGAAGGTTATATTTCTTGGTGACGTTTATTATGCGATTAGTTAGCGCTTTCTCTGTGAGCTTCGCTAAAGTATTCTTAAGGGCTATTAGTCTATACACGCCTAAGAGAGAGTAGTCTTTCTTCTCTTTCTTCTTTAAGGCTAGAGTTATAAACTTCTTTATCTCTCTAGAGAGCTCCCCTTATACGAGAGCCTTACTTATCGCGTGCGCTAAGCGGTCATTAATTATGAGTAAGAGTTACTTTAGTACTTTATTTAGTATTTTATTAAGCCTTAAGGCTTTTTAATTTAGGAGCTTAACTATTAAGCTATAAACTTTATTCATTATCACCTTCTACTGAATATTTAGCGCGTTTATTATATACTCCTTACACTCTCTTTATCTGCTTATTAAAAGAGAGAAGAACTTCGCTCTAAGGATTTCATCTTTCTAGGTATCTATATAGACTAGATTATCTTCTAATATATAGTGTAGTGATAACAAATAAGGGTCCTTATGCGTGATATATATAGCTCTTTTGCTCTATCTAGTCATTCTCTAGATATTGCTCTTGTCCTTATTCTATATAAGGCTCTTAATATATTAGCGCTAGTTAGCTCTTATGTTTCTCCTTAATTCTTGTTTCAGTCTATCTATAAGGTGATATAATTTTTATAGTGTCTCCTGGTTTTCTATTATAGTGTATCTACGCCTTGTATATCTTAAGCTTATTAGTAGTTTAAATACTATTAGTAACTAGTTAGGCCTCGCTCTCTATAATGGCCTAATCAAGGGGTAATACCTTCTTAGGCTCTTTATAATTGTTTATTATAGACCTTTTAGAGTGTCTTCTAGTGATATAACTTTAATGTCTTTTTACAGGCTATATATATCTAGTTTATTGAGTGCGAATCACTTACTCTCTATCTATAATATTATTAGGTCGATATTTAGAAGGAGACAAATTAGAATATAGTCTTTTGTTAAGACTCACTATAATATTATCTTGTAGTATACTATTCTTATGCTAATCACTTGCTTCGCGAATGCGAGATCGATAACTGATTTTCTAGTTCCTCGTTACTAGGTAATATCTCCTTATTCTGTAAGTAGCTATAGTCCCTTAATCCCTATAGCTTAAAGTAGATGGTCTATATACTGATCGCAGACGATTTCTCTTTCTTCTCATTTAGGGTGATAAGTATTAAAGTCGTCTAGAAATATTACTTAGCCCTAAGCTTGATCTATAGCCTATTAAATTATTAACTATATAGAGAGCCTTATCTTGTTGCCTAGAGAGTTATAGATATTAATAATTAAGATATTTCTGTCTTAAAGGCTTAGTTCTAGTCTCGCTATATTCAGTCTATATTATCTACAGTTTCAGTGTATTATGCTTATATCTCTCCTAATCATGAAGCACACCTTTATCTTTAGTGTTGCCTTATACACTAGCTAGTAGGGCTTTAGGTAGTATATCGATTTTATATACTTATTTCAGCCTAGTGTTACGAATCGACCTGCGAGCAGGCCGCATACAAAGCTGTGACGACAGCCAGGACAAGAGAGGAAGCTATGCCGGGAAATCACGTGTGAAGAACCACGGCACGGATCACGTGATACGCTCAGCCGGCTCAGCCCTGGGGACGCTGAGCACCGCTGAGCACCACTCGGGGATGCTCAGACATGCTCAGTGTGCTTGGCCTAAGCACCACTGAGCGGGACTGAGCAGTGACGGATATATATACACGGTCGTTCCATAGCTTTACCACGTAGTCAACTTCGTTCACGATCATACCCATACGTTTTGGACTATGATCACTTCGCTCTAGTACTCGCTCAAGTACTCCGTTCTCAGCGACCTCGCCTCCTATACTTCCCACTTATCAAGGAACGATACGTGTAGTGACACCCCGGGTGGAGCGAAACGTAACACTTTGACTACCACTTGATTGGAAGTATTCGACACGATGTCTAGCTCCAAAGCTCCTATCCGCTCACCATCCCCTACTGGGTCGGTTCGGTCCGCCGCGCCGGGCGCACCCACACCAGGACCCACCTCCACTGTCACCTCCAGCTATGGCAACTATGGCAATCACGGCAAGGACGATACCAAGGTTGACGTGTTCTATGGATCTCGTGAAAAGTTGAGACTATTCATCACCTAACTCATCGCGACTTTCAAATTGAACCGCACCAGGTATGTCACCCATGAAGACAAGGTCTTATTCGCGGGACTTCACATGAGGGGATCAGCCTTCCATTGGTTTGAACCTATCATGATGGACCACATGACGTCCCCCGAAGGACAAAAGGACCCGGAAACCATTGCCATTTTCTCCAACTTCGCGACATTCATGGAACGACTCAAGCAAATGTTTAGAACTCCAGGGGAGGAACAGGCCGCGGCCCAACGAATCTACCAACTCAAGCAGAAGGGGTCAGCTGCGCAGTACTATGCCCTGTTCAAGAGGCTTCAGGCCAAACTGGATTGGGACGACAACGTACTTACCGCTGCCTTCTACACTGGCTTAAAGGACAACATCAAAAAGGAGTTGAGACCGGAGAGGCCTGACACGTATCAGGGGTTAGTCAACAAAGCCATCGAAATTGATAACTGGCTATACGAGTTAGGATTGGAGAAGAAAGGATACCATGGAAAGATGGGTGGCGCGTACTATAAGGGCAAGCGCACCAACTACCAGTCTTATGGTGATCCGATGGACCTTGACGTTATTGAACGAGGCCGGTCCTCACGACCGAAAGACAAGTTCCAACGCAAGGGGCTATCCAACAAGGAGCGAGAACGACGCAAGAAAGAAAACCTGTGCTACAACTGTGGAAATCCGGGACATAGGGCTAACGAGTGCGGTACGAAGCCCGTAGGACTGCATATGATTGAAGCCGGTATTGAAGAAGAAAAGGCCGACACTCCAATTGAGAAAGAACTCGAGCGCCTGAGACTTGAGAGCAAAGAACAGATCCGGGGATTGAGGAGCCTAGAACCCAAAAGACAACAAATGATAAAGGCATACCTGGATGGCCTCAAGAAAGACAACTCAGAGCAGGCTAGCCGCGCCGAGAGAGCACAGAAGAGGAATTCCGAAGGAACCCAGACGGAGGGAGCGACTCCGGTACCACTGTTAATGGTCAACGGTGAAGAGGTTACCGACACCGCAGGAACCTATCCTGGCCGAGGTCGGTAGGATGAAATAGCCACGGCACGAAAGACCGACGAAGAGCGGCCAAAACACGCGAACTTATCATGGACAGCCTGCCACGACGACAACTACCCCATCCACTACTCTGACAAGCAGGGTGCAGGATGGTTCCCTCACGGAAAGAAGCGCAAGAATCGTCGAAGCAAAAAATCCAAGAGAAAGGAAGTCGACTGAGAAGAGCCTGAAACAGTGGCCATGGTGGAAGCGAGATCATCATCATACGAAATAATTAGCATCGGATACGGGTTTGCACGAATCAGGACCCGTCATTGGGAACATAGCACCAACGGGGCCGTGTTTAGCCCACACACTAATGTCGAGCAAGACTGGATATCACTGAGGTTGGAAAGGTGCTTCTAGTAATACAGTTTTAAAGAACCCTATATCCACCTGGCAGGAGAAGAACGATACCAATTCCCGTTCAAACTGCTACGGGAATGGACCCCGAGCCAGATGAACTGGGAAGTCGCAAGCACCTACGACCTTATAAGCAGAGCGAAAACGCTGGTGATGGTACGAACACATTATTGGACCAGAAGAGGGGACAGGACCTTCTTGAGCCTATATCGGGGAAAATAGCTAACAGAGTATGTCCTCATCATGCGTATCTGTCAAGAACCCAACTGCATCGGGGGGTCCCGTCTATATACACACGATACGTGGGGAATGCCCATAATCCATCATTTTCCATTCGACAACAACTCCGATAAGGAAAACAACGAACCCAGCGACCAAGAAGAAGACGAAACGTTCGTTTGGGTGGAGTCCGACACCCAGAGAACGGCTACACCAACAACAGGGACACGACACGAAGAAAAATACAGAATAATTGCTAATCATAGCAGTGTGGCAGTACTCACGACGAAGTACTGGAAGAATATACCATGCACCCAAATATGCAGGAGGGGTTGCGCCACGGAACACAAAAGATTCGATCCTAAAGGAAGTCCGAGGAACAAGGAAGACCTAGTACCCGTGACAAAATGTGAAGGAATGTGTAAAGGACCCACTCACACACACGACGTACTAGGGGAGGACCGTTACGATTTCACATTCGGCGAAGAACCGGACTCGGGCGACTCTAAGCCCGAGTGTGACACCGTGTTGTTCCACGGGTACTGTCACGCGGTTATCGAGACGCTGAACTGGATCTACTACGAGGAAGGAGTACCCGGGACGCGTATGGTCAACAACGGGCTCAAGCTGAACTATGCTCAGGAGCAGGAGGAAAGGAGGTCGGTACCTATATGGCGATGCTTCAGGTGCCCAGGCCTAGCTCCTCATACACATCAGACTGATACCGGAGAACCCTACTTCTTCCCATTCAAAGAACGTGACGATCTAACCCCAAAAGAGATCGACCAAGACGTGGCGGGACACTACATCGAAGGAGAAAGGACGAGGGACGTTATGGTCATAAGAACATATCATTGGGTCCAGATAGCAGAAGGGGTCCGGAGGTACAGCCCCTACACTAACCCAAATGCCCACTGGGTTTCTATAACCTTATGCTTGTGTCACGACGAGCGGTGTCCGCACGAGAGAGAACACACACACGATGTGATTAGAAGCGAAACACACTACCTACTATATGAGTCGGAAGATCTCATGGTAATCGGTACCCCTGAAAAATCCGATGAGGATAACTCGTTCAAGTTTGTTGTTATCAAGACAACTAAAACACACCTCTAGTTCTCAACCCCGTTTTGGAGGCCAGTAAAATATGAGCGGATAAACTGCCTGAACGGAGCATCACATTACCACCCGGAGTTCGACCCCAAAACAAGCGAAAAGGATAAAGTCCTCGTGTTAGCCAAAAAATGGTGTACTGACATAACGTGCACCCATACACCCAGAATACACACACATCTCACAACGGAGGATGTGATCGAACCACCGATCGAGGTACTCCTATATATTTTCGGAAGCAGGGATACGACCATAAACGACGTGCCAAAAAACTAGGCGGAGAACCTATCATGAGGCGGAAGGTCCCACGCAACAAAAAAAAGCCTCGGAAACGCTACATCAACATGATACAGACTCAGTGTTCAACGCCATTAGTCTTCAGCGCCAGACTAGCTGATGAGCCTGTCTAAGTGATGATTAATAGTGGAGTAAGCCGAGACTACGTGTCACTAAAAACAGCAGCAAGACTGAACAAGCAACGGAAAAAGAATCCATACCCGGTCTTTATGGTAGACGGGACGCCAGGTGAGTACGATGGCGGATGGATACGACAGGAGATTCGCGACGCCTATCTAGAGATTGGGGAGCACAGAGAGCAGGTCGAGCTTGATGTGATGCCGATCAAGTATGATATCATCCTAGGGATGAAGTGGCTAAAAGAACACTCGCCAGTGATAGACTGGAAAGAAGGAACCTTGTCCTTCCCAAATTGCAGTCACGGGAAGACAAAGAGGAAGAAACGATCAACTTCCGTTATACCCCTACAGAGGGCGATATAGGTACAACCCAGGAGAAGGGCCTTAAACGAAATACGAGAGGAAAGCCTACCTGAGGAATATAAGGACTTCGCAGATATCTTCAAAGAAAGAGAAGGCATGGCCGCGCTACCAGAGCATAAGCCATGAGACCATGAAATAACGCTCGAAGAAGGGAAAGTGCCGAAGCACAACGGTTAGCTTCGACCCTTATCCCCAAAGAAAGAAAGCTTCCTCAAGGAGTACGTGGAGACTCACTTGAAGAAAGGCTTTATTTGACCATCCAAGTCATCCATAGCACACGGTGTGCTGTTCGCCCCAAAAAAGGATGGATCTCTTCGACTATGCATTGATTTCCGACCACTCAATGCGATCACCAGGAAGAACCGGTACCCACTACCCTTGATCAAGGAGCTGCAGGACAGACTCCTTGGTGCAAAATACTTCACCGCGCTCGATATACAAGACGTCTATTACCGAGTACGAATGAAGGAAGACCATGAATAGATGACGGCTTTCAAAACCAGCTTTGGGTTGTACGAGTATTGTGTCATGCCGTTTAGATTGACCAACGCCCCGACATCTTTCCAGGAACTAATCAACGACACGCTACGAGAATATCTCGACGACTTCGCAGTCGCATACTTGGACGATGTACTCATATTCTCGAAGACGTACGAGGAACATGTGCGGCATATTCGAAAGGTTCTGAGAAAACTTCAGGAAAAGGACCTACCGTTGAAACTTAGCAAGTGTGAGTTCCACAAGAAACGGATTCGATTCCTAGGCCACATCATATCCGATCAGGGTATCGAAGTGAATCCCGATAAAATAGCGCCAATCAAGGACTGGCCAGAACCCAAGAATGTCACGGAAGTACAGTCTTTCGTTGGACTACTCAACTACTACCGAAGATTCATTGAGGGATTTTCGAGGATCGCAGCGCCTCTGACGAACCTTACCAAGAAGGACGTCCCGTTCAAGTTCGGACCAGAATGCAGGAAGGCATTCGAACACCTCAAAGAAACCATCACGACGGCGCCAGTACTTGCGATATTTGACCCTGAGCTGGAATGCCAGGTAGAGACAGATGCATCGGACAAAGCGATCAGAGCCCGCCTCACGCAAAAAGGGCCAGATGATAAGACCCGGACGATCGCGTACTTTTCAAAGAGAATGACAGAGCCGGAGTTGAATTACGACATCCACGACAAGGAACTACTCGCTATCGTGACATGTCTCAAGGAATGAAGAGTATATCTTGAAGGCGCTAAGTATCAAGTTCAGATCTACACTGACCACAAGAACCTATTGTACTGGACAACCACAAAAGAACTCAACCGCAGACAGGTTCGGTGGGCCGAAACGTTGGCACCATACGACTTCAAGATACATCACGTTCGAGGAAAAGAAAATGCTGTGGCAGACGCGCTCAGCAGACGGCCAGATTACATGGAAAACATCAAACCAGAGCCCATGGCAGTACTCAAGGAAAAAGATGGCGCCTTGACCTACGCAACACCTGAGATAGAGGTGCTGGCTCTTATCGACATTGAGCTGACAGAAGAGCAGAAAGAAGAAATCATCAAGGGACGACACGATGATAAGTCAGCAGGACATCCAGGTATCGAGAAAACGCTCGAGTTAGTCACGAGGGACTTTACCTGGAAAGGGGTCAAGAAAGACGTAACAAAATATGTCAAGAACTGCGACACATGCCACAAAGCGAAGCATGCAAGGCATAAACCCTACGGGTTACTCCAGAAACCGGCAATACCAAGAGAAGCATAGCATACTATTGCATTGGATTTCATCACAAAGCTACCAAAATCCAGAGAACCCCTCACGGGTGTGGAATTTGACAGCATACTTGTGGTAAATGATATCCTGACCAAATACGCGGAATTCATCCCATACAAGGAGTCATCAACAGCGGAAGACTTGGCGTACGCATTATACAAGGACGTCTTCAGCCGACATGGGATGCCGGAAGAAATACGCTCGGACCGGGACAAGCTGTTCACATCACAGTTTTGGCAATCGCTAATGGACCTCACGGGAGTCCACCAAAAACTGTCAACAGCCTTCCACCCACAGAGCGACGGGCAAACAGAAAGAACAAATCAAACGCTGGAATAGTATTTACGGTGCTATGTCAATTTCCAGCAGAACGACTGGGTACAGCTACTACCCATAGCGCAATTTGCATTCAACAACAAAGCAGCAGCAACAGGAATATCACCATTCTACGCAAACCACGGGTTTCACCCAAGGATGGATAAGGATGCCAGGGGCATCAAACCAATTACAGAAAAGGCAGCAATCTCGGTTGAGAAATTACGATCACTACACGAACTTTTGAAGAAAGAACTTGAGAAGATATCACAAAAAACAGTTGAAAACTCGAACAGGCGAAAACTTGAACAGGCGAAGATCTGAGGGACCAGACTTCAGAGAAGGGGAGGCAGTGTACCTTCTCAGGAAAAACATCAAAACACAACGACTATCTGACAAACTAGATCACACTAAGATTGGACCTTACAAGATCAAAAGGAAACTTGGACCAGTGAACTTTGAATTGGAACTACCTGGAGGGATGAACATTTATCCAGTTTTCCATAAATCGCTTCTTGAAAAAGCACCACCGAACGCCAAACCAGGACCGGTGCTAATACATGAGGAAACCCAACAACCGATGTACGATGTAGAGGGGATCCTCGACCATCAAAAAACCAATGGAAAACTATGATACCTGGTCAAATGGTTAGGATATGGACACGAAGAAAACACATGGGAACCATCGGAATATCTCTCAGGGGACATGGTTAAGGAGTATTTGAGGAAGAAACGGAGGAGGAAACTCACCAAACATTTGACGCAACTATGAGGGGCGGTCAATCGGGATGGGGCCTTCGAAGTTTAGAAGGGCCCCCGGTGACAACTCAAATATCTCCTCGAGTTGTTTGTCATCCATGCCAATAAAAACGGTGGCTGACGCTTTTTCGGGAGGATCCACGTGATCCAAAGCATCCAGCGATTCGGCCTCCCGCACCAGCATCTGCTTCTGCTTTTCCAACAACAGGTCGGCCTCACGCTGAAGACGCTCGCGTTCAGAGTGGGCCTTATTGACGGCGGCAATCAGTTGGGCCAGCTCTGCGCCCTTTTGGCGGGCCGCCTCGACGAGGCGATTTCGTTAAGCAGTCAGGGAGTTAAACTCTTCATCCGAAAAAGTGCCGTCGCAATACTTCACGCCCTTCTTCGTGCAGGATGAACACTTACTGCAGCCATCAAGAACGAAACAGACGGAGTTCGAGTTTTGGCAAGGTGTGCAGCGACCCATACCGGACAATTCGCGACCAAAGGACTCGATACGATCGATCAGTTTCTGACGACGGAGGGTTAAGGGGCGCGCGGGCTTAGCAACACGGAACTGAGGCATAGTAAGCCATGAGAAAGGAAGAAGAGAAGGGCACGAGGAGGGGGAGGCACTCACTTATATACGTTGAGGACAACGAATGAATCTAGGAAGGGGAAAGTGTTACGAATCAGCCTGCGAGCAGGCCGCATACAAAGCTGTGACGACAGCCAGGACAAGAGAGGAAGCTATGCCGGGAAATCACGTGTGAAGAACCACGGCACGGATCACGTGATACGCTCAGCCGGCTCAGCCCTGGGGACGCTAAGCACCGCTGAGCACCACTCGGGGATGCTCAGACATGCTCAGTGTGCTTGGCCTGAGCACCACTGAGCGGGACTGAGCAGTGACGGATATATATACACGGTCGTTCCATAGCTTTACCACGTAGTCAACTTCGTTCACGATCATACCCATACGTTTTGGACTATGATCACTTCGCTCTAGTACTCGCTCAAGTACTCCGTTCTCAGCGACCTCGCCTCCTATACTTCCCACTTATCAAGGAACGATACGTGCAGTGACACCCCGGGTGGAGCGAAACGTAACACCTAGTTCCTGAATTGCTAGGATAAATAATTAAGTGAAGTTATTAAATAGCGCGCGTATAGTATACGCGTTTAAGTTACCGCAGTTATATTAAATAATCTTTAGTCTATTTATTTTGAGAGCTAAATTCTGAAATCTCTTCTAGTATCTAGCTCTTAGTGAAGTTAATACGACTTTATTACAAGTTATATACTATTACTTTTATTGTCGTGAGCCTGTTGACTCTTCTCAAAATTATTAACTTTAAGGAGACTTCTTGAGAGTGTTTATTAGACATTATTATCTATCTCTAAGTATCTATTACTATCTAGTTAAGTATAACTTATATATTAAGTATATACACTCTCGCTATAAGATATTTATAGGTCACTTTATTATGATATTATTGATAGATAGTGTATTCTTATTTATATTATGTAGTGTGGGCTTTATTATAGGCCGCGCATAATATCTTGATCTCTTTATACTCGCTTATTTAATGGTCTTTAGTGTATCTACTATATCTTGTTTACTTTATATATACTGTTTCTATATAACCTTATTACTAATAATTAAAGCATTACTTTTCCTAAAGTAATCTATCGAAATAGTTTATCTTGTAGAGCTAAGCCCTAATTATTAGGCTATCTTAAATAGTACTTCTCCTTATATTTTCTATATAGAAGCCTATAATAAGGGTATTATATATTTTTCTTATATCTCTTATATATTAAACTTAATACTATAAGTAGAGCTATTTAATTCGGGAGATCTAGATTCTTAGGGCTATATTTCTCGATCTTTTATAGATCTAGCTTACAAGATATATATTATCTATATACTTTCTGTATATAAGTTTTATACTAAGCGAGAGTTTATTAATTAAGACTAAATAATCTCTTTTATGAATCTATAGTTTCTATATATTTAGTAGAGCTTATACTCTATTCTTAGTAGCCTTATTCGAAACAACTATATCTATATTGTCGCTATATAGTATGTGGATTATAACTATAGCGCTAATAGTCTTCTTAACTTTATTTAGCACTTCTTTATTTGGCTTGTCTTTCGCTGTCGGTATCGAGATATATATAATATATCTATTTAGTTTCGTGTTAAGGCTATTGCTTAACACTTACATTTTAGCCGCGATCTAGATGCCTCTCATTATAACTATTGCCTATGTTGTCTTTTCTGGTCTAGGGCTAGCTGTAAGCTTTACTAGAGATTTCTTAATGGCCTTAAGATATCTTTTAACCTTATTCTTGAATACTTGTCATGGGCTAATAGCCTGCGAGACTCTCTTGACTATTTAATGAAGGGCGTTAAGCCACTTAAACTATATTCTCTTCTCTTTAAGACCTTCTATAATCGCCTTTAGGTCTTCTTTGATTATACTATTGCTCTTTTCCAGTGGTATTGCTATGCCACCTTGTCGGGCGAGTATCACGCGTTTCGCAGCGTGTTTTGACGCGTCGAGGCCTTTCTCAGACGTGTTTTTCTCTTCAGCATCATTATAAGCGCTTCGGGTGCCTTTTGCAGGCTCTTTGTCTACATTATTAATATTAGATAGAGTTGCTTAAGTTATGACTATCGCTAGACTATTACAGTCTATTCAGTTAGCTTTGCTTGCTATTCCTAGAGAATAGACTTCTTTATATTTAGTATTATTATATTATATTATTAGTATTTACTAGTACGCCCTTTCGAGGAGCCCCTAAATAAGAAATCACTTATAAATCTAAGTAATCCTTAATAAAATCTATAAAAGAATATCTCTTTTAGAGAGACTAGTATAAAGAAAATAAAGCTTATTTTAAATATAGATTAATAAACTATATTCTTTATAACTATTTATTATTAGCTATAACTAAACATAATATTCTATTTACACGCGAGAAAAAGTATAGAGCCTAATAAAACCGCCCTAGTTAAGAAATAAAGGTGTTTTGTTCTATCTAGAAACCTAAGACCTTATTAGATAATAACGAAAAGTTAAGAGCCATTATGAAAACCTTTAATCCTTTAAAGAATTCTATAGAAACTCTTATTAGTGCTAAAAACTCCTTCAATATAAATAAATTTAAATAATTATATCGAGTAGAATAGCTCTTTACTATAAAGACTCGCCTAGATAATAACGCTTATTAATTACAAGGCATTATAATCTCTTTTTATTATTTTATATTAATTAAAATCCTTATTAATTTAAGAGTAACTAAGCAATACATTTTAATAAGAATAGCTTATAAGCTATAGATACTAATTAAATTAGACTATATTCTCTACTAAGTCTAGATAGTCAATAAGATCTATAAAATAAGTGCGAGATATACTAATATAACTATCTATATTAATAACTATATTGTTAATATTCACGCTTATATTCTTAATATATCAAAATATAATATTATTCTTGGATTCGATTAATTATATATCGCTAATCTCGAAATCGATTAGCAGAAAATGTTTATTAGTGTTAAAGACAGAATAGAGATTCTTTATATATTAACACTAATCAATATAACTAAATTTAAGAAAATATAGTTTAATATAAGTCATTTTAGTCTACTTAAACTTTATCTAGCTTTATAAGCTATTTCGAAGATTACTAGTAAGATCTTTTTAAGATATCTATAAATAATCTTTAATTATGAGAATCTCCTAATTATAAGGACTTCTACTATATTAACTAACCTTATATATCCTTATAAACCATTATAGGCTCTTCTGAAACACTTTCAGGATATTTTTCGAGAGAAACTATTAGTAACCCTTTCTTTGGCTAGAGAAGATAATCATTAAATCAATATAGATAATATTAAGCTAATAAATATTAATATATACCCTTTATCTCCAATATATATCGCTAAGTAAAGTCGATAAATTGCGTAAATACTTTAATAAGGCATTATATAAAAGTTTATATCTCTATAGGGCTTCTTAGTTCTGTTTATTAAGAAACCTAAGAATAAATAGCGAATATATATTAATTACTAAGCCTTAAACACGATTATAATCAAAAACAAGTACTCTTTACTCTGAATTTAAGAATATCTTAATCTAATTAAATATATAAAATATCTATCTAAGTTAGATCTTACATAGAGATACTATTAAATCTAAGTTCACTCTAATAGTCGCGAAAAGACAGCGTTCAATATATATAAAGATAAGTTTAAATATTATGCTATGCTCTTTAGTCTTTATAACACCCTTACAATATTTTAGAGATTAATAAATTATATCTTATAAAAATATTTTATAAAGTTCGTTATTATCTATCTTAATAATATCTTAGTATACTTAAATACACTAAAAGACTATTTATATTATTTTATAACTATTCTTAAGGCCTTACAAGATAACTCACTTTTTATAAAGCCTTTAAAGTATTAATTTCTATAGATAAGACTTAAGTTCTATAAATATATTATTAAGAATAAAATAATTCGTTTTATTATATCTAAAATTAATATCTTAAAAAATTGGTCTATATTTATTAATATCCATAAACTATAATAGTTTCTAGAATTAACTATATACTATCAATAATATATATATAGATTTATAAATATCTATATATCATTATTTACTCTTCTATAAGAAACCAATATAAAGAAGAAAAAACATAAATATTGATTAATTTCCTGAAATCTAGCTATAAAAAACGTTTTCTAAACACTAAAATAAGTACTTATAAATAAACTAGTACTATTATAACTAAATATAGTAAAACTATTTATTATTAAAACTAATACTAGCGAATAAGCTATTAAGTGTATATTTCTTTAAAAAGATAACGACCTAAAACAACTAAATTCGGTCGCTTATAATGATTATAAACTAACACTCACTAAGATTAATTACTTAGTATATAAAAAAGAGTTACTTATTATTAAGTATATTTTAGAGATATAGTATATATATATTAAAAATAAATATTTAATTATTATTTACATTAATTATAAAAGCTTAAAATACCTAAAAACAATATAAAACCTTATGAAATAATTTGCGCGCTAAATTATAGATTTCTTAGAATATAATCTTAATATTTAATATTATAAAAATATATTAATAATTATACTTAATATTATTAGTTAATATCTTAATCTTATAAATAAAGACTCTCGTAATATTATAACCTAATTTAATGCCTTATAAAGCTTTAAGAAGAATATATAGATAAACGCTATAATTAGCTTACTCTAAAATAGATAATAATCTCTTAAATATATTTAATTAAAAGTATATAAGAATCGATTTTTATTTACAGTGAAAGATAATATACTTTACTAAATAGAAGACAATATTAAGAGTCCTTATATTTTAATACTCTTCTATATAGACTTTTTTAAATAAATATATAATAAGTATAGATATCTTAAATATCCTAAAATTCTAGGAGTGATTTAAGGATAAGGATAGTAATTCTCACTTTAATAAAATATATATATATTTATATATAGTTATTCTTAATATTAGATCGCTTAGTGAAGTTATCTAAAACAAAAGCGAGAATAACCTTAAACATTTAATTAGGAATCTCTATAAATCTTTAATTAGTAAGCAATTAATCTTATCGATATCCTTCTAAAAATATCTATAAACAATTATTAGATTATTATCACTATTGAGTATCTAACTAAATAGCCTATTACTCTAGCTATACTAAATATTAAAGTAGAGATAATTATAAAGTTTCTTTATAACTATATTATAATGATTTATAAAGTATCGCGAGAGATTCTATCTAATAATGGATTAAACTTAACAAGAGATATTATAACACACTATATCTCTCTTCTTAAAGCAAAATATTAAGTTATAACTCTTTATCACCCAAGAATAAATAAGAAGATTAAAAACTTTAATAATCTTTTAGAACTAACACTAATATATCTCCTTATAAACTAATTCATTATTCTGTAGAATTAATATCTATCTTAAGCGCTTTTTATAATAAGAATTAAAGTCTATATAATAACTAAAAAGTCGCTATACTCACTCTTATTTAGTTATAACCCTTAATTACTAATTAATCTTAATAACCCATAATCTCTAGACTTAATAGTTAACTAAAAAGAGACATTATAAAGAATCATAAATCTTTAATATATATATATATAAGCGAATCGACACTTAATTAATCGCGTGATTATATCTTAAAAGGTCTATCGAGAATTAGTTAAAGAGACCTTCTTACTAGTTAAATAATAAGTCCTAGTGAGAGCTAAGAAACATAATAAATTCGAAGAACGCTAGTATAGATTATACTAGATTATAAAGACTATACTTTTAAAAATCTATTTACTAGTAAACCTAAAGAGAAACTAACTAAAAACGCTAATTAATAAATAGCGACTAATTTCTGCAAGACTATAAAGATTAGTCGAAACACTCTAGAACTCTTCGAAAATATAAGGAAGACTTCGAAAAGTCGAGATTCTTATTAACGCTTCTAGCTTTAATATAACTACTATATTTAAAAAAGAATAAGATAATACTCTAACTTATAATGAGTTAGCCACTTTTTTAGCTTTCTCTACTAAATAAATAGAGATATATTTAGAATAAATAGAGAAGAGAGAGATTAATAAAGAGAATTAAGACTTATTATATATAGATACTATTAATATTAGCTAAGATAAAGAAGAAATCTTAGAAGTATAGAAAATAATAATCACTATAATAACTATTATAAAGACTAAAATAAAACCTAATAACACTTCTTTATTACTTATAAATAATTATAAACTAAAATTATCTCTTAAACTAGATATTATAAAAGATATTATAAAAACTATATTATATTTAAGCGCTTAATATAAAGACCTAGTAATAAGTTTAGCTTAATATTAAAGAGATATATCTTATTATAACTTGCGCTAGAGATCTCTTAAGAAAAATATAAAGTAAATATAAAAAGATAGAAAAGATAAAAATTATAGTCACTATAATAAAGAAGTTATAAGAAGTTATACAAGAAAATAAGTTACTAAATATTTATATATTTTAAGTTACTACTATTTATATATAAAATATATTCTTTAATCTTAAGAGATTAAAGATTAACTTTTGTCGATAATAAAAATAGCTTATAATCATAAGAAATTATTATTACTATCTTAATATTAATTATTATAATTAATTATTTATACTATAACTAAAGATAAAGTGAATATATTACTCTCTTTATCATTACTAATTACTATTAATTATATATTAAATTAACTTAAAAAATAAAGAAAAAACTAAATTTACTTATTATCTCGCTTTCTCTTTATTTCTTTATTTTTATAGACTTTTCTATATTAAAGTTAATTATAAATAATTATATATAGAAACAGTACTACTTACTTAGTATAAGTTTAAACTAAAGTGATTAAATTTAAGCTTATTTTATTAGTAAATAATTATAATAAGTTATAAAGAATAGTACTTATAATTATTTAAAGAGTAATTAGTAGCACACTAAAATTAATAATAATTTACATATACTATATAAAATATTATAATCTATTTTAAATCAAAATAAAAGAAAGTACTTATCACTATAAAGTTTAATTAAGAGAGAACAATAATTAAGAAAAGAATCTTAAATATTTAAGCATTAAATATAGCCTAATATAATTAATTATAAGAAGTTTTAAATAAAAACAAGAGAATACTTATAGAGATTATTTATATTATCGACTTATTATAAAATAAAGGTCTCTATATAGTTAATTCTATCTATTATAACTCTTAATAAATCAATATATAAATTAGCAAAAGAAAATAGAAACACTTATAATTAATATAAACTTCATTAAAAAATAGCTTAGTTCGAAATATAATAATCTAAAACTTCTTAAAGATTATCTTAATTCACTCGATTCTTCTAGATAATATTAAAATATTAAATATAAATTAATTCTTTTGAATTATTATAATAAGTTATTACTAATTATTATTAATAATATATAAGAGAAAGAAAATCTTATAACTAATAATTTAGAAATAATTAAAATAGTCTATAATAAATAAAGTTAGCTAGTTTCTTTTAGTAATAATAAAATAGTAGAAAGCACTTTTTATAATGATTAATTTAGATAAGAATTATAAGAATTAAAATAAAAAGAATAGAGAAGAGTGTCACTAAATTAAGTCACTAAGTTATAATATTAAAAAAGAGACTAAAGATACTCTTAATAAAGATCGAATACCTCAAGGCTTCTCGCGACCACCTAAAAAAAGAAGAAACAATAAGAAATAAAGAAAAAGGCACCTTTAGCGTCATAACATAAAACATCAAGATTGTCGCTTAAAAGTTAATTAATTTTGCGTTAAATTCGCGATCTTAATTGTGTTTATTCTTTTGTGTCTACATTAAGACATAACTAAAACCTTATTTACATATTACAGTGTTATCAGCGAGCAGGATTAAAGAGGCATAATAAGAATCTTAAATCTCGCCTAAGAACTTACTTAAATAGGCTCTTAAGACAATTATAATATATATATATATTAGATATAAATCATTCTTAATTATAACGAGCTATCACGCCTTAGAATATAAAAGAACAGCACTCACCAAGTTAATTGATTATTAAGAGAAAGGAAAAGAGAAGAACAGGAACGCGAGATGAGTAGAAGTAAGGACCTGGCGAGGCAGAAGCGCCAAGCCGTGCCAAGACCCAGGCAGCGACTCGCAGGTGCTCATAACTAGATAGAGGAGGATGTGATTCTAGCGTCGGGTTCGGTACTACTTATTCTTGACTGCCACATTGGCTTACATGCTCTTATGTATATATAGCGGCAGGTCACTCCCTCACTTATAGTTAGTCAAGCAATTTCTTCACGCCGCCACAACCACAAGGGTGACAGGAGGCGGCGCAAAGTCCAACTAGATCTTTGCATTTTTATCTCAGCAATTCAGTATGAGGTAAAGTACAGATTCTGCTCTATCAACTCTATTGGTCATGTCCTTCGTTGTTCGTCAACGCTGACCCTCGATGTCCTTGCTGAGTCTGTGATCAATCGGGGGCTCATCGTCAAAGATCTCCTCCTCAGACAGCACTCTGGTCATACTGCTTGCTCTGTGCCGAGGAACGTAAGCGTTGTCACCACCTTCTCCTTCGTAAGATTTGTCCTCTGCCACATAATCCCCAGGACCTTTGCTCCCATCAGGCACATGGAAGCGTCGGTCAACTCGAAGTATGAGGTAGAGGAAGATGACAATGATCTCAACCGTAAAGTTGAAAAAATAGAAGCACCATTTGGCATCATACCATGCTGGATCATCTCGTGGCCGCGGATTCTTGTAGGTTGTCGCTGAGCGAAAGGATGCCCCGAGACAGAGCAGCATAGAGCTTGCAAGCAGGATCGCGACCTTGGTCCTCCATCGTCCCGTACCGAATTTCTCCAGTCTAGTTTTTCGGGGGACAATCAGGCCGCATACTACCATCGGAATTGGCAGGAATGATATGAACAGCAAGTATGTCGAGGCCGTGATTTGGAGGTCGCGGTCGATGCGATGGATATTCGGGCTGAGGGTATAAAAGGACTGTACGATTGCTGATATGACCATTGCCAACATTACTCCAATCAGCACGTAAAGGACAATGAAGACATTGGATAATGTCTTGTGCCAGCCAAAGTGTGGGTGAGCTGCTCGAAGGATTCTCTGTGCAAAGATGACGTTGACAAGGAAAAGGACCAGAACACCGGCGTAGGCAAAAATGCTGGCGGCGATTGCGATTTGGACATCTGTCGGATAGCAGGCCCAGACAATGCGCTACATTTTCGTTAGCTATGACGATGAGAAGGTCGACACCAAAGAACATACCATGATCATAGTGATATTTCGTGCCATACAAAAGCCGAACATGAGACCAGACATGAGGAACTTGTGTCCCCGCCTGCGATTAATCTGTAAAATTGCCATATGGCTGGCTGCGCCACATATGAATAGGAACAGGAAGACGCTGCATATTGGGACATCAACTCCAACCGTGGGCACACCACCTACTCCAGCAGTCTTTGCTGGGTAGGGAGGCCCCGGGATCCGTTGGGACGACATTGTGTACCTCTTTGTAAGGGTAGACGTTGATGCCACAAACTGATCTTTGTGTTCGCGAAGAAGTCGGTTCTGATTTGAAGTGATCAGGCGATCGTGAAAGAAAGATGGCCGGTCTTTTATCTTCCCTCATACTGTAAAGAAACCCCTCGGACGCGGAATTATACTGGGGGAGTATCTCCGAGTCGCCATGATGCGCTCCGCCGATAGGCTTGAACCCGATGCACACCATCAAAGTCGCCGTACGAAATCGTTGCAACAGTACTCATCATGCCATATTGTAGAGTGCGAGTCGGAACTCGTTGGATATAGAGCCGCGAGGAGAAGTGGCCAATCAGGCGAGACAAAGGCTGTCGTTGTATCGGCTTCTTTGAACCTCGCGCTCCGTTGTCGCCGACATCGAGCGAGCGAACTACGCGAATGGTGCATGGACCCTGATATCCTGATCGGCAGGTTACTCAGCAGATCGTGGAAAGATGAGCAAAATCTCCATCTCAATCGGTACGTTACCGTCGGTTTGGACCGTAGTTCACTTCGCTTGTAAGTGCACGAGCGAGTGGTCGGCGACAGAATGTAGAGCTCCGCTGAAATCACGGGTCTCGGTCACTTTCGTGTTCGTCCGACGCAGTGGTGAACTACCCAAAAGGGACTCGGCTAGGTCCACACGTCATGCTTGAAGCCTTCGGTACCTTTTCGAATTGGTCGAAGGAGAATGCTATGCTGAGGCCGGCAGGCAGGTATTGAGTGTCCCTACAGGTCCCTCGAGGGAGAAGACACTGTGGACAGAGGCACGGAGAATGGAGCCACGTTCTTCCGACGCTCGCGCGAAACCCTCGTCCGCAGACTGACGTCAATGGAAGTGGGCGCGTCTTTCATTCGGCGTGTGGCCTCCGGAGGGCGTTTGGGGGCTTTTGGGCACCTTCTCCAGGCTGCAGTATCGAATTCGTCGCCTCTAAGGACATATTTGTACAGTACAGAACACCCAACTAACACAGTCGGCGATCCATCATTGTCAACACGACACATCTCTTCCAGCTTCTACCTCCAGTTTAGCTTTGGCCGTTGTCGACGGTAGGGTACTTGATTCATCATGGCGCCCGCTTCCGGGTCCGCTCTGAGCCCCGACTCAATTCTCGATTATATGGTCAAGTCACTGCCGCCTCCTTCTTCAGACAGTGAACAGCCTCGACTCGTGAAAGATCCCTATGCTGCCATAGCACTCTTCTCCCATGCTTGTATGCTTGCAGTAGGTTTTCGTCTGATTGGCTTGGGAGAAGACCACAAAATAGGTATGAACTCGATGCAAGAAGCCTGCGCATTTACTCACATGTCGCAGATGCACAGTCTGATCCTCAAGATGCGCAACCTTTGCCTGCCGAGTGGAATGCTTCTTCGTCATATGCCTTTCGATATGCGCATTCACAGTCCTCGATGGAGTTTCTGCTCAAGATTAATCGATTAGGTGGAAAAGCCCTAGTGTTTGGTGTTGGTCTCGGTGATGACAAGACAGCGTCTTTCGAAATCAAAGCACAGGACTACATATCGGAAGGTTCCATCGCAGAGGCTTCAAATGTGTCGGATGTGAAATCTGCACTGCGGAATGTGTTCATTTCAGATGGACGGATAGTGGATTTGGCAACCCTGTTCCGAGTGAGCATCATCCAGAAACTGGTCCCAGGCATCTCGAAGGCAGGGTATGAAGAGACGGCATCTGCACAAGAACAACCCAGAAGACACGAGGAAACAAGACCTCCGGCTCGAGATCCTTTGCGTGACGACCATCCACCTCCTGCGAGGCCATACCCGTTTGATGGCCCATTGGCTGCAGTGCCACGCAGACCTCATCCACCTGGGGACTTTCCTCCACCAGGTTTTGAAGATGAATACGAGTTCAATGCTCCCCCGCGCGGATGGCCCGGTGCTCCCAATCGGCCTCCGTTCGGCAACATCGGCGACAGGGATCTCTATCCACCGGGACTCGGTCCTCATGATCCGCTGCGGATAGGACCTGGAGGAGGGCTACGTGGCGGCGGTGGAATGCACCCTACATTTGACGATCCTTTGTTCGCAGGCCAAGGCGGACCACAAGGGTACGATCCCATGGCACCGCCAGGAGCTCGATATGACCCAGTGGGACCAGGAGATGGTCGGCCAAACCTAGGCGGCGGAGGAGGTCGCTTCCCAGGTGGACGTGGAGGTGGTTTTGGGGGCAATCCCTTTGGTGGCTACGGCCGTGGCGATTTCATTTGAGCATTTCATACACAGGAGGCAAAAGCGTGTTGCTGGATGAAAATATGGAGAGTGCAACGAATGCATTGCAATACGTGGGTAAGAAGTGTAGGAGAGGGACCATTCCACGTCTCGCAGGCCGCAATCCTGCTTCCATGTAGAACAACAAGCTGCAATAGATCGTTCCTGATCATTCTTTCGTATTCTGGCCTTGGTGAATCACCATGAACGTAGGAAATAGCGTGGGCTATGGCATTTGAAATTGTCAACTCGCCTCAGTCAACGCCATTCGTTAGGTCTAGGTACTCCGTACATACCTGACATTTGGCTGAGTCCTGTTTAGGCTTGGCGGGGCCCTAAGCTGAAAGGAAGTTGTAGCCAGAGCCGGCGAGATTCCCAGCATTGCAAGTCACGACCGCTTTCTCATAATCAAGATTTCAGAACCAGCGACATCGCTTCAATATTCCATCGAGATCCATCTTTTGAACCGAGTGGTGCTTCGTTCATCTCCCGTACGGCCTGGACCATTGCGAAGAATTCGACCACATTTCCTACCATCGCTGCAATCATCCAGTGTCAAAACAACGTCACAACAACTGGCCAACTTCGCACGCGAGCTCCACGAGATCCTGCTCCTGACATAGAGCGCCCTCTTCCTTTGATCCTACCTACGACCTGATTGAGGCTGACACTCAATCATGGATTCAAAAATGGACGTCGACGTAGGCAAGCCTGCGCAGCCGCACGGCTTATCTGCCGTCACAGATTCTCAGTCAATACCGACCCTAGATGGCTGGATAGAGAGCTTGATGGATTGTAAACAATTAGCAGAGAGTGATGTGTCGAGACTTTGCGATAGAGTGAGCATCACACTGCCTTTTTTGTCTCGAGGAGAAACTCATCTGGATCGCAGGCTAGAGAAGTACTTCAGGAGGAGTCAAATGTACAGCCAGTGGTACGTTACAGAAGATTCACTGTGACGGAGAATCTACTGACGCCCATCTTAGAAATGTCCCGTCACGGTCTGCGGCGATATTCACGGCCAGTTCCATGATCTCATGGAATTGTTTCGCATTGGAGGACCCAACCCAGACACCAACTACCTCTTTATGGGTACGAGAAAGGACGATTCTCTCGGAAAAAGAGGTCCTCTGCTAACCTTTATGACAGGAGACTACGTAGACCGCGGCTATTACTCCGTCGAAACAGTCACCCTGCTCGTCGCCCTCAAGATCCGATACCCTTCTCGCATCACCATCCTCCGCGGCAACCACGAAAGCCGTCAGATCACACAGGTCTATGGGTTCTACGACGAATGCTTGAGAAAGTATGGCAACGCCAACGTGTGGAAATATTTCACCGACCTCTTCGACTACCTCCCCCTCACCGCTCTCATTGACAACCAGATCTTCTGCCTGCACGGTGGACTGTCTCCCAGCATTGACACACTTGACAACATCCGATCTCTTGACAGAATCCAGGAGGTGCCCCACGAAGGGCCTATGTGTGATCTCCTCTGGAGTGATCCTGACGACAGATGCGGGTGGGGCATCAGCCCAAGGGGTGCAGGATACACCTTTGGCCAAGACATCTCGGAAGCGTTCAATCACAACAACGGCCTCACGCTGGTGGCTAGAGCACATCAGCTGGTCATGGAGGGGTACAACTGGAGCCAGGACCGAAACGTGGTAACAATCTTCAGCGCTCCAAATTACTGCTACCGATGCGGTAACCAAGCTGCAATCATGGAGATTGATGAGCACCTCAAGTATACCTTGTAAGTTTCGCCGCCGCAGCCAAACCCGCTTTGCTGCCTCTGTCCTTGGGGGACTTCCAGTAAGCTAACTTTTGTCGTTTGAAGCTTGCAATTCGATCCTTGTCCTCGAGCTGGCGAGCCGATGGTCAGTCGCAGAACCCCCGACTACTTCCTGTAAACGAGGCAACACCAACGGACCCCAATCAACAAATTCTATGGCTATCATGACATGTTGGAGGCAGTTTTCCCCTACAGTATCTTTTTGCAGAACGAGCGAGGGAGACTCGCAATTTTCGTCGTCATGGCATGTGGATGTTTTATTGGAGGGCAGGACGCTTGATGAAGGTAAAGGAGCAAACGCAATGAACAGGAGGCCCTGATCCTGGCCCCAAGCGAGGAAAAGCAGCACTCATAGAGATGACAACAAAGAAAGAAAGAAAGAAAGAGAAGCGTTTCATCTTTTCTTTTATTTTGGGCATGCATCGAGTATCATCATATCATGGAGGGGAAAAGGAAAAGACTCCACAAATGTACGAAAGAAGAGTAAGGCACACTACCTGACCTGGCTGTTCAGATGTACCACAAGAAGGCAAGAAAGATGACAACCAAGTTACAACGCTGCTGTCTTTTCCTAAGTGTTTAATGAAGATGGCAGATATCCAAGATGCATTTCCACCTGCTGTTGATCGATGACTTGTGATTGTTTCTCTCGTGTGCCAGTGTGTGAATGCGTTATACTGGTAAGGTTGTTGGTCGATGGCTTGTTGTTCCATCTCCAACCCACGTGCAGTTGACGGTCACGGTCACCGTACTACGTGGCTGTCATCCATGGCTTGTTGACCTGTTGTCTAATCGACCATGATGTGTACGATTATAATACGCGTGCAAGTGATGGCTGTGGTGTGGTCATTTGTACCTGACTCGAGGTACCCCGAGGTGAATAACTAACTACACACCTAACTAACCGCCCAACTACTACTACCTGACTACCTAACTGGCCACCTCTTCGACACCAAACACGGGGCATATCAATCATATCCTTTTCATCTTGATCCCATCCCACCGGCCCCTCCCCCTACACATGTAGATTCGCGGTTGTAAAACTTTCATTAATCGTCGCCCCCTCGGCCCAATCGGTATATATCTGAGCCGAAAGCCAAAAGTCAAAAAGAAAAATTCGACCAGGTGTCCCGTCACACGTGTGTATGAGTGTGTGTGTGTGTGTGCGTGCACATCAAGGGCCTTGTCTACTTCTCTACAAGTCGGCAGCATCCTCCTCGACCTCCTCGGGGACATAGTCAGCCTGAGTGGCGGCGACGGTCAAAGGACCCTTCTTGACCATCAAGGTCATGACTTCGTAGAGCACGTCGGCGGCGGCCATGGTGGTGAGCTCGGCGTTGGTGTCGTAGGCCGGGGCGACCTCGACAATGTCGGCGGCGACGAAGTTGATGCCCTCGAGGCCGCGGATGATGGTGCGCAGCTCGCGCGTGGTCCAGCCGCCGGTCTCCGGAGTGCCGGTGGCCGGGGCGAAGGCGGGGTCGAGCGTGTCGATGTCGATGGACAGGTACACGGGGTTCTTCGTGCCGACGCGCTCCTTGATGCGGTGGATGATGCCGTGGATGCCGATGGTGTCGATCTCGCGCGCCTCGACCCGCGTGAAGCCGCAGTACCCGTCGTTCTCGTAGTCCGACGGGCCCGAGAGCGTCGTGCGGATGCCCGCGTGGATGCTGCTGTCGTTGGCCAACAGGCCTTCCTCGGAGGCCCAGTAAAAGTACGTGCCGTGGTTGATGGCCGCCTGCTTGCTGGGCGCCCCGCCAAACACCTTGGGCTTCCACGTGTCGAGGTGCGAGTCGAAGTGGATCACCGAGATGGGGCCGTACGCCTTGTTGATGCTGCGCAGGAGGGGGAGCGTGATGGTGTGGTCACCGCCCAGCGTGATGATGCGCGGGAGCGTCTTGCCTGCCTTGCTGATGCCCGGCTCGTCGGCGGCGGTGAAGGGCGTGCGGGTCAGGAGAAGGTTGTGACCGTCTTCGATCTGCTGGAGCGCATAGTGGTTGTCGTATCTTTGGAGCGGGTGGTGATGTTAGCTTTGGACATTTCTTGTTTCCGGGCACCGCCAAAGAGACAATAGAGAAAGGGCAGGCAGGACAGGACACTCACGAGGTCACAGGGATGTCACCGCAGTCGATGACTTTGCCCCAGAAGTTGAATGGGTTGGATTTCATGGGCCTGTTCAAAAGAAAAGACGACGTTAGAAAAGGCTCTGAACGAGAACTGCAAGAGAAGCACAGAGGGACGTAAAACTTACACATTATACCCGCCGCTGAATCCAAGCTTGCGTGAGCCTTCATCGCCATGACAATAGTAAGCATACGGAAAATAAAAACGTACTAGAGATTGAGGCGTCGAGAACCTTGTCTGATCCCGCTGGGCCCAAATCGAGCGCCAGGTCGGTACGATGTACCAGTGTCGAACGGTGCTCCTGTGTGACCACTTTGTCAGTTTCTTGTCTCTTACCCACAGTCTGGTCCTTGCTCGTCCAAACTCACCTAGGAAGGCAATGTCATATTTCTCCTCGTCGCTGGCAAGGCAAGGGAAGTATGGCAGACGGCCAAAAGTTGAGATTCCAGAGAAGACTGAATCGGCCTGTTTGAGAACAAAACGGTTAGATCGGTCGTTGCAGGCGCCGCTTGTCTGTCTCTTACCTGGGTACCTCCATCGCCTGGCAAGGTGTTGTACCACAGAGACTTGTGTGGTCCAGAGATGGGGCTCTGGTCGTGGCCATGGTTACCGTGGGCAATAGCACAGCCGGCACATGCCAACAGCGCAAGGGGTTTGAGAAGCATGTTGATAGTACCACCACGATCTTCAAAGAGTCAAGGAGCATGTAGGAGGGAGAGGATGGGTAGAGAGAGAGAGAGAGGAGGAAAAAGAAGAGCTTCCCAAATAAACAAAATCACCCCGCGCAAGGGTAATAAAGCACTCGTAATGGAAAGATCAGCTAACGTGCGAGCACAGCTCCGGTCACCACTTACTGTCGAAGACTCGTGCAGGTGAGCGGCCTCCGGGTCCAGTGACGGTCGATGTTCCTGCAGATAGTTGTACATATGGTCTTACCTCATGGATCATAGCTTGGGTTCTTGTTACCTAACGTCGCCACAAGAAACGCCCGTTGCGGTCTCCTGCCCAGGAAGGAGACAGAGAGATAGTTCGAGTAGTGACGCCATGAGGGACAGGTACAAGCTTGGGAGCTCGGGAGCTTGGAGCTTGGAAGACGCAGGCGACGGTGAGCCGCGGGTCTGTGGTGTCACTTACCAAGTCAATAGCAAACGGATGCCCATGTGGGAAAGAAAGTCTGCCATGTCTCGATCTGGCGGCCCCCGGATAAGAAAGACGAGCGCACATATCCATCGGCGGGGCACTGGAGGACATTGGCGAAGGCAGAGGGATGAAGAATGCAGACGCCGCTGAGCTAAGGCAGTTTGTCACCGTGCGGGAAGCACTGCTTATCGGTCAGAGACGCCCAGGATTTGCGAGAGAAGATCCTGGGTGTTTTCTAAGACGTTGAGGTAAGAACCAAGGCCGCTAACCGGATCGAGAAGGCTGTGATGAGTGGGACCTCCGAGGGTATCGCTCCTATTGTACGAGTACAAGAGACACGGTGCATCTTCAGTGATCGCTGGTGCGCGGGCCCCGAGATAAGCCAATAATTGATCATTCGAGAATTCATATCCGTCCTCTAGACTCCACCAGGATAATCAATCATTCCGTTTTCTACGTCTATCGATCTATGAGAAATCGTGCTTGTAATTCATCAGTCATGTACTTAGTAAACGACTACAGTGGTCCGTTCCCCGCCGGCGCTGGCACCGATGCTCCAGCATTGCCAGTCTCAACCAGCTCATCTTTGTCCATGCGCTCGAATGCCTTCTCCACCTGGTGCTCCCAGTTGCTGAAAGCGACGATGACCCATTCCAGAATGCCAACAATGTACAATGCAATGCACTGGCCGACCCAGAGACCTGGTAGGCCCCAGCCGTGGAATGCAAGCCAGATGCCCAGCGGGAGTGCACCACAATAGTAGCTGAAGACATTGACCGCGGCTCCGATGTGCTGCCGGCCCATGCCTCGTAGAGACCCTCCACAGCTGCCATTCAGGCCATCTGCAATCTGAAACAGGGCGACATATGGCAACACGTGAGCTGTGAGTTTGATCACCCTCTCATCGTCATTGAAGATCTTCGCAAAGTGGTTCCTCGTGCCCATCAAGACAGCAAGGACAAGAGCCCCCATGATCATGCTCAACCACGCGGCGACGTTGGCCGCCCGAGCAGCTCCTCTGGCGTTCTTAGATCCCAACATATTGCCCACCCGAGCACTGGCGGCAACTCCAATGCCGAACGGAATGGTGTTCATGACCTGGTCTGCAGTCATGATGACGCTTTGAGACGCGAGAGGGATCTCGCCCAGCCGGCCAGCCGCGAGGGCCACGATTTCGAACGCCCACCACTCGGTACCGACGTGGATGAAGCCCAAAATGGCCAGCTTGGCGAATGTGCCTATGTTCTGAAGACACCTCTTGCTCCAACCGCCCCAGCACTCTCCACCAGCCACGAACTTAGCATACAGCACCAGACCTAGGAAAGATAGCCAGTAGCCAATTCCAGTGGCAAAAGGCGCACCCAAGATACCCCAGCCAGCAACGTAGACGAACAAGTAGTTCAGGAGTGCACTGATCGGCGATGTGATCAACAGAACATAGGTCCCCGGTCGCATGATTTCCTGGGCCTGAAGGTACTTCTTCATCGTCTCAAAATAGATATAGCCCAGACCACCCGGTATGAGGCACGTCAAGAATCTGGCACTGTCACGGGAGAGCTGAGGACTCTGGCCGAGCGCCCTGAAGATCGGCTCCGAGCACGCCCAGATGATAGCGATTGGAATGTAGAACAGAGTCAGAACAACAAAACCTCGTTGTAGCAAAATGCCGAGGTCGTGCTTGTTCTTGCTTCCGGTGAAGGTCGACGACGCGAGGGTATCTAGTGCTGTTGATCCGCCCATACCGATCAGCCATCCGGAACACATTGCGAACATGTATGAGAAAGCGGCTGTCGACAGATCTTGAGGCGATGCTCGTCCAACGATAAGGATTGAAATTGTTTGCAGCGAGTTCTGCAGGGTGTAGGCGAGGATTACTGGGATCGACCCTCGGAACAACACCCAGAATTCATGCAGAATGAGCGTCCGAGAGGGCGTTGCATCCTCGGGGAGGATGTCGAGGAGCTCGCCCTCCCCTTGACTTGTAGAATGGTCGTCGCCATCTTGCTTCTTGGGTAAGAGCCTGGTGTGCTCGTTGGGAATCTCGCTTATGGTGTCGTCCATGGCGGCAGCAAGACCGGTAGCCCGGATAGTCAACCTCCAATATGTTGAACTGTGAAATGGCAGAGTACGTGAGCACGTAGGAAGAGTAGAATACGCCCAATGGTCAAGCTAAAGCAGACACCGAAGAGACGACTTCAGCAAGGACCAAAGAGGAAAGTGTTAAATGTAGGCCCGATAGACGGCTGTCCGACCAGAAGTCTGGATACGATACCTTGACAAGTCCCTCTGGGCCCGTGGACGGCGCGGTCAATTCCCTGCTCCACATTATTATATACCTGAGTTTGTAACGGTGAGGTGATTGCTGATGTTGTTGGTGGATCTTGTGGGCTGCAGGGAGATCGCAGCCGTCGCAGAGAGCAAACTTCGATGAGGGAGCAATGCGAAACTCTACAGGGACAAGAAACAAGCATCCAATGGACGAGTGGATTGTTGTGTTCTTATCTCTACGAGTTATTCATTACTGCTCGTAATCGCCGCTAGTCACATCGTGTACCTCTCGGTACCTGAGGGATCCATCCATACAGACCATTCATCTGTGCTCCAGCCACCGCCGCCAAAAATACCGTATTGGTGCTTACTCCATATTTCCAGGAGAAGCTGTTGAGACACCTTTTTTGGTCTGCGACTTCGTATTGTTGATGTGAAGCTACGAGGCTCTGCGTTTGCTCCCCCTGTCGCACGAACCAACGCCATCTGCCACTTCCTCTTATCAAAGTCCTATCAGAGCCATCGACGAGCACCCCGCAAGATCAATTTTTGCTACGCCAGCCTTGCATCGAGCCTTTATATTCGTCCACCCGTCTGTTGCCCAGACACTACCAAGGCGCAGGATCTCTTGTTCTTGCTGATATCATGTCCTTGACTCCATTCTGTGGCAAGCACGAAGCTTGTCGCTGTCAGGGTTGATCGTAATGGATTCTGTGATCGGTTTGTATGTTGCATCTCGCGGTCGACCATCAGCATCTTTTGTGGACACCCTTCCACGTTTATTAGGACCCGTCTCCACGGTTTGTCTTCGTGGCGCTGTGCCGATTCCTGTACTTTTACTACCTCGTGGCCCTTGTTTGACTCCTTCTGTTGTCTCTGGACGGTATATACCCCTCTCTGCCCCTTCTTGCGAAGCACTTCAGCATCTGCGACAATGTCGGCACTGATGGAGGAGAAATCTGGGTCGCCCGAAGACGACGGTCAGCCTATTCAGTCACCTCAGACTGAAAAGGTCGATCAGAACACCGGGGCACCACTGCCAGCTCCAGCACAACATCTGGTGATGAGAGATGGCGTCCGCCTGCATCCACAACCGACAAGTGATCCTTTAGATCCTCTCAATTGGAGCAGCTTTCAAAAGCACTCGATCCTCGCCATCATCATGTTGAAGTCAGTCGCAAGCCTTCAGCCCCCAGCTCTGAGCAGATTGTTGCTGACAACGTCGCAGATACTTCTTGTTCACCTACCTGACCACAACCACAGTCGCCAGCTTTCCGGAACTGCAGGAACAGTTCAATATTTCCTATTCCCAAGTGAACTGGACAGTCGCTATTCCAGCACTCGGTCTGGCTGTTGGTCCTCTAATATTCTCATCCCTCGCTGATATCTTTGGCCGTCGAATTGTGTTCATCTTCGGAACGTTGATGGCTTTTGGTGCCACCATCGGCGCCGCCAAAGCACCCAACTATGGAGGCTATATGGCTGCGCGTTTCTTTCAAGGCTTTGGAGTTTCCCCAGCGTCGACCGTGGGTCTTGCTGCAATCAACGACATGTTCTACGAGCACCAACGAGGCCAGAAAACTGGGTTATGGGTTTTGGCAATCGACAGCGGCTTGCTCGTCGGCCCAATCATTGGTGGTTTTATTAACATCGTCTCCCCGGCCTGGGTTCAGTGGCTGACAGCCATCTTCTTCGGCGTGTTGCTCATCCTCGAGATCTTGTTCATGCCGGAGACACTCTATCCTCGCAACCATATGCTGTCCCAGCTCCCTATGGCAACGGCATCCGAGGAATCAGGAGTGGATATCGAGAAAGTCGGTCGCAGACGTAGCGACGCTTCATCCGTCGGCCTTCCTCGCACCAAGAAGCTTCCGTTCCTCAACTGCAAGCCAGTCCCGGGCATGCGTCATCCAGCCGTCTACGGCGAGCTGTTTCGCTTCGCGATAACAGCCAAGTTTCTGGCAGCATCCCTCGCCATCTTCATATACTGCTTCACGTGGTATTGGTGGGTTCTCAGCGTCATCACCATGCTGCCAGCTGCATATCCCAACTACAAACCGCAGATCCAAGGTCTTCTGTTCATTGGCCTGCTTCTAGGCACTCTGTTTGCCGAAGTCTTCCTAGGAGGTCATCTCAGCGACATTGTCTGTGCTCGTCTGGCTAAACGCAATGGCGGCGTGCGAGTTCCTGAGATGCGTCTCTGGCTCATTTATCCCGCCGGCCTACTCAGCTCGATCGGCTTGATCGTTTGGGGCATCAGTGTCGACAAAAGCTACCACTGGATAGTCGGGCAGGTTGCGCTCTTCCTGTTCGCAGCGGGTATCCAAATGGGCAACACTGTGATTTGTGCGTATATTGTGGATTGCTATCCATTGCAAAGCATGAGTATGGTTACATTCTATGCCGTTTTGCTCAACATGTCGGCATTTGCCGATCCGGTATGTCCACGACTTCTTTCTCCCATAACCTCAAAACCAGCCATGCTAATTTATCATTCGTGTAGTTTTTCATCGCTCCTTGGCAAGCAGGTTCAGGCTGGACCTGGTGCTTCGCCGCCCAAGGCATTATCGTGTTTTTCGGAGCCATGCCTGCTTTTGGGCTGTTGCATTGGTTTGGTCCGACAATAAGAGCTAAAACAGGCACACCGTCCTGGGTCAATCCAGAGTTTGATACCTTGTTGTAGTGTTGGTGCGAGTGGCATGCGGGCTTGCCACCGCTATAGTGTTATAGATGTTAGATTCATGGGTCGTTTTTGTATGCGGAGCAATGGATGTTGCCTCCTCCGGCATGTAGAGGGTGCTTGACTCTTCTGAGCACTTTGTTCTCGACTTATCTATTGGCGTATTGATGGTGCATATCTTACAACAAGATGCGAGAGATGAGCCAGCTTATACCTTTGTCTTCGCTAGTTCTTCGCCTCTCTCTCGGATGGTCTTCTTGCGCAGCCACCAATTCCATAGAACCTCCCAAGATGCAACAGTCGCCATGAGTGGTGGACACACTAAGAGGAGAACACTCCACCATCGAGGGCTTCTTGATCGAATCTTCCTCATCACGTCTGCAATCTGGAGTGTCAGATCGTCCTTTGTACCATCATTGTACAGGACGTAGCCTTTGGCGGCTTGTTTGTTGCCGTTGTTCCGGTACTCACACCTCGTCGCCTTCTCGCGCACGTCGACCTGGCTCTTCACCCTATTCTCCGCGTCCTCGGGTGACAAGTGGGGGTCTCGATCCCTCAGGCGTTGCATCTGTATCTTGGGGTCCGAGACTGCCACCACAATGACCGTGCTGCAGAAAATGTCCAGGCCTGATTCGAAGAGGAGAGGGACGTCGAGCACCACGGCCCAGTGGCCGAGGAGGTAGTAGTATAGCATAGCGCGAGCCATGTAGAACCGCACCGCCGGATGCACAATGGCGTTGAGCTTCCTTCTATCTGCCATCCTTTCTTCGCTGTTGCCAAAGACCCGCCTGCCCAGGGCAGGTCGATTCAGTGGTCTGCCTTTCCCCGTCGGCCCGTCATCTTTGCCGCCACATTGAGGGTCGGAAGCAGGTAGCAGGAGGTCGGGAGTCGTCGGTCCAAATGTTGCAACTATGCGTCGGTAGCCCCAGGTGCCTGGTTCAACGGCTTTGCGCGCAAGGAGGTCCGCATCGATCAAGGGGAGCGAGTAGGGCGGGGTAGAGAGTGTTTGCGAACATGTCGACTTGCCCGTGGCAATCGAGCCGGTGAGGCCTATGACGCGCATGCTGAAAGGTTACACGGCAGGTTTGTCACATTGAGCATTGGTCAAACGACTTGTACTCGTCGCGGATAGAATGGTGCAAAGAATCTACCTAGACTTCCCACTCGTACGTGCCTGTCATGAACCGCATGTTGCTTGCCGAGGCAAAGCACGGAGCGCGGATTATTGATGTTCCGTGGGATATCCATTGACAATTGGGCAAGGCTTTGAGCCGGTTTGCGACCAAAACATAGCAAACACTGCAACACACAAGTCCAGATCTCCTTTCCAGCATAAACTAGCAAACTAGGCGACTCTTTCTGAAGAATTCTTGTTTTTGGACCCCCAGTTTGGTATTCGAAATCCAGAACTTAGGCACAGTTGCCTATTCAGCGGACTGAGTCATTAGGCACATTGACAAAAAAATATTCCGATGCAAGAAACCACATTGTCGTCGCTGCGTCAACAATGACTCTCCATCACTCACTGCCCTCTGTCGCTTAGCCTAACTTATAGTATGGCTTCCATCTAAGAATGCTCTTGCGATCCTCAAGATCTCCTTTACGACTTGTTCGACTTTTACAACAGCGTGATCGGTCTAGAAAATTGACCACAATGGCGCCAGCCCAGCTCAGTCTTACCCCAGCCGAGAAGCTGTTCCGTCAGTGCTTGGTGGATTGCCGCAACGAGATGCAATCTGTGCCTGGGATGAAAGAACTCGAACTGCGCTGGACGGGCGGCTGGGTTCGGGATAAACTCCTCGGTGTTCAAAGCCACGACATCGACGTTGCGCTAAGTACCATGACAGGCTTGCAGTTCGGCCAGGCCATGCAGGTCTTCATGAAGCAGCACGGCAGCAAGTATGAAAACGAAGCAAAGCAGCAAGGGTTCAACTCGGAAGTCAAAGACATCCACAAAATAGCCGCAAACCCCGAGAAGTCCAAACATCTCGAGACTATCACGACGAGAATGTTTGGCATCGACGTCGACTTTGTCAACCTTCGCAAGGAAGTTTACAACGAACAGACACGGAATCCTGAGATGGAGTTTGGCACAGCTGAAGAAGATGCAATGCGGCGAGACGCCACGGTCAATGCTCTCTTCTACAACCTCGACTCCCTTGCGGTGGAGGATTTCACGAGGCGTGGCCTGGAAGACATGAAGAACAAAATTATACGGACGCCTCTCGAGCCATACCAAACATTTAAAGATGATCCTCTTCGGGTTCTGCGGCTTATTCGGTTTGCGTGTCGTCTCAACTACGAGATCGAATCGACCTCCAAGGAGGCCATGAAGGACAAGTCCATCCACGAAGCACTACGGATCAAGATCAGCAGAGAACGCGTTGGGACTGAGATCCATAAAATCATGGCTGGCCCAGATCCGTACACAGGTCTGAAATACGTTAACGACTTCGACCTGTATTCTGTCGTGTTCGCCGACCCCAACGACGAATATGCTGTCGACCACAAAGGTGCCCTTAGAGCTTACGACGCGCTGCGACGCATTCTCGACGAGAAGTCTGCAATATGCCTGGGCCTGAAACCCAAGGAGAACCAAAGCCTGAGTTGGTTCCTCGCAGCATATGTTCCTTGGTCAGAGTCGTCGGCCAAAGCATACACAGCTGCATGGGAAGGCATTAAAGCCACCAATAGTTTCCGCAAGGTACTCAAGGAGGCTATAGACTATCGCCCAGCTATCGTAAAGGTCGTCGACCTTGTCTCGTCTGAAGACTCTACAAGAGCAGATGTGGGCATGACACTGCGGCAGAGCAAAGAAGCTTGGAGGTCGCATGTCCTCTACTCACTGCTCTGTGATGCTGCTGCTGGAGACTTTGATGATGCTACAAAACGCTACGAGAAGTTTGTGTCCTTTGTTAATGACCAACAATTGGAGGATGCCCATACCATGGCGCCCATACTGAAGGGAAATGAAATCAAGGACGTATTGGGCGGACCAAAGGGTGGGCCTTGGCTCAAGAAAGCGGTAGATGTCCTTGCTCAATGGCAATTCAACCACCCAAAAGCTACAAAACAAGAGGCCATGAAGATGATGGCCAGCCAAAAGGCCGAACTAGGGCTGGACTGATTGTATCTACAGCTTTGATGCAGCAAGCACCTTCGCCCGGAGCTTCACATCACGAGCCTCTTGACGGACAGCAAGATCGAGCATGATCTCTTCACTGCCACCTCCGACGACATGGACACGCACATCGCGACTGATCTGCTCTATCCGAGCACCCTTGCCAGTCTTGGCATATCCTGCTCCGCCCATAATCTGTTGGGACTCGCGACAGACCTTCTCGAGACACCTCGTGCTCATGACCTTGAGCAACGCTGTCATTCCTCCAACGTTGACTGCTTTACCAGTCACTCGAGAAGTCTCAATGACATAGCAAAGTTGGTCCAGGAACGCCTGGACAGGTTCGATGAGCAGGCCAAACGTGGCGATCTTGGACTTGATTGCGGAATGTTCAATCAACGGCTTTCCAAATGTCTCGCGCTCACAAGCATAATTGTATGCATCTGAAGCACAGACTCGAGCGAGCCGGACTGCAGCAGTGGCTAAACTCAAGCGTTCTGGATTGAAGTTTGACATTATGAGTTGGAACCCATGGTTTTCTCGTCCGATGAGGTTCTCAACGGGGACCTCGACATCGTCAAAGTCGATGAATGTAGAGCCTGTACTGTCAATGATCGATTTGAGATACCGAATACACAAAGCACTTACCGCTGGCATGGACACCTTGGTTCTCCATTCTTCTCAGGGTGACACCTTTTGCCTTCAGCGGGACAACCAGCAAGCTAATACCGCCATGTCCTGGCCCGCCGGTGCGTACAGCCGCAGTGCAGTAGTCACACCATATCCCATTCGTGATCCATTTCTTTTGCCCCGACACCTTGTAGATCGAACCCTCCTTTTGCGCCGTTGTCTTGATGTTAGCAACGTCGCTTCCGCCATCGGGCTCAGTAATGCCTAGACAAAATCGAATGTCCCCTCGCGCCACCTTTGGCAACCACTTTTGTCTCTGTTCTTTTGTTCCAAATCTGCTGATAGGGGGGCATCCAATGCCATTCCCACCTCCCAAGCCCCATATTGGACCACACCAACCGAGACGCGTGAATTCGTCGCCCACTATGACGCTGCACCACGTGTCCCATTCACCAAAAGGTATGCCGGCAGGGTGTTGTAGACCGCCTGCATCAGCCGGGTCTACAACTGGATTCACGATGGAGAACCCCAATTGGCAATGCCGCAGGCGCACACTTTCGGGTACCTGGCCTGCAACTTCCCACTCTTGCGCGTACGGTGCAAGCTCTGTCTCGACATAGTTGCGCACGAAGGCTCTCAAGCGATGATGCTTTTCGGTCCAGTAAGGATTCGAAGGCAGGTCGAGCTGAGGGAGAAGTGGTTCAGAGAAAGGAGCAGGAGTAGTTGGAGCCATCTGAGTGAATTTCCGGCCTCGTAGTCAGCAGAATACGAGGAGAGTAGAGTTGCCTACCTCGAAGACGAAGCTCCTTTTACATTATCGCCGGAGGAACATATACCTAGGTACCTAGATATTGCTCTGAACCGACGCGGGCACGAACAACCCCGGATAATGGCAGTACATGTACTTGGGATCCGTCGCCTGCGGAGAACGAGCCTCGGCCCAAACAGTCTTGGCTGGTCTAACTTGATTGGGCCCTGACGATGCTGTCACTGGCTTTTGGTCTTTCGACGTGTGTTTCACGCCACAACCATAGCGTTCATTGCAGCCATTATTCATTAGACGCGACACTCTGCAGACGTTATCCTTCCAAAGAATAATCTCCACTGACTACGAAGGGCCTTGAGCGGACGTGCAGATCTAACTTGGACTCAGATGGAGTGCTGCTGCCTCTTTGCACACTTCAAGTGTAGGACGGAGATTCCTTAGCTCAGATATATTGGTCGCAATGGAATCTTTCAAGGAGTTTGTCGCGAACCAAGTGGCTCCAGAGGGCACAGTCTCTGATGGAAACAAGACTGGACAACCACCGGCCGATGAGGCGACTCCAGATACCAAGGAGACTAACCTGGAGCAACATGAAGTGGACGGCGTTGGCGATCCCACGCCGGTAATCAAGGTCAATTCTGAAGACTCTGAATCTCCCGCAGAGGCTGTGCCGCAGATGTACCCTCTATTGTCGAATAATCCACCGGACTCTCCGCCTCTGGCACCGGGCAAACGAGACGAAGAGGATGATGACGACGACCTGGATATCTCGAAGTCATTTAACCGTACAACGAGTCCGGCTCCCTCCCTGAAACGCAACAAGGGAGCGACAGTGGGCAAGGTTGGCGAGGAGGGTGTGACCAGAATGCACAAGTTCACGCTGCACGAAACGGCCAACTATTACTACATTGTTGGGTCGGATCTCCTGGATACTGCTTTTCGAATACTGAAGATTGACCGGACGTCTGAAACAGGAGAACTTAACATCACCGAGGACGACATTGTCTACACTAAGAAAGAGACGCAGCAAATCCTCAGTGCAATCGATGAGGGTAACCGAGCAACGGGGGGTCTCAAGATGAAGACGAGCTTCTGGGGCCTTCTGGGCTTCATCCGGTTCACAGCTCAGTACTACATGATCTATGTGACCAAAAGAAGCCAGGTTGCCATGATCGGCGGTCATTATATTTATCAGATTGATAAGACCGACATGACACCCCTGGTCACGGCAGCTTCCACCAGGATCAAGACCGACAGACATCTCGAGGAAGCTCGGTTCGTCAGCATCCTGGGAAACCTCGACTTGACAAGGTCGTACTACTTCAGCTACTCCTACGACGTTACCAGAACCTTACAGCACAACATCACACGGGAACGGCAAGCGCTCTTTGATGGGCTGGCTGAGCCATTGAAGCACGATCATAACGACATGTTCGTCTGGAATCACCACTTGCTCCAGCCTGCCAAGCAAGTACTCAAAAACCCATTCGATTGGTGTTTGTCAATTGTGCACGGCTACGTCGATCAAAGTGCCCTGTCCATCTACTGGGGAAGGGTTGTGTATGTGACGATCATTGCACGGCGGTCTCGTTTTTTTGCCGGCGCTCGATTCCTCAAACGAGGCGCAAACGACTTGGGATACGTGGCGAACGACGTTGAAACCGAACAGATCGTGTCGGAAATGCTGACCACGTCGTTTCACGCCCCGGGCCCGACGCTGTTCGCGAACGACAAGTACACCTCGTACGTCCAGCACCGTGGCAGTATCCCTCTGTATTGGACCCAGGACAACACTGGTGTTTCGCCGAAGCCGGATATCCATCTAAACGTGGTGGACCCGTTCTTCAGCGCGGCGGCCCTGCACTTTGACAACCTCTTCAAGCGGTACGGTACTCCGATATATGTCCTGAACCTTGTCAAGTCCCGCGAACGCACCCCCCGGGAGTCGAAGCTTCTGAAGGAATACACCATCGCCGTCAACTACCTCAACCAGTTCTTGCCCGAAGACAAACAGATCCTGTACCACGCTTGGGACATGAGCCGTGCCTCCAAGAGTCGCGACGGCGACGTCATTGCCAGCCTGGAAGCCATCGCGGAAGACATCCTTCCCAAGACCGGCTTCTTTCAAAACGGCAACGATGAAAAAACCGGCTTGAAGCTCCAGAGCGGTGTGGCTCGGACAAATTGCATCGACTGCCTCGACCGCACGAACGCCGCGCAGTTTGTCATCGCGAAGAAAGCGCTCGGTTACCAGTTACAGGCACTCGGAGTGATCGAGGACACGTCCGTCGAGTACGACTCTGACGCCATCAACTTGTTCACGCACATGTGGCACGACCACGGCGACACGATAGCCGTGCAGTATGGAGGGTCGCACCTCGTCAACACAATGGCCACGTATCGCAAGATCAATCAATGGACCAGCCACTCGAGGGACATGGTCGAGAGTTTCAAACGGTACTACAACAATTCATTCATGGACGCCCAACGCCAGGAAGCGTACAATCTCTTCCTTGGGAACTACGTCTTCGCCCACGACAAGCCCATGCTGTGGGATCTGACGACAGACTACTACCTCCACCACTCCGATCCGCGATCAATGTTTGGCAAACGCAGGCCGAGCTACCGTCAGTGGTATACCTCTGAATATCTCGTCTCGCCATCGATACCACCATCACTGTGGCCACGGAACCTGCGTGACCGGCCGCTCGGGTACTTTGACGACTACTGGGTCGAATACTACCGACCACTGGCCATAACGTCGTTTAAGAAGCTCTTCTCGTTCAAAATGCACTCGAACCTGCGGTACATCCCGATCAACTCGACGTCGTCAGGCAAATACGACTTTTCACCGTTCAAGGTACGCACGGGGAACGAGAGTGACGGCGAAGGCCACGAGAAGAACGCCGCACGCAAGGGCGTCAAGATTGTCGCACCTTCGGACGACGCGGCGTCCGTTGCTGGAACCGAATCAGTCGCTTCGTCCATGCCACATCACGCGACACTCGAGCCGGCACCCAAACCCAAACCCAACGCGCTCGGCCCTTGGCTCGACGCTCAACAACAACTGCACAACACGCTCCATCGTCGCCAATACACGGGGATCATCAAGGAGCCTTCGTTCGAGGTCCAGTCGCCTTCTGTGCCGAAGATCCCCAAGCTTCCCACTGCCACGACAAGTGACCTCACGAACAGTTCGCTCTTGCAGCCCACCAAGGCCGAACTTGCGCTGCAGTCGTTCACGTCGCTGATCACGAGATCTCTAGACCCGCAGGTCCGCCAGGAAGGCGAGTACCAGCGATACGTGCGACACCCTTCGAACATCCCGCTCGTGGTGTCATCCGACATTGACTATTCCTCTGCGCCTCTTGAATTTCTCGAGTATCTCTCCAAGACCACGTCCGACCCAGCCGACCATAAAGTTCTGCGTCACTACGACGACGACCGCGGGGCCGTGAGTTTGACCATGGACGAGCGTGCGGAGGCCAGTCTGGACGAGTATACTGAATACATCGCCAGTGGGGCCGTGGAAAACCCCTTGACCGTGCTCCACGAAGACGGCGAGAAGAAGAGATACAAGGCCTATAGGAAGTGGCTGAAGGGGAAGAGTTTGTTCAAGCAGCGGCCTGTGGTTGGTGATGACGTTGACAAGGTCTGAGTATATTCGTATTCCCATATAATGATGCAGTGGCGTTCTGTACTGGCGTTGTACTGACTTGGCCGCTTCTCGAGATGAAAAATGATACCCCTCGATAGATAGATTGATGTTTATGTACCTCATCGGCCATAGCTGGTTTACGAAGCTTGTATCGGTTCATTCACTTGGGAGACTTTGATGCACTGTATCTTCTCCCTGTTCACGCTCAGCTGAATAGCTCTTTCAGGTCTTGTTCCTCATCCACCAGGCGCCGTGTGACGGCTTTCCATTCGTTCTTGTCAACAATCTCGGCTAGATCTTTGACTATGTTTGTCAATCGTGCCATGGTCTCAGGTAAATGCTTGCTGGTAGCGCTAGTGCCGCTGTCGCCCTCGCTCTCATCGAGACAATTACACCAACATCCCACCAAACCTCTCAAGATCTCGGGGTACCATTTCTCCCTTACTCGCGGCGTGCAGACCGAAATAACACATTCAACCACGTCCAGCACGGCCGACACCAGCTCTGGTGCGACCAGGATGAACGGATCCATCAGTCCCGCGCGAAGCATAGGTAGGAGACCTTTCAGATGCAGTACACTCGATATCCCCGTGCGCTCGAATACCGGTGGAATCTGGCGCAGGAGGAAGACGGTCAGGCTGACGGATATCGTTGATGACAATGACGCCGCAGACGAGAGGTGTTCGAGCGACGACATGATGCCGTGTCGGTAGAGTGCCGTGAGGAGGTCGTTTCGGGCCCTGTGGTCCATGGCGGTGAGTTTTTCCGGGGAGGGAGAGTAGCAGAACATTGCGTCCACGAGAGCAGTGTAGGCCGGATACAGTTGGCTCAAGACCGAGAGACTCTCGTCCTCGGGCGTGAGTGTCGGGAGGAGAGTGAAGTTGCCTTTGAGTGCGTCGATGAACACGTCGCCCAGACCTGTACGTTTGAGCATGTCGCTTTGCACCGAGGCCAAGATGTCGCTGAGCATGTGGAGCAGGTGGCATCCGGACGCTTTGTACGAAGGGTCGGTGTCGTCAATCATGTTCAGAATCGGAGGGATGAGGAGGTGGAAGTGCGATTCGAGTGTCGCTTTGCGGCTGGGCAAGGGAGTCGAGGTGTACGAAATGAGTATGTACTTGAGTAGGGGGACGGTGAAGGGTGCCGATTTCCATGGCTTGGAAGTCTCGTCGTCGTCGTTGAGCGAGGCATAGCTGGGGCCAAATGATGGTGGATTGGGGACGAGGTTCTTACGTCCGGTCGACGTCAGGTTGGGGTGCTTGGTGGTCGTGAAGAGTGGTTTTATGATCTGGGTGAGAAGGTCGTGTAGAGTTGTAGGTAACAATGCTTCGTTGGTGGTGTGGAGGATGAGAGCGTGAGCTTGGTCGCGCAAGCCTGTCGTCGACGCCGATGAAGGTGTCCTGGACGACGTTGATAAAATGGTGAGGATGTCGTCGGTCTCCATGGCGTGGTTTTCACATGAACGTTGGTCGAAGATTCTATTTTGGCCGTGATGCCGTCAGGCACCTCTGGACGGCCCTGTCGAGAACCACGAGAATGATTTGGTCTTCGCGCGTTGCATCTGGTGTCGCGGAAAGCGTAGAAAAGTGCCAAGCATTGCTCTGTCTGGGTGTGATGTCACGCCTTCCTGCTACGGTACCTAGAGTTGCCTGATTGGGACGAATTGATTTTTTGATCAGCCAACAAGCGCGAAATTGTAGTATTTCATCAATTCCGCCCTCCCCAGACCTGAGTCTGTATTTTATTCTTGAAATCGGCTCCTCAGCACAACGCGCCCGCGCAAAGCCGTCAGGGGGCTGGGAAAAGCTAGACAATTCATGTTTTTGATCTGGAGAATGATACAACCTATTTTACGTCTTCTAATTGACGTTCTAATCGTAGTTGCTCCAGTGCACGACGGGCGCGGTCTTCAGTGGTCCTGAGAGTCCACTAACCACGTCACAAACATGAGATATCGCTGGCAATCTACACGGGTTTTCACAAACATGATAGTCACATAATGTCTCTAACCCCATCCATCTCCCTCGTTCTGAGATCTCTCTTGGTCATGCCACCTCGGCTGTGCCTCTCGGGAGTGACTTGGGGTACAATCACGTGACGCCGGGGATCTGGAAGCAACTAATGCAGGGACTCGTATGGCCTGGCCTGTCCACACGCATCCTCCGCATCAGATGTTGTCCATGTCAATACAACCTAACCACGTCTCCTTTGCTATTCTACCCTCCGACAATCTCTCCAGTGTCCTCGGAAAGATGCGACACATGCGACACATTCACATCACAGACTGAAGAGATGGACGACAACGAAGTTACGCCTCTGGCCACCCGCCATCTGCCCGACGATGTGTCTCTACCAAGTCCCATCCAGCCCCATCTCGACACTCTGTTTGCCGAATTCGCTCGCACTCGCACAAGAATCTCGCCGCCGAGATCTCCTTCGCTTCGGTCTCATCCGTTACAGCGGCATTCTCGCAATGCATCGAATCTGAAGCCTACTCCGACCATCGATCTTCGCGCACTCGACTATGTCACGGAATATGAACCCCACTTGATGTGCCCTATTTGTCATGTTCCGTTCGTCGAACCAGTCGTCCTGGAATGTGACCACACATTCTGCAGTTCCTGCCTGAAAGAGTACCGTGAAGGGGCCAGTGCTGGTTTACGATCACAGTGCCCTACATGTCGGTCTTTCCTCCTGTCTGGGCCTCGCAAAGCCTCGCGGTTAATCGTCAACATGTGCAACGAGATCCGAGTACGATGTCCGAATGAAGACTGCGAAGAGATTGTGCCCAGAGGAGCCGTTGAGCGACATGCTACAAAAGAATGTGAGCACGAAAGACTGAAATGCCCAGATGCGGAATGCGACCGGTTGGTGAAGAGAAAAAACTACGTCCCTAACCAGTGCATACACACTTCTCAAATTGAATGTGACTGCGGGGCGGTGATTGAGCTCGGCCGCGGAGAATGGCTGAAACACAAGGATGAAGACTGTCCAAACACAGGTGTGGACTGCAAGCAATGTGGGAAACGCATCTCGGCCAAGGAGTGTCTTGCAGAAGATCAAAGTCACGTCTGCAGTTCCGAGGAGCAAGATGTATGTCCAGGCAGACATTATGGATGCGCAGAGGATGTACAGGACGAAGATTTGAGCGAGCATATCAAGTCGTGTCCAATGGCTCGTATGGCGCCATATTTGCAGAGACAGTCAAACTTACTGCACTCCCTACAAGAGCAGTTGACGATGGTCAAGGTCCGAAACGAAATTCTGGAAACAGGGTTTGAAAAGTTAAATGACATCGTCAATGATCGAGTGCTACACCGTCTAGACCAGTCGGATCATTCTCCTGCTGGTGAAGCGTCGGATATCGAAGAAATCGAAAGGGACGATATTCCCTCAGCAGTATCACATCGGGACCTTGTCATGCCCGCACATCTTCGAGCACTGACGCCTTCGCCTGATCTGAACGTCGCCTCCATCTCTCAGACACAACAGCAACTCTTGGCAAATCACGAGTCCCTGCGCGGAAACGTGTCGAACATGGAGCAAGACATTGCAGCCCTCCACAACCACATATCGGACCTTGATGCGCGCACGTCGATGCAGATTATGAATGAGACTCTGCGAATCAAAGAGGACCTCGCCCATACCAATGCTGCCCTATTCAGCACCAGGGCGCAGGTGCAGTGGCTCTTGAACAGAGAGAGAATCGGCCAACAACAACAAGCAATGCGTGGCCGTACACCGTCAACTCAACCTCAACCTCCTCATGCAGCTCAGTCCGCCCGGAGTTCAATGTCGGAAGGTAATGATGTTTCCAACCTGGGGACGAGCTTTGACAGTCAGCCGTCGTCGAGTAGTGTGGCACCCAGTCCAAACTTCCGTCCTCAGATCAGGAGGTTGAGTGGAGGTAGCCAGGAGAGAGTTAAGCTGTGAAAGTGCGGGACTGGCAGATAGTGTAGCTGTATGGCGCAGTGCTGGCCTGTTCGGGGTCTTTGAAGACGGGTAGATATGAGTATATCTATAATCCCTGAACATTCGTCTTTCACGACTGCGCTCCCGTTAACGACTACTTAGTCGACTCGCTCCCTCGTCCGCTCGCTTCTGTTCCCCCATGGCTCTGGCCCGTTTCCCCCACGTGCCAGCGAGGCGCTAACATTACGCACATCCAACCGCGATGGGGTGTCGAGGGTATTCGTTGATGTGACAGGTTGTCCACTGAACTTGAAGCCATGTATAATCTGGTTTCGGGACATCGAATCAAACATGTGATCGGGCTGCATCTGACCGAAAAAGGTTGTCCTTCAAAATGCGTCTCGGAATTCCTGCACCGCAAACCTGATCAGCTCTCTGCTCTCCGTTCTCTCTTCCCATAACGACGGCTTTGGCACGCGAGACTAAGGAAGAGCACATACCTGAAGCCGACTAGTACTATTTACCACCCCGACCTGCTGATTGCTAGAGAAAGCACCCGCTGCGATGTCCTTCTTGGCATCTTGAATTATTGCAACTTTCTACACGGAAACGGATCAGTGCTCGTCCATATGAATGACGATATTGAAGACGAGAAGGATAAAAAAGGAGGAAACGAAGGAGGTAGGGGTAGAAAGGGGGGAATGGGGGACCATTGCCAGCCATTCAACGGAGGATGAAAAGCTTTTCACTTTCTTGTTGGAGTCGCTTACCTCTTCAAACGAATTTCTCACACGGTATCTGACGGTCTTCACTTCTTTCGTCTGACCGAGTCGATGGATGCGCGAGAGTGCTTGTTCTTCAATCATAGGATTCCATTGTGGCTCGAGGAGGTAGGCCCGTGAAGCGGCAGTCAAATCGAGTCTATAGCCATAATCCGAAATCGAAAGGACTTGTTAGTCAACCGCAATGTCAGAGGAAGGAGGATGTCTCTGTGTGCGCGCACGTCTTTCTGGGATTCCTTCTCTTTTTGGGGAGGCAAACGTACCCGGTTCCGCCGCAGGTAATCGACACCAATATGATGCGGACAGAATCTTCGGTTTGGAATTTCTGAATGGCTTCCTCGCGCCGTGTACCGGACAGACTGCCGTCGATGCGGACGTAGGAGATCAACGTCTTTTTCAACAGTGATTCGATGAGGTCTAATGTATAGGTCCAGAAGGAGAAGACGACGCTGAATGGAAGTCAGACACATTCAAGAGCTATATAATGATATGTGTTTTGGGGGCGATGACGAGGGTGGTTGAGTTGATAGGTAACATACCTCTTCTCAGTCTTCACATTCACCTCAAGATCTTTGAGCAAGGTCTTCAACTTCGTGGAGACTTTTGCTTCCTCAACCTCGGGAAGACCAGCCCGTGGTTGTCGGTCGGAAATCTCAGATGCCCAAGAGACTTCGGCCTTGGGACAAGGTGGATTACATCCGCATCCTGCTACCCTTCCGCCGTTGGGGCGATTCTGAATGCAAGAGCCGCAGATGACTGTCAGGCATTTGGACAGAGAGGGTTTCGTGTGCTCGAAACCATCCGCCTCACCTGTACCGGCAGCCATGTTTGTCTGACACAGTTTACACACCGCGGACCCGCTGTTAACGAGGGTGGCAAAGGCCTTTTTGGCTGTGGATTTGTACCAGGTCTCCCCTTGAGAGATCGTCGCAACCGAGGCAGACTCTGATAATGGACCGGTCAACTTTTGTAATTCTTTCTGGCTGCATTGCATCAATCCGTGGTTACACAACAAGCGGAGTTCGTTCAACCATTCCAGCGCATTCAAATACATCCCCGGTGTCGATGGATTGACGGAGAGAGCCTCGTCGAGTTTCTGAATCGTCCGGTTCTTGGCAGATTCGTAGAGATCTCTCTCTTCGGGGCCTAGATCGATATACTTGATCACATCTCGGCGAGGAGGAAGATCAATGATTGTTTTGCTACGACACAGCGATACATATCGGATGAGCTTCTTGAGTCGAGATGTGTCCTTGTCGTCGGATTTGAGCCACGGTTTGACAACAGTGGATTCGAAAACTTTGGGATCCGTGAAAGGTTCAAGGTGAATGAATTCAAGGAGACTGCCTAGGTCGGTGGGCCTGTTTTGGATTGGTGTGCCCGTTATGGCCCATCGTCTACTTGCTGGAAGTGCGCAACAGGCTTGCGCAATGGCGGTCGATCGATTTCGAATGATGTGAGCTTCAAGTTACTGAGTCAGTCCATGTATAATCTGCAAAGAAGGTTGTTTTAGCTTGCCTTCGTCAAGGACAATCCGATGCCAGGCAAAGGAGAATAAGGTCGTATCCGTGTAGGCAGGATCATTGTGCTTCTTTTGTTGGCCCATAAGGGTCTCGTAGGTGGCGATCACAATATCATAGCCACCCAAGGCAAGCAACTTGCGTTTCTGCGAACTGTGGAATCGGTACCATGTAAGAGAGTTTGGTTTCAGATGCCTGATGGGGTCGTCAGTTCCTGACCCTTTTAGGGTGTCATCGAGTTGAGGGTAGGTACCGTTGGAGTTGGGTGTCCCAAGTATCTAGCACTATGAACAAATCTGTGAGCTCCTGATGGTTAACAGATGAAGAAGACACAGCCACTCACGAGAATAAGGCACGACTATCAAGGTTGACTTGATGCGACGGATTGTTCCGTTTGCGGTAAACGTGAGCGAAGAAGTCAACTGAGCTGGATTTGAGGCGATCAAAGAAATCATGGTCAGAGATTTGCCCAATCCCATCTGATCAGCCAACAGCCCGCCCTTTGATTCTCGAGGTTCGGTCCGCTGAGAGTTACCAGTGACTAAATTTGTGTATCTACCGCTGTTAGCTGGCTCTTCCTCGCAACCCAGAGCAGCGACGAACATCAATTCTCCGGTTTCGTCCACATCCCGGACCCACATGGTATCAGGCGATTCCTCGTATGACCAGGGCATTTCTCGCTGTTTCATGAAAGTCAACGCTTTTTTCTGATGCCTAGATAGATGTTAGAATCATGAATAAATGCCCCCGTCTTTCAAAGCCGTACTTGTAGAGAGGAGTGCGCAATAGGTCCGGAGTTTCTGTCAGTTGAAGGTGGTCATCGTCACAGAGTCGCGAAAAGAGGTCTTGGGGAGCATCTACATTCACGACTTCTTGCATCGACGATTCGGAGGTCTTAATGACCAGGGAAGACGTCATGACTAATTCCTGCTGTCGTGACAAGAGATGTGGATTGCAGTAAGGAACATCGCGATTGCATTGCACTGGATCCTGGAGATACTTTTTGCACTTCGCGAGATAAGTTCCCACGCCGTCGCAAAACTCTTCTGGCCCAAAGATGATCGCATTCATCAGATATTGGAGATCATGTTGCCCGACTTTCTTCCCTTTGGTATCCTTCATTTTGGCTCGTCGCCTCGTGACGTATGCATATAATTGGAACGAAACTCGATCTGAAGCGGCCAATGTGGTGAGAATCTCTGCGGTGCGCTCCTCGAGGGAGCCAAAATCCCCTCCGGTATCTAAGAGATGAAGGGAATTGGGCGCTATGAACCGTAGGTCCAACGAAGACGACGCCACAGTAGATAAACCAGAGCGGCTAGAAAAGATAGGTAGTTGTGACAACTATGCATCGTGAGCCGGCGGGGCTGCTTAGGCATCGAGAGAACGTTACCATTCCAAAGCAACACAAAGATTTGTCGAGAAAAGCTTCGTGCCCAGATATCACGTCTGCTTGAAGACTTTCATTTGTCTCTGCGCCAGAAAATGCCAGAGCGTCGCGGCTCCATCCATCGACAAAAGGATCTCCGATCTCAAAGCCAAAACCTCCGACGTTGTCTTGCACCTGAAAAGTCTGCATGCTGGGCAGTGTTTCCCATGACGAGAAGCCTGTTGGGAAGGTGGTTTGGTACGGTGAGTATGTCTCGCTATTTGTCCATGGCATATTCCATGCATTGGTATAAGGTACTCTAGAGGCGGTTTCCACACCTTGACCAAGTCTCTGCCGCTTGTGGCCATTCAAGTTGCAGTCTGAGTAATTCAAAGGAAGCTCTGCGCCGAACCAAGGAGAAGGGTATCCGTCACCCATGCTGAACGACAAAGGTCCTCGGAGATTAGTGACAATAGCAGCGACACCCTCTCGACTCCAGAGAACTTCGTGTGTTTCCTCTTAACTGAGATTTAGCATATTTTGTTGGTAAAAATTGGATGGCCGTGAGGCTGAAACTTGATAAGGCTGAAGACGTTTAAGAAATTTGCGAGGTAGTCGCCTATCAATGTGACGTGCAGTCCAGAGGAGGTTGTGCCTGACAAGGCTGGTTAGTCACTCAGCCACGGCCCAGTCGGGATTCCATACAAGGCTGCTGAAGAGGGTTTCTAGGGTTGCAAACGGGCTTTGCCATTGATTCGTCCTTGTCGGTGTGCGAGGTTCAGCTGCGCCTCCACCCATAAAACACGGTCTCGACATGAAAGCGTTTAGGTGGACAGAGCACCCAATGACATCTTCGTAAAAACATGCTTTGCGATCAAGACAGCCCCTGTGAGTATCGACTCCCGCTGCGCCTCTGAGACGAGGACGCTTGTGGCTATGTTTGGGCTCCAACTTTGAGGTGGAATAGCTTCCATGGACTTCATCTCTGCTGGCCAGCGACTACATCGTAGAAGACTCTTTTTTAGCGGAGCAGAGGGCTCTGTCGTGCACGTTCAGCCCACGAGAGAATTGAGCTTCACCTGTAAATGTCGGGAAGAAAGCAATTAGTGCGAGTTCACCGCAAACGGAGCAGGAATTGCAACGGTCCAATCAATATCTCGCGAATATGGTCGCCGATCAAAGCTGCTTTTTGAGGTTTAGCACTCTCTGCATATGTACCAATCTGTCATTAGCGTCCAAATCGTCCTCGGTTGCGTGTGACTCGAAAACGGGTGGCGGAGGCCACTCTCTCCTTACCTCTTCCCCCTGTCGTGCCGCTCGGAGAAATTGCGGTTCGATCGATACCAATCAAGGGCATATTCTGCTAGACACTAAAGCGGTGAGTGGGATGATGAAGCAAAGAACTTTTCTGCGACGTCTGCGGCACGAGGCGCAGGCCAAAGCCGGTAGGCAGAACCCGGGCGGACACTCGGACGCATGGTGCCGCCGAGGCGGGATTTGGGCCACTTTACGCGTCAAGAGAAGGTTGCCTCACGTGATCTGCAACTGGTGATCAGCCCCGTCGCGCTCAGGTTTCAGCCCAGCTTCCAACCCGCAAGTTGGAAGTCACCGTCACTGCATCTGCCAATTCATTCGATACTTCGTGCTTTCGCTGTGCGGTGGTTGGCTTCAATCTTATCTTCAATTTACTAAAATTTCCAGCCCTCGTCCGCTCTCGCCCAGAACAAGGCTCATATCGAGTCTTCCTCGTTCAATAATGGCCTTGCCGTATACCCTTACACTATGATTTTACCGATCGTTCGGGCAGTAGAGCGAAGACTTGACCTCTGTCGTGACCACTTCCTCAACAAAATTATCAGAACACACGGGTAATCATCCATGGCCACCAGTCAATCGCCTGGATCGATCCTAAATGACGCATTCCGCAAGCTCAAGGACTCGGTGACCTCTGCCGATGCAATCTCCTTCCAGAAAACTGAGCTTGAAGATGTCTGGAAGACGGCGGAAGAGATCCAGAAGACTCAGAGGGCGAGGCAGTCTGTGCAGGCACTGCGGCGTATCCAACCGTTGTTGGAAAATCTGGAGAAGTATTCCAAAGTCGTTGAAGTCCTGTGCAACGGCACTCCATTCCTCCCTTGGATCTGGGTAAATCAAACCGTGTCTAATTTTGATGCCGTTGCTGATGCCAGCTAAGGCCCCAATCAAATTGATGGTTCAGGTAAACGCCTCGAGATAGGGCGAATTTCAGATGCTAAATCGCACAGCTGGCCAGTGGGCACACCAAGATATTCGATCAGCTCCTGGACGCGTACGCCGAAATCGCCGCGGCAATGCCCCATTTTGATCGGTTGCAAGCCGGATTCTCCGACGACGACAACTTCAAAGTTATCCTGGCACTTGTGTACGCTGATATTCTCGAGTTTCACCAACGTGCATACAAGCTTTTCAGAAGACGGTGTGGGTGTTGACACTCCTCTCATGCTAGTAGGCTCAGTTTTCTGACACGCCATTAGCGTGGCATATTCTGTTTGACTCATTGTGGAAGTCGTTCGACAGCCGATTCAGTGGAATACTTGCCAATCTGTCCAAGCACAAAGAAATGCTCATGAAAGAAGCAATAGCTATTGATATTGTGGAAGCGAGAAAATGGAGGACTCGCGCGGCAGAAGAGCTAGACAAGCAAGAGAAGGGGCGAAATCAAATCTATATTAGTGATACTCTTGCATGGCTTAATATCCAACAGGAAGACCAGGAAGATGAACTCGACAGACTCCTGGCAAAGAGGCAGCCCGGAACTTGTGATTGGGTCTTCAGGCATCCGAAGTTTGTCACTTGGAAAACTGAGGCGCATGCAGAACGAGTTCTCTGGATGAATGGAATTCCTGGAGCAGGTATCCGCCGCAATGTGACGGGCTGTCACTGACTCGAGACTGATTCAGACGTGTAGGCAAAACAATCCTAACCTCCTACATCATCGACAAACTCCAAAATGACTCCAAAACCATCACGATTGCATACATAATCTGTAACTCCTATACAAGTGGAAAAAACATCTTGTCTGAGACGATGCGAGGCCTAGCCGCACAATTGCTAAGGGCAAACCCAGACATTATGCCATATGCGTTTGACAACTATGCCAACAAGGCGCTCCCGCCCTCCGTGTCACACGTGAGGAAGCTTCTATCGGAGATCTTGGGCATGATTCCAGAGACCTTTTTATTTATTGACGGCTTGGATGAATATACCGAATCTCAGCAAAGGTCCATCCTTACCGAGGTCCTTCCACTAACCAGAGTAACTGGTGGGACATGCAAGGTGCTGCTGTCTTCGAGAGACGTACCCAGCATTTCGAAGAGGATGAAGAGCAAACCACGTATCTCACTGCGAGACGAGTACTCGGGCGTCGAGGAAGACATCCAGAAGTATCTAGCGGAAGAACTGCAAGAGATCAAGGAGAGATTTGAGGGCAAGGAGAACGAGATGGAGGAAATTATTGAGGTTATCGCTCTGAAAGCTGATGGTATTCATCCTGGGAACTTGCGACCTCCTGCTAGCTTCGTCTAACACTGCGACAGGCATGTTTCTCTGGGTCAGATTAATCCTAGACGAATTGAGGAAGTGCTATAGTATGGATGAGCTCAGGAAAACCGTTGAAGGATTGCCCAAAGGGATCGATGAAGCGTGAGTGACGCAATGAAACCCGCATATTCTCCGCTAAGCCGATACAGCTATGGCCGAGTCCTTGAGCGCATCACCAAGGAAATGGACGTGGATGAATATGCAAAAGCCAGGCGTATTCTCGAGTGGCTTGCTTGCTCCTGTCGGCTGATGAAGATACACGAGGTCCAGGACGGTATTGCATTTCATGCCGACAATCTGGTCCTGAACGATGATACAAAATTTTCGCCCGCAGTTTTGGACCTGTGCAGACCACTGATTGAAGAAGGACCGAACAATACCATTGACTTTGTCCATTACTCCGCAAAAGAGTGTGTTTCTCTTCCGTCTACATCTCCTTGAGTCTAACCATTGCGAGCAGATACATTCTCGATAAAGCCTCTGGGCCATTGCTGTGGGAATCTCAAGCACACTACGACCTGGCATTTGCTTGTATTACATATTTGAACACGTCTTTCTGCTTCTACCAATACGCATCATCTCACCACATTGTGCGGACAAAAGTTGCGAAAGGTTTCCACGGACTGCATAACTACGCAACTGAGTATTGGTTTCAGCACCTGCTTCTCTGCTCGCGAGAGCTGGAGAGGCTGGATGAACGGCATCTCATAACCGAAGCCCTTAAGACACTTCAAGCTCAATTCTGGAAGGCTCAGCCTGGTACTGCTGCCAAGAATCTTAAATTGGATGACACCACAACCGCGAATGAGATAAGTGAGGAGCTGTCATCATTTGGAGACTATGAGTCTTTTCGGCAAGTGGGAGTCGACATTGCGACGTTTCGGGCACACTTAATTCAGGAGAAACATGCACATGAAGTTGCAGAGAGTATGAATCCCGCTTCAAAGTCTTTTTGTCTTCCATCGCTGACTACGGTAAAGAGCATCATGCCTACGAAATCGAACACGACCCGACCCATTTCAGCGCGATCACCAAGCGCTATCAAGAAGTCGTCTTGTTTCTGCTAACCTGCAGTCCTGAGGACGTCTCGGACGATATCGATCTCGAGATCTTGAACACATTCCGCAAAGTGTACGGAGAATCTGAATTCACGTGTCGGTTTCACGAATGCCCTTATCATTCGGACGGGTTCCAATCAATCCAGGATCGGAATCAACATGAACAAACCCATATGAAGACGCTTCGTTGCGCGGATCCGTCTTGCGAGTTTTTTGCTCGAGGATTTACAAGTAAAACAGGTTTGCAGAAGCACAACCGAAAGTATCATCCCACCCCCGATGAAGTCGAACTCCCCAAGTTTGTGCCGGTAAGGCCGGTCACTCCCCCGCCCGTATTCATTCCGCCGCCTCCCCCCAGATCTCCTACGCCTCCGTTGTTTCGTATGCCTATACCTCCTGCATCGGCGCCGCTTCGACCAGTCGTTCAACCTCAGTCTGAGAGGTGCGAGCGGATCAAGAAGGTGCGACTGAAAAGAGGTAAAAGAGGGCTTCGAGTTCATGCCTGTGAATCATGCACGAAGGTATTCTAACCGTCCCAACGAGCTTCTTTGATAGGGAATAGCTGACGCCGAATAGATTTTTATGCGCGCAGAAGCTTTGCGACGGCATCATCTCAGCCACCTGCCTCCGGGTTTCCATTGTCAACACGACGGTTGCGACAAAAAATTCCACCGCAGAGACCTTTACGAGCGACATCTTGACAAGCAGTATGTTTCCAGGCACTTTCCTTTGGGCCGAATATGCACTGATCGTGTTATCCTAGCATTCAGCAAGACAGTTCGTGAGCCTGTCGCATTGCGGGCCCAGGGAGCCCAACGAGGAACAGATCACATCTTCGGATCAAATATCGCTCAGAGGTAAAGGTGCAGCCGCAAGATACTCTACGGAGATGTACTTTGGAGACCAATAGCAAGGCTTTAATGAGAAATTTCCGAGTCAAAAGTGTTCAAATGCTGAAAAAGCTGTCTGTCTACTCCGTACTCGTGGTCAGATGCGGACCTCGTTGCGCTCCAATCCTGAGGTCTCTAAAGGAAGTCGTAGACGGGGTACGGAAGAGTCCGTCGCGTAGCCTGGTATTTGGAGGCGGAAAAGTGTCGCTTAACTTAGATAAATTGCAATGAGAGTATGGAAATCTCATTGTATCCTAGATCGAAGCCATTCCAAACCGCTTTTCATTGGACAACGAAAAGAATGAGTCACTGAAGTCTTTCAATTCCACTTACTGTGTTAGGCACAATTTTCGCAAAGCCAGCACTCGCCGACGGAAAAGCGGTCAGAGAGATGTGTCTTAAGATGGATCACTTGAAGGCCACAATGGGAGCCGGTGTGAGCCGGTGGGAGCTGGTGGGAGTGTGCAAATTCCCAGGATTCTTTGCAGTCCCAACTGCTCCCAGGTCGATCTTGATAGGCTCGTTGGGTTGAACGCAAGGCTCAGGGGGCACTGCCTCACGGGCAGTTACAAGATTCGGATTAGGCCTCCCAGAAGGCTTCTGGAATCTCTTCGACAGAGGTCATAATGTGAATTTCGCACCCCTCGAGCCAATTTCCCCTAGCATTGCATTCGCGATTTTCCGCCTCCAAATTTCCGAATATGGAAAGGACCCCGGCATGCAGGTGTTTTTCAAGGCAGACCGGCATAAAAAGAAAGCCTTGGGGGGTGACATTGGAGGCCAACAGATCAAATGGGCCGTTCAATCACTCGGTTTACGCGAAAGCCGTCGAGTGTAAAACTCCCCAGACGAGCTTGACTTCGAGCTTGCTACGTAAATCCTAATTGGCCCATCCACCTTGACAGCCTGATGGGCTCGGGAAAAATCCCCACACCGACTACTCTGTACTCCGTACAATGATCGTTAAATCACTCGGCCCCTCGAACGCCCCTCGAACCTGAGCGCGGACGTTTTGGCTCCTTTTGGTGTCTGAAAGAGGCAATTTTGGAGGCAACCGAAGATTCTGAAAGCATGAGGCATTTCATGGAGAGTGTGAAGAATTGGGATACATCCCATCATCACTCGCCATCTTGCGATGATTCTCGTTAGGATTAGGGGAGATTGAAGGGATGCACAGCGCTCCGTACCAGAAGACTCGAACTTGAGCCCTATGCTCTTTCACCAGAAATCGTATGGTGGGGGGCCGTTTCATCCTCCAAGACGATTGGTAGCACAATTTTGATGCGGACAGAATCTCAGTTTCGCACCTTCATCACGGCCACGGTGTGTTGATGTTGATTTGTTGAGCCATGAGGGCAAGACGACTGGCATGACGAGCCAATGCGCCAACCAGTTTGTTTCCCTCTCCGCTCTCAACACAGGCTAGTATGTGTTGTACATCCATATCCCTTCTGGAGCGTGTTTCAGAAACTGGCCTCCAAGGCGTCTTCGCTGGAGGCAGCCACGATCCTAAAATGCCAAGCAGAGTTCGAAATGTCACAAAACTAGTTGAACCACCCTGGAGGGAATGTTCTTACTGCCAACGGATTCTGCTGCTGCTGGCGGTCATTCTCCGCGTGTCGATCTCTCCAAGGGTTCCACATCCAAATTATTTGGAGGCAGAAAACACCAAAAGTTCCAGTTACAGTGTGTGAAACCAACAAAAAGCCCTCCAACGAAGACGTCTAACTGATCTCTTACTGGTTCTCTTCGTTTCTCGTGCTGGATGTGGGGCTTAGAGGGGAGCCTTAATGTTTTATTGTCGAGGCTGCGAGAATGCTGTCTTTTTTTACTCACTAATCCCTAGCATCCGCCTATAGTGAGTTGGAGATGCCTTCGACAAGGTTTGCCTGCAATCCAACGACGGAGGGTGCGAAGTTTCGAAGCAATGAGATTTTCGAATCCGTACTATACTATGATGGATATAGCTACAGCCTCCAGAGTATTCGGATCCTCCTGCCAGCTATGCAAAGACATCTTGGCTGTTGGCTGTACCACTTCGAGATCCAGACAGGCGCACCGCCGCTCTGCAAGAACAACGACATCAAAAGCATATCGTAGAATGAAAAACTGTCATGCCCGGAGTACCCGCACTTCGAAATAGTCGGGGTCCAAAGGGGAACCCCCGAGCCCGAACTGGCTTCTGCGGATGGACATCAGGCAGCGCTCCCCTGTGGCTCGCCCGGTGCTCAGCCACGCTCCCCTGTACTCTGACGGTGCTCCCACGACGCTTTCCCGAGGTCCGCCGGGCCTCCTGGACGCTCCGTCATGTGCCTGATTAAAGCGGTCGCGCTCCGTTTCCTGAACGAAAATGGGAAGAGACGAGGCATGGTTTGGGGTGTATAATATATATTATATATATGCTTGACATCAAATTGCTCTCCTTGAGAGCTTCTGTCCGTTAATGACCCTACGCAGTTAGATGAAGGTGGTATCGAGTAATACAAACCTGTCCACTCCAGCTTCAAAGCTTAAGAAGTGAAGATCAAGGTATTCATACCCTGAAGGATACACTTAATGATACTGTCGACCTGGTCGCGCCTAGTTGGGCACGTGACCCGCATGCGGCCCGGCAAAGTTTCCCTAACTGGTTCCGGGCTTCACGCGACGGCTCGCGACCATGAAGCAGCCAAGGTGTCCACGCCAGTTGCTGGCCGATATTGTTCTGGGTATATGGGATGCAGATACAACGTACGGTAGTCTGTTAAAGGTCAGATATTGCTACTATTGTATGCTTGCAATTCTCCAGAGAGCTGCAGATCTGGAACGCCACACTCATCGCCATGTGCCATAGCCTTCGGTAACCAAAGCCTCGAACGAATCTTCCGTGGCCGTACCTTTCGAACGGGCCTCCTTGCGCCCGCACCCTGTCGTGCTCTTGCGGCAAAATGGCCATCCCTCGCCCAGATGTATCAATCCCAGAATACGACACGTTGTCAATGCATCCACTGGCCCCAGGCCATACCCCCGTTATTCACGACGTTACGCCTGCGATCGCCATCGACCCGGTCGCCCTTATCACGACAGAATGTATAACTATAACGTCGGCCATGCGCAAGCATGCTCGGTGGGCGCAGTCGTCGGTAGCCACAATCTTGGGAGGAGGCGCTTCAAGGCTACAGGAGTCGGAGCTGCGGCGTTCGCCTTCTCAGAGTCGTCGAGGGACCCCGGTGATCACAGATCCAGGAAAGACAAAGCCGAATGCCAATAACCTCTCGGACGATGAGAATGCCAGCCTGGCAAGCCGCTGGGGGCTGCGTGGAAAGAAAGGAAAGAGCCTGCAAGACAACCCCCTCCTGACAGCATTCTCGAGGTTAAGGCGAGATTTGGCGGGATGCAAGGACGTCAGGACCGTGGACGCCCCAGAGCTCCTACACCCCTTTCTACAGGTTATACGCAGTTCGTCGACCAGCGCTGCCATCACCAGTCTTGCTGTCATCTCCATTACGAAATTCTTTGCCTACAACATCATCACAATAGAGAGCCCCAGAATCGGTCCCGCCATGCATCTTCTCAGCGCTGCAATCACCCATTGTCGATTTGAGGCTAGTGACACTGCTGCAGATGAGGTCGTACTGCTGAGGATATTGCGGTTGATGGAGAACATTATATCAAGACCTGAGGGTCAATTACTCGGTGACGAGAGTATTTGCGAAATGATGAGCACTGGATTGAGCATGTGCTGTCAAGCAAGGCTGTCGGAAGTGCTCAGGAGGTCGGCCGAGATGGCAATGGTCACCATGTGCCAGGTCGTCTTCAGCCGGCTGAAGTACATCAAAGTCGAAGAGCTGCCCAAGAGTAGGAGTCGTTCGGGCACCAAAACCGCCCTGATAAATGCTTCTGAAGATCTGAAAATTGAGCCACCAATGACCGGGAGTGTCATGGGGAATGGAGAATCTGTACGGCCCAGTGTCGACGCTGATCCTCGGCCCAGCTCCGAACCAGCATCTGAAGTCACAGCTTCCAAGTCGGAGGCACAGAATACAGCCGCCCCGGTGAACGAAAAGGACGATGAAAAGGTTGAGCCATATTCGTTGCCGTCCATCAAGGAGCTATTTCGAGTTTTGATCGACCTCCTTGATCCCCATGACAGGACTCATACTGATCCTATGCGCATCATGGCACTGAGGATAATTGATGTTGCGTTGGAAGTCTCGGGACCATGGATAGCCAAACAGCCTGCCCTTGCAGCATTGGTTCAGGACGACTTGTGTCGCCACTTGTTTCAGCTTGTTCGTTCGGACAATATGGTTCTGTTGAACAGCTCTCTTCGAGTTGCCGGGACACTGCTTGCTACTTGCCGACAACTACTAAAATTGCAGCAAGAGTTGTTTTTGTCATATCTTGTGGCATGTTTACACCCTCGCGTTGACATACCCCAAGAACCAGGAATTGATCCAGCGCTTTATGAAGGCGTACCCCAAGCTCCGAAACTTGTCAAACAGGCTCCATCCCAATCCAGCAGTGGGCGATCTACACCTGTCCCAATCAAGGATAGGCAAAAATTGGGTCTGGAAGGCGGTGCAAGACGACCTGAGGCGCGGGAAGCCATGGTTGAGGCTATTGGTACACTGGTACGAATGCCTAGCTTCATGGTGGAATTGTTTGTCAATTACGATTGCGACGTTGATAGACAAGACCTTTGTGAAGACATGGTTGGTCTGTTAGCACGCAATGCATTCCCAGACTCGGCAACATGGAGCACAACAAACGTACCGCCACTGTGTCTAGACTCCCTATTGAGCTTTGTCCAGTTCATGGCGGACAGACTTCACCAGGAAATACCAACAGATGCCCAGCAGCGGATAGAGAAGATGCAGTTGCAGAGAGCAAGAAAGAAGATCATCAAAAGTGGTGCCTCCAAATTTAACGACGACCCTAAAGCCGGAATTGCTTACCTGGTGAGAAATGGTATCATTAAGAATCCCGACGATCCATTGCAAGTTGCCCAGTTTTTGAGAGGCACATCGCACGTTTCAAAGAAGGTATTGGGCGAGTTTTTGACGAAGAAAACAAACGAGCGGCTGTTGACCGCCTTCATTGGTTTATTGAACTTCGAGAACAAACGAATCGACGAAGCACTTCGAGAAATGCTTGGTGCTTTCCGTCTTCCGGGCGAATCGGCGCTGATAGAACGCATTATCAACATCTTTACGGATCGGTATTGCGCAACTGTTAACCCAGAGGAGATCGAAGATAAGGATGCAGCCTTTGTTCTCACCTATGCGATCCTCATGCTGAATACTGAGCTGTATAATCCCAACGTCAAGCCGCAAAACCGCATGGGCTTTGAAGGCTTTTCCAGGAATCTGAGAGGTGTCAATTCAGGGAAGGATTTCACGCCAGAATTTCTTCAAGATATTTACGATGCCATCAAGGACAATGAGATTATATTACCCGATGAACACGACAACAAACATGCTTTTGAGTATGCCTGGAAAGAATTATTGATGAAAACCAGCGATGCAGGTACCTTGGAACTATGCCGCACCAACACATTCGATGCAGAAATGTTCAAAGCAACGTGGAAACCGATTATTGCAACGCTCTGCTATGTTTTCATGTCGGCTTCCGACGATGCTGTATTTTCCAGGATTGTGGTTGGCTTTGACCAATGTGCACAAATTGCGGCCAAGTACGGCGTCACAGAGGCATTCGATCGAATCATCTACAGTATCAGCCAGATTAGTGGTTTGGCCTCAGAGATACCTCCCAGTACTTCACTGAACACAGAGGTTCAGGTTGGGAAAAGGAGCATCATGGTCAGTGAGATGGCCGTGAGACTTGGGCGAGATTTCAAAGCACAATTGTCAACCGTCTTGTTGTTCCGTATCTTGTCAGGGCACGAAGACGCAGTAGGAGAGACATGGATATATGTCGTACGGATCTTGAGAAATCTCTTTGTCAACTCGCTCATCACTTTGCCCAACGTTGAAAGCACGAAATTTGCAGGTATAGACTCAATCCCACTTCAACCGCCATCACACGTCGTCGACCGTGATGGTAACCTCGCCGAGAGCGGCCTTTTCTCCACATTTACATCTTACTTGTCCAGCTACGCCGCAGATGACCCCCCAGAACCCTCCGAAGAAGAATTGGAGAACGCTCTCAGCTCTGTCGACTGCGTGAGGGCATGCCAACCCGATAAGATTCTGAACCACATGGCTTCTCTTCCTCCAAATCAAATTCAGAGTCTCGTAACAGCTTTGTTATCTCAAATGGAGGATTCTTCGCCGGTGGTGACGGTAAAACCGGAAAGGCCTCTTCCAGTGACTCAGAGAGTCAATGGCCATCGCTTACCAAAGGCTGGACCCGAGTATGATCCGGGAACCATTTTCCTCTTGGAGCTGGCTACCATATTGACTTTGAGGGATGAAGAGACCACCGCTGCTGCTGGAGAAGCCTTGACGGGATCTCTGCAGAATGCTGTCAGGGATGCCTCGAATATTCACCCCTTGGCACTGTCCAGGATCGTCCATTACCTTCTTGAGGTGCTGCGACATGGCTATGTAAGTCAATCACATGAATTAATGTGATCGTGGTGCTGACATCAAGACAGACTTTCGACTTTATACGCGCCCCTGTAGTCCTTCATGCTATTTCTAGCTTTGATGATGCTGTGTTGGACCGCACCGCAGCAGCGATCACGCGAGACCTTGCCAGCTGCATCGCTGTCCCCGGTGCCCTCACCAATGAAATCACAACATCTCCAGATTTCTGGTCGACTCTTCAGCGACTTCATCAGCACAGAACCGAGGCCGAAAAGGTTTTCGCCATTCTGACTACTCTTGCCACCTCTATGCCCGCGACTGTGACAGCCGATAATTTTGAATCTGTCATCGGACTGGCCAATGACTTTGCAGCTGCCGGATCTATCGGTTCGATCCAAGAAAAGCGCCGGGACTTCGCAGCCAAGCGAGGCCACCAAGCTAACCCGGCCCGCGAGGAAGACGGTGCCGTCGTACAACGAGCGAACAAAGCCATCAACCTGATCTATCAGCTTAATGATCGTGTTCCTGACCTCATCGCTCAATCACATCTCGACCGCAATGAAGCATGGGCGGCATACTGGTCACCCATCTTCCGGGCGCTATGTACGCAATGTGTCAACCCATGTCGTGAGATCCGGCATCGAGCTTTCTCAGCATTACAACGCACATTACTTTCTGACACTGTGGCAGACAAGGAACAACATCATGAATGGATAGCCATGTTCGATGAAGTCTTGTTCCCGTTGACTTTAAGGCTGTTGAAGCCCGAAATCTATCAGATCGACCCCCCTGGAATGAACGACACGCGAGCGTACGCTGCAAGCGTGCTCTGCAAAATCTTCCTGCGATATCTTGACCGGCTCGTCGAGGTAGGCCGAATGGGCGACGTGTGGATCAAGGTATTGGAACTACTTGACCGCCTGATGAATGCAGGCACTGAAGGTGACGCTTTGGCTGAAGCTGTGCTTGAAGGGGTAAAGAATGTTCTCCTCGTCATGGACGGGACTGGATATTTGGGTAGGGACAATGCGGTTGTCCAACCTGGGGTGGTACCATCACCACGTGCACAAACTCCTGCAGAGTCTGAAGACAATAATGATGACGAAGATGAAGAGAAAGTGGGAGAAGAAGATCACAAGCAGCAAGAGCGCAAACTTGACGATTCACGGATCTGGCCAGAAACGGTGAGGAGGTTGGATAGATTCCTGCCGGGATTGGTGCAGGAGTTGTTCCCTCCTGCGCCTGTGGAGACGGAACCTGAAGAAGCCGAGGGGACTGTGGACGAGGAGAAGGGGAGTGCGGACGAGGAGAGGGAGACTGTGGACGAGGAGAAGGAGACTGTGGATGATGAGAAGGAGACTGTGGGGCCTGAGGAGCAATAGCGAAGAACTTATAATGTGTACTGTGGTCAGATAACCTCGGGGTTGATTAGCAAATACCTCATTAGATGACAGATGGGGAGCCTTTCTCTGATAGGAAGATATGTGCTCCAAGGGACAACGCCTCAATCGAGTGGAAGTGAATGTCAGGAATATATATTGCTCTCCCCAATGATTGCTCATTCAGCTGTCAACAACTCAACCATGTTTTGCTCTCGCCCGTTCCCCTAGTGGGTTTGATCAACGCTACACTTGTGATACCTGGATCAACAACTGGGGCTCGCAGCCAGAGAGATTCAAAAAGAAAAAAGAAAAAAGAAAAACGACGGCCTATGCACGGCGGATTCGGGAAAGGGGGGAAATTCCTAGAATGCTGCAGGGCAAAGATATGCTGCAGCGCATGGCAACGTTTCAAACTAGCAAACACCACTGGAACCGCACTCTTTCTGGGACTCTACAAGGGTTGATCAAGACCGGACCGGTGGACGCGTCTCCGAAGGCGAACGACAAGAAACGTTGAACAATACGAGAAACGAGATAAGGCTGTGGGCGAAGAAACAGTCATGACCCTGGCGGAGATGAGACAGAGTTACAGGGTTGAAGATTCAGAGACGGGGAATCAACAAAAACAACGGAGCAATACTACTGTAGAAAATCTGGTTTTTTCCCTCAAAAGAAGACTCAAGAGCCGTTGGGCCACAATGGGGTATATACTCGTGGACGTACCATCAGGCGAAGACGGCGATATACTAATCACGAGATAGACCCAGATAAAGTCCTGCAATGCCTGATACAAAGTCACGGTCCAAATCAAGAGAAAATCTGTGTCATCGTGTTCACACCCTCACGTTAAGTTGCTCTTAGTGCTGTGTTCTGGCGAGATCTTTTCACCCCAGCCACAGGGGCCACAGGGGCAGTGGAAGTCTCTGGGGGGGGCCCTTGACCGAAGAAAAAGTCACTTGAACGATTGTTGGGTTCCATTTGACGAGACGAGCGGACGCGGTACGCGGGTCTTGTTTTCTGAGAGCATGAAGCATCCCTGAGAAAAGGAGAGGGCCTCCAGACAGCTTTTATACTGCATATCATGTATACATGGGAGTGTGAGATCGGTTCCCCTGATGCCCCCTTGCTGTGGTAGCGCTGTGGTATTGCGACAGGGTCTTGTTGATGCCGCAGTCGTCTCACAAGACAAATCTAGCCTGAATTCGGGCTAGCAGAGCTGCCTTTTGACATCAAGCCCTAAGTCCTGGACTCTCGAGTCTGTCGCGCTGATTCTTACTGGTATTGTATGGTCCAAGCGATGCACGGGCGCCGGATCTACGTGCAATAGAGTCCCGTCCCAGCCAGGTGGCGGCAACTACTGCGAGCTTGACGTGTCCAATATCCTGGGTCTGTTCTCTTTGTCCTGTCAGTACTCCACCCCTTCCTCCAAGAAAAAGGGGATTTGCCGGCACGCCATGGGCCAGTGAGAGCTCTCCTTGCTCAGGCCGGTCGAGTCAGCGCCGTCTGCTGACCGATCCGCTTTTGGATCTAGAGGTGGAAGAAGCGAGGGGGGGCTCCCCGTTGAGGCTGAAATATGAAGAGACAGGCAGCGTCTGAGTAACTTGGCGTGTGGCGTCAACAAAAGACGAGAGGAAACAGTCAATAGTGTAGGACTAATAAGCAAGCAGAGGAACTCTTTGTCGTCTCAACTGTCTTTGCCTCTGCCCATCCCCGCGACGCTGGGTCCTCGCGCTAAACTCCTACTGTCTGTACAGTCAGCTCCCCACTTGGGTTTTCAACACCGGATAATGATTGCCAGCCAAAGTCAATATGCGAGAAGCTATGACCAGAAGGCTATTTTGCCGGGCGGGTTAGCCGAACAAACGCGTCGCCTATCAAGTTTAGATAAACGACCCGTCATTGAACGCTCGCTGAGTCGAAGAATCGAGAGCGGTCGAGGATCGTCACGGAGTAGACAACCCCATGTTGCACATCCCAGGTCGACTTCACGTGGTTACAGTGAAGATAGATTTCACTGATCAGTCGACAACGCTACAACACCATTTCCTGGAAGACTACAGATGGCCCTTTGCCGGTTGCAAACAAGCAACCCCCCAGCAAAGTGCGATCGATCAGCTGGAATGGCCACGTCAGGCCCGGATGTGGATCTTACGTTCAGCTGCAGAGCTTGATGCTTGCACCCGATGGGGCCTAACTAGTGCAGCCACTACCACTGCCCATTGAAAACTCTGGCAAGCTCTCTCATATAGTCAGTCCCCGTTGAGAACGAGACCTCACAGCTCGCCGCGACTGTCAGACCCTCATGATGTGGCATGAGCATCGACCACTATAAGAGTTATCCAAGCTTGAGCTGTGCAGTAACGGGCAGTTTGCGGGGACACTGTCACACTGGTAGGGAGGGAGGCAGAAGAAGTAATCTTTGTGTCAATCCGTCAGGACGAAGCGAAGAATTGAAAATAAGGGCTGTGATCGACGAGGGTCTAGATGGACTCCGGGAGCCGTTTTCCTCCTGTCAAATCCACCTACGGACTACTACTGATCCACCAACATTTCCGGCCACGCTTGGCTCCTCTTCAATACCAACGTCGACGAGTCGGACTAGGTGGTGTCCTGTACCTGGAGATATGCGTCGAGCAGCTTCTCACCATGGAGTCGCTCCCTCGAGACGAGCTCCTTGGGGCTCTTCTGCTCACTTGCCAGCACATTTTTCTGTGGCTCCTGGGGTCTTCGTCGCTAACCACGCTTCTGACACTCCTTCCCGGCATTCTGAGCTTTCCGCAACATTGTAACAGCCAGATTTGACTGATATTGCAAGTCAATCAGAAGGACCATTCTAGACCTGACCTCCTGGGATGCTCGCTCCACTCAACCCTTCCATCGATCGGTGTCTTCTCGGTCGTCTTCGTCTTGTCAGTCTCGGTACTTTCCGCGCAATGTTAGTGACCACTGACCACTGACCTCCTAAAGCTCGGGGGCCCATACCAGCACTGGTATATTGACAGGAAGGGTCTGTATTCTCTGCCTCTTCTCGACAAATCATTCTGCAAGGGACCTGGACTAGTCTGAATGACAACCCCATGCACAGGACATATTCAAATTGGATAACAGCTCAAGTCGCCGCTGCTCTGCTGCCCCAGCTCGTGTAGAGCAGTACTGCCACCTGCCACTGCTAAGCCACATTATTGCTCGGTGCCCTTATCAATCACAGACCCTTATGACGGTTGATGTTTGACGGGGCCTGACTCGGTTGTCGGAAATTCATGCCAAGGCGAGGTTGATATCTGCTTGGCTTACTAGGCGCTACGAACAGGTTGTGAGGAAATGAGGAGTGTGAACGGAGCAAAGCGGGTGAGTGAGTGTTGCCCCGAACGTTACACAGGCATACCTCCTGAGGAAGCGTCTTACGGGATCTCTGTGATTGCTTTCCGATGGAGTTTCCCCCCTTCCTAGCATCTCTGGATATTAGAGACGTCTTCCAAGCCTGGATTGGCAAACTGAGATGGGCCTACCTCCTGAAGGTTTCCTCACGGACTCTCTGAGATTACTTTGGCATGACTCTTTTCCTTTTGTTGCTCTTGTGGACATCAGGAACATGCTCCTAGCATGCACTGACAGACTGATTTGGCGAGGTCATACACCTAACAGTTGAGACTGCTAAGGACGCTCGTTCCTCCAACCCCACTGGGCCAGGAGAGAGGCACCTCGTTGTCTGTGTGAAGCCCATGATCTTACTGAAATGTGTCGAACAGCAGACGGGCTATGCAAACTACAAGCAGGCCGTACGCTCAGGTCATGTCCCATAGCGTATGGCACAGCCAAAACGACTGGATTCAATTTGACTAACAAGAGAGGGAGCGGGACGATATTGTGGTGAGGCGACACGTATAAATCCATGGCTTCTCTTCCATACTTTCAACCGGGTCCTTCTTCCTCATCTCGCATCCTCACAACCTCTCTTTGTCTTTTCGTCCACCTGAAGACAGGTGCTATCGGCGATGAAGTCTTTTGGATTATTGGCCGTCACAGCCTCGGTGGCTCTCGCCAACAGAGTCATCGCAAGTCCTCTCACTACTATCGAACCATGCCCAAGTGCAACAGGCCATGTCTATGCTCCGATCACCGTCACTTCGCAATACCAACCGGTCTCGACCTGTGAGCCTACGACTGCCTGTGTCAAGGGAAAATGCTCAACCAAATATCCTTTTGTCACCTACCCTTATGTTTCGACCGTTGTTCCTTGCGCCTGGAATGGTACCACGACCCAAAAGACCACTGTAACCGAAGTCGCCCAGCCCGTGAGGGTATCTGAGTACCTCGAAACCCTAACTCACATTACATCTGTTCCACTAGTCCACAAGTTTCCCCTGATCGACTGGTTCAAGATGGTCCCTGCCACCACTGAAGAGGTCACGCTTTACGAAACGGTTACTCGACGAGCTGTTGCGCCTTATAACGCGGTTGGGCCTCTCCCGATCCCTGGCTGGGAAGGCAGCGGATTGTGCGAGAAATGCGTGAACCATGATGGCACCAAGTCTCAACTCCTTGAAGTTACTGAATGTAGAATCGGTACTGAACTCTCCGGTGAACAATATGCCAACTGTGTGGAATGGTTCGAGACTTTGATCGCTCAGCCTCCAAAGTCTCAGACGGCCCGAGGACACTGCTCAAGCTCGGGAAAGATTGAACATGCGGGCGTCTATACCTGGACTTTCCCTCAGATTGCTCCTCCTGTCACGGTCACGCAACCTCCAGTAACTGTCACTGTTACCGTCGACGGTCGCCCGCAAGTCTCTGTCCACCGGGATGTTCGAGTCATCCCTGGCAAGCCTTGGGATGCCTTTATCACCCGATCCTTTTCCGGCCCCACCGTGTTCAATTTCAATGTCTACGTTACAAAGGTATTCATCATCACTCTTCCTCATTTCACTCAACCTGCTCAGAGTACTGTTACCGTGACTGTCCCAAGCGGTCCCCACAATGGCGATCCCGGGCATGGAGGCTGGTGGCCAGTGCCTTCTGGACATGGCAGCTGGAGTCCCTCGGATGGCGGCAACAATGCTTGGGAAGACTGGAATCCATCCACATCGTCCACGACGACATCGGCAAGAGTGTCCACAACCAGCACCTCCCATGGCGGCTGGGGCACCAGTAGCACAGCGACCAGCTCCTATTCGACCACTTCCTCTTCGGCCAGTCCTTCGTCCGCAAGCTCTGCCTCGGCGAGCTCTTCATCCGCCAGCTCCTCTTCGGCGGGTTCCTCATCTGCAAGCTCTGCCTCGGC